GCTTCCTCACCCTGGCTCATCGCTCTTACGCCAGACCCCACCTTTACCGGAGAGTATTTTTTGTTTTGTTGCTCCTTTACTTTCTTTTGTTTATGGGGCTCGTCTCCTGCTCTTGACCTTACCTAACGCTAACGCTATCTCTCATTACTCTTGCCTACACTGCCCCTCAACGCCTCAATCTGCTGATCAGCATCATCACCACAGTCGCCCATATGCATCCTCCAGCACTGCAGCTGCGTGGAGATTAGTCTGTTTTTGATTTCACTGTCCCTGTCCCCCAGATACAAGTCCTTTTCATTCCCTTGTCAAATCTTGAATAGTTAATGAATTTATTTATAATAATATACGCCCCAGTAGCGTGAGCGCGCTAGCCTTGCTATTCGATTTGCCTTTCTAGAAACCCGCCTTCCCTTGAAACCTCCACAGCCTACACCTGTGCTATCTACTCACTCCTCTCCTGAATTGTTCAACGCTTGTATGCTCCAACTACTCATTCATTCATATCTGCTGAACGCCTACGCTCTTGTAATACCACTCATTTTCTTCATCGTTCCTGCTCGCTTGATGTGCTCTTAGCTCTCGTCACTGCATTTGGCTACATTTCTTTCAACGCACTTCACACTTTGTCCAATGACCAGACGCTCACACTACTTTTCCTTGTCTCAACCCTTACGCTTCCTTCCCTTTTCACTACAACGTTCCTTGCAGATTCCCATACCAGTCCACTCAAACGCTCGTCTTTTTCAGTAGTCTGTGTCCTCGTGTGACGCGCTTTCTGACAACCTCTCCAGCTCAAGCGCGCACACTCTTTCAAACCCAAGAGTATTCCGAACTCGTCGAACGCGTAGAGCACGCTTGTCAACCGAGCCGCCTCAACACCTAACCGCGCTGCTTTGTTTTCTTGTGTTTCTGTCCCCTTTGTCTTCTTCTTCGGCTGTTGTTTGATGTGTGTCGCTCTTCTGTTTCCGTGTTTCTCTTCCTCGTTTACGTTTCCTCGACGTTGACACTGACGCTACCCACCTGCACCACCCTCCCAAAGCTCGCGAGTGATCTCTTTAGCTCCTTACTGCGCTTACTGCACACTTGTTGGCAATGCCCATTGAGCACGTTACCCTGACGCTACACTTGTTTGTCGCGCTTTTGTTTTCGTTTCTTGTCTTCTGTACTTCAGCTTACCAACGCTGGCTCTGCTCTGCTCTGTTGCGTGCTGTTAGTCGCGCCTTTGCCATAGTCGTCTGGTTTGTACCCTTACGCTTACCCTGCGCACTTACGCTTCCTCTCCTCACTCTTGATCCTATTCCCATGCTTCCAGGTCCGTCCAACTCACGCTTCCTAGCTCTTGTCTGGTCAAATCGCAACTTAACTTCTCGCTTCTTGTCGTTCCCACCTGCTGAGTGCCAACCTCCCTCCCGAGCCAGTGTTCGTAAGTGCCTCGAGCTGATCGAAGTTTCCGTTTCTTTCTTTCGTCCTTCACCCTTACGCTTCGTCGATGTTGACGCTGATACTGTCTCTTCATACCCTCGCGTTTACGCTTCGGTCTTTTCTCCTCCCATGCGTCGGTTCCCATACGTCTACGCCTTCTATTCCAGGATCAAACGAAATCGCAAACTCCCGGCTGAGTCCCACAGAGCGCGCCAAGTTGAAGGTCATGCCACGTTGCCCACGCCCTTAAGGAGCGTTAAACTACTTTCTTCTGCTATTCTTTGGTCGTCGAGCTTTCGAATTTATTTCTTGTCCTCCACCCTTGCGCTTACCCGACGCTTACAATGCTCGCCTGCCTACACTCATCCAACACCTACCCGACGCTACCTCTCCCTACACTCGCCTTTATGCCTACGCTTCCAAACCCGCCTTACTGACGCTTCTTCACCCCTCCTTCGACCGTTCACCCTATCGGCATTTAGCTGCGCACTTCTCAGCAACACCCCTGGTAGACGCGTCAAGCTGCGCCAAACTCTCCGAGAGCGCTGATTAGCACTTGTCAAAGCCGAGATCAGAGCGTCCACAACAATCTGCTGGTCGCTTGCTTCTACTCCTTTGACGCGCCATGTGTCTGCTGCTACTTTCGATGAACAATAACTCCTCTATCAACTGCTCTTCCTACTAGATCTCGAGAACGTAGTGAGTCCCAGTTCTCATGGGATTGTTGGAGCAGTGTTTACTATAAGGTATAATAATAATAATGATGATAATATATTTGATACAAAACAATGATTATACAAAAATCAAGAACGCCCCATAATACAATGCCGACAGCAGATGCTTGAGACAGGCCGACAGAAAGACAGACACACAGACAGAAAAAACAGATAAACGAGTGAGCGCGCGGAAATCAAAAGGATCAGACGGGTCGACAAGAGCTAGAGACGACACTCGTTGCGATCGTCCATGTGATGTTATCCTCCAAACCCATCCCCGTGATCAATCACTACTTGTAACTTCCGCAGAATCGAATTAACTAAAGGGGCAGCGTCTGTGGTCTCCTTCGCTACCAGACAAGCATCGTCGTCGTTTCACTGGGCGCAGGTCTGCATCTGCATCCGTGTCGGCGACGCGCTTGGCTGGATTAACCTGACTGCTCACAGACAAAGGAGATCCGCCAGCGCCTAATTGTTCGTTATTTTCAACTGGGGTCTGTTGATGTTCCGGGTCATAAGACCGAGGCGCGTGCTCTGGGTGCACAATGTAGAAAACAGCTCTCATCTCATCGTACAGCATCTGGAACATTTTGCGCTGACTTGGCGTTAAAATTTTGAACCAGACTATCACTCTGCACACCCGGAACATATTGTAATGATCGTTGGGGGATAAGGAGCGCTCCAATGCATCCGAAAACACAGTGAAGCCGCCGTGGGCATGGGTTCTTCGGTATCCATGTTCCGGAACGCTCTCAGCATATTCAGGGCAGACGAGCTCATCCTCAAAGTATGACTTGTTCAATGAAGGGGTGACGATAACACTGAGCTTGTAGCCGTTGCCGACTTGATCGACTCTAGCAAGGCTGCCCAAGAAACGCTCGCAATCTTCGCGCATGAGCGTGTTTCCAAGCAGAGATAATTGATGATGTAGGAGAGCGGCGTCGACCCATTCTTGTCTGATCTGTCTGTGGTCGGGGTCAATCGTGAGATAGATGGAGTACCAGCGACTGAGATGATTGACACGCTCGTAGTCGCGCATCAAGGTCGTCAAAGCAGAGTCCAATTGGCGAAGGCTGAGTCGACCATCTGCCACTGCAGTGAAGGGACGGATTCGAACGAAGGGCAAGAACCGTTGGTATTTGTTGACAGAGACGAGAAGGTGACCGTGGACATGTTTTCATGAGTTAAGCGCCAGCCCTCCTTACTCAAAAGCCGCTCGGGATAGGGCGTGTTGACCATGCGTTCCAAGGCCTGTCGGGTGAGAGATCTTTGACGGTTCAAAAAATCGTTCAAGACCAGTGGGAGGTGGAGTTCAAAAGACTCCAACGTGCTGTGTGAGCCGGGAGGGAGCGGAATCCGCCGAACGAACGAACGGATCAAGGGGTTCGAGTGGTCTATGACTTCGCGTCCTTGAACAGGTTCGTACGCTGGTGGACTTTCCGTGGGCGGCACAGGATCGAAAAAAGTGGAAGAAAAGAAAAGACCAAGGCAGCTTGTTGAATGTAAAGATCGGAAAAAGCCATAGTCTTTGGGAGAGCCGGAGGTTGGGAACGAGGTGCTGATCGAAAGGAAAGGTATGAGGGGGGAGAGAAGAAGAAACGAAAGAAGGGCGCGGGACGTACATTTTATAACCAGGCATAGCAAGCAAACAACGCAGGAGGCCGCACATGGTAGCTAAAAATAAAGAGCAAAGAGTGGCTTCGTCAGGTACGGAAGGAAGGCCGTGATTGCTGTGCAAGCCGAAGCCTTGTTGACCGGAAACTAGCAAAATAGTCATTCTCCTTGCCGCCGGACCCTCCTTTCCAGTCTCTTGTATTCGTAAAGCCGGTAACAATATATCCATACAGGCTAGATTCGCTGTTTGAATTAAATCATGCACGATATATTATTGCTGCGACGGTACCTCGCGCTGTTCGAGCTGTTCTTGAACTAGAGAGAGTTGCTGGGAAGTGAGAACATGGTCTCAGATAATTAGGGTTTGCCTTGTAGCAATCCCAGTCTCACCACTGCTTCAACTTTTGGCGACTTTAAGCACTCCTTTGCGCACTTCTGGAGACTTAGACCGGTACTTATGAGTAAATAACTTAAAATGAATTCTGATATTAGAAACCATTACGCCGATGTCAACTTGCTAATTTCGCATCTTGAGCTGAGCACTGAGGACACCACTAGAGTGAATTATTTTATGGCGCTCCAGAGCAGAGAACTACACAAGGAATCACAGTGACAAACCTTGTGACATGCAGCTCTTCTCAGAATGTCATTGAGTATTGATGGATTTTTATAAGAGCAAAGGCTGGCGTCGATTAAATGCTGCGGTATTATACAGCGATCTACAAAGACGGCTACAGTATATATAGATAAGGTGAAGGAAGCCACCAGCAATCAAATGGCATGAGAGATGATCTCCACTGACTCCCGATATATTTAAAATTCGAATAAAAAGACAAAACGAATAGCAAAACCAAAAATCTAGAGACTGAAAGAAGCGATCAATCGATTGAGAACGTCAGGAGCTATTACACACGCGAGAAACAAGCGGCAGAGCCTGAGAAATTATGATTCGCCTCCAGCTCTGCGCGAGTCGGTACCTCTTTTTTCGTTTTCGGCGGGATAAAAGATAATGCTGATCCACAGAGAAGGATGGAGGCTATTCCGAGTTGGTACTTTGCAGAGGCCAAGGATTAAACATTCAGTGACGCCCGTACAGCAGGGAGAAGGGTGCAGACAGACAGTAGCGTTACTTCTTTGAACAGATACCAGCATCTAGTTCGATGAGATGACGTTAGCAAGGGTATCTTGTACAATGGCATATGACAGATATACAGTCGAGGTGGACTACTTCTCTCTTGACGTTGGCTGCTATACAGCGAAGCCTTGAGAACCAGCGACTGAAAATCTTTTCCAGAAAGCACGACCATAGGCAGTCTGAAATAAAAACCCGGACTCGATCCTGCGATCCATCCGTTGCCCAGCTTTGATGTGATCTTTCCGTTGTGCTCCGCTGTCGTAGTGTTCGTCGCGATCGCGGGGCGGATGACGTCCGTTGTCTCCTCTCTCGGCCATCGAGTTACTTTGTGATAAAGAGAGCGAGTGAGGAGGTGTGCGTTGGATTCGGTCGGCTATCGTGCTTGAAGCTCGCAGCAGCACGTTGTGATGCTCGAGAGATCGTGTTTTCTTCTTGCCGCCAGCCATTGTTTGGGATAGGGAAACGGGGAAGGTGGCTGCTGAGGTGACGAAGTAGTGAGTTGTGAAGAGGAAAGGGGATGAATGGAATGAGCGAAGCCTTATGTGTTGACCATTTGTGCCTTGTTCGAACAAGGGCGGCCTTGTATCTGAGCTGAGTTTTGTAAAGACAATTGGAGATTGAACAAAGAGATATCTACACAAAACCCTGAACAAATGCAAGCGATTATCGTTGACCATCTCGGTTTTCCCAGTTGTGGGAGCTGATACCAATGGTAGGAGAACAGAGATGAGCACTACTCTAATAAAAGAGGGCAACGCTGTGAACTGCAGTGACAGACAGTCACGTGATATTTATTGAACGTATGTGACAAAAGCCTTGTTGACCTCGGAACGCGTCTTACGAGCAACAAGGCCGCCCGCCTTTGTTTGAGCAAGGCGGCAATGGAAAATATAAAGTCCGCTCTCCCGCCGCTCTCTCTCTTCTCCTCTTCTTCCTCACCTCTCACTACTTCCACAACTTCAGCAACACCCACCCTTCCCGTGCTTTTTCAACAATGGTTCTCGGCCAGAGGGGAACACGCCCCTCCAGTGCATCGCATACTGCTGCTGCGTTCCACATGCACCGTCGCTGCCGACATATCCCTACATACGCGCAACCGCGGCTTAATTCTGCTTTTGCGGGCTATCCGACGACCGAGAGAGGCTACGGACGCCTTCAGCCCAGCACTTGCTTCGCCGCCCACGACGACGACGACTTGATCCCCGAAGAGAGACAATCCCCGGTCTTTAACGTGGATCTCTCTCGCATCCGCCTCAACGACGCCCTGATATTTCACGGGCTCGACTTTGTCTACGACAACTTCGCCTCTCGTATCGACAAAAGGCAACATAAGGACCAGCTAGGCACCGGATCATCCTACGGATTTCTGTTTTTAACTGCCTATGATCGTGCTTTGTTCATAAAGATTTTCAATCGCTGGTCAAGGCTTCGCTATAATAGCGGCCGACGTATGTATATACCTTTGTTAGCATTGCTCTGTGACTCCCCGACTAACCCTTGTTGCACTTTCTAGTCCACCCTTTCTGCAGCATATCTATTCACCCTGGAACGAACCAGAAGAGTCCTATACTTCGACTACTGTTCAGGCTAATACCCCAACATCCGATGAGAGAAGTGGTCTACCCCTCCTCGTTTCTGTCTTATACCCATTGTACAGGCGCCCTTGCTGAAGTCATCTCATCGCACCACATGTTGGTATGTGCCTCAAGAAGTAACCCACCTGTCTGTCTGCACCACCACCTTCCCTGCTGTACGGTCGCCTATGGACGTTAAAACCAATGGCCTCTGCAATGTACTGGCTCGGAATACCCTCTCTTTTCTCTGTGAAATAGGGTTATCTTTGATCACGCCAAATACCAAAAAAAAGAAACAATCACCTAATCGCGCAGAGCTGGAGGCGAATCACTCACTGGGCTCTGTCGCTTGATTTTCCCGCGCGTATATCACGCTTTTCAAGTCCTCGTCGGACCCTTTTCCAAGTCTTTTCAGTTTCGTTTTTGCTTTTCATCAATATTATCATCAACGGGTTGTCACTAGGGATCATCTCTGAACCGCATTTGATTGCTAGTGTCTATCTTTTTTTTTTTTTTTTGAATCGCTCCTCTCCTGTAGAAAACACCTCGTAGATCCCATGACGTACTAGCACTTCCTCAGTACATCCCCATCATCCATCCTGTATATTATTACTCGCGAATTTCAATTACACTTCCGATAGAGGTTCATGATAGTGCGCATGCGGCTCAGGTCTGGAGATCGATTGTCGCTAGGAAATCCCAATCTGCTTCTTCTCTGCTGATGCCGTCATCTCCTCCTGGCTACTTAAAAAGGAAGTGGAATACTTCTGTCAATATGAAATGCATCGATGTGCTCTTTCCATTGTGTTTCGTTACCGTAGTGTTCGTCATTATTGCGAGACGGGTGACGTCCGTTGCCTCTCTCGGTCATTGAGTTGCTTTGCAATGAGGAGGGCATGTGTGTGTGTGTCGGATTCGGTCGGCTATCGTGCTTGGAGCTCGCAGCAGCATGTTGCGATGCACAAGAGAACGTGTTTTCTTCTTGCTTACAGCCATTCCAGTGTTTGGGATAGAGACACGGGGAAGGTGGTCGCTGAGCGGAGGAAGGTAAAAGTAGTGAGAGGTGAGGAAGAAAGAGGAGAGATGGAACAAGCGAGGCCTTTTATTGTGTTGGCCATTTGTGCCTTGTTCAAAGATAGGCGACCTACTCTGACCTGACTGACTGGCTGCTGAGCTGACTTTGTGGAAGACGGTTGGAAATAAGTAAGTTATCGAGCAAGTAGAGAGCTGCTCAAAACCCTGAAGAAAAGCTGCGAGCGAAAACAACTACTAAAATTATCATGGCGCGGACGAGTCCCAAGAATAAACCCTACACCAAAACCGAAAGTAAGCCCTCGAAGCCAAAGAACATCGTTTTACATCATATGTCTCGGATTGCGGGAAGTTACTCATCCTAGTTTTATGAAGACTCAAATTGAATTTGTAGTGGTCAGCCGTGGGAGTAGCGGGGAAGAACCTATAAGGAACAAAGAAGCAGTCGAGTCATGTTTCTACTGTATTATTGCTCCGTCAATGATCAGCCAGTGATCTCACATAAACTACTACATCCTGATTGATAAATATGCGGATTTTTGTTGTTGAAATGATCAAGAATGCTGATCTCAAGAACAGGAGAGTATCCAGCTGACGGCGATGCAACGAATAGGAAGTTGATGCTGATGATAAACATCATGCTGGGATGCTGGGAGGAAAAAATAATTTGGCGCGCTTGCCTTCTGCCGGAGCATAAGCGAGTCTGGGCGGCTTCATCTCCTTTGAATGACGGTACGAATATCTTCGAGTTGTAAACAACAGTAGTGCTGAAACAAGCGTTTTTATCTAAGTTACCATACTACATCTATATAAAACGACCGCTTTGTCGAATGTGTTGTGGATGATCTTGCTGACATCTTGCTGATGAATAGATAGTTTAGCAGCTTGAGCCACAGGAGAAGATGAAGTGTTTATTTAATTATGAGTTGATACTCGGAACCTTTCAGAGGCGGGGAACTTATCGGTTAACTTTCCGCTACAATATTAAGCGCCCGTCGACGGGCCGTAGACATCTAGCTCCTTAAGCCTGGTTCTGGCTATCTATAACGTATTCGTACGGTAATATGCTACCTACCTACATATGCTCCATCTCAAGCAGGGGGAGAACTATAGAGTACCTTCCTGGCGGCTATAGTGTCTCGTGACCAAATGGTCCCCCACAGGTCAGGGGCACACTGTGCGTCCAAGCTTAGGGCCCGAGATAAGTGTAAAGCTCAAGCACCCGCACAGAGCATTGTGTATTATAATCGACAGGAGATGGCACAACAACGGGGACCAACCCGCGCTATGCAATATGATGGCAGTCTTTCGCTCCCAGAAATTCTGCTTGATTTTGAGCAGTCGGAACGACTACACGTTGATTCTCTAGATACCCTTTATCTTTGCTGTAGTCTTATCAGCTATCTCATGCCTTAGCCAAGTCTTGGCGCGCCTAGCCCTTGTAGGCTTCCCTGCTCCGATAAGACTATCTCATGACTGATTGATACTGCACCCCGTTAAAGGACGGAGTCCAAGATTATAATGAGGTCTTACGATGATGATCACTAATCATCGTCGACAAGATCCAGCAGAATCAAGGACGAGTGCGTCAGATTGACTATCGCACCGCAGAAAGCCTTTTTTCCACGGGTGACCAATAAAGCAATTCTCCTGCAAATCCCCGGGTCTTGGCTAGAGGGATAATTTCTTACCAAGCCTGCCTATCGATTGGTCCTGTTACAGCAGGCAGCTTGATAGGCCCGCGACTGCGATAAGTTCTGCCACTAGATATTAACTGTCAGGATGTATATGTCGACCTCTCCCCACCTTCTGATGCAAACCCTCGGATGTCAGTACAGAGTACAGGGTTATTGAATCAGCTGCCCTGTTTGACTTCAGTCAAGAGTGTTGACATAGAGAAACTGCCTCTCATATCAACTGCACCTACTCAATCCCGGTTTTCGATATCTAGAGACTCATACGGAGAAAGGTAATATTAAGCAAGTCAGATATATCCAGATTTAATGTCACGGTCAGCTAACAAGTCGTTTGCAGATAAGTCTGACAATACCATCATGGAGAAAAAAAGCGAGGTAGTCTTCTCGTCCAGCTCAGTGTACGACAACTCGGACTATAATGAGAAAGTGCAAAGCAACGTTGACATCAATCCTGCGTTTGTTGTTGATCGCGAGCGCATCCTTGAGCGCTTGGTCTCGTCGGGCGATGCTGAGGATATCATTGGCGAAGGAGGAGAGAGCTATATATTCGACGCTGTTGCTACAATGACTTTGGAGGAAGCAAAGCAAATCATCACCGACTCCGTGGAATTACATGACAACGACTACAACTTCCCTGAAGAGACTTTGGACAAAATGAAACTCCTCCTTCAGGGTCCCATGGCGTATGGACTTGGCGAAGAAGCTTATGAGATTGATATTCGATTGGAAGCGAGTCTTGTCAAATATCACTCGCCTTATCCAGAGGTGCGATCTTGTACCGCACCGTTTGACGATCCCAGTATTCCGGTCGAGACAATCCGTTCTTATTTTCTCGGTTTCTGTTGGGTCATCGTCGGCGCGTTTGTCAACGAAACGCTAGGTCAACCCAGACAGCCTTCCATCGACATCTCGTCGACTGTTATGCAGATTCTTCTGTATCCTTGCGGAAAGATGGCCGAGCGCCTTCCTAACTGGAAAATTCGTCTTTTTGGTAAGACGTACGAGTTGAACCCGGGACCCTGGTCGGCTAAGGAGCAAATGTTTGCCACTATTATTTTGAATGCTGGTGGTCACTACAGTAACTTGATCAACTATATCATGGTCATTAAGCTCGATATCTTCTTTGGAAGCAACTGGGTCAACTTTGGATTCATGCTTCTCATGAACGCTTCCACTCAGCTTTTTGGTCTGGGAATGGCTGGTGTGCTCAGAAGATGGGTAATCTATCCCGTTAACGCCGTCTGGCCCACTATCCTGCCAACTATCATGCTCAATCAAGCTCTCCTTGGAAAGGAAAAGCAGCAGTCTATTAATGGATGGACCATGCCTAAGATCAAGTTTTTCTATCTCGTTCTTGTGGCTTCGTTTGTCTATTTCTTCTTCCCGGATTTTATTTTCACTGCTCTTTCGACCTTCAATTGGATGACATGGATATCGCCTCAGAATCTGAAACTTGCAATTATCACTGGCTCTACCCTCGGTCTAGGATTCAATCCGATCTCTACCTTTGATTGGGCAGTGATCAAGAAGAATAATCCACTCGTCCGACCTTTCTTTGCAGTCGCGAATCAGTACATCGGTGTGATTATCTCAGCTTTTGTCATCTTGATCATGTATTGGACCAACTACAAAGATACTGCCTACTTGCCAATCAATACTTCATCGACCTATGACAACACCGGTGTGAAGTATAACACTTCTCGGGTTATTACCAATGGTCGATTCGATATTGAAAAGTATAAGCAGTACTCACCTCCATATATCACTGCTGGCCACTTGATTCTTTACGGAGGTACATATGTGACGTACACAGTTTCGTTTGTGTTTACTTTCCTCACTGAGTGGAGAACTCTTAAAATGTTTGTGAAGCACAGCTTCCGGAAAGACATGTTCAGAATTCCGCGAAGCTGGAAGGAGCTTGTGTCTGCGAACGAAGAGTCTGTGTATGAGGGTTTCAACGATCCTTTTACCCGCGAGATGCGCAAGTATCCCGAAGTTCCAGACTGGTGGTTTATCAGTGTTTTGATTATTTCCTTCGTGTTTGGTATTATCGGTGTTGCGGTCTACCCTACTGATACCCCGGTATGGGTGGTCATTGTGATCATTGCAATGGGAATTGCTCTCCTGATCCCAACTTCTATCATCTACGCAGTCACTGGATACATGCTGGAAATGGGCGAGCTTGCGAGCTTGATTTGCGGATATATTATCCCTGGAAATGGCATGGGTAATGTCATCTCTCGTCTATATGGATATAACACGGATGCTCAGGCTGAGACGTTTATCGGTGACATCAAGATGGCTCATTACATGAAGATCCCCCCAGAGCAGTCTTCAGAGGACAGGTCTTTGCAGTGATTGTGCAGATTTTTGTCACTATTGCGGCCGTTTATGTCGTGCTTGGACTACCAGAGGTTTGCACTTCTACCCAGGTCAACAAGTTCACTTGCCCGTACTCTCAGGGTATCTACACAGCAGCTGTCTTGTACGGTATCATTGGACCTGACCGAGTTCTCAACGATGTCTATCCGGAGATCAAGTACTGCTTTTTGATCGGTGCCGGTCTCGGTGTTATTGGATGGGCATTGCGGCGTTACTTCCCCAAGCAGATGAAGTATTTCCACCCTTGTATCATTGTCTCGGGCTTCACTATCTGGGGTACTGGATACAACGTCTCTTACTATACTCCCGGATTCATCGTTGCTTGGGTTTTTATGTGGTATATCAAGCGTCGCTACCTTGCGTGGTGGACAAAGTACAACTACATTCTTGCTTCTGCGTTGACCGCTGGTGTCGCCTTTGCGGCAATCGTCATTTTTGCTGGCCTGCAGTACCAGCAAATGAGTTTGACCTGGTGGGGAAACACGGTCTCAGATGCTGGAATTGACGGAACTGCGAATGGAAGATTGAAGGAGATTCCTGCTGTCGGATACTTTGGTAAGGCGGTGGGTGAGTTTTAGGTTTTATTGTTTCTTCTGCTCTCAAATGTTGTGCGTGTATCGCTATAATACATTCTCTCGTATTATCCCATTTGTTGATCAGCAAGTCATTATCCCGTGATGATCCCAAATCCGAAAAGTGTTAAGCATTCGCCGTGCGCAGCGGATGATAAACCGATTCTAGCCCGCCAAATGCTGGTGGCAGCTAGAAGTAGGCGTAGACAATAGACTATTAAAGTTATACGCACCCCGATTTTCCACCGCTAAATTCAATGTCCCTAGTCTCCACACTCAGGCTGGACGGACGTCTGCAGTCTACACAAAGGGCTTGTGCACAATCCTGGATTTTGACTGAAAGACACATATGGATGTATGATGAATATCAATGCCAAGAGTGTATAGGATTACCTCTTCTTAGCAACACGGCCGCTATCAATGCTCGAGAGCACAATAGATGAAAAGTCCCAACTCCTCTCTGCGCTTAAACTTTGCTAACTTCACCATCCCGATTACAATGCCCTGAATTCAACCCTCGCTTACTCCCCAACTTGCACTCCTTATCTCAAAGAACTATGATTTATTTATTGCCCAAAACTACCAAGTGACGCCGTCCAGCAGGCCCTTGCCTCTCGAGCGTTTTGAGATCGGGCCGGATGAAGTTCAGTCTCAGCATTCGAACTGCAGTGCTGTGAACATCAAGTCGGATAAATGTCGGGTGAGTATGCTCGCTCGGATCCCTTCCATCCTCCGGGCTCGGGCCGAGAATGGTGGTGAGCGGCATCGCGGAAGATAATTCTTCACCTTACAAATACAGTAACGATAATGATGGGAGCGTAATACTGCTTGTTGCAGCTGTCAAGTACGGCGCATCCTCCGGGAGTCGCGCAACGAGCCCCGAGTCAGATCATTCCTCCCGTGTCATGAGGCCTTATAATCATCGTATAGGCTTTCTTGATTATGTAACTTAATCATTTTCGCTCTCCAATTTTAACGGCAACACCCTAAATATTCGCTATACGAGACTACTTTTGAGCGGGCTGTAAAATGCGGAGTCCCACGTGACTTTTTGTACGGAATTTAAAGTTACGGAAGGTGAGGACTGGAAAGCTTGAACGAGTTCCTTGTTCCATTTGGTACTTGGCAAGGAGCGCTCTCCAAAGACGATCAACAGCATATAATAAAACAGTCGAGGGCAACAGTATTCGATAATCATGAGGATGTTTTGCAGATGCGCACAGAGTGACAAGAACGAAATGGTGTCCAAACCCTGTGGTACCCACCCATTGACGGTTGCGCATGAATGTCGGTCTGCACCATATCGGCGCTGCTCCGAGACAGCTCGGAGATCCGCCGGTGTCAGACCAGAGCCTTCTCCGCATTCTGGCGCCGGCTTGGTCGATACCCTGGGTTCTAGCCCAAACTCTCTCTATAATCGCATGGCGGGGTAAGTTCTCAATAGCTTGTGGACGCGCATTGCACAGGCCACGCCATTGTGATTTCCCCAGCTGCGGGGCGGTCTGGAGTAATTTTCCGTCCTCGGCTGCCCTCCGGTGGAAACATGGCATTACGCTGCCCACCATATATATTTCTCATAGATGCTGCCTCCTGTCTCTGTCTGATTTCTGTACATCCCACTGTGTCGTTAGTCCGATACCCCATCGCTACTACTTGCTATACATCATGGCAGAAAAGGAGCAAACTGATGGCAACCACGTGATGGTACCCATCTCTACGGCTGATAAACCAGATGAGTACATCATTGAAAAAAAGCAGGGGATGAAGGGAGTTTCGGACGCCCAGTTTGAGACCTTTCTTCAGTTCGAACAGAGAGACGAGGAGTGGAGAGCATACATGAACAAGCGCCTCGTCCGGAAGATCGACATGAAGCTTCTTCCATTTCTTGTCTTGATGTATCTCCTTAACTTCCTTGATCGCAGTAATCTTGCCCAAGCGCGTCTTGGAACACTTGAGGAAGATTTGAATATGAAGGGAAATGACTACAATTTGGCGACCAGTATCCTGTTTGTGGTAGGCACTCGCTCAGCTTACGCGTATTTGAATGCTAGTTCCTTGTATCTGACTTTATCTTTAGGGCTACTTACTGATGCAATTGCCATCCAACCTATTTATCACCCGAGTCCGTCCATCCGTCTTCCTTGGTGCAGCCATGTCTATCTGGGGTCTCATTTCCGGACTTCAAGCGACTATCGGTAGCTTCGGTGGTCTTGTTGCCTGCCGCTTTTGCTTGGGAATTGTCGAGGCCCCTTTTTTCCCTGGCGCGGTGATGCTTATGTCTAGTTGGTACACCCGTGCAGAGATCGGGCATCGCATTGCTTGGTTTTACTGCGGTAACGCAATTGCTCAGATGTTTGGTGGTCTGATTGGAGCGGGTGTCCTCGGAAACATGAACGGCACGCACGGTATTGCGGGCTGGAGATGGCTGTTCATCATCGACGGTAGCATCACTGTTGGTGTTGCCATTACTTCAATGTGAGTTGCTTCGAGCCATTTTCTTGATACGTCAGACCCACTGACTGACAGTTACATCTAGGTTCTTTCTTCCCGATTTCCCCTCCGCCAAATGCAAATGGCTTTCGGAAGAGGACCTGAACTACGCTCACTGGCGTATCACTATTGATATGCACGAATCCGAAGATTTGGGAGCAGTGACTCTCAAGGATGGATTAAAGATGGCTTTCAAGGACTACCGAGTCTACATCTTTATTCTCTTCCAGCATCTGTCTCTTCTTACTCAGACGTTCCAGTATTTCCTGCCTACTATCGTGAATTCCCTCGGTTTCGGTCATATTGAGTCACTCTTATTGACTGCTCCGGTATGGTTTTTGACATTCATCGTTTCCCTTGTTGCCACTTACACCTCCGGTCGGTTCAACGATCGATCGATCCATATTGTTGTTCTCATGGGCATCTCACTGTTTGGCAACGTTCTGGTCGTTGCGACTTTGAACACCGCAGCTCGGTTCGTTGGCATGTTTTTCCTGCCCATGGGTGCGTTTACTGCATATGAGATCATTGTGGCTTGGATTGCAAACACGTTCCCGCGACCTAGTGTCAAGCGTTCCGCGGTTGTTGCTATCTGTAACATGCTCGGAAACACGGCGACTATCTACGGTACTTACCTCTACCCGTCTTCGACTGGACCACGATATTTGATGGGTGGCGCTTCGACCGCAGCATTCTGCATTGTGACGGCTATCGTAGCTTGGGGCATCAGATTGATGCTTGAGCGAGAAAACAGATTCCTCGAGAAGCTGGAGAATGAAAATCTGGAGGAGCTCCCTCAGATTGCGCATGCTATGGGACGAGGATTCCGATATATTGTGTAATGCATATGCGACTTGTTTTTTATTGTCAAGATTACATTATGAGTACAGTAGTCATTAGTTGAGTCTTTTGAATGGCGACAGCAAAATATATTTTATTGAGCGATTTGTGGAGTCACAAGCTCACATCGATCTTGGACCGTGATTGATTTGTGAGCACGCATTATCTCTGCGTAGGATTCTATGGTGGTCGCGCAGTTTTTATCCTATTTCTGAGCGGTCTTCTCCATGCTTGATAAATATAATGCCCTATATTGAATGCTATATGCTAATCACCACTTATATCATCTTCCTGCTTATTCAAATGGAGGAAGCTTCATAACAGTTTCAAGTGCGGCTTCATACTCCCGCTCTAGAACCTCCTTGTGATGCTCGCTTCTGGGTCTGATGATGCACTCAAAGTGATTAGGACGGCTGTTAAATCCCTCGGTGTAGTCAAAAGTATCGTACTTGACACCAGGAATAGGCATGATGTCGAATCCCCAGATGAGTTTTGCCAGCGCAATGTAAAGATTGTTCCAAGCGATACCAGCACCTGGGCACACGCGACGACCCCAGCCGAAAGAAGAGTGGCCGTCTCTGTTGGGGTGAGCAACACCCTTCTCCATATCATCCTTCTCAGACGCATACTTGGGCACGACGGCGTCGTCAAGGAAACGCTTGGGGTTGAAGTGGTGGGGGTTGGGGTAGTATTTCTCGTTCAAGTTGATGGCCCATGAGTTTCCGAGGATCGTGGTGTTCTTGGGGATAAGGTATCCGTTGTAAACATCGTCTTCCGATGATGAATGAGGAGTACCGCCCAGAACAGCAACCGGACGCCATCTCAAAGTCTCCTTCATGAAAGCCTTGAGGAAAGGAAGCTTGAGCTCGTCGTCGAAAGTGGGCGAGCGGTCAGGTCCAATGACAGCATCAAGCTCCGCTTGAGCAGCGCGCAGAGCCTCAGGGTGTGTGACCATTGCGAGAATAGAAGAGCAAATAGTGGACGCAGTGGTGTCGGATCCTGCGCCAAAGAGACTGGACGGCACAGACGCAATATCACGCTGGGAGAGAGGGATGGGCTCCTTCTCGTTCATTGTAATCAGCAGCTTGGCAAGAGAGTCGGCAACCTCTTCACCTTTAGCCGCGGCAGCTTGCATCTCGGTTCTAACAGAGTTAAACAGAGCCAAGCTATCGCGCGCCTCCTCGTAGCCCTTCTCCTCGATCGTTTTCTTCCAAGGAGCGAGGACATTCGGGATATACTTGAGGAAGGGGAGCGACTCGACAAGGTAGGCGCCGGGGACGTTGAGCGAAGACATGTACTGCATGAACTCGAGGCGGCGACGGATGACCTTGGCGTCGAACGAGTCAATGCGATGGCCATAAGCAACGGCAAAGACGATTCCGGACGTGAATCGGTCGACGAGCATTTCGTAGTCTGCAGGGCTTTCGATAAGCTGATGGCAGAGACGAGAGGCCTCGGCGGTCTGGATGGGCTTGTAGAGACGCAAAGCAGAAGGGTTCAGCGCCTGGTGGAGAAGTTTTCGACGAATAGTCCACTCTTTGCCATAGGGCTGAACGAGGATGGTGGACATCTTGTTGTATAGCTCGCCCATGGTGACGAATCGAGGTCGGGATGAGTATTTTGTGGATCGTTTCTCCATGAGCTCAGCCGCGATGACGGGGTCGGAGATGATGACTGTTGGTCGTCGTCCGATCCAGATGGTGAAGATAGGTCCGTACTTGTAGGACCATTCCTGGAAAGTGATCCATGGCTTGGATTGCGGGATGATCAACTTGTTGCCGATGAACGGGAGTGGGAAAGGTCCTGGGGGCATGCGCAGGACCCTGCGGAGATCGAGGAGGATAATGACTAGGGGGACGGCGACAATGGCGGCGACGACATGGAGGAAGGTGATTTCGATCATTATGGAAAGACTGCCTCTGCCTGGAGATCGTAGAGATCTAGTTTGGTGTATCTGATGAAGATCGCAGGGGGTGTGGAGGGCGATGGCGGTGGCAGTTCTATTATATCATGAGCTCCACGGACAAGTAATGTGGATAACTTAATAGGCTGGAACGGTGCAATGTGGGGCTCGTGCCAGGCCCCACAGTGAAATCCCAGCGCAGACGCGCTCGAAGGCGAAACCCTAAGAATACCCCGCCTGGCATCTCCGCAGGACTGCGGGGTGCGGCGCGGGTCAGTGCCGTGACCACCGCCGAATCCACTGTCTGTGGGGAAGATGACCGTCTGACGATGTGGGCTTTCAGCGCTGCGGGCAAATAAATAAGCTGCTCCTCTTCCTGGTCTGGAATAGCAACTCCCGCTCTTGTTTCACTCCTAGCTCGTCTGCAACACTCCCCACTCCCCCACCCACCATGACAGTCACAGATCAAGTCCACGTTCTCATCGTCGGCGCTGGCTTCGCTGGCCTCACCGCTGCTATCGAGTGCAAGCGCCACGGACACCAGGTCACCCTTCTCGAGTCGTTTCCCGAGGTGAAGGCTCTTGGTGACATCATCTCATTTGGCGCTAACGCCGGTCGCATCTTCAAGCGCTGGCCGGGCGTTGAGGAGCAATTCGACAAGATCTGCATTCAAAGCAAAGGTTTGCTGTTCAAGAACTACCTCGGCGAGGATCTCATTTACCAAGACTGGGACAAGGAGCCGTACTATGGCAAGAACTTCAACGGCCATCGCGGTGAGATGCACGAGATTATCTACCGCCATGCTATTGAGGTCGGAGTCGACATCAAGCTCGGCCACCGTGTCACAGATTACTTCGAGACCGACACCGAGGCTGGTGTTGTCGCCAACGGCGAGAGATTTAGCGCCGATGTTGTCCTTGCCGCTGATGGTGTCCGATCAAAGGGTCGCCAGATTGTTCTTGGATACGACGACAAGCCCAAGTCTTCCGGATATGCTATTTTCCGCACCTGGTTCCCCGCTGGTGAGCTCGCTACAAACCCGTTGACAAAGTTCATGTGCGAGAACGGTGACTACCACTGCGGCTGGCTTGGTCCCGATATTCATTTCCTCGCTGCTACCACCAAGGGAGGAAAGGATTTCAGCTGGGTCTGCACGCACAAGGACGAGGCCGACATTGAGGAGAGCTGGTCGACCCCTGGAAAACTTGAGGATGCGCGGAAGGTGCTTGAGGGATGGGAGCCTGCTGTTCAGGCTATCATTGATGCTACGCCGCCAGACAGCTTGGTTGACTGGAAGCTTGTCTACCGTGATCCGCTGCCGACCTGGGTCTCACCAAAGGCTCGCATTGCTTTGATTGGCGACGCCGCTCACCCTTTCCTTCCAACTTCGATCCAGGGAGCTAGTCAGGCTATGGAGGATGGTGCTACCATTGCCGTCACTCTTGAGCTTGCTGGAAAACAGAAGGCTCCCGAGGCCATTCGTGCATTCGAGGCCATCAGATACGGACGCGTTCGTGCTGCTCAGTTGACTGGTGAGTCTACCAGAGAGAAGTGGCACAAGGCTGACTTCGACAATCTGAAAAACACGCCCGAGAAGATCAAACTTCCTCGTGAGGAGTGGCTGCTAGGACATGATGCTGAGAAGCATGCTTACGAGGTGTACAATGAGACTATCGCTGCCTTGGAAGCAAAGGCATAAAGGAAACTGGTGTTTATATTTGGTTGTTCATAAGAAAGGGTTTTTTTCATTGTTGTCTTTATTATATAATACATATTCTCCATACTATACAATAAAATAATATAAGAGTGTACGAGTAGAATATCTTACTGGTGCATCAGCGCAGAGCGTGCCTGGACTGTAATTCAAAATGGGGTAGACTATACGCGTGACAGTAGAGTTAAAGTCAGGTGATTAAATTTTAATTGATATACCCTACACAAAACTGAGCGCGCTACGTATCAAATTTGATAAAACGGACAAATAAAATTAGACTATGATATGCGATAAAGACTTAAACAGAAAGGGAAGGCAAGGGAATTGTGTTCTGAGGGGTCGACTTGATCTTGCCGTAGGCGTCGCGAACAAGCAACTTGCGTGGCGGTCCATCCTCGCCAAAGAGGGGTGAGATCTTGCCGGCTTCCAACTCGGCCTTGACGACCTTGCTGACCTCATCCCAGCGGTTGATGGTGTCCTCCTCGGCATCGTATGTGTACAACCAGCGGTTCTTAATTTTGACATCATCCGGGTCAATCTCCTCTCCACCATCTAGGTCCTTCAAAGCGTTGTGCCAGCGGTTGCGAACATCCTCGCCAGAAAGCTGCGCCTGACGGACACGGTCAAATCGGAGACGCTCATAGACATGGGTAGCCAAAGGAACATTGCCAGGACCAGCAAGCTTAAGGCAAAGAGCCAAGACAGCTGAACTCTCGGTGGCCTGAGAGGCACCCTGAGCACTGGTAGGCAAGTGAGGGTGGCAGCTGTCACCGAGCAAGACGATCTTGCCGCTCTTGCTGACCCAGGTAGGAATAGGAGCTCTGTAGCAGATCTTCCAGTCAAGGCAGGAAGGAGTGACATTGACAGCAGAGGTAACAAGGGGATCCCAACCCTTGAGCAGCCTGCGCACGTCGTCCATGTCACCAGGCTGGAACCAACTCTCTTTGATATCAGTGTCATCCTTGTGAGTGAGAATCCAGTTGAACTCCTCTCCGTCGCGAAGAGTGTTCTGAACGAGATGCATGTCGGGTCCGATCCAGATGTTGAGGCAGTCGTGGTCCAAGATAGGCTGGCACTCGGGAATGTCTTTGAGGATGTCGCCCTTGAAGTATGCGCGGTAACAGGCGTAGCCAGAGCTCTTGGGAGCATCGGTAAAGCCCAAGACAAGCTCACGGGTCTTTGACTTGATACCGTCAGCGCCGACGATGACGTCTCCGTAGAAAGTACGGCCGTCGGTAAGAGTGACACTGGGGCTCTCCTCGTCAAAGCTCTCGACTTCGTGACCCATGTTGATTTCCATTCCCAGAGCCAAGACGCGGTTGATGAACGCTGTGTGGTAGTCACCACGGTGACCGATGTAGCCAGCCATGTCCTAGAACAAGTTAGAAAACAGGAAAGATAGTGGTTTGAGGATATTGTGAAGACTTACCATCAACGGCTGGACGGCAAGGATCTTGCCATCGTCCCAGCGTCGGATGTTCATGTTAGGGTTCTTATTTCCGATGGCAATGATCTCCTCGTAGATGCCCCAACGCTTGAGCAGCTTGAGAGCATTCTCTCCGAGGCCAAGGGAGTCGCCAAGGCGGAGGAAGTTCTTGATCTTCTCAAAGATGAGGACTTCGAATCCCTGGTGGTGCATTGCCATGGCGCAGGCAAGGCCACCGAGACCAGCACCGACGATGATAACGCGGCGCTTGCCAGACGAAGGGCGTTCGGGGAGGACCATTTTGCTGTGTGAGATAGTTGAGGAGGATTAATGATTTGAGAAGGATGGTATGAAGATAAGGAAAGAAGGGAAGAAGGATCGAGGGGACTTAAATATGACAACAGGCCCTCGACCAAAGCCGGGAGGGCAGCGATGTGTCTGTGAACCGCGTGTATTTTGGGTTTTGATCTTTCCCCGGCGCCGGAGATACTACAAAACCCAAATTGACTGACGGGCGTGGGGCACGAGGGACCTGGCTGGAGCCGCGCGGATACGTTCTGCCGGGGCGGATTAGCGCTTGGCGGAGAGGGCGGTAGGGTTTCTGTTTTGCACTGAAACGCAGCGTCAGCGGTGCTCGGTCAGCTCTCGACGCTCTCGGCCGGCTGATTGTCCCAGGCTCTGGACCCCGGTCTGCTGAGCGGAGGCTGCGCAGCGGTCTGAACGTGACCAGAAATGGTTTCCCCGCGGCCTTTCTCAGCCTCGCCGGTGTCCCTGAATCCCGGCAGCCGTGCAGCTTTAAGTTCAAGTCACGGCTCCCCCGCATTTTCTGCTAATCGCCTGTCAGGGTGCGGCTCGCCATTGTCAACAATTATCCTCCGCTGGAGGATGATCCCCCACCAATAAGTCGTCTCTGCCGTGCACTGTCTTCCCTGCAGTGGCGAAGTGATGGCTTCTCTCGCAAGTTTTAGTAAAAATAAGTAGAATTGTGAATAATAAAATATCAATTCCATTTACCCCGCGCGCACGATGCTGCTGGTCGCGCCTGCTGCCGCCAAATATAAGTTCGCTCTGTCATCAGCACTGTTGACGGTCGCCATAGCCGTCTCCATCTCTATCTCTATCTTCTTGTTTCAATATGGCCTTTGGTATTCTTGAAGACAACAAGTTGGCCCATGTGCCCGGGACATCGCTCCTTGACGACGGTGTCCTCAACAGCGAGGGCGTAAACATCTCAAACATCTCGGAAGAATCTGCTGCTCACTTGAAGCATGCCACTGGCAAAAACAGCCATATCATTCTCATTCCCCAGCCTTCTGACGATCCCAATGATCCTTTGGTGTGTAGCCTCTATTTTGAATCTGTTCTCTGACTGCGGCAGCTAACATCTACCCAGAACTGGTCCCTGCTCCGCAGAGACTGCCTGTTTGCGATCCACTCTCTCGGCTACGTCATCAACGTCGGTGTCTGTGGTCCTATTCTCTCCGCCGGAACCCTTGTTATTGCCAATGAACTCAACGTTACCATCACCGACGTTGCCTTCTTGACTGGCTACCAGCTCCTTGTCATCGGCGCCGCCGGTCCTTTCGTTTCTGCGCTTTCCAGAGTCTTTGGAAAGCGTCCCCAGTTCATTGCTGCATCTCTCTTCGGTCTAATTGGTACAATCATTTGCTGCACCGCAAACACATACAATGTTCTTCTGGCTGGCCGTATCGTTCAGGGTCTCGGAAACGTTGCTTACGAGAGTATCGTCATCTCCGTCATCGGTGATCTCTACTGTTTGCACGAACGTGGTCTCCGGCTCGCTGTCTTCAATTTCTGCTTTGGCGGTGTGAATCTTTTCACCTCTGTCATTGCCGGACCAATTACCACCCGACTAGGCTGGCGCTGGCTATTCTACATCGACGTCATCTTTGTTGCTATTCAGGCTATTCTGATGATCTTCTTCAGCACCGAGACAACTTATGTCCGAGACGCAAAGTTTGATATCGATGTCGCCGGCGAGGAACTATACGACGATATCGAAAAAATTGGCGCTGCACATGTCGAAAATCCGGATAAGCCTGAGAGCGAGCAAACTGAAAAAGCGCTCGACGCAACGACAATCCCACAGAAGAAGAACTATCTGCAGACGATCAAGCCTTACCATGGACGCGTATCTAACGAGAATATCTTGCGCCTTGTCGTGCGTCCATTTGCGGTTCTTTCTAACCCAAGTGTTATCTGGGTAATTCTACCTCCCCCAAAGTTCTTGTTTGACTTTTTGCTAACATTATTCTATCTAGATTGTCCTTGCGATGTCAATTCCTCTCGCTTGGATTGTGAACATCAACTATGCCATGGCTCAGCTCTATGGAGTCGAGCCATACAACATGGACGCCGAGCATCTCGGCTATCTCGCTGCAGGACCCTTCATCGGCGGTTTCTTAGCATCTCTCTTCTTCTTCTTTGTGAACGATCCAATGACTCTCTGGATCTCCCGGAAAAACAGAGGCGTGTTCGAGCCCGAATTCAAGCTACCGCTCGGAGTCGCCATCGGCTCCGCCTGTCTCACTATCGGCTGCTTTGGCTACGGTAACGCGTACCGCGACAAGCTCTCCGCCATCGTCGCCGCCGTCATGTTTGGCTTTGTGTGTGCCGGATCGACGTCCATGGCCATCACTGCGAGTAATTACATGATTGACGCTTACCGAGATCTATCGGTCGAGATTGTCATTGCTGCCATGTCTTTGAAAAATTTCCTGTTTTACGGCTTTTCATATTTCTTCAACAACTGGGTTGCTTCTGCCGGACCCGACGTTGTTTTTGACGTGCTCGGAGGAATCGCCCTGTTCACCTCGCTTATTTTGAGTATCCCGTTTTACATCTACGGCAAGAGGTACTTATCACTTAATTATATTGCATACGAGACTTTCATATACTAACAAATTATGTCTTTACAGAATCCGAAGTTGGTGGCATCGCGCTCAGCTGCTCAAGAGATTGAAGCTTGCTTGAGTGTTTTAATTCACTTCACTCCCAGTAACTGAGGGGTTCCGCGTGTCATATTATTTAGTGTTTATCTTTCCGTAGGCAATAAAAGGACCTTTATCATCTATCATACTTCATTCAATTCATTCATTCAACCCCACCTCTATACCCTCTATCTACTCTATAAATCTGCTATACAGCACATTGAAAAACATATTGTGATTACTAAAACCCCGACGAATAATTAAATGGCTTTGTCTCATCGAACGGATACGCAAGATCAGCGGTGAAATCCCAGAGGTCCGGCAACCCAGAAAACTCCTCGCCCATCAGATTTTTTATCGTTTCGGCAGCCTGCTCGGCTGAGAACCCCAGATTTTCAAACATCGCCCCTTGGCCGTAAGTCTGAGCACTTGCTCCTTCTGTGCCGATTGTCGCTTCGTTGGTGCTGCTTGCTAGCGGAGTGGTTGTGCTATAGTTTGTCTTGCCGTTTTCCGTAGTCGTGTTGGTTTTGTTGGTTTCCGAATTTTGCGTTGCAGCGCCGAAACCTGCTGAAGTAGCCTGACCCATGTTGAAGATGATCTGAAGAGTTCGTCGCGCTGACGGCCATACTGTTGCCATAGACTTTAAATCATTCGCACACTGAGTCAGCGATAGTTCAGAGAACAGCAACGGGAAATTTCGGCGATTGAAGATGTGCATGATCGTTGCCGTAAAGCAGTAGTAGTTCATGAACGGAGTCGACGGTCTCGAGCCGTGGTCTGAGCAGACCTTGTGTGCAATGTTTGAGATTGCGATCGCGGCCGAGGTAGCAACCAGGTGAGACGAGCTGATCTCCATTCCTTTAGTCGGTTTGACAAACGGACGATGCAGAAGAATCTTGCACGTCCAGAATTGAGCGTGCATAGATGCGACGGGGACAGAGATCTTCTTGTCTGGGTCACCCATTATCTTGAGTTGATCGGGAAGCTCATGCTCCCATTCAGATAGCCGGCGGTCCAGCACGGTCAGACGCTCTCCCTCGTCAGTATCGGGACATGATACGGCATAGAAGGCTTGGTGAATATCATTTTGAATTTGTGACAACTTGATGACGTTAAGAAAACACTTTGCTGATTCGTCGTCTACCGGCCACTCTTTTGGAAGCTCGGTGTCGAAATCGGACTTGTGGATCCCACACGGCCGTCCTTGCCAGGCAGAGATGTACTGGTCAGCAGTATAGACACCCCACCAGACTAGTCTGCGGATCTGCATCTCATCATCGCTCATGTTTGTAAACGGCAGGATAGTTTTCCAGACAGACGGGTCCCGATGCAGACCCAGATCCTGGGCCATTCGTACTGCGTTTCCAATGTAGGTCCAGCTTATCGAGCCGCCGGTTCCAAGTTCACGATAGCCCATGAGCAGAGATGCCATGCAGATGTTGATTGAGCTCTGCTTATGCTGTGCGAGCAGATACTCGGCTTTGGAAGCATATGGGTCGCCCGGGTCGCTGTAGCCTGTCTCTGGATCCGAATCATGCTCGACAAATCGAGCCGCAAGGGCGAATATAGAGAGTAAAAATACTTGGGGTATCCGTCGCTTGATTTGTTCGAGAGCGGATGTACCGGACCGTGCTAGACCAAGTCGATCGTTGGCGAGTTGCGAGAGGAAGAACGATTTGTGTATGACGGGGAAGCATGGATGGATGTTTGTCCAGTAGGCACTATAGACAGTTAGTAGCCGTCAAAGGCTATAAATATAACGAGGGGAGAGCTCACTCTAGTAGTTTGTCTTGCATTTCCAGATTCGGCAGTACACCACCCATTGTTTCATCAGCAGCCTTGACGATTTCTTCCTCGGTGCGGACAATCATCTTTTTGGTTCTCGGCCAGAATCCGGGATTCGGAAAGTGCCAGAATGGACTCGAGTAGATCTTTGAGAAGGTCATGAGGTGGAGACCGGAGGTAGGTCCATGATAGCGCATGGTCAGGTTCTCGTCGATTGATAGGTGGCCGACGATTGTCTTTTGATTTTCTGAAGGGGTAGATGCTAGATCAGGCGCAGAAGCAAACGTTGTTGTTGCGGTGGTGGTAGTTGAGGTAGCGACATTGGAAGTGGGGGGAGTGATGCTGTGGTTTGAGATGGATTCACTGGAGGTATCGTCGGTAGAGAGAGCGCGTTTTTTAGCCCGGTGGGGGGCGGGGACGCTCCCCCGGTCGCCTCTAAGCTCGCCCATGAGATCCTCGAGAGACGAGAGCCTGTTTTCGAGTGCGAGGGCGTAGCCCTTTGGTGGCCCCCGTTTTCTGACTTCACGGGCAAAGGTGCATGGGACGTTGAGGAAGTTGCAGTTCTCGCAGGAGGAGGACTCTGGCTTCAGGAGGCACTTTGACTTTGACTTTGAGCCTGATATGGAGGTGATAGATTGTTAATAAAAGTGGAACGAGACAGAGAGAGAGAGAGAGAGCACGATGGGGGATTTACAATTGTCACAGGCTCTGGGGACGCGGTCGCCGCTGGCCACGGATCTGCGACGGGCCCGTTGCTGGGAGTCGGCCGGGGCGGAAGTGCTGGCTGTCCACTTTTCCTGGTCTTCATCGGAATGCATTGTTTAGAAAGGATATTGCGGGGCCAGACAAGACACGGAGAAACTGAGTTGATTGCGAGAGAGAGAGAACAGGAGCGGAAGAGGGCGGAAGAGCAGCCTACTTTTTGCAGCGGCACAACATTTTCAGCCGGTCTGCGATGTTTCTGCTGCAGCAGCGAGGAAAGAGGAGCGTTTTCAGTGTCAATTTAGATTTGGTTTTGTGAGTCTTAAGCGGGGTTGTGGGCGGAAGCTTCTCTGGGCGCTGCGTCATGTGCCCTGGGACGCTTAGTCAGGGGCACTGGGCTGCTTCTCGACGCTTTCCACAGACCCCGGTGCCGTGCACAGCAAGTCGCTTACGTTGGCGTGCTGCTGCTGGTGATTAATTTCGATATTGACTACTTGTCTTTGTGCGGGGTCGCCTTCTGTTGCCCTGTTCTTCTGCGCTTTCCGCGGCCGGAAAAAGCCCACGAACAGGCACGTCTGGCGCCCGCAAAGCCAGCTGCTTTGTTTGTTGCTTGTGGGGTAGCAAGCACGGGACTCTGGGGAAATCTGGGGATGGCGCGCTGATGTCAGCAGCCCTAAACACCCAGCGCCGCGCCAAAGCTTGTCGGTCAATCCGTTGCCCCGCGGACGCTCCCCGCTTTCTGCTCTGCTCCCAAACCGGAACCGCGATCTCGACTGTTTATCATCAGTTTATTGCTTTTAAGTGTCTCTTTCCGCGCAGTCATGAGCTTCCTTCTCGTCCTTTTATATCCTCCTCCTCGCCCGTTCCTACCTCCATCACCTTCTCTACCATCCTCTCCCTCAACTGCAATCAATCATCAGCATCATCCACCATGGCTCCCTCTGTGCCTGCACCGCCCGTGATGGAGGAGTTCTACTCCGGAATTCCTTCAAACCTCCTCGACCGCGCCCATGCTGCGAAGGAGCGTCTCATGTCACAGAAGACCGCTCCCGACACCGTCGTCCGTGATGAAGAGCTCCCCGTGCTCCCGCCCTACACCACCAGAGACAAGTTCAACTCTGCTATGGCCGCTCTTTCCCGTATTTTGGGTGCCAGCAACGTCGAGATCAACGATAAGCCTCTTAAGGATGGCTGGTACATCGAGCACCCGTACGTTTCCTGATCTACTTTAACTATCTCCTCATCACTCTTCTAACCAACCCTTAGCAACACGCACGACGCCTACCATCTTCTCCCTGCTACCGACTCTGTCTCCTCCGCGGCCTGCTACCCTGGCTCTACCGAGGAGGTCTCCGCTGTCGTCAAGTGGGCCAACCAGTACGAGATCCCGATCTTCCCCATCTCCATCGGCCGCAACCTTGGCTACGGTGGTGCCGCCCCGCGTGTCCGTGGCAGTGTCGTCGTCGATCTCGGACGCCGCATGAACAAGGTTCTCAAGCTCGATGGCGAGAACTACTCCTGCCTTGTCGAGCCTGGTGTGACTTACTACAAGCTCTACGACGAGGTCAAGAAGTCTGGCCTGCCTATGTGGATCGACCCCCCAGACCTTGGCGGCGGCTCCGTCATCGGTAACACCGTCGACCGCGGTGTCGGTTACACCCTCTACGGTGACCACTTTGCCAACCACTGCGGTATGGAGGTCGTTCTGCCTACTGGTGAGGTCATCCGCACTGGTATGGGCGGTCTCCCTGGTCCCGACAACACCGACAGCCCAACCTGGCAGTCCTTCCAGTACGGTTTCGGCCCTTACTACGATGGAATCTTCACCCAGTCCAACTTTGGTATTGTCACCAAGCTCGGAATGTGGCTCATGCCCGAGACTGAGCACCAGACCTTCATGGTCACCTTCCCCCGTGACGACGACTTTGGTGACATTGTCGAAGTCATCCGCCCTCTGATGGTCAAGAAGATCCTTGGAAACGTGCCCCAGCTGCGTAACGTTATCCAGGAGCTCGCAGTTACTGGCAAGCCCCGATCTGCCTTCTGGAAGGGCACGGGCCGCATGCCCCGCGAGGTCATCCGCGAGCATGCCTCGAAGATGCCCTGCGGTGACTGCGCCTGGGTATTCTACGGAACCGTCTACGGTACCAAGGAGCAGATCGCAGACACTCTCAAGATCTGCAAGGTTGAGTTCGGAAAGATCCAGGGTGCTAAGTTTATCTTCCCCGAGGACGTTCCCCCCGATCACTACCTGCACTCCCGAGTCAGCGTCTGCTCGGGTGTGCCTGAGATTCGTGAGCTCGACTGGCTTAACTGGAAGCCCAACGCCGGTCACTTGTTCTTTGCTCCCATTTCTCCCACTAAGAAGGAGGATGCCCGTACAATTTACGAAATCGTGCTCAAGATTCACCAGAAGTACGGCTTTGACATGTTCCCGACCTACTGCATCAACACCCGTGAGATGCACTACATTGCCAACCTTGTCTACGATCGCAACGACGAGGACGAGAAGCAGCGAGCAATGGCCTGCATGCGCGAGATGATTGACGAGTGCGCCAAGGTCGGATACGGCGAGTACCGAACCCACATCTTGCTTGCTGACCAGGTCGCTCAGACTTACAGCTGGAACAACCAGGCTCTCATGAAGTTCCATGAGGTTCTGAAGGATACTTTGGACCCCAAGGGTATCTTGGCCCCTGGAAGATCTGGAATCTGGCCTGCCAAGTACCGTAACCAGGGATGGGAGCTCCTCGCTGATGATGACAGACAGACATCTAGCCCTGCTGATGTTAAGAAGATTACGGAGAAGTTGAGCGATTCGAAGCTGTAAATCGTCGAGGGAGAGAAAATCATGTTGAGAGATTCTATTATGCCGCTGTGGAGGGGCGCGGAATGCTGATGATTTTTACTTTTGTCTTGAGAATATAAAACAATAATAATATAAGTTAAACAAGCGGAAATTTCACAATAAATAATAACTCAGTGTTAAAGTGCCTTGATAAGCGAACATGCGGAATATCTATTAGTTTCTGATATCCTAACTACAATCAAGTAAAATAAGTGGATGCGGAAGCCTTTATTGCATACTTAAGGTTTCATTTGTGAGAAATTAAATAGTTTGTTTCATTTAGGTTTTGTAGGGTTTTTGCGAATCAAAGCCAGTCGCAACCCTGCTTTCGGCCCGGTCGGCTCGATATTCATTTCAAACCCTCTTTTATGCTTATGAAGAGAGAGCAGCAACAGTCCCGTCGTAGACCTCATAAGCATGTGTTTCAGCATCGTGACCCAAAAGCCATTCACCTCTCTGCAGCTTGATAGTATCTGGCTTCTCTTTCAAGTTTGCAAAGTCAGCCTTGTGCCATTTCTCTCTCGTGGACTCACCGGTCTTTTGAGCCATCCGCACACGCTCGTAGCGGATCTTCTCGTATGCCCGAATTGCCTCTGGGACCTTGCTTTTTCCGGACAACTCAAGGCATACAGCTAGAGTGGCACCGTCTTCCATAGCTTGACTTGCACCCTGGATGGACGTCGGTAGGAACGGGTGCGCAGCGTCGCCGATGAGCGCAATGCGGGCGTGGGGTGAAATCCAAGTCGGCAGAGGGTCGCGGTAGACTAGCTTCCAGTCAACAAGGGTCTCCGGAGGAGTGGCCTTGACGATCTCGATAACAGCGGGATCCCAGCCCTCGACGACTTTCAGGGCGTCCTCAAGCTTCCCTGGAGTTTGCCAGCTTTCCTCGATGTCGGCATCGTCCTGTTTCTGTCAATACAACTGTACGATATACAAACTCATAATTAATCAAACACACCTTATGAGTGCAGACCCAGCTGAAGTCTTGAGCACCCTTGATAGTGGCGGCAATGAAGTGAATGTCAGGGCCGAGCCATGCACAGTGGTTATCACCATTCTCGCACATGAACTTGGTCAGGGGGTTCTCAGCAAGCTTGTCGGACGGGAACCACGTGCGGAAAATAGCATAGCCAGAAGACTTTGGCTTATCGTCATAGCCCAAGACGATCTCTCTGCCCTTTGAGCGCACCCCGTCGGCGGCGAAAACCGCGTCGGCAGTAAACCGCTCGCCGTTTGCAATGACGCCGGCTTCAGAGTCGGTCTCAAAGTAGCCGGTCACGCGGTGGCCGAGCTTGATGTCAACGCCAACCTTTTGCGCGTATTCGTAGACGATCTCGTGTATTTCGCCACGGTGGCCGTTGAATGGTTTGCCAAAAGTTTCTTCAGGGGTCCATTCCTGGTAGTAAACTTCCTCGCCGAGGTAGGTCTTGAAGTGGATACCCTTTGTGTTGAGACAGATCTTGTCGAGCTTCTCCTCGACGCCCTCCCAGCGCTTGAAGATGCGCCCGGCGTTAGCGCCAAAGGAGATGATGTCTCCAAGAGCTTTGACCTCGGGGAAGGACTCGAGGAGGGTGACCTTGTGCCCGTGGCGGACGCACTCGATGGCTGCGGTCAAGCCCGCAAACCCCGCGCCGACGACGATAACAGAGACTCCGGTGGATGAACCTGCCACGAATGACATTTCTGCTGGATGAGATTATTTATTTTCTGTCTTTTTAATATTTTGTCTGATTCTTTGCTGCTTCCAGACAAGCGCAGAGGCTGCAAAGGCAGACGCGTAGGGCTACGGGCTACCTCAAATAAGCTCTCTCGGGGTCTCCGGTGGGCTGAGTGCGGGGAACCTGACCCAGCTGTCCGGTGCTACACTTCTCCCGGCATTCAACTCAAAATATGTACAACCCCTGCGGCTCGGGTCCACCGCTTCCCCGCACCAACCCGCGCTCTTCCCCGGACTGCGTAGGGTTTGCGTCAAACCTCCTCTTTCTGGGATGCCAGACTATAAAGCAATAATGGCCGGCCGGTTTTCTCAGAATGCAAGCTTGCTAAAAATCTCGTCTTGTTGTCTGTACATCACTTATAGATAGCAGTCATGCCTTTCGGAATCTTAGAAGACACCTTGCTCGAGGACATCCCGGGAACTGGTAAGTTACTTCCCATATATCTAGCAGCTGCTTCTGTCAAGCGGTGCTAACCTGTTATTTAGCCAACCTCAATGACCAGGCTGATGCCGCAGTTTTGTACGCACATCTTCCCCCGGGCATGTTGAAGCATGGCAAGGGCCGCCACTCCCATATCATTCTCGTGCCCCAGCCGTCTGATGATCCAAATGATCCTCTCAACGTATGTTGTCTCTACCTCATTTCCAGATACCTCAGCAGCTGACAGCTTTTTAATATTCTATTTAGTGGCCGCAATGGAAGAAGGACGGAATCCTCTTCATCGTCGGCATGTCTGCCGCTGTCGTCGGGGCCTTCGGCCCTATGATGTCTCCCGGTTTCGTTGAGATTGCTGCTGATCTCGACGTCTCTGTCAACAAACTCTCCCAGACCACGTCATGGCTCACACTCACTATCGGTCTCTCGCTCATCGTCCTCAACCCGCTCGCAAAAATGTACGGCAAGCGCCCAATGTACATCTTTGCTATCGCCGTTATGTTCGCCAGCAGTGTCTGGGGCGGAGCCTCGACGTCGTTCAACTCGCTTCTCGGCAGCCGTATCTTTTCCGGATTTGGAATGGCTCCGTATGAAGTTCTCGTGCAGTGTACTCTCAACGACATGTACTTTGTGCACGAGAAGGGAACCCGAGTAGCCGTCTGGAATTTGTTCTTGCTCTGTGGTATCTCTGGCGGTAGCTTGGTCAGTGGTTACATCATTGAAGATCTCACCTGGAAGTGGACTTTCTGGTTCTGTGCAATCATCTTTGGTGTGCTGATGTTTGCCGTCGTCTTCTTTGTACCCGAGACTACCTACAACCGCAAGGAGATTGACTACACGCTCGAGACGGAGTTGCAGGAGGAGAAGCTCCATGGCGAGCACATCGAGAAGGCCGACGAGTCTCGTCTCGAGGCCGAGGCTGTCCCTGTTGAGGAGCGCATGAAGCAGTACAAGAAGCACACTTACTGGCAGAGTCTGCGGGTCTACACTGGTAGATACTCCAAGGCGTCGCTGCCGCGCATTGCTGCTCGTACTCTTATCATCTTCTCTTACCCTGCTGTTCTGTGGGCGTTCCTGATGTACGGTACCACCGTCACCTGGATTGTCGCGTTCAGTGTCGTCAACGCTAGTATCTTCACTATCGAGCCTTACAACTTTAGCATCTCGCAGACTGGACTGATTGGTCTCTCTCCGTTGGTTCTCGTGATCATTGGTGAGGCTATCTCTGGTCCTCTGAACGATTATATCTGTTTGCATCTGGCAAAGAAAAACAAGGGAATCTACGAGTCCGAGTTCCGTCTTGTGCTGATCATCCCGGTCATGATCATCGGTGCTGCCGGATTCTTTGGCTTTGGAGCCGCTGTACATTATCAAACCCACTGGACTGGGCCTGTGTTGACCTACGGTCTTGCAAATATGTCGCTTTCGTTTGCGAGTGGATGCGTGTTTGGATACGTTATGGACTCGCATCCTAAGCTTTCCGAGGAAGCTTTTGTGGCCATCAACCTGCGCAACTTGCTAACCTTTGGCCTCACCTACTTTATCAACGACTGGATCTTGGACGACGGCGTTTTGTTTGTTTTCTGTATTCTCGGAATGCTTTTCCTTGTTGTGTGTCTCATGACCATCCCGTTGTGGATTTTCGGCAAGAAGGCTAGAAGTCTGATTGCGCGGAATAAGTGGTTGAATGAGTTTATGAGCGACGAGTAGTAGCATCACGGAGTTTAGTTTCATTGATTGGTTTAGGCTCGTTTGTTTGTTGTATTTGCTGGACACTTGAATATACAGTGATACAGGTTTATTTGTATTTCATATATAGTATCAAATTCATTTCTGTTAACTTATCTAAACACAGCTGACTATCTACGTGAAGCAGATAGGACATAATTTTATCAAGAAAAAATCTTTTTGCTGTTCGTTCCAGGATTCTAAAAAGTGGATCCGGTGGCAAAGTTGAGACACGAAGGCAAACCCTGGGTCTGTCTTCGGTCTCTGTAGGTTTTTGTGTGGGTCATCGGCGCGGTAGTTAATAGTGGGTCGCCGAAGATGAGAATATTATGTGCTGGGGTGCAATTGATAATAATTTGATGGAGGATGTGTTCAGGGTCTGTTTCTTGTAAGCTATCTATTTTGGATGTAGTTCGATGAGTGTAGGAGTCAGTCTGATAATTGTACTGGTGACTAGCTTGTGCAGAACTAGCGGCGCCAAAAGTGCTTTCGCTGTCAAGTAGCTCGTAAGCCGGAACTAAGCATATTCAAGCTCCATTCTGGACGTAACTGATGGCAGCGGGATATGATACTACAACATCAAAAGAATACGTACAAAGTAGCGAGATGCCTTGGATCAGTTGCAGTGCAGCTTTACTGCAATAATCGTAACTTAAGGTGCAGAACTACTGAAATGGCAGTGGCTAGAGTAGTCTATTTGTGTTTACTGCTGATTTGGGAATTGCCGAAAATGGATACTATGGGGTTGAGGAGGGTTGGCTTGGGGGTGCTTCTTGCCACTTCTTGTTCTGCGCATCGAGCTTCGATTAGTGGTTTGGTTTTCTGGTTTTAAAAACAGTAAATAGGTTATATCTTGATCTTTATATCAAATTTGTCTCTTGTTCACTAATGATCACACGGTCTATCAAGAAAATGCATAGATCTACGCTGCTGGATTACTCACTTCGTGCCCAACGCCAATCACAAAGTCATGGCCTCTATAAGATCCGAATCAAAAGCTAACGCATCGGAAGCTCCGACAAACGTGTTGGTAGCCGGTGCAGATCTAGATAATAGAGTGGCACGATGCCATCTATTCTAGGAGACCCGTTTATGAGCTGTTTAGGATTTACAAATGAGAGATCTTCGCGCGGTCGAGAGCTGCACCGTGATCAGCGTGAGTAAGAAGATGTCTGATATGATATGTATGAGCTACAGTCGGTTGAGTATTAGAGGTTTTGTAGATCGATAGAGGTCTAGAAAGAATATGGCTCGCTAGAAGAGATAAGGTGATAAAACAACAGTTAGCCGAATACGAGACTGCTTACAAGACTACAACTAGAGAGCAAGAGGGGAACGCTTGGTTGGGCAGAGTATCTAGCAGACGGCGGGTTTATAAAGGGAGATAATTTAATCTGATAGGTCTGAGGTGGTGATAGCAACAACAGGAGGTGTTCTATGCTGGCGAAAGAGCGGAAGTGATTGCTAGGTGTCTGCTGGCTTAGTATGATGATATTAATACCGCGTTTCGGGAGTGAGTATCTTATCGCACGTCTCTGATAGCTAGTGAGAGATGATCATTGTCAGACGATATGCTATATCTCATCGTCCCACTCGTACGTCGGACAAAGGTAATGAGAAAGATCTCATCTGTAGGCAGGGTCATTAATCTGATTTAGAATGCTGGGGTGGATTAGGTGGGGATGTAGACAGTTTTATGGCGTATAGAGGATAGAGATTTTTTGCCCTCGTAGGAGGTGGTGATTTTCACGAGCATGAGTCCCCGCACGAGGGCCAAGGTTCAAGAGCCGAGACACGAGGTGCAGCACATGTCGGTAGATACGGCAGTGAGGCCCATCACGCAAAATGCAGCAGCAGTGATCAAGATACAGACAGTATCAGTTGTATCTGCAGTTATACACCACAGGATAGCAAAGACAGAGGTAAGCTGGGTGGTAGGTGAGCAGGCCAAAGAGGAGCTTCTTGCACGTGTGGAGCCGAAAGAGTCGCGAAAGAGAAAATAAGAAAATAGAGTTTTTAAGGCCTATTGTGGTGTTCAATTTGGCGGGGCGCCGCACCGACAGAGCACGGCTGGCGGGCGTGGGCACCCAAGCACTGAGGTTATACGCTGACGATGCTTACGCTGACGATAGAGGCAGCGTAGACGCGGTGGTGCTGTTGATATGTTGTTGAATGTGAGGAGATGGTGTAGTGATACTCGCTGCGTATACTATGCACTGCACACTTGTGTCTCAATTGACAGACACCAAAGGCCTTCGTCAAAGAAACAAGGGCTCGAGACAGAATAAAAAATTACGTCATTTGGATCGGTCTGCAACGGGTCCCAAAACGGTGGGGATTTTTCGGAATTTCTAGATTCCGTGTCCGGGATCTGACTAAGAGACCTGGTGTTAGTAGTAGCAGTATAAGAGGCAACAAGGCAGCAAGGAGTATCGCTCTTCGGAGAACTGCAGCGTTGGTCGACGGGACGGTCAAGGTTCTTGGCTCTGCAAAGGTCACGCGCTCAGCGATACTTCTTGCTCTCTCTTTGTCCCCTTGTTGAGACTGTGATGATTATAACAAGACGATGACACGATCTCTTTACGATATTGGCAAGCGCAGTAGAGAAAGAACAAGGAGGGAAGAAGAAGAAGCAGGGAAAAAGAAAAGACGCCGTACAAAATTAAGTTTTCGCAGATGTGTTTACTTCTTGGGTTTAATATAATCTTGTGCAAGTCGCCCCGCACGACGCCACTGCGGGCAGACCGAGAAGACGATATCCACGTGAAGCAGAGTAGAAGAAGTAGCAGCTATAACATCCTGAGCAACTCCGCTGCAATAGCCCTTCGCAGACAAGAAACAAGAAACAAAGACAAGAACAGCGGGCAGCTGACGTACAAAACTCCAGTGATCGGCGCGGCGCACAAGGGGCGAGCCAACCCTAAGCCTATGCGGCTGCGACCCGAAGCAGAACGGAGCCGACGTAAACGAACAAGGACTCGACGGCGGAAGAGCACATGCTTTCAGGCTCTCAACCTTCTTCCTCCTCCTCCGCTGCTTTCGACCCCGCACTTGTCTCTCTGACTAAACAATGTCTTGTAGCCTTGTAGCCTTAAAGAACCTCTACCTCCTCCTCCTCCTCTTCCTCTTCTTCCCCCATCCCCATCCTCCTCCTAGCTCTCTCTATCCTCCCTTCCCCGACTTCTCATGGCAGAACCAAAATCTTCCGACCGTCGCGTCGAAAACATCGACTACGACGAGGGCGGCTCCAGCACCGCCCCTTCCGCCGTCCAAGGAAAAGAACGTGTAGACCTAATCGAAGGTCAGACCACCAGAGACACCTACGTCGCCGACAAGCCTTTCGTCTTCAGCAAGGAAATCCTCCTCACCTATGTCGTATGTCTTCTTTTCTCTTTCTTTTTCTCTACTGCATCTAACTCACTCTCACTCTCAGGCCGCCTGGTTCACCGTCTTTGGCTCGCTCTTCGCCGTCTACAGCTCCAGCTTCCTCCTCGCGGAAATTAACTACCGTCTCGGTCCCCAGAGCACCTACACCTTCATCCTCCTCGGCCAGTTCGGTCTCCTTGCCTTCGTCGCCCCCATCGCCGGGGCCCTCACCGATGTCTTCGGCTCGCGCTACCTCCTGCTCATCGGCAACTTTGGCGGTCTTCTCGGAACCGGTCTCGCCGCCGGCGCTCCCAACATGAACACCTGCATCGTCGGCGGTGTCGCTCTCGGCACCGGCGCTGGCATGCACATGATGGTCTATGCCGCGCTCTCTGAGATCGTCCCCGTTTCCTGGCGTCCTCTGGCCATCGGCTTGTTCCAGCTCTCCCTGCTCCCTGCCATTGGCTTTGCTCCCATCATCGGCCACTCGCTCACCCAGGAGTCATCCTGGCGCTTCTGCTTCTGGATCCCCTTCATCTTCTTCTGGATTTCCACCGTCCTGGTCTTTCTCTTCTATAACCCCATTCCCAAGCGCCCCTTCAGAGAGATGGGCATCGTCCGCTCGCTTCTCAAGTTTGACGTCTTGAGCGCGGCCGCCTACTTCTCTGGAATCTGCCTCTTCGGTCTGGGAGTCTCCATGGGTGGCCAGCAGTTTGCTTGGAACTCGGCCGTCACGCTCTGCCTTGTTCTCATCGGCTTCGGCCTCTTGATCCTTGTTGGCCTCTGGACCTTCCTCTTCAGCAAGCGCTTCACCTACCCGATGTTCTACGCCCCCATGTTTGCCGACTGGCGCGGCGTCAGCATGATCTTCTTGGCCATCTTCTTCCAGTCCATGTCCGACGTCTGCACCAACAACTACTGGTCGACCGCCACCCGAGGTATCTTCTCGCCCGACCTCATCAAGAACGGATGGTACAACACCGCTTACACGCTCCCAATGTGCATCGCCCCTCTCGTCGCCGGTGTCATCGCGCACTACGCCAAGTTCAGAAACCACCAGTTCTCGTTCTACGTCGCCTTACTCTGCGTCTGCAACTCGTGCCTGGCCACCATCACCACCACCTCGTCCACCTCGTCGACAGTCCTTGTTGCCCTTGTTGGCTCGTTCGCCTCTGCCTCGTTCTGGATCGGCACCTTCTTGGTGCAGGCCCATGTGGGATCTCGTCATATCGGCGTCGCCACGGGACTCATGTTCATGTCGAAGAACATTGGTGGTGCGGTCGGCTCGACCTTGTACAACTGGTTCCTTGTCAAGCGCGTCAACGCTGCCGTCTCTAACGTCATCCTGATCCCCATGACTCAGGCAGGCGTCAGCTTCATCGGCCTCGAGGAGACCATCGAGTCCCTTGTCTATGGCGACTACGAGAACGCCGGAGTGCTTGCTCTCACCCCCGCCCAGTTCGACGTCGGCATCCGATCCGTCGCGGCCGCGTACGCCCCTGCCTTCCAGTACATCTACAAGCTCAGCATTGCTTTCAGCGCCTTTGCTTTCTTGCTCTCTCTCCTTGTCCGCGATGTCGAGCACCCGCTTCCTCACCGCGTCGATGCCGCCCCTATCGCTGGCGGCTGGAGAGAGACCGTCACCTTCAACTGGAAGCGCATCATGGAGCGTGAGCGGGCTCGTCCTTCTACTACTTACAAGAACGAGAGCGGTCGGGATACGACCTATGTCTAAGCCTTGTTGCCTTGTTTCTTGTTTATGATTTTTGTATCCCTGTCGGTCCCACCAAAAGCATCATCGATCGATCAATACCCTCAAGCGTCGTGACTCGAGCAGCTTCCCTGCTTCCCCTCTTTCTTTTCCCTCTCTCTTTCGACTGTATATTTTTATCTCTTGTTTTATGGCTCCTTGTGCTGGCGTCTTGTCATGTTTGTGAACGATCCCATAGTGTGTGTGACCCTTGTGCTGTTTTGTGATTCTTTTCTTGGTTCTTTGTTTTTGGTTTTTGGTTTTTTATCTTGGTTTTTTTTGTGACATAGTCAGTCCTTGTATGTTTTGGCTCTTTTTTTGTCTCATTGTGATTTAACGTAATGGAAAACGTCGTGAAATGATTCCCGCTCCGCTTAAGATAGAAAATAAGCAAGTCTAGTATTAAGAAATGTCTTTGGTGCATGACGCGAGCTTGTCATGCTACAACCGAAACTATATTACATCCTTCCCCACACTCTTCATATCCAAAAAATTAAACATCAGATGCATACAACATATCTTAAACAACAAGACTTCCGCAATTACTACACACAAGTCTCGTCTCCTTCCTAACCGTGATTGACGCCTTGAAGTTCGTGCCCTGGCACTTTGGACACCGCAGCTCAGCCGACTCCTCGATATCGGACGCGCGGTCAAAGTCCTCGGTGTCGGCGTCGTCGGAGAAGAAAGTAGACGAGTTGCCCGTGTGCGAGACGGAGAGGCTGCGGTCGGCGTCGTCGTCCGAGTCGGAGGAGACCGGGAGCGAGAAGCTCTCGCGGTTGGAGGAGGTCGGGGTGCCGCGGGTGGAGGTGGTCGCGTCGCCAACGTGGAGAAGGTTTCTGTCGATGGAGTGGTTGAGATCGGCTTTGCTTCTCCGGGCGTCTTCGCGCGGCGGAGGAGGGGATGTCGACGAGAGCAGCGAGTTGCGTTTCTTGGACCGGCCGAGGCGCGACAGACTTCGACTGGCGCGGGATGACAGCGTGCCGGAGAGCATACTGCGGTGACGTTCGACGCTGCGCTCTGAGCCTCGCGAGGGAGAGTCGATCGAGATACGCGTGGACTGGCTTCGTCCGTTGCTGGAGCTGCCGCGGCCGGCGTAACTGCTGTGGTTCAGTGGCGAGGGGGTGTAGAGGCTGCCACCTTCCGGTCGACGGAGCGAGTGCGACGCGATCGAGTGTGCGGGACTGCTGGTTTTGCTCAACGTCGCGGCGAACGCCTCGTTTTCTTTACGCTTTTCGTAGGCGCAGTCCTGCCGGAAGACTTTGATCGTGCCGTACTGGTCTGCTGAGACGATGATGTTCCCGTTCGGATGGCGGCTGGCAGGGTTCGGGGGCGGGTATCGGCCAGTGCCTGTCGTCGCGTCGTCTTCCGGGAGCGAGAGCCGGACGGGTGGGGGGGTGCAGGTGTCGAAGATTGGGTCGCCTGATTGGCTTAGGAGTTCGATTGTGGTCGAGGGGGCGAATACGGCGTCTGTCACTACATGATTGTGTGCTGAAGTGCTGTTAGTAGGTTGCAGAGAAAGAAGAATAAAGAGGGAGTGGTACCTGTAAAGTATTCGTAGGGGTGTTTTGAGGGATTCTGCGTCTTGGCCTGCATATCCCAAATGTAAACGCGATCGTCCTCGCTACCACAAATCACATACCGTCCGTCCTCAGACGAAGTAGCCCGGATCTGCGAGCACAAGTTCTCGTTTCCCTTCAACTTCGCCTCGAGCGACTTATCGCGCATATTATACAACCGAATGCGCGAGTCGTTGGAAGTGATCAGCAACTTCGCGTCGGAGGAGACAGATTCTGGTGCTTTTTCGAGGTGGCTGATGCCGGTGATTTTGGAGCCCTTTGAGTTCTTGCCGTGCGAGGAACGGACGTGCATGCGCGTGTGGTAGCGCAGGCCGACTGTTTCGTAGAATAGACAGAGACCAGTAAAGCAGCCTGCGATAGCGGTCTGGCCATCGGACGAGAACGCGACGGCGGTGATGAGGTCGGGTAATTCGGCGCGGTAGACGACGGTTTTGTCCGGGATGCTCCAGAGTCTGAGTTCAGAATCAAGCGACCCGGAGAGGAAGAAGCGGTCGTCGGACGGGTGGAAGGCGATGGAAGTCACAAAATCTTCGTGTTGAAAGCAGCAGAGGCATTCTTGTCGCGAGACGTGCCACAGCCGAACAGTCTTGTCCATAGACGACGAGAGCAGGAAATCGTTCTTGCTCCACGACAGATCGAGCACGTCGCCGGCGTGGCCGGCAAACTCGCGCGTGGGGAACGGGAGGAATAAGGGTGCGTTGAGGCGCTGGTGCTGTTTTCTGTGATGCCGCCGGGATCGGTGGATGTTTGACCCTTCGTCCGCGGACGACGAATCTTCCTGTTCTTGCTCGCACTGCGCGCGCTCGGCAGGCGTCGAAATCACGCTCCATACGCGAACGATGCGGTCCTCGCCTCCAGCCGCTAGGTACTTTCCATTCTTTGAGAACTTGAGCGTCCAGATCGCGCCGCGCTTATGCTGCGGCAGCGCGAGCGAACTTGTCGATGCGTTTGCGACCGACGCGAGATTTGAATGCGAGCCCGAGTATGCCGGGTGCACTTCCATTTGGTCGGCGGGGAAATTCGGCGTCGCGGGGGTGTTGGGCATGGTCTGGCCTGGTTTGCGGTGGAGTTCCTGCGCGAGAAAGAGCCGGTCAAAGTCTTTGGTCATCTTCGCATGCGCGCGCACGCGGATGTACCGCGGAGGCTCGGGGGTTTGAGGCACGTAGTACTCTGTGGCTGTCGAGGAAAACAGCGTAGCATTGTTTCCCTCCGCTCGGCGTATAGACTGGTGCCGACCGCCCTGGTCGTCTTCGGATCCGGAGCCCGAGCCGGAGTCGGACGCGCTGTTCGAATTGCCGTGGGCTTTTCGGAAGCGCGAGAAGAACGAGACGTGTCGTTTATGCTGGCCTCGGGAGGAGGTCGAGAGGATCGATGGCAGCGAGGGAGGTTTGTCTTTGCTGTTTGTTTCTTGCCGCGACATGCGGCGGGAGACGTTCGACTGGGGTCGCGAGAGCGCAACGCGGTCGTCGCCGGGTGTGAAGGATGCCATACGTGAGAACTCGCTGACTACCCCGCCGGGTCCACCTCCACCACCATTACTGCTGCTGCCTCCGCCGACGTTGAGTTCGGTGCCGGTGCGCTTGAGAATGTGTCTGCTGAGCGGATCGGTCGAGGACGAGACCACGCTGCTATTTGGCTGGCTCGGCACGACTGACGGCGGTCGAGAGGACGTCGGAAGCGAAGGAAGCTCATCTTCTGAGGCGTCAAACCCGCCGGGGAGTTCTGTAGACAAGTCGATGGTTAGTATGCGAAAATGCGGATCAGAGCGCGTGAGGAGGATGCGCGCGGAGGATATAGGCGACAGGGGATGCGATACTGCTCTTTGCCGGCGCCGCGGGCTCTGCCGAGTCAAACAGCCCGAACGAGAGACTCGGAAGCGCGAAACGCATTGGTCCTTTCGACGGAGTATGAGATGGATATGCAGATTACGCGGATTTCTGGGGTGTTGGTGGAGTAAAATTCGCCGGGGATCTTCTTCACGACGAGTACGCGCGTTGCGAACCGTTGTTCCTCGGCAAAGATGAAGCTCCGGACGAACGTACCCAGAATAGTCGAGCGGCTCAGTCTCAGCCGCATCGGATTATCCTGGTGCTGCATCTACTGCCGTGCTTTTGTCTATCATTCGTTTTATCTGTTCTAATTATATCAATTGATCATCGTCGCATCCACGGAGGATTCTGCGATGGTGGCGGGAGGAAGTTCGGCGGAGGAGGAGGAGGAATGGTTGGTGCTGATGGAGGATGGTAGAACTGATGGTAGAACTGCTGGGGCGCTTCGTGATCGTCAGATCTGATATTGTCGACCCTCTCGTGGTCGTGGAAGCGGGATGCGAGTCGTGGACTGGGAGACCTGGACCTGCTACGACTTGCGCTGCGAGGGGTGTATGGAGAGTAAGATCGCGACCGTCTGCTGTCGTCGTCGTTGGCGTTGTAGGGCGACAGTCTGCCCCGTCGTCCTCTGGCCTGTCGTTCTTCGCGCGCGCGGGCAACGCGTTCACTCTCCTGTTTGATCTGGTCGTAAAACTTGATCGTCCAGCCTTCGTACATAAACTCATCCTCCTCGTCACCACCATCGCTCGCGTCCTCGTCCGGCTCGCGAAACCTGCCATTACTGCGCTCCAGCGCCCTATAGAACCGATCTACCGCGTCGAGCACGTGCTGTGGGAACTTCGTGCCGCTGGGATCGAGATGTAATTTTACCGGACCGATCTTGTCCGGCGGAATGATGGGATCGGAGGGGTTTACAAAGTCGAGCATCGTGGACGCGGGGAGATCGTAGTAGGCAGCTGCTTCGTCGCCAAGCACGGCAGGAACCGCCTCTGCTTCCGCGGTCTGCTGCGCGGAACTGTCGAGCGCGACGTCGCGATGGTGGCTGCTGATCGCAGTAGCAGAAGAAGAAGATGGAAGAAGTAGCTGCTCGATCGTGGCCTGGTCGATCAGACTCTCTGCGTAGAGAGAGTGGAAATACCCGGTCTCCTCCCAGAGCGCGACGAGATCCTCGACCGCGGCGCGCGTGCGGTGATAACTCCACGCGTGTGCGACCAGAAGCGGGAGGAATGGCATCATGCCGGATTTGAAAGTGTCGGAGGAGCGCGAGTGGTGCAGGATGTCGCTGAGGAGGTAGAGGATGTATGTGCGGGCGTGGCGGGTGCGGGTGGTGGGCGAGAGCGAGCAGAGGTATTTGCCGAGGGCAGTGATGCGCGCGGGTGTCGACGCCATGGTTTGGATAACTATCCTGCGCGCTCGCTACAAGACTGGATCAGCGGTGGCAATGAAATGAGAGAAGAAGAGGGTAGATACCTGAATATTACCGGGCGAGCATTGATATATCGCAGCGTCGATGGCGGAATGGAGCTCACGCAGGGCCTCGGGTCTGACTGGCGGTGTTGATAAGTTTGGCCGCAGCAGTTCAGCAGCCAGAGCAGCTCTTGCAACCGCTGACTTCGCGAGGGAGGATTTGTCCATCTGCGGTGAGCTGCTGAGGAAGATGCAGAGAGGTGGAAGTGCGAGTCGAGATGAGGAAGAAGGTTTTGTGGTTCAGGGGTCTCCTCCGCCCACAAACTGTCTCCTCGCTGTTCACTCTGCGAATACACAAACATCAAGCAATGTCGTCCTCAGGCTGGAATACAATTGAATCCGACGCTGTATGTCTTCTATCAATGCTTTATACCATCACTAAACAGCCATGCTAACCCCCCCCAGGGCGTCTTCACCGAACTGATCGAGACCCTCGGCGTCAAATCAGTCCAATTCGACGAACTCCTCTCGCTCGACCCTTCCTCGCTCTCGGCCCTCGCGCCCCTCTACGGCGTCATCTTCCTCTTCAAATGGACGCAGTCCGTGATTGCGCAGCAGGCGGACGGCAACGGCGGGAAGCCCGTCGATGGCGAGTACGCGCCGGACGCGGAGTACGAGATCTTCTTTGCCCGGCAGAAGATCCAGAACGCGTGCGCGACGCAGGCGATCCTGAGTGTGCTGATGAATCGGGGGGAGGTGAAGCTTGGGAGCGCGTTGAGTGAGTTTAAGGACTTTACGACCGGTTTTGATGGCGAGGTGTGCATCTTTTTCTTTGTGTTTTTGGCGGTCTATATGGATATGAAGACGGCTGACAGTATATAGCTCCGCGGAGAGACAATCTCCAACTCAGACCTGATCCGCACGACACACAACTCGTTCTCGCGCCCGACGCCGTTCGTAGACGAATCGCAGGCCCCGCGCGCAGCAACAGACGACGACGACCTCTACCACTTCATCGCGTACGTGCCCATCAACGGCACGCTCTACGAACTCGACGGACTACAGCCGTACCCGATCACGCACGGTGCCTGCTCGGACGACGAGTTTCCTGATAAGCTGACGGAGGTGCTGTATCGTCGTATTGGGAGGTACCCCGAGGGCGAGGTGCGATTTAATTTGCTGGCGGTGTGCGCGGATCGGCGGGAGTTGTTGGCGGAGGTGGGGGATGTCGAGGGATTGAGTCGGGAGAATGAGAAGCGGGAGGAGTGGAAGCGGGAGAATATTCTGCGGAGGGAGAATTTCGTCGGGTTGATTGCGGAGATGTTGAAGTATGTTGTTGCGGACACGGTGGAGAAGAAGGGAGAGGAGGGGTTTGAGGGTATTATCGATGAAGCAAAGAAGAAGAGCATGCAGAGGTACGAGGCCATGCAGCGACGGAGATAGAATAGTGAAAGTGTTTGTAAGTGGTCTGTGTTATGTACATAGTAATCTATTGTCCAGCCAATACCAAAACGAATCAAAACAAGATCAAGATCAACCAAGAGATAAAAGAAACAAAACTAAGCGTACACAGGTAGGATCAAAAGTCTCTTTTTAATCAAAATCTAGAAAGATTGGATATAAACGCCTCTAATCAAAACAAAATCTTCAACTTTTCTCCAGCTTATTCCGGATGGTCGGTGAGATGAGCGTGCTTACGGTCATTGCTGGCCATCATCTCGTTGATTGATTTCTGCACACCCAAATCACCACGCATCCGACGGTACTGTCTCGTACAGCTGTATCCGTTGCGGTCAAAGTTCTGGGTCGGGTTGCAGTAGCACTTGCCGGTTTCGTGGTACTCCTTGCGGGGTTCGGGGCAGTGCGTGAACGGGTGATGTCGGTATCCTACGTCGTAGAACCAGTGGATTTCCTCCTTATCAAGGAAGAGCGAGGCGGCGATCGAGTGCACGGGGGCATCACCCCAGCGCTCGTAGAAAAAGCCGCCGGTTTTGTCGAGGGTCTCAAAGAAATCAGTGTAAGCCTGTCCGCGCCAGAAATCGAGCGCGGCAATCTCGAAATTTGACCAGAAATGACAGAGATTGTAGCCTCCTTCGGTGAGGTTCTTGTTGTCGTCGACGATGAAGTCGAGCGCGTTGTTGGGATGGATGTAGTCTGGGTGCGCGCGCGAGAAGTTCTGCACGGTCGGCCAGAGGGATTCGATTGTGGAGGCGAATTCTTTGAGGTTGATGACGAAGCCGTATTTCTTTTTGTTTTCTCGCATGAATTTGAAGGGGTCTGGGGGTTAGTATGTGTGAACTGAAAGAGGAGACGAGAGAGGAGAGGATAAAGACTCACCATAGTCGATATCGCAGTAGAGCTGGGTATCGGGCTCGACGCGCCAGTAGTAGTCGTACTTTTGCATCATCTCGTGGCGGTAAAAGAACCCAGAGAAGAATCTGCACATGTGCCGATAGCTCTCGGAGCCACCGTAAATGATGTTTTTACTGGCCATCTCGCGCATGCACTCGCGCGCTTTCTGTCTGTCGACCCATTCGGGCATGGACCAGGCCTCGCGCGGGATCTGGGCGTAGGTAGGCACGCCGGAGACGAGGTTTTTGGTCATGCGGATAAAGTCAGCGGAGAACGGGCGGTCGTTGAGGAAGAGCCAGGGGTAGTGGTAGTTTTTGTTGAAACGGTCTTCGACGTAGCGGATGGAGGAGCGCGCGGAGTGGACTTCGGAGTTGCGGACGAGCATGACGAGGGTCGCGTTTTCGCGCTTGATGGTGATGTCAGAGCCGGCGGCGCCGTCGGGGAGTTCGAATTGGACGATGGAGTTTTCGTGCATGCGGATGGGGTCTGATGGTCTCTGGATGACGATGCGGTCGGCTTGGGGTTTGGAGACGGATCCGGAGTCTGATGAGGAGGAGGAGGAGGAGGAGGAGGAGGAGGAGGATGAGTCTGAGGAGGAGGAGGATTGGGAGAAGGGGGTGGTGTCTAGGCCGATGGAGGAGGATACTTTGTCGAGGTAGGGATGGTTGATGAGTTCGGCGCGGTGCATGGCGTGGAGGAGGGCGGTGATGGAGAAGGCGAGGGTCGCGAAGAGGAAGGCGACGGTGAGGCAGCGCGGGAGCCGCCTGACGGTGAGGAAGCGCATGGGGAGAGAGATAAGAGGGGATGAGGAGGAGGAGAAGGGGGAGATGGTGAAGATGAAGAGAAGAACAAGAGAAGAAGCAGAAGATATAGAGACAGAGAGAGAAGGAAGGGGGAGAGTACGTAAGTGTATTAAAAGTGGCAGCGGGCGGTGATGCGGTCTTTTTCAGAGTTTGGCGAGGCCGATGTCGAGGCGCAGAGGAGGAAGAGTGGGATTGGGGTGTGTGTATATGATAAGTGGTAATTAGTGTTGGTTGATACGTGTAGATTACTGTGTTATATCTATTGTATCTACTATTACTATATAAAGACAAAGCAAGAGAACCAAATACAAGAACTATTTCCTGTTGACGCGTAAGCAGCCAAAGCGACTAAACAAAACCGTCGTCGATCTCAAATTTATTTTTATTTTTATTTTGGATTTCCGGCGCTGCTCTTTCTGTTCTGTATTCCATTAACTACATATTCTATCTTATATCTGTATTCTACTATATGTTCTATTCTATATTCTATCTATATTCTACTATTACTATTATCACAACTATCTCCTACACACCTATCGTCTCCGCGCACGTGTCGCTTTTCCGCCACCGCCGGGACTCCGAGCCACGTCTCCTTTCCTCTCTCGCGATAATCTATTACTAACCGCGCTCTTCCTCGTCAGTGCTGCGGTTCCTTGACCGGTGCGCGAACTGAAACGCGTTCTGTCTGTGCTGGTGAAGTTCAATAAGTCTCTCAGGATCTCGGATCTGTCTACGTTGCTGCATCCAGCATAGCCCAACCACCCTGCAGGCTCCTCCTCCGCCTCCTCCGCCTCCTCCTCTTCACCATCTCTCTTCCGGCCAGAACCCCGAATATGTGACCACTCAGCCGGCCCGCACCGGTCCTCTTCCACCGCCCCGGGACGCTAATCCGCTTCCTCGTCCTCGCCGCGGCTGGACCGCGTCCCTGCGCCCAGGGTCTGATGCTTATTTCCAAACCCTACTGATTATCTCATCTCTGACTCATCTATTACGTCACGGCCTGCCCAATCCGGACATAATCGGCTGTCGATCCTCGGGGGGTTTTACTCTGACTCACAGTGTGTCTTTGGTCTATTCTCGCACAACTGCGTCACGTGGCGCCACTCCAGAATCCATCTTCGTCCATCGATAAGAGCCAGAACGTTCACGGGCCATCCACTGATTCATGCAGATTTCTCTATTTATCTGCTCTTTCTCTCTTCTACAAGCTTGCCTTATATCGTAACTACTACTGTCTACATTCACAAGTATGGCTGCCTCAGAATACGACGAAGAGAATGAAATTCGCGAAGCTGATGTCGCTAACCAGTCAGCAATGGCTTTCTGCGCCGATTTCCTCCTCATCCTTCTCACCGTCTTCTGTAAGTCCCCATCTTCATCTATCTCTACATCTACATCTACTCACTCATCTACCCAGTCCCCCCCGCTGGCGTCTTCATAATAGGAGGCTGCTCCGTCGACCTCCTCATCAACATCGCCCTCACCGCCCTCGGCTACTTCCCCGGCCACATCCACGCCTTCTATCTCGAATACATCTACATGAAGCGTCGTGATTCAGGCCTCATCGATGAGCCCGCCCCTGGTGTCTACTCTGACACCATCAACACCGGTGGTCGTAATGGCTACGGTGCCGTCATTGTCGAAGAGAGAGTATACACTACCGTTTAATATCAATACTACAATACTTTATCTGGAGTTGGTGGAGGGGATCTAATGTTCTTATTCAATATATCTTTAACTTCTCTTATATCTTGTATCTCTTATATAGCTGCTAGCAATCACAAACTCATCTTCTCCTTAAACAGCTTCTCAACCGCCGCAACAGCCTCCTCAATCTTCGAAACCTCAGTACCAACTCCCTGCACTGTAGGATCCTTGCCTCCCGCCTTGCCACCCACAACCTCTGCAACAACCTTGCCAACCTCCATCGCACTGAACCCTGCCTCCTTAGACACATACCCACCATGCGCAACCTTCGCATCCTCGTCCCCATCCCCCGTACTCGCAAACAAATACACCGCCTTGTCCGGCTGACTCTTGCGCACATACGCCATCGCCTCCGTGATCGCCTTCGGGTTCGCTCCAATCTCCGGGACCGCAGCCACAAGGTACGGCTTGCTCTCGCCCTTCTCCGCAGAAAAGTACTCACTCACGAGCTCAACCGCCTTCTTCGCCTCCGCCTTCTGCCGCGCCTTCGTCTCATCCGTCACCTTCTTCAAAATACTCGCATACCGCTCCTTCAACTCCGCCTTCTTCACAACAGAAATACTCAAGTTGTTCAGCGCAGGTCCAACCGTCTTCGCCTCCGCCTCCTTCGCAACTCCCGAGCTCATCCGCTCAAGCGCATCAAGTCTCGCAGACCACTCCTTCGCAATCCGCTGCACCTCATACGCCTCGTTACCCGTCACCGCGACAATCCGTCGCGTGCCCTTCGCAACCGCAGACTCCTCAACAATAATCATCTCCTTGATATCCGCAGTCGTCTTCACGTGCGTGCCGCCGCAAAACTCGACAGAGTACCCCATCCACGCCTCGTTCTTCGCGTCCGCAAGCAACTCCTCAACCGGAACTCCCACAGACACAACCCGCACCGGATCAGGATACGTCTCGCCAAACACCGCTCGCACACCCACAATCTCCCGCGCGAGCTTCAACGGAACTTCCTTCGCGTACACCGCAAGCCCGCGCTTGATCTCCTGCGTCGCAATGTCCTCCGTCTTGCTCACCTGCTCCGTCGTCATCGCGCTCCGGTGCGAAAAGTCAAACCGCAACCGGTCCGGCGCAACAAGCGAGCCCTTCTGGTCAACTCCGTCGCCAAGCGTCGCCCGCAGTGCAAAGTTAAGCACATGCGTTCCCGTGTGGTTGTTCCGGATCGGCCAGCGGCGCAGCTCGTCGTACTCCGCGCTCACTACATCTCCAACCTTCAGTCCGCCGTACGCGACATATCCCGTGTGCAGCACATATCCTCCGTAAAGCTGGACGTTCTCAACCTTGAACTCGGACTGGCCATCAATCACAATCCGTCCAGTGTCAAACGTCTGTCCACCTTGCTCGGCGTAAAAGTTCGTCTTGTCCAACAAGATTCCAATCCGGTCAGTCGCAGAGCTCAGGCTCTCGGTGTTTTCGATAAACTCCTTCCCGCTGAAAATAGCCAACACCTTCACACCTTCGAGCTCGCCACGGTCGTGCTTAAAATGGTCGTCCGTCTTTGCAACTCCCTTGCTCTCAAGAGCGGCAATGTCGTGAACGCCAAGAATAACTTCTTCCTTGCCATCCGTACCCTTCTTGCCTCCCTTACTCTTCTCCTTCGACTCCGCCTGAGCTGCCGCCACCTCCTCCTCGTCAATCGTAAACCCGTTCTCCTCCGCCATCAACCGCGTAAGATCAACCGGGAATCCATAGGTGTCGTACAACCGCCACACGCCCACTCCGTTGATATGGTTCGTGCCTTGCTCACGCGCCTGGCTCATCATCTTCTGGAAAAGATCCTCGCCCTTAGTCAACGCCTGTCTAAACGACAACTCTTCTTCGTCAAGAATCTCCTGCACGTCCTTAATACGGCTCTCCAGCTCGGGGAAAATGTCCCGCATCTGCTCAATCAACGTAGGAGCGAGGCGCGAAAAGAAATTGCCAATGTCGGTGTTGAACTTGTTTCGCACGTACCGCGCACCGCGACGCAAAATCCGACGAAGCACGTACCCGCGGCCATCAGAGTTGGGCACGCCACCATCCGAAAGAGCAAACGTCAGCGTTCGCACGTGGTCCGCGACAACTCTGTACGCGGTGTCGATTCCGTCGACGTCCTCGTCGCCAAACTTGCCGGTGTACGGATGGGCACCGGTAAGCTCCTGGATCTTGTCAAAGAGCGGCGTGAACAGATCGGTGTCGTAGTTCGAAAGCTTGTCCTGCAGGACAGAAACAAGACGCTCAAAGCCCATACCAGTATCGACGTGCTTGTTGGGTAACAAACGCAGGCTTCCGTCCGCCTCGCGATTAAACTGGATAAAGACGTTGTTCCAGACCTCGAGCACGTTCGGGTCGTCCATGTTCACCAAGTGAGCAGCGTTGCGGCCGCCGATTCGGTCGTAGTGGATCTCGGAGCAAGGGCCGCATGGACCCTGGTCGCCCATCTCCCAGAAGTTATCCTTGAGCGAACCGGGAAGGATGTGATCTTCGGGCAAGCCGATGTCTTTCCAGAGCTGCTTGGTTTCGTAGTCGGGCTCGAGACCGGTCTTTTCGTCACCGCCGAAATAAGTCGCGTAGAGACGGTTGGGGTCGATGCCGTAGATCTCGGTCAAAAGCTCCCATGACCAGGCAACTGCCTCTTTTTTGAAGTAGTCACCAAAGGACCAGTTGCCAAGCATCTCGAAGAATGTGTGGTGATAGCTCTGGGTGGTGTTAGTAGTTGTACTGCATACTATAAGATGAGAAACATACGTCCTTGCCAACATCCTCAAGATCTGACGAATGTTCATGTTAGCTATACTATAATACGAGATGCAATTGAGATATAGAAGTTCATACCGTTGTGCTTGCCACCAGCACGGATACACTATAATCGACAGAGGTTAGCCACGCCATTGAGCGACTGCTGATTGAAAGTACAAAAACACACCTTTTGCGAGTTAGCGGCACGCTTGAGCTTCGCAAAGTCGGACGAGGGATCGACTTTGCCGAGGAAGATAGACTTGTACTGGTTCATGCGTAGAGAGAAGTCAGTATCGCTGCAGCGCATGAGAAATAAGAGAGGAACACATATCAGCATTGGCAAAGAGCAAAGTCGGATCATCGTAGGGAATAACAGATGAGGAAGGGACGAAGGTGTGGTCGCGCTTCTTGATGAAGTAGTCGAGGAAGGTCTGGCGGACCTGTGGCGGGTAGAAAGAGGTTGTTAGATGGAGAATCGGACATAGCGCGAGCAGAGAGAAGAACGTACCTTCTGAGCGGGCCAGGCTTCGGGATTGAGAACCATTTTGCTGAGAGTAAAAGAAGAGGAAGAGAAAGAACGAGCAGGGAATTGAAGTCTTCTGATGAGGGAAGAAGAAGAATTGTTAGTCACAGGCTGCCATTTGTATTCTTTAAGGAGGCGGACAAGTGCAGCTAACTGCACCTGCACCCCTCCACACCCCATCTTCTCATAGAACAAACAACCGCTAACAAACAGCAAGACTCACAGCAAACTTGATGATGTCGATAGCGGAATTGTGCGAAAGCCGGCAGCGAGCATCCAGAGCCAAGTAGAAGTCGAGAGGAGGGCGGGAAAGGGCTGAGATAAATTTGTTTTTCTGCTTTGCATTTGGGGAACGCCGCAATTGGAGCGGGCTTTGTCTGCAAGTTATTCAAAAGTTGTAGCTGTAGTTACTGTCTTATAGATACAATTAAACTGTTTAAATCAATTGTATTAATGCTAGAAGAATATACAGTAAATTGTTCTACAAATAGTATCTTATGTAATGGATGTACAACATATTACATAACTCATTACTCACTTACATTCGGGTTAGGGCAAACTTCCATTTATTCTTCCCAGTTCGACGCGTCGAGGGCTCAAACAAGAACCTCATCGGCCGCCGACTGCCTTCTCGCTATGGTTCTGCGCCAGAACATGCCTATTTTGCTTTGATACACCCTTAAAGCACTCTGCACATACTGCTACTTACTATCTCTGCATGGTCTACTATGCTGGCTCACGGATCTTTGTATTCTGCAGAAAACCTCATGCCCACGCCGACATCGACCCCGCCGCCGGGGCTGCGAAAGCGGTCGCGGTCGCCAACCAGTGATTCCTCTGGATCGAGCGGGAGTCGGAGCGGCAAGTCGAAACGAAGACTTTTGGACTCTTTCACCAGGCTTACCATAGGTGTGTTATTTCTTTCTTTCCCAGGTCATGTTCTCGTTGGCTTCTAGTATGCTCTCTGCTTACACCGTCATAGATAATCAGCGTGATGCGGGGTACACACCTACACCCCCCGGCAAGAAGAAACAAGAGCCGATCCTGCACTACGACTACTGGGACATGTCCAAGCCGCCAACACCGTCGACCTCCACAGACGACCTGGCCGAGCGCATGGACACCTCGAACGCGCACACCGTCTTCATCTCGTCCTTATCGACCTCGTCCTCATCCGACGACGACGACGACGGACTCGATTCCGGCGCGCTCAACGGCGGCGGGCGGTACGTGCTTGCGCCGGACGTCGAGCGGAAAATAAGACAGCTTCCGTACTCGCTCTTGCGCAGGAAAGCAGCCGAGTCGGGGTGGGCGGGTCCCGTGCCTGCTCAGGTGCCGTTGAAGGAGCAGGAGACTGGGATGGTGCTCTATCGGCCCAAGGAGCAGGTTATCGCCGAGAGTATGGCGAAACATGTAAATACAAAACAGACTAGAAAGGATCGGCGGCTGCAGCAGCAGCAGGCTATCGACCCCGACGAGATGGCGGATTGGGGCGATGACGAGCGGGAGGATGGTGAGGACGCTGATGATGACGGGGCGGGGGGATTGATTGGCGAGGAGAATGATCTGATGGAGATAGACTGATTTGTTATCTCTGCGGTCATGGAGTTGATTGTATGGTGTGGTGTTGCAGGCGTTCATTTCATTTATAGCTTGAGATCTTTGTTTTAGTTGAGTTGTTTACTTGTTAATGTACGATATGCATTCTGATGCAACAGAATTATGACTGGACCTGTATCCTAAAACTACTTTTCGATTCACAGCAAACTCCACCAAAGAACTTCAACCAGCGTCCAAAGCTCGATCGTAATGTACACATCAAAAAATGTAATGTAATGTAACTGCTACTGCAGCTCTATCAGCCAGGGAAGACGAGAACTCTCGTCTCGAATTAATTCATAATATAATAGTCGTCCATCAACAATTTTGTAATCTGTTTTCTTTCTTTTCTTTCTTTCTTTCTCTATACCTGTCGGCTCGTGTTTAGCGTTTCTGACTGATTGGTTGATTGGTTTGGCGGCGGCGAAGATGGTGGGGGATAATAGGCCTCATGCTCTTGTTCTGCAGTCAACCGCTCATACTCCTCCGCCGTCGTCGCCTGAGCAGCTGCCGCAGAATCGATATTCGGCCTGACCTCGTTCTGGTCGTCGAACGGACTCTGAGGTACGTTGTGATCGCTGCTGCCGGAGGACTCCAACTCGCCCGGAGGAGGATACGGGTATGGCGGTGTCTGTTTTGCGTCCGCGGGCGCAACGTAGGTCGGTGGAGCAGGGTAGCGGGGGTCGTATGCGGGAGGAGGCGGGGCGAGGGCGTCAGTGCCGGCTGCGGGGGTGGAGAAGGTGTTCATTGCGTAAGAAGGGTAGACGTGGTATTCTTCGCGGTAGCGCACGCGTTCGGCTTCGCGGGCTTCTTGAGCCTGGTTCCAGCGAATTCTGTTTTGGACCATCCACTGTGGAGGTTAGCATGCTCGTTCTGTCAGTCGCTGGTTGGGATGTAGACTTACGGCATGGTAGCGGAGTGGCTGTTTTCCATTCTGGAGTCTATGACGAGCGTGGATGTATGCGAGTGCAAGGATGACTATCAGTCCAAACACAACGCCTCCGAAGATGCTGAGAAGAGTTAGACAAAGAGTTGGAGGAGTTTATAAAGAATATCTGATACATACGCCCATTTTGTCTGCCAGGCTGATGAGTCGTCGTACCTAGGTTGGTAGTGTCAGTAGGCACGAATAGCTGTATTTTATTATGCTGGTTGAGTCTTACCACCAGAACTGTCTCTTTTGTAATGAAGGCGATCGCAGAGATGGAAAGAGAAACATCGGATATGCTGGCTTGTCAAACTGAGTTGCTTGCTGTCCTGATCAAGTCCTCGTGCTGATTGATGCTGGGTATACCTCAAAGAACAAAGTAATAATAAAGAACAATGAACGTGTTTGAAACAATAGGTTGTATTCTGCAAGTTCTCCAGCTAAAACAGAGCAAATGGTGATGATATGCAGCGGAGGGGATGGCGGACTGGGGCTATGTTGACGATGATTACGATTAGAGCTGCGGCTTTTTCTGTAACGAAATCTAGATTGCGCCCGGTTTTGACTGCGCGTATTTCCCAATTATCTGTCTGTTTTTGGTTTATGTTTGTATTAATACTGTCAAGAGTAGTGTTTATATTTTTGTTTACATTTGATTTGTTTTTAAAGTCATATCTTCACTTTTCATCAAGGCTGAGGATACCTGCTATGTTGATATCTGCATTATCTGTGCGTATTTCTAATCAATATACACCTTCACTGATCTGTTTTAGCGCCTCATCTCGCTGTAGATATTTGACAACACAGGATATGGGTGGTTCATACGCTTGGTTATTATGTAATGACATTACAGAGACTACTGATGCTTGCAGTCAAGTGCGGTTTTTACTGAGAAAGGGCAAGAGTTGTGGATTGCTTTATTCATCCCAACTGGTGCTGCTAAGTAAGAGGAGTGAATGACCGTCAGGTCAGATTATAGTCGGTCATGATGTAATTGCCTCTTATGGAATACATATTGAATAATACTGAATACACATTGACTGATTTGTAATGAAGACCCCTTCTCTCAAAGTCTGATAGACGTAGAGTCAGATAGTCATCTGCAGCAGAATGCAGCACCTGACTGATGAGAGAAAGGCTTGTATGTGAATGACCAAACAAGCAAGCTATAAGGTCAGTAGATGAGGGTATGATCTGTGTGCATGCATCGAAAGTAGAGTGTCTTGGCCTTGCATGACTTTGATCGTTGACGAGCTGATAAGTCATGGTTCTGTATGAGGGTGTAGGTAAGGCGTTGAGACGGCTTCATTTCTTGAACAGTAGCGAAGGGTATTAGCATTTGACAGATAGACGGAAGGTTGAGGAGATGAGGGAAGGGTTGAAGAGAGGTCTCGACGGCTTAGTGCCGATATATAGGTTCGATATATAGCAGGGCGATCCGAGACCGTGGTAGCAACGGCAGCAGCCGAAGAATGCGCGAGGAAGAGAGATGGTATGTACATGCAGGATATAGGATATAGGATACAGACGAGAAGAAGACATAAGGCAGTCCAGATCGGAAGAGAAGACCTAGGCCAGACTGGGCCTTGATGAGTGAGAATGCATGACGAGATGGGGAGGGGAGAAGATCACGAAGAATGCGATGGCCGGGAATTAAAAACAGAAGACTGCTCCAGCCAGAGAAGCAGAGCAGAGCAGAGCAGAGCAGAGCAGCTCCGAGCAGCCGAGCAGGGCTGATGAGGAGACAATGAGAAAGCGTAAGTTATCAGATCAGATCCGAGGAGGCCAAGGAGAGGTGTCGAGGTATGTGCGGGACGCGTCGGAATGCCGCCGCATCACACCGGGTAGAGTAGATGAGAGGAGTGAAGATGTAGTGAACTGCGAGTAGAGTAGCAGAGGAGTAGAGTAGAAGATACTGATTATAACAAACAGCAATACACAGCATATTCCATCATCAAACAACACACTCTACAAACACACCAGAACAACAACAAGAGAAAGAGAAAAGCCCGCGGAGCAGGACGCGTTCGAGGCGCGTAAGGCACGCGTGACGGGGGTCAGTGCGGCGTGGCTCGCACAGCTGATTGGCCCGGCAACCGTCCCGGCCTCAAATTTGCACCCGCCGCGGTCTCGTCCTCGACCCGTCTGCCGCGTCTACTTAAACGCGCCCTTCCCGCTGTTTGTTTATGATATCTCTTCTACTATCACTATCTTCTTCCTCTTCTATATCCTATCAGCAATGAACACCACCGAAGTCACTCCCTCCACAAAGGTACTGCTCCTGTAAAACTTTTCGCCTCCTCTTCTCTTCTCTTACTGACCCCCCAGACCGCCGCCGTCCTCTCGGACCTCTCCCTCGAGTCCGCAAAGAAGGACCTCTCTGCCAAGTTCGCTCAAGCAAAGGAGTCCTCTCCCTCCCCCGATGCCACTCCCAAAGACGACCTAGACTCCTTCGCCAGCGCCCTCAAGGAGCGCAGCGCTCTCAAGGCCCTCGAGGCAAAAGAGCCCCTCCTCGTCGAGAACAAGAACCGCTTCGTTCTCTTCCCCATCAAGTACCACGAGATCTGGCAGATGTACAAAAAAGCCGAGGCCTCCTTCTGGGTCGCCGAGGAAATCGATCTCGGCAAGGACATGCACGACTGGGAGAACCGGTTGAACGACGACGAGCGCTACTTCATCTCCCACGTCCTCGCCTTCTTCGCCGCCTCCGACGGCATCGTCAACGAGAACCTCGTCGAGCGCTTCTCCAACGAGGTCCAGATCCCCGAGGCCCGCTGCTTCTACGGCTTCCAGATTATGATTGAAAACATCCACTCCGAGACCTACTCCCTGCTCATCGACACCTACATCAAGGACCCCGCCGAGCGTGCCTACCTCTTCGGCGCTATCGAGACCATCCCTTGCATCAAGAGGAAGGCCGACTGGGCTCTCCGATGGATCGCCGACAAGGACTCTGTCTTCTCCGAGCGCCTCGTCGCTTTCGCCGCCGTCGAGGGTATCTTCTTCTCCGGCTCCTTCGCCTCCATCTTCTGGCTCAAGAAGCGTGGTCTCATGCCCGGCTTGACCTTCTCCAACGAGCTCATCTCTCGTGACGAGGGCCTCCACACCGACTTTGCCTGCGTTCTCTTTGCCCATCTCCAGAACCGCCCGTCCAAGAACACGGTCGAGAAGATCATCACCGAGGCCGTCATCATCGAGCAGGAGTTCCTCACCGAGGCCCTTCCCTGCGCTCTCCTCGGCATGAACGCCGACCTCATGAAGCAGTACATCGAGTTTGTCGCCGACCGTCTCCTTGTCGCTCTCGGCAACAAGAAGGTCTACAACGCCACCAACCCGTTCGACTTTATGGAGAACATCTCGCTCGCGGGCAAGACCAACTTCTTTGAGAAGCGTGTCTCTGACTACCAAAAGGCTGGTGTCATGGCCGGCACCAACAAGACCGAGAAGACCGATGCTTTTGCTTTCGACGAGGAGTTCTAAGCCCTCTCTGCAGGAGAAATCATCTTTGCTTTTTAATACTTGGGTTTTATGGACGGGATAATATTGCACTATTTTAAACTATAGCGGGTCGGTGTTCTCTGTACTTTTAGTTTCTTTATATTTTTTTTCTTGTTTTACTCTAGAGAGAATCAGAGTTGTATACTATTGTTTTTTGCCACTGGTTATATGCATTGTTTTCTCATCTCATCTCTATCATCTCCACTCATATAGCTAAGAGAACAAATGTGACTGAATAAGTAGTGTGTGTAGTGTGTATTGTAGTCATCCCCGACTGAAATAAGCTGTGGATCGAGCTCGTCGATGGCGTTCATCTTCTCACACCCTCCAGCTCCATGTTCGCTGTTCATGTCGATCTCTGAAAAAACCGACGATAAAGCAGAAAATGGATAAAAGTACACATGGAGATACCCGAACTCCTGGCGTAGTCCGAGGCCTTGTTCTGGTGTTTATTGCACCCCATTGCCCCACCGTATTGTCTGTACTCTTGCACCCAACACTATTTCCAGGGCAAGGGTGTCCAACCACGGGGCGAGAGAGGTCCTCACTAAGGGCTGGGCTCACTTTAGATAAACCCCTACAACTTCATCATCTTCTAATCCCCATTCTCCTCCCTCTTCTCCCTATTCCTCTCTCGTTCCTACATTCAGCATGTGCTGAGCCAATTGCTTGTCTGTCTTTCTTATCTACAGTGTATCTGCATCGGCACTTCACAACCCTTGTTGATTTCACCAACCGCACACCAACGACCTGTCCGTAATGGCATCGACCTCCGACTTCCTCCTGCAGAGCCCGCCCCTGCGGCCCTTTGATCTGCGATTCCACACCCGTCATGAGTCTCCTGCCTTCTCCATGCGGTCGTCGTCGCCCTCCGGATCGGTCGGCCAGTCCTCACGGATGTCGTCGGTATCAATCAATTTCGACGATGTCTTTGACTCGCTCCCGTCCGACGACCAGAACAGACTGCCGTGGGACGTCGTTCGCTGGACCAAGCTCCGCAAGCTGTCCTCCCAGGTCTACTCTGAAGCCGGCAAGAATCAGTTCGGGCCCCCGACCTGCGTCGCCGTCGCTAGTACCGTCGCTATAGGAACCGCAAAGGGACTCGTGCTCATGTTTGATTATAATCAGAACCTGCTCTGCGCTCTGGGATCAAACATCAACAGTACGCCATTGATCTCTTCCACACATGCTCATCTTGCTTACTGACCACTCTCTTCTCTTTAGTGTCGGCTGCCGGAGCAGTAACCTCGGTCGCTTTCTCCCACGATCACACCTACATCGCCTCTGGCCACGAGCACGGCCATATCTACGTCTGGCACATCAAACGACCACTAGCAGCCCGCGTCCACATCCTACCTTTCGATCCTCAGAAACCTGACAACGGCAGACGCGACGGCCACGTTTACAACGCCAAGATCCTGCACATCGGATTCATGGGCAAGCGGCACTCCGTCTTCACCTCGGCAGACGACAAGGGCATGGCTTTCTTGCATGTCTCCACGCAGCAGATTGTAGGAAAGCAGATCAAAACGTCGCGGCTGGTGGGCAGATACCCTTCACAAGTCGCAAAGAGTGAGACAGCCGATCCGGCCCAGCGCCAGAAGAAAGCTACCTCGGTGCTCGCGTTCGCGCCAATGCCCCTCGGATCTTCCACCCATCCACTCGAATCACGGGGGCTCGTGGCCCTCATGACACCGCATATCCTCGTCATCATCTCAACCAGCCCGTATCCGCAAACTCGATTCAAAGTCTCAAGGCCAAAGTCGATCGCCGACACAATGGGACTTAGTGGGTGTATGGATTGGTTTCCGGCCGTGTCGGGCCAGAACGCGGCAAAGGGGAAAAAGGGCAGAGCGAAGCAGCAGCCGACGACGTTTGGCGCGCATAATCTTAATCCCCGGCTGGCGTACTGCTGGTCGAACGTCGTCACTATACTTGAAGTCTCGGTTGCTGGAAGCGAGCGCTCGCAGCAGCAGCAGATGGGAGGCGAAGAGAGTATAAAAGAGGGTGTTCAGAGTTCATCGGGTAGGAGTTCAAATGGAAACGGATCTACATCAAGTATGGAGTTTATGCCGATTAAGCAATTTGTGGCCGACGAAGCTATTGTCGCGCTTCGGTGGTTGAACTCACAGGTATGCCAGGACTTAGTAGCTATCCATGAAGCTCAAAATTCTAACAAAAAACATCAGATCATCGTCCTCGTCACAATCACACAGCGTCTCTTGATTCTCAATGAAGTAACCATGCACGTCACAGACATAGTGGACCTGGTCCCGCGACAAATCATGCGCCATGACTACTTTTCTTCTCAGCTGAACGAGCTAGTTATCAGAGGTGGCCATGGAGGAGAGCATTACGCCACTATTCCTGATGCCTTCTTTAACAGTTTTAGGACGTTCAAGGGCAGAGTATTCTTATTGGTGAGTCACCTCCTTACTCTTACCATTGAAGCATTGCTAATCAACGACAGGGCTCCTATGAGTTTGCTGTTGGTCATCTCTCAAGTTGGGCCGAACGCCTAGACTCATTGATTGAATCCGAAAAGTTCGCAGAAGGCATCCGACTCTCGACAAAGTACTACAATGGCGAAGCAGACCAGGTCACCATCGGCCTTCCCGAAGACGAGACCGCTCGACACGCCGCCGTCTACGACCGTCTTGTCGAAAGCGTTTTGACCGGCCTGCGATTCATCCTGGTAAACAGCGGAAGCAGCACGCCGAGCACGCCTACCACGATCAAGGACGGCGGCACGGCCTCGAGCGTGAACGAGGAGCGGCAGCAGGAAGAAGCGGATGCGCAGTATCGACAGATTGTGAATATTGCAGAGTCGAGCTTTGATGCGCTGTACGCGGCCGATGCGCTCGACGTACTCTTTGAGTCTGTGTATGAGTACTTTGAGAACGCAAACCTGCGAGGGATATATTTCGAGACCCTCGAGCCTTACATTCTCACCGAGAAGATCACGATCCTGCCACCGATGATTGTCAAGGAGATGATCAACATCTATGCGTCGCTGGCGCTGAATGATCGGCTGGAGGAGATCATCTGCCATCTTGATACGCGGTCGCTTGACATCGACCAGGTCACGATGCTGTGCCGGTCGTACGAGCTCTATGATGCCTTGATCTATGTCTGGAACCAGGCGCTCGCGGATTACATCTCCCCGATGGCGGACTTTGTTGCCTTGATCGGGCGATACAACGATGCGGTCGCGGCGATCGCAAACAACGACGGCGAGCAGGAAGAGGTGACGGAGGAAGGCGAGGTCACGAGTTTAGAAGACAAGCTTGATCCGATCGAGATCCTGCGACGGAATATCTCTAAAGTCTACTCGTACCTGTCGTATATCTTCACCGGCAGGGTGTACCCCACCGGACAGTACATCGAGAGCATAGAAGCCGAGGACGCTAAGGCTTCGCTTTACTACTTTTTATTCTTGGGATCGACAATCACCTGGCCGCGCGAGAACGGGACCGAGATCGTGGTGAGCGATAGCAGCGATGAGAAGAAAGGGTCGACTGCGTTTCCGTATCTCCGCCTGCTGCTAAAGTACGACGCGCCTGCATTCGTCGCCGTCATGAACGAGGCCTTTGAAGATACTTTTCTCAACGGCGAAGACGACGACGACGAGTTTGCGGACGAGGAGTACGAGAAGCATCGGATGGAGCTGACGGACGATGTTATTTTCGGCCGCGCGCTGACGAGACAGTATATCGTCAACATCTTGCTCGAGATTCTGTCTGGGTCCGAGTTTAGCCCGAAGGAGACAATCTATCTGGACATGTTTATCGCGCGCACGACGGCAAAGTATCCTCAGTTTATCAAGCTCTCTGAGTCGATGCTGAAGGAGGTCATGCTCCGGCTGTGTTCTCCGCCTTCTCCTGAAATCGCGGATGACTGCCAGCTGAGCGTCGAGTACCTGCTGTCGGGATACAAGCCCGACGAAGGAGTAGACGAGCTGGTGCGGATGTTTGTGAAGGCGCGGTACTACCGTGTTCTGCGCTGGCTGTTCCGCATCACGAAGCAGTACGGCCGTCTCGTGTCTGTCTTTTTCGAGGACTCTGAGCGCCGGGACGCGAGCGACGAGGTGTTTGGCACGATCGAGAATTGCCTCAATTCAAGATCCGATCTGACTGATGAGCAACGGCGTGAAGTGCGGGCGGCGATCGCGACGAATTACGCGAACCTGGTGCATACGGACGCCACGCGCGCGAGCGAGATCATCGAGCAATACATGCCTGAGCTGCATGGTCAGCTTTATGAGAAGCTTCAGGATAGACGAGATCTGATGTTTCGGTACCTGAAGGCGCTGTTTGCGCCCGAGCTGAAGGCGATCAAGGAAGGCGTGCCGCTGGCGAGTCGACGGCACCGGGCGAAATGGAACACGCAGCAGGCGCGGGAGACGTATATTTCGTTGCTGTGCGAGTTTGAGAAGAATAAAGTGATCAAGTTTCTGCGGTACTTGCAGAAAGGAGACGTGCGGTTGTCGAAAGTGTTGTCGGCGCTCGAGTCGGCGGGGGTGATTGACGGTGAGATCTTTTTGCTGAGAAGCGAGGGACAGTACGCGGAGAGTATCCGGAGGCTTGTTGCGCATCTGGATTACTTGAAGAATAATATCTTGGCGCTGTATCCTGATGTCGCGAGAGGGCGTAGCCGGAGTCGCGCTCGCAGCCAGTGGGTCCATGTGGATGAGAAGAAGCTCGCAGAGGTTGAGCGTGCGTTGCAGCATTACGTTATTCTCGGCACGAGACTGTGCAGCGAGCGCGCGAAGAAGCCGATTGCTGCTGCCCCTCCTCCTCGAGCGAGGCTACTTCTACCCACGGCGGACCAAAGTTGACAGAGACGGAGGAGATCTGGCTGGATCTGATCAACGCCGTGGTGGCGCTGACAAGGGATGTGTCGACGGCGCTGTTCCCGGACATTTCAGTATTTGAAAAGATGAGCCACTCATCGTCGTACGATTCTGCTACAAAGACGATTCTTTTCCTCCGTCGACTGGTGCAGGATGTATTTTCTGCGCTGCTGGCGGCGACGTCGTCTGCTGCCTCGTCGAAGGGCCTTGGGTCGATGCTGAGCGGCGGGAGTGCGACCAGCACAGCGACGTCGTTCCTGCGAATTCTCGAGGCGTTTCTCGCGCGCACGGCGGCGGCCTCGCCTTCCGTGGTGGACCTGCGGAACGTGCTGGCGAACATCTTCGAGGCGTACATCTACGAGCGGCAGCTGCTTTCGCTGACGAACCGGCTGCTGTCGAAGGATTTGATGGTGCATGTGTCGAGCGTGTACAAGCTGCGGCAGGAAGGGTGGCGGGTTAGTAGTCCTGCGTGCGAGATCTGCGGGAAACGGTGCTGGGGCGCGAGCGTGGTTGAGAACGAGGCGGTGTTTGAGGCGTGGGATCGCAAGCTGGAGGACGATAAGCGGAAGCGGAAGGTGCGGTTTAGGTTGCCGGCGGGGAGTAGGAGTGAGGAGGAGTATTATGGACATGCGTCGCCGGGCGGGGAAAGTGACACGGAAGAGGACGAGAGGAGAGGACGCGGGGGGCAAGCTAGGTCGCAGCACCATCAGCACCATCATCATAACGCGGGTTCGCGACACGCCAGCACGGGGGATTCGCGGAGCGGGAACCAGAGCGTGTCGAGTTCGTACTCGAAGAGCGCGGAGCAAGGACGCTGGCATCATCATTCCGGGGCGGGGTTTGTGGGAGAGCAGCAGTACGCCGGGGAGGACGAGAGCGAGAGTAGTTCGCCGCGGGGAGGTCGAGGCACGGGCAAGACAGTTCTGGTGCGGGTGGGCGACGCTGTGCCGTCTGATTCACCTGCAGCAGCGCTGGGCGAGGGTCTTGATCTCGATAACCTGACGCTGACGCCGGAGCAGTATCAGCCGCCGACGATGATGCAGCGGGCGGGGAAGAGTGCGGGGGGGACGAAGCAGCAGGCGGAGATCGACTCGCTGGTGATGTTTAAGTGCAAGCATATCTATCACAAGAAGTGTCTTGAGCGGTTGCTGGAGTTGAACAAGAACGGGGACGGAGGGGGGTGGATGGCGGCGCGGAAGGTTGGGGAGGGGTATCGGTGTATTATTTGCGAGTAGTTAGCATTGTTGAGCATGTACATTCTATTACTCTGTTACTCTATTACTCTATTTGAGCATTGTGTTAAGCAAATAGATTTTCTATGAGCACTGTAGCTGAATCATATACATACTGCTCTGTTGATGGGCATTGTGTTGAGCATACATATTACTCTATTACTCTGTTTGAGCATTGCATATGCAAGAGTATATAAAAGTGATAAAAACGCTTACAAAGGCAGATTAAGATATAAGTATTTGACCAACCCAACTCCAAAGCAAGCATACACACAGGAGGACATGTACATATTAGAATACACATACACACACGCAGGCATATACACAAGTAGGCGACGTGAGATGTATTTTGTGGCAGTAGAGGAAGAAGAAGAAGACGAAGAAGAAGAAGAAGAAAAAGTAGGAAAGAGTGTGGAGAAGTTAAGATTGTGAAGAGTAGTGTTTTTGCTTTTCCCAAAAATTAATAGCAATACAAGTAAAGAATAAAGATACAATAGAAAGAGGAAAGAACAGAATAGCAAAAGACCGAGACACCCCATACAAGTTTAATCTTTTTGTGGTCGTTAGACGTCCGTAAGAACGTGAAAGGTAGAAAGAGAGGGAGAGGAGAGAGGTGGTGAGACGAGGAGAGAAAAGAGGTGGGGTTAAGTATAGACTTAGTCTTTCTTGCGACCGAAAAGACCACGCTTCTTTTTCTTCTTATCCTTCGGGTCGGGAAGAGGAGCGTCGTAAGTAGGATCACCGGCACCGGTCGAACCAAGCTGGATGGGAGTGCGCGAGGAAGGAGTGGCGGGAGGCTGGGGGATGGGGGTGCCGTACTCGTCGTAGACTACGCCTTGGGAGTGGGAGTCGTCGATGGGAGCGGAGCCGTAGGGCGAGTATGTTGAGACGTTGTGGCGGCCTTCCCAGGGGAGTCTGTCGCGGAAGATCTGCTCTTTCACTGGGGGTGTGTTAGAGAAATAGATGAAAAGAGGAGAGAAGAGAGGAAGAAGGGAAGAAAGGTGACATACAGCGCTTGTCTCCGGTGGCTGCGTACTCAAAGCCACGGATGGTGTCGAGAGGTCTCTCAGAGCGGTGACGGGTGGGGTTAGAACGATCGGGGTCTTCGATGACGGAGCCAAACATGTCGCGGACGTGGAGTTCGGGGGAGACGGTGGTTGCGCCCTGGTGGTTTGAGGACATCTGGAAGGGCTGTTCTTCATTGAGGGCGGAGAGGATGGGGTCGGCGATGTTTGCGGTCCGCTGCTTCATGCGCTCGCGCTCTTCGGCGGAGATTTTCGTGTCCTCGCCCTTTTTGGTGGACGAGCGACGGAGGAAGGCAGGCATGGTGGGGAGGGAGTATAGAGGAGGGGTAGAGAGGGAGGAGGAGAGAGGGTGGAGGAGAGGAAGAGGAAGAGAGTAAGAGGAAGAAGAAGCGGTGTTTTTGGACGGAACGAGTTTTCGCCGGGCCGCGCAAAACATGCCTGCGCCACAAACACAGCCATTGATCGGAGTCACATCAGCCACAGTAGCCACAGCGGCGTTTGACGTTTCTTATTTTAGACGGCGATCTTTTGGAGAGAATGTGTTGGAGAGTAGAGAAGAGGATAGTGATATTGTTGTAATAGTAATAGTAGTAGTAAGAACAAGAACAAGAAGAACAACAATCAGCAGCAACACGCACTCTCATGATCTGTGGTGACGGTCTCGTCCGGGGCGGATGGCGGCGTTCAGGGTGCATTCCTGAAAATCTCTCAGCAAATGCCCTCGCCGCCCTTTCTGGCAATCCATGACGCGTCCAGAAGACCGACACGTAGAGACCTCAAACAAGATCACGTCGAGTGTCGTGATCGTAGACAGTGGGCTGTGAGCTGAGGATTGAGGACTTCAGACTGAGGATTGCGGGTGAAACAGGTACTCGGAGCTGTTTGCTCTGCTATAAGACGATATACAACTACAATAAACACCAACCGAGCTGATGGTGTTGATATGACGACTCCATTCCTCGCCTCCTTCTTCAGTACTTCTCCATTGCTCGTAGATCCGCATCATCCGCGGTATTAACTCTGCTTCTCTTCTCTGTCAAGACCTCATACTCACTCGTAGTAATCCACAGCACAATCCACATCCAACACCATCGTAGAAACATCGCATACTATTCTTAACGATGTCCATCACGTGACTACTCCGCCTCGCTTGGCCAGGGTTAGGCGCCCAGACAATGGCCTCCTGAGCCTCTTCCTCGCTGTCTAACTCTCCTCCTCCTCCTCCTCTTCCCTTCCCTCCCATCTCTCTCTTCAACACCCCCTCACCCCGCCCTCATGGACCCGGACAACCCTGGCGCGTCCTCATCCGCGCCCGATCCCGGCAGGCCCTCCTCTTCTTTCCCCTCCTCCTCTCCCTCATCTTACTCCACGCCGCCGCTATGGCAGCCCACTTCAACTCCTCCCACCACCTCCCATGATCCCTCCTTCATAGAACCCGCCCCTCCTCTGCCCTCCGTCTCCGACATGCCTCCGCCCTCCACCCGGCGCCGCAACAGAGGCTTCTCTCTCCGCACCCAGCTCTTCAACCGCCAGCTCGAGCAGCATGTCCCCTCCCCCATCGAAATGGTCGACACCTCTTTCGCCTCGCAGCCACCTCCGATCCCGGCCTCCTTCGACCCCCCAGACTACTCCTCCTCCGCTCCCCACCCCGACCACAACTCCTCCCTTCCGCACCCCGACGACTCCTCACACACCCGTCCCTCTCTGCATGCTGACAATTCCTCCCTCATCGGTCAAGACAACCTGCACGTCCACGACCCAAAGTACGTCGCCAAGATCTACCCGACCGATTCAAACACCACCGCCTCGCGTCTCGCCCACTACTCCGCCCGTCTGCGCCCGTCCGTCCGTCGGAGGTTTGGCGGATCCCGCGTCGAGCGCCTCTACCGGCGCCTTGCGGATTTCATCATGCAGCGCAACCAGATCCCGCCGTCCAAGAACGGCCGGTGCATACCTCTCGCTCTCGGTAGTACCACCCCATTGATCGATGAACGTACCTCGAAGCCCTACGTCAACAATGCCATCGTCTCCTCCATCTACAACCGCTACAACGCCTTCCCACTACTTTTGTTTGCTCAATTTTCTAAATTGGCTAATGTGTATGAAGTTCTTTATTTTATTTTGTTATATTACTATTGTCGTTTACTGACACACTGCAGCTACTTCCTCGTCATATCGATCCTCCAGATGGTACCCAACTTCTCCACAACCGGTACCTACAACTCCTTCGCGACTTTTATGTTCTTCACCCTTATCACCATGGCCCGTGAAGGCTTTGACGACTGGCAACGCCACCGCCAAGACGCGTCCGAAAACAACAAGGAAGCACTCGTCGCCGCTCGCGACTACAACGCTGAAAACAACCGTACCGTCGTCTGGAAACCCGTCAAGTGGCTCGATATCCAGGTCGGTGATATCGTCAAGCTCGAGCGCAACGACTGGATCCCCTGTGATTTGGTCGTCCTCCACGCAAACGGCATGGGTGATCTGGCCTATGTCGAAACCGCAGCCTTGGACGGCGAGACAAACCTTAAAGCCAAAACCGCTCTTCCCCAACTGGCAGAGATGTGTGCTACCGACGAGCTCATTGCCAGCTCAGACATGGGTGCGGATTTTGTCGTCGAGGATCCTAATCCTGATCTGTATAATTTTGAAGGAAATGTCACTGTCAAAGGTACAAAGTACTCTCTCTCAAGCGACAACGTCATCTACCGTGGCTGCATCCTGCGCAACACTCCCCGCGCCGTCGGCATGGCTATCTTTTCTGGTCAAGAAACCAAGATCAGAAAAAACGCTACTCAGGCCCCGCGCGTTAAAGCTCCACGGCTGCAAACTAGAATCAACCGGATCATTATCTTTATGGTGTTCTTTGTAGCCTTCATCTCCACATTCTGCACCGTCATGGAACGAAAATGGGTCAACAGAAACAGCGCGATGCCTTGGTATCTGCCCTCGGACGATATCGAACTCGTCAACCTCGTCTTTGGCTTCATCATCATGTTCAACACCCTCATTCCCCTTTCTCTATATGTCTCCATGGAAATCGTCAAGATCGGCCAACGCATCATGATCTCCTGGGATATAGACATGTACTACGAGCCCACAAACACCAAATGCGACCCTCATACCTCATCGATCAACGAAGAGCTCGGTCAGATATCCTACATCTTCTCCGACAAGACCGGCACTTTGACCGACAACGTCATGGTCTTTCGCAAGATCTCGGTGGCTGGCCACGCATGGCTGCATGACCTCGACGTCAAGCAAGGTTTTCTCGAAGAAGAGTTTCGCCGGAGCAAAAGCGGGACGTCAAATTACAAAGACGAGGAAGAGCCTCAAGTGCTCGGCCGTCGGAGCAGTTCAATGCTACCTTCAGCATTCAAAAGAGTCGCCACGATGGAGTCGATGTTGTCGAGACAGCTGTCGACGAAAAAGTCAATGAGCTCTATTCGAACGTCGGGTAGCAAGCGATGGAGGTCGTCGGCGTTTGCGGCGCCTTCAGTACATCACGATGGAGCGACTGCAGCAATCACACGGTCTACAGTCGAGTTGCTGAAATATATCCAGCTCAAACCCAACAGCCCGTTTTCGATTCGTGCAAAGTTCTTTTTGATGGCGATCGCGCTGTGTCACACCTGTATCCCGGATCGGTCGGACGAGGACCAGGCAGAGGCTCCTATCGATATGGATGAGTCGGAAATCTGCTATCAGGCGTCGTCGCCGGATGAGCTTGCTCTCGTCCGGGCCGCGCGCGATCTTGGTTTTATTGTCGTCGACCGGCAGTTCAAGACTGTGACCGTGCGGACTTATCCAGAAGGGTCTGATAACGACTGCAAGACCGAGACATTTGAGATTCTTCAGACGGTAGAGTTTTCTTCGACGCGGAAGCGTATGTCGATCGTACTCAGATTTCCGGATGGGCGTGTTTGTTTGTTTTGCAAAGGAGCCGACACAATCATTTTCGAGCGATTGGCGACCTCGAAAATGGCGCAGGAAAAGCAAACTGAAGTTCAGCGGAAGGCGACCTTGCGACGACAGAAGGAGGCGTCGCGCGCGATTGCTGTTCGTGACAGTATTGACTTGCAGCGACGGGATTCGGTTGCGTCGCAGATTGCGTCCGCGCGGCCGAGCATTAGTCTCCGGAACCGAGAGAATCTGGACGAGTTTCTGACTAGCAGTGCGCACCCCGAGAATGTGATTGGAGATTTTCCGCGATCGTCTGTCGATGTCGAAATTACATCTCCGGTGGTGGCGGCGGCTAGTTCGTCGGTTGCGGACGCGTTTGAGTCTGCCAGTCCGGTGATTGCGAGTCTTGTTGCGGCCGAGAATGCGGCGGCTACGAGTGCGTTGCTGCAGAGTATGGTTGACGAAAGTGTTGCGCTGAGTAACGAGGCCGTGCTTGAGAAGACGCTGAATCACATTGATGAGTTTGCGACCGAAGGTCTGCGTACGCTTGTATATGCGCACAAGTTTATGAGCGAGGATGAGTACAAGACATGGGCCAAGATCTACACGGATGCGGTTACGAGTCTCGAGAATCGAACGGAGAAGATCGAGGCGGCCGGAGAGATGGTCGAGACCGGGCTCGAGCTTACGGGTGCGACTGCGATTGAGGACAAGCTTCAAAACGGAGTACCTGAAGCGATCGACAAGTTGCGCAGGGCCGGCATCAAGATGTGGATGCTGACTGGTGACAAGCGCGAGACTGCGATTAGTATTGGACATTCGTGCCGGTTGATTCACGATTACTCGACGGTGATGATCCTCAAGTCTGACGACCGCGATATGGTCAGCAAGATGGCATCGCTTGTGCTGGAACTTGAAGGAGGCAGTATTGCCCATTGCGTTGTAGTAGTCGATGGTGGCACACTCAGCTATATCGAAAAGGATATGACGCTGATGTCTCTGTTTATGGATCTCGGCGTGAAGGCTGATTCGGTGATTTGCTGCCGAGCGTCTCCGTCGCAGAAAGCGCTGCTGGTGACCTCTGTGCGGTCGCGCGTCAGTGATGCCGTTACGCTGGCGATCGGTGACGGAGCGAACGATATTGCGATGATCCAGGCTGCTGATGTTGGTATTGGTATTGCCGGAAAGGAAGGTCTACAGGCATCTCGCTCGTCTGACTTTGCAATCGGGCAGTTCAGGTTTTTGCTAAAACTATTGCTCGTGCATGGGCGTTGGAACTACGTGGTAAGTATCAATCGCGTTAGAGTTTTGAGTTGGTGCTGACTGGGTTTTTGTGTAGCGCCTGAGTAAATACGTTTTGGCTACGTTCTACAAGGAGTTTTTCTTTTATTTGACGCAGGCCATCTTCCAGCGGTTTGCAATGTACTCTGGCACTTCACTTTACGAATCGGTGTCGCTTACGATGTACAACACGCTGTTTACGTCGTTACCGGTTATTTGTCTTGGAGTTTTCCTTCAGGATCTGAGTCCAGAGACGTTGATTGCTGTGCCAGAGCTGTATTCGACGTCACGGCTGAACAAGCACTTTAATTTAAGGATTTTTGTTGGCTGGATGGCGGTGGCGAGTTCGCAGGCGGTGCTCGTGACGTTTACGATGTTTTATACGTACGCGCTGGTTTATCCAAAGGATAATAACTTGTATCCGCCCGGTACGTTGAACTTTGCGGCGATTATTGCGGCGATTGCGATCAAGCTGAACTTTGTGGAGATGCATAACCGGACGGTGCTCTGTCTTGGGTCCATAATGATATCAGTGTTTGGGTGGTTTCTGTGGACGGTCATGTTATCGCTGCTGTATCCGTTCAAGGTGTCGCTCTATGTTGTAAAGGGAACATTTATCCATACCTTTGGACGGGATCTGTCGTGGTGGTCGACGTTTTTGCTGTGCACTGGAGTTGCGGTTGTGTTTGATATGATGCTGGTCGTGTTGCGATCGGCAATCAAGCAATCGGACACGGACGTGTTTCAGCAGATCGAGCAGGATGAAGCGCTGCGAGAGCGGCTGGAGTTGGATTGCGAGATGGAGTTATCGCAGAGCTGGCAGGCGGAGAAGAAGCGGCAGAAGCAAGCGCGCGAGAAGGCGCTGTTCGAAGCCGACAAGCTTGCGGAAGAGCTGGAGGTCAGCGAGATTCTAAAGAAGCGCGGGTTAGAGACCAAGCGACTGTCTATGATTTCCAAGGCCGACTCTGCGGATTTCTCTAGCGGGCCGGACGAGCACACGGCCGTGCGGTATTCGTTCCACGGACCGGAGAGGGTGAGCAGTCCGGTGGCGGAAGGCGGGCTGAAGAACCGACGGCATGCGAGCTCGGGAAGTAATCCGGAAGTGCAGGAGAGCGCGCGCAAGGTGCGGCATAACGTGCGGTTTAGTTCGGATATATGATGCATGAGTGATGATGAAAAGAGGCGTTAAGAGTAGCAGTTATAGATTTATGTTTTGGTGTTGAGTGTACAAGGTAGATTATTTTTATTGTTCTGTTTTCTGTTTGGCATGTACAAAAGCACTCGGCGAGTATTTCTGTTTGTTTGTTTGTTCTTTCTACAGTATTAGTTATGATTGTTTTAGTAGTTTGCATTATTACTCTTTTATCAGTTTTGGGACTAACAATGTAAAAGTAGAGTTTCGAAGGCAGCCGGAATCGGGATTCTGAGTTGCGCGCAGAGCAGCGAGCGGCTCGGTCGTCGTCGAGGTCGTCTCAAAAACCCAGCCCAGCCTCCCTTTCTCCGGCCAACCATCGCGAACCTGTCCGGATCTGCCTCTTTTTCTCTTCCTCTACATCTCTTGCTCTATCTCTACTTGCTCGACTGAACTACTGAAACAATGAGGTTTGTTCCTTCTCCTTGCTGACGTCTATCGCGATCTCTGGATCTGGCGCGGTCGGGCATCGGGTTCGCCGGGTGGCCGCGCAGGCAGCAAGCCACCAGGTTCTGATCTCCGGGATCGCAATCTACACCGCAGCGAGTGCGTGTAGCATTTCCTAGTCTGCGATCCGGGATCAATTGCCTGTGTTTGATCTTCGTATTTGATCCGTGCTGCTGGACAATTATATCTGACTGATGATGCGGGTAGTGGCCGATTCGTGAGAGCGTCAAAGTATAGGCATGTCTATGGACAGCCTACCAAGAAAGAGCTCTGCTATGAGAACGTCCGAGTCACGTATGTTTTCTTGTGTCTGCTGTGTTTATGAGATCGATAGCTAACGGTGTCGACGTAGTAAGAATGCCTGGGACTCCAGCTTGCTCAAAGTAAGTGTGCTCGTCACGATCGCGACGCTACAAAACTAACAGGACGCAGGTCAACCCCCTCTACATGTCTGTGAACTGGGACGCCTCTGGCGGTGGTGCGTTCGCAGTCATCCCGCTCTCGGAGCGCGGCAAGGTTCCCGACGTCATCCCGCTCTTCCGCGGCCACACCGCCGCCGTGCTCGACACGGACTGGAACCCTTTCGACGACTCGATCGTTGCATCCGCCTCCGACGACGGCAAGGTCGGGATCTGGAAAGTGCCCGAGAATTTCACTGTTCAGACCGCTCCCGGCGAGCCGATCAAGGATGTCGCGCCAGAGGCGAAGCTGAGCGGGCATGCGCGCAAGGTCGGACATGTGCTCTGGCACCCGACCGCGAACAATGTGCTTGCGTCGTCGTCGGGAGATTACACGGTGAAGCTGTGGGATATCGAGAGCGGGAAGCCCAAGACGACGTTGAAGCACAGCGACATGGTGATAAGCATGTCGTTCAACTACATTGGCTCGTTGCTCGCGACCACGTCGCGCGACAAAAAGATCCGCATCTGGGATCCGCGCACGGAGAAAGTCGTCGTCGAGGGACCCGGCCACGCGGGCGCCAAGAACCAGCGCGTGGTCTGGCTCGGCGAGCTCGATCGTCTGGCGACCACGGGCTTCTCGCGGATGTCGGATCGCCAGGTGGCGCTGTGGGACACGACCGATATCAAGAAAGGTCCGATTGGGGATTTCTACATGCTCGACTCGTCGGCGGGAATCTGCATGCCGTACTACGACCCGGGCACAAAGTGTCTGTACCTGGCGGGTAAGGGCGACGGCAATATCCGGTACTACGAGTACGACAACGACGAGCTGTTCCCGTTGTCGGAGTACAAGTCCTCGGACCCGCAGCGCGGAATCGCGTTCATGCCCAAGCGCGGCGTCGACGTGCGCGAGAACGAGGTCGTGCGCGCGTACAAGACCGTGTACGATACCGTGATTGAGCCGATCCAGTTTATTGTGCCGCGCCGGGCGGAGATGTTCCAGGCGGACATCTACCCGGATTGCCCGTCGAGCGAGCCCGCGTTGACGGCTGAGGAGTGGTTTGGCGGGAAGGACGCGGCGCCGAAGGTTATCAGTCTCGAGGCGGTGTACGAAGGTACCGTGCCTGTTGCGGTTGCGGGCGAGATTCCTGTCGCGAAGGCTGTTGAGAAGCCTGTTGAGAAGCCTGTCGAGAAGCCTGTCGAGACGCCTGCGCCGAAGAAGGAGGAGCCTGCGCCGGCGCCGCGGACGGTTGTGGAGGAGAAGAAGACTATTGAGAGTGCGCTTGCGACGCCAAAGGTGGATGATTTGCTCGCCAAGGCGAGCGAGGCCGAGGACGCGCCTGTGCCGGCTGTGTTGGCGAAGGAGGAGTCATCGTGGGATGCCGAGCCCGAGCCTACTCCTACTCCCGCTCCTGTTGCTGCTACTCCTACCCCGGCGCCAGTCGTCGAGAAGAAGGAGGAGCCTGCTCCTGCTCCTGCTGCGGAGAGCACCCCTGTGCCCAAGTCAGGAGCGTCGGGTATGCTGGCGAGCAAGCTTGAGGCACTGCACAACAGCATGTCGGACACGAAGAAGACGCTTGAGTCTTACGAGGCGCGGTTCACGGAGGTTGTGCTGTCGAACGCGCAGGAGCTTGCGGCGCGGGATGGTAAGATCCAGGCGCTGGAGGCGGAGCTTGAGAAGTTGAAGGCGTTGGTGTTGGGGAAGAGTGCGGTGGAGACGAACGGAGAGGAGAAGGTTGAGGAGAAAGTTGAGGAGGAGGTGAAGGAGGAGACGAAGGAGGAGGTGGAGGAGGAGGTGGAGGCGAAGGAGGAATAAATTCGTATAAGATGAGGGGTGAATAGGATATGCTGTAAGAGATACGAGTTGTGGTTTTGGCCTTTCTAAGAGATGTATATTTTATTTGACATTATACGAAGAGTTTCACTATATACAAACGCGTAATCTCAAAAGAAGAAATCACAAAAAGACGTCCTTGGGCATTTTCTTAGACACTTCCTCATCCTCGATTCTCGCCCATTCTTCCGCTTGCTTCTCTGCTTCTCTCCTGGTGAGCTCTCTTCTACTTCTCGCCGGGCCTCTCGGCTTATTCCCTTTCACGGGCCGTTTCTCATCATCTCTCTGCGCGGCCTCGAGCGTGCGGATCTCACTCTCCTGCTCCTCCAACGACGCAAGCAAATCAGTCCACTCGTGCTCGTGCTGGGGGATTCCCGTGCCCAATTCCTCGGCGATATCAACCTCCTTGCCCGCCTTCAACTTCTCAATCACGCGTTCCAACGCGCTGATTTTCTTGCCGTACGTCCGCTCGAGCTCGGTGTAGACGTGCTTCTGCCGCATGATGTTTATGTTTGCGGAACCGACGAGCGCGAGAAGGATTACGTAGCCCCAGACCCAGTTCCAGCGCAGGTAGCTGAAACGCTCGCGTTTCAGATGAGCGGGAGGAGGGGGAGGGTTGAGCATGGTGGAGAGGGGGGAGAGCGTTACGTTGGTGCTGGTGGGTGTTAGTTGATCCGACGGGTGAGGAGCAAGAGTCAAGTACTTACCGTGTGAATGTAAACGCAGGCAGTAACCCTGTCCGTCCGCTACGGACTGCTAGTAGCGATATCCGTCTCTGAGCAAACATTTTCTGATCTCCAATTCTGCTTACTGCTAAAGTCGACGATGACGATGAGATGAAGAAAACCCGACGATGCGCGAGCGGCGGCGTCGGTCTGCGAATCCTTACATAATCAGCAAGAAACCCTACTCCACACGCCTTTATCGACGCCCCGAGAGTTTTCCCACCGCTTCTCTCGATTCCGACTAGGTTGTTTGCAAAGTACAGAGAGCTCAATTGGTTGTCTAGTTTGCTTAATTTGAACAAAAAAAGAAGATAAGAATAATGTCTTCAGTTTTGAGAACTTCGCGCATTGTGGCGGCGAGAGTTGCTGCTGCTGGTGCTCCGCGCACTGCTGGTGTGTCTGCGTTCCGTGGGTCGTTTGCTGCTCGTAACGCTGCTGCTTCTGTTGCCGTTCGTGCGTTCAGCGTCTCGCGTGCTTCGTTTGAGAAGGTGAGTCCTTATGAATCGATAGAGATATTAATTGATGCAACAGCATGCTGACCACTTCCGCAGCCCGCTCTCCGCCTCGGCTCGCCCGCGCCCAACTTCCAGGCCGAGACCACCGACGGCCCTATCGATTTCCACGAGTTCATCGGCGACTCCTGGACCATTCTCTTCTCCCACCCCGCCGACTTCACGCCCGTGTGCACGACCGAGCTCGGAGCGTTCGCGCAGCTCAAGCCCGAGTTCGACAAGCGCAACTGCAAACTCCTCGGTCTTTCGGCCAACGGGCTCGAGAGCCACGGCGAGTGGATCAAGGATATCGAGGAAGTCGCTACGGGGGGAACCAAGTTCAATTTCCCAATCATCGCCGACCCCGAGCGCAAGATCGCGTACTTGTACGATATGGTCGATCACCAGGACCTGACCAACATCGACCAGAAGGGAGTCGCATTCACGATCCGCGCAGTCTTCATCATCGACCCGGCTAAGAAGATCAGACTGTCGATGCTCTACCCTGCCTCCACCGGCCGGAACACCGCCGAAGTGCTCCGCGTGCTCGATTCCTTGCAGACCGGCGACAAGGCCGGCGTTACTACCCCGATTAACTGGATCCCTGGTGAGGATGTTATCGTCCCGCCTTCGGTCTCGGATGCCGCTGCGAAGGAGAAGTTTGGCGAGTTCAAGGCCGTCAAGCCTTACCTCCGATACACAAAGTACCCCGAGGCTCTCCTCAAGAAGTAATCAGTAATCTCTTTGATGTAGTTATAGTGAAAAGAAAATCTTTTTCTGATAAATAACTCTCAACTCTCATAATTGAGATAGTAAGCCTTACCTCCGACGATACTCAAAGTACCCCATGACTCTCCTCAAAAAGGGATCAGTAATCTCTTGATGTAGTTATAGTGAAAAGAAAATCATTTTTGATAAATACTTCAGACTTGAGATAACAAGCCTTACATCCGATACACAAAGTACCCCGACTCTCTCCTCAAAAATCAATCAGTACTCTCCTTCGTTGTAGTTATATTGGAAAAGAGAGATGTAGTTATAATGGAAAAGGAAATCTTTATTTGATAAATAACTCCCAGACTTTGAGATAATAAAAACACCCTCATGCTAAAAACTAAATAGACAACTGTAAAAACACCAATGACATAGCAAAACGCTCTATGCATCAAACGCAACTAAAAAGCAAAAAAAAAAACATGTACCAAACAAATTAGAAAACAGCTACTACCGAGAAAACACAAGGACCTGCGCTGCATCTCCTCTTTCATTCATAATTTGTAAATAGAGACGCTTTGTCGAACCAGCCGACGAAGCTATTTGTTCTCCTTGCTGCTCTCGTACTCTTCAATCTCCTTCGCTTTCGCCGCGCGCACGACCTCAAACACCTTCAACATCTTCCGGCGCGCTCCCATAGCCGACACGCCGCGCGCGTCGAGGTCCTCGGCAGACAGACGCACGAGGTCTTGCCATTTCAAAGTTTTGAGGTTGTCGGTGTACTTGTGCAGCCGCAGCGAGCGCAGCCAAGCTGGGATGTCGTCGAGAAGCTCGTCGTCGGGAACGCTCGCGGCCGTCGACAGATACTCTTTGCTCGAGGGTGAGCCCATCGAGCTGCCGTCGCTCGTCGTTTGCTTTCCTGCAGTGGTCGACGCCGACGCGGACGAGGTCACGCTCGTGGCCGAAGGCGCAGGCGACGCTGAGGTTCTCTGTCGCTGCTGCTGCTGCTGCTGCTGCTGGTTCTTATTCTGAGTCTGGCTCTCATTCTGTTGTGGCTGCGGCTGCTGCTGCTGCTCGTTCGAGGTAGTGACAGGTGCAAAGCTCGTCATGCCGACAATAGGCGACGACATCGACGAGTTATACCAGTCCGAGAACGGCGACGGCGCAGCGGCGCTCGTAGCAGCTCCACCCGTCAATCCGAACCCGAACGGCGTCAAGCCCGGGAACGGCTGCTGCTGCTGCTGGGGGGTCGTGGCAGACGGCGAGGTGTGCTTCAAAGGAGTCTGCGGGGAGGCGAGCGGACGAGCAAGTGGGCTGCTGAATAAGGGCGTCGCGGTCTGCAAAAGAGAAGCGCTGGGCTCGGTCTTTTGCTGGTATGCTGCGCGTCGGTTGCGCATGGCGGCCGCACTCAAGGGCGAGGACATGTTGGCCGGCGAGGGCGACATGTAGGCTGCCTGCTGCTGCTGGCTCTGCTTGTATGCCGAGCTCGACATCTGAGGGACCGGCTTATCGCCGTAGAGCTGGGGTGAAGCAGCAAAGGGCGAGCCGACGCCGACAGAGACCGCGGACGGCGACATGAACTCGTCGGTGGTGTTGTTGCGGCGCTTGAACTTGCGCACGTCAGAGTCCAGCTGGATCCGGCTGTTGACGGTCGAGAGCGCAGCGAGCCGGAGCGCGGTCGCGTTGGCGACGATTTCGGCGTTAGCGAGCGAGGTCTGCATTTCCTGATAGTTTGCAAACGGCGAACCGCTCGACACCGGCGTGTTGATCATGCTTGCCCAGTTGTTTGCGACCGGCGACAAAAAGGAGAACTTGGACTGCTGCTGCTGCGACTGTGGCTGCTGGGGTTGATGGAGAGGGAAGGGGGTAGGAGCCGGAGAGTCGAGTTCGACCGAGGCAGGCCGGCTGGCTGATTTCTCCGATCCGATAGGCGAGATCGCACGGTTCTGATCATAGGAGAAAGCAGAGTCGTCGCCGCTCTCGACGAGATCGCAGTCGAGGTCGTCGTGAGCGACGGCCGAGGGGCGAAATTTGCTAGGGCTGCGGGAGGAGGAAGAGTCGCTGACGGTGGCGGCGCGCTTGCTGCGCTCCATCTGGCGCAGGACGGAGATGAAGAACTTGATCTGGACTTGGGAAGCGTGCTGCAGAAGAGCGTAGAGAGTGGCGGTGCGCTCGGGCTCGGTGAGCACGCATGAGAACCAGGTCTCGATCGAGTTCAGCTCGGACTTGAAGGCGACGGAGGAGGAAACACCGGCGGTTGCGGCGGCAGCACTGGCAGCGGCAGCAGAGGAAGAGGAGGAAGAGGAGGACGAGGTGGCGGAGCAGGAAGACGAGTTGGAGGAGGTAGAAGAGGAAGTGAGGGCCTCGAGAGAGCCCTCGTAGCTCTCGAGCTCAGAAAGCCATTGCTCGGCTAGTGACATGTGCTCGGGATCAGCCTGGCCGAGGCCGACGGCGGCAGCGGCCGCGGAGGTGAGGGTGGCGTCGTCGTCGTCGTCGTTGTCAAGATCAGCGTAGGGATCAAACTCGTCAGCGTGCAGGTGTCTGTGGGGGTAGGGCGAGTGGTGGTGCCTCCGGGGCGGGATGGGAGTAGCGGAAGCGGAGGCGGAGGGAAAGAGGTCGGAGGAGGATGATCGCGGAGCTCTGAGAGGGGAGCTGGAGGCGAAGGAGTGGTCGTGGACGGAGAGAGGGGAGGGGCGGGAGGAGAGGGGGAAGGGCAGCGGGCGGCGGTCGACGGAGGCCATTGTGATTTGGATTTGTTTACAGTGCGGAGAACAAGGTTTTGAAGCGAACAGCCGACGTTGATCTGCGAGAGAGGAGTTAGTGAGGTGAGGAGAGGAGAGGGTGGAGGAGAGGGAAGAGTGTGAAGTCTTTCTGCGTGGTCTGCTCAAGTCTGTTTGTGAGGGAGGGTTGGTGGTGAGGGAGGAGAGAGGAGAGGAGAGGAGCACGAGGGCAGAGCCGAGGTGGTGAGAGCAGTGTGAGAGGAGAGAGTAAGGTGGGGTAAAGGAGGGTCGGAGAGGGCGGAAGAGGGAGGAGAGGGGTGGAAAAGAGCGGGATGGTGAAGATGAGGGCAGAGAGAGCAGGACCGAGCAGAAAGAGAGGAGGAGGAGGGGAGGGAGGAGGAGGAGGAGGAGGTAGACGTACAGAGAGAAGAGGAGCAGATCGGCCGAACGGGAGTGAGAGGAGGGAGAGAGCAGGTAGCTGCTGCGAGGAGGAGATGAGGGAGTAGATGTAGATGTAGATGTAGATGTAGATGAAGAAGAAGAAGAAGAAGAAGAAGAAGAACAAGAAGAAGAACAACTAGAAGAAGAACAAAGAGAAGAAGAACAGAAGACAAATCGAGGAAGCAGAAAAAACCTGAAAGTGGGATTGCCCGCTTTAATGAGTAAACACGCCGACGTCTGCCCCGGTCGACCTTGTGACTTCTTCTGGGTCCCTCGTCACCCCTAACGCCGACGCTGTCTGCCCGTGCTCGCATCCCCGCGACTGCGCTCTGCGTCGGATCACTGCCTCGAGGCATCCTCCGAGCCCGTCCGCCGGCTCATCTCTGGTGTGAAGTTGTTTCTGTTGAAACCAGAGCTGTTTCTTCACGCAAAGACAGGATCAGAGCCGCCGTCGCAGCAGTCGGTGAAGACAGACGACTCTGGAGCCGACTCGGGCTCGCAGCTCGGAGCCTTCGCGGGGCCGGCTTTGGGACGGGAGCTCGTCGGGAAGATGCCTGTCACGAGGCCCTCGGCAGTGTCAGCGTCTTAGGAATTGGCTCAATGCGACTTGCTGTTGAGAGGTTGTTGATGCTGGTTGTTCTTTGTGTTTGTTTTATGAATGCGGAGAAGCAGACGGGAGGTTTTGTATTTGTAATGGGTTCTTCTTTCTTTACTCTCTCGTCTCTTGTCTGGAGACCTGCTGCTCTCTGCTCTACTCTCCTGCGAGTATCGCCGACAGGGCTCCGGGTGCGCCCCGCGATGCCCGTCGTCCGCCACGAGCGATGGCCGATGGGTTTGGCTGAGCAGCGCGAGCGTATTCGTCTTCACGGCGGCGACCTGCCAGCGCCAGCGCCGTAGCGGCTGTCTCGTCTCCGCTGATGCCGGAGCTCGTCGGTCAGGCGAGAATTAGAGATGCTGATCCGCTGCTTCCACCGGATCACCTGTCTGTGTTCATGTCGATATATATCATGTCATGATCATTTCTTATTTCTTATGATCGATAGAATAGTTATATAGAAATTATTGACTGAAATATATACACATCATACACAGCATGTTCAACACACACACACACACACGCACACAGACTATAGAGAACAGCAAGATGGGGTACCGGCCCGTGAACGGAACCACGGGCCCGGCATGTCGGAAGTCTGCCGGAGTAATTACATAATGTCAAACACGCAGATTACATCAGCACAATTACTGTAAGGTTTCATACAACCTTCTCCACACTCTCACGTGAGAACCGAGAGGTGCTCGTGAAGGCTCTGCTCTGCTGCTCTCTCTGCTTCGAGTCCGCTACGAGACTACTTCAGGTCTACTTCCTGCTACTTCGTACTTCCTGCTACTTCTGCTACTGCACGTCTGCACTCGTCCACCAGGTAACGGCAGAGACCCAACCAGACAAGCCACGATACAGTCAATGTACTCCGCTGAATGGGGCTGTTTCCTGTTTCACTTTCCCTCTTTAACTCACCACTCGCTAGCTTACTTCCTCGTCTCCACCATCGCCTTCCACTCCTCATCGCAGTCCCACTCGCGCTTTAGTGGGACCGCCCCGCTCTTGCCGTACGCCTGCATCTCGGTGCTTGTCTTCTCCTGCAATCCTTGTCTTCATTTTATCTATTATACTCTATCCCACTCATCTCCTACTCTAATCAGCGGGTTATGAGCCCTCTCTCTCCCTCCCTCCCTCTCTCACTGGATATTCTTTCGCGTCCCCACCTTCACCTGCGCCGCCTCGTGCCGTCGCAGCTCGTCCGGCACCTTGCTCAGCGGACTCTTGCTTAGCATCTGCCTTAAATCGTAAAACGTGTCCTGGTCCTCGTTCGACAGAAACGTAATCGCCACGCCCGACTTGCCCGCCCGGCCTGTGCGCCCGATGCGATGCGTGTACGCCTCAATGTTCTTCGCCATATTGTAGTTCAGCACCAGACTCACGTCCGGCACGTCGATTCCTCGCCCCGCCACGTCCGTCGCCACCAGCGCCTCCGCCTGCCCATCGCGCAGCGCGGCCAGCGCCGCCTCGCGCTGCTCCTGCGACTTGCTCCCGTGCAGCGTCACCGCCCGCCACCCCAGCCCCGTTAACTGCCGCGCAACCGCCTCGCAGTCCCGCTTCAGGTTCACAAACACAATAATCGGTGGCGCATACCCTCCCGACTCCACAATCTCCGCCATGCGCCGCCGCCTGCGCTCCTCTGATCCCACAAACTCAACCCGCTGCTCCACCGTCGCCACCGCCTGGCCCGCATTCCCTATAATCACCGTCGCCGGCCGCCGCAAATACTGTCGCGCTATGCGCTCAATCGCCGCCGGCATCGTCGCCGTGTACATCATCGTCTGCCGGTACCGGTCCTTCCCTCCCAAAAACTTTGACATCTTTTGCGTGTTCTCCGCGTCCTCGCTGTCCGGCTTCACGTTCGTCACCGGCAGCGACTCCAGAATCTTATTCACCTGCTCCTCAAACCCTAGATCAACCATCCTATCCGCCTCGTCCATAATCACGTAGCAGCACTGACTCAGCACCAGCACCCGCCGCTCAAGACAGTCCACCAGCCGGCCGGGGGTCGCAATCACAATCTCGGCTCCTTCCTGCATGTTTAGCGACTGCTCCGCGTGCGTGTGCCCGCCCACAATCGACACGCACCGAAACCCGAGCGGCTCGCAAAACTTGCGCGTCTCCCGCTCAATCTGCTGCGCCAGCTCGCGCGTCGGCGCCAGCACAATCGCATACGGCCCGTCCGCCTTCGTCACCTCGTCCAGCGTCGGCAGCTCGATGATGTACGCCAGCAGCGGCAGCACAAAACTCGCGGTCTTGCCACTTCCTGTTTCTGCCACGCCAATCAAATCGCGGCACGAGAGCGCAATCGGGATCGCGGCGCGCTGAATCGCGGATGGCTCGTCGTAGCCTACTTGCTCGACCACGCGTAGCAGCGGCGTCGGCAAACCAGACTCGGCCCACGACCGCATCGGGTTCGGCAGCGAGCCGCCTTTGGTTGAGATATTGAAATCTTCTTTGAAAATTCGCCAGTCGCGCTCTTTCATCTTCGACAGTGGCTTCTCGGACCAGTGCAGGTCGTCGTAGTCGGCATCCTTACTCTTGCGCGTCAACTCGCGAAGCTCCGCCTCCCGTCTCGCATACTCATCTTTCGTCAACCGCTTCTGCTGATCTGAAGCAGCAGCAGAAGAGACAGCCTTGGCAGCAGCAAACACGGGATCCCGATCCGCTGCTGATGTGTCGTCGGCCGCGTTCCAGTCAAACGTAAACCGGCGGTCTGATTTCGTCGCGCGCTTCTTAGGCCGGCGCACTTTACTCTCCTGGATTCCCATGTATCTCTCACGTAGGAGTTTAGCTTCTGGATCTAGTTCTGCGTCTGCATCCGTGTCTTTTCGCTTGCCCAGTGCAGAGCTGCTGTTGCTATGTCCGTTGCTGGGGGTTGTTGAAGCTGCTGTTGTTGTTGATGTACTCTTGCTTTTAGTTGCTGCCAACTCCTGCTCCATCTTCTCCTTCGCCAACCGCTCGCGTTCTTTTTTCGACAAAAATCGTGGCTATAAAATGTCAGCTCTGCAGAACTACCAAAGAAAAAAAAGAGAGACGCTGACCTTCTGCATCGCTGCTTGCTCTGCTTGCTTTGCCTTTTCAATCTCGGCCAGCGAGAGTGGCACTCTCCGCGTCGCGCCGTTGAGATTCGACGACATCTGTTTCTGTAAATATGACCGCTGGAGAGAGAGAGTTGAGTTTATCTTAAAAAGAAGAAGCTGGATCAAGTTTGAATATTCGAAAATCAAGAGACGCGCGAACGTGGGATGGGATAATTTGAGATCACGTGATGTTCATTCAGAAGAAAAGAAAAAAGCGAATCGTCGTTGTGGAATTGCTGCGGATGTTATTCTAGTTTTACGTCGGTTGGAGGAAACATTCATTCTTTCTTTGTGGCTTTCTTTTTGTTGATCTGTTGAATTTTTAAACAGAAGAGGACTGTGTCTGTTAATCGGATTGAGTTGAGGGATTGTTGATATTTGGATATATCTTCGAGTGCGGACTGAGAAGACAATCGGGTTGATTCTCATCATTAAAGAGAGACATTACAGCATCTGGCATTGAAATAGTAACTACGAGCACCATGCAGCATCAGCACCAGCACCAGCACCAGCAAAGCAGCGACACGCAGAGCACGATTCAAATCCTGCAGACATTTCTCTACAGCCGGCTCGATCAGCAACACAAACTGCTGAGTCTGTCAGGGATGTACTCTGATCCGTATCTGCTGCAGAACGGGCTGCTCGCGAACGACAACCTGCGAGCAAAGATGTTTACGGCGCTGATGAAGATCGCGGCGAATTCGGAAATGAAGGACGTCGAGAGCGTGGATCTGTCGCGCAACAGCCTGCGCGAGCTCACGCCCGTGACCACGCTCGCGCAGACGTACCCCCGGCTCAAGAACCTGTCGCTGGCCGAGAACGCGATCGACCAATGGCGGCATCTGGATATTTGGCGGCAAAAATTTCGCGAGCTGAACGAGCTCGTGCTGCTGGGGAACCCGATCACGAGTCTGCCAAACTACCGCGCTGAAGTGATTAGACGGTTCCCGTCGCTGAAGATGCTCGACGGCGAGACCGTCGGGTCGATGGATATCCCAGATATCCGCGGGCGCGGTGGTGCGAACGCAAGTCCGAATCCGTTCCAGGCGAATATCACAAAGCTGCCTATTGCGACGCGGCCGGGGTTTTTCGAAAACGAGCAGATCCAGAGCATTACCATGGACTTCCTCGGAAAGTGGGTTTATCTTTTCTTTTTTCTCTCTATTATTAGCTTATTTGCTGCTAGTCAGGTTATTTGCTGCTAATCAAAACTCGGGGTGTAATTTAGATTTCTGCAGGTATATGATAGCGACCGGACGCAGCTGCTACCGCTGTACGACAGCATGTCGATGTTTTCGATATCGCTCAACACGGGCGTGCCGCGGGAGATGGGGGTGGCGGCCGGCGGGAAGGGTGGCGGGCACTACAACACATTTCAAGGCTCGAGCCAGAACTGGAGCTCGTACATCCCGCTGTCGCGTAACCTGGTGCGGATCCACGTGAGCCAGCGGCGGGAGGCGCGGCTGGCGGTTGGGCAGGAGCAGATCATGGGCCTGCTGCGGAGCTTGCCGGCGACGCGGCATGACCTGTCGTCGCCGGAGAAGTTCTCGATAGACGCGTGGACTATGCGCGGGTTGCGGACGGCGGAGGATGCCGGGATCATGCTGATTGTGCACGGGGAGTTTGAGGAGCCGAGCCCGCAGCAGACGCAGCCAAACCGGGCGCCGCGACAGGGGCAGCAGCAGCAGCAGCAGCAGCAAGGGCTGAAGCGGAGTTTTGACAGGGCGATGACGCTGCTGCCGGTTGCAGCTACGGGGGAGATCTTGGTTGTGTCGGACACGCTGACGGTGCGGTCGTGGGCCGGGTCGCGGGCATGGGGCGGGAGCGCGTGAGAAGCAGAAGCCGGAAAAGGAAGGAGGCCAGGCCAGTGTAGGATAGGATAGATTAACGATAGAAGCGGCGGTCAGCCCACAGATGCAGAATGGAGACAATCAGCAATCAGGTCAATCAATTGGGGCGAGGAAGAGCGATAAACAAACAAACGAGGTAACGGACGTGTTACTTCCCAAACCGACGCGGCTCAGCTGGGCGAGGGAGTACGCGGGCCGTGGCTGGTGAATTAATCTAATCTGCATCTGAGTGTGGCTGGTGGAGGGGCTTTGACCCCGATCAAATAGATTGGTTAATTTAAATAAATAGATTGCATAGTTATTATTATTATAACTACTTCTCTCCTCCTCTTCCTCCTCTTCCTCTCTTCTCTTCCCAGTGTTGCCTGCTGCCTGCCTGTTGTCCGTTGCTGTTTACTGCCGCCTGGTGCTGCTATCGTCGTTCTTTCATTCGTTCTCTTATATCTAATCGCTCGTTCACTCTCTCATCCGCCATGGACATCTTTCCCACCGACTGCGACTTCTCGCCTTTCTCCCCGTATGCGCACCTGTCTAGCTCTGCTCTATCTAGCTCCTTCTACCTCTTTCCATCTACCTCGCTCACACTCTCCAGACACCTCCTCCTCCTCCACTCGACCACAACCCCCCAGGACTGCGCCTGTCCAGGTACTTCTTTGATCCACTCCTCCATCTCTTCAACTCCCATCTAACTCCCCCCAGACCTCCACTCCTCCCCCCAGCTCTTCTCCTACTGCGACCCAAAGTCCGTCGAGGTCCCCGCCTACCCTCACTCCCTCCTCGCTCCCACATACTTCCTCGATCCCCACCTCGCGCCCCATCCCCCGCCTCCTCCTCCTCCTCCCCCCATCGACACCGTCTTCGTCAAGCACGATCACCTCCCCGCCGACAACCGCTCCGCCAGCCTCATTTACAAGCGTGGACCCGCTCTCGTCCACCCCGCCTCTTTCTCCTCCTCCTCCGTCTCCAGCGACACCCTAGACTCAGACGACGAAGACACTCCCACCTCTGCATCATACCGTCAGCCTCCTCATGTCCACCAAAACCATCTCCACCATCCCCAGCAGCAGCGCAGTGATCTGCTCCACAGCTGCCCCACTCCCTCGCCAATGTCGCCCTCTGCCTTTGAAATGGACTACTCGATCTCGTCCATCTCCTCCTCGTCGTCCGCCGACTCGTTCGACTCGTTCGCGGCCTCTGCGTCCTCTCCGCTCTCGAGCTTCTCCCTCTCCTTCCCCGCCCCATACGAGTACATAGGCTCGACCTGCTCCTCTCCCGATCTCTCCTCGTCCTCTCCCTCTTCCTTCGCAGCCGCCGCGCATGGATCAATCTCAATGGCCGCCTCGATCTCGGCGCCGCCTCTTGCTCCCCAGCTGTCAAAAGCCGCGACCTTCACCTGTTCGAGCTCGGCTATCTCAGCCGCAGCAACGACAGCCGCAGCCACGCCGATGGCCAACTCGACCAGCTGTGGCTATCCGTCGCCCTCGAAGCCGCTTCCGCGCGCACCAACATATGTGCAGCGACGGGGACGCAAGCCGAGTCTGGTCGAGGACCCGACCAAGGCGTTTGTGTGCGCGCACTGCAACCGCCGCTTCCGGCGCCACGAGCATCTCAAGCGACACTTCCGCAGCCTGCACACGCGCGAGAAGCCGTTCAGATGCGACAAGTGCTCAAAGAGCTTCTCGCGCTCCGACAACCTGACGCAGCATATCCGCACGCACGTGCGCGGGGGACGCATTTATGTCGGCAGCAATGACGATGACTGCGACGATGGCGGAGACGAGACTGACTGCAACCCGCTCGAGGACGGCGGGTCTGACGATGGATCGTCGGACGAGGTCGAGGTCGAGCAGTCGTCGTCGTCGACCGGGCGTCGAGGCTCGGCAAGACGATCAGCAAGTACAGGCGTCAGCAAGCGCACGCAGGCTGGTCGCCGTACGTCAAAACGGCTAGCCAAGTAAGCTAGCGGATCTCCACTCATTTTTTTCTCTATTTTTTTTTTATTTTTATTTTAATTTTTGCACAGGGTATCGATGCCGATATCCGCGAGATTAACCAGTGAAGAGACTCGCAGCCGATCGTTTTAATGTATAAAGTATTTGCTTTTGACAATTTGTTCTTCGACCAGACTGACTTTTTCACCACATTTCCTTTTTCTTTCTTTTATTTATATATATTGGGTTATTTTTGTTATCAGTGTCTAAAATGCGAAAACAAGCGAGCATTCGAATAAGTCAGTCGTTCACTTAGAAGAGAGAAGAGAAGGAAGGAAAAGCAGAGAGAGGAGAGAAAAGAAGAGGTCGAGGATTGGTTTGTGCGGAGTATCACGGCGCAGAGGCGAGAGGATAGTTTTTCTGATTTTTTACTTTAGATTTATTGGTATTGATTTTGTGTGTATTTTTTGAATTTATGTTAGTTGCTTAGAGTAACAATAAGAAATGAGCAGATAGAAGTATCAGTGAAGTAATCGGTATTTATCACTATACTATAGGTATAGTGATCACTATAATATAGCGACTCCAGTGAGCAGCACTCAATCTTGCATAGAGAGTTTACGCACAAACCACCTGCCACCCAGACCTGACAGACATCTGGATCCTGTTCCGGTCATCGATCTGTCGTGTCTCAGGCACAGGAACCAAATAGTCAAATTCAAGCGATTACTCTCGGCTTGCTCTTGTCCCTAATCCGAGCGAATCCGATGTCCTCCATCTGCTGTACTGCCGGCGGACTACACCGACCGATTCTGTCTGATTCTGTTCTTCTTGTCTATTGAAGCGGTGCACTGCAACAGATCATCGAGGCCGCTTACTCTTGCTCGTTCTCATCCACCGGCTCAGCCATCCTTTACTCCTTCCGGACTCACTTTCGCACGCGCCGCCGTCTGGATTCGTGCACCTGCCAGCCGAATTCGGTCACTTGGCTTAATTTGCCGCAATATGCTCCAAATTGAGCACCTCATCCTGGTTGCAGATTGGGTAAATCTTGCCATCGTCAACACACCATCCCTGTCGTTTTTTTCATTTCTATCTCTCTCTCTTTCTCTCTCTCTCTCTCATTCTGTTCCCTTCTGTTCTGTTTCCGCATACCCACCATACTACATACTACTTACTGCATACTGCCCTCTGGTACTCCTCCTCGGCTGCTGGCCCTGCGTATACTTTCCATATCACCTCATCCTGCCTCTCTTATTCTTGCTCCTGCGCTCGGGTAGCAGCTAGTGGTAGCTGCTTGCAACCCGCACCTCTTCTCTCTCAATAGTGTTTCTTCAAAGTACATCAAGAGCTTGTCAGACATTACTCTGCTCATTCTGACTTTCGCATCTTGCTTAATCCGGCTTGCCATGTACCGTCAATGCACCGGCTCTGCGAAAAAATTTCTCTGATCGAAGATCATCAGACAGAGCCTTGTCCGTGCGCAAGGCGGCAGATGCCGTTTTAGACAAACGCAGGTTCTCGGCCTTGTCTTTGCGCGAGATGCAGATTGCTGGCATTCGACCGACCTCACTATTATCGCAGAGATGTCGCACAGATGAAGACGAGCGACGGATGAGCGGTTCCGATTTTCTGGAGTTTGTGCGTTTAGCCCGGGACGGTTTTCCGAGTGACAAATTGGGAACACTCAGGCAATCTATCAGTCAATCAATCAATCAAACGTGCGTGCGTGCGCGTGCGCGCGGGGGATCTTTGAACCTCTTTCTTTCTCTATCAAAATTAGAGGGTGTTTCGATGATGGCTTTTGATTAGCCGTCTTGTATACGATGTGTGGGATATGAGCGAAACAAAAATAGATCAACACCGCGAGGAAGAGGTTGCAGGAGCAGCAACTTCTGCTGCTCCAGACCGAGGCGTTTGATGCGGGTAATATCGGGTCGCTGCTGTATTATTATCTTGGCTGAGTCAAGTCGTGATGCCGAAAGTGCTCGACTCTGCATCTCTCTCATCTCTCCTTTACTGACTTGTCTCAGTTCTCGCGATGGGCGCTTGCGGTGAAGACGAATACGGGGATGGGTAGGAATTTGGTGGGGAGATTCTGTTGGGAGTGGTTACCTCGCTCGCGCGGACACAGAAGAGTTTAGTAACAGAGATCGCTTGCTCTCGCCCAAGTAGTTTCCGTCTCTTGTACAGAGACCGCGATAGACCAGCGGATAACGTATTCCGAGCGCGAGCGCACACACTAGAGAGAACCCGAGTAACCACCAGCCTGTTCTTCATATTCGTAGGCCAGCGAAAGAAAAGAGAGAGGCTGTCGTTCTCGCCTACATGTGCCGAAGTGGGCAGACAGAGCCTCTCGCATTTCGGTCTACAGGGTCCATTTTTCCTGGCCATCTCGGCAGAATGCGCCCGATGAGCTGTGCCTCGTAAGCGGAATTCAATCCTTCCATGGCGGACTCTGCGGGGGCAGGTACTTCCACGAAAGTAAAAAGAGAGAGATATGCTTCTGCTGGCTCTTGCTGCTTGGTGGGTGCGGAACATGGCTGGTTTGTTCCTGCGGTGGACTTCTGGATTTAGATATCGGATTCTAGAGGAGACTGGGAACAGAGCGCGATCGCAGACAGAGCGACCAGCCTGAAACCAAAGATCTTGGCTCTTTTGTCTTGCTTCTATCCATAACAACTACGCTAAGAAAGAATCGGAAATCAATCATTCTTGATATAATATAAATGCAGAGTGCAAGTAGCAGATCAGTCTCTGAGCAGCTGCTGTTTTCTAGTAGATCGAGTAATACAGGATATTTGCATTCTGTTCAGAATAAGATCTATGCTCTGTCTTTATCTCTTTCGTCATTGTCTCGAGGTTCGTCGCAGCCAATTGTCTCGAGTCAGACACAGAACGACGAACCTGCTCCTTGAAAGTAACGAAAAGAGAATAAACTTGGCTTTCGCAAGTAAATAACCGCATATGCTTAATAACAAGCAAACCAGCCAGACCTCTCGCCCGTCCTCGACTTTGAGTCAGTAGTTACCACCTCCTCCCGCTCATTAAATACCAGTAACAGAACATGCCGCTGCTGCTTCTGGGCGCGCTTTGTTGTTATAAACCTGCGGGAACTTGCTCGAGGCCTAAATCTGGCATGTGAAAAGCACATGATTCAAGTCACGTGAATATATCACGTGGATAATGTCACGTGGACAGTCATTATTTTTTCTTTTTTTTTCTTTGCGCAGGTTTGCGAGAGTGGTGAGAGCTGATCGCAACTTCTGCCTCGAAGAAAGCACATGTTTCCTGCATTGCGACGAGTGTGGCCAGGTCAACTGCAACTGCTCTCTCGCCGATCGTTCAGTGCCGCTTACGTTCTGCAAGCTAGCGAAGCATCGAAAAAGCCAGGCAGCAAAGGTAGCAGCAATAAGGCCTACAGCGCGTCCAAGGACAAGCCTTTCAAAAAGCCTTTCAAAAAGCCTTTCGAAAAGCCTTTCAGAAAGCCTTTCAACAAGGACAAGTCTTACGACAGGGGCGACAAGAAGCCTTTCAAGTCTAACGACAAGCCCGACAAGATCAAGTTTAAAGACAGGCCCGACAAGAGGTCTCTCAAGTCTAAGCTCAAGAGCAAGCGCGGCAGGGAGAATTTCAAGTCTAACGACCGGAGCGACAAGAAACCTATCAAGTCTGACGACAAGCGCGGCAAGAAGCCTTACAACGGCAAGACTAGCGAGGAGTTTTTCGGGCGTCCCTCTCAGAAAAAAGGAAAAGACTCTTATTCCAAGCCTTGGGTCAGGGATAGAGCTGCTTGGTACAAGAAAGGAGGTGTTTGGGTTAGGAAAAGCGGTGTTCCTTCATCTCTTTGGTCCAGAGATTTCATCCAAGCAATGTCAATTCAGGTGGAGGGTTTCGACGAGCCTCTGCAGTTGACGAAGCAAGAGACGAAGATCCAGGACTTGCTGGTGAGGGCGTGCCGGGACATTGATATTTCGCAGAAGGATAGGGAGTCGAATCTTGTCTTGCGGTTTACCGGCGGCTGGGTCCGAGATAAGGTATGGAAGACCTCTTCACCGCAGTATTTAGATGGATCAGCTAACAATTTCAAAGATCCTCGGACTCAAAAACCAAGATATCGACGTCGCAATCAACCGGTTGACAGGCTACGAATTTGCCGAAATGCTGCAGCATTTTGTGATAAAAAGGCGACAGTATAAGGCTGCGATGTCTGGGATTATCAAAATCAAAATGAATCCGGATAAGTCCAAGCATCTCGAAACCACGACTACGAAGCTTTTCGGCCAAGAAATCGATCTCGTGAATCTGAGAAGCGAGGAGTATACTAAAGCTAGCCGGATTCCGGTCATGGTAAGAGCACACTTTGTGTTTCATTTCTTTGGTGGGCTTATTGACCTTTTCTCTAGCGATTCGGAACCGCGGAGGAGGACGCCTTCCGCCGCGACGCAACTATCAACGCGCTGTTTTTCAATCTTATGAGCCAGAAAGTCGAAGATCTGACCGGCAAGGGCCTCGAGGATCTGCGCAACAAGATCATAAGGACTCCGCTTGAGCCGCACAAGACGTTTATGGATGATCCGCTGCGCGTCGTGCGACTGGTCCGGTTCGCGACTAAACTTGATTTTACAATCGAGCCAGAGACCGAAGCGGCGATGCGATCGCCGGAGATCCACACGGCGCTGCGAGATAAGATTAGTCGTGAGCGGATCGGACTTGAGCTCATGAAGATGCTCCAAGGTCCTCATCCGGAGCGCGGAATCTTGATGCTTGAATCTCTGGGAGTCTCAAATGCCATTTTTGAGCCGATGATTGGCGTGGCATCCAAAACCCTGCCGACGGAGATCAAGCCGTTTATTGAAGTGATGAACGACCTGCTGAGCCGGGATGCGGTGCCGGTTCTGGGACCGCGGTTTAATCTTAAACATCTCCCGATGATATCGCTCTATTTCTACGCCGCTGTGCGTCAGTGGGGAGCCACGCTGTCGGGGCTGAAGGAGACTAAGACGGTGGTGTTTTATATCATTCGCGATTCGGTGAAACTGCCTGCGTTGTTTGCTAATGAAGTTGCCTCGATTGCTATCCACGCCGATAGGGTTGCGGCTATAGCGACGAAGCAGGATTATAGCCGCAGAGAAGTTGGTATGTAGCTTTTTTTGTAGAGTTTTGATTGTATGATGAGACTAATATGTGTAATTTTAGGATTCCTTGTTCGCGATTGTGGTGAGAACTGGAGAATCGATTTCTTTGGCTCGCTGGTACATGAGATTGTCAAGCTTCGCAGCGCAGCACCCGAGGATCCGGAAGAAGCCGAGAGGCTCGAACAAGCTTTAATCCAGCAGTACTTGGACCTCGCGTGGTTTATCGAGTCCGAAAACTTGGCGGAGTCGTGGCGTATGCCTATGCTTTTTGACGGCAACCGGGTTATGACTCTGCTGGAGACGCAATCGGGACCGTTTATGAAGGGCGTGTTGAATGAGATGATGGGGTGGCAGTTTGAGAATCCGAAGGGGACGGTCGCGCAGTGCGAGAAGTATTTGTTGTCGATTAAAGACAAATTTCTTCCGAAGCCGCTAGACTATGATGAGCTTGACGAGCCTGCTGAGGTTGATAAGCCTGCTGAGCCTGCTGAGATTGATATGCTTGATGAGCCTGCTGAGCTTGATGAGCCTGCTGAGCTTGATGAGTCTAATAAGCTTGATGAGCCTGAGAAGCCTAATGAGCCTGATAATTCTCGCTGAACTCTTCGCTGAAATGGTATTTTGTAAATAAAATGTAGCGAGAAAATGAATAGATTGATAATGTATAACTGAGAGTAATGCTAGATGCAGCCCAGTCTGAGCAAGCCTGCATTTTCCACTGCTTTGGCAAGATCGACCTGTACGCCGTCGAGTTTAATCACAATAGTATTCCACTCCTCAAGCAAGCGCATCACTCTCTTCACAAGCAACGCATCTCTATCCTTCTCCATCGCCAACCTCTCGACCTCCTTCGGATCAACGAGATTAAGCATGCGAGTCGCGATATCAAGCACGATGCGGAGCAGTTCGCGCTTTGCGCTCTTGCGCATGACGATTCTGAGCGCGAGGATTTGCCAGAATGAGAAACGCTCGGATTTGAGCAGACGGCAGCGGTATTTTGCAGGAGAGAGCAGGACGAGCGCGGAGCGGGCTTGCGCGTAGAGGGATGAGAGTTCTGTGGTCGAGGGTATTGCGAGGGAGGTGGTGGGGACAGAAGGGGAGGAGGGGGTATTATTTGAGAGCAGAGAGAGGGCGACAGAACAGTTTGAGAAGGTGAAGGTTGTGGGACAGTCTGGGATTGAGAGGCCGCCGAATTGTTGGAAGGCGGTGGGAAGTAGGTGTTGTTGCTGATCACGGAAGTCGGCGGGAGCGCAAAGCTGCAGACGGGAGAGATATTCAATTGACGGAAGACTGCTGGTGTTGCCGCCGCCGAGTGGCTTGGCTGGTTGAAGAACAGAGTAGTTTGAGATGGCGTAGGTGAAGGAGGAGGAGCTGGGATCCGGGCAGTTTGCGAGGGCGGCGGCGGTGAAGGCTGGGTTGCCGAGGACCTGGGGGCCGGTGATGATCTGGGATATGCCGGAGAGGAGAGAGAGGATGAGGGAGATGATGCGGAGGAGGTGTACGAGCGCTGGAGTTGCCATGGTGCTGTTGCTGTTGTTGTTGATGTGTTGATGTGTTGATATCAGAGTAAAAGCTGGGGAAGAGAAGATGAGGAGGTTGTTTTGGGTCGAAGAGCACGAAGCGGCTTTGATCTTCCCGTCCGCGTATCGTCAATTGCAGATAGAACCAGGTTTGGCAGTGATTGATTCCGGAGTGTGTTGTTTGATTTTTCTTTATTTGAATTGAGAGAATTGAAACAGAGGCAAGATGTCGGACGACGATTTCATGATGGAGTCCGACAACGAGGACGTACGTATCCAGATCACGACTTTTACCTACTCCATCTAACACCAGACACAGTATGACTTTGAGTACGAAGACGACGACATGGCGTCGAATTCCTCAAACGTCGACATCGAAAACAAGTACTACAACGCAAAAGCACTAAAAGAGGAAGACGACATCGAGCCCGCGATCGCCGAGTTCCTGGGCGTGGTCGAGAGCGAGCCCGAGAAAGGCGAGTGGGGATTCAAAGCGCTGAAGCAGGTCGTCAAGCTGCTTTTCCATCGCCAGGAGCACGAGCGGACGCTAAAGTACTACACGCAGCTGCTGACGTATACAAAGTCTGCTGTGACGCGGAATTACTCGGAAAAGAGTCTGAACAATATCCTCGACTACGTCTCGAGCGGGACGTCTGACGTTGGGTTTATGGAGAATTTCTACTCAATCACGTTGACTGCGCTCGAGGACGCGAAGAACGAGAGACTGTGGATTAAGACGAATCTGAAGCTGGCGAAGCTGTGGCTTGTGAGGGGGGAGTATGGTCGGTTGAACAGGATTTTGAAGGTCTTGCATCAGGCGTGTCAGATGGACGATGGCGGGGACGATCAGTCAAAGGGAACGTATCTGTTGGAGGTTTACGCGCTCGAGATTCAGATGTATACGGAGACCAAGAACAACAAGAAGCTAAAGGTAGATATCTAGCTGTCACTACGTTGCTGTAACGATGTTGAGCTAATGACATACAGGAACTATACAACCGCACGCTGCAGATCAATTCGGCGATCCCGCATCCTAAAATCATGGGCGTGATTCGCGAGTGTGGAGGAAAGATGCACATGTCAGAGAAGCAATGGGAGAAAGCGCGCGAGGATTTTTTCGAGTCGTTTAGGAACTACGACGAGGCCGGCGACGCGCAGCGGATACAGGTGCTCAAGTACCTCGTGCTGGCGGTCATGCTCTCGAACGCGGACGACATCAACCCGTTTGAGTCGCAGGAGACGAAGCCGTACAAGTCGAATCCGCAGATCGCGGCGATGAACAGCCTGGTGGACGCGTACCAGCGGTCGGATATCCATGATTTCCAGGCGGTCCTGCGCGAGAACGGCGGGCGGAACGGGATCATGAGTGATCCGTTCATCCAGTTTTATCTCGACGACGTGCTGCGGCGGATCCGGTCGAAGTTTGTGGTGAACATGATTGCGCCGTACTCGCGCATCGAGGTCGCGTACCTGGCCAAGACGCTCGGGATCACGGACGAGGAGATGGAGGATCTGCTGGTGATGCTGATTCTGGACCAGCAGATCAAGGGCAAGATCGACGAGGTCACGGGCCGGCTCGAGATCGAGGTTGCGGCGGACACGGGCGCGGAGGAGGCGGTCGCGGGGACGGAGAAGCGCGAGCGCGAGCAGGCGGCGCGGGCGGCTGCGGCGGAGGACACGCGGTTCAAGGCGCTCGGGATGTGGGGGACGGGCGTCGGGCGGCTTACGAGGGCTGCGTTTGCTACGGCGGGAGGGGTGGAGCCTGGGTTTATGCGGGCGTAGGGTGATTAGATAATGGAGGAGGTGAGAGGATGAGAGGGGAGGAGAGGATCAGGCGATGGCAGGTTGCTTACCAATGCTGCGGCTGCCGCGCTCGGGGTGATGTGACCACGGCGCTGGTCAGCAATACACTGTTTAAATATAAGAAATGACGTGGAGGGAAGAGAGAAGGAAGTAGATAAGAGTAGAAGAGTAGAGCAGAGAAGAGTAGAAGAAGTAGTGGTGTTGCGATATCGATATTGCCGGTATCGGAGATCTGAGGAAGCAGACAATCTGAGGAAGCAGCACTCGCGACCAGCAACATTGATGATAGCAATTGAATAGAGGTCAATTGAGAAGATACAGTAAATATCTACACACAGATATCAATAACAACTACAAAATACCCCCCCAAACAGCCAAAAGCAGCAGCAGATAAGAGGATTACTAATATCAATTAGCCAACTAGCAAACGAACCTTAAACCAATTTCATCATCGCCAAAACCAGGCTGCTCGGTTCTCCTGCTTTCTGCTCTGCTCTCCCCGCCTCGCTCTTCCTGCTTCCGAGTGTCCGTCTGCGCTTCTTGTTCTGCTCTGTTACTGACGACAGAAGCACTGCCGGCTTTTGTCTGTTATTCGCATCTTCCGCGCGATTGTTGTTGACGACCGAGAGGCGGAAAAGCAAAAAGAGTCTCGTTCGTTTACCCACTGCTGCCATCACCACCACCACCAACTCTTCGTTCGCTGCTCAATTAGATTCACATTGTTGTAATGGGTTTGCTGTAAGTCTCAAGTCTTTTCTCCGTCCTGCTCACCGCTCGCAACTCGTGCTCAATAGAGGCGTGATGCCGGATACCGTGCGGTCTTTTCCCCTCTTCACCGGAAAACTGACACCTCTTTCTCTCTACAGCTCATTGGGAACCCCACTGCCGTGGAAAGAAGTCGAGAAGTACGCGAGCCATGTGCGCGAGCATGGAATCACCGTATGTCTAGTCACTTTGCCTATAGAGCTAGGGTGGACCTCGCGCTGACCTTGTGCTGACCCGTCTAGCAATTCTTGCATATATGGAATAATACCAAGGATAAGAAAGGAAATATCCTTCTCTGGGGTGATGAGGTGAGTGATTTTCTTTATATCTCTAATCTGCTTCTGTACTGACAAGGACAGGTCGAGTATATGGTCGTCTCCTACGACGACGAGAAAAAGAATGCCCTGCTTTCTCTGCGACAGGCGCAGATCCTGCACGACTTGGAAGAAAACGAAATCAAGCAGCGCAAGATCGAAGATGCCGAGGGTGTTGAGTGAGTCTTCTTCTTTCATATCTCTCTCTCGCTTGCCTGCACGACTAACAACAGCAGACCCAACCAGCGCATTCCAACATTCCACCCCGAATACGGTCGCTACATGCTCGAGGCTACCCCCGGCTATCCCTACACCGCCTCGTTCGACGACCTGCTCAACGTAGAGCGCAACATGGAGCGACGGCGGACGATTGCGATTGCGAATCTGCTGCCGAACGAGTTCCCCGTGACGCTGGCGTCGTACCCGCGACTAGGCGCGCCGGGCCAGTTCACGGACCCGTACTATCCGCCGACGGGGCCTGCGAGTCGGTCGTTTTTCCTCCCGGATGAGCTGATTAACCCCCACGCGCGGTTCCCGACGTTGACGGCGAATATTCGTGAGCGGCGAGGGTCGAAGGTTGCTATCAATGTGCCGATTTTCAAGGATGAGAAGACGCCGAGTCCGTTTATTGACCCCACGATCCCGGTTGACCGCGATCTCTACCCCGAGGACGCGAACGCAAAGGACGGGGCAGCGCTGGCGGACCATATTTATATGGACAGCATGGGGTTCGGCATGGGCTGCTGCTGCTTGCAAATCACGTTTCAGGCGACTGATATCGACGAGGCGCGTCGGCTGTACGACCAGCTCGCGCCGCTGAGTCCGATCTTTTTGGCGCTGACGGCGGCGAGTCCGGCGTGGAGAGGGTACCTGAGCGACCAGGACTGTCGGTGGAACGTGATTGCCGGGAGCGTGGACGACCGGACTGAGGAAGAGCGCGGGCTGAAGCCGTTGCAGAAGAACCGGTTTGTGATTCCAAAGTCGCGGTATGATTCGATTGATTGCTATATTTCGCGAGGGGCGGAGTATAGGGAGGAGTACAATGACATCGAGCTTGTGAAGGATGACGAGATCAAGAAGATGCTGACGGACGCGGGCGTGGACGACGCGCTGGCGAATCACTACGCGCATCTGTTTATCCGAGACCCGATCGTTGTGTTTTCGGAGCTCGTGAACCAGGACGACGCGAACTCGTCTGATCATTTCGAGAATATCCAGTCGACGAACTGGCAGACGATGCGGTTCAAGCCGCCGCCGCCGGGATCGGGGATTGGCTGGCGCGTGGAGTTCCGGAGTATGGAGATCCAGATCACTGACTTCGAGAACGCGGCGTTTGCGATTTTCATTGTGTTGCTGACGCGGGTGATTTTGTCGTACAAATTGAATTTCTATCTGCCGATCTCGAAAGTGGATGAGAATATGAAGGTCGCGCATTATCGGGACGCGGTGTTGAATGAGAAGTTTTATTTCCGCAAGGATGTGTTTGCGCGGGAGGAAAGCCATTCGGAGGAGGTGCCGGTGGAGGAGGAGTATAGGCTAATGACGATGAGCGAGATCATCAACGGCAAGAAGGGAGACGGGGAGGAGTTTCCGGGACTAGTGCCGCTAGTGCAGAGTTATCTTGACCGGATGTCGATTGATGTGGACACGCGGTGCCGGCTGAATGCGTACATGGAGCTGATTTCGAAGCGGGCGAGCGGCGAGCTTTGCACGGCTGCGAGTTGGATGCGCGGGTTTATTCGCGGGCATGAGGCGTATAAGTTTGACTCTGTGGTGAGCGCGGAGATTAACTATGATCTGGTGAAGATGGTCGAGAAGTTGACAAAGGGAGAGGAGTGGGATGGCGTTGGCGCGTCGCTTTTGGGGGGGTTGGCGGGAGGGCGGTAGTGTAGATGCTAGAAGTAGAAGTAGAAGTAGAAGTGGAAGTGGAAGTGGAAGTTCTGCATGGCGAGTTGAGATGTACTATATACAGCATTTGGTAGAACGATGGTTGATTAGACTGCTATGCATTCTTTGATATATGATAGTATATAGAATAATAAGAAATCGATTTTATGAGTTTTTTTTGATGCAGCTAGTATATGTACAAAATCAAAAACGCACGACGAAGATAAAGATCTAGAATGACGACAGGCACGTCCCGAGAACCCCATGAATACCGAGAGAAGAACAAGAGAAGAAGTGGTGGTGAAGTAGTGGAGGAGTAGGAATTGGTGATGCATTTGACATTGCCATGTCATTGAAGGGAGGGGGAGGTGATTTGAGAGTATGAGATTTCTGAATGAATAACATCTGTGCATCATCCACAGCTGAATCTCAGCACTTATTCGGCGGTGAGAGCGGCGGCATCAGCAGCAGCGGCGGCGGAGGCAGCAGCAGCTTTCTGCTTCTGGAGGGCGTTGACGCGGGACTGGAACTCCATGTACTCGCACTTTTCGTAGGAGTGTCGCTCGTCGACGCACTTCCAGGGCAGGTACAGGGTCTGGCGACGGCACTTGTTGAGCGGGATCAGCAGGGACGCGCACCGGTCTCTGTATCCGAGCGGGAGGGAGGCCGCCTTCATTTCCTCGTGGGTGGCTGTAGATGTAGATGTTAGTAGATGGGTTGATATAACGTGAATCTGACGCGGGACTGACATACCGACAGGCGGCCAGGCATAAGTCTCAGGAGTCTCGTGTCCCATTGCTGAAGCTGATAAGAAGAACTGCGGAGAGAAGCGGATTGAGAGAAGCAGAACGGGGTCGAGCAGATTGGTTGCGGAGACGTTGGAGATGTTGTCGAGGCGGCGGTTGCTTTGAGGCGTCCGTGATTGGCCGTGGGTGGGGCGAAATGTGTGAGTGTTGTGGTGTAAATACGCTGAAGATCAGGTGTTTATGCAGTTGCTTTATATGTGTTTTGTCTGTTATTTGTAGTTGTTCTTTTGTCTGTTCTCGTTGAAGATTGTGGAGACTAAAAAGTGGGATTGAATACAAGTACAAAAAGGGGAGGAAGAAGCCAACTGGGGGATGCTGCTGCTATTACCTATTCCGGTATCTGCTCACCTCTACACAACCACTTCCTGCTCCCTTCACTATTAAATACAATAACTAGTAACTCATGAAATAAAGCAATCTACACTGTATTTCTTCTTCTAAAAGCAATCTCTTCTATATACACCTTCTATCATCCACAACGCTGCTCTGCTCTGCTCAGCATAAGTGCGACGCCGCGCGCTGGCTTCGACGCGTAAAATCCAGCGGCTTTGGTTGCGTTGCGTCCTCAACGCGCCTTTTCTCTTGTCTTTTGCCCGCTTTTCCCTTCTTTCCGCCTCTTTCTTCGCATCTGAAGCAGTTCTACTCATCTCTGTCTTCTCCGCGCACTCTTCTTATCCTACTCTCTTCTTCAAAAGGTATTTCTGCTTCCTGCGCGGCCGTGCGGTCTAGTTCTTCCCACACGCGTGCTCCCCTTGCCTTCCCCCCACCGATCTACTTCGCTCTATCTCCAACCACCTTCGCTGCTCTCGTTCGTCATTCTAACTGTTCTCTGGCCCTTATCGGGTTCACCTTCTTCTATCTTCCTACAGTGCGCACCTTAATCTCGTCTGCTCCCTGACACCTCATCTCCTCGAACATACGCTACACCCCACCACTCAATTACATCTCAATTACACCTCACCACTCCTCTGCTATCTCATAGCTGCTGCGACACGACCCGACAGTAACTCCAAGATATGGTGAAGATGGCCGACAAGCGACGAGACACAATCTACAAAGCCACCTACTCTGGCGTAAGCCCTCCCCCCCCCCCTCTCTCTCCTAAATACTCACGAAACCCAGGTCCCGGTCTACGAATTCATATGTCGCAATGTGGCCGTCATGCGTCGTCGATCAGACGCATGGATGAACGCGACGCAGATCCTAAAGGTCGCAAACTTCGACAAGCCCCAGCGTACCCGCATCCTCGAACGCGAAGTCCAGAAAGGCGTGCACGAGAAAATCCAGGGCGGTTACGGAAAATATCAGGGTGTGTACCAGTCTACTTTTTGTTTGTCTTGTAGGAAACCACAGCACTGACAATTATTTAAGGAACATGGGTCCCGCTAGATCGAGGCCGCGAGATCGCGCTGCAGTACCACGTCGAAGACGTTCTCCGCCCTGTATTCGAATTCCGTCCGTCGTCAACCAGTCCGCCCCCGGCACCGAAACACATCACCGCGTCCTCGATCCGGGGACGGATTGCTCGCGGCGGCGCTGCCGCTGTGCCGCGCGCCTCGGCGGGGTCGATTGCGGCGACGAAACGCGCGGCCGCTGCGACGGCTGCTGCTGCTGCTGCTGCTGCTGCGGCCGCGGCGGCGGCGGCGGGGAGGGCTGCTGCTTTTGGAGGACGGGGACGGGGGCGGGGGCGTGGGCGTGGAGGGCATTATGGGAGGATCAATCGCGGGATGGAGGAAGAGTCTGATGAGGAGGATGACGACGACGACGACGATGACGACGACGACGAGGATGATGTCAAGGCTGTAGCTGCCGTGGACGACGACGATGACGACGACGATGATGACGACGATGATGATGACGACGGGGATGACGTTATGGTCGACGCGCCGCGGCAGCAGTACGCGCAGCAAGTCGTCACCGACGACGACATGACTCCCGACTCTGCCTCGCTCTCAACCCACTCCTCGACCGGCAGCGACAGCGCGTCCGAAGACTCTGACGCTAACAGCGGCGACTTCCACCACCACCACCACAACCACCACCCTCGCCAGAACAGCCACCACGCGCAGCAGCAGCAGCAGCAGCAGCAGCGGAGGCGGAAGCGCAAGATTGAGGAAGCGCTGGGCACGGCGCATTCGCATGCGCGCATCGGCGAGGCGCAGATCGAGTACTCGAACCGGCTGCTGGATTACTTTGTCTCGCCCGAGAGCGACAGCATACCCGATTTTCTCGTGCACTCGCCCGCGGACTTTGACGTCAACGCCGCGATCGACGACGAAGGACATACTGCCTTCCACTGGGCGTGCGCGATTGGGCATTTCCGGATGATTGACGTGCTGCTGCGGGCGGGCGCCAATATCACGATCGTGAACAATCTCGGGCAGACGGCGCTGATTAGGTCGATTATGTTTACAAACAACTACGAGCGGCGGACGTTTCCGCGGATCGTGGATCTGCTGCAGACCACGATCTTCCACATCGACCGATTCGGACAGACGGTGCTGCATCATATCGCGGCCATCACGACGTCCAAGACAAAGCAGTCGGCCGCGCGGTACTATATGGAGACGGTACTGGGCAAAGTGACAGAGACACAGAGTCCCGAGACATTAATGCAGTTCCTGAACCAGCAAGACAGCAACGGCGACACGGCGCTGCACATCGCGGCGCGGAACGGGTCGCGCAAGTGCATCAAGGTGTTTTTGAGCTACGCGGCGAACCCGCAGATCCCAAACAAGCAGGGCCAGACGGCGCAGAACATGCTGTTTGGCAGCGGCGGAGCGCACCAGAACGGAAGCATAAAGTCGTCGTCGTCGCCGTATCAGCAGAGCGAGCACCACGGCGGCTACGCGCACCACAGCCATCATCACCACCATCACCAGTCGACACAGAACCACGCGCTTGCGAACGGGAACGGAGCCGCGCACTCGCGAGCGGCGAGTTTTAGCAGCGCGGGCGCGCGGACACCGTCTGCCCAGCGACGGACGAGCGCGGCGGCGGGAGCGATAAACGGCACGCCGCTGCTACCCCCTCCGCAGGAGGATTTAGAGAACGGCGAGACGGCGGAGGCGGCGTCGACTGTGGTGCCGGTGCCGCCGGCGATGACACTGCTTGCGTCTGGATCGCTTGCGCACGTGTCGTCGCCGCGGCCGCATGTATCTGAAGCCGCGATCGAGGCGACGCAGAAAGTCGTGCCTGCGATGGCTGATCACCTCGAAGCGCTAGCGACAGCATACGACGCCGAGTTGCGGGACAAAGAAGCGGATCTTGCGCAGGCGACGCAGTTGCTCGACAACATGAGGCGGGATATCCGCGCGTACGAGAGCGCGGTGAAGGAGTTGGCTGCGGAGTATGGGGACGAGGAAGGAGATGAGGGGAAGGAGAAGTTGGTGAAGGTTGCGGAGGGGCGGGCGCAGGAGCGGGTTGTTGCGCGGGCGAGGGAGTTGGAGAGGTTGGTTGAGCGGACGCAGAAGCGGGAGCTGAGCGCGCTGGTGAAGGAGGAGGAGGAGAGGGTGCTGAAAAATGAATCCGAAGACAGCAGGGAGTCGACTACAGAGAACAAGCCTGAGCAGCTGGCGAAGGAGCTGGTCGAGTTACAGGTCGAGCGCAAGAAGATGGTGAGCGAGATCATTGAGCTGTGGGCGGGCGCCGGGGTGGGCGAGAAGATGAACGAGTACCGGCGGTTGATTTCGATGAGTTGTAATGTGCGGGTGGAGGAGATTGACGAGTTGTTGGATGGGATCGCGCAGGCTTTGGGGGAGTAAAAATGTCGTGACTCTGCTTTTTGATTGTTTAGTTGCGTTGGTTGTAATATAGTAATATTAGTCGTTATTTATACAAAGAACTAGAACTATAGACCCGAATGAACACAAAAAACCCCGTATGATATAATACAAATGCAACATTACTCCTCCTCGTCTTCCTCCATAGGCTCATTTACAGCCTCTCTTATCTGCTTGATGATACTCATGATTGACTTTGAGGTAGGCGAGTCAGGATACTCATCCAAGAAGCTCACGCCATAATCACAAGACTGCCCGATCCTCGGATCCAACGGCACCGATCCCAGAAACGGGATCTCGAGTTCTTCAGCCAGAGCCTTGCCGCCTCCGGTGGTAGGCGCAAAGATGAACGATTCGCCTTTACAAGAAGGACAGACGAAGCCCGACATGTTTTCGACGATGCCGAGGATAGGAATCCCCGCCTTTTTGCAGAAATCGATTTCTTTCCGCACGTCGAGTAAGGCTACTTCTTGAGGCGTGGTGACGATGACGGCGCCGTCGATGCCGGATTGCTTGAGGTATTGGTTTACAGAGAGATGCTCGTCTGATGTTCCAGGCGGCGTGTCGACGACGAGAAAGTCGAGAGTGCCCCAGTCGACGTCTTTGAGGAACTGCTTGATCAGTCCCGACTTCTTCGCGCCCCGCCAGATGATCGCGTCGTCTTCGTTCGGAAGCATGAAGCCGATACTCATCATTCCCAGATTGTCAGCCACGTAAACCGGACTCCAGCCCGAGTTCGACATGTGAATCTGTTCGCCACGCGCACCCATCATAGTCGGCATCGACGGCCCACAGATATCAAGATCCATAACCCCGACCTCCCGCTCAGCATCCATAGCAAACGCCCATCCCAGCATCGACGTGAACGTACTCTTGCCCACGCCACCCTTACCGGACAGCACGAGGATCTTGTGCTTGACGCCTTGCATGCGGGCCGCGATGGCGGGAAGGTCCGGGTCGGGGCCTTTGGGCGCGGAGGCGCAGATGATTTGGTTCGGACAGCCTGCGCAGGCGTCGGCTTTGCCTGCGAGGTCGGAGTCGGTGCCGGGGCAGTGCTCTGGTTCGGGGGCGGCGAGTTTGGTGATGGCGTAGGTGGTGGTGGTGGTGGTTGTTGTTGTTGTTGACATGTTTGCTCTTCTCCTGTTGTTTCTTATTCTCTTCTCCTTAATCTTCTCTTCTTGTTCCTCTCTTATCTTCTCTTATATTTCTCTTCTTACTCTCTTCTCAGACTGTTGGTTGTAGTTGCTGCTATCAACTCTTGAAATCAAAAGAATTTCAGTCGAATATCGAATTAATCAGCGTCCGGGCCCTAACCTCAAGCTCCAAATCACGTGAATTGACAAGAGCCGCACGGGTAAAGGCTATTTGATGAGATCTTATTGTTAAGTACAAAGAATTGTGTTTAGTTAAGTAGTTGACTATTGTTTATTGTGGGTGTTTAGTTGCAGTTTTATAAGAGATATCCAAACTTCCAACGCCTTAGAATCAGATACAAGAAGCATTACAAATAACCAAAAACGTAAGAAAATACATAGAATAACCAATCCGTACTCATCATCATCATCATCATAATTACCACTCATAATCTACTCATCAAAAGCCAACTCGGTCGGATCCCAATCCAACCCAAGCTTCGAATACAAATGCACCTGGACCTCGCGCCAGATCACTTTCTGCTCTGATTTCGGGACCGAGATCGGGAGTGGGATCGTGGACGAGGCGGGGATGGTGGGGCGGAATTGGATGGGGATTTGGTGGGTTGGTGGGCTCATTGTCGGGGGTGGTGATGAGGAAGAAGAAGGAGAGTTTGTGAGGGTTTGGAAAAAGTCTTTGGTGGTGCGGGAGATGAAGGATTGCTGCGAGTCGGGTTGGGGAGGAGAAGGAGGAGGGGAGTCAAAGTGAAAGAGAAAAGTGGGTGAAGGGGGAGAAAGGCCGGAGGTGGTTGCCGCAGCTCGCGTGACGAGGGCGCGTTTGAGGAGATTACTCCTGCCGCGAGCAAGTTGCTGCTCGTGTTTGCGGACCGCGCGGTGGATTATCGCTCGCTGCCATAGTTAGTAGGAGTAGTGGTAGTAAGTAGTATGAGAAGTAGAAATACCTGAAAATCAACTCGACACTGGGCTTCACACCCCAGAGCAAGTAGATAATTATCAATAACCCTGCGCCATTCAGGCTTTGACAAGACTTCAGTCCGATGAGGAAGACAGAGGTCGATAGTCTCCCGCGCGAGACGGCGGCGGTGGGTGGGCGAGAAGTCGAATTCGAGGTACAGGTCAGAGGAGGCGAGTTTGTCGACGATGGTCTCGTCGTCTGCGGTTAGAGGGAGGACAGTGATGTGGAATGCGTCCTCGCGGAGGGGAGGGGGAGTGAGGGAGAGGTCGTCGTCCGGGGTGTACCATTGAGGGAGGATGTCGGGAGAAAGAGCCGGGAGGAAGCAGAGCGAGCGGAGATCGTTGCGTTCCCAGTCGACGAGGGGGCGGTAGGTGAAGGACGGGCGTCGGAGGTAGAGGTCCGCGAGGCCGAAGGAGGAGAGGAGGAGGCCGCAGTCGGGGAGGGAGGAAGAGGAGAGGTAGAGAGGAGGCTCGGGCGGGAAGAGGGAGAAGAGCTCGGGGGGTAGAGGTCCGAGAAGTCGTTCGGGATGATGTCGAGGAGGGAGAGGCGGGGGGCGGCGGCAGAGGAGGAGGAGGAGGAGGATAGGGAGGAGGAGGGCGAGTCCGGCCCTGAAGAGGGAGCTGGAGTAGTAGTCGAAGCTCTGACTGTCTTTGTCGACGAGGCCGAGCGACGGAAGAGCGAGCGGATCGAGGACGAGCGGAAGGTATCAGAGTCGGAGTCGGGGTCGGGAAGGCGCCCGAGGTCGATGTCGACGGACTCGACGTGCTCGAAGTCGTTTTGTTTGGGGGAGGCGGCCTCGACGTGCTCAATCTCTATTGTCTCCATGTGTAGATGTTGTTTGAGGAGATATTCTTCAGTATCGAGGAAGAGAAGCGGTGACAACGTGCGGATCTAGGGTTTTGCGGGGAGCAGATCGCGCGGCTGAGGCCCGAGCCGAGGGGAGAAGATGTGTCTGCTTATTCTCAAGATATATCTACTTATAAGATGTAATAGATATAATAGAATAGAATGATAGATAATAGAGCAGAAAAATATATATACAAAGCAGAATATATACACGTATAAATACATCCCGTGGCGCGCCATCTCAATCATCCGACGACGGCATCGCCTGATCCATCAGCCCATCTCTTCTCTTTTCCTCTTTCGGTAACTATTCTTCACCGCTTCTTCTTCTCTTCTTCTTCTTCTCTTCTTCTTCTTCTCTTCTCTTCTACTCTTCTCTCTTCAGAACTCTCTCCGCAACCCCCCTCCGCTCCTCATGCAGCCTCCTCACCTGCCCACTCGCCTCCCCATCTCCAAACCCCTCCCCACAACCCCCCGCCCCCTCCACAACCCTCCTCAACACCCTCTCCAGCATCGCCCTCGACCCTTTCCTAAACCGCGACTCGCTCGGCCCCGTAGCCATAAACCCCTCCAGATTAGCCCTTCCTAATCTGCTCTCTTCGTCTTCGTCTTCTCCTTCGAACGTCGAGTTCGGTAACTGCCCCGACGCCAGCGCCACCAGCGTCCGGAATGACTCGCCGTCCTCTCCTGACACCGTATACTCCCCGAGGTAATTGTGCTTCTTCAGAAACTCGCACCGTCCACACATCCTCCCTCCGTCATTGCAGGTTTCTTCTCCCCCATGCAGCTCCGCAAACACCTCCTCCGTCACATCCAGCTCCGAATTCCGGTTCCTCTCCAGCATAAACCCATACTCACACAGCAGAAATCCATTCGAATGCGGCCCGTAGCATAAAAAGATCTCCTCTCCCGCCTCATACCTCCTCTTCGCCCACAGCCCGAACCGCTTCCGCACGCTTGCCTTCGCGTCCGCGTACACCCCGATCGCGCAATTCTCCTCCTCCTCGCTGTGGTTCACGAAATCAATCAGCGGCGCCAGCGTCATGCAGTCGTTCGTCGTTCGCGCCTCGGCCATTTTGTAAAACAGACACCGCGAGTTCACGCACATCCACGCCCACACAAACTTCGCCATCTCCTCCTCCTCCTCCTCCTCCTCGCTGTTCTTCATCACAAACACTCGCTTCACGGCCGCTAGATCGCCTATGACCTGCGCACTCATCCGCTTCGCGTGCTCAATAGTCGCTCGCGGGAGTAACTCCACAAACCGCCTTCGACTCTTGTAGTCCAGCACCTGCCACACCATCGGCGCGAGCCCAAACTCATCCAGCGGCGGCAGCACATCCAGAAACGGCTTCCATTCGCTTGCATCCCCTTTTTCACATTCATGAAGAAGAAAGTAAGATAGAATCTGCGGTGACGAAAGGCTGTCCAGCACTCTTTTTCGTTGTTTTCGTATACTGTCGGTTGTCGTCGTCGTCGTCGAGTGCACGGCAGACACCCGCGGTCTCTTATCTTTTGGAACCTCGATATCACCACCCTTCTTCATCTTGAATACACCCCCCCCTCCTCCACCAACACCTTCTTCGCCGTCCGCGGATTCAACAGCGCGTCGGTGGGAAATTCAATCAGTTTTTCCTCCGCCTGCACACACTCCCCCCCCTGCACCACCACGATGCCGATTCCGCGGCCGGGAATCGACTTTGCGCGTATCTTTGGCGAGATAACTACTCCCCGCGCACGCAGCCAGTCCAGTAACCTGTCGATCTGCTCGTTCGTCGCCGGCATCGCCGTTCCTTGTGCTTTCGCTTCTGGTGATGTTGAGGATGCGCTGAGGGTTCCTTGATCTCTTCCGGTTAGGGCGAATGTTTCCAGTAATCGCTTTCTAATCAGAATATTCCTCTCGACAATATCAGATATCCACTTCTACTTCTTCCTTCACTCTACAGCACACACAAGATGATGCGAAGGGCACTACAACACATCCACATCAGCAAACCGCACAACCCAATCCCCTACGCCTCCGCCGCCCGCATCCAAGACCACTTTGTCCGCGCAAACCTCGACTACAAGCTCGCCGCCTCCGCCGCTGCTCCCGATGCCCCCGCCAGTCCGCCTCCGCCGCCGACGGTGCTCACGATGGAGATGCGGCCGGTGTATACTTTCGGTCGACGGCATGTTGATGATCCGGACGCGAAGCGGCAGATCGAGCGGTTGAAGACCGAGGCGCCTGGTGCGGACTGCGTCATCACTCAGCGCGGAGGGCAGGTTACATTTCATGGACCCGGCCAGCTCGTTGCTTTTCCTATTTTAGATATCAAAGAGTATAACGTGAGTCCTCTTCTTTTTCTTCACAACTCCTACATCTCAGCTAACAACTCCAGCTCCGTACGAAATGGTACATCTACGCCCTCGAACACGCCGCCATCGCAACCCTCACCAACGACCCATTCCACCTCACCTCCGCGCAAACAACAGACAACGTCGGCATCTGGCTCTCCCCCACCGACAAAATCGGCTCCGTCGGCGTCCATCTCCGCCGCAACATCTCCTCCCACGGCGTCGCCGTCAATCTCTCGACCGACCTCACCTGGTTCGAGCATATCGTCGCCTGCGGACTGCCGGACGCGCGCGCGGTCTCGGTGCGTCAGCGGATCGGCGAGGAGAGGTGGCAAGGGCTCGAGAGCGAGAGGGAGGGGGCGGATATGCTTGAGTGGTTTGCGGGGTTGTATGTCGACCGGTTGGCGGAGCAGTTGGAGTGTGGGGTGGAAAAAGTCAAGCTCGAGGATGTATACAAAGAATAACCTGTACATATGTATATACTGTATTTATAGACACTAGAAAGATAGACAAACTCCATTGCTAGATGCAGACGCTAGATGCAGACAATCTACAACCTATATATATATATACTCCTCAACTATCATACACGCTCACGCCAACCCATTCAACACACTCATCATCCCCATCCCCACAACCACAACCACAACAGACGACACAAGCGGCACCACCACCCGCACCGTCACATTCCCCTTATTCTCTCCCCTGTGCTGCAGTTGACTCAGCGACTTGCCTTTCAAAGGCGTGTACGCCAGCCGCGGGATCTTCTCGTCGGAATCACCGCCCGCAGCCTCGCTCGACATCTTCCGCGCTTTCTTGAACTGCTCCGGCGTCAGCGTCGATATCCGCGGCATCCCTTGCTGCTGCTGCGGCGACGACGACGACGTCGTGCTCGTGCTCATCCGCCCAAACCTCCCCCCGCTCCGCGTCGGACTCGACCCAGGACTCGACGGCACAAACTGAATCCCTTTCTCCCCCTGCATCTGCTGCACCAGATTCTCCAGCGCGCGCGCATTCTCATCCGCCGCGTGCTCGGCTTTCAGCGCGCGGATCTCCCAGTGCTGCTGGTCTCTCCGCGTCTGCTCCAGCTGCGCCAACGCCTGGCCTATCGTCATTGCCTTGCCGTCGCTGCCGCTGCTGCTGCTGCTGCTGCTGCTGCTGCTGCTGCTGCCGTTACTCGTCACTGACGACGCGCTCTGCGTGCTTCCCGACCGCATCCGTCGCTTCTGCTCCTTATCAATCAACGCCATCGTATCCGCCCCTCCTCCACCACCCTCCTCCGCATCCGCCTCATCCGCAGCCACAAGCGGACCCAGCTCATTCTCGTCGTCCTCCGCGCACAAATCACTGATCGCCTGCTCGCGCTCGAGCTCGAGCTCCCGCTGCGCAAGCACGAGTTTCGACTCGGCCTGCTCCCGCGCAAACGACTCCCGCTCAAGCAGGCTTTCCAACGACCGCATCCGCTCGTTGGCTTCCTGCGCTTCCTGCTCTAAACTCTTTAGCGCAACGGTTAGCGAGAGTAGTTTCTGCTGCGTCTCGGCTGTGTGGTTGATTGAGTCGGCTGCTACATTCGCTTCCAGCAGCTTTGCGGCTTTGTCGGAGCTCGACGATTCCTTGCTCGTAGACACCTCTGCAGCCTTGTTGTTGCTGTTCTCTGCAGTCTCGACCCCCGCCGCAACCTTCGCCGCCCGCTGCGCCGACCCGGCCTGCGCCTGCGCCATCGACTCAAACAGCTGCATCGCGCGCTGCAAGTCCATATTCTGCGCCTTTGCAAACTGCACCTCGCTATTAATCTTCTTAATCACCATCTCCAGCGAAATCGGCCCTTTGAGCGCGGTCGCCGAGTTCGTCGCCATCATGCGCGAGATTATGCGTTGCCGCGGTTTACCCCCGCTGCTTCCTCCACTGCTCGCGCTGCCGCCGATCGTTTTGAGTGAGGCGGCCATCGTGCCGGCGCCGTTGGGCAGGAGGCCTGTGTTTGAGATGCTGCTGTACGCGCTGCGGGAGAAGAGGCCGTTGGAGTTGTGCGGGTCGGAGGCGTCCATGAACGCGCTCATGGAATTGCGGTTATTGTTGTTACCAAACTGCGATAAAAGCTCAAGAGAAGACGGCGAGTCTGCAGAGCCGACGAAATCGCCCAGGCTCGCGTTGAAGTGCGGCGGCGAAGATGCAAACCCTGCTTTAAGCACCTTTGCAGAAACCCGGTTGTGCAGCACAGTCTTTGACTCCTCGCTCGAGATGTCGATGCCGAGGTCGAGCGTGTCGTCAGTTTTGAGCTCGTATGGCTCTGATTCCTCGTTCTCGCCCGAGAGCCGGTGGCCGTTGATGAAGGTCCCGTTCGCGGACTTTATATCGCGGATCCAGACCTGGCCCGACGTCGGATCGGCCCAGATCTGCGCGTGCTGGCGGCTGAGCACGCGGGAGTCGAAGAAGCCGTTGTCGCGGGTGGGGGTGGTGCGCGGGTTGGTTTGGCGGCCGAGCAGGAGGGTGTCGGGGAAGAAGGGGACTTTGATTGTTTTGTAGATAAATGTGTCGTTCAGGGGGGCCAGGCAGAGGTAGACCGGGTTGTCGCGCTGCTGCCGGGGGATTGGGGGGTGATTTGGAAGTCGTGTTTGAGTGAGCCGAGGACGGCGGTGCGGTGGTGGGACGTGTGGGGTTCTGGGAGGTTAGTGAGTGTTGATGAGAACTGATGAGAGGTGGACGTACTTCGCTTGTTTGTAGCGCGTCGTTCCTGGGCTTCTGGGATTGGTGGAGGTGCTGAAGAAGAGTAGATATGAGAATCACTACCAAGAGAGTAAACAATGAGCAACGAACGCGTACCTTCGTTGACGACCGCCGCGGAGCTGGTCTGCTTCTGCGCGGAAAGATGTCCAATCGGCAACGCAGCGCTCTCTGCAGACGCAGCAGCAGCCTGATCCGCGTCCGTCGCCGGAGGAGCGATGTCGGCGACACTGATCAGCTCCATGGACTCGAGAGGGGAGTCGGGGACGATTGTAGTGGCGTCGTCGTCGTCGTCGGCCGCGGGGGTGGAGAGCGGAGAAGGAGGCGATGGCTCCTGCATGTGTGATATTGAGATACTGTGTAGATTGAGAAGGAGAAGGAGGAGGAGGTGGTGGTTATGAAGAAAGAAGCGGTGAAGGTGGTGGAGAGCGGAAGGTGAAGTGACGATGCTGTTCCAGCGCGGCGCGGCTTAAGTTTGGTTTTATTTTTATTTTTATTTTTGTAGTTTTTGTATTTCTTGGTTTCTTATATACAACAAATGCTCTCTCAGACAGAATAGAGATGTTATAACCAGATATCCAGCATCTGAGAGAGCTGATTACATTTGAATCAAAAGTGGAGAGAAGGGCAGAGCACAGAAGAGCACAGCACTACTTCTGCTTCTGCTGCTCCTCCTTCATCTTCTGCTGCATCATGTACTGCTGTAGCAGCATCGGGCGGGACGTGTATCGGTACTCGATCCCGTCGTCAGACCGAATGACTGTGTTTATTCATGTTAGTTCCGTAGAGATCGAGTGAGGTGACTGAGGGGTGGCATACCTGATCCAACTGACATAAACAGCCTACAGAAGAGCTGTTAGTATCCGTCACTGACTATCTGTCTCGGGCAAACGCTAGACGCTAGAACACAACGATACTCACCCAAAGGTAGCAGCCGAACCAAGCATGTACTGGCCCAGCGAGCGCATGAACCCATTCGGTCCCGGTCCGTACCTGACCAGCGTGAATCCTCCTGTGAAGATGAATGTCAGCCCTTCTTCTCCTCCTCGTATTGTGACAAGAAATGCAAAGACACACCAAACAAGAACCCGACGACGATTCCAACAGAGGTCTATATCCACAACACCCAGTCAGCTCCCTTCTCCTCCTCCTCCTCTCTCTTCCACATCACAGCAGACATACACCGGTCAAAAGACCCATCTTGAACTTGTCCCAGTTCGACGGCCCAACCGCGCCGGCCGGATAATGCTGAGGTGGAGGCGGCATCTTCTTCTTTAGTGTCTATTACTGTTCTCGAGTCGCAATCAACAGAGCAGTTGTTCTTCTTCACGACGATTCCGGATAGGAATCAAAATTGAAGATGCGAGAAACAGGGCTGGGGTTCAAAGTCACGTGGACTGCTCCAGAAGAGCTTGATCGCTGCTCGCGACACGCGATGTAAACAAACAACAGCAACAGCAGTAGTGATGAACTCGAGCTATCTTTACAGTCTGCAGGGCTGCGTGTCTTCTTTGCGGATGAGCAATGATTTGGTGTGTATTGTGACTGTTAAAGAGGTGTTGTGCTGGGCTAATGTGAAGGTCATCGCAGCTCTCGTCGTCTATCGCGTCGCTGGATTCAGGCGTCAATGATCTTCCTCGCATGAAAACAGTCTTGAAAACAGACAGAGTGAGTGTGCTTCTGTTTACTTCTACTCGTTCACATCAACTGACACTACGCGCAGGTCTTTGAAGTCGTCCCCGAATCAGAGGTAAACACAGTCAAGCAGTCCCTCCAGGGCGAGGTCGAACCGCAAATCATCGATCTCTTGAAGATGGCAGATACTGCTATCTCGCGTCTCGAGCGGCGGGAGAAGAATCTCGTCGCAAAGGTATTTATCTACTCTTCTCTACTCTGTATGTATTTATGCTAATCAACACATCCAGGCTCAACTGCAAGAGGTACGGCTGCAGCAGGCGACCAGGCGGTATTAAGCAGAAGCAGACTGAGTGTAATGAATATATCTTGAAATCCACCTACTTCCAATTCATCGCAATCTCTAACTTCCGCAGCGCTTGTCCAACATTAAGCTCCAAAACTATAATAACGATTAGCAGCTGTCTTCACTAAACAAACAACAAAAGTACTCACCATTCAACTTTGAGATCAGAGTCATCAACCCCGGATCCAGACTCTGCACGGTAATTCTCTCCAGCGGCTTGACGTACTGCCCGCGGTACATAAACAGATTCGCCGGATCCGGCATTCGCTTCCTGCCCATGATGCCGCTAAACCAGCTCTTTGTAGACGCCGTCGACATCGTGCTCGACACGGTCGCGATACTGCTCGCCACGCTTGCGTTCGTCGTCGTCCGTGTCAGTTCGCTTGGGGTGGATGGGTTCGCTGTCGTAGATGATGGTTGTGTCTGAGCCTGTGCGGGTTGCGCAGGGGATTGGCCTGGGCCGCCTGTGGTTGAGAAGATTGTCGCGACGTTTGGCGGTGTTGGTCGGGACGAGGACGAGGACGCGCGCTGGCCGGCGACGGAGCGCGAGCTCGTGCTGCCGCCGCGGTAGACGGAGGATGCGGTGGTTGAGAATCTGGCGGTGGAAGCGATTGATGCACCACTGCTTGCGAGCTGTGAGGAAGGCGGAGGAGAGTCTAAAATCTGGAGGGTGCGGATGTCTGCGATGACGCCGGATTCAGATAGTATGAGATCCAGCCCGACGTTTGGCGGCATTTCCGAGACAAAGACAGCCGGATCGATGGTGCTGTAGGGGAATTGAAAGGCGGGGGAGACCGAGCGGATGGAGATGTGGGCGTTGCGGATGTTTGAGAGCAGTTTGCGGAGCTGGGAGAGCACGACGGCGGGCTCGACAAAATCCATTTCCTTGACGACTTGCAGGCAGACTGAGAGGAAGTTTGTGCAGTCGTTGAGTTGCGCGAGAGGGATTACTTTGCCTTCTGCGAGGATGAGATGGAGGACTGTGCCTTTGTTGAGACTGGAGAGTTTGAGATGGATTTCCTGGAGCTGTTAGTATCGCAGTTGATAGTTGCAGTGATAAGAGGACATACGGCCTTGGTGATGTTCTTTCCCTGACGGACAACAAAGCCTTTAAGAGCCTCTGAGCGGTTTGAAGACAGCACAAGAGTAGATCCGGGCTGATCGGACTGCATGAGGGCGATGCACTCGTCGAGGCCGTCGTAGAGGGACTTCATTGTGGTGGAGAGGTCGCGGAGGAGCCATGCGAGTTCGAGGATGGATACTTTGTGCTCCTCGTTGAGGGCCGAGGAGGCGTCGAGGGCAGGGTAGACTGTTGTTGTCATTGTACCTTCTCTGCCGCTGCTGCTGCTGCTGCTGTGAAGATGTGAAGATGTGAGGATAGAAGAGGAAGAGAAGAGGAGGAGGAGGAGTTGCTGATAGCGATCTTTAAACCTTGAATCCCGTGATCTTCTCTTCTTCACCTCTTCTTCACCAACTCATCTCCACATCCTCACCACAATGCGTCCACTGCTCAATAACACACGAGCTATACGGCACATACGCTCTTACACATACAAAACTGAACCCTCGAAATACCCCGGCCATGTGCCGACAAACTGCCTCCAGAAACTGTTCCTAGCTGCCGGCTCGGGCATCTACTCGTTCTTCAACCCCCGTCGCGGAGGTATTCTACTCTCCTCCTTCTCTCTCAAGATCATCCTATTAACACACTCTAGACCTAATTGCGACCCTCGGCGAGGCAACAGCCCTCCCGCCCCTCATGTACCGTCTCCGCGACGTCATGCTCTCCGATCCCACCGGCCGCCGCATCCTCCGCGAGCGCCCTCGCATCACCTCAAAGACCCTCGACATCGCCGCCCTGCGCAAGTACCCCGCCAACACAGTCGGCAAGGTCTACTCCGAATGGCTCGATCTCGAGGGCGTTTCCCCCGACACGCGCGCTCCCGTGCGCTACATCGACGACGCGGAGTGCGCGTACGTCATGCAGCGATATCGCGAGTGCCATGATTTCTACCACGCCATCACCGGCCTGCCCATCATCATCGAAGGCGAGATCGCGCTCAAGATGTTTGAGTTTGCAAATACCCTCATCCCGATGACCGGGATCGGCGCCGTTCTCGCCCCGCTGCGTCTCAAACCAAAGCAGCGAGAGCGACTGCGCACAATCTACTTTCCCTGGGCAATCAAGAACGGCGCGACCGCGAAGCCGCTGATCAACGTTTATTGGGAAGAAGTTCTGGATCGCGATGTGCAAGAGCTCAGAGACGAGCTCGGGATCGAGAAACCGCCTGATCTTCGTCAGCTTCGCAAGCTCAAGATCAGTCATCTGTGATTATATCTAATTATCTCAAATACTCTGTATTAAACATGATGATTATCGTAAGTTATGACAAAAGCAACCATAAACAATCAACTAAACAGCAAACTCCTCGACATTACACTAGTATGAATATTATTAAGAGCCTGCGCAGTTCCCAAATGCTAAACAATACACTACAACAACAAAACAAACGAATTTTGTAAACGCCAGACAAGATAAGTGCCAATATGAAAAAGACCCGAACACACCCACACATGACTCTTCGTAACTAAAAGATCAAAAACTGCTTCCACTACCGGTTTTCTTCGCTGCTCTCGGTCTCTCCGCTCTTTGGCGAAGAAGGAGCCGACGGCGTCTGCGACTGCGACTCGGCATCGGTCACGTCCTGAAGGACTTGTTTGAGCGCCGCAAGCTGCTCTTGTAATGACTCGAGCAAGTTATCTTTCTCGTGGATCACGCTCTCGAGCTGCTTGTTTCTGTGCTCGAGCGCGTCCTGCCTGCGCATCGCCGACGCAACCATCTTGTTTGCTTCGTCGAAAAGTGTACCTGTCAAGTCCTCCAGCTCTTGCTCGATCGACCGCCGATCCGACTCGGCCTGTAATCTCGCGCGCGACTCCTCCATCAACTTCTTCATCAGCGTCGACGTCTCATGCTCGACGTCCTTGCGGTCCACAAGCAGTCCCTTCTCCAACCGCTCAGAGTACGCCCGCTCCGCCTCCTCGAGCTCCGCCACGCGGCTCCGCGCGACTTCAAGCTCGTGCTTTGTCGCCACAAGCGAGTCTTCGAGATCGGCCTGGCGCTCGACGGCCAAGATGAGCTTCGTCGAGAGCGCAGCCACCTCGCGCGAGAGAATATCGACCTCCTCGCGCGGGTCGGCCGCGAGCGAGACCGCGGATGCAGACGCAATCGCGGGAGCGTACGTTTCTTCGTCGTCCGCGGCGGGTTCTGTGCTGCGTTTGCTGCTGCTGCTGCTGCTGCTGTTGTTGTTGTTGTGCTCTTTTGGCGACGAGCGGGAGGACCGCTTCCAGGAGCGCGAGCTGGAGGAGTGCGAGCGGGAGGGCACGGCGGTTGTTGTGGTTGTCGTTGTTGTTGTTGTTGAGGAGTGGCGGGGAGGGGAGTCGGGCTCGTCTGAGTCTGTCTGCGAGGGAGTGGGCGAGAGGCGGGCGAGGAGCGTTTTGTAGACTGTCGACGAGGACGAGGACGAGCCGGGCCCGTGGGCCGCGACGCGGTGGTCCGGCGGGGCGTGGGAGAGAATTTTGAAGAGTAGAGGTGTTGCAACAGCCGGAAGCAGTTGCAGGTGTGTAATGTACACTAGAAGAAGAGGAAAGGTGGCGAGAGGAGGAAGATATCAGAGCGAAAGGCGAATAAGTTTTGGTGAAGAAGAAGGAGCCGGGCGGTGAGGTTGCGGTTAGGGCAGAGCCGGTCTTCTTCGTCCTGGTCATTGTTAAACGCAGATACTCCTCTTATATCTACAACAAATACAACAATGGACGACAGCGAGTTGCAGGCGATTCGACAGGCGAGACTGCAGGAGCTGCAGAAGCAGAGAGGACCGCGGCAGGGAGGTGCTCCTGCGGGCGGTGCTGCTGCGGGAGGCGCTGATGCTGCTCGACAGTGAGTTGGTGTATTATACGATGGCATAAGATGTATTACTGACGGTGCTGTTGTTGTTGTTTACAGGGCAAATGAGGATGATGCCAGAGCTGCGATGGTGAGTTGCTGTGCTGTTGTTTTGTTGGCATAGACAAGGTGCTGATCGTGACCTGAACAGATTGCCCAGATTCTCACCCCGGCAGCAAGAGAGCGCCTGTCGCGCGTGCGCATTGTTCGTCAGCAGAAAGCCCAGGGGTGTGTATTCCTACTATGATCCTCTTCTCTAACTACTTGCCATCTGTTCTGTGTTCTGACTCTGCGCAGTGTCGAGGACCTCCTGATCCGGATGGCGCGAACGGGACAGATCCAGAACCGCGTGGACGAAGACGAGCTGATTAGTCTGCTCGACCAGATTTCTCAGCAAGAGAGTAAAGCGAACGAGACAAAGATTGTCGTGAGTGTCCTTGTTTTTTTGTTGTGCTGTGCTGATGTGTTGATATCGGACGCTAATGGCTCTTACTTCACTTTAGTACCAGACTCGGCGGTATAACTACGACGACGACGATGACCTCGACCTTGATCTGTAGCGTGTATATATCTCTTCTAATCAATACTATAACGATTATCTATCGTCTAATATCCAAATCATCGTAATATCGTAATATCGCATATCGTAATACCTCCTCTCGATGAGCAACCCCCAAACCCAAACCACTTCCCCGAAATCCTCTCCGCCTTCCTCACCCACAACCACCGTCTTCCCTCTGCAAACCACCTCAACCTCTTCTTCCTCTTCTTCTCGCTCAACTCGCTCGGAGCGAATGATCTGCATCTTCCAGCGGATACCATGTACTGGCAATCGTTCCTTCGTCGCTGCGAGAGGAGGTCTCTCTTTGCTATCTAATGTATTACCTATCTCTACTCTCTGTTCTCTTTTCTCTACATTCAATACTAACTCTCCAGGCCTCATCCCTGCGAGCCCACTTCAACGTGAACGCAGTCTCCCGGCTGGTCGCAGAACAAGACTCCGACCTCGCCGACGACCTCTCCGAGAGCAAAGAACTCATCCTCTCCGTCCTCCGCTCGAACGCAACAAAACGCGATGCCCGCAACTACATCACAAAATACTCCCCCTCCGACTTCTCCGCCCCGGCGCTCGAAACAAAGCTCCGCAAGGACTTTTCGAAAAAACTGCTCACCTCGGTCTCCGACGCGGCTGGAAGCTTCGACTTATACGGCTCGGCCCCGATCGAGCTGCGCAACATGATCCGTGTCGCGGTCGTCAAGATCAGCGCGGTGGACTCGATCGAGGAGCAGATGATGGCAAACATCGGGACCACAGTCGCGAGACTCGCGAGGCTGGGCTTGAGCCCGGTTATCGTCGTCGACCCGGCTGATGACGCGGTCGAGGAGAAGAAAGCTACGTGCGCGAACCGCAAGCAGACAAAAGAGCTCGCGCGCATCTCTGAGCGCGTCGCGGCAGCTATCGAAAAGCCAGTAAATCCCTGGCTGAGAGATCAAAGTCGGAGTACTCAGAACGAAAAGGAAAACATCACCAAGAACAAGCGGCCGCGATCGGTAGCTAAAGCAGAAACACTTCCCGCGCTCTTCACGCACGGCAAACCAGGCGACCCCATCAAACTCACCCTCCCGCATCTTCTCCTTCTCGCAATGACAAACAACATCGTCCCGATCGTATCCCCGCTGGTCTACAGCGATGCGCTGTCGCGGTACTCGCTCACCTCGGCCGACGACGTCGTCTACGAGATCGTGACCAAGATCAGCGCGATAAACGAGCCCGACATAATCGCGGTCGAGAAAGTGATCTACATCGACCCGCGCGGCGGAATCCCCAGCAAAGAGCGCAACTCGGGCGCGCACATCCTCGTCAATCTCGAGCAGGAAGCAGACGACATCCTCGCCGAGCTTGCGGCGATAAACGCATCCGAATCGCACATCAAGAACCTCAACTCGTTTAGGAAATTACTCGCCGCCGCACCGGCTACGACTTCGGGTCTCATCACGACGCCTGATGTCGCGGGGTTGCAGTCGACGAGGAATCCACTGATCTATAACCTCTTGACCGACCGCCCGGTGATTTCGTCGTCGCTGCCGGTCGAGGGAAAGAAAGCTACCAGTCACTCGACGACACTACTCCGCCACGGCATGCCCGTCATGATGTTCTACAGCGACCACGGCATGCGCTTTCCCGATCTGCAAACACCTTCCTCGCTCTTTCCCCACCGCACGACAACCCCGCACAAAGTCTTCAACGGCATCCAAACCGTCCCCTCAAACGCCACGATCGACGTCGACATGCGCAAACTCATCGACCTGATCGAGAACTCGTTCGGCAAACACCTCGACACTGCCCACTACCTCTCCCGCATCAACGGCAACATCGCGGGCCTCATCATCGCAGGCGACTACGAAGGCGGCGCCATCGTCACGTGGGAATACATGCGCGACGGAACGAAAGTCGCGTATCTCGATAAACTCGCCGTGCTTCGCAAGAACCAGGGGTCGGCTGGCGTCGCGGACATTGTCTTCAAGGCAATGGTCATGCAGCTCTTTCCCGACGAACTCATCTGGCGCTCGCGCACAGTGAATCCTGTCAATCGTTGGTACTTTGAGCGGTCAAAGGGATCGCTGAGGTTGCCGGGCGAGAATAAAAAGTGGACGATGTTTTGGACGGGTAAAGAGACGAGGGAGCGAGACAAGTTGGACGAGTACGCGACGATCTGCTCCTCCATCGAGCCGTCTTTGAAATAGGCATAGATATATATAAGTTTTAAGTACATACACATACATTAAGATACAAAACAACTATTTCCAAATCACCAAGTCAAAAAGCAGAATCACCTTCTCTTCAGACTCGCCTGATACATCATTTTGAACCCATTACAAAGCTCCTGCACGCTAGGATACACCGCCTTCTTCAACTGGAACCCGTTCGGAATAACCTTCACCGGCCACGTCACCACCTTTGAGTTCTGGCCCGCCTTGAAACACAGCTCAAAGTACCCCGGATGTTTCCGGTCCAAGCAGAACGCGTAGTTTGACCGCCGCGTGTTGGCCTGCGTGTACGTCGTCAGCCACGCCTCTACGTCTTCGCGCGTGCCCTGCTGGAACTTTTCAGAGTTCATCATCTCCTCCACCTTGCGCGCCTTGGCCTGCACGTGCATGAAAATCAACTCGTCCAGATCAGAGTACTTCTCGTTATCAATCTCCAGCACGCGGCCGAGCGAGTAGTCGCTTTCCTTGTCCAGCTCGTGCACCGCAATGTGCTGGTACAAGTCCTTCGCGACCTTCCACGTGATTGTGATATGGTCCACCCCCAGCGACGACGGCCGGATCACTAAATCTCCTCGCTGCAGAGGCGCAAGGAATTCTTCCGCCTGGCGCCTGTTGAACGGGTGGAACAGTCGATGCTTGATCACTCTCGCCGCGCGCTGCTCCTTTTCTCGCTTAACCGCAAACTGGCTCCGGTCCTTGTCCTCTTCAAACTCGTCCCATTTGCTCGGATCGCGATTCTGTCGCAGCAGTTTCACACTCAGCGGGTTTCGCAGCGCGTCCTCAACCGCTTCCTCAACAAGACTAAGATCGGCCTGGAATGTGCCGTAGTTGATACTCTTGATCAGCGCGCGCACCGTCTGGCCGTAGTAAAACAACGCAGCCGGATACGGCATATCCGTCCGACTCGTCATATCCATGCTCGACACATTTCCGTCAATACCGCACGACATCCGCGCGACAAGATACCGGTCGCCCACCTTTCGGATGTTCACCGGCACAACCGTTCCGGGAGCAACCGACTCGCGCGTCTCGCCCGTGAGCATCGTAAACACCTGGTCTTCAGTCAGCCGCTTGAGCTCGTGCCGTTCCTCGTAGTAATGACGCTGCAGCTCCTCTTTGATCATCTCCAGAGTCGCGCGCTTGTGCTGCTTGAAGTTCTTCAGAAGCTCTTCGGCGTATTCTTCAAGGATAAGTTCGTTCAGCTTCTCTGGATCATCATCCATCAGCTGCGCGACAACTCCTCCCTGGTTCTCGAGATCGACCAAATCCTCTTCATCCAACTCGAGCGCATCGGCCGCCATCTTTCGCGCCAGCTCATAGTCCTCGGGGTGGATTCTCGTAGAATCTAGGATCTCAGTCTCCTCAAGCGATCTGTACCCGGACGATTCCTGCTCCTCCCATGGGATCACAAGGAACGAGGCACAGTTCATGAAGATTGTCTTTCCGGCAATCTCGTTCGACACTAGCTCGAACCGGTTGTTCAGATAGCCGTTTTGTCCTGATGAGATAGCCTTGAGCATCCCCGACGCTTTTCGAGGACCCAAGCCGCCGACGTATTGAAGTAGGTTCGCAACGTATGGAACCTTGATGGCCTCGTTGATTTCAACCCCAACAGTGTTGACCATATCCACAAACGCAGACTCAATCACCTCGCGCAGCAGGTCTTCCGGAAGAAGCGCCTGCAGTCTGTGCAACTCGATCGAAACAATGTCCGCGCCCATGGCAGCATACTCCAGCAGCGGGCTCTGAACGTATCGAGCCAGTGCTACGCAGTACCGCAACAGAGGCGCGAGTTCGGAAAATTCAGAGGCCGCGCGCTCAGAGTTTTGGTAGAGACGCGCGACCTCGTCATTCGCCCAAAGCAGCTCAATCAGCTGCTCCGAACCGCCGTCGTCGTCGCCACCGACCGTCAGATTCTCCTGAGAAATCACATCCAAGATATCTTTGCGCAGGCGGTTTGCAGAAATGGTGAATCCAGCCATGCAAAGAACATCAGGTCGTCTCCGTCTGATGATATCGACAAGCCCGGTCCGGAAGCCCTCATCACGAGCGTCTTCAAGTTTCAAAGTCTCCAGCACGCGGCCTTGATCATCGACATAAACACAGACGATGGCATCTTTACGCGCTCCTCCCATTCCGTTTGATAGTGCAAGCACACGCGGAGTTGTACCAAGCTCGAATCCGGCAGGCTTATAAGGCGCCTGGTCCAGTCTGTCGAGCAGCACAGCTCTACATTCCATTGCCACTGCTCTTTGGGATTTAGCGCGCAGCTCCTCTCTGAGCTCGCGGCACATGAGCGGGACAAGCTTTCCCATGGCAATGTGCAGCACATTCTGGCGCTCCTTATTCCATGCACTGGCAATGTCGGACGTGTTATCAGAAGTAAAGTTGCTGAGAACTTTTGCCAGGAACGTTTCCAGCTGGATCAGCTTGAACCGCAGCGTAACAAGGCCCTCCGACTCTGCCTGCAGGATTTCCAAAAAGGTCTCCGGATCAGCATAGATGTCAGACAACTGAAGGTTGCGCATGTACTTGAAGTGATAAAACTGATGAGTCTCATCAATGACCTTCTTGCCTTTATCCGAAGCAATGACGTCCATGCGGACCAGGGCACGAACAATTTTCTCACGCAAAAAGTTCCGCGTGCGCAAGTCGTGGAAGATTTCCTCGGCAAACATGTTCTTTGCTGCGTCAAACGCAGCTTCACCGGTGCTGTATCTTGTAGGTTCGTTGGTAACCGGATCATGCGTATACAGATCAGCCAAGTCAAGCGGCATCTCTTCGGGATCTTCCGGGAAATGCAGTTTTTTATCTTCGGCAAAATTGAGACCGAATTGTTCAGCCGTTATGCCAAAGGAACGGACAAGATTGTAGATATTGCCTGAACGAATGGTTTCAAAATGCTGAAAGCGGGAGTTTGGACGTTTGGAGGGAGTGATAGTAGGAGCAGCAACGTCTTCTTGATCCTCCTCATCATCATCATCCTCCCGCGCCGACGGACGAGCAGCGGACTGAGTGGCGCTGAGGTCCTTGAGCTTCGCAGCATATCTGAAATGTATATAGTCTAAGATATCTTGATGGTCGTAGAGAGACGATGCATTTGAGAAAAACTCGGTCAGCACGCCATCATCAAGATCAAGATCTTTGAGCAACCTCTCGACGTTTCGTCTCTTTTCGACGATTGAGTGAAACTTGACATCAAGCTGTAAGATGTACCACAGATCATCCTGAGTGAGGAATTGGTCGGAAACGAACTCATCAGCTGCAGAAGCTGCGGCGGCACTATCTCGCTTTCGTTCTTGGATGAGATAATCGCGACGATGCTGCCAGATAAAGGGGACTTCTAATTCGTCTTTAACGACAAACTCAAGGACTTTTTTGATTGATCTCTTCAGAGCTGGTGCCAGATCAGGACGGCTATCAAGAAATTTCTTCTTTGAATCCATGACTTCACGCACGATCCAGTTTTCTTCAAGCACAAACTCAGCATCTGAGAGCTCGTAGTTTGGAAACGCTTTTCGCGAAATCTGAAATCTTTCGGGTTGATCTTTGGCGCGAATAGCATTGTCTTCATCTGTAAGCATACGCTCTGCCAGCTCGCTGGGTTCGAATACGTCCTTCAGCTCGGTCGTGGGTTTTTCTTCGTAGTCCTCGACCCCTTCGAGCTCCTCGGCCTCCAATGCCCAGCCATACTCTTCGCCGTCGCCAAAGATCTCAAAGATCTCGCCGAGCTGCTCTTCGTTCACGCCGGGGATGGATATGCGACCGGGTCGAGCACTTGGTCTAGCGGATTTTCCAGTCTCTGCGGCCGCCTGTTGACCTTCCTCATCCGAGAACTCGTCGTCTTCAATGAAACCAGCAAACTCGTCCATCAAACCGCGACGCCCTGATGCTGGTTGTTCTTCGGCGGCCTCTTTTTCCTCGTCCGAGAAGATGTCGGTCAAGCCCTCGTCGGCTCGCTTCTGGCGTTTCGATGCGGGCTGGAGAGACTAATTGTCAGTAAGGACAATAAAAAAAACCGTAACAAAAAGAACACTTACTCCACGAGCATAGCCACCGGTATTTTCCATGACGAGATCGAGATCGTCTTCGTCAAGCTCCTCATCGTCGTGGTGCTTTTCTTGTGCCTCCCCGCTTCCTTCACGAGCTTTTCTTCTGCGCTTCCGTCGTCGTCGCCGTCGTCGCTCCCGCTCGCCATCCGAGAGATCTTCCTCGCTGTCGTCATCGACAATGAAGCCTTCGCGGACCTAGATTGAGGAAAGAGTATTGCTGTCAGAGCCGATTCTCAATTCGCGACTGTCGATTGTATCTGCTGCCATTGAATCAATGACTCGGCAGAATAGTTGATGCTCACCTTTGCCATCTCCTCCTCATCGTCCTCCTCGTCTTCCTCAGAGGAATCATTGTCGCTGCCGTCGTCGTCCTCGTCGTCGTTGTTGCGGTTGCGAGAGACCGAGCTCGGATCGCGCTCCTCGTCGCCCGAGCCGAATCCGTCGTCGTTCTCGCCGTCCTTGTCGAGCTCCGCGCTGTGATCTACGAAATTGCTCATGATGCGCTGATTTGCTCGCAGTTCGGCCACGATCACGCTGCCGCTGCTGTGTGGATGCCTGGAAGCAGTGCGCGAGACTCGACCTGGTTTTGTGTTCCGGTCCAAAAACTACCCGCAGACGCGTATTTCTGAGGCCGCTGACATCTCCGCGGGGCTCGTGGCTGTGTCCCAACCGCCAGAAGCCTACGCGCTCTCGTCCAGGCTCAGGCGCAGGCGACAACATCCACTCGAACCCGCGATTTCTCGACCGTCTGCGCTGCTGCTCCTGCTGCTGCTTTCTGTCGGGTTCTGGTCCGCACTGATCTGTATCTGTGCTCGCGTCCCTACATTCCTCGAGATCGATGTCGGCGCAGCAACGGCCCTCGCCCTTCGCGCGCCCGCGCCGCGTATCCTCAATCGTGCAGTCGGTCGCGCAGCCTCCCCAGATTCCGCCCGCTCTGCCTACTCATCCGGCTGTTGTGTCCTCGCCGCTCTCTTCTGACGCTTTGCGCAGTCCGCCGTTTGACGTCGGCGGCAGGTCGTCGTGCCGCAGATCGTCGATCTCTTTGGCGCCGGCCACTGTTCCTTCTAATACGCCTCCGCCTCCTCCATCGCTCTCTTCCATGCCGCCTCCTGCCGTCTCGACTTTCGCACATGAACCTGCTGCATCTGCGTCTGCTGATCCCGTCATTAAGAAGGCAAAGTCGCTCAAACGCAGAAACTTCAAGCAGCTCTCGCTTCCCACCGCGACACCACCGGCTGCGGCCGTCCCATCGTCGGACTTGCAGCCTCTAGACAGCACCCACTCTTTACTGTCTACAGCCTCGATTTCGAACTCTCCAGCTTTATCATCATCTGGATCAACCCGTCGAAGTCCCCAGCAGTTTGTCCAGCTCGCGTCGATCGAGGACGCGCAAGTCCCGGGAGGAAATGCAGAACTCATGTACCATAATAACTTTGTTGAGCAGCTCGCCACTCTCGAGATCGGGGTCGAGTTCCGTCTTGATCTACACATGGAAGATCTCAAGACTTTGTCTGAAATTGGTGCCGGAAACGGCGGCACGGTCTCGAAAGTGATCCACCTGCCGACAAAGACACTGATGGCGAAGAAGATGATTCACATCGAAGCCAAGCCTGCCGTGCGGAAACAGATTGTTCGCGAGTTGCACATCATGCACGAATGTCACAGCAAGTACATTGTCTCATTCTACGGTGCGTTTGTCAATGGCGGTGATGTGGTGATGTGCATGGAGTATATGGACTGTCTCTCCCTAGATCGGATCTTGAAGAAGATGGGACCTTTCCAGGAGGATATTCTTGGTAAAATCATGGAGGCAGTCGTTGAGGGTCTCACATATCTCTATAACCTCAACCGGATCATCCACCGCGATGTCAAACCTTCCAACGTTCTTGTCAACTCCCATGGACAAATCAAGCTGTGTGATTTCGGAGTCTCGGGTGAGCTGATCAACTCGATAGCAGACACCTTCGTCGGCACATCAACGTACATGTCACCCGAGCGGATCCAAGGCGCAGCTTACTCTGTTCAAAGTGATGTATGGTCTCTAGGCCTAATGCTCCTGCAGCTGGCAATCGGCCACTTCCCGTTCGAACGACCGGATCAGGCACCGCTCGGTATTCTCGACCTGTTGCAGCAGATTGTCAACGAGCCTGCCCCTACGCTACCACCTGGAGATCAATTCAGTCCCGAGTTGCGAAATTGCATAGACCGCTGTCTGATAAAGGACGTCGAGGTGCGCCCTACACCGCAAGATCTGCTTGTAAGCTACTCCCCCTGAAAATCGTGTTTTGTTTGTGGTCTCCTATACTAACTGCATCTCCAGTCCGATCCGTTTGTGGTGAAAGCAAAGGCGATGAATGTAGATACAGAAAAATGGGCAAAGAGTACTCTCTGAATGGCATCCTGCATTTATTCATGTAACATCAGACGGTCAAACCATCTCTCTCGACAGTCATTCAGATCACGATTTCTTTATTTTTTTGTTTTTTTGTCTTTTTGTCTATTTGCCTTTTTGTTCATGGGATTTTCATTTTTTATCTTACTAAAATGGTTTTGTTTACGACAGTTTTTCGATTGCCTCTGATTCACACTCATCATTACTTTTTGCTGTTTTTCTATTCTCATTATCTTGAATTGGACAGGGATCTATTTTGTCACTGATATTTGTTTTATCTTTTTTTTTCGCCATCTGTGTTCTTCTTTGCGGTTTCCTGTTTCTCTTTTGTTTGGTCATGAATTGTCATCTTCTCTTTCTCTCTCGTGTCTTCAGTTTATATGTCATCTGTGGGCATTGCCTCACATTCAATATAGTTTGGTATCTACAATAAGCCGCGTTCTTCACGTGACCTCAACACGTCTATTTACGTTTAAAGGTCATCCTCCTCTTTGTGTAAAGTAGCAATTGTCGGACACCGCATGCAGGTCCCTACGCGGATATCTTTACAGTCAAATCTGGGGACGTTGAGATACATCGGCCCACTACCGATATGGCCCAACGTCGACGCGTACGGCATAGAATGGGACGACGCAACGCGTGGGAAGCACTCAGGCACGTACGACGGGGTCGAGTACTTTCAGACCGTCGTGCCTGATAGCGCGTCTTTTATTAAATCCACGCGCAAGCTGGATAGGAAAGTTGGGTTTGAGGAAGCGGTGAGGAGTCGGTATGCGCCGGCTGAGCTGGACGAGATCGAAAAGACGGATATCGTGTTTGGGAAGAAAGTGGCAGAGAGAGTTGGATTTGATAAGATTCGGATACGACAGTCGTATGTCTGGTCTTGCAATTATATGTTGATTACAAAAGAACTTTGGAGCTAACTGTTGTGCTTATAGAAAGCTGGATCAGCTCTCAATGGTCTCCCTTGACGGCCAATGTGTCGCATACCCTTCAGACAACCTAGAGCAGCTATTCCCCTCGATCCAGGAACTCGATCTATCCCACAACCTCTTCGACTCCCTAGCAGATGTCGCAAGAATAGTCGTGCAACTACCGCGTCTGAGAATAATCAAGCTCAACGGCAACAGATTTGTCTCCTGGGAGTTACCGCCAGACCTCACCGGCGCGTTCTCGTCATTATCTGTGGTTTCTTTGTCGTTCACACTAATCCCGCCTTCTGTCATATCGCGCATGCCAGAGATATTTCCGGCGGTCCAGGAGTGCAGCTTGGCTGAAAATAAACTATCAGGCTCAGAAATCACCTTCAATCAGCCATGGCCGTCGCTCCAAATACTCGATTTGTCGTACAGCGATTTCTCCACAGTTCCGGTACTTGTTTTTCCAGATGACGCCGACATGTCGCTCTCTGTGCTCAATCTTTCTCATAATCGGATTTTAGGCGCTGGTGCCGACGTAATGAAATCCGTACGCAGCCTTGATCTACGACACAATCAGATTACCTCCTGGACCGCATTGGACGGCCTACGTGCGCAATTCCCTGGGGTGCGTGATTTGCGGTTACAATGGAACCCCATAATTCAGAGTCTGGATGAAGACGATGTGCAGGCTTATATACTAGGCTGGTGGGGCGGTTTAACGATGGTGAACAGTATCAAAGTGTCGGAAAAGGAGCGTATGAGCAGCGAGCTTTACTTTATGTCTAAAGTTGGCAAGGGGCAGATCAAAGACTTCGACTTGAAGGGACAAAGATGGGCTGAGCTGTGTGAAACTTACGGTGCGCCGATAGCGCCTGAAGAAGTCAAGAAGAAGAGCACGGTGCTCAAAATCACATTTGTCACGAGTTCTGGTGAGGAAACCAGAAGAGTTCCTCGCGGACTCACTGTCCAGCGCCTGAAGCTGTTGGTCGCGAAATGGTACAGGATACCGGTTGCAAAGATCAATCTTGTGTCTGTGTTCTCAGATGGTAGGGAAATTGCTCTGGATGACAGTCTTCGGGAGCTCGATTATTATGAGATCGACGACGGCTCGGTGATTCGAGTGCAGGGTTAGCTGTAGAGACGACGCAACTTGTAAATAGATATGTTTGACGAGTATATACAATAGAACAAATATGTACAATAGAAGAGGTTAATAAGTATAAAAATGAAGAGCTGGCTGACAGCTAACTGTCAGTTCCTTCCACAACCGACTTGCTCTGCGCAGACTCCGTCTTCCTCCAAAAAATACCGTCACCAGCCCTCAATATCCCCAGGCCAATCATGACAACGCCAGCTAACCGTGTACTGCTGTGCACAAATCGCAGATGCTGTGGTTTAACATCGCGGTAGAAATCGCTGGTCTGGTCGCGGAATCGGGGGTTGAAGAGAAGATAGCCACCGGCGCCGGTCAGACCGACGGCTGAGAGGACGCGGCAGGCCAGGCAGTCTTCGAACTCTCTGTTTTGGTTTGATGGAAGAGGGAAGTTTGTCGCTATCATGCTGTTTGTTTGTTTGGAAATGTGGAAGTAGAAGGCGATGGCGGGGAAGAAGTTGGGAAGATGCAAAAAGGCAAAAACATTGAATTTTGGCTCTCGATTCCTCTCCTTCGAGAACCAGACAACCAGGCTCAGATCTCCAAATGACCAGCGAAAAAAGCCCAGATCCGCTGGCACCAATCACGAATGCACTGGCAACAGCAGACCAGGTCCTGGTTTCTCACACCCGCGGCCTGAGCGCAGATCTGGTCGCGCGTCTGCACTACACCGGCGGCAGTCTGGCGCAAGTATCGGGCGCGATTCTCAAGCTTGAGACACAGGTGATTGCGACCGCTTTGGTTCTCTTCCACCGGTTTCACCTGCTTGCTGGATTTTTGGAGCATTCAATAGATGATACGGTTAAAGGGTGTCTGTATATCGCGACCATGCTGTGCGAGGTTCCGGTTAATCCGCGAGATATAGTGGCTGCCGTGGAGGCTGCTTGCGATGATCCACTCGCAACCGGCTTCAAGTCCATCATCCGGCGGAAACCAGCGTCATTTGGACCCCAGTTTCTAAATGCACTGTATAAAGCGCAACTACAGGTGCTGACTACGCTCGGCTTTGACATGCACGTCGTCGTGCCTTATACTCTATGCCTCGAGTATTTGCAGGCTATGAATATCAGTGAAGCGTCGGATCGAGCGCTGCTTGGACAACGGGCATGGAATTATCTTAATGATATGATGAAAAGCAGGATATGCATTTTCCAGCAACCAAACGCGATGGCTGTGACTGCGCTGTGGTTGGCATCGCGCGAGACCGAGGTGGACTTGCTCGATGGTGAACGGTGGTGGACGATATTCGATGTCGACACCGAAGATATGGGACATATACTTGTTCTCTTGCGAGAATCTAAAGCTATCGCTATTTCTGAACGAGACCGGCTGGTTAAAGGGCTCGAGCCGACATTACGCGTTGAGGATGTGACTGCCCGGATCAACGAGGAAGCCACGGCCTGACGTAGAGTGTGTACGATGTGTATAATATGTATGATATGTAATAATAGGAAATCTACCTACGGTCTCAGCAATGACGGTATCTTATCCATCCGCCCACGTAGCTGAACATCTAGCGTGTTCCTCTTTGCATTCAAATCAACGCCATGCTTCACGCCTTTCGTGACCAGCCCCAGCAATGCCGCCAGTAATCCATCAAACTGCTGTCCCTGTGCAATAGCTGTGATATTTTCCGTGCTCAGCTGCCCAACCAACGCATTTATCTCGCGCAGAATCTCAAAGTCCGCAGCTGTGAACGCGCTCTCGGGAATCGTCATGATGTACTCGAGATACCGACGGATGATGTCCACCCGAGCAGCGAGCATCTTTACAGCATTCGCTTGACTGTTGATCTGCGACACAATCTCCTCGGCGTCATTGTTATGTAGCAGATCTTCAGACACGTCCTTTTGCGCGCTGGTAGAGGACTCGGCTAGTTGACTACCGCCAGATACGATAGCGTCGTGCGAAGGCTGCACTACTTGATCCTGTTTGGCAACGTAAAGAACGCCGACGTGCTCGGCCTCGAAGCTCTCGATTCTGTGCTGCACTTCAGCAAAAACCGGCTTGCCTTCCTCAGTAAACAAAGTCTCATAGATTGTAATTGGTAGTTTCTGACTTGTCGTCATTGAATCGATTCTCGGGTCCAGAATTAAAAGAAGAGGAGGCGTATCGTTGTGGAACTTTGCGAGGTATTGGTGCACCGAGAGGATTGCTTCCGACGGCTCGTACGGGGGCTGCAGCGGGATATAGAACCAGCCCACGAAATCCAAGGTCTCGAAACATGTCTTGAACTGCTCCAGTTTGGTGACGACTAGTTCCTCGTTGATGTTGCCATCGGTGACGCTGAACTCGAATGATTGCTCTATTGACACGTCGCGGCCTGTTTGCTTTCCTATCAGTCCACCTAGCACTGCATCCAACTTCTGATTAGCTGTTTACTATAAAAGACTTGTGAAATATTTTCGACTCACGTTCTTTGCCTGACAGATGGGCGCGAGTGTAGTAATCCGAGATATTGAGGATTGCTAAAGGATGGAGTCCGATAGTGAGATCAGTTGAGTGACCGGACTGATTGCGGAGCACAATTGACGGCGTCTGGTCGGTTTCTGTTGACGATGCCATCTTTGATAGTGTATCTTGTCTATATCTATGGTGATTTGTGGGTATATCGAGCTGCAATTGTCGGACTGCGGATGGAATCACTGGTGAGCGGGGTGAGGGAAGTCGCGGCTGGGAGTGGGAAGGCACTGATTAAGCTGATAGGGTTTAGATGTCTGCTCCTCCACTTCTGATATCTGATCAACGACAACTCGCTCAATTGAACATGAATACCAGCAATGACCTATGATCCATGGCTACGACTGCGTCTGTCTTCTTCAAACAGCTCAGAAACACACGCAGTGCTTCACAGATTCACCGCAACTGACGCGACCTACTCCCTAACCGTCACTGATCTCTCGTCCATCTGGATCGATTCGCCCTCCCAAGCTGAAATCATCCGACGCGCAGAAGCAAGTTTTACTACTGTAACACTATACTCCTGAATAATGTCTAATACTTTTTGCTGTATAAGGAAGACGAATGCGTGGTAGACGTGTCTGAGCCTGCCAATCGAAGGACTCTGATCTGTCGATTATCAGAAGCCTTTGGCGAACGCGATCTACCTGCGACCACAAAGCTCTCTGCTGTGAGATCCGGAGCGAACTTGACGCTCACCGCCTCTATCCTTTTATCAGAGTCGCCGCAGCCGCTGGAATGGGTGTTTCGCTTGACACCCGTAAACTCTCCTGACATTATCAGGGAGTTCCCTTTAGGACTTTTGGGCATAGCTGATGTATTTCGCCAGCAGACACTTGATCTTCAAGAAATCATAGCCGAGAAGGATTTCCACATCCGCTCCCTAAAGCTTCAGCTACAAGAAAGACTCGGTCAAGCAATCGAATATGTTCCACGCAAAGCAGTCGGCTCTGTCTCTGCTTTCGATAGGAACGCGTGGCTACAGAAATGGACGTCCCAAAGACACCAGCGCGACGGATCCGCGCCCGAGATGTTTCGCCGCATGACGAGCGAGTTTGGAAGGTATTGGGGACTCACGGGCGATGGTCTCTTGCGGATTAAAAAGGGCGATTTTATGGATATCGGGGAGCATCCCGAGCAGCTGTGGAAAGCAAAGACGACGGCATCGCGGTCTTTGAGACAAAGCAGTATACGGCAGCCAGTCGTAGCAGGCAACCAGAGCAGCGATAGCGACGCTGCGTCGGGCTTGCAAACTAAACCGAGACGGAGGAGGAGAGGTAGGAGGGTAGTCAGCTCCGGTGACGAGTCACCAGACAGCAAGCCGGAAACCCGACCTCCTCGGAAACGCGTCAACTCCTGCTCTTCCTCTGACGACCCACCAAATGAACCAAACAACATTCTCAAAGACAAACAAAAAACCACTAAATCCTCGTCCAGCGATGACGATTCAGAAGGACAGATCAGATCGATCATACGACGACGAAAAAGAACGCTCGCGGACTCGGAGTCCAGCGAGGATGCGTCGCAGAGTATTCGAAATCGGTCTGGACGACGTCGTAAGAGGCGACGAGCAGGGTATGAGGACTCGTCGTCGTCTGAGAGCGCACCGGTTAGTAACAGGAGAGCGCGCGTTGGCCCCCCACCTTCGGTCAGTTTATTGAATTGGCAATGGTTCTTCTATTTATTCAACTAATACCGATTACAGGACGACGAATCCGACCGCCCACAACATCCGATAGCTTCACACACCTTGCCTAAACGCAAACCAGCTACGAAAGAATCAGTCGCAAAATCAGACTCCCCACAACCGTCTACAGAGCCGCCACCGCCGCCGCCGTCGTCGTCGTCACCTGCGAAACCCACTTTGGCCGAACTCGTTGCCGAGAAGAATCGACGACTAGAAGAGCTCAAGGCCGCGCGGAGGAAGGCAAAGAGTGCTGCGAGCTAATGCTTGGGGAGGCTTTTATAGCAATTTTACTCTCCACCACTTTAATAGCTTACGAAAATGTCCGAGGTCTCTGGAGGCATCCTATTCACGGCAAAGTGCGCAGTTACAAATGCCATAAAAGCACTTGCAAACAAACGCGTAATAGAACGTACTATGATCACGGTTCCTTTAGCAGTCATCGATTTGGATAACGACCCGTTTGATAATTAAATCAAAAGGTCGCTGATCCATACACTGTGGTTTGGTAAAGTGTGTAAGTTTCGCGAGTCCCAGAGGATCTGCAAAGCTGAACCAAACCTGTGTAGATGATGCAAACTTTAGAAATAAGACACTTCGTCTGAAGCTCGCTTGACTCATCAGACAGGGGTCAATGATTGAGACAGATAAGGTTGAAAAGAACCCATGGATAATAAAAAAATATACAAAGCAGCATAACCGTAAAACTCCACCGAATACTAATTCGAAAACTCCCGGAGATTTTCGATATGTACACATAAAAATGCCCGAAATAAACTATACAGAGAATAGCAACTTTCCACTCCGCCGACCATCTCAAGGAGGTGCAGCCGGCGGATGTTTCGATCGAGAGCGACGCCGCCTGCCGCCGCCATTCTTGGAGCTGACGCACGAGTCAATGCTTGCCTTTGGATCAGGAAAATCATACTTTCGCTCCGGCGCTGCTGGTCGGCTTTTTCGCACTGTTGCATGGCTGACATTGTGATGTTTGTGTATGATTGGTTTGTTCACCTTTGTGCGGTCTTGATTGACCGCTTCTGTATTTGTTTTCAGTGTGTTCAGAACTAGAGGCAGATCTAAAAGACCATCCAGCATGTCGTCTCTGAAAAGCTCGTTTTCCTGTGTTTGTTGCTTCAGAATTCTGGCGCGCTCAGAAGGCTTCATACCTCCAGTGAGAGGTATGGCATCTGCGGCATCGACCGGTGTCGTTTTCTGCGCTCCGTTCGATCTCCTCTTTCCTCTTTTATTCTTCGACTCTGTTGTAGATGACACAGCGTCAATAACCATTTCAGTTTCATTTTCATATTCATCATTGACAGAATTCCCATCATCAATCATGTCAGATAAGTTCATACCTCGAGGCTTCACCCCGTGATTTGTAGTAACCTGCAGTCCAGCATTGTCAGTAGCCGCCGACCCGTTCTCGGAGTTCATCCTCGCTAGCTTTGCCCGTTCTGACGGTTTCAAGCCTTTGGGTTCAGACCCGTCTGTCGGAGACGTCTTCACCAATCTCATGAGCTTTGATCGCTTAGGATTCGGTCGATTACGAACTCGCGGTAATGGACTCGATGCGGCGCCGGACTGAGTGCTGGCTTGCCCAGACCCAAGATAAAAATACCCTTCTAAATCATGATAAATCTCATCAATATCCATCTTTGCATCATTCAATGAAGGGTCATCAGCTGCTCTACGTTTTTGCTGAAGGGAAGGGTCCTCAAGTCCAACAAGAAATTCCTCTGACAGACGAAAAACTTCTTTGACGATGCGTCGTGCCGATAATCCCGGCTGGTAGCTTATAGTGGCGATTCCTAACAATTAAAAAAACAGAAATCAGTTTTCGACCGTTGCTTCAGTTGCTTCAGTTGGACAGTTAAACTTCAGCTACTTCCCTTGATTGATACTAACCATTTGCGAGTGCTTTGATACAAAGATTGTAGTCGCCGGATAATAAACACACTGGCTTGTCTCGATTCTTTTGGAAGTACCAGCAGCAGTCAAGAATCGAGTCATCTGCAGCCATATCCTTATCAGAGTGCCGCTCATCTAGTCTCTGCGGTCTGACAGCAGGATGAGAAACAGCCAGAGCACGGAAAAGCCAGCGGATGGCTTGTCGCGCATAGACAGCCACATCAGAGTTTTTGTTGCTTTGGGTACGAGACCAGGGCCCGTTGTCTTTCTTTAGTCCGTCGAGCTCGCGAACGACGGTGGTGGGTACCACAATCAAGTACCCAAAGTCTCCCTGCAGAGCCACGAGCTCATCGATGATCTTCAGATGAGAGATCGCAAAGTTTGTGTCAACCACCAAGAGAATAGGAGCCGCCTCAAAATTGCGGTCAGCAGCCTCAAAGGAATGCGGCGGTTGGAATTCAGGCAGAGTTTTCTACAGCGATCTTAGTCAACACGGCAGAACAGTAGTAGCGAGTGAAGTGACAGAGAGCCACAAGCTTACCCGCCCAGAGTGGACAGCTTCGGCACGAGTGTGCTCGACAGCCTCTCGGATGTCCTCGATCTCATCATCGTTGAGATCTTTCATCTCAATATCCCCATCAGAGTATAGCGGTTCGCTATGACTCGTCATTGTGGAAAGGACGAGAAGATGAAATAAAAAGAAAACAGAAAAGAGAGCAAAGGGTTGGATTAGCAAAGTGTGCGAGATGGAGCCATTCAGAGGCCGCTCATTATGCGACAAGTGAATGACTCAACACAGAATGGCAACAACAGATTGAAAAAGGACTTGAATGTAGAAGAATAGCGCGATACGGTCAAGATTGAGGTATCGCTGGTTGCGGTTCTGAAGCAGTCGCAGGTAGAAGGTCGAGCAAAAAGTAAACAAACAAAAAAGCTGCTTTTAAGCAGTAATTAAGGTTAAAATTTGAACTCTATTTCAGGACCAGGTCGAAGTTCAGGCGTGGCCATAATTGCAATTACTCAAGTGTTCATTGAAGTCGTTGATTCTGCACAATTGTTGCCAAAATGGACTTCAAAATCATTGTGGCAGTATGTTTGGTCATATACTTTATGATCCCGGTTGTTTTGTATTTTATGATACCCAAGGATCCAGAGATCAACCCGCGAAAGCGAGCGATCGTGCTGGTGCTGGGCGATATAGGGAGATCTCCACGGATGCAGTATCATGCTCTTAGTTTGATCGAGACTGGTTTTGTCGTTGATTTCTGCGGATATACGGGTGCGTGACTGTATTTGCTGTGTCATTGATAATACATCTCCCAGCTGACACGTTGGATCATCATATAGAAACTACACCGCTGCAGGCTATCGTCGAAAACCCAGATATCAAGATTCACCCAATTCGTCCTGCAGAAGAGATGAGCTTTTCGCGTCTGCCATTTGCTTTGCGCGCGCCTTTGAAGGCAATCTACCTTTCATATCAACTTTATTACCTACTAAAGTCGTTGGCTGGCGCAGAATATTTGCTTGTCCAGGTATGTACTCCCTATACAAATCTACAAGATCCAGCAACCTGACTCTTTAGAATCCCCCGTCTTTACCTACCCTCCTTGTCTCTTATCTCTTTATTACGATTCAATCCCGTCGCACTAGGTTTATAATTGACTGGCACAACTTTGGCTACACGGTTCTTGCTACCAAACTCCAGTCAGACACCCATTTGTTTGTGAGAATTAGCAAGTGGTACGAGAAGAGATTCGGGCGACTCTCGTTCGCAAACTTTTGCGTCACAAAGTCCATGGCTGATGTGTTGGTGAGAGACTTTGGTTTGAAGTAAGTTGGTTCATGTCTATATCTATATCTCGGACTTGTGTCTAACAACCATTAGCTCTTATCGAATCATTCCTCTCCCAGATCGTCCTGCACGGCAATTCAAGCCGTTGACTTCCGAAGCAAGGTCGAGATTACTGGAGTCTAGTGAGATATTCACGGGATTTAACCCTCAAACTGACAAGTTAATCATCACATCGACATCGTACACGCCAGACGAGGACCTGAACTTCCTCCTCGATGCTCTTTCACAGTACGACGTCAGCGGCAGCCCATCTGCAAATCTCCCTCGCATTCTAGCAATTGTCACAGGAAAAGGGCCACTGCAGAAAGATTTTCTCGAAGAGGTCAAAAAGCGGCAATGGAAAAACGTAACTGTGCGAACTGTGTGGCTTTCGGCAGAAGAGTACCCTCTTGTTATCGGCGCAGCGGATGTCGGTATCTCCATGCATCTGTCAACGTCCGGATGGGATCTTCCGATGAAGATTTTGGATATGTTTGGCTGTGGTGTTCCTGTTCTTGCGCGAAACTTTCCCGCGTAAGCGCTTCATCTTTAAGTTGCTTTATACGGCACTAGTGACTAACTGACCAATGCTGCAGGCTCCCTGAACTTGTTCGCGAAGGAAGAAACGGCTTCACTTTTAACACTGTTGACGAATTGGCTAAACTAATGATAGTAAGTAAGCCCGATAATTTATCTGCCAAGCACGAGCCGTTAACCAAATATACGCTACAGGAAGTCTTTATGTCCCCACAAAAGCTGCTACAGATCCGGCAGGGCGCGAAGGCGGAATCTGGAAACCGGTGGAATGAAACCTGGCGGATTACTGCGGGTCCTGTGTTTCATATACCCAGTAAAGACGATCTGACGGAGATATATAGCAGTAGTAGTAGCGATGATGAGTATTGAGGGGTGGGTTGGCCTTATATTAATAATTTCATGATTCATGATTGCATGATTATTATTATAAAAATCTTGCTTTTGTTTTGCTGTATATATGTATGTTATTATTATCAGTAGATTGTGGAAATAGAATAAACTCGGATATTTCAATTCGGCCTGAAATAAAATCGTTCATAACAGCTTCGCGCACCAAAAAGGTTCGATGAAATCGACTCCCAATTGCTCTTAACCTGCAAGCCCACTTCCCAATCCTCATCCCACCACCCGCTCCCGCCTCAACTCCACGAAAGATGATTCTGCCTTCCTATAGTCTTTTGTTGTTCTGCATCGGAGCCTTTTTCTCCTCAATCCAAGTCTTTGCGGTAGCAGATCAGTCATTTCCCGCCGCCCTGAACACTACAACCTCCCTCCTCAGCAATGTGAACGACTCATCGCTGTCCGTGTCTGCGGACTTTGACACCTATCCCAAGGTATTCACGCGAATGCATTCGCTCCGCAATCGCTACGTTATCGTCTTTGCCGACGACGCAGATCTGAAGAGCATCGCCTCTCATTTCTCGTGGCTGGAGTCGCAGACCTCCTTCAGCGGACACCAGTTTCGCCAGCGGGTGTTTAAGAAGTTCACCGGGAGTCTGATTAAGGGATACTCGGGCACTTTTCTGCGCAGGTTTGTGTTTGAGATTGCAAAGAGGCCTGAGATTGCGTATGTGGAGAACGAGGTTGTGTTCAGGCCGGTTGAGGTACAATATAATGCGCCGTATAACCTCGCTAGGTTGGCGCATCGAGAGACGTTGACGAATGAGACGAGTAGCGTTTATGGCTATGACGCTGATCCCGGTCTTGGTGTTACTGTCTATACTCTGGATACTGGTATTATTGTAGAACACGAGGTGAGTCTATGAAAATCATAACTTCCTATTCAATTTGCAACCGGGCTGACAGTATTTAGGAATTCGTGGGCCGAGCAACGATGGTCAACCTCGTTCGCGTGTCGTTCGACACCGACATCGTCGGACACGGCACTCATGTGGCCGGCACGGCTGCTGGTACTACCTACGGCGTTGCTAAGAACTCATCGATCGTTGCCGTGAAGGTGATGCCCCACTGTATTTACGACTTTGTCTATCAACGATATAGTGCTAATTAGATGTATAGGTTCTCAACGATCGTGGCTCGGGATCAACATCGGATATTCTCAGCGGTCTTGAGTACGTCGCTGACCAGCACACCAGCAACGGAGGACCCAGCGTTATCAACATGAGTCTTGTGCGTATTTTTGATGAACTTTTGAGTTGTGCTGGATGTTGCTAACCGGAACATATAGGGAGGATCATTCAGCACTGCACTCAATCAGGCGGTCCGAAATGCTGTTAACCAAGGCATCCACGTCGTCGTCGCAGCAGGCAACAGCGGCACCGACGCATGCTCTTCATCTCCAGCAAGCGAGCCGTCAGTATTAACCGTCGGCGCGAGCGACAGCAACGACAACGTCGCATCGTTCAGCAACATCGGTAGCTGCGTCGACGTCTTTGCGCCGGGGGTTAACGTTCTCTCAGCATGGAACTCGGACGACGACGCGTCGCGACAGTTGTCGGGAACGTCGATGGCGTCGCCTTTGGTTGCGGGGTTGACTGCGTATCTTTCAGCGAAGGATCCGAGCGCGTCTGTATCAGACATTCAACAGCAGGTAACCTGAAATTACATCAACCACCCTTAAAAATCGTTTCTTAGATGACATCTAACTAACTTGGCTTGCAACCGCTAGATTAAGGATTTGGCGACAACAGGAATGCTGAAAGGAATCCCGACGAACCCGGCAGGAACGCCAGACAGTATCGCGTTCAATGGATACACCTTCTCGTCTGAGTCTTCCGATGACCTATCTTAGTCTGAATCTGGATTGATACCCTTTCTGTCCTCTGCCTGACCTAAGATTATTCCATTTTTTCAAAAATTCCTATTGTTATCCTGCTGTACTCTGTTATTTCCATCCACAGGGATACCCTTTGTATTCCAATATCATCGTTCATTGCACCTGCAGTCTCTCATTTTTATTACCATGGCTCTAGCCGTCCCAAGACGGCAAAAGTTATCTTCATCATTCTTTTATCGATTAGCATTATCTCTATTTGATGCTAGCGAAAATATCAACCACTGAACTAATAAGCAAATAAATAGTATTATCCTTATTATCAAGAGTTGAAGCGCCTTACTGATAGTGGAGATCTAGCACATGCAGAAGCCATCGCAGGAAAATAATTATAAAAATTACGGTATAAGTAAAAAAACACGAAACGCAAAAACTCCAAGGCCTGCGCCATTCAAAAGCAATGAAACGATATCAAGATGAAAAAGCAAAAGAAAGAAAACAGAAAGCTCAACAACCAACGTTGAGATACACCCATACCGCGTCTCCCGATATCTCCTCCAGTGCTTCTCGCAGTTCATTGCAGTTATCCAAGATTGGCGCCGCGGCATCCAGGATATCGTTGTACACGAGCTCTTTCAAGCGCGTATTGCGGAGTACCGTGGTCAGATAGCCTGTCAGAGCTCTATAAAGCTGCGCTGAACGCGAAAACTTGCCTTCCCGCGATCGAGGCAGTTCTTTGGGAAACATGGTTTTGAGATGAGATTTCCAGAGAGCCTCGAACCGAGAGCTCATAAAGTCGCCAGAGTAGCGGCTCAGATCGCCCATGACTTCTATAGCGGCGATCGTCACATTAAGCTCTGGGTCCTTGAGTCTTGGGACCAACGCCGGCCACACGTCGTTTATGAATGGTAAAAAATCTTTCTCGTTCGTGGCGAGAACGGGGATAGCGGTGTGGAGAAGATCCAAGAGCTGGTATCGGAGTGAGAACGACGAATGCGAGAGATAGTAGCGAGAAAGAAGCGCGATCCGTTTGACTATCATGTACCATGCTTTCGGTAGCGGGGAATCCCAGGTCTCGGGAGGATCAGAAGGATGCTCGTCGCGCTGATCGAGCTGCTTCATAATCTCTTCTTCTTCAGTGAGTTCTTTTTCTTGATCCTCCTCAGTGCCGTTCTCGGGCTCCTTCACGTTCTCGGGTTCATGCAGCTCAAAATCAGGTTTCCTCTGCAGATCCTCAATCAATCCCTTCAGATCCCACACGCCATCGCGTTTGGCGCGCGGTTTATCCTCCAAGCTAAGATTAGATGCCAAGAACGCAACGGATGTTTCTTCGATGACAGCTTTCAGGACTTCGAAAAACCCTTCGACGAGCTGTGAATATCCATGGAAATTATCAAGAAGTAAAAAGATCGAGGCTAGAATGTCGTCGAGGTATTGGATCGCGTCCGGGCCTCCAAGCTTGATGAGCACAGAGAGGATCTTTGGTGTTCGTGGGGAAATGTCGAGAGTGTTGATTTTGAGCGAGACCGAATCCAGTGCGTAGTCAATGTTCTTGACCAAGAGCTCACTGACAGATTCGTAGCCGCATGATATGGCGATGTTGCAGAGCGCAATATAAGCGTGTTGACGAACAGTCAAGTCCTTGGAGGCTACCATGTTCAAGACCGGGAACAGGACATCCATGAGCACGACTTTGAACTCCTCCTTAATTATATCGGCCGAAAGAGCAATTCCCTCCAACGAAAGTCTCACTAGAGTGCTTTCGTCCTCGGTGAGCTGTTCATCGTCCAACTTCTTTTCTAAAAGTAGCAACGAGGTTTCGTTAAGTTGCTCCGAAGCCTGGGCGATGAACAGCGCGGTCTCGTAATCTTCAAACAACTCGGTTGACTTTCTCGAGCCTTGCACGATGTGTATATACATCCAGTACGCGACCTGCTGGGCCTTGATGTCGTTCTCAGAATCCATTGCAAGTTGAACGCACTCATCTGCTATGCTGCGGAACATCAGCGAGGCACCGATGGCCTCCAATACTCTTTCCAGCTCTCTGGCAGCCCTCTGGCCAACGCTCTTCTCTATATCTAGCGGTGGAAAGTCGATTTTCCCATTAATCTGCGGCAAAAGACCATTCTTCGCTACCTGCGTCTGCAGCATCCCTAGTTCCGCGGTCGGAGACACCAAGTCCGATGCCGAGATCTTCAAAGCAGAAGGGACAGTCAAGGAAACCGATGCGAAAAATGCAGGAACGATAGACTCTTCAATCACGCTCATCTCAGTTTCCCACTCCAGAAGAAGCTCGAGCCCAATCTTCAACTGCTGCAGCACAACCGTTTTTGCGTCGTCGTCTTGCAGAGCAAGAGTGCGCTGCATCGACATGATCCAGTCGTAGACCGCCATCTTGACTATATCCTGCGCCTCTGAATTCTCGCGACCAAAGACCTGGAGAAAGTCCCAGCTGTCTGAACTAATGTTTTCGTCTGCGTCGCAGCAAAGCTGCACCATGGCGACCAGCAGGATCGCGCGGGAGTTGTCAAGGCTGTCGAAACACGTTCGCAGAAGCCGTACGCAGAACGCTTTCAGTTCCGATCGAACTTCTGGGCGGCGGTGAGATCGCAGAGCGATGACTGGTTCAAGTGCTAATTTGACTTGACTCTTTGTACCCTTGAGCCAGCTCGCTGTTCGCACGTTCGAGGAGTTTCGTCTCCGATCCATTGAGCCAGACGAAATCGAGCCCAAGCTGTCAGAGTTGTCAAAACTATCGTCGTGCGCCATGGGAACGGAACTCGGCTCTGTGGAGCCGCGCGATCTCGAGCTGCTGGAGGAGGACGAGCTTTCAAAGGGAAAGTCGACATCGGCCAGACACAGCGCAAGAAGAAGGCCGAGCAGCTCGATGGCTTTGATGGTAACTTTGTAGTGTGTTTTCCTGACGGAGGGAACGAGCATGTTTGAGAGGGTTGACACGCAGCCCGGCAGGAAACCGGCCAGCATATCTCCGTCCTCGATCACGGCGACGAGAAGTGTCCGCAGAGCGTCGATTGCAGCACAGCTGCAGTCGATATCCGTGGCATCAAAAGCAATCTTGAGGAGGACCGCAACGGCGTGGCCTAGAGTAGGGATCTCAGTTCCTTCTTTGTAGAAAGCTCTGAGAGTCCGTGAGGCGGAAGAGGAGATAAATAACTCATTAAGGGCTTTGCATCCCGCCCGCTTGGTCTCGTCGGAGATGTATCTCGTTGTTTCTTTGGTTTTCTTTTGTGGAGGATCGAGAAGAAGTAAGAGAAGAATGAGAAGTTGCTTGAGCATCTCGACCTGCAGATTCTTGCCCCAGCTGTTGCGGATCAAGAGCTCGATGCACTGCAAGAGCAGCTCGGTGGAGCGATCATCGAGCTTGTCGCGCAGCCGGAGTAAGTGCGAGAGGGGGAAGAAGATGTAGTCGCATAGTTCGGGGTTGAAGTGTTCGGGAGGGATCCGGCTGATGGTGTGGAGAAGGTCTTCGAGGCCGTTTACGATTTTGAATTTGTTGACGGCGGTGGTGTCGCGGTTGAGGGACAAGGCGAGCTGTGATAGCGGCACGCAGACGTTTTTTGCCTGGGATTGCAGGTAGAAGTGTTAGCTGCCTGTTTTAGAAGAAAGCAGAGTAGAAGAACGAGGAGATATCATATATACCCTTAGGAAAGCGTCTGATTGGGACTGATCACGGCCAGCTTTTGTTCCTAAGTTGGTGACCATGATGAAGGGTTGATTTGGGGATTCATGCCCCACGGGATGATTCGAGCAGGATCCAGACAGCCACCTGAGCAGCAACAAGCAGAAAATACAAGCACCGACGGCGACAATGAACGCGAGCGGACTGGAGAACCCGGGGAACGAAGGGATGAGGACGAAATAGGAGACGGACGACAAGGCTCACGCGTGCAATCACCAAAACGTAAATAAAATGGCTGCCGGTTAAGGTTCCCTGTTAAGGTTTTAATAGGACCTAACCCTATGAGCTGGCTATTTTGGGTGTCCGGTTCCGGCAGGTGCTGGAAGCAGAAGGGAAGAGCAGCGGTCGAGGACTCAGAACATCACGTCGGTCTGCCGTTTCTGTTTGAGTTGGTTGTTGCATGGATACGCGTTGGGTCTAGGAGAGCTGGTTTGATTTTGCATAGGAGAAGATGGAGCACGTGAAAGTACTCATCCAGTACGTCGCCAGGTCGTTCTACGAGACGAGGCACATCATCGTCCTCGATGCGATCCTGCGGCACAACATGTATGTATATCCATACAGCTCTTGCTTTTTTGAGTAGCGGTGTAGATATACTAACGTGTGCTGATCTGGTTTAGTTTGTCGGATGATGATCTCTCGCAGATGGTGGGAATCCAGAAAAAAGAACTACACAAACTATGCGCCAAACTTCGCGATGATCGGCTGTTGAAAATGTATACCATATCTAATGCCTAGTATATGCTTATTCTCAATGATCTGATCTAATTTTTGATATCTAGTCACTCGCGAGCTGAGCCAAAAGAGGGACAGCAGCGGCCTATACAGCGTACATACTACTTTATTCAATACCGGGAGGCGGTGGATGCAATTAAATGGCGAGTTCACAAGCTAGGCGAGACGTTCAACGACCAGATGAGAAACGTATCTCCCCCCAATATTTTTGAGATCAGTTATTTGAATGATATCTGACAGTTTTGCACTTCAGGACGTGGATCGCCAAGGTTACGCGTGCCCTCTTTGCAAACGGCGGTATAACGCCCTCGAAGTCCTACCGCTCCAAGCACCTGATCTCTCCGGCTTCATATGCGCCGATTGCGGAACCACTCTCAGCGACGATGATGATAGCGATGAGTTGAGGATCAGTCAGGAGCGACTAGCGAGGCTTATGTCGCAAATCAGAAGGATTATCGATACATTGAAGAAGATTGATGATACATATATTCCAGAGTACGTATCCTTCTGTTTTCTACACCCATCTCAGGGCTCGTTTGCTGACTTTATTATCTAGCAACGATTTCGAGAGTTCTCTCAAGACTGCGGTCGCCACAAACATGGATTCCAAGAGCACCGAGCACGAATCCGTCGGCTACGCCGCCAAAGGCGTCAACAGCAACGCTCTCTCTCTCGAAGTCGATCTCTCCGGCGACAGCAACGAACGGGCCAAGAAGGCCGCCTTGCAAGCCAAGCTCGAGGAATCTGCAAATAACGCTCTTCCCGTTTGGTACCAGAAGAGTACTATTGGTGCCGAATCTGAGAAGGCAGCGGAGGAAGATGGCAAGGTTGGTGATGCTGAAGAGGGAGATTCCAAGGCTGGCATCGTGGGTGATGTCAAGCCTGCGGTTTCTGATCTTGAGGCGGCGCCGGCGGCGGAAGCGGACGCGGAGGATGTGATTGCGGCGTATTACAATAGTTTACAGCAGACAGGCAACGACGAAGAAGAAGAGGATGATGACGATGACGACGATGATGATGACGACGACGACGACGAATTCGAAGAGGTCGAGGTTTAGAATCAACCTGCCAGTTACGTGTACGATAGCTCTTTAGAGAATTGTTGATCAAGCAAAAGTTTTGCATCTCTTAATTGCACAGTTTTGCATTTTTTGATGTTCTGTACATTTCTGACCACTCGCTATTCATTTCCACATTACCAAAAAATGATCGGGCTTTATAAGCCCCTCATTAGATCTGACAAAAATAATAAAAACCAAAAAGGAAGATGCATCTAATTAATGACCAAACACTCTTGTAAATACTCTTATAAATACTTTGGATGGAATCCCTCCCTCCGCTTCTTGTATACAATGTATGCCAAAACAATCCCTCCCTGGATGAGAACAAAGACAAAGAGCGCCGCCCAAATGCTCGGTCCGCCCTTTGCGATTGCCTCGCGGACGGTGTCGGGCAGCGCGCCGACGAGCGAGGTGGTCTGCTCTTTGAGGATCGTGTCGAATTTGTCGAGTTTCTCGGTCAAGAGAGTGATTTCGGATGCTATGTTTTGTTTTGTGCTCTCGTGCATGTTTGCTGCCGCGCCGTGGAATTGGGCTTCGGTGCGGCCGACGGTTGATTCCACGCGTGAGCTGTTCACATATGTCAGTATACTATAGGCATAGAGAAAGTCGTGGTTATGACTATCAGGGGTTGACTCACATCTTCTGATCTAAACGCTCTATTAATGGCTTGATTGAGTGCAGAGTCTCGACGTCTTCCCTCAGATTGACAATCTTTTGTGAAGTCATCTCCAAAAGCTTTTGCAGCGCTGCAATATGCTCAGTCTATAAATAGTCAGTCAGAATGCATCCTAGATCTCGAAAGAGCCACCACACTTACAATCTCCTGTAAATTCGCGTCCGAGACAGCAGGTCGCTGAGGCTGTCTTTGAGGCGGCGGCTGAGGCGGTCCCGTTCTTCGAATCGGCTGCTGCTCGCGCTTGGCCTCCTGCGGTTTCTGCGCCGAGGCGGTGCCAGATCCCGAGGTGGAGAGCGAGAAGATCTCGAAGCTGTCTGGGTTATCGAACGAGGCGCCCGAGATTCCAAGGAAGTAGTTCGGCGGGAGCTGGATCTCGTGCGATTCAAAGCATGGACGGCCGTCGACTTCGACTTTGAGCAAAGCAGGGCCGACGGTCAGACGCAGTTTGATCATCACACCGGTGTTTCTGTAGCGCAGCTGGCACTGGTCGAACGCTTGCGCCTGGGGATTCGGCAGCGAGGCGAAACCTATTGAGCCGTCGTTGAGATGGCCTCGGACGTGGCCTTGTCCGCCGATAGAGTCAATCATGATTCCCAGTCCGTCCCAGTAATCCCGTGCGCCGTAGACGGGGCCTTCGTCGCGGGTGGCGGTGTACCAGAGCGCCATGCCGCCGCTTGGCCGGTCGCTGCCAGACACGCGGAAGACGAGATCAACGGTCCATTCGGCATACGAGACCGCGCGCTGGGACCAGACTGCTCCGCTCTGGCCTTGCTCGCCAGGCGAGGTGAGGAAGACGCGATCCGATTCCGCCTTGACGGAGCCATGCTTGTCCCATCCTTCACAATGCAGTCAGTATAAAAGCCACAGCAGCTATGAAGAGGACTTGAGTACAGGACATACCAGCAATCGTAGATCTGTCGGGTGACACTGGCGACGGAAACGACAATCCAGCGTCGACAGCAGCCACGCCGCGGCCGGCCGCCGCAATCAGCGCAATTGAGCCCGCGATGATCTGTCCCAATCGCACGCCAATCATCATAGTGTTTTCTTGCCTGTGTCGTCTGCTTTTGAAGTGGCCGGGACTCAGGGATTCGAGGAGACAGGAACAGAAGAGGAAGGCGTAGTAGACTGACTGGTTTTAGGTGTCCTCGACGCGCCCGGGTCCCCTGCCTAACCACCCTAACCGCCCACCTCCTGACCTCCTGGATTATGTAATGGATGACTGTTATATGTTCTTAGCCTGCTACCATGTGAATATATAGTACTGATATACAAAGACAATTGAGTATATCTGTTCTTCTATTCTAATAAACACAGCTTCTTATAGTCAACCTCATAACCACTCCAGTAAAACAGTCTCTCATCTCTTCTTTGTCCGGTCTTTTCGGGTTAGGTCTTTCTATGCGGCTCGCCACTCTTTGACCATCGCAGAACAGAGACCGAGATAGAGATCTCGAGATTCTTTATATCAGCACATTTCTCTGTTTCTTGTTACTACTCACATCAAACATGAGCGAAACGAAAGATTCAGAAAGCAACAGCGAGACCGACAGGAAAATGGAGGCCGCCAGCACTGCATCTACCTCACCAACCACCACCGGCACCAAACGATCCGCCAGCGAAGTCGATTCCAGCAAACCCGCGCCTTCAGAAACGCAACCGCGAAAGAAAAAGATAACCAGCAAGATCTCTGGTTTTTCACTAGGTGAGTGTCTTTTGAAACCTTTCTTGACGACTATCTGAGCATCGCTAACTTTGAGAATCGTACTCTAGGACTCGTGGCTGCTGAACCTGAGAAACCAACGACGACGGGGATTCCACCGTTGCCTGCGCAGCCTACGGGGGTCTATAAGCCTCTTTTGCTAAGCAGTCTGCCGCCACTACCGACCATCGACTATAAAGACAGTCAACCCACCGCTCCCGCCAAAGCATCTCCACCACCGCAACAAGACACCACCGACACCACCCCCAAAACCACCGCTCCACAAGGCATCGACAGCCTCGTGAAAGAAGCAGGCATGACCGAACAAGGCCTGCAAATCCTCCAAGGCCGCCACCGGAACCGTAACGCGCCAATCAAAATCGTGGATTACAACGTCGACGAGCAATACAGCTACAACCAGAACCTGCGCGACTCCGGCGCGCTGCAGACCGTGCAGCCGGTCAAGGGCATCAGCTCGGGCAAGCATCAGCTGCGGACGCTGATTTCGTCGGCGAATTTGCAAAAGGAGAGTTTGGAGGAGGCGTTTGCGTCAGGCAGGAGGAATAAGAAGGAGTCTGGCGCAAAGTACGGGTTTTGATCATTCGTGTATCTTCTTACATTCTTACTCGTATAAACGGCATGGGTATCATAAAGCAGAACGCAAGCGCAGGTAAATAGTCTACAGAACAGAAATCTTTGATAATGCAAACCCGTCAGCACAGTAATCAGACCCACAGTATCAAGACAGCATTAAAGAAGAAAGAAATAAACTGGCAAATATATTCTGTTGAATCCCAAAGCAAACATAAGACACAACAACTGAATAAATAGAGCAAGAGAAACAAGACAAGACCGATAGACGCCTTTGACAAATAACCATCCCAGCTGGAAATCCACATTTTGAATTCATTTTACGCAAGCCAGCAACGCAAGCACGAAATCAAAACGAGATCAGCATGATTAGCAGATAAAAAGATACAAAGAAATCAAACACCAAGCAAGACCAACTCATATACACGCAATGCAATGCAACAAAGACCCTACATAACCCAGATAAAAAACAACCCAGCTGTACAATCCTATCTTAGCCCGCCTTATTCTTTACAACTTCGCTCTCCACATTCGCTTTCGCAACATTTATCCACACCTGCTTCCGCTCTTCCAACCCCTCGCTCACTTGTTCGTGCAGACCGACGTCGCGGTCGCGGATTATAAGAGCGTAGAGCACATGGCTGACTCTCTTGTTGATGTCTGTGTATTGATCTTTCGTGATATCTCCCGATTTGTAGTGCGGCCGTAACACGTCCCGCACAATCTCTTGGATCTGTGTTTTCTCTTCGAGCGTCAGCTGTGACCCTGCTTGCCCTGAAGGAGACGACGCAGTCGCATTCATCGCGACTGCGGGAGAAGACACGACAGTGGTTTCCGGCGCCAGTGTCATTCGGCTAGGCGAAGACCGGCTATGATGAACCGGTGACATAGAAGGTGCTAGCACCGGCGACTTCTGCTCAGCAGGAGGCGAAGGTATCGAACCCAGAGATGGCGCAAGCACAGGTGACCCTGACGGTGACCGGAAAATGTTACGAGGTGTCGACACCGGACTAACAAAAGGAGGCGGAGGGGACATAGACCGTGGCGTGGGTAGCATCGTTTCTCCAGTCGGTAGACGGCCATTACTGACCAATCCGACCGGATGGCTCTCCGACGAAGGCGAAGGAGGCTTTCGAATATCTTGCAACAAAGACTTCATCAAGGATTGTCCGTCGCTAGACACCGGCACTGAGGCCACCGCAGCCGGAGTAGGAGCGACAGGGGCGATACTCAAGGGTTTACCCTCGCTCTCGGAACCCTGCTCGCTCCGTCGATTCGACACTCTAGGCCGCTTGAACTTCCTCGATGCGTCAGGAGACTCGGACTTGACTGTTTGATCAGAGGCCGTAGATCCACGTTTGCAATGCCAGTCCGCAAACGTCCGCGATGGCCGGTGACGCATCCCGTCTGACGGTGAAGCAGCGGGGTTCGCAGACTCCTCAAGATCGAGAGCTTGCTCGAGCATGCTCCAGGACTCAATCATCTCCGGAGACTCTTTCTCGTCATCCGCGCCAGAATTGAAAAACAAAGACGCCGTGCTTCGAAAGTATGACGACCCACCGTTTGCCTCCGCTATGCGAAGCCGCAGACTCCATACTCGCCACTCATCTGCTTCTCTTTGCTGGCGCGAACGATTATCTCCACGTCTCGAGCGTCTAGACCGCGAGCTGGTGGCTTCTACTTCTTGGTCAGCCGCAGCGTCTTGGGGTTCATCTAGATCGCGATTTAGACGATCCCAGACAAGCTGCCATGCGCGATCCCATTGCCGACTGCTTCTGACTGTGGTCGACGCACCGCCGCGAGCAGACCCTGCGCGTCGAGACGGCGTGCGGATTGTTCGCGCAGCACGACTGGCACGCGCGCGACGCGACGCTCTGGCCGATCTCGTGTTTGCCTCGCGCATGACTGTATCGGTGACAGCGTGATTGTCGACGCACGAAGGACAATACCACGCTTCTGCAGGCACGCCGTCCATCCCCAGACAGCTAGCATGGTAGGGAGCATCACACGAGTCGCACAAGAGAAGTTCGTCCTCGCGGCCGCCAAAGTCGCAAACAAGGCAGAGACAAGGGGCGGAGTCGTCTTCGAAATCGAGCAAGGACTCGTCAAAGGCTTCGTCGGCATCGACGGTTTGAACTTTTGTCTCCACGGCGTATGAGTCCATTGTAGGTCCTGGATAAAAGCAAGTGTTAGAGCCAAGAGCAGAATTTCCTATTTGGTACATATAGCACATACCTGAGATCGTATGGAGGATCTCGATCACATTAAAATTCGCGCGACAGGTGGGACAGCCTGGGTATACGATTAGCAAAAGGCCGAATAACACGACTCTCAAGAAGCTGCTTACTGGTTGCCTGTTCGATCCACATCTTTATACACGAGTTGTGGAGGAGGTGGCCGCAAGGTACAAGACGCGCGATATCGTTCGTACCGTCATAAGTCGTCAACTCGTCCGCCGACTCGGCAGAGCCCTCGGGCTGATTTGTTTTGCTGTCCGACACCGCATCAGGAGCGGCACTGTCATCGAGCTCGTGCTTGAGCCTGGGATCTTCCTCTGTGGGGAGCCCCAGCAGGCAGATGATACATGGGTACTCTTCCATATGTTCCCCGCCTAAGCGATAAAGAGTAATGTTGTTGTCGATTTCTGAACGAATCCTAGTTCGTTTTTAAGTGTGAAAAGTTTATAGCGGTTGCTGGGAGAGTCACAAGATGACCATGAGCATGATAGAAGATAGACAGAACTTGATATGTAGTGGAAAGCGACATGATTTGGAGAGAGGAAGAAGGAGAGGATATGAATGGGAAGCTGATGGAGGGCTTTATAGTCTGGAAGCTGTGCCGCGGCGCTGTGATTGTTATGCCACAAGTGGATGACGTGGAATATTAATTAGTTTATGCTGCTGTGTCATGAATTATGTCATGAATTCACTTAGATTAGTAAGAGTTTTACTAGCACTAGCTACTCTACAGTTCTCTACACCACCTTTGTTCAACTGATTCTTTATAAAATGTATATTTTGTGAAGTGCGCATTACCCAACGGGATCCCTAACCTTTTTTATACTACATGAAATACAAAAACACATGCTATTTTTCCCATTTAGACCTCAGACAACTCTCTCAAACGACGGATAGTCGATCTGACGGTGGCAGCGTTGGTGGTCCTAAACATCATGTTAGCATTCTGCAGTGTTCGACGTTGATTGGCATCTGAATGATAACCACAGGTAGACTTACGAAAGGGTGTAGGCACCGCCAGCCATGGTCTTGTGGCACGACTTGCACTTCCAGATACCGGTGGCACATCGCTTGACGGAGTTCTTTCCGCAGAAAGAGCAAAGGTAACGCGAGTGCTGCTGGATTTCGAGCTTCTTCGTTTGTCTTCGGAGCGACGAACCCTGTATGATTCAATTCATGTCACTATGCTGCTCCTTTGTTGCATGCCATCGTCCGTACTATGTGCGCTTCTGCGACACAGATTCCGGGACGATTGCTTCGAACGACTAGGTAAATGACTTACGTATCTGACACCGTACTTTCCGGTGATTCCGACCTTCTTAGTGCGCTTAGTCCTATATCAATCCTTCGTCAGTACTCCTGCCCTTCTTTGCACACACAATCCATCGCTTTTCAATCATGACTTGAGTGATAACCAACATTTTGTAGTATGGGTGGAATTCTAAAGAAAAGGACTATTAGCAACCGCTTCCTACTTCAATATTCGATCGTATTGAACAGCGACAAAGGAGTATCAGGACACTTACCGTTTCTGTTGATGGGCGAACCTGAAGAGTGAAATTCGAGAGCGAGCGTGAAGCCTAAGACGCAGGACTCGGGCGGAGGGGGCACCAGCCGCAGACCACTGCGCTGTGACTGCTTTTTTACATGGCAGTGTAGGGTTTAGCCCTACATCTAATCACGTGCAGGATATTACCTCACGTATGACTAATGCATTATGCTCCAGAAGCACTTGACTTATTTCCCCAATGAGCGAGGACGATACCGACAACGAGCGCTGCCTGTTCTTTGCATCCTCCCCGCGACTCCGACCCGGCTCCTGCGCGGGTGCTCATACACAAATGGAGGTGTCCGCACCGATTCTGCAATCCCGTTCCAGCTGCGAGTCGCTGAAAGAGAAAGACGGCGCGATGCTCGTCGCCGCGGCTGCCGATAGCAACAGCAACAGCAGCAGCAGCAGCACAGCCGACACCGACGGACCACCCTTGCTCGTCACGCCCTTGCGGTTCGGGATCGTGCAGCCGAAGCTGTACCGGGGCCTGTATCCGCGCAAGCTGAATCTACCGTTCCTGCGGCGGTTGAAATTAAAGACGATACTGTCGCTGACACCGGAGCCGTTGATTGAGGAGATCCAGCAGTTTTGCAGGGAAGAAGGGATAGAGATGATGCACATCAAGACATCAAAGTCAAAGAAGAAGGACGTCTCGATTACGTATAAGGAAGTCACGCAGGCCATCGAGGTACGTCCATCTCACTCAATCTCACCTCTGCAGCCGAATCTAACATTACTCTACAGATCATCATCAGCCAGAGCCACGCGCCTCTATATCTGCACTGCCTGAACGGCAGCCAAGCGACCTCCCTCGTCATTGCCTGTCTCCGAAAGCTCTCGTTCTGGCGTACGTCGTCCATCTTCTCGGAAGTCAGCTACTACTCCCAAGTCACGGCCGCCGACCACAAGTTCGTGGAGGAGTACACGGCCGAGATCCAACTGCCTGCTGATCCCGTGAATTGGATATGGATGGGTTTGTCGAGGAAGGGCGTGGTGGAAAATCATCCGACGGTGAAGATTAAGCATGCCGAGACTGTTGTCGTGGTCGAGAATGAGGAAAGCGTGCAGGAAGTTGAGGTTTCATATCTATAACCTCTCTGCAACGTCAAACCAATGTTTTCTATTCTCATTTTATGACTATTCTATGCTGGGCTAAAGCATATCGGGGTTAAGGAGTTTCCGTTCAGCACATGTTTTTGGCATCATCATTTTTTTCATTATTTATTGCTCGTCATCTTTTGTATAAACAATTAAGGGTATGACATGTCCTCCCATTCTCTATATAAAACAATTTTAGGAGCCAAAAAAAAAAAGGTAAAAAACAAAATTCCAAGCGAAAAATAAAACACATATAACTATGACAAGATCCTCCAAAATGATATACTGCTCACTTCCTGCGCAGCGTCTTCCGCTCTCCAAACCGTCCGCGCTCCTGAGTCGTATCATACGCGCGAATAAGTCTAGATTGTCCCTCATCCGCCTGCGAGAACGCGAACCCGCGCTGCTTGCGCATGCGCTGCACCTGTCGCACTTTGCGGATCGCTTTCTGGAACTGCTCCATGCGCGGGCGGTAGTCTGCGATATTGTACTTCTGGATCTCTTGCACGTGGTGGTAGGATTTCGGGAAATACATGCGTTTGGCGTATTTCCAAGTGAAGTCGCGCAGAAGGCACATCGCGGGCACGACGACGATCATGGCCCAGAATGAGAGCGAGGTGTAGAGATGTCCGAGCACGCCATTATATTCGATCGAAAAGTTGAGCAGCGGGGCCACGGTGCCGTAGATCGGGAAGAAAATCAGCCAGAGGATGAGCGAGCCCGGGATCGCGAGAACGGTCCATTTCGTCCACAGATTGGTCACCAGCGCTGCCTTGCCGAGAACGGTCACGATACAGGCGGTGTATAGAGCTGTGCCCCACACCCAGTGCCCGGCCACGTAGCCCGATGATTCGCGGAAACCATCGCGGTAGGTGTATATGCCTCCAATATAGAGAATCACCGAATGGAAGAATCCATTAAAGATCCAGGCCCAGAACGTTCTCACATTGAACTGTAAATAAGTTGTTAGCATCACCCACGGTCAAAATACATCAACGTCTAAACTCACAAAAGTCCCTTTCTGACCAAGCTGATACAGCTCAGGGTACCGATCCAGCAGTCTCGCATTCACAAACTGATCAAACACACCCAGCACGAACGGCGGCGCGACGGTGAAAAACACGCTGTAGAAAGTAATACTCCACGATTCATAAATGACCTGGCCAGAGTACGCGTTCCAAAACACGTACCAGAACTGCGTCATGTAGAGCGCGATGTTTTTGTAGAACGAGTACAGAATCACTTTGCTCAGCCGCTGGTAACTCCAGCCGCCGTGGACGAGAAGCAGCTTGCGCAAGTACTTGAACTGGCCGATCGACACGTCCGCGCTCCGCGCGGCTTGCATGCCTTCCATGCCACTGATACCGACGCCGACATGCGCCGCCTGAATCATGCTCACGTCGTTGGCGCCGTCGCCGATGGCGAGCAAGATAGCTTTGAGATGCCGCTTCACGAGTTTCACCACGAGCGCTTTCTGCAAAGGCGACACGCGGCAGCAGATCACGGCCTTACACATCACCGCAAGGTCCAAGAAATCTTTCTCGAGATCCTTTTCCAGTGCAAAGGCCAGAGAATGGCCATCAATAATCAACGCCAGTGTCTAGGAATGAGTTAGCTAGTCTAGTTCAACAGATTAGTATAGATCAAGAAGTGACTCACGTCAAGAATGACGTCCTCGGCATTCTGGCCTCTGATGGCAGAGAGCTTGTTTTTGATATTACTCCGCGTGTCCTCTTTTGTCTCCTCGTTGACAATCAGCAAACTCATATCTTCACTCAGCAGTTTGCACGACATGCCAATGTTGACGGCAGTTTCCTGTCGATCACCAGTCAAAACCCAGATTTTGATTCCAGCGGTTTGCAGAGTGTGGATCGTATCAGGCACGCCGTCTTGCAGCTTATCCTCGATAGCCGTCGCGCCAAGCAGGAACAAGTCCTTCTCAATCAACTCTGCAGCTTTATCCAATTCTGTGCTTCGGTCGTTCATCGTCGTCGCCGCGCGGTCGTAGATCGCGCTCCATTCGGCGTACTCGCTATCCGAGATCGCGCGCATAGCGAGACAGAGTGTCCGTAGACCGTCGGCAGCGTACTCCTCGAGGTGCTGTAGGGTGGCCTCGGCGTAGGGATTTCCGGGTGACAAGCGTTCGAGAATCACGGTATCAGCACCCTTGCAGTACAGCCTGATTCTCCCATCCGGGCATCTAAAAATTGCCGACATGCGTTTCCGGGTCGAGTTGAACTCGCAGATGTTGAGGAGCTCGTACTCGGAATCCTGGCCGCGTATGCTGACGGTGATTGATTTTGGTCGACGGGTGGTGAATTGATATCCCAGCTTTGCAGCGCCATCCACGAGCGCACCTTCATCAGGCGACGCGGCTTGATACTTGATCTTCTCGTCGGCGGTGACTTCGGGGATTACGGTGTGGCAGGTCGATAGCAGGGTGAGAAATTCATGGATGACCTCGCGCGTGGGGTGCGTATCCAGGTTTTCGTTCAGCACGCTGAAATTATGAACACCGATAACCTGCCCATCGACTTCGACCGCGCGCTTATCCTCGGGGATATCGTCGCCGTAGCAGATTCCCGCAATCGAGCACTGCTTGAACTCCATGATATTCCTCGTGAGCGTGCCGGTCTTGTCGGAGAAGATGTACTCGATCTGTCCGAGTTCTTCGACTAAGCTCGAGGTACGGCAGATGGCGGGAGTGTCGCTTGGCTTGTAGTACATATCCAGATCCGAGCTGATCAGGAAGGCTTGGTAGAATTTCACGACTTCGATGGTGACAAACATGCTGATGGGGACAAGGTTGGAGTAGAGAATCCAGTAGGTCAGGAAATCCTGGAAAAACAGCTTTACCAGATTTCGTCCTTCAATGTAGAGGTATGAAAGCTCTGACGCTGCCACATGCTCCTTGACTACGTCGCCAATCGAGGAAACAATCGAGAGAGTGATGAGGATTCCAAACAAAAAGATGATCTGCAGATTGACCATGTGCTCCACCGCCGTTCTTTTGATCGGGGCGGCGGTAGCGTTTCTCATCAGTTTTGTCTCATGACCGGTGAAGACGACTGCGCCGTGGATCCAAGGCGTATTTCGCAGCGTGGCGCCTCGCAAAAGAAGCTGATCCGGGTTAAGCGGGATTTCTTTTTCGCCGTTGGGAGTTTCCAAGGTGAGAACACCTTCGTAAGTGTACAGACTGCTATTCGGCTGCTCTGACCTTAAAGTTCCTTTCATGTTGCTGAGATCGGTGGGACTCACGCGGTCAGCGGTTTCGGGAAGACCTTGCTTGATCTTGAGGTTTGTCTCTCCGTCGAGGTTCGCGGTCTCGATATAGCACAGACCTTCGGGTTCAGACGACGCGAGGAGAACAAGATCAGCAGGTATGCTTTCCTCGGACTCGACGCGGACGATGTCGCCGACAGCGACGTTGACCCACCGACGGTTTTCAAAGATGCCGTTGCTGAGAACAAGGACTGGCGCGTTGTTGAGGTCTTTGTCTGCGTTTCGTCGTTTGACGTCCTCGATTCCTTCTTTAACGGCAGAGACGAAGAGTACGATACCGAGGGTGATGATGGTCGTCCATCGGTTGGTCGGCGACACGTCGGGAACTTGCTGGATGATACATGTAAACAAGAAAAACAGGTTCGAGTATTTCGAGAATTGCTCAAACAAGAACTTTGGCAGGAACGTGGCGATGTTGTATTTTGTAGTACTGATGTGGTTGTCGAGGTAGCCATTGATCTTGTTTGCAGGCGCGTCGTTGAGATGAATGATTCGAGGGCCGAGGGTCGACGGGTCGACAGGGCTCCGTCGCAGGATCTTGTTGAATATCCGCCGGATATCAAAGTCGCCGGCGCCAGCCGCATCGTCGTATTTCGAGGGCGTCGCGGTCGCGGCCGTTGTCGTCGGCTGCAGCTGCTGCGATCTGAGCGGGCGTCCGTCGATAGTTCCTGGCGCGGCACCGGCCTCGGTCAATGGCAGGTCCATGTCGGAGTACTGCGGGCCAAGACCCATGCGCCGTTTCATGCGATCATAGATTCCCGGGGCAGGTACTTTTTTAGATCGATGGCGGGAGATGTCGGCGACGTAGGAGCTGTCCTCGTAGGAGGACTCGGCAGCGGCACTGTCATCAAACGGGTCCTCGTAGTACGGCTGGTAGGAGTTGAGGTCTTCGTCGGGGATGTAGCCGGGAGAGGGCGCGATGGTAGTGCTGGCGCGCGCATTGAGGGAAGCGGTGCCTGGGTCTACGAACGGATCAGAGACGGCGGGAGGCACGGACTGCTGCAGCTGGTGCTGGTCGTAGGGAAGGTCGCGAGCATATGGGTCGTCCTCAAGCTGATAGACGCTGTCAGGGTCGGTGTCGGCGGAGGGCGCGATGAAGGCCGCGTTGTCCGCGAACGGGTTACGGCTGGAGAAGGCACCGGTAAGCGGCTGTTGGATCTGGTCGTCGGAGTCGCGGTGGTCGTCGTCGTCGGTTGTCATGGCGGCAATGGGCCGGGAGGGCGTCTGGGAGGAGGTTCCAGGGTGCGGTAGGGGGGTCGAGGAGGGTGTAGGCCGGAGAAGAAGCAAGGAAGGGCGGCGGGGAGGAAGAGGCCGGTGTCGAGGAGGCTGAAGGAGCGAAGTGGTTTGTTTGGAGGTTGTGTTTTGGGGACGAAAGAACGGGCCACCACCGCGCGTCGACGTGACGTAAGCTGAGAAGGAGAAGCTGAGGTATTATTAGTGCAGTGCAATGCGGATTGTATGTGTTGTGTTGTGTATTATGTATAATGTATTATGTAGTTATCTAGTATTATATATCCAAACCATTCTAGACCAAAAGATTGAAAACCTGAGCAACAAAAAGAAATTGGCCGTCCACCGACAGCACCTATACAGATTACAATGAACGACTGCTGGCAGAGCGATAATGAGCGATAGTGTACAGAGCAGACTAGGAGGATCCCTGGGGCTCACTGAAGTGGAATAACCGCTTCAGTCCGCCTTCTCGGGAGTGAGGAGAGCCAATGCCGAGGTTTAGCTCAGGTCTCGGTTTCTCGAGCATGAACGGGACGTCAAACGTCGACTCGAAAAACTCGTCGCTCGCGGACGTTGCTGTGCTGGCAGAGGCCGGCGCGGGGGGCTGCGGTATCCGCATGGGGGACACGAGGTCGACCGAGCGCGGCGAGGCAGAGTATATGCTGTTGGGGTGCATGCGCGAGCTCTTTGAGAGCATGGCGGAGGAATATGACGCGTCGAGGCCGACCAGGCTGCGCTGGGGAGAGGAGGAGTGCTGGAGGGAGTAGGCGGTGGGTGGTTGTGCGGATGCGCGAGCGTAGGGCAAGCTTGCGGTGATGGGCGTCGCGGTCGGCGACGAGGAGGGACTGGCGTGTGCTCTTGCGTCTGTGATTCGGCACCTGTTCGAGAGAAGTTAGTAGGAGAAGAGGTGATGGAGTGAACAGGGAAGCCGTACTTTTCTGAACAGTAGAGGATGTTGTTGGAGGGCACGGTGAGCAACTTGTCACAGACGGTGCTGGAGGAGAGTTAGCGGAGCACACAAGACTCGAATACAATAGCAAACTCACCAATACTGGAGAAACGACATCCTGCGCTGTGTATTCTCTACTCGGTATTCGTTGCTGTCGAATAACCCGCGATAAGAGCGGGAAGCGGAGCAGATGCGCGGCAGATCTGTTGGCTTGAGCGCCCCGTAACCGACGCCAACCTGGATCGTGCCGACGTGACTCACTCACGTCACGTGAACTGACGTCACCACCGCCGGGCTGCTACTTCACTCTGCTTCACGGTTGATTAGATGATGCTGCTGCGATGAGATATGCGATGCTGCGGTTCTTAGTATTAGATCAATAAGAGCATGATGAATAGATATTGCTTTTTTCACATACATGACAGAGCTGAATACTCGCTGATTCAGCAGCTACTGCGTACACCGTTCAGTGCGCAGCCCTTGCTCAGATAGCCGTCGCAAGCTGGATCTCCGTGTAATCACTGTAGCACCCGCGTAGTGACAGGCGAGCTTGTCGCTTGCGTCTTGGTCGAGCAGATCCAGGCTCTGGCTTGCTTCAAGATGAGATACTGTCCTTGGCTGCTGTTCTGCGGGCTGCTCTCCGGGCTGCTGTCGAGTTTGCTCTCCAGACTGCTCAGATACCGCGAGCATATCAGCCTTCGTCTCCTCTCCGCCCTCCGCGCTATCATCAGACTGACGACGCACCCACCATCTCTGAAAGATGGCAGAGCTGATGGCCGAGCTCAGGTTCGCCATGGCCGCGTGCGCATCCATACTGCAGTGCGCGGGATAACGGTATATTTCCATGTGTCTACGGATTACTAGCAGGGTGCACGCTGCCTGCTTTATATCTACTTTCTGTTTCATGAAATAAAAGACTCTCTGGCAGCTGGGCATGCCCCAAGCTGGGTACGAGAGGCTAACCGCGGGCGTGTACAGCAGCGGGAAGGATGAGATTAACGACCAAGGGTCATCTGGTCATCGGCTCATCAACTCAAAGACTGCTGTAAACGAGTCATCGCGTCTCTACCTCTTTTCACCACACACACACACAGTAGAGACAGAGCAGGCAGACGCGCGCTCCCGGTTTCCGAGTCTGCGGGCGTTCGTTGGCATCTGCCCCATTCAGGTCTGCTGCTGCGGCCAGGACATGTTCTCATGACTCCCTCTGACACTCTTCCTCAAGCCACGTCTCTGATATTCAGACGTGTCATAAACGTCCTCATAGCCTTCGCCTATTACTCTGCTGTACCTGGCCGCGCTGTCGGCCCGACCGGCAGGGGCAGCGATGAGGTGGCATCGCTTCTCGCTCGGTAGCTGCAAACAGTCTTTCTTAATTGCCTTCTATAGCAGCCGTATATACTCTCCGCCGTCGTAATCGTCGCCTCTGTTCCTAATCTCCGTCGCCAGCTGGCTATCGTCCTAGCGAGCAGTGTCTGTGCCGGACGGAGAAGCCTGTCATCTGTAGTCAGTCTGGCTCTGGGCTGAAGCGAGGCCAATCCCATCTGCGCCGCACAACTACGTTCCCATCTCGTTCATTGTCGAGAGTCTTTTATTGTCAAGAGGCCTCATTCTCTTCTTGCCGCCTTTGCAACCCCACACTCGCTACTTTCTCTGATACTCACCGCAGTCTCACCTGCTCTTCACCCCAGATCACCCAAAATGCTTATCGGCGTAGTCGACATGGGCTCCAACGCCGTCCGCTTCACCGTCACCGACCTCTCCTCCCCCCACACCGCCCGCAACCTCCCCACTCTCTACCAAGACCGCGCAAAGATCTCTCTCTACGACGCCCTCTCCTCTTCTAGCGACCGCCGCATCCCTCGCTTGGTGATTGAACGGCTCCAAGTGTCGCTGCGGCGGTACGACGTCGTCTGCCGCGCGCTCGGCGTGCGCTCTGAGAACGTGTCGGTCTTTGGCACAGAGGCTTCTCGCACCGCTGCAAACTCCGGTGAGCTGCTGCAGGCAATCAAGGCCGTCAACGATAAGTGGTCGGTCTCTCTTCTAGCGCAGGGCATGGAGGCAAAGTACGGCGCGCTCGGCATCGCCGCTTCCAATCATGAGATCAACGGCGTCGTCATGGATCTCGGCGGCGGCAGTATCCAGGTCTCCTGGGTCTCGACCTTGGGCGGCAAGCTCTCCATTTCCGAGACCGCAGTGTCGCTGCCGTATGGGGCCGCCGCGCTCTCTGTCAAGCTCGCAAAGACAAAGTCGCACTCCGAAGTCAGATCAGAGCTGATCAAGGCGTTTGCCTCTGCCCTGCGGCGGATCGAGCCCCCTTTCAGCCTGAAAGGAGCGAACCTCTATCTCTCCGGCGGCGGGTTCAGAGCACTGGGATGTTTTGCAATGAGCATCTTGTCGGATGACGAGTATTACCCTGTGCCGATCGTGAACGGGTATCGGTGCTCGCTCAAGGATTTGGATAAGGTCACGCAGCGGCAGATTAACGAGCAGATCGCGGGTAGGTTGGAGGATATGTTTCGTATATCAAAGAGGCGGGCGTCGCAGCTGCCCAGTATATTCTTTTTGATGCAGGCGTTGATTTCGGCAGCTCCCGCACTAGGATCAGCGTACTTTTGCCAGGGTGAGTTTTATACTGTTCATATCTGCAATCATTCCAAATCTAACATTGATGATCAGGCGGCACAAAAGAAGGCTATCTCTACTCCAAACTAAGCGACTCCGTCAAATTCAAAGACCCGCTCCTCTGCAGCTCTATAGAGTACGCGACCCCCGCGTCCGAGAAAATCGCGACGCTACTAGACTTTGCCATGTCGGCCTTCACCCCCGCCTACATCACCAAACGCATCGCGCCGACGATCGCAAACCTGCTCTACGTGCACGGCTCGTACTCCAAAGACACGCAAGCCACTGCCGCGCTGAACTTTGCCATCACAGGTCCGCTCGCCAAGGCGTTCGGTCTCTCGCACGTCGATCGGGCGTTGATCGGAATCATCCTCTGCGAGCGGTGGGGCGGCGACGTGTTTGACGAGCGCGTGCTGGGCCGGCTGTGTAGTTTGGTCGTGAGCGAGAGCAGGGGAAGTTTAGGATACACGTACATGTTTTGGGGGTACTATATCGCCAAGCTGGGTACCGTGCTCGCAGAGCTGTTTCCGGCGGGGATCGCGGATGGCGGGGGGAGTAGTCGTGTGAAGATTGGGGTGGTGAAGGATGAGGTTGATGTGATGATTGTGGAGATGATTTTTGCGGGCGATGATCCGCTTAGGTTGGCGAGCTGGGATAAGATAGAGGGATTGGAGAAGGCGATTCGGAAGTTCAAGAAACGATATGATGTGTCTAAAGTTCCGGTGATTTCTTTCCGAACAAAGGTTGTATGATAGCGTCTAAGATATGAGTGTATACTAGTCTATAGAATAATCTTGATTATATCGTACACGTCACTCCTCTATGGTAAAATCGTACTTGCTAAACACCTCCTTAAACCGCTCGGCGTCCTTGACCTCTTCTTTCTCGTCCTGCGCACACGTCCGCCAGTCTACCCGATCAGGCAGCTCCAGAACCGTAGCCAAAACCTTCCGCCCGAATTGTAAATCGAACCGCGTCTCGGGTGAGAGTGGAACGTACAGACTGCTGTTGTCGGGGAGGTAGACTTTAAAGTAATCACCATCAGACTCAGACTCCGCGTCTTTGCTATCGTGCTTCTCAATCGTGTATCCGTTCGCGTCAGCAGCGGTTCTGAATTCCTGCTCGACGCGGTCGAGTTTCTCGGTCGGAACGGGAATCACTTGGATATGGAAGTGGATACCTCTTTCGCGACTGATTTCGAACGCGACAGCGCCGTACCCGTGCTCGGCGTACGCCTCCGCGATGCGGGCTCGGAATTTACTCATCTCCGCCAGCAATCTCTCTCGCGTTCCAGGATCGGATATCGACGCGACTGTAGGCTGGTGTTCGAGCGGTATAATAAGCACATGGCCAGGACACGCCAATCCCTTCGACTCTGGTTTCGGCAGCGGTCCCTTGGCGGTAGTCACATAGCTTTCCTCACCGATCGAGACGATAAAGTGCTGCGCGAGCTGCGGGTTCGAGAGGCAAAAGAAGCAAGACGAGGCGTCGACTGGTTTGCGCTGCGGTCGCGAGTTTTGTCCGCGGCGCTTTGTGTCGCGGCGGGAGAATTTGTTGTCGCCGTCGTCGTCTGCTTTTCGTTTGGAAGCTCTTCTGCCGCTGCCGTAGATCATTTCTTCGTCATCGTCTTCGTCGTCTTCGACGATGGCTTCTCGACGAGTCTCGGCGGGTTTTTGCGCTGCTTTTAATTTCGCGCCCTCGATGTATGGGTTCGCGGTCGCGTTGTCGGGTAGCGGGAGCGGGATGTAAGGCACCGACACGCTGAATGCGTAGAACCATTTGCTTTTCTCTGGATTTCCCAACGGTGCGAGAGAGATGAACTTCGTAGGCCGCTCGCCTCCGCCGCCGTCGAGGTTGATGTACCCCTCATTGCGGTATGGCTCGCGTTCCCAAAACAGTTTCCCCGGAGAGAAATGGTACCTTGGCTGGAGTAAGGACACGAGATCGGTGATTCGCGAGTCGGTCTTTACGCTCTTGACGGCCTCGGTCGCGCCGGGGGAGAGCAGGGTTATATGTTCTGGCCAGTGCGCGCTGACGAAGATGTCGACGCTCTTTTGCGACTTTAGTTTTTCAATCTCAAAGATGCTGCTTCCCGGGCCGACGGCGGCGATCTTGACGCCTTTGTCGGTGGTGAGGGCGCCGGAGCCGCCGAAGCAGATGAGGTTGCGACAGATCTGCCCGTTTTTGCTGGATTCGAGAGCATTTCTGATTTTCACCGGCAGGTGGTCGTGCGAGTAAAAGTATGTCGGGAAGGCGATCTCGATGCGACCGGCGAGGAGGTCGTCGATGTCATTTTCGGGGGTGTCGTGCGTGAAGGCGTCGCCGAGGAGGAGGAGGGCGTCGAATGGGCCTGCGGGGGAGGAGTTGATTTGGGCTGCTTTTGCGATTGCGGGTTTGAAGTTCTTGCCTGCGCTTCCGAAGACGAGGCTGCGATGTTTGTTAGTTAGTTATATAAAATACAAGGTAATAGAAGGAAGAGCCTACATTTTAGACATAATAGCTGGTCGCAACTACAATGAACAACCAGAAGAATTGGAGAGCAGCAGACAAGATTTGTAGCTCACAACGACTCACACAGTCACAGATGGGTAACAAATGTCATGTGATCTCGGTTACTGCCGGATTAAGAGCAGACTGGGAGGAAAGGCGGGTGACGTCAAACCGCTATAAATGATGATCGACCAGGCCGCCGCATCGCGAGCGAAAGAAGGAGGGAAAAGCACGGCAGCAGCTGTCTGCAGGGTTTGTCTGCAGAGCCGAGTGGGGCCTCGTCAAATTTTTTCTTCTTCTTCTTCTTCTGCTTTTGTCTGTTTGCAGCAGAATCCTCCGCTCGAGCTGCCGGCCGGTGCTTTTTTTCTTCTTCTTTTCTGGCGGTGATCGAATTTTGGATTTTGTGGCGCATCGCGAAGGGAAAAAAAATTAAAAAAAATCAGAGCATCAAAGAAAAAAAAAAATAAAAAAAATAAAAATAAAAATAAAAATAAAAAAAGTTTTTCGTTTCTCCCAACTTTGGCTGCTCGACGGTTCCTTCACAAAACATATTTCATCTCGCCTCTTCTCGCGCTTTATTTACTTCCTCCTCCTCCTCTTCCTCCTTGTTGACTCTACTCCTTCTCATCGCTTGTTTCTTCTGCTCAGCTTGCTCTAGCATCAATCTCCAGCAGCGCTACAAGTCGCACTCCCTCCTCACTACCACCTCCGTCAGCATACTACACTATGGCTACCCAGCTATCACGATCGGCGCCATCAAGAGTCAGCGGCAGCGCCCTCTCGCGATCGCCTCCCAAGAAGCAGAGACATCTATTCGGCGACCGGCCGCGGGAAGACAAGAAAGACGAGATTGAGCTCGCGCTCGAGCACGCTGTCTTTGGCGATCTTGCTGGTTTCGAGGACGGCTTGAAGGATGCCTCCGTGCCCGAGTTTGGCAGCGACGATGGCGACGACGATGCTGATGCTGAGTCTGACGACTTTGAGGATGAGTCCGATCAGACAAAGGCCGGCGATAGTGTCACTACCTTTGCCAACGTCAACAACGACGACGTAAGTACAATATCACACTTTTTTCATATTGCGCGCTGTCGTCATCTGGCGAAAGATTTCGTCGTCAGTTCATATCACTAACCTCATCTAGCTCTTCGTCGTCGATGGTCTCAGCGATCCCACAATCGACGCAATTGTCTCCCAGGATGTAACAATCACCACCACAGCAATCGGCAAGCAAAAGAAAGACCGCGGCCCACCCCCTGCCTGGGTCGACAGCGACGACGAACGGCTGAGCATATCTCTTGCTTCGAGCGACCGGCTCCGGAAACTGCGCGCGACCGAGGACGACGACGTCGTCGACGGGCTCGAGTACTCCTCCCGTCTTCGCTCGCAGTTCCAGCGACTGTATCCGACGCCGGAGTGGGCCACTCCTGCCGTAAAGCGAAAGAGCAGAGACGTTGACTCGGACGAGGACGCCACCTCGTCTGGCGACGACGTCGAGGCCGAGGATGACAAGGAGCGTGCGCTTTCCGCCGACCCTCTGAGAAAGATCCTGCAGAGCACCGCGCGGTATACAGACAACGCAAAGACAAAGTTGCTTGCTCCCGGTCTGCTCGATATCGCGCGCCTTCGCGACGCAAACCAGCAGGCGCCCTCGCAGGCCGCCATCCAGACGCTTTCCTTCCATCCTTCCATCCCTCTCCTACTGTCGGCCGGATACGACCGGACTCTTCGCATCTACAACGTCGACGGGAAAGTCAACCCGCTCGCTACTTCTCTTCACATCCGCGCTTCGCCTGTCCAGACCGCCGAGTTCCATCCCGACGGACGCAGGGTGTTTGCCGGCGGCCGTCGCCGCTACTTTTATGTCTGGGACCTCGAGTCGGGAAATATCGACAAGATCAGTCGCATGTACGGCCACGAGCAGAGTCAGCGAAGCATGGAACGTTTCAAGCTCTCGCCCTGCGGTCGGTTTATCGGTTTAGTCGGTTCCGGCGGCTGGGTCAACTTACTGGACGCGAACAACGGTCAGTGGATCTCGGGCGCCAAGATCGAAGGTGGAGCGGTTGCGGATTTCGTCTGGAGCAGCGACGGCGGACGCATCACGATCGCAAACTCTGTCGGTGAAATCTGGGAATGGAGTACCTCCGAACGGAGATTCATCTCGCGTTGGGCCGACTTTGGCGGTGTCGGCATCACGACGCTCGCGGCTACAGACAAGTGGCTCGCGCTCGGCAGTCAGAGCGGAATCGTAAACGTGTACGACACAGCCAAGAAGGAGGACGATCAGCCGAAACTTGCCTTCTCGCTCGACCAGCTCGTGACCTCGATCTCGGGCCTGTCGTTCTCGCACGACGGACAAATGCTCGGTATGGCCTCGCGCGCAAAGAAAGACGCGTTCAGGTTTGCGCATTTGCCTTCGGGAACCGTGTTCAAGAACTGGCCTACCTCTGGTACCCCGCTCGGCAAGGTCACTGCGACCGCGTTCAGCGCCGGGTCGGAGATGTTTGCGTCCGGAAACGAAGCGGGCAAGATCAGGCTGTTCAAGCTCAATCACTACGCCTAGTTCACCACCACATTCTCTCACCTCAAAACTTTCATCTCTTCTCTTCACAGCATTTAATGATCTCAACACAGCATCGATCGAAAGAAACAAAGGGAACAAAAAAAGCACCTAAAATTCCAACTAATGTTTTTCTTTATGGGGACCACGGCGTCAAAAATTCCTTTTTTTCTGTAATTTTTTTTCTTTTTTCCTATTTTCTTTTTGTGATTGTTTGTCATGTACGTATATCTATACTGCCGTTCTTTGGAGTTTTTTCTTTTGTGATTTTGTTATGCGCTTTTGTTTGCTTTTGGGTGGGGAAGACGAGCGAGTTGTTCATTCACTCACCACACCTCCAACGAGTCGAATGTTTGGAACACCTCGCTCTTCTCTGACCACTTTTGCTTCACATTCTCTTCCTCCCCCTCCCCTCGAACGTGTAAATTAACATCTCTCATCTTCTCGTGTTCCTCACTTCCCGCCGAAAAAGTTCGCGTCATCTAATCTTTCCAAAAGTTTTATCTCTCGTTTTCTCTTTATATCTTCATCGTGCATCTATAATTTTCTTTTGTATTTCTGGGAAGGAGCGGGGGAAAGCAAGTGAAATGGGAAAGCAAACATCTGCGGTATCTGTAAAATGTGTTTTTTTTATTTCATTAGTTTTATAAAAGTGATTTTAGTCGTGTTAATATACCGTATATATACAAAGAAGTCTGAACGTAGGAGCGCGTAGGAAAGTGTCGTGGGTGGGGTGAAGGATTTGATTGCTACGTGCGTCAACGGAGGGATATACCTAAGAGCATCTCAGGCGATAGTACTATATTTATAATCATTTATTACTGTCCGAATGCAGAACATCAAAGAATATACAGAACTTTATGGGTAAGCCTTCACAGCATCAAAACTCTACAACAGGGAATAAAAAAGATGCAACAACACCCCATCCTCATCAGATAAAGACGAGCGCGACAAAAGTGACGGTGCCGACAAAGAGCGTGGTCGCGACCATATTGTTGAAACTGTACTTCGACCCGCCCGCGCCTTCAAAGATCGGTAGCGTGCTGTTGCTGCTGTAGTTCCCCGTCGAGTTGTCGTACGCGAGCGTGCCGTTGGCGGTGCGGTTCATGAACAGCGGGCGGTCGTGCGTCTTGGTTCTGTTGCGCTTGGGCACGTAGCTGTCGTCGCTGCTGTCGTCTTCGGCGTCGACGTCGTCGTCGGCATCATACATGGTCTCGTTCGTGAACGAGGCGGTCGCGTTGGGGTATGTCATTGCCTGCGCGTCGTCGTCGGCGGCAACAGATCGCGGAACAGGCGCGGGAGTGGCGGACGCGAGGTGCGGGTATTCAACAGTCACAGGGCCATCAGAATCAGTCAGAACAGTAGTCATCGGGACAAACACAGCAAGAGGGGTGGTAGGCGCCTCGTCGACAAGAACAGTGGCTGCGGGCTCAGACGCGGGCGTCGCGGCAGGAGACATGGCTGCCGCGCCGGCTTCGGTCGCGGGCATAGCGGGCTCGGCCTCTTCGGCGGGCTCGGCGGCAGGCTCAGCGGCAGGCTCAGCGGCAGGCTCTTCAGCAGACTCCTCAACAGTCTCTCCAACAGAGGCAGACTCTTTCTCTTCAGAGACAGGCACGCCATAGTCGAGATCCTCAGAAACATCATGAGGGCCAGACGAGTTCTCTTCCGCAGCCTCAGCAGGAGCCGACTCTTCCTCAGAATCAACGCCAAGTCCAAGATCCTCATCCTCCGAGCTCTCAAGCTCGAGCTGGTCAGAGGCGTTGAAGCCCAAAAGAGCCTTGTCTTCCTCAGCGACGTAGCTGTCCGGCATCTTGTCGTCATTATCCGAGACCGACATCACGCCATCGGAGCCCATCGCGATTTTGTTGCAGACCTGGGAGATCGAGGTCGCGACTTCCTCAAGGATTTGCTGTGCTCGCGGCGTTAGTATACTCTGTTGCGATTAGGGACGGGGGGGGGGTAGAAAGATACTGACCGACTGGGGACAGATGCCGTAACAGGAAAGCTCGAGCTGGATGAGCGCCTCGCACTGGCAGTTAACGTCGTGGTCCTTGCACGCAAAGAGATCTTTCTCCACGTTCTGAACGCAGGCAGCAACGCCCGCCACGTGCTGTACAAAAAGTAGTCGTTAGCAAACCAGCCCGTTTCGAAACCGAGCTCTGAAATCTACACAAAGCGAGAGGAAGAACTGCATACGCAAGGAAGCTGATCCGGTCTGAAGAGAGCATGGATTCTCTCGTCAGCAACGGGGCGCGGGTGCAAATGATGCCCGTGGTGGCCGGCCACAAAGGCCTCCGTCGGGGGACGCATGGCAGCGGCGGTGGACGAGCGGGGCTCGGCGGGGGAGGGCGCGGCAGCGACGACGGCCACGAAGGCAGCGGCCGAGAGAGTGGTTTTGATCAAGACCATTTTGAGAGAGTTGAGTAGGCTGGAAAGCTGAGAGACCAGGGGAGTAGAGATGTGGAGAAGAGGGAGGGTGAGAGAGAGGGGGGGAAGAGGGAAGAGAGGAAGAGAGCGGAGGGCGCGTTATAAAATGTGGGCGATTGGGTGAATGTGTTTACACACTTCCCAATTCTGGACACGCGGGCTGCTTGGGAATATCGCGTCAGCGCAGAGAAGCGCGTACTTAATTTTTTTGTAGAGTCTATTTTTTGCTGCGTGTAAGTCTGAAAGCATTATACGTAAACTCATTTAATTGATTTGACTAATTACAGTTGCGGAATTATTCTCTTTACAGCCATAGATGTACTGAATAGAAATCATGAATATACTCAAAACACGTTCCATACCGCTCACATCTCGCCCGCCTGTATCAAGAGACTGAACGGGGATTTGTGTGCGCGAGGTCGTGATATAGTCTAGATTATGTAGTTCAAGTTCAGGTATTGAATAATGATATGGTAAAGTTGTGGTCGAACGTAGGCGTCAGTGATAATCGTCGGGCGCGTTCTGCTTTTGAAAAGACGGATGTATATCTTTGCGTGAAATCTAGGTATGCTGACGTATATAAAGCCAATCTAATTTGTCTGGAAGGGATGTGAATTCTTGATGTTGATGTCTTGATGTTTGATGGATGCGGGTGATAGGTGCGCTACTTGATCTTCTTGCCATCGTCGATTTGCTCTTTTGTGTCGTCGGCGGCGGTGGTGCCTGCGACGGCCGGTTGCTGGACTTTTGGTTTATACCTGACGGGGTCGTAGTGCCATGACTGGAAAACGATCTACATAGTTCAAAGACAGTTAGTTATCAAGTCTACCGCCGCAGCAAAAAAAAAGGTCAAGACGTACGAGATAATCCAGCATCAGCGAGAAGATAGTCCCGCAGAGCCAGCTTGAGTTGATGAGTAGGTAGTGAGAGCTGTTATCGAGCGCGAGGATGGAGACGATAAACATGAGGTTACCGCCCGAGGCGAAGAGGAAGTAGATCAGCGAGGTGCGGGCGCAGAATTTCTGTTTGAAGTTGAGGACGATCTGGGGGATTCGGGAGGTGACTGTACGAGTTAGAACGGGGTTGCAATAGAGAATAAGGTAGAGGATGGAGTACCATATATTGACGCGCAGAACCAGCCGCATAGTTGGCCGTATGGGTGAAGAGGGATGTGTGGGTTGTAGTATTTCATAGGCGAGTCGTAGAGATGGCCATCTGTGGCACAGTATAGGCCAATGAGCGAGGATAGGACAATCAGGAGAATAATCCCAAATTTGAAAAACGCTGCAAGAGTCAGTCAGTAACTAGTCTACACAAATAGAAAGATGGTGCATACCCGACTTCCACACCCGTCGCGGTGGAATCACGAGGCTCTGGAAATACTCGCAGTCCTCGTCCGCCTCGTTCTCATTCTCTTCATCTTCGGCGTCTTGTGCTGTTTCGTCCTCGGAATCACTCGAATCGTCGAGCGCGTCTTGCGATCGGGATGGGCTCCTGCTGGATCGCGAGGGTTCGCTGGAGGAGTACATCTGGAATATGCGGCGGATCCGGCGGCGGCGGTAGTAGGCTGCTTGGAAGATCAGGACGAGGTCGGCGAGGGTGTTGTATACGGCCAGGATGGTCTAGAGAGAGATTGAGAGTAAGAAGGTGTGTTAATTGAGCGTGGGGAAGTAGATATCGGATTGAATTACCATAGTCGGAAGGGTTTCTTGTAAGATGCAGCCAGCTATGTTTGCGAGATCGCCAAAGAACCATAGCCAGAGAAATGAGACGGAGAGGTTATCTGCGTTTTGTCTTCGGAACTAGGATAGTAAAGAGTAGTAGGTTAGCTTTTTGTTGTAGTTGAATGTGGAGAGATGGAGGGACGTACAATGTCGTAGAGCTGGGGAGAGAAAACCATTGCCCAGCAAGCCACCGATATTGATCTATGAGAATTGGTCAGTAATTTTGATGCTAATTGGCTCAAGAGATGAATAAATTATTGATTGCGTTGGCAATTGATTGAATCTGAAGCAGTAGACTGCAACCGCACTAGACAAGAGGCCGACATACCCGGTGAGCAAACTGAGCGCCTCACTGCTGATAATAAGTGAAGAGTAAGAAAGGCGCATGTTTGTGGATACACGGAAGCAGAAGCTTCAAGATTGCATATAGATCAGGACAGGGTCGGCACAGGGGAGAACGGGGTGGGCGGCGGAGGAGTGGGAGTGTGGAGATCGAAGATTAGATCGAAGGAAGATTCGGACAGGAGCGAGGGGCAGGTTTTGAGAATATGCCTGAGGACGCAGGAGATGCTTGCATGCAGTGTACAGCAGCAACCAGACAACAGACTTGCAATCAGATTCTTTCTGCGATAAACAAACACAAAGAAGAGCGGAATATGGTGGATAATTGGCTCAGGCCCAGGTTATCGATAAAAAGGCTCAACGAACTATCGCGCGACGGGCCGCGAGTCGTTGGCTCGACAGAGTTTAAAGACGACTGTTCGAGAGGAAGAGCGTTGTGATTAGTCACGTGCAAATCACATGTTGTGACTGAGATGTGAGTAGGGTTGTTTAGTAGCTGGTTTTGGTCTGAGCGAGCTGTTTTAATTAGTTTGCTGTTTGATGACTATGTTTGATACTTGGTTAATGTTTCATCGGGAAAGCGCTTCTATATAAACACTTCATGGCCGTTGTCAGGGCGGATCTGGGACATCTGGACTGTTTACGTATGGTTTATGAGTTACTTGATCCGGACTAGTGCTTGGCTCGTGCGCGGCTGAGATTCAATCTTAGCCAATGGCCGCACAACAGAACGACTCGAGCTACACCCAAACACACACACAACATACACACAACATATACACTAGCAACACCGCTGTATTTACAGATATCTCCTCTATTCATTAGACAAGACTGAGAATGGCCCCAGCTAGCCCACTTCAGCAGTTGTCGCAGCAGCCAACCACAATCTCTGTGCGTCTGGCGGATGCAAAGAGTGACTGCGAAGTCGAGCGACTTGTGTGCGGGATCGCGTCCAGAGTGTCGAAAGCACGGCGGATACTGTTCGTCACTGGCGCAGGTATTTCGTGTAATGCCGGTATTCCTGTATGTCTGATTTTTTGCTTTATTTGTCTTTTCGTTTTTTGTTCTTTTTTTTTAGGTCGCTGTTTTACGCGTTTTTGGCGCGCGTGCTAACTTTTCTTTTGATAGGACTTTCGATCGGAGAACGGACTGTACAATTTAGTAAAGAAAGAATACCCCAACGCGGTCGTGAAGGGAAAAGATCTGTTTGACTCTATTCTATTCTCAGACCCGATCTCTACATCTGTATTTTGCACGTTCATGGTGCGTCTCCGGTCCTGCATTCTTGGCGCGCGGTCGACGTCGGTACACAAGTTCATCAAACTGCTACACGACAAGAAGAAGCTGCTGCGGTGTTATACGCAAAACATCGATGGACTCGAGAGTCGCGAGAATCTGCAGATCGGGGTGGAAGGCAAGCAGTCGACGGTTGTGCAGTTGCACGGGAATATACATATGCTCAAGTGCACGTTGTGTTGCAAGGAGTTTGAGTGGAGTGAGGAGGACTGCGATTTGTTGGAGGAGGGGTTTATACCAGAGTGCCAGAACTGCACGGAGAAAGGTGAGTAGAAGTGAGAGGAAGAATTTTGTGAGGAAATGCTAACGCGACGCGACGTGTAGCTGAGGAGCGTACTAGTTTGGGAAAGAGATGTCCACGGGTTGGAGTTTTGCGAGTGAGTTTTGTTTTTCACTGGAGTTTACAGAAATATACTAATGAGGTGAATAGCCAAATATCGTGCTTTATGGAGAAGAACACCCAGACGGAGAGAATATTGGTCGGTGTATTGAAAGTGATTTGAAGGCGCGTCCGGATATGCTTATAATTGCGGGAACATCGTTGAAGGTGATTGGGATCAAGAAGTTAGTACGGAGTGCAGCGAAAGCGGTGCACGAGCGAGGAGGGGTTGTTGTGTATGTGAATCGCACGCTTCCGGCGGCGAGGTCGTGGAAGGGACAGATTGATTACCATATCGACAGTGACTGCGATGAGTGGGTTGAGGATCTACATAGACGACAGCCGGGACTGTTTTTGAAGCAGACAGAGTTGCCGGTGACGCCGTCGAAGAAGGTTGTGGTGAAGAAGGAGAACTTGAAGCGCAAGCACGAGGAGGAGGGGGCAGCAGAAGCCGAGCCGCTGAACGATATTACGAATCTGACGACGACGATGAGCACGCCAGAGAAGAGAAAGAAGATTGCGTCTACGGTGCGGAGTGTGTTTGGGGTGAAGGAGAAGGTGCGGCCGGCGGGGAAGTTGGAGGTGTTGAAGGACCGGGCGGAGGGGATGGAGAGCGTGCGAGCGATAAGCGTGCATGCGACGTGAGGGAGAGGGAGAAAGAGAGGGAGAGGGAGAGGGAGAGGTGTAGGGTTTGTTATAGGGTTTATGTAAAGTGAAGGCGTTTGCTGTTAGTGTTATCAGAGTTTAGTTTAGGGTCTGAATGGAAGTAATTATCATGCTCAGAAAGAGATATTGAGTGTTGGTCTTGAGATCTTGTCGGGAACAAGCAAGAGAAGACAGAGACAAGGCAGCTTGGCGCGATGAAGCAATGAAGCAATGAAAGCAAGGAGGTGGACGGCGGCGGCGCCACTAAAACGGCACCCAGCGGCTGGCGCAGAATTTTTCCGGTGGCGTCCTTTGTTTGGGGATGAGGGAGGAGAGATGAGTAGAGTAGAGTATGAGAGTAGATATCGAGAGTAGAGTATTAAAAGTGAGTATCAGAGCAGAGTATCAAGGGCCTCTACACCTCAGTCAACTCCGTCAATCAACTCTTATCCTTCTTCTTAATAGTTATAAGTTACCTCTTCCTTTTTGGTAATTAGTAAAGTGCGCCGCACGGCACCGGTCATCTGCATTGTGCCTTGAAACCTTAATCTGGTTTAGAGTTGCCCGTGATCGGCCTTTTTGCCCGCAGCCCGTGAAGCAGCTTCGGCGGAGGGCGAAAGATAGTTTGGAAGGAGAAGAAGGATATCAAAGAGTTTGCTGTTGTTAGGCTTTTATTAGGAAGATAAGAGAAAGCTCGAAAGGGGACGGGCGAACGGCGGGCGGGCGGGCGTCGAGGGCCAATCGAGGCCGACACGCTGTTCGATGCTCGACTGTCACTTGGTCGTCCTGGTCCCGCAACGAGAAAAATCTTCCTCCGCGAACTTCTTTATATTCCACTCCTCCTCTCTTCTTCTCTCTCTGCTCTTCTTCTCTCCACACCTCCCCGCCTCCCACCTCCCACCCCCCCACCTACCCCATGGCCGAAGAATACGAATCAAACAAAGCCGCCTCCGTCGGCGTCTCGGACGACGACCTCCGCGAGTCCCAGAAGCCCTCCTCCTCCGGAAAATTCTGGCCCATCTTCGCCACCGGTGCCGGCCTCTTCTCTGACGGCTACCTCAACAACGTATGTCTCTGCCTTTAAACTCTCGCTCGCTTCTCTCCTTCGCTACTCTACTGTGCTGACTCCCCCAGGCTATTGGCTCTGTCAACACCATCCTCAAAATCCTCTACCCCACCCAATACGCAGACTCCCCCGCCACCAGCAATGTCTCCTCCATCGCCTTCGCCGGCACCGTCCTCGGCCAGCTCTCCTTCGGCTACATCTCCGACCACTACTCCCGCAAACTCGGCATGCTCGTCTCCACCGGCATCCTCATCGTCTTCTCCATCCTCTGCGCCGGCTCCTGGGGCGCCGGTGGCTCCGTCGGCGGCATGCTCGCCGCCCTCACCGCCTACCGCTTCTTCATCGGTGTCGGTATCGGCGGTGAGTACCCCGCCGGCTCCGTCGCCTGTGCTGAGGCTTCCAACGAAATCAAGTCCGGCCAGCGTAACCGCATGTTTGTCTTCTTCACAAACTTCATGATCGACTTTGGCTTCGTCGTCTCCGCCTTTGTCCCTCTCGTCCTCCTCTGGATCTGCTCCGAGAACCACCTCAACACCGTCTGGCGTGTCTCCCTCGGCCTCGGCGCCATCCCTCCCATGTCTCTCTTCTGGCTCCGCCTCAAGTTCAAGGAGCCCGAGCAGTTCCGCAAAAACACCATGCGCAACGCAAAGTCCGTCCCCTACCTGCTCATCATCCGCTTCTACTGGTTCAGACTGGTGATCGTCGCCCTCATCTGGTTCATCTACGACTTCTCCGCCTACTCCTTCTCCCTCTACTCCTCCACCATCCTCAACCACATCATCCCCGACGGCTCCCTCTACAAGACCTTTGGCTGGAACGTCGTCCTCAATCTCTTCTACCTCCCCGGCTCCTTCCTCGGCGCCTTCTCTTCCGACATCATCGGCCCTCGCTACACCCTCGCCATCGGTGTCGCCCTGCAAGCCATCGTCGGCTTCATCATGGCCGGTCTCTACGAGCACCTCCAGCGCCACATCGCCGGCTTCGTCGTCATCTACGGTATCTTTCAGACTCTTGGTGAGTTTGGCCCCGGTGATTGCATTGGACTGATCGCTTCCAAAACCTGTGCTACCCCTGTTCGCGGCCAATACTACGGCATCGCCGCCGCCGCCGGAAAGATCGGTGCCTTCGTCGGCACCTACGTCTTCCCCGTCATCATCAAGAACGCCGGCGGCGAGGACACCACAAAGGGCAACCAGGCCCCCTTCTGGGTCTCGTCTTCGCTCTGCGTGTTTTCCGCTTTCCTCGCCATCTTCCTGCTGCCCAAGATCTCGCAAGAGTGCATCTCTGAGGAAGACGACCGTTTCCGCGAGTACCTCTACTCCAAGGGCTGGGATGTCAGCCAACTTGGCGACCACGACATGGACATGGACGAGCTTGTGCCGTCCACCGATGTCGTCGGCGGCGCCGAGTATGAGAAGAAGGAAGATGCTGCAAACTAGTAAGTTCGGATATATATCGTAGTAAGTTTCTTGTTGGACGTACATAGATCTCTTGGTATTAGCTGACTACAAGATATCCATCTTGCTGTTTCCTCTTTCTTGTCTCTTTAATTTAATTTAATAATATGCGTAATGTATTGCTTTTCATAATCATTAATCCTCCAAATCTCTGATTGTCCATTGATAAATTCCTAGTTTGTAGTTGTCAGATTGACCTGATTTCATCCCCTTCATCTCATGCAGCTCTCTCTAGCGTCACCAAAGTTCCACAAAAGTTTGACAAAAGTAAAATAATAAAAAAGAAAGATAAAATTAAGCAGAAATTAAAAATGGAGGAGTAGTTTGGTATCCAATCAGCTGGTTGGTAACTTGGTCACCCTCTCCAAGACTTGCCGAATCCGGAAATCACTTTTCGAGATGCACAAACAGATGCAGCTGTCGTCACTCTTTCGTTCAGGGTTGATAATCTATATCTCTCTTCATCTTTAGAGCAGCAGCCAAAAAAAATTGTAGAGAATACAACAGACAAAAAAATAAACAAAAATCTAACAGTCGTCTGTTAATTTTGCGTCAGCCCGGAGTCGAACCGGGGGCTCGTCGATGGCAACGACGAATTTTACCGCTAAACCACTAACGCGTCTTTTAAAAAAAAAGGTTCATGTGCCGTTATGAACCTTCCTTACTACAAGAGTATTTTAGTACAAACCCCGCTTGATGGTGTTGGTTGGAGAGGTGAGTGCTTAGGTTACGCGTAAACAAAAAGATAAACATAAGAGGTGTTAAGAGATTCTTGAGTTGAGAAGCTGGAGAGCAGGTTTTGATTGTGTTGGCTGAAATCTGGCTATTGCTTTACTTGAAGGATATTATTGCAGATTGTGAATTATTGGAATTGGAGGTTCAGAGCGTGAACATTCTTTTGTCTTGAGCTCCAACGCGATCCAACAACAACACAACGACACAACAACACCACACACACCACACACACCACACACCTCAACAGATGACCACACTCTCGCGCACGGAGGACCTGCAGCACGACTCAAGAACAAGCAACATGTTTGTTGTGCCCTCGATCCTGGACTCGACGATGTCGACTGAATACCGGTGGGCTACGGATTCGGTCGCGGGGGGAAACGATCGGTTGCAGAGACTTGCGTCGCCGTTTTTTGATCATGGGGAACTCAGTCGGTTGACTGAAGAGGGTGTGTATTATCATTTTCTTTTTTTTTATGCTTCTTTTTTGAGCTGGGTGGCTAACAGCTTGCAACAGACTCGGCGGTTCAGAACGACGAAACAAGTCGCGTCAAACATCTAGCAGAGCTCCTCGACGAATTCAACCAGACGCATCCGACAGCTCCCAACAAACCCGCCGCCGCGACCGTGGTGCAGGATCCAAATTCTGGCTCTGACCTGACTACAAGCACCGGCTTCACATCTACCGCGGAATCATCTCTTCCCGTGCGGCCGGAGATGCAGACCGCGGGATCGCCGGGTGCTAAAGGTCCAACTTCAAAAGTGAATGAGGCTGCTATGACGCGCGAGGAAGCTGAATTCAGTCGGTCTTCAGTTGCGTCGTCGCCGGCGTCGTTTGATAGTCGATCATACGGCGACTCTGATTACAACACCGAGACAATCAGGTTGAACAATCCTGCAAACCCAGATCGAACATCAAAGACCCAGTCTAAAAGTCAAGAACAAGCACGCAAACCATCGGAAGTCATCACGGATCCCGCGGCGAACTTCACGCCCATGCGATCGAAGTCCGCCGGCGCGGCGGAGAACCAATCTCCTTCGTCGCGGCCTCATCAAACGCTGGCCAATGGCGATACCACGTTCCTGCTAAAGCAGTTACGGCAGCTAACAGTCGAGTGCGAGAACCGTGATAATTTAATTTCAGAGATGCAGACGAAAGAAAAGGAGTTTGAGCGGAAAGAGCGGCAGTGGGAAACGCAGCAGCGGGAGTTTAAGAAGCAGCAGCAGGACCTGCTGCGTCAGCAGGAGATGCAGTTCCAGCGCATGCTCGCGCAGATCGAGAGTCGGAGTCGGGCGCAGACTGCCGCTGCCGATGCCGAGACTAAAGACTTAACTGCGGATTTGCCGCTTGCGCAGTCGTCGGGCGTGAAAGACCGGGTGACGCTCGAAAGCGTTGCGGACAGCGACTTGGAGTCGGTTGCGGAGGAGGTCAGTTTCGGGTACGCATTCGATCAGTCGCGGACTGGGATTTACGAGCCGTTTGAGCGGGATCGCGCTGCTGCTGCTGCTGCCGTGCCGCCGCCTGTCGCTGTAGAGGACACGGTGGTTGTTCATCCGATTCCGAAACGGCCTGCGCAGGTGCAGAAGCCTCAGCCGGTGAAGCCAGGGCCGAGTTCTTCGCCAGCAGCTGCTCGTACTGAGGAAGAACTTCGCCTGCTCGAGTCGCTGAGTGCGTCGCTGCGTCATTCGCTCTCACTCGAGCAGAACCTGGAGGACGCGAGGTCTGAGATCGGACGGCTGCAGGGGCTGGTTGAAAATCTGTTGAAGCAGAAGCAGAATGCTGATTTACAGGCGCGCGTAAGTCCCTTGCTACAACCTGTGTCGTCCACGCCGCCGTTTGATAAAGAGCACGTTACATTCCACAAGATCTCACCGTCGATATCACCCGTGAAAGCGGCGGTTCCGCCGCCTTCGTTTTCCGGGAACAACGCGACGAACGGGGATAGTTCGGCGCCGCCGCTGAGTGAGAAGACTGGAGAGTTGGAGAAGTTGGTTGCAGAGTATGGAAGGGAGATTGCGAAGCTGAAAGGACGGGCGTCTGTTATGGGGCCCGCGGATATGCCTGGTAAGTAGTTCCATGAGTCGTTTTTGAAAGAAGAGAGAACTGACGATGGAGTAGATGCGCGGTCGTATACGGCGTTTAAAAGCGATAAGCTGTATTACAGACTACAGATGGACAAAGTAGATGAGCTCGGTGTTTCTGAGCTCGGGAATATTGTAAAGGTACGTTCGCCTGATTATTATAGCAAGTCTCTCCAACACTGGTATCTAACAAACAACAGAACATCCTCCTCCAACTAAACATCCCCTTTTCCGAGCTACAGACTTGCATAATGTCCCTCCCCGTCCACTTTGAGAACGAGGACCGGTACATGCATTTCGCAAACGACGTCCACCGCGCGCTCTACTACGGCTCGCAGATCGACCCCGACGGCACGCTGCCGCTGGGCGAAGGGTCGTTGCATGAGATGGAATGTCTTGGCGAGATGCTGGCGCGGATCGAGAAACTTGCGAGGGCGGCGGAGAGGAGGGAGAAGAAGCGGAGGGCGGCGGCGGGGCGGCAGTAGGTGTGGGTTTTGTTTTTTCGACTTGAGTTTTATGAATTAATGCATGAGTTGTTGTAGTTTTATTCTCTCATAGAAAAGCTCTCTTTAGATAAACGCCTCTTAAAATCCTAACCTCTTCCACGTCTATATCAAAGACATGCAAAATTACTGTATGTTGTTTTGTTTCTTAAACTCATCCCACGCATGATTCAACGAAACAAACACCGCCTGCGCAATCATCTTCCGCTCCGTCGTCGCGCTCGCAGGCACTTTATCCGGATGCGTCTTCGCAACCGCCTTCATGTAATTTATCTTCACCTTCTTCGGCAGCACCAGATCCGCCATACTGACCTTCACCCACCCGGCCTCGCTCCACAGGATCGAGTCCAGCGATCCCAGCAGCGCCCGCAGATTCTCCTCCTTGCCGTGTTTCCATGCCGCGATCTTGGCCTCGACGCCATCCAGCAGCGCGAATTTCTCCGCGTCCTCCGCCTCGAGCTTGCGGTTCTCTTCCTTCATCTTCTTCAGCGCCGCCTGCGCCGCCGCGCTGTCTTCGATCGTCGTCGGCTTCGGTCGTGGACGCTGTGCTTGAGGCTTGGGCGTGCTGCTGCCTGACGAAGGCGCGCTGCTTTTCGGAGTCGGGTTGATCACCGCGTCGCATCGTCTCCTGCCGTCCATCGCGACCGCGCCGCCTTTGCCAGACTGCACAAGTTCTTCCCACGCCTCCTTCGCCTCCTTGAACTTCTCGAGCTGCTCCAGCGCTTCCGCTTTGCGCTGGACTAGCTTCGCCCAGATATCAACCAGTTTCTTGCCCGGCTCGTATTCCTCATCGATTCCTTTCCCGGGCCCGATGATTGCAAGTCCGTCGTCAGCGTCCGTCAGCGCGGGCTTGGTGTTTCCCAGCTTAAGCAGCGACGCCGCGCGGTTAGAAAGAAGAACGGCGCGGAGCAGGTGCTGCTCGGGAGTCACTTCGAGCGCTTTGGTGTAGAGCTCGTTCGCGAGCGTAAAGTCGCCGCGCTTGAAGGCTTCGGTTCCTTCGGTTCGCGAAAGTGTTAGATCGTCGAGTTGGATCGACGAGATTGGGATCTGTGGTCTGGCGGGGGTTTAGGGCGGGGTTTGGGTGGCGCTGGTGCGGGTGCTTGCTTTCGTTGTGGTGGTGGTGGGGCTGCTGTTGAGGTGGAGGAGGAGGAGGAGCGAGTAGTTGCAGGCGGAGGACGAGCGCGTCGCCGGTTGGATGGAGCGTACTGCTCCATATCCTCAAACTGATTCTGTCGTGGTCTAGCAGGCATTGCAGGCGCATCATCCTCAAACCTGCTCGTTTGTGAACGAGCCGACGAACTGCTATGTGTAGCACTCGGTCTCGGTCTCGGAGGCTGCGGCGGCGGCGGCCCTTGCTGTTCAAGAAGTTGCGCTTCCAACGTCGACGCAAGCTGTCCCCCGCGCCGCGTCCGATTATCCGGCGTCGGCTCCTCGAACGAGATCTCGGTCGCGTCGTCGTCAAACTTGTACCGTTGCTGCTGCTGCTGCCGCTGCATCCATCGCGGACTCGACTCGTCGGCGAAACTACCCCCCGTCGCGGCGCCGGTGCCGTTTGTGTGCTGCTGGTATTCCTCGACTGCTTTCGCGACCGTCTCCTTGCCTTGTTTCCAGAGAACCTCGGCGCGGCTTCGCAGTTGCGCGGAGAAGACGGAGGCTAGTTTGCCGAGATCCTGTGTCGAGTTCTGTGACGCGCTCGAAGGTCGCGATCTTCTGCTGCCGTTCGAAGATAATGTGCCGTCGCTATATACAGAAGGCATGGACTCCCATTCGTCGTCTTCATCGTCGTTGGTGTGAGTCCTCCTAACTCGTTCTGACGGATGTGGCGCGAGAACGTCGTCAAGCTCTCCATCGTCAAATCTGCCAGGCCGCGTCCTCCTCGCTCGATCTGACGGATGTGGCGCGAGAACATCGTCATGCTCGACGTCGTCGAATCGGCTAGGTCGATGGCGCGGCGGAGGTCTCGCAGACTGTCGCTGCGGCCGAGGGTCTTCGCTCTCAGGCTCGCCACCTGCCCGTCGTTGCTGGTGAAGCCTCTTTGCCTTCTCGTGCGCTTCGCGGATCAATATATCAACTGCCTGAGGCACGTTATTCCCCGTATCAGTCTGAGCGAGCGCCTTGCGCGCAGCCGACGCGGCAAAGCCCATGTCTACAAGTTCGGCGACGTAAGAATCATTTGCTTCCGAAGCCGCGGGCGGCGTGGAATTCGCAGACGAGCGATCGTCTGCTGGCGCGGGCGAATCTGTGAATCGAGAAGGTGGTGGCGACGGGCGCGCGCTCGATGCAGATGTGGGGCGTGCTGAATGCGAGGAGGTAGGGAATGAGTCGGAGGATGAAGAGGAGGTCCGTGTCGATGGAGTCGATCTGGGAGGAGCAGCAGCTGCTGAGGGTTGTCGACGCGCGGGAGGCGCAGGTTTCGAGGCTTCGACCGGTCTTGCGAGCGCGCCCAGGATGTCGTCTTCGTCGTCTAATAAAGGTGCAGCTGAAGTGCTTGTAGCTGACGGACCTAGACGTTGATGTGAAATGTTAGAGCATTGTACGCTACCATGCTCGATATAGACGTCGTAGTTGGCACTTACGTGTCGTATTGCTTGCCTGGCCATTGCCTGCACCCGCGCTTTCCAGTAAATCAAAACTCAGTCCACTAGCCCAATCCGTATCACCCGCAGCCGTCGTAGTCGTACTCGACGACGCCGACGACGTCCCAAAAGCTGCCAACTGCGGCGCCTTCACGCGTTCGTTGAGCGGTCGATTTGCCGCATCGCGACGCTTCGACGACGAGAACGAGACCAAGGACGCAAACGAATCAGATCCCGCAGCGGGTTTACTCTTGCTCTTCTGCGCACCATCCGCGCTGCTTGGTCGGAGAGCGGAGTAAGTAGCGGCGGAGACAGAGGCCGCCGAGGTTGGTCGGGTGGGCGCAAGAGATATCGGTGCAGTCGACGCCGGCACAGCAATTGGCGGTTTCCGCTGCTGCTGCTGCTGCTGTTGGGCAGCCGGGCTCTCGGTAAAAGAAAGATCTAGCAAGTCTTCCATCTCACCTGGTCTACGGTGCTCTGTGGTGCTTCTTCTCTCTTCTTTCAGCTCTCGTGCCCGGAGTGGTCGCAACAATGATGTGAACAGCGACAGATGTGCCTTTTGGCTGTTTTGCCTGCGCCCGCTGCCCGGGTCCAGCACTGAAATCTTGAGCCGCAGCCACGAGACCCGCGTTGATGACCACAGCCAGGAAAGAGAGAAGCGAGAGCAACTTCGATGCGACGGTTATGCCGCGAGTTTTTCCTCCCAGACCACAGTTTTCGACAGACTCGAGTGGAATCGAATACTTTTTCGAGACAGCGAAAGGAACTAAACCACAGCGAGAAAGAGCGAGATGTCACTATTGCGAAGTTTTGCTGGGCGGATAGGCAGCGGTGCTGTTTCCCTAACGCAGAAAACCGCTTCGTCGATAGCAATCGGAGGGTCTTCTCTGTTCCGGCCCCGGCAGCAGCTGCAGCAGCAGACCGCCTCCTCGGGTCTGCAGCTGCAGTTTGTCCGTTACGCGACGAAGAAGGCTGCTTCGTCGAGGACGAATGATTATAACTCGAAGGGAAAGCGATTGGGTTTGAAGGCTGCTGAAGGTATGTGGGACGAGCTGTTGTTTTTCTCTCCGGGCGCTACGTGAGATTTGGAGACGGCTGACAGGATTTTATTTGACTTGTAGGTTCCTATGTCCGTGTTGGTCAGATCATATACAGACAGCGTGGCACGAAATGGTTTCCCGGCGAAAACGTGAGTACCGCACTAATTGATATATCTCTGTGGGGTGCAACTAACATGCCTTTCCTCTCCAGACAATTATCGGTAGAGACCACACCATCATCGCCAAAGAACCCGGCTTCGTCCGCTACTACCGTGACCCCTTCCACCCTTCGCGGCGCTTCGCCGGCGTCGCCCTCGCCCCTCACTTGATGCTGCCCTCTCCGCACTGGCAACCACGACTGCGCAGGTTCGGACGCACGCCAATCACCGATCCTGAGCTGGCCGAGCACGAAAAGCAGAGACTGTCGCGTAAGGAGTACTTTGGATGGATCGAGAAGACGAAGCAGTATGAAGCGCGGAAAGCGAAGCGCGAGGCAAAGAGTGCTGAGCAGGCTTCTGCTCCTGAGAGTGCGGGTGCGAGTGAGAGTGCGAGTGCGCCAGATGCGACTGCTTAGATCAGAGGCGGGATTGAAGATGGAAACATGTATATATAAACCGTTTATGTCTGCGCTGGAGTTGTATAATACGAGTAGTCGTAACCATGATTGATTGCTATACGAGGTTTATTTTGGAAATTAGAAATTCAGAAACTGGAATGCAATGCAAATTGGAACTCCATAAAGTGTCACAAACCCCCGACTAAGTTACAACATCAAACCATCAAAATTATATCTTTATATAAATCTGAAAAAACAGTCAAGAAGAGTCATCGCTACTCCAAGCTCAGGTTCTCGATCTTCTCAAACATTTTCCTCGCAATCTTGATATTCGCAAGAATGATATTATTCTCCGCCTCGCCCGAGAACGGATCCTGGTCTGCCAACAAGTTCACAGCGCTGCTGCCATCTACCGCGTCATCTCCATTAGTACCATCGTCCGGCACAGCTCGGTTGGCCATGACGACCATTATCATTGTGCTGGCGGTCATGGAGTCAATGTAAGCGGAGCAATCACTTCCTCTGAGGGAGAGCGACTGGAACTGCGAGCGCAGCTTGTTGCAGCTTTGCTTGAATTGTTTGATGATGTTGCTGATTTTCTCGAATCGGGTCGAGTCGGATTTGAAGCCGGGTGATCGGTTTCCAGTGACATGGGAGATTACCAGGAACGACGTCTTCTCAAACAAGATAACCTCGTCGACTTCAGAGATGTCGGCGAACGACTGTAGATGTTTTTGGAATATCCCGACGTTGGGAATCAGAGAGCATACGATGTTCGACCACGCTTTGTACAGCGACTCGTCCCAGATCGTGGTCGCGAACCCCTGGACTTTGAACGAGAACATGGCCGAGGTATCCTCGAGACTGTGCATGAGTGCTTTGTACACGTCCTGTCGCTTCTCGACCACAACAAGATCCATCTTGTGCACGAGAGCAAAGATCCTGGCGCCCGGGGAGAACTCGTAAAGGTTTCGAAGGCAGAGTACAAAGGTCTCAATGTCTTTTCGGAGTTCTTTGGATTCAACGTCAAAGACAAAGATTAGCGCCTCCACCATTTGGAAGATATTATCTCGCTGCGAGGAAAAGTAGTTGTCCATATATGCATCTTGTCTATCACACACTTTTGTTAGACCGAGATATTATAGACGATAGCAAAAGTCGATTGCTTTCATACCCTCCACAATCCCACAGGTTTAGCGTTAGATTTCCGAGAAATCGCAGGTTCTGATGCTCGACATCGATGGTGGCTCCTAATCGGCGAGTGTCGAATGCAGAGTAGTTGCTGATTACAAAGTCAGAGTTGCAAGAATGAGGAAAGACTTGTTAAATTCGCAACATACCTGAAGATGATGCTTCGCATTGAAGACTTTCCTGATCCACTCCGTCCCTAAAGCAGCAGTCAGATAAACGTCCAGAAGCACATGCGATGAAGGCGAAAGGATAAAGCAATACCATCAGAAGGAGCTTCCGTCGAGCAGTTGCGGCCATTGTAGGAATTAGTTGTTAATATGTAGTAGACTGTGGTTGTGGATTCTGAGCGGCAGTTGATGTGCTGCAGCGCGATGAGGTGAGCGGAGAGGACTCTGCGCGATACTCTGAACTAAACTGTGCTGGCTTCGAAAAACAGCTGCTCTTAACTGTCTTGTCCCTGCTAGATTCTGGCTGTCGTCTAGAAGCACAAACAGTAAAGCAGATCCTATCCTTCTTCTCCAAATCTCAAACTTATATCGTCATCGCTGCTGCCGATGCATCGACTTCTTCGCTAATATCGTACAGATACAAAACCCTCGTTGCCTGTGCGCACACCCAAATTTACCGACTGGGTCCGAGTGCGGCCAGGGCTCAGCGCTGCTTATCGGGGGGAAGTCTGCTATCGCAACGTGTTCCTGGCAGCAACGGGCGTTTTGAAACCTGCGCTTCTTTGATAATTGACGAGATCTGGGGTAAAGGTATTTCAGGCATGTGCAGATTGTAGTTTAGCTCAATCGGTTGCCTCGTGTGTTCAGTGAACGCAGAGATCTTTCTGATCGCGTGGATTGAATCTTAATCTCGACAATATAAAGCAACGATATCTTCGCTCGGAGTTATAGTCGTGGCATGGAAACAATAGCCCGGTCAGCTATCTCTGGGTATTTAGTGCTATCATGGAGAGCCTCTCTATTACGGGAGTTTTGCAATCCAATGAGACTCAATCTGCGGTGAACGGTGCTGCTCCTGAAGAGTCACCGCTGCCGCAAAGTCAATTGACTGATGAGCCTACAAGCTTGGAGCGCGAAGACTACTGGAACGTAGTCTATGATCCAGACATACAGCCGGATCAGTATGCGGGCGAGTCCACCGACTATGATATCGATATATACTGGGTCGACCGGCCGGCGGTTCTGCTTAATCGGAACAAGCGCCTGAAGCGGATCCGCCGTCGTCTGTTTGCAGACTACGAGCGCGAGCTGGAATTGCGTTCGTCAGAGATTGGCCCGAATGAAAAGTTCCCAAAGTTTCTGGCAGACGAAAAGTGGGGGCTGATCAGGTCTTATATTCCGGCGCGCGATGGATCGTCGTACATCACTGAGCTGCCGACTGAGGTTCTCGAGACTGTTTTCCACAAGATGTTTTATCTGCTTGTTTTTGATCATTATCGGAAGCCTGGAATGGCAAAGGTTGCGTGTGTCAATCGTGCGTTCAATAGTCTGGTAAGTCTAGATTTGGAGCGAGAGAGTGACAAGGACAGATGCTGACATTAGTTTGTCAGTTGCAACCTATACTGTTCAAGTCGATTGCGATAGACAATGTCGAGCTTTTGAAGGAACTGGCCTCTCTTATAGCAGCTTGCCCTCACATTGGACCGCTGATCAAAGTGCTAAAACTGAAGTTCAGTTCGGCGTCCGAAAACGAGGCTCGAGAGATCTCGCTTCTGCTGAGCAGGATCGTGCAAGAGTCTCCTAATCTCAAGACGATCTCGGTGATGATGTCCAGCGGTCGTGAAGGACATGATCTGGTGATTCCTTGCTTGAATCGCGAGCTGCTGGGTGGGTACACGTGCAACGTCGTCAACCTGAACTTCATCTTTGCAAACTATACGATGCCGTTCACCAAGTTTGCTCAAGGGTTTCAAAATCTTAAAGTGCTGCAGATCGGGCACGTTGATATGTCGCGGCTGGCGGTCAACAAAAATGACTTGCGGATCAGGCTGTCTAGCGTGGAGTACCTGCAACTGACGTCGCCTACATTGGGGCAGTCTGCGGTGCAGCTTCTGGCTGCTGCACTCCCGCGGATAAAATCTGTAGATGCGACAGCCGTGTCGGGCGGAATCGTTGACTTGTTGTGTGCTATCGCGGACAGAACCGATACGCTGGAGAACGTCAAGCTCACGCGGTGTGCGGGTCAGGGGATGAAAAACAGCTTTACGGATAAGCTGTGGATGACACTGAGATCGGTCGAAATGACTGGCTGCAGTATGCTGTCGGCAAGGATTCTCCCCACGTATGAGGGGTGCAAGATCCATTGCTTGCCGAAACTAAAAAAGCTACGAATTACTGCGGACATCAAACTGCCGATGAGCAATGAGCGCTTCGACGAGCTGATCGAGGCAGTCAACCGGCTGCCTGGTGTCGTTGGACAGCAGACCGCTCCGCTTGAACCTACAGGTGCCACGGCCGGCTCACGACGTACAGGTACAGCAGCGCCGGGAGTGGATATTGCGATTGTCTGGGACAATTGCGCGTTTGGCGACTCGTTCGGGTCCGCGGTCTCGATGTCTCTTGCGCAGAGGTACGTGACGCTGCCGAATTACATGCACTACACGATACTAGAGACAGTAGGGCCGGTGGACGAGCCGCGCACAGTGAAACGGATGGATGTGCAGACTGCGGAGAAGTTCTGTTTGGATCTCGGGATTCGGTTCAGACAGGCGACAGCGGCTGTGCTGGTCTGAAAGGGGAGGAGAAGGAGGACTGCTTGCATTTAGAGTAGAATTACGTTTACAGACCCTGGGAGTTTTGATACAGTTGGGAGTTGCCCCTGCCTCCACACCAGGGATGCATTGCAGAGAAAGCAGCATCAGCAGGCATACCACTGGATATGTACACATAGAAATACTAGCTGATTATTCTCACTACAACTACAATACACGTACACGGCGAAACAGTCTCATCGGACAATGACAACAAGGGCCCGAGGGATATAAGTTCAAATTCACTCAAAAATAAAAATAAAAGCACAATCACGTGACCAACCACGAGGGCTGCAAATCCAGGCTGCCGCGCATCCTGCAAACCGCTGGTCTTCCTCAGATTTCATTGTTTGCTGCTGTTGTTCTGCTTATCGCCTCGCCTTTTCCTGCGCCTCCAGACCACTCGCTCGCTCGTCCTCCGCCTGGAGACTGTTCTCCTTCCGTCCTCTCCTTTTTTCTTTCTTTCTTATCTTCTTCCACTGCTTCTGGTGCAGGCCGATGGCGTATCTACAAGCCCAATCGACCCCGCCTCCAGCTGCGGCCGTGCCGGCGTCGCACTTTCCCCAGCGACTCCGCAATCTTTTTCGGTTCTCGCTCAACGCGGGCCAGCACGACACCGCCGTGCCTTCTGCCGCAACCCCGCCGTCGTCTCCGCCGTCGACGCAGACCTCTGAAAAGCCAGACCTGCTGCCTCCTCCGCCGAAGAATCGCTTCGCGCGTTTGCGTTCGCCATCCAACCCGAACCCTCGCGCTGTCTCCTCGACGCCGAATTCATTGCCGTCCTCTGCCCACCAGACGCCTCCTGCTGCTCCTTCGCCTCCTCAGACTCCTGCCGTAGCCCTGGGAGCCCAGCCAGTTGCGTCGCCACCTCCTGCCCCGGGCGTCGCCTCCCCTATGCAGCGGCCGCAGAAGTCGTACTTGCCCGGACAAGTTGTGAAACGGCTGCGTCGGGTCGCCTCTGCTCCCAACGGCCTGCAGAAGCTCGAAGAGCAGCAGCAGAGCTCGTTCCCGCAAGATGCCACTCCGAAAGAGTCGGACGAGCCGCCGTCGTCATCGGGCCTCCAGGACCCGGACGGCAACATATCACAGCCTGTTCCCATCAGTGCCACTGCTGCGGCTGCCGCCGCCGCGGCCGCTGGTAACGGAGCTGGTGCTCCTAAACCAGCTGGCTTATTCGATCTTTCGTCTCCGAGCCAGACTCCTGGTCCTCTGACCGCCCCCTACCCGCACCAGTCGTCGCCCGCACGGACAGACTACTTTGGTGACAAGATGGTGCCGCCAAGTATGCCCACGTCGTTCCGCAGGACATACTCTTCCAACTCAATTAAGGTTGGCAGCGTCGAGGTTGGACCCCAGAGCTTTGACAAGATTAAACTGCTGGGGAAGGGTGATGTAGGAAAAGTGTATTTGGTTCGAGAGAAGAAAAGCGGAAGGCTGTATGCCATGAAGGTGTTGTCGAAACGAGAGATGATCAAGCGCAACAAGATCAAGCGCGCGCTTGCCGAGCAGGAGATTCTCGCTACTGCAAATCACCCGTTCATTGTCACTTTGTACCATTCGTTCCAGTCGGATGAGTATCTATATCTGTGCATGGAATATTGCATGGGAGGCGAGTTTTTTAGAGGTATTTTGCGATTCTGGTAGACGTTGTGAGAAATATAGAATGCTGACATTTTCTTTCCACAGCCCTGCAAACTCGCGCCGGGAAATGCATTGCTGAAGATGACGCCCGTTTCTACGCGGCCGAGGTCACAGCTGCTCTTGAGTATCTCCATCTGATGGGCTTCATCTACCGTGACTTGAAGCCAGAGAATATTCTGCTCCATCAATCAGGGCATATCATGCTCTCGGACTTTGATCTTTCGAAACAGTCGGATTCGGGTGGAGCGCCGACTATAGTAGGAAGCCACACCGGCCGAGGAAATGGCCAGCACAATATGCCTGCTATCGACACGAAGGCCTGTATCGCCGATTTCCGGACAAACTCGTTTGTCGGGACGGAAGAGTACATTGCTCCAGAAGTTATAAAGGGTAACGGACATACCTCTGCGGTTGACTGGTGGACGTTGGGTATCTTGGTGTACGAGATGCTGTACGGAACGACGCCGTTCAAGGGCAAGAACCGGAACGCGACGTTTGCGAATATTCTCAAGCATGACGTGCAGTTTCCTACCTACCAGCCATCAGCGTCGTCGTCCGGTGGCCAGTCCCAGCCGATTTCCAATGTGTGCAAGTCCCTGATCCGCAAGCTGCTGAGCAAAGACGAGAACCAGAGATTGGGATCGCGCGCCGGCGCATCGGATGTCAAGGCGCATCCGTTTTTCAAAAACACTCAATGGGCGCTGTTGAGAAACAGCACGCCGCCGATGATCCCCACACCGGGTGAGGGCGTGGAGGCTGTGAATTTCCGCGCGCTGAAGGACAGCCAGAGCATGGACATTGGCAAGAAGCAAAACGGGACGACGCCGAACGGGTCCGCTGCATCTTCAGCAAGTGGTCTGCGTACCAACGGCTACTCTTCAATGAAAAACAAGTCAAACGCGGATGTCAACGCCACGTCATCGCTAGGTCCGCACAGCGGCAGTGCAAAGTCCTCGACCGCGGCGGTGAACACCGCAAACACGAGCACGAGCAACAACGGCGGAAGCAACAAGGGCTCGCTCGACGAGCTTTACGATCCGTTCCAGGAGTTTAACTCAATCACCCTGCATCATGACGATGAGTACGGATACATGGACGCATCCTACGGCTCTCAATCCTCGTCACCTGTACCATTCAAATCATCAAACTAGTCCTCTTCATCAAAGAAAAAAATCAACCCTGCCATGTTTTGGCTTTTATTTTGTTTACGATCCGAAAGTTTTTCCCTTTTGTTACTGATCTAACGGTGTTGTCGAGTTTGGTTTTGGTTCCTGCTTCCCGCGTTTTTGTCGTTATCGTTCTCGATTATCAAGTTTTATTTTTTTGTTTGTTTGAGCTCATGTCTGTTTCCTACCATTTGATATAGTTGCATCACAGTCCGGTTTGTAGCCAGTCTTGTTCAGTTTTTTTTTTTTTGTTTTTGTTTACCCTTTTCACGTCTATGTCATATTTCTTGGTTTACCAACGCACCGATTCACGAAGCCGGCAAATCTGCCGTCAGCACTTCTATTGCTTTTTTTTATATCGATCGTCTCTTGACGATTTTATCTTCCATTATCTTTTTCTTTGCATAACAGCAGTTTTATACGCGGACTTGAGTAAAATTGATAGGCCGTTGAAGGCCGCCAGGTTTCAAGTTTTACACTGTTAAAAAATACGTTTCTATTATTCATTTCCATTTTGTCAGTTTTTTACACGCACGAGATGATGAAGAGTGGTGTTGCTTTTTTTTGTTGGAAGCATGTGGAGCATTGGTGAACTGATTCTGGCTGCTTATATATAAACTTTGAAATACAAGCTTGCTTCTCGAATTGGTAATTATTATGGAATTAGTAAAGGTTCCTGGTTATTTGGAATCATGAAGGTGAAGAGTAGATTATGATCTATAACAGCGCAGTAAATTGGTGGTAGGATGGTTGGGTTTAGGAATATTGAATAATTGAAAGACCGAGCATTTGTAATAGCGGGATATCAGGACGGTATCGTTTGTTTTTTGTAATAATATGTCACTGAATAGATAATTGAAGAATCAGTTTCAAGCTCAGCATAGATGATAGTAACATTGTCAGTCGATATCTGATTGACAATAATTGACTGATTTTTCCAATAAATTCTACTTCCACAGCCAACGACCAGAACTAACCTAAACCACAGATGGTGGGGTTTAAATCCCAAACGCATCATCACCATTCTCGCTCACCGCCGTGGCCTCGCCACATCCGATTCGCGACATGCAGGACCTATGTGAAAAAGCCAAAAAATACGGGCTATCGCCCAAAGAATGGGAAACAATGAGTTACGAGATGGATTGTTTTAAAGTGGTGTATGGATACACGGAACCGGACGGCAGTGGTGTTCGAGACTTCGCCACGGATGCCATGCGGCAATGGGAAAGGGGCCGATATACGATGTTTAGACAAGTCCTTGGCGTTCTGGCGGAGACATATGGTGTTTGTGCCGTCACTAGCGAATTCATGGCGCGCTTGAAGCTTGACAGGGTTATGGCGTATGAGATTACATGGGTCATCAAGGAAGTCAGGGCGCGAACATACGAGCGGTTCCTATTCAGCGAGCTGTATAAGTTGATCACACCCGAGTTCATGGAAGACAAGATCAACGGGTCAGCGCTGGAGTCGTCATTTGTGTGTGCGACGATCGAGGCGAAGCGGGCGGGTCAATTGAATGCGGATCTAAAGGAAGAGAAATGGGCTACTTTGAGGCCGTATTTCCCACCAGATGATGTCTCTGCGAGTCCGATTGCAAAGATGCCGCCTGAGGTGCTGCAGAGGATACTCGAATACGCGTGTATCAAGAATCCATATTTATTCCTAGATAGTTTCGAGGAACATGTGTACAAGCGCAGTGCGAGCACGATTGGATGCGTGTGTTGGGACTTCAATTCTCTGGTGAGATTTTCGCACGGATTTGCTTTTGAGATGAAGGCGCGGACCAGATAGCTAACATCTTCTACTACAGGTCAGACCTTACCTCTTCAGCAACGTGTCGGGCGGTTACGATCGACTTTTAAGATACAGACAATTACTACGCGTAACGCCCGAACTTGGCCCGCTTCTAAAATGCCTGACGCTGGAGCTAGAAGACAGCAGCTACGCAAACAAGGATGCTTTCGGCGACTTGATTGATCAGATCCTGGACGCCTGTCCGAACCTGGAGACGCTTGTCGTGAAAGTAGACGTGGCAAACCCGCATGCAGCTTTGGAAGCGAATCTTGAGTCTTGTCCTGCAGATTGCACGCGGAGGCACGACGACGACGGCGTCGAGGATGAGCACTTTTTTTGGATGATTTTTATGAGGTATACTGGTGGTCCTAGACGCCATAGTGGTGAGCCTGGTAGTCCTCATGCACCCCGGATGAGGCCTGTCAAATCTGCCCGCACAAGGAAGCTAAAGAGGATGATCATTGGCGCTCCGGACGACTTTATATTACCAGGACTTTTGGATTTTATCAGCGCTTTTCACTCGTTGGAGAGTCTTTCGATTTACAAAGGTGATTTCAGATTCAACCGTGCGGGGTCCTGGGAAGGTAAGCATCATGACCTGCGGCAACGGCTGAAACTCAGACATCTTAAACATCTAAATCTGCAACAATGCTATGTGGATAGTAAGTCGTCTAAGCAGTTGATTGGGATGATGCCGAATCTGGAAAGTCTGCGGTTAGGAAAAATGACGATGGACCGCGGAGATAAAGCAGGTATGAATGTATCCCTTCGAGAAAGTGTGGTGAATGCGTCGTTGCTAATGCTTTTGTGTAACTAGGAGTCGAGGCAGCTCTCAAAGTGTACATGGGTGCGAATCATCAGTATAAGAGCGTGACACTCGACGACTGCCCCAATCTACCAGAGAGACTGCCAATTGTCGGGGCCAAATTCTGGCAGGCATTTGACGAGATCAAGATCCTAAGGACGTTCGCATTCAACACCTCATTATTACCGACCGGCCCGGGGTTCCAATTGACAAGCCTGCCGCGACTTCGGAAACTGGTGCTCTCTGGATCGCTGTATACATTCAATCGATGGTTTACTTCTTTAGGTACCTACAGCACGCCGGATATCTTCTTCCAATGCCTGCGCGAGCTTACTCACTGTCTGGCTCCACACCTCCTCGGATACGGCAACGGTCTGGTCCCTGAAGCACCCGACAGCGACCCCGTGCAGGTTCCGGAGGTGGAAATCCTTTATCTGGTCGAGAAGAAGCCGCCTAAGCTTTTACTAAGACAAAGTTTCCATTCACCGGGGGAGGTGGAGCCGATGGTGACGACGAACGCGAGTAAGACTGGGTATCTGTTTATTGACGAGAGTCTGGCGCTGGCGAAAGATATTGCCGTGAAATATTGAGTTTGTGCTTTAGAGGATGGACGAGCTATAGATTGGAGTTGCTGTGTTGTTTTTGGTATATTGTTAGTTGCATTGAGCATTTCTGTTGGTCGGACGATGTATAGTAAAATACAGTCTTCTGATCTACCAAATAATCCTCACACGACCGCCATATATCCACTCTTCTACTGTAACTCCAAGCCCGATTCTGGCTATCATTCGACGAAATCCAGATCCTCCACTCGTTCGCTCTAACCGACTTGCTATTACCGACCGGGCCGCTATTCAAGTTGAGAAACCTGTCGCGGCTAAAGAAACTGGTGCTTTCCGGGCATATCGCCTTCACAGTTCAAGCAAGATAAATTAGTGTATTATCAAAAGTATACGATATAAGAAGAAAAATTCAATCTCGAAGACGCGTCCAGCCCTTTGCAATCGTCTTCTCAACACCAACCCTCTCGTTCTCAAGCACGCTCAATAAATCTCTAACCACAACGCCCGGCTCCTCTCTAGCTTCACGCACCCTGATTCCGTGACTCGACCCACTCGACTCCTTCCTCGTCGATCCACCAGGTGTCGAAGCCGCGGGCGAAGCAGACCCTCCTCCGCCGCCGGTCATCCACGAGTATTTTTTCCTGCCACCGGAGACCATCAGCGCTGCGGTGGCGTTGGTCTGCCGATGCATGACTTCTTCGGTCGCATGGCTTGCGCCGTCGCCTGCTTTTGTGCCGCCGGAACCGCTTGCGTCGGAGGACGACCCGCCGAAGCCGTTGCCGGTGCGGATCTCGAGCTGTGCTTTTTCTGTCTGGTATTTGTCCTCCTTCTCCTTCTCCTTGATCGCCACATGCCGCAGCGCCTTTGCGACATCTGAGGCGTTCGACGTGCTGCTGTTTCGCACGCCCGACTCGCGTCGATACCGCGCAGTGATGACCGCCGCCGTCAGGATATCGCTGAGCCATTCCCGGCACGCCAGCGAAATCAGCACGAGCGCGTCGTTATCTTTTGTTTCGCCGCTGGCGACCTGTGCGGCGAGTTGGGGCGGCAAAGGCGGTATTCGGATATCGGATCCCAGCGCGGACTCGGCGACCATATTTCGCACGACGCGCATGTCGAGAAAGGGAGCGAGGCGGTGGGTTTGGAGCGGGTCGGGTGGGTACAAGTCTGAGAGATCTTCGCCGAGGTACATGCTTGGATCGGAAAGGGTGCGGTTGCCCAGAGGCTGGTGCGGTTGTTGCTGTGATAGGATGGGCAGGGATGATGACAGGAGTTGTTCTTCGGCGCGCAGATCCACGCCGGCAGATAAGAGCGCGTCTGAGAAATCGCCGGGGTCCTCTTTACCGGTATTTGTGCCTCCCGCAGCAGGAGTAGCGGCAGGAGCGGGAGTCGAGGGCAGAGGTGAGCCAGCCGGAGCAGGCGAGTTGAGACTGGGCGGATGCATCATTGGCGATCCCGCCGCGGGACTCGTGCTCCTGCTCAGCGTCCTGTTGAGCTGTGGGTAAACTCCAGCCGAGCTCAGGTTCGGCGTGAACGGCATCGGCGAGCTGACGCCGCCGGCGAGAGGTTGAGGAGACGGTTGTGACGAGGCCGGTGCGATCGGGGAGCTAATCGAGCTGCTGAGCGCGGGCGGCGGCATTGAGTACGAGGTCGCGATTTTGGGCCGCTTGAGCGCCATTCCGTTATTCGCGGTCTCTGGTACCGGTGGCGAGGCTCTCTTTATGCCGGTGCTGGCCGCCGCAGCGGGGGGATTCTGGCCGGGGGTCTGTAGCGGAGACGACTGATCGCTCATCCTTGTTTTTCTTTTGCTTCTTGAGTCTTTGTTGTATGCGCAGTCACTTCCAAACAGACGAAAAACCTCTAGGAATGCGTAGTCGCTATTATATACTGAAGAAATATCTAGTTATTCGCTCCATTAGCAGAGAGAGCCCATGATGAAGGCCGTGGACGTTGAATGCTGTCGTGGGTCACGCAAACCGATCCTGGTGGTCGCGGTCGAACGAGCAGCGGCGCGCCAGCCTCAATAAGGTTTAGAACAGCTTCTAAGCGATTATGTAATGTAACTAGTATCTGCTGTTGGATGTATCTCGGCTGGGTGCAGATATGGAGTACTTAGAGTGATATGTATAGAATATTGATCAATTGAAACATATATACATATTATGGTTTTATTCTGTTCAATGGAGAAAGGATGCTGATGGTTGATTGAGTTGATGCACTGAGCGCATGAGGATAGTCTGCTGTGCTCTGTAAGTCAATGGCTCAACTCACAGACAAATAACAGATTATCTGTCTCAAAGAGCAACTATCCGAGAAATAGTTCTGTTTGAAGAAATTGCTGTTGACACAGGCTAATATCCAGCATACAAGGCAGCACTGCCGAGATAGGAAAGAGCAACACCTAACCCGATGATGAATCAGCAACCGAGCAGACAAAGCGAACTAATCCAGCACTGGAGCAGATTCTACACAATTCGAGGCAATTACAAGGAAAGTACAGAAATTCAGAATATATTGTCGACTCTAACGTACAGTCCTCATTCTTATTTGAAAAGATTAGAAATTATGATAAAATAAAGCTTTTATCTATCAGATCTGATCTTAGATCTAATGCAAAGTAATAATAGTGCCAACCAAAGCCAAAAAACGCGCGCAATCAAGACTAACAAAAACCAAACCTAGACAAACACCCTTTAAGCAACGACGCAGCTCTTGATTCCGCACAGACCGCTATCCTCGTCGCGAGCGGCGGTGGTAGCAGCAGGGGCGGCAGCAGGGGCGGCGGTCTTTGCGGCAGGGGTAGTCGAGGCAGGCTCAGACGTGGCGGCAGGAGTTTCGGTAGCGGGAGCTGAGGCCTCGGCGGCGGCAACACCCTCTACAGCACTCTCACCGGCATCCTTACTGCCATGTAGTCAAAACGCCTTGGCGACGGTCTTGTAGAAAGCCTCGCCCTGCTTGGTAGCGACGGACTTCTCAAGCTCGGAGGGCTGGCGGGAGCCATCGCCAGCGGCGAGGGAACCGGCACCCCAGGCGGAGCCACCGTGGACCTCGGAGAGGTTGGTGAGCTCAGCAAAGACGGTAGCGTAGCCCAAGGGGACGTAGACCATTCCGTGGTGGAAGTAGGTGGACATGGCGTTGAGGAAGGTGGTCTCCTGGCCACCACCGAGGGAGGCAGTGGAGGTGAACTGGGTGACGTACTTTCCGCTGAGAGCACCCTTGGCCCAGAGGCCGCCGGTAGCGTCCCAGAAGGCCTTCCACTGGGCGGGGAAGCTTCCGAAACGGGTGGGGACACCGAAGATGAAGGCGTCGTACTCCTCGAGGGTCTCGGGGGAGGCGATGGGGTAGTCGGGCTTGGCGGGAGCGTACATCTTGCCGAGGATCTCCTCGGAGAGGGTCTCGGGGACCTGGTAGATGGTGGCCTCACCGCCGGCGGCGACGATGCCGGCCTTCTCGGCCTCGGCCATCGTGGCGATGTGGCCGTACATGGAGTAGATGATGATCTGGGGGTGTTAGCGGTGTGATTGAGTCAATTGCCAGTTGAACGAGAGGAGTAGACACTTACAGCAACCTTGGGAGCCATTGTTAACGATTGAATGCAGAGATGTCTGATGGAGAGAAACAAGGCCGGAGAGGGCGAGGTTAAATAGGGCGAGGAGCGGACCCGAATAATGGAAGCCGAGCGAATGTGGTTTGTAAGTCTTACTTAAGCTGCATAATACACTCTTTAGTCATCTCCGTCCGGATTAGGAAGGACAATTACAAACCGGGCGCTGTGGTGCGGCTGGGACTTTAGTGATCACTTAGCAATAATTACGCGTGCCGGGATGACGTCAGGGAGATTCCCTGCTCCTCTGCTCTTGTCACTGTTATTCCTATTTACTAAACCATTACTAAATACTAAATAATCAGTAAAATGTCAATCAATTGCTGTATAAATACCGCTCATCGCCCTCTTTAACCCTTCTTGATCATCCATCCTCCTCATCCCTTCTTCTCTTCCTCATCAATACTGTATCTCCAATGGCCCCCGCGTCGCAATCATCATCTACTCCCTCTACGGCCACGTCGCCCAGCTCGCTGAAGCCGTCAAGGCCGGCATCGAGGAGGCAGGCGGCCAGGCTACCATCTACCAAGTCCCCGAGACCCTCTCCGACGAGATCCTCACCAAGATGCACGCCCCCTCCAAGCCGGACTACCCAATCGCTACCAACGACACCCTCACCTCCCACGACGCCTTCCTCTTCGGCATCCCCACCCGCTACGGCGCCTTCCCGGCCCAGTGGAAGACCTTCTGGGACGCTACCGGCGGTCTCTGGGCCAAGGGCGCCCTTGTCGGCAAGAGCGCGGGTCTCTTCATCTCCACCGGCACCCCGCAAGGTGGCCAGGAGACCACCGTGCTCACCTCGCTCTCCACCCTCGTCCATCACGGCATCACCTACGTTCCCGCAGGCTACCGCGCGTTTGCCCAGATGTCCAACATGACCGAGCTCCACGGCGGATCGCCCTGGGGAAGCGGCACTTATGCCGGTCCTGACGGGTCTAGATCTGTCACAGATTTGGAGAAGGAGATTGCCTCGATCCAGGGCCGCGAGTTCTACAAGTTTGTCGCGCAGATCTACTAGTTGACTCTCCTCTTGTTCTATTCATGCTCAGCCATGTTGCTCGACGATGACTCAATATACTACATACAAACCATCTCTGATCCACACAGTATAAGCAGAACAGTAGAACCAGTAATCACGTGAAGAGAACACAAGCCCCGGTTGGCCGGTGCACGCAATCTTTACTGCTCGTGCGGCGGCAAAAGATTGGGCGTCCGATAACCGTCATCCTCGACCGCTGCCTTGTTTCTGTTTCTTTGTTCACAACAACGACCACTTCTCATCCTCGGACTCGCGTTACTCATGGCTGGTCCTGTAGGTCGATGGTCGGGCCGTGCCTTTGTGCGCGGCTCTTCGGAGACTTCCTCCATGCTGCTCTTGACAATCTGCGTCGCCGGTCTGCAGTTCACATGGATATGTGCCCCCTCCTACTCCCTCTTCTATCTGTTACTCTTGCAATCGTACTGACCCCCAATCTACGGCGTGGAACAGACATACGTAAACGTCTATCTCCTTTCTCTTGGAATGTCAAAGTCCCTGCTCTCCTTCGTCTGGGTCGCAGGTCCCCTCTCCGGCCTCATAATGCAGCCCGTCGTGGGCGTATGGTCGGATAACTGCACCTCCAGGTTTGGACGACGACGCCCGTTCATGGTCATCGGCTCGATTCTCGTCGGTGCGTCGCTGATGCTTATGGCCTGGACTCGCGAGTTTGTCGAACTCTTCATCTCCACCGATCCGCTCGCCGCAAACGTCACCATCGTCGTTGCCGTGTTTTCGGTCTTTGCCGCTGACTTTAGCGTGAATGCTGGTGCGTACTCGATCTGACTAATATACTCACGACAAATACTGACAAACCACTACACACAGTCCAAGCTTGCTGTCGCGCAATCATCGTCGACTCCTTGCCAAAGTCAAAGCAAGAGCTGGCCAACGCCTGGGCAGGACGTATGGTCGCCGTCGGCCATCTCATTGGCTTCTACGCCGGTTTCCTCGACCTTCGAAACTACATCACCTTCCTTGGCGATACCCAGCTCAAGATTCTCTGCGCAATTTCCTCTCTTGCGCTTCTGTTCTGCGTCGGCGTGACCTCGTGGGCGGTCGAGGAGCGCGTACTCACGGCCTCGGACGAAATCACGAGCAAGAACAGTGTCTACAATATCCTGAGCTCGCTGCTGCGAACCGGATTCCATCTTCCTAAGCGGATCCGCCAAATCTTCACAGTCCAGCTGTTTGCCTGGTACGGCTGGTTCACGTTTTTGTTTTACTCGTCCACTTGGGTCGGTGAGATCTACGTCCGCTACGACGCAGGCGACCTGTCTGATTCTCGCGATTTAGTAGGCGACATTGGCCGCGTAGGCTCGTTAGCCTTGACGATCTACTCTATCGTGACAGTCGTGTGCTCTCTCATTCTCCCCTTGTTTGTCGTCCCGCCAAACTCAAACAGACATACGCTAAAGTCCACTTACGAAGGTCTTCCTGAACCGCTCGCCGAGTTTATGCATTTCATCTCGCCTTATAGACCGACGCTAGTGACGGCGTGGATCTGCGGACACCTCGTGTACGCGCTGGCGATGTTTGCTTCGATCTTTGTCCGATCGGTCAAAGCGGCCACGTTCATCATCGGACTCTGCGGATTCTCATGGGCACTAGCTTCATGGGCTCCGTACGCTTTACTTGCGGAAGAGATCCGCAAGCTCACAGGCGCAAGCGCTACGAATTCTGATGGCTACGAGAGTCTGTCGCCTGCGGCTACTGAGGACGAAGGCAGATCGATGGATGTCGAGCGGGATGCCGCAGATAACGCCGTGTCTGCCAGACGCGGGCGACAGGCGCTGCCGCTTGAGCACTTGGATGAAACAGCACCAGTGGCAGTTGCGTCCACCTCAGAGGCCTCTACTTCGGCTGCGGTTGGCGACCCATCTGTTCTAGCTGATCAGATCGAAGAAGCCGACAGCGAGACAGACGAGGAAGACGAATCGTCCGAGCAGGCCGGCATCTACCTTGGCCTGCACAACGTGTCGATTACGATCCCGCAGTTCATCTCTACCTTTGTGTCGTTTATCGTCTTTTCGATCCTGGACCCGGGCAAGTCAGATGAGCTTACGGGTGGTAACGAGGCGCCGAAGGGAGTCAATGCTATTGGAGTGACGCTGCAGCTGGGAGGTATCACCGCGCTCGGCGCTGCGTATATGACGTACAGACTGAAAAAGTCCTGAGTTATGTGATGTTTACTGCCATCTAATGTTTTTGTTTATGTTGTCTTGTTTTGCCATGTGCACCGAGTGATTGTAGATCTGCTTAATACAAGAGCTCGCTTCTCCCAATCTTGATAAGCCCTAACCGCATACGCTGACAATATTAAGGGTACAAGACAAACCCTACATAGTAACCCTACAAAAGCAGTCACAGTCACGCCCAGCCAGACAGGCAGAGGTACCGTAGTTTAGTGTGGCAAAAGAGCGTACCCGAGACGCCGGAGCGCACGTCGACGAACACAGTGAGAGATCGAAAGTCCAGGACAGACAGAGCCCAGCATCATCGAACTCATAGCCAGCAACTCGTGTCCCTTTCCCTTTACCGACAGGACAGAACATATTCTATATCAACAATGAGCGCGGTTACTAAGGAAATTGGCGGTGTAAGTGTTTTGTTATTCTTTTGTTGAAGAAAAGAGATGGGATATCTGGATGAAGGAAGCGTGTGGCAGCGATGAAGATCTCGATAGCAGCAGGACAGCAGGACAGGAGGAGAACACATTCAAGCGCGAGCAGCTGTGAAGATAAGAAAGAGAAAGAAGCAGATGTTTTGAAGAGAAGGAAAGAAGCTGTTTTGTTGGATACTTCTTCGCTGTTATGCCCACGCCATCCAGAATCTTTGGATATACTCCATACACGAAGAAGAAAGACACTAACTCGATATCATACAGGCCAAGAACGGCGGCAAGCGTGTCATACCAGCCAACAAGGCCTCGAAATGGTACCCTGCTGAGGATATCCCCACCCCCAAGAAGGCATGTAGTCCATCTATCTGTGTCGAAACGAGGTCGCTACAGTGGGAGGAAAAGCCTTGATAGTTGGTTGGAGAGTTGAAGAACGATCGAACCACACTTGACAGCTGCTTTATCTCCTTCTGCAGACATTTCCTGATCATACTGCTAACACCAACTACAGGTCCGTAAGGCCGCTCGTCCTACCGTCCTCCGTCCTTCGCTCGTGCCGGGTGCTGTTCTCATCATCCTGGCTGGCCGATTCCGGGGAAAGCGTGTTGTTTTGTTGAAGTCCCTCGAGGACGGAACTCTTCTCGTCACTGGTCCCTTCAAGGTCAACGGTGTTCCTCTGCGGAGAGTCAACGCCCGCTACGTTATCGCCACATCGACTCTTGTCTCTGTTGAGTCTGTCGATGTGTCCAAGTTCACCTCTGCCTACTTTGCCCACGAGAAGAAGGCCAAGAAGGAGGGTGAGGCCGAGTTCTTCGGTGATGAGGAGAAGAAGGAGAAGAAGACTGTTGTCAGCGAGACCCGCATTGCTGACCAGAAGGCTGTTGACTCTGCCTTGTTGGCCGAGATCAAGAAGGTCCCTGCTTTGAAGGCGTACCTTGCCAGCAGCTTCAGCCTGAAGAAGGGTGACAAGCCCCACCTCATGAAGTTCTAAGTGCAGCAAGGACATGGAGCGGTACCGGATGAAATTAAAATAGAAAAGGACTCATTTGGATTATTGTCGACATGCTCTGGCTGAAGGAGGAATGGAATTAGGGAACTTGGCTGGCTGGCTGTAGCCGGTCAAGTAAAATAAAAAAGAAACCCATAGTTGTTCTCATAATCAAAAAAAATTTATAACGAAGGGCTTTTGTTTGCAGGAGTATCATATTAAAAGGGTATCGAATGTTTGTCACATCTAGTTACTTTTTTTTGTACAAATAAATCTTTAATGCAACTTGAAGCTATATGAGAGATACTGTTGTTGTACTGTCATGACTATTACTGGAAGTAGATCTATTTGAGCAGATACTGTTGAATTACTGTGGATCTACTGTAGTCTGTATGTCTTCTGTAGATTGCAGATGCCTTATGTATGCCACAGTGCTATCTCATCACAGACTCTACACTTCCACACACACTCAGCATCATCTTCCAACCACTCTCACTTCATCAACTCTCATCTTCATACACAACCTCGCATTAACACCCAAACAATCAATACATATCAATAAACACCGCTCGTATTCGGATCTACATCCAAACTCAAAGCGTGCGCCGCTGGAACGGCAGCCCGGAAACTCCCAGCAACCCAAAGTCACGCATCCGCACCGAGCTTGCGCCCCGCCTCCGTCTCGCCTCTTCACCAGCCCGACACCGCAGCAGCCCGCAGATAGAAACACAGATGGTGTACTCAGTCGAGATCGACTCGGCGGGAAACTTCCGCGACCGCGAGAACCGCGTCATCACCCTCCGCGGCATCAATCTCTCCGGCGACTCGAAGCTCCCGGCGACGCCTGCAATCCCTTCACACGTCTCCGACAACTTCTTTGATGGCGACAACGTGTCCTTCGTCGGCAAGCCGTTCCCGCTCGACGAGGCCGACTCGCATCTTGGACGCATTGCGAGCTGGGGGTTTAACGTCGTCCGATACGTGTTTACATGGGAGGCGCTGGAGCACGCTGGACCGTATGCGATACTCCTGATAGTCTATTACACGGGCGAGCGCGCTCACTAACACATTCTCACTGCAGTGGACAATATGACGAGGAGTTCATTCAGAGCACGATCCAGCTCCTGGCTAAGATTAAAGAGTTTGGCTTTTACTGCTACATGGATCCCCACCAAGATGTCGTAAGTTCCCATCCCTGCTGTTCAAGCTTGCCGACAGATGCTAAACTATTACACACAGTGGAGTCGATTCTCCGGAGGCTCTGGTGCGCCGATGTGGACCCTATACGCCGCCGGACTAGATCCGACCTCGTTCGCGTACAACGAGGCGGCCTTGGTCCAAAACACATGGCCCGATCCCGCAACGTTCCCCCGCATGACCTGGGCGACAAACTACGAGCGCCTCGTCTGTCTCACCATGAACACGCTCTTCTGGGCCGGACGCGATTTCGCGCCGAACGCGATCATCGACGGGGTTAATATCCAGGATTATCTACAGGACCATTTCATCAACGCTGTAGCGCATTTCGCAGAGAAGATCGAGGCGTCGGGGATCGACGATGGGTTCATCCTGGGATGGGAAACAATGAACGAGCCTAACCGCGGCATGCTCGGATTCCATGATATCTCTGTGATTCCCGACCACCAGAAATTCCGCTCGTACACCTGTCCTACACCGTACGAGTCTCTTTTACTCGGCAGCGGGCGATCTCTCGACATTCCCATATTCCAATTCGGACCTCTAGGTTCCTACAAGAGCGGGAGTAAGATCGTGAACGAGACCAAGCGGTCGGCGTGGATCCCGGAGGATTATGACGATTCCCGGTATGGATGGAAACGCAGTCCTTTGTGGAAAAAGGGGTCATGTATCTGGGCACAGCACGGCGTATACGACGCAGAAAGCGGGAAGCTTTTAAAGTCAAACTACTTCCTGAAGAATCCTGACGGCGTCGATTTGTCGGGCGAGCAGTGGGCGGATGTCTACTACATCAACCACTGGCACAAGTACGTTGACGCGATCCGCAACGTCAATCCTGACGCGATCGTGTTTGCTCAGACACCTGTACTTGCTATCCCGCCCGACTTCATCAAAATGGGCGCGGTCAAGCCGCGAATGGTCTTCACACCGCATTACTACGATGGCCTGACACTGATCCGAAAGCACTGGAGTAGCTACTGGAATGTTGACGTTGTCGGCGTTTTGCGCGGCAGATACTGGTCCCCCGCGTTTGCGCTCCGCTTCGGCGAGCGGTCTATCCGAAACTGTCTTCGTGACCAGCTCACGTGTTTGAAGACCGAGGGAATCGAAAAGTTTGGCCGAGGTGTGCCGTGCTTGATGAGCGAGATCGGGGTGCCGTTTGACATGAACGACAAGAAGGCGTACGAGACCGGCGACTACAACGCGCAAGTTCGGGCGCTGGACGCAAACATCTTTGCGCTCGAAGGCTCGATGCTGCATCACACATACTGGACATATGCGGCGTGTAACACCCACCAATGGGGCGACCACTGGAACGGCGAGGACCTGAGTTTCTACAGTGGCTCGGACGCAGCTCGGAAGCCGCCTACGTGCTCTAAAACGCCGCAACTGTCACAGCTATCGCTCGAGTCATCAGCAGCGACGGACTCGGCATCTAGTGTCTCGCTCATGACCATGGACCCGTACCGGTCAACAGGCTGGTGGTCGATGAGGGCAGATTACGTCGGCAGCAGGGCCGCGCAGGCGTTTGTGCGCCCGTTCCCTCTTGTTACGGCGGGCTTGCCGCGAGAATACGGCTTTGATCTCGCAAAGAAGGAGTTTTCGATGGTCATCGTCGCCGACGATAACACGGGCCAACCCAGCAACGCGACACAGATCCATGTGCCTGAGCTGCACTTTCCCAACGGGGTCATGGACGTTCGCATTTCCTCTGGTCGGTTTGAGATTGATAAAGTTGCGCAGCGACTACGCTGGTGGCACGACGACGGCGTGCAGAGTATCAGGATCTTTGGATTAGCTAGGGATAGCAGCTACACTGCGTCGAAGGAAGCCGACGCAGACACGATATGTTCTGGGTGCTGATGGGAGCTGGTTTTAGATCTGGGTTGTGATTTTGGGGTGCTCGGTTTTCTTCTCGTTCAGTTTCTGCTTTTTAGTGCCTTTTCGTTACTTTAGATAGATTACCTAATGGAGGAATCGAAATATACAAATAGCATCAAAGTAGGCGGCTCACGCCATTGTTACTGCACGGAGAACGCGTAGTCTATCTCAGAGCAGGCTTATCTTTAAGGTGATGTTTATTCAGCACATGCACTATATTAACCTGTAACCATCCAATGTATCAAACCCAAATAACCCGAAGGTACAGCCCCCATCTCAGTTTTTCGTGGCCTCCAAGGCAACATACGACGGGAAGCGGGATCTACAACACGTTAGATTCTCAGTAAATAACAAGCAGACAAAAACACAAGGCTTGACATACCGTCCGTCGTTGAAAACAGGCTTGTTGTCGGCCCAGTCGGGGTGATCCTTCATGAGCTCCTGCTCACGCTTGGTCAGGGCGGTGATTCGGCGGACATAGTCTCTGTCGGCCTCAGCCTGGAGGAGAGGCAGGAGGCTTAGTCTCGCCCACGCCTTCTCACGCGAGTATTCTCTGTAATGCGCAAAACATGAATTAGATTCCAAACTCGAATGATTTCCAACACTTGCGGGCAAATGAAGATCGTAGAAGATGAGCGGGGGTTATTCATACCGTCGCTCGCGGAAGCCCTTTGACATCGGGATAACGCTCAGAAGAGAGACGACGCCCATGATTGCGAGGTAGATTGATGGTCTGAAGCCCCGGGAAGGCAGGTTGCGCTATGAGAAGTTGTGACGTTAGCAGCGCTCGTTGACGGACCAAACCAACACACAGCATAAACCGCTCTTCTTTGCTCGCAGATTGCTCAGACTCACAGTCTCGATCCCGGGCAAAGAAGACAAGCTGTCGACGCATGCGAGTTTTCACCGTTCTTGACGGGTCTGCTTACCTTCCACTGCACATCGGGGTATCCTCCCTTGGGCGGCAAATCCTGATGATAGCTCATATCGACCGTTTATTCGTTTCTTCAAATAATGAGTAGAAAAAAACCGGAGAATCTCAGGCGGTTTGTGGTCAAACTAGAACTTCCAGACCGCTGCGGTTGCTCTGCTCGCCCTGCGATCTTGGTGGCCCGAGGGATTTGGCGATGCTCTTCTTAGGCCAATCAGGCGCGGCGAAATTACCTATCGCTGCGTGAGGTAAGGACTTATGTAAGTATATGTCACGTGAATAGAGTGGCTGGGGTGTGGCTGGGAGGTGTAACAGCGATGTGGCGCATTCACGCGTCAGAACGCGTCTCGACAGATCTGCTCAGTCCAAAGTTTGCCTTCAGCAGCACCCCGCAAGTCTCGCAGCGGCGGCTTCCATGATTTTGCTAGTCTGAGTGTCTTCTTATAGATGCTTGTCGGTGACAGTGCGACCGATGGCTTTATTCGCAGAACGGTATATCTCGGACTCTGAGGACAGCGATGCCTTCAGTGTCGATATAGCGGAGCATCTGTTTGACGGTAGCAGTAACGGCGGCGGTGGCGAGCGCGAGGGTTATGATTTCGATGAACTTGATTTTCTTTCAAAGCCTGGCGATCAGGTTCTAAATGTACGTGTTTTTGGTTTGGTGTGGGTGGAGGTGAGGTGGTGTTGAGTATGAGTACTGATTTGTTTAGATCGAGAAGGTTGATACGGACGCGAACTCGATATCGGGGCATGACGCCGAAGTAAGTTGTGGTTGCTTTTCACTCTACTGCAACACATCGAAATTTAACACGTCTATAGATATTAGATGAAGCTGGGGTATTGAATAGTCCGCCGCAAAAGCAACTTCCGCAGCATTCACACGCTCAAAATTCACCATCACAAAGTCAAGCAGAGCTACAAGCCGTCAGCCGCCACGATCGAATAACTCACGATCCAGGAGGCGACAGTGTCAGTTACGCATCACCAGTTGAGCGAGATGAAAGTACGGTGCAGCAAAGCGCGGAAGGCATGACTGGAGGTCTGGAAATGATACCTGATTCGTTTCGTGACGATCAAGGCGACGATGGAGACGTCTCGGAGGCGGAGACGGTAATGACGCCCAGCAAAACTCGCGATGCAGAGACGGTCAGTCGTGTTTCTTTTGCTATGCTTATATTCCATGCTAATGGAGCTCTAGATTTCTCGAGATCTGCATCTACCTGCAATGAACCTCTTCAGCGACGACTCCTCGCAATTACCCCCAGATATCCCCCTTCTCCCTCGCACTAATTCTCACCCTACAACTCCACCGCCCGCGGATGGCTCTGCAATCGTGGATTCTACTACCTCTCCCTCACCTTCTCGCGACATCAGCAGATTGATCTCGTCGCCGCTGTCTAGTCCGCTGTCAGAGTTATCTTCGTTCGAGGATATCGATCTCAGTAGTCTTTTCCCGTCGAGTGGAAACGCAAATCTTACAGATAAGGACACATCAGAGATGAGCAACAGCAGCAGTATCAGTACAACTCGCGATGATCAAGCATCAGTTACTACATCAAACAACTCTGCTACTTCAGATCCAACGAACTCAGCTACGCAGCGCCAACCCTCCGAAATCGAGAACTTCGACCCCACCGCGATCGTCGACGCCAACGGCGGCGAGTTTCATTTCTTCCGCAAGAGGACGGCGCGGCAAATCATGCCGTACCGGTTCGATCGCCAGATCTACGAGCAGCAGCTGAAAAGGCGGGGGATCCGGCCGATTCGGATCTCGACCGAGAAGAAGATCAGCAAGGACGCAGCTCGGGATCCGGAGGATTCTGTGTTTGAGATGCCGTCGACGCTGGATGATGCGAGCGAGGGCAGTAGTCGGTTGATGTCTACGCAGATCTCAGAGTCTGACAGTGTCGAGAGTCGTGAGCGGAGTGGGCAGAGTTTGGAGAAGCAGAAAGGCACGAAGCGCAAGCCATCGCGGCCGCATCTGAGCCCACATAAGCGCAGCGATAGGCCGCACAGAAGAGACGAACAGAGAACTGATCACGATATATACGAGTTCCCATCGGACAGCCAAACCACGTCTAGTCATGCGGATAATATCACAGATACTCAGTCGAGACGTACATTCAATCCACCAGCTTCATCTCCGTCGCGCGGGACTTCAACATCAACAGCATCTGCAGCAACTATACACCCACCCCGCACGCCTTCACCGACGTCATCTTCGGCATCCGACGCCAGCAGCTCAAGCGATCTCTCCGACGAAAGCTCCGACGACTCATCAGAACTAGAACTCGAACGCTTAAAGAGAAGAGTCCGAGGCGTACTGCCGCCTTCCTTCCTGACGCTTGCGAATGCCAGTAAACCCTCGAAAGCCGGCGCGCGCTTGTTGCCCTCGCAGATGCATCCGGTCGGCGAGGAGCCCAGGAAAGGAGTTGCGCGCCGGAAGATTGGATACTCTAGACCTCGGGAAGAGGGGGTGAATCGCAATTTCATAGGCGATAGCTCGGATTCTGATAACGAGGTCGGCAGTAGGAGCTCGAGCGTCTTGCCTGCTTCCCAGCGGTCTAGAAATATGTCTACTCCGCGAAGGTTTTATGATGATCTCGAGAGCGATGCTTTGGAAGTCGCAGAGCACATTGATCGGATGGCTCCTCGCACTATCCGAACACCTCGCAGCACGCAGTCATCGGTAGGTCCGAGACGACAACGGACAAAGTCTGGTAAGAAATCGTCCGGTATGTCGCGACAGACAACACTTTCCCGCCACTCCAAAGAAAAGCGGCACAAAAAGACAAAACACGCGCGGCAGTCTCGAGCGTACGAAAAACGGCTCCCGAAGATCGGAATCCTGGATGCTTTTCTCACGTCGCAAGAGTCGTCGCGGTCCAGAGCTACTCCGCAAATCGATGACGCACTACCGAGCTCTCCTCCGCGATTCATCAAGATCGCGGCTCGTGAAGCAGCAAAGCGGGATGGGTTCGGACGAGCGTCGCCGTCGAGGAAAACGTTTTATTTCGACGACTCGGATGATAATGAGACAGTAACTGATGTTCTCCAGCGATGGCGGGAAGGTACACACGAAGGCTTTGAAACCGCGTCGCTTGTGTTCACGCGGGGTGACTCCTCACACCCGACTCCTATGAGCATGCCTGATACTGGTATTGCTGCTACACCAACAAAGACAAACGAGACTGGCGCGGTACCGAGAAGGCGTCTTCCTCCTGGCGTCATTGCTGTCGTTCCTCCGCCGCCGGGAGTTGTCCAGGTTATGGGCCCGCCTCTTCATCCGTTTCGACGACAGCGGCCGTGGGATTACGAAGAGGTCGAGAGTGGAGAATACGCGGTGCGACGGCGGCGACGGAATGTCAAGATTGACAGGGTGTTTGCAAGTGGTCCGAGACTGGTGCCTGAGGAAGAACTGAGAAGACACAATCTGCTGCCGAAGCGGTCGAGTACGGACAAGCCTCGAGAGCGGCAAAGTAAGAAACAGACGATGCTGAAACCACAGCAGAGGCTCAAAGGCTCTGATCATCCCCCGAGTTTTATCAATTTGGCTGATGATGTTGAGGACGACATACCGCACTTCAACGACGAACCTGTATCGGCACCGGCGCCAAGTGTGCAGAGACCAGCAACTTCATCCCAGGTTTCAATAAGATCAAACGACCTACAGCCAGACAAAGAGAGACTGATTTCCGAGTTCAATTTCCCGGTGCTCAATTTCTCAGTCACATTCGACGTCTTCCCCTTACAAGACCAGACGCGGTTTGCTCTTTCAACGTTCGTGGGCCAAGGCGGTCTCGACAATACTCTCAATATGGCACCAGCTTGTGAGAATTTCGATGCGATTCGGCCGACGGAGTTTTACTTCACTGCCGGTGGACTTGTGCTTATATGGCAGAACGTGAGCGCGTCGGTTCTCTCGGAAATTGAATCTGGGTATCGGACGATCCTCGACTGGGCTTTGAGCGAGCAGCATAGTACATCACAGCTCACAGAAGAGCAATATGGCCAGGCGTACGAGTTTTGCGGGTTTCTGGCGCGGTATATCAGGAACAATCTGGTACACGAAAGTTATGACAGCATCATCAGATTTGCTGCCGTGATCAAGCGGCAGACTGTCCATGTCAGTGATCTGTTCACGCAGTTTCACGGTCGCACGCCGACTTTCTCGCGGCTGTCGTTTTACATGCTTGTGTTCCAGCTACTGTTCATTTACGAGATATGTGCGATGCTGCAGTCGAATCTGGATGACTACTCTCATCTATCTCTTGATCGTGAGTTTGTAAACATTGGCCGGCTCCTGGTGCAGGTTATGTTGAAGTATGGAATGAAGGACCTCTATCAGTTCTTGCGGACTTATCGGAGTCGACTGGGCTTGCGTATCGATCGCGACGCGTACTTTATCGAAGTCTGGATAATGACGATAAACGTCATTGACAGTGCAAGCGCGTTACAAGGTACGACTATCCCCAGCTTTTGGGAGTTACTGTACTCGTTCTTGGATGCCAAGTCGCTGGGTGACGCGTTCAACGTCGACAAGTACGAGAAAGTCTGGTACGCCACGTTCAGCATTTGCCCGCTGTATCAATTTGACTCGAAAGGTATCTCGGACGTCGAGCTCAGTCGCGCGAACTGGACCGCGATCGAAACAATGGTGGGTAGACTGCTCAGCATTCCACGCGAGAGCACAACCAGCCGGGAGTTTGGGTCATATTGCCACGCGAGTTTTGCGCGCTGTCTCACGCTCTCTCTTACGTGGAGATGGTTTGGCTCAAAAGCGTTGGCGACGATGATGTATAGATTCTTTGCGGTGCGCAAGTTGGAGAATCTGGAGAGCGAAACTAGTACTGGCTTTCCGGATTTTTTACTAGACAAAGATCATACGCTCGAGCTATCAATGTCTGATACAGTCTTTCATATCTTTCTAAAGTATCTCGCGAAACTTATCCGCGACACCGGCGAGCGTTCTGATGCCAAAAAGGTGCTGCCTAGCCTTGTCGGTCTCGTGACCCCCTTGAACGGCCGTCTATACCCTCGAACGATGGAGCTGAAGGTCAGCGACCTTGAAGCTCTAGAGAACAACTACAGTCTACTGCTGACGCTATTCTGGGCTGCGCCGCCGTATCTGCGGCCTCCGATCGGGCATCTTCGAGATGTTATCATCCTGGGGAGATCGCATGCTCAAGCGCGAATCCTGAGCGTCAAAGCCTGGTATTACCTGACGCGTCTGCAGCTGGGCAGTGATGGCGCCTGCGACCTTTCAGAGACGGGTGAGTGGTATGCCGATTTGCTGAGGTACAGTCTCGAAGATTACCTCCAGCTGGAGGATGTTGTCTCGGGGATCTCGATCGAAGAGTCAAAGAGACGGAGAGCGAATATTAGGGCGTATGAGGCGCTGCTGAAGGATTCGCTGAAGTATGTGAGAATGCTTGTGTGTGCGCATAATCTCATTCGGACTGCCGAGCAGGCTATCGGAGTTTTGAAATACGGTATGCAACTCGTCTTATTTCTCTTTTCGAGGGTTTCTTCTAACGGTGATAATAGCAAACATTGGAGAACTATTCAACAACGGTCTCAGTCTCCCTGGTAAAGTCCTCACAGAAGCGCTCCAGATTGTTAAGGATTTTGTGTCTCTGGCCGACCGGATAATTCAAAGTCCGCTGCCTCCGCATGTAGACGAGGATTCGCCAGATAGCTATTTGGACGATGGCCTGGCGCAGTATATATTGGAAGAGGAGAACCGTCAGTTCCAGGACGAGAAGCGTGAGAAGCTTGCACAGGTTTGTAGTCCACTTTTGCAGTTCGTTGTGGTGTTTTTTACTGACATTGGACTAGGCTGTTCTCGATCTCGTATTCAATCAACTTCACCAGCTACTCTCCAACCTCGTCGGCGTCACGCGTGACAACGAAACCGAAAGCATGGCACAGACAGAGGAAGCACTGATGGTTTGCGCGATTGAGACCTGGGCAGTGGTTGCCAAATTCGTAATCTCTGCGCGATTTAAAGATTGGAGTTATTTCCTCGAAGGACGGGGCGCGTGGTCGTGGTTTGCAAATACGAGACGGAAGAGTGCGTATGAAAAGGTCTGGATGGAGCAGTTTGATCGGTTGAGGGGGTTACAGTTGCGGGAGTTGGAAGAATAGATGGGCATGTGTATTTTTATTTGCTTGTATTTTTATAGATCTTTAATATCTCGTCATGAGTTCTTTCTCATTTGTTGAATGATGTGTGGAGTTCTGCTCCAGACGCGTCTGCGTAAATAAATGAGCCGCACGGTGTGGTTGGCTCGGCAGACACGCGCCTGGCGACCTCTAAACTTTCTACAGCATTCAAGGCATTTTCTTTCTGCGGTCTTGCAGGCCTCGATCTTGTCTTGATAACCGAACTTTGTTGTGCTAATTGCATTCTGAAGTGATACGGCTTCGTTAGACAAGTGGCAGAAATGACGTCCAAGGAAGAACCACAGCCGACGACCACGCTGGACGGTTCTTCAGTCTCAGTAATGCCAGGCGGCAACGCCGCCTCGATGATCAACTCGCGCGAGATGAACGACATGCAAGCCAAGATCCGAATCTTAGAGAGACAGCGACTAGACGACCGAAACCGGCTTCTTGAGTTTGATCGGATGAAGCAAGATCGGGAGAAGCTTGAGCGCGTTATCGCGCGGCTGGAAGGGAAGATCAAGCCGATGTTTGATTCGCAGCAGGAACTGAGAGATCAAGTGCGCACGCTGGAGGAGCAGAAGCGGAAGCTGGAGGAGATGTTGAAGGAAAGAGAGGAGATGGTCGAGCTTTTGACGCTGGATCGGGAGGTTGCTGAGCAGGATGGAGAGAATTTGCGAGAAGAGCTTGAGGATATCAAGGCGAGGCTGGAGGAAGCGACTCTCGAGCTTGAGATAATGAAGGAGGAGAACGAAGTTTTGCGGGTCGAGATGGTGAAGGAGACAAAGACGGATGGGAACGTGGATGTCGCGGCGGTGCGGAAGCTCGAGGAGCAGAATTCGCGGTTGAAAGAGGCATTGATCAGGCTGCGCGACCAGAACGCGATCGAGACGCAAAACTATCGAACAGAGCTGAAGCGCTTACAGAGAGACTCGGAGATTTTGATGACGTTGAAAGAAAAATATGAGACCGTCGTACAGCAGTTCCAGCGCGCGGAAGAGATTGCCGACAACCTGCGGCAGCAGCTCGACGTTGCGTCTGGGGCGGATCGAATGCTGGACGAGCTCACGGTCAAGAATCTAGATCTTAGCGAGCAGGTGGAGAAAATGCGGATCTCGATTCAGGATCTGGAGACGTTGAGGGATATCAATGAGGAGATTGAGGCGAATCATCTGGAGACTGAGAGGCAGTTGCAGGAGGAGATTGGATATCGCGATTTTCTTTTGCGGGAGCAGGCGGAGAGATTGATTCAGATTGAGGATTCTAATGCGGACTACGAGTATACGGTCAAGAGGTTTCGGGAGCTCGTGACTGCTCTACAGAGGTCAGTGGTAGTTGTGCGTTACCTATTATACACTCCGTGGGACTAACAGAATAATAGTGATCTGGAGCGACTGCGCGAGGAAAAAACAATGGAAGAAGCTGAGGCGGCGCAGATATCACGCCGGACTCGAGAGATGTTTGATTTAAATCGCAAACTCCAAGAATCTGCGCGGTACGGACAGGTTCGGACGGTGGATCTCGAGCTGCGGAGGTTAGAGGCACAAGAAGCGGTCGAGCATCTGTCAATCATCAGACTTTATCTGCCCGACTCTGTGGTCACTGTGGCAGAGTCTGTCAAGACCCTGCTTTGTCTGAAGCGGATTGCGTTTAAAGCGGGATTGATTTGCTCGATGATAAGAGATGCGAGTATAGCGACCAACAACTTGGCAGTCGAGCCTACGCTGGGGACCGAGCTCTGTGACAAGATGGCGCGCATCTCGATGCATGCTCGATGCCTATCCGCTACGATGAGTATCTGCTCGGTCGCTGAGTTTGAAACGTTCGGTGCTGCCGTGAATTCTGAAATCAGTGGTACGGAGGCAGTGCTGGATGGGTGCATTGCCAGTATCAAGGAGAATTCGAGTTTTAGCGAAACGGGAAAGCTGACAGTACAGCTGGATGAGGCTCTGGCTGTGCTGTCGGAGTTGTACGCGACAAAAGGTGTTGGGACAGAGCTTGTGAAGATGGGCGATCTGAAGCGTGTTACTGCTACTGAACTTGCACTTTTGACACGGAGCAATATCGACAGTATGATTGCAATGATGCAGAATCTCCTGGTAAGAGTGTCTGGAGAGCTTCCGCCTCTCGAGAGCTCGATGAATGGCCAGGTTTCATACGAGGCAGAGCTAGCTGCCAGCTTTAGGAATACAACAGAGATGATGATTGGACAAGGCAAGAGTATGAAGGTGTTAGCCGCCAAAGCAACGACGATAATCGACGAAGGTGATGAAGAGTCGAAATGTCCTACAGATGATTTGGTCAATTCCGTCAAAGATGTCGAAGAAGTGACGAGGAGAGTCACTGTGTTTGTCAGAAACGTGAGCTTTTCTATTATGCATAAGCTTGATGCTGCGTCGGGGGATGATCAAGAGGTCAGGTATGATGATATACAAAAGATAATGATGGACGAGGCCGACGATGAATGGCAGGATTCTAGCAGTAGTAATGCTGGATATTTTGCTGGGTGCCGCAAGCAGCTGGAGGAAGCGGTGTCAAAGCTGAGAGAAGTAGTCGCGCGGTTGCCTGGATCTCAGGGGATGGAGCACTGTAAGTACCAACAGCTTGATTTATGTCTATTGAGAGTTCTTGGAGAGATTACTGATTGATTTGTTTTTTGTAGACACGAAGGTGGTTCCACCGTGGGTGTCAAAGGTCGAAAGTCTGAAGGAAGACGAAGCATCGAACAAGGACGTGCACGCTCGATTTGTGCAGCTCGAAGAGGCAATGAAAGAGATGATTGCACGGATGCGCACAAACGAGCGGGAGCTGGAAGAATCGTCGATGAAAAACAAGTTTTTGGAGTCGCGGTTACAGAAGAACAAGGAGCGACTAGAAAGGCTGTCTACGATAGAGACAGAGTTGGCCGAGCATCTCAAGATTGAAGAGTCGCTGAAGGAGTCGGTCGCGAATTTAAACTCGGAGGTCAAGAGGTTAACGGACGAAACCTCTGAGCTGAGACGGGCGGTGGAAGAGAGCGCCGGGGCGGCAAGCGAACTGGAGCGTCTGAAAGGACGGGCGCAGGTTGCTAGTTCAGAGGAAGTGGAGGCTCTGTATAGGCAGGTGTCGGCACTACAGTCTACGGTGCGATACCTGAGCACGCCGCGGGAACGGGAAGTAGACGAGATCGTGGCGTTTCTCAAACAGCCGATCATCAACCGAGCGCGCGGAGCCGAGGCCGAGGAGGAGAAGCGGAGGAGGAAGATGAGGGAGAATGAGGTGTCGACTACGATGGACAGCTTAGTCAGGCAGTCGCTGACGTCGGAGATGGTGAAGATCCGGCGAGGAGCAACGGCGCGCGACCGGCGGGTGCAGCGGAACCAGGACGGGAGTGCGTCGGCGAGGCAGGCGACAGAGTACAGACAGCTGGCAGCGCGGATGCGTGCGCTGGTGCAGCTGTAGACTGTTGTTGCAGGCACAGAGCGAGGCCGCAGACATCAACGAACAAGGTCTTGTTAGGCGTAAGCGACCTCGAGGAAGAGAATGCGGGGAAGCCTGCGATTGTCAATCGGGAAATCGATTGGCGGCGAGCGCGTCATTATTTGCTTCAGCTGATCACCAACTAATTGAGAGAATCGTCATCGCTCTCTGCTCTGTCGTCTACGCAGCCTTGTTCTGTTCCCTGCAGCTGTTGCGGTTATCCATTGTCCGGCCAGACGGGAACCCGCGTGGAGTTCTGCCGTATCAGCGCCGCTCCATTTACTCAGCATCAGCAGCAGCAGCAGCAGCAGCAGCAGTCGTGGCTGTGGCTGTGGCGCATGCGGTGAATCGGGCTCGATGTAAACAGTGGCTGGTGCGGCTGTCCACGCGACAGCTTTCGACTTGTTTTATTTCTCGGAAAATTATAAAAACCGGCTCGCTTCCCCACACTCGTCCTCGTCCCCCGCCGCTGATGCTGTCGATGCTGGTGCCGGTCCCGATGCTGGTTGTCTTCCGTTTATTCTAGTCGCTCTTGATTTATTCCTCTTCCCGCCATGGCCACGAACGCGATTATGGGCTCGCCGCGGAAACGGGCTCGCTCGCCGATGGCCAGCCACCTCACGCCGAGGTCGAAGCAGCGTCGCGCAGTACAGGCTGTGCCGATGCCGACCCTCGTCTCTCCCTCTGCCCACTCGCCCGTTCTCCTCGACTCTGATACCGACTGGCCGCTGTATGTGTTCAACCCCGGATCATGCACCTCTGTGCACGTCAGTCCGGCGCAGTTTGTGACGGTGCCAAAGCCAAACTGCATCGTCCTCGCTTTCTACGACGGCGATGACGACCGCCATGTTCGCGCAGCAAGCGCAGTACAGGGTGTCCATGGCACTGCCGTCTACGCCGTCTCTGTAACGTCTCCCCGCGACCGAAATGATCTCAACGTACCAATCCTCTTCGACCCGCGCGCAGCGCTCACCCACCACGCGCGCGCCACACACCCCCTTGGCGGCGGCAGACTGCCTATGCCTGTCCTTCTTGTTCTCGATCATCAACTACGACGGCGCGCTTTTATACCCGTTGGATGTGGCAGTCAAGCAGTCAGACCGATGATGGTGGATGATGTGCAGAGCGTGCTGAGTGATATAATCAGATACTTGAATTTTGAGCACTCGCGGGATGTTTATAACGAATCTAGTCGCATGATGTTGGATGTATAGGTTTTGCGTTCTCTTTTTCTTATTCTTTCTCCTCGGTCTGGCGTTATGGTCTTTTACTGGCGGGCTTCGCAAATTTTTTTTCTTCATCACCTTTTTTTCATCATAGTCATCAAAATGGTAGCGAAATATGTAAAATGCATTACTATTGTACAGAAATTGTGCACCCAAACTCCATTAGTCTGATCATAGACTGTAGTTTAATCCTTCTTCAAACTGCTTAGAATCACCTCCTTCTCGTCCTCTGCGTATATATTGGCTCCGCTAGCAAGAGCGCGGTTTAAAACCCGCAGATACTCGGCCTCGCTATTGGCGTCTGTAACGCTAGTTTTCCGCAGCGTCTCGAGCTCGTCGTAAAAGTCCTTGGTGACGGTCGCCTTGTAGTACTCCAAAAACGCAGCTTCGTCTGCGGTCTCGACATCAGGCACAAGGTTCATCGCGATCTTGCCGTTGGGTTGCTAGAGTATTCTTCATCAGTGTCCGCAGGAGCAGAGTATTTTCTAGAGGGCTTTTATTACCTTCACGATCTGTGATATTGAGGGCGTTGATGACTCTATAGGCAACGCATCTGGGAGATCGAGATCGCTATTGTTTCCGTCATCGCTGGACGAGTCATCACTCGAGTCGCTATCTGAGCTCTCAGTCTTTGCCGACTCTGCCTCTGATGATGATGAAGCTGAGGATTCAGATGAGACTTCTATATAATGAGCAGTGAACTGTCAGAACGTTGTTGCTTGTTTTTCGTGAGGAGAGGGAGAGAGTAAGGCAAATGCATACCTTTTGTCCGCGTCTTGCGAAGTCTTTTCCTTCGATGTTTCTTGTCTGCTACTCCGTTCTCGGGTGCCATCTTCTCTCTATCCAACAAATAAATAACAAAACACCAGCAGTCGAACCGGCACTGGCTATTATATCTATCTGATTTCGCACCGAACCAAGCTCCTCAAAACTTTTATGGCGAATTGGGAGTTCTACTTTCGATATCACGTGACGTATTTTTTCTGGCTCTTCGCTGTTCGTCGGCGCCGAGTTCGGGGTTTCCCTGGTCGAGGCCGGGAATAATTACTCAGAATTGGTTGATTCTCTTTTGGACTTTGCTGCCGCGTTTTGCTTGTTTGAGAGCGTGTGGGATTGCTGCTGTTTGTTTTTTGTCTTTCAAAGTAAGAGAAAGAGAAAGAGAAAGCGGACGCGAGTCTCGTTGACTTTTATATATTTGGAGAAGATTCACGAAATTCAAAACGGCTGCTGCTGCTGTACATACACGTCAATTAACGCATAATGGATTTGGCTACGATTTCTGCCGCAGTGTGAGTTTTGACTGGTTTTTGATTTTCTTATGTGTCGTTGTTTCTGACTTGCGTTACTGGAATTAGTGCCGGGGCCGTAGGCAGTCGAGTTGCTTTCCATCCACGTATGTGATACTTGTCTGTGATTACCTTGTCTTGCAATTCTACTAACACGACTCGCAATCAGTCGACACGATCAGGACATTACAGCAGACATCGCTCGCCTCGGGTTATAAGCTACCCTTTGCGCAGTACTGGCGTGGTCTACCTGCCGCCGTGGGCTTCACCACCCCAGCCTTCACAATCTATCTCGTCTCCTATCGCCAGGCAAAGCAGCAACTAGCACCGTACCTGGGAAACGACAGTACTGTGAATCATGTAGTCAGTGGGTCGATCGCGGAGTTGTCTAGTAGCCTGCTGTGGACGCCTATGGAGGTTGTGAAGGGGAATATGCAGGTGAAGCAGGCGGGTACTGGTGGGACATTTGACATGATGCGACATATGTACAAGACTCAGGGCATGAAGGGGTTTTACAGAGGCTACTGGATGGTAAGATTCTTATATTGACTTCTGCTAGTATTATGAGTATCTTGGCTGATCAGTATAATTAGGGTCTCGCTGTTTTCACACCTCATTCGATCGTCTGGTGGGTCTCATATGTGCGTACAGTCACTCTTTATCAGCTCTTTTGCGCAATCACTGACATTCAACGTTAGGAAAAAATGAAAATACTCCTGCGCAACCGGAATATCAGCACCAAACGTGAATCCGTCGACCTCACCGCCGAGCAATACGCGTACGCCTCAGTAGTCTCCGGCGTCGCCGCCGGGACCGTATCGAATTTCCTCGACGTCGTCAAGACGCGGCAGCAACTCGCCATATCCGAGGAAGTCGCGCGGCTCCGACCAGATGACCAAATGGGACTGCTGAAGGTTGCGCGGAATCTGATTGCCGAGGCGGGGTTTTTTCGGGCAATGTTTAAGGGGTTACATGTGAGATTGATGTACAGTTTGCCGTCTGGAGTTTTGAGTATGGTTATTGTTGAACTTTTGAGACCGGAGGATCGCGTTGAGGACAAGAAGGTTTTGGAATCATGATTGAGCTATGGAGATGATCCGCCAGGATGTACGATTTACGAGATACGATATTATCGCGCTGAGGTTATGAGTTCTGCTATATGTATAGAGCTGGACAGTTTCTCTGTATCTGTCCTAATTTGTAAATAGATGTATAGACAGCTGTAAATAAAGCACTGAATGAGACGAAAGTAGTCAGTTGACGAGCGTAATCTTTTTCTTTGCCTTCTCGGGAAATTCCATTTGAGCCGCACACATCGGAAGCAGATGTAAAAACGCAAATCGGAACTCTCCACCGGCGTCGGATTCCAGCGGTAGTTCTCTTGAGTATCGGTTTAGCAGTACTCTCATTATTAGCTCGAGGTGATTTGTGTGCTGCGAGTCATGCAGACGGTTTTATGACAGTGTTAGTGAGAACTGAGAATACGAGGCGATATTCATTCACTTTTTAATAAAGCGACCGACCGAACGACCGACGTTCGACGACCCACGGTACTGCTGTTTGACTGCATCTTCATTTTACAATGGCAGATATCGGGACTGCAGCTGCAGCTGTGTATGTGAGACTTTCTGTTAAGCGCAGAGTTGAGCTGGATTTGCTAACAGTGTTATTGAAATAGAGCGGGTGCAGTTGGTAGCTCAGTCGTTTTCCATCCTCGTGCGTATTCCCGTTTTCCAAAAGATATCTCGATATATGAAATACCAACTTGCAATATCAATGCACAGTCGATACAATTCTCACACTCCAGCAAACCTCCGTGAGCAACAAATACATCATCCCGTTCCCACAGTACTGGCGCGGCGTAACCGTTTCGGCGTTACTAACGACTCCCGCGTTCACCGTCTACCTCCTCTCGTACCGCCAGGCTAAGAAGGAACTCTCCTCGCAGTATGGAAGTGACTCGGCAATCACATACGGCCTAAGCGGGATATTTGCAGAGGTAAGATACCTTTTTAAGTCTGCTAAATACTTGCGACCATCGAGAGTGCTAACGGCGGGGTTAGTTGACGAGTAGCGTACTCTGGACCCCCATGGAAGTCATCAAGGGCCGAATGCAGCTCATTTCAAGTCCCGGAATGGTCTCGACCACGAAAACTATTGCACAGATTTACAAAGAAGAGAAGATTAGAGGGTTTTTCCGCGGTTACTGGATGGTACGTCCACGTCCTTTTGTCAATATCGGGTTCTATATCTGACATGGAAACTAACCTGGTTTTTGCAGAGCTTGGCGATGTACACTCCGGCCACGATTTGCTATTGGTATACCTATGTATGTAAACTTCATCTTTCTCAAACAAACAATGCGAAAGCTGCTAACGGTGAAATGCCACAGGAAAACCTCAAAACATACATGCGACAAAGACAGAAACGAAAAGCTGCACTAGCATCATCCTCTTCCTCCCCACCACCAACCCAAGACCTTTCCGCCCTCCAATACGCGCTCGCGTCCTCCGTCGCCACAATTGCAGGCGAAACAATCACAAATTTCCTTGACGTGGTCAAGACGCGCCAGCAACTCGCCTGCTCGGCCGAGGTGCGCGCGCTGCGCCCGGATGACTCTGCGAGCGTCGCGCGCGTGGCGAGGAATTTGATTAGAGAGGTGGGTGTGTTTAGAGCGCTGTTTAAGGGGCTTCATGTTCGGCTTTTGTATGCGCTGCCGACGGGGGTGTTGAGTATGGTTATTGTTGAGTCGATCAAGCCTGATATCGATACAGACGAGTACGGATTATGATTGTACAAAGAGAGACACACCAAGCGGTGTAGACGTTTGGTGAAAAGTTATATTTAGTGTTGTCACGATAAACGTGAGTAATTTGTATATGTACATAATAGCTAATGACCAGCAACTTTTGACTATATATACTGTATCCTACCACATTGCTATGCGCTCATGCACCCACCTTCATTTCTCCCACGCCTTTGATTATATCCTCTTCCAGCGCATTACCCCCCTTCACAGCTGGCGGAGGACGTTTAGAGAACTCTTCAGTTAGACTTGCGAGGTTACCCCATGCTTTTTCGTTCCCGGGGCTTATGAAGATCGCTTTGATAGAGTTGGCAAACGATCCCGCGGCGACAAACTCGTCGCTCAGCTCTCTCGCTTTGACGGATTTCTCCAGCATCGCGGTCTCAAGTGCCGTCTTGCGATCGATATGATTCCAGATCTTGGGATCAGATGGCTTCAGTATCGCAGACTGCAACCACGGACGCACCGTCGGCTTGTGGTCTTTGCTCTTGCTTCCTTCGAGTGCCGACATCAAGATCTCGATCGATCTATCCGAGACCGAGTTGAGTTGTTGGTCGATGTCGAAATCGGTGAGTTCGGCTTCGATCGCGTCGACGATGTCTTCGCTGCCGTCGACGAGACCGATAGTACCTAGCAGAGTGATCGACTTGAGATGCTGAGAATCCTGCTCAATGTTCTTAAACAGCAGGTCTGATGCCTTCTCTCGGTTTTCACCTCCCAAGCTGTATAGCACCTGGGCAAGCATTACGGAAATGTCAAGATCGTCATTTGAATCAGAACCCGCCATTCCAAACATCTTGAGCGCCTCGTCAGACTGATTTGAGTAATAATACGCCAACCCGGCGGTGATCTCGGCCGATAGTCGACTTAGTCGCAAGTTATCGTCACCTTCCGAAAGATCAACCACGAAGAGCGAAGCCTCCAGGGACTCGGAGAAATCCTTATGCGCCAAGTATAGACGAGCTAACTGGGCCTTGGCATTCGTAAACTCTCGCAATTCTTCTGGAGACTCTGAATCCTCGTAAAGCTGCTCAAGTCTGCTGCAAGCGTCAGTCAGAGTGGCGATTGCCCGTGAATAGTCCCCCTTTCTTTCCAAAACAAGAGCCTTATATTGCGCAGCAGGGACGTATTCGGGATCTAGAAGCAGAACTTTTTCCAAGGTGAACACGGCGAGCTCCACGTTGATTGGCGTGAGCGCGCGTGTAGACGACTTTGTCATCTGCGCAAACGCTGATGCGGCGTATAAAAGATGAGCCAGTTTCTGCGAATCATAGAAAGGAAAAAGTTAGTCAAAACGCAGATCTGGAAAGGATAAATTCTGCAGAACAACACTTACATCAGCACCCGAGCAAATCGTGAAGGAATGTTCAAAGAGATCGTTTGCTTCCGCTTCCTCGCCTACAGCCTTAGCAATGAGACCCTGTCCGAGCCACGAAATCATATAGTCAGGATCAGCAGACTGCGCTCTCGTAAACGCCAAGTTTGCAAGCTCGTAATCTCCCTTGATCAGATACATCGTCCCCAAGTTCGCCCAGGCCACCACTTGCTTATTATCGATAATCAGAGATCTGATAAACGCGTGCTGCGAGATCAGCGGATACTGTCTCGCGGTGGTTATTCCGTACGCGTTCCAGAATTGAGCGTTTTTGGGTTCGAGCTTGATGGCATTTTTGAAGCATTCGATCGCTGCCGACTCGTAGTGCTCGTCCATGCCCATCTTTTGGAAGATTCGGAGCTCTGCGCACGCGATATTGAACCACCCCACCGCCCTACTCTTCATGGTCTGGTATGTTTCCAATAGACCCATCTTGTAGGCCAAGCAGTGGTAGAACGTAACTGTCTGGAGAATATCAATGTTGTCGAGTTTACCGATATTTTTCAGGCTGACCCCGTCAATTTCATCAATTCTCTGCATCTCAGCGTTGAATTCCGGATGAGCAGACAGGATCAGACTCGTGACGGTCTCGGTCGGAAACTTATCGGCCATAGCCTTGACCTGGAAGAAAATTGCAATTGCGTCGCCCGCATTCTTCCACATATTGAACGAGTCTGTGCGAGTTTTGGAGATAGTTAAAGCAACCTCAAGAGCCTCGACTGCGTCAGAAACCGCGTCGCCGTAGTAGTGTCGAGCAACATTATGCTGCGCTGATGCTACCAGTGCTTCACAAAGATGGCTCAGCACCACAAACTCGCTAGGTCGCTCGCTGAGAACCGAGTTGAACAACGTCTTGGCTTCGTCAAAGTCTTGAATTTGTCGGTGAACCATACCAAGCAGGAATTGAGCGTACCAGTTATCTGGGTCAACTGTGCTGGCGCGAACGAAGGACTTTGATGCGGCGATGTATCGTCCGGAAGCGGCGTATGCTTCTCCCAACCCGGTCCATGAATGAGTGTCGCTGCTGTCGCTTCTCAGAGCAGTTTGGAAGGACTGGATGGCCTTCACTAAGTCTTGCGATTGCTTTACACACACGAGAACATCAGACCAAATTCAAAAGATAAAGTCAAAAAGGGGATTGACAACATACCAGATATGCAACTCCCAGAACCCTATACGGCCACGATGCTTCCTTTCCTGGTACGCTTCTCTTTTTCTCCGCCTCAGCAAACCGAGATGCAATTACCTCTACCAACTCCCAGTCTCTCTCATTTGCAAAAGTTTCAGTCAAGCGCTTAGCCGCCTCGGCTTCGGTTGCATCGAGCTCAAACGCTTTATGAAAGCATTTGCCTGCTCGCTCGGTTTCGCCTGCTATATCGGCAAAGAAAACTCCCAAGCTCGTGTATGACGGCGCGTAGTTTGGGTTGAACTTGAGACTTGTCACGAAAGCGTTGTATGATCGCGATCTATCGCTTCGTAGGTCACCTGTGATCAGGGATTAGTAGTCAGATACAGCAGCAAAAGTGTAGCAGATCACTTACTTCTCTCATCCCACATGCTCTTTCCAATTCTCCACCAGATTTTGGCTTTCATATTCTCCGACGACGGATCATCCCTGGTCAACAACGAAAGACATTTCTCGAGACCTGCACGACCTTCCTCGTGCTGTCCGAGAAGGATCTTACACCAGGAAATCTCAGACAGTGCGACGACGTTCTTTGGATCTTTATCGAGGATGCTCTGTAATATATCCCGAGCTTCCGTGACCTGACATTGCTCCTCAAAAATTAATGCCTTTCCGATCAACGCCTGAGAGTGATCAGGCATATCGGATAAAATCTCGTCGAATATGTGCAGCGCTTCATCAAAGTGTCTTGGTGCTTGATAGTATATGTATGCCGTTCCCAAAGTGACTGAGATAGCGTCGCGACATTTCTTGAGATTTCTGCTAAAGTCCTTTACGACTTTCTGTAGTACTTTCAATCCAGAAATGGATAGCTCCACTGCATTTTCATACTCGCCGATATGTAAGTAGTACATTCCTAGTATTCTATTAGCCAGTGGAGAGTTAGGATTCATCTCGTAGCCCTCCTGTAAGCAGAGTTAGTAACTGTGACGCTCCATCGCAAACCGCAGAGAAGGTAGGCTAACCGTGAATTTTTCTAATAGCTCCTCGTCGGACCAGTGCTCTTCCATGACAGTCACTGACTCCACATCAGACTCTCCATCATCTCCATCAGTTTCGGCTTCAGTTGCTCGATGGAACGGGGAAATGTCAGATTTCAAGAACGCTTGGATGACTTTCGACAGGCCAGTATCAGGGAAATTGTTGATATATTCCCGGAGAAGATTCTCATCGAGCTCGGAAAGATCACGACAATCATTCCAGTCTAGAGTGATTGACCAAGCCAATTCTATTGGAGAATGTAGGACCACCATTTCGGTTGCCATCTTATATAGCTGTAGTTTGGTTTGCTGTCTGTCCTTAGGTTGCAACACCAGTAGTTTGTTGTAGAGGAAAGTGAGCAGCTTTCCTTCTACCTGACGCCGTGTCTGGTCGTCGTCTGACCAATTGAGAAGAAGATCGTAGTATTTTTCAAGCTGGTGCGAATTACATGAATTGTCAGTATGTTGCAATGGATCAATCAAGGCGTAGAATCAGGCATACCTCCGAAGCCTCATAAACTTCTCGTTTGATTTTCCGCGTCATAGTGTTGATATTGACACCTAATTTATTCCGTTGTTTGCTGACGCTACCTTCAATAGTTTGTCTTTCTTCAGTCTCCAACATCTCGGTCAATTTCTGCAAAGTCGAGGCTGGATGCGGCAGCCGGCCTTCAAGATATTCGTAGACCGGGGTCCCAGGAAGAATCGCCTTCAGCATTTTGATTTTCTATAGCACGCTCAGTTAATTAACGCGCGATCTAAAATGCAATGAAAATCAGAGAAGCGTACATCTTTTTTAGAACCTTTCTCTGCCACGAAACTCTGCGTTTTGTTCATCAAACTCGTGCATCGATTGATATCGTCTCTGCAAAGTCGTCAGCCGTCCGATACTCTCCTAAGAAAAACGCAAAGACTGCTTACAGCTCTCGGTAGATATCGGCCAAGATCAAAGTAGTATCGATATATTCAGAGACCTTGCGATCTGCCTCATACACCGTCAGCAAACCTTGGTATGCCATTGCTGCTCGGGGATTCAGATCAACGGCCTTGCGGTAAGCTTCGATGGCAGCGCCGCGGTCCCGCAGTTCATTTTGACAGTAGCCCAACAAAATCAGCCTAAATCAAAACCAATCAGCAGCTGAGTGATAATCGCCAGTAGAGAATGCTCATCTGTGTTTGAGAACATACGCGTTGTAGGAGTTCGGATCAATCGCCAAAGCCTGAGTGCAATTATCGCGACCAGTTTTGAAATCCTTCTGCTCGACCGCTTGCTTGGCAGCAACCAGGGATTTCTTAAGAGCAGACATTACGATTGCTGGTCTGCAAACAAAAGACGGGATGCGCTGGCGGTCCTGCTGAGGTGTCTTGATGGGTTTCTGGAGGTTGGTTGTGAAATGTTAGTGAATGCGTTTTGAGAATCAGCGCAGTGAGGATCTGATGTGATGGCGAAAGCGTGTTTTTGCTTCGATGGGAGTTCAGAGCTTGTGCGGATATTCAATTCATTGCGGTTTACTGTTTATAGATCGAGACCAACGCAGGCATTATAATATATAGAGATAATGTCTCTTCTATCTTCTGCGAGGCTTTTACGCTACGGCAGCAGTGTCTGTCGGGAATGCAGACTAACGCTCCTACGATCATCATCAACAAGCTCACGCTACACACCTCCAGTCAAAATCACTACGGACGAAGAGCTTGACAAGATATTTTCAGAGCCTACATGGACAGTCCAGTCTCTTCTTTCACAAAGCAATCCGGAAGAGCTACATTCAGATATCAACCCTTCGAGTTTGCGACAGCTGCTGCGGCGATCGGGCTTGCAGTTTCCGAAAGACGAGCAGGAAGAGCGGAAGCTGCTCTTTGACTTGCAACGACAGCTGGTATTTGTCGACCATGTACAGGATATCGACACATCAGGGATTGAACCTCTCAACAGAATAGGGGAGGACGGAGAAAAGCTGCAATGGGAAGATCTTCAAACTGAAGATAACGAGAGCGAGATATTGAGTGTCAAGCATTTTAGCGAAAAGCTCGACCGAGGATACTACGTTGTTCGCGATAATTCAGGGATACGCGAATGATTCTTTTACGAGTTTCATGTATATACATATAGTATAAAGAGTGCTACTGTACAATATAGCTGCTGCAACCTCACACAACTTCACAACAACCCTGTCTCCGATATACATTTTGCTCATCCTCACCATCAAATCCTCGCATCAAACCTAAGAAAATCAACCCAAAAAGAATATTGACAGCCGCTTATGAAGAGAAGCAGGATTCACCCAATTCAGTGTTGCTGCACTCCAGAGTTAGTATGATGGTCTGTAAGGCTGAGAGCCTTTGCTGCGGCCAGCTATTTGGAACCATCGCGGAAGACAGCTATATACATGTTCATCAAAAGATTCCTGTCGGTTGCACAGGCATCGTCCGGAAGTATACGATTCGTCATCGGAAGGACATCTCAGCCATGGCGTGTGCTTGTAGCCAATATCGGCGAAATGGTGTAGTCTGTCTTTCGGGAGCAGCAGTGCTGCTGCGATAGAATGGACGGGTGCGTCGCCCTATAATGTAGTTGTTAGCAGAGTCACTCGGAGAAAAAAACTAACAATCTAAAACGTACCCATCTCTCGTAGTAAAATCCACCTTCCTCGTCGAGCCACTCAAAATACTTCATATATGCTTCCCCTCGCCAAAAATTCAAATCTCCAATCTCAAAATTACTCCAAAAATGGCACATGTTGTAAGTGCCGTCAAGTCCCCGATGACCGTCTACTATGAAATCAATTGCGTTGTTCTTGTCGATGTACTTTGGGTATTTTGCGGCAAAGCGCTGTGTGGCATCCCATAGAGTTGGGATGGTTTTTGGGTACTCTGGCATCGCAATGACAAACCCGTAAGCTTTGTTGTTGTCTTTCATAAATTTGAAGGGGTCGCTGTTTTGAAGTTAGTATCGAATGACAGATATAGACCTCGAAAAGTGTACGCACTAATTTAGATCACAGTAGAACTCGATACTAGGCTCCACGCGCCAGTAGTAGTCGTATTTGAGAAGGAGCGGGTGACGGAAAAAGAAGCCCGAGTTATAGCGACACATATGTCTATATGGCACAGTCAGAAACAATGTACGGCAAGCGCTTAAAAAGAGAAGGTACCGAGATCTTACCTGTATGTCAGGGAGCCTCCGTAAATTACTCCGTCTTCCTCCATTTTTCTCATATTTGTGCGCGCCTTTGCGCGATCGACCAGCTCCGGCCATGACCACTCCTCTTTAGGAACAAGTCCGTACTCAGTTTCACCGGAGGCCATACCGCTGGTCAGTTGGATGAACTCCTCTGTGAACTCTTCGTCGTTGAGGAAAGTCCACGTGTACCGAAAGCGCCTGTTGAACCTGTCCTCTATTTGTCGCATACTGCTGAGTGCGTCGTCAATTTCGAAGTTTCTGCGGCGAGGATCAGTTAGTTTCCAGCCATATAGATCAATTTGCGGAGACTTAAGAAAGACATACCGCACAAGCATCACCAGCGTGGCGTTCTGTTTTGGCGGATCAGGATCGCAGTGCATCTTTTTCTTTCTCCGCTGCAGCGGCTCCTGCGACACTTTTTGCTGTAGTTTTATCTGGTCGTGCTTCTTGACCTTTTCCGGCGTAGTCGACCACAGTAGCAGGAAAAGGCCAAGCGCTAGAACGCCGAGAATCGCAGCCATGATTTTCAATCTTTTAGGCTTTGACCGCTGCCTCTTGTATTTGAGGAAGGGACTGTCGAAATCACGACTTCTTTCGTCCTCGAAGGCGTCTCCGAATGCCATTTTAACGCGCGTCTTCACCTATACTAGACTGTGCTTGCATCAGGACGCGATAGGGATCCGTCAAGAGAATTGTGGTGCTGGAAGAAGGCGACGAGCGGGCGGTGTATTCAACAAGGGGAGAGGGAAAAATGGACACGCCGACCGACGCGTCAATGGGCCGGTTCGGATGAGAACCGGTTCAGGTCGATGTACTTGAGCACACGCTAATTTAGCTGCCTGGCTGCAAACCGGTTCACTGCTTTTAATGGCTTCTGTCACGGACGTCAACGGCTGACAGCTCGGAGATGTATTGTTTTAGTATTAGTTAGAGCGTTGTTTGTTCTGTGATTGAACAGTAATTCAGTAACCTCGTTAGAGCTGTTCAAAGAGGTTCTGCGGACGCTGTAATCAGAAGAGAATTAAGCATATTTATATGATCACGTGATGCGATTATGTCACTGTTTACTACCCAGCTCGAACTGCAATCAGCTCGCGTTCTCTGTTTCCTCCCCGTCTGATCTTCTCACACGAGAACAAGTTCACCTCTCGGTTCCAAGATATGGACAGTTCAACGACCAAGAAGCGAGACTCTGAAAGTCCATCGCGTAAAGAAATGTCTGCTTTGCGCAGGTTCTTCACAAACACGTTCGCCCGTCGTCGTCGTCGCGGCAATCGCGGGAAGACCCCCGGTGCTTCCTCGATCTTCAACGCGACTGAGGATCCGGCTGTTGTCGATGAAGACTCTAAGCACGGCGATGGCGATACCCCTGTTGCAAACACCGAGTCTTTTTTCCATGAAGATTCTGCACCTCATGGCTCTCTTTGGCGATATACTCCTCATCCGGCGACTCAGCTCGCGCAGGCCATCGCGACACAGGCTAACATCAATGAGGGCTGTCTTACTCCGAAGAAGCTCACTGATACTACGCCGTCTGTGGAAAAGTCCGAGTCGTCAGCCCTGGCAGCTGGATCCCAAGGTGGACTGTCTACTGTGTTGTCTCTCCAGCTGGCAGCAAAGGAAGCGTCTGATTGCTACAACGACTTCATGGTAAACTACGCCAGCGGCTTCTACAATTTCTCAGTGAACTTGCCCAAGCCGCTTGGACTTCCTGCAGACCTAAAGTTTTTTGTTCCTCCGAAACCTATCGACGAAGGCACTCGACTTGCTGAAGTGAAGCGTTACAGAGTTGCCTTCACGCGTCAGTCCGTTAAAGCCATCGAGCGACTCATTGTCGCTGCTCGATCTCTGTTCAAGGTCAAATGTGCAACAGTCTCGGTTATGCTTGAGGACAGGCAGTTGATCATCTGCGGTGCTGGTATGAAGCGCATCCGGGAGATCCCTCGTGCGCAATCTCTGGAAGGGCATACCTTGCTTTCGAGTTTTCCTGTCGTCATCAGCTCTACTGCCGATGACTGGCGGTTCGCAAACCACCCGCTTGTAAAGGAATTTCCCCACATTGGTTTCTGGGCATCGGCGCCATTGATCTCGCCTTCAGGCCACGTTATTGGAGCATTTAGCGTCTTTAGTCATATGGCTCGTCCTGATTTCGACGCAAGCAACTGCAGAAGACTACAGGAATTTTCTGAAAGCACGGTCAGGCTGCTGGATGACGAACTTGAATCGAGAAAGAATGACTCGAAAAGTGAGGTTTTTGATTCATTACTCCATTATCCTAATGATTCCAGCGACATGTACTCCGCCGAAGAGTTTGATTTCCCTACGCCGAAAGAACAAGACGCATTTCTTTCCTATCGAGATATTCAAAGCTCATCGCTCCAACTTTCCCGTTCGGTTTCGAAATCCACCGGAAGAGGATTCCGATACAAATCCAAGACAAACATGACCAATGTGTTTCATCTGTTTGCTGAGATCATCGCGCTGAGTCTTGGATATGATACCATCGTTTTGGTGGAAGTTCGGAAGCCTGAAGATACCGACGGCGCTGCCGGTGCTGCTCAACCGAAAAATGAGATTCTTGTTTTGTCTGCCTATGGCATTGATTTGAATACCGCTCAGCTTCAGCTGCCCACGCGCGAGCTCGCTCTTGAGGCTCTGAATTCTGAATGTGGAATATACTCTCACTCACTGTTCGTTAGCTCCTGAACATATACCCATATCTGTCTTTTTGTCGACTAGCTGTCTATTCTAGTCTCTGCTGCACGTTACTTATATCTAATCATTACTTCTAGGTCTTCTGATCCCAGCGGGATATTCTGTTCCATCTTCCCTGTCCGACGGTTCTTCTTCTCGGTGGAGAACAACGCCAACAGCTCCCCTCAGTCAACCCTCGCAAGTCCTATCGGCGTGTGCGGTCAAGACTCCCCGGACTTGCTTACAGATAAGGACATATTTTGTTCAAAGACTGACATAGACTTCACCGGCGACGACAACCTATTCGCAGCATCCTCGCCGCTGCCGCCTTTGTCTCCTGCATCCGATGCGACTGATCACAACCCGTTCAAGAAGATCACCGTCAGACTACCTCCTGACACCACCAGCAGCGCTCCTCTCTCCTCCGCCCTCTCGAGTTCTGAATCGGCCACCTCCGGCTCGCGCAGTACTTTTTCCCGCTCCGCTAACAACGACAGCGCCGCCGCGACCTCCGTCGCCACCTCCCCGTCCGCCGCCGAGCTCGAGAGTACTAAACCGGCCGATCAGAGAGCAGACGACGTGGCTGACGTGCCGTATCTCGTGCGTGTCCTCAGCGCAGATAAGACGAAATCAGGCTTCAACAAGCGCGGCGCGGCGTTGCCTCCTATCATCACTGACATCCCTCGCCGTTCACTCTCCAAGCCTAAAAACCCCGAGATCAGGAAACCCGCAGACGCTGTGTCGACGCCTGACGTTTTATCGTCGCTGAGTGTGCTGAGAGATATGAGCGCAGTCGATGCCCAAAATCTTGCGAGTACAGATTTGATGGCCACCCCCGGCGATAGATACTTCTCAGCAACCCCCAGCGACGCACCCTCCTCCTCGATAATCTCGTCTTCCCGCCCAATGCTACGCCCGGAATCCCCCTCCTTCCCCTCTCATCCGCCACCGCCGACCAGCGTTATCGAGAACGACGAAGTCGTCAAGTGCGACGGGGGCATTCTCGCGATCGCAACGTCGACGCAGAAAAGAGCGGTTTCGGCTGATGATGTGGCGCGGATGGAGCGCATCAGGGATATGTTTTTCAGAGCTGTGGAGTGGGTTTAGAACGATCCAGACGAATCTTTTGATGCTGTGTTTTTTCCTCCCTGTTTTATTTTCTTTACACTCTGTTCTGTGATCAGGACTGGTACATCTTTATCGTTATTGTCTCTTTTGGAAGCTCAGGAGCCAACGCATATGCAACAGGCGTGCCGCCTCTGGAGACAATTGGAGCCTCGTTAGCTTTAGTGTTTAATAATCTTATTACTATTCTCTATACAGATCATAAATTACAACCGCATGTCGTAGCGCTTTAGTACATGGCACAGGGAAAGCAAAGGTGATGAGGGGAAATACAGAAAGCAGCAAACTTACAAAGCACCGCAGAGAAAGTCGAGATATGATCCAGTCAGACCTCTCTAATACTCCAGCTCGATCTTTTCAGGTGCAATGTCCTCATAACTTCTCAGACTCCGACCTCTAGGATCCCCGACCTTCCCAGCCCTGGGATCATCTCTCGCAGGCGGTCTATCGCGGTAATCTCGATCACGACTGCGCTCGCCGCGGCCGCGGTAGCGGTCGATCGGAGGATAATCCCGTCTGTAATCGCGGTCGCGCCGGTCGTCGCGGTAGTCTGATCGGTCCCGGTACTCCCGTCGATCTCGGTAGTCGCCCCTGTCGCGCGGCTGGGGACTGCGCGAGCGATGAGGGCCCCTATTCCGGTCACTTGGGCGCCATTCTTGGTCCCGGCCTCTGTTCACGGGCGTGTTTGAGTTGAACGGCAGCGACGATCGCTTGTTCTTCGAGCTTGGCGGGGAAGACGACATTAGGCTGGCTTCAAAGGGATCGGCATGGTGGAGCCCATTGAGGCCGTTACCGCTCGCTGCTCTTCCGTTGTTCTGAAGAGTGGGTGGGATCACGATCGGTAGGCCGCCGAAGATTGAAACCATGTTTGAGCTTGTGAAAATGCTTTGATAGTCTGGTTCGGCGGGTGTGCTATCGACTGGTGCCAGCGGCAGCGGGCCTTCAGAGCGGGCAGGAAGAATTCGGCACGCATCCAGGACGTATGCATTAAGAAGAGCACCTTCTTGCTCAACAGCAGCAATGAAATCAGGATGCTTTTTGGCAATATGTTTCTTTACGAATTCCTCCGCCTTGAAAAGCTTGGTGCACGTACCGACTTTACATCGAGACTTGGCCTCGTCTTCATTTCGCACGTGGCTGGAAATCTCCTTCTCCACCAGCTCGTCAATAGGCAACCCTCCATATTTTGTGACATTGGCCGACCCTGGGGTGATGAATAGACTGAGCTTCTCCTCCCATGACCGCAGCCATTGCTCAACTCGAGCGTCTGGAACCTCAAAGCTCTTTTTCGTCTCCTCGTCCGCGTCGGGTCCTGGAGCTGTCCTTCGTAAATGGCCAGCAGGACATTTCTTATTCAGGTCGCATATCGAGTCACAGCCTGAGATACAGTAAAAACAAAAGGCATACACTAGTCTGAGGTAGAGATAGGTGAGATCAAACTGCTTTTTGCTGATCTCATCCTGAAGCCGAGAGTCGTCGTCCTCTTCAACGACCATCCCTTCCTCATCCTGATCGTCTATGTCCTCTTTCTTTGCAAGAGAGGCAGCGCGAAAGCTCTCAGTGGCAAGCTTCTCAGCATGGCTATAGATTTTGTCAATTCCACCCAAGTAGTTCGGGTCGTTGAACTCTTTCTCGAACTTTTCTGCGACTGATTTTGCTGTCGTGCAATCCTTGCGAATCTGTGCGCTAGAAGAGAGGTACGGGAAAAGATATTTCCGCTTCATAGGTCGAGACATTGAATGAATACCGACGTGCACGACAAACTCGGAAAATTCGCTCGAGCCAGTTTCGTCAGCGGTCGAGATTGACTTTCCTTCGAGCATTTCCATGGCAACTTTAGGGTCGCTATCGTCAGATAGCATCACCCATCCGATTCTATAGTAGCGCTTTGTAGGGTTTGGATCTGAGAGTGATAGGAACTGGAAGCCGGGTACAGTTTTGACTAGGTCCATGAGCTGTGCGCGAGAGATATTTGGAGCGATGGATTTGATGATTAGGACTTTCTGGTCATGCGAAGCTGTGGAGTGATCTGTGGCGGTAGCCTCTTCACCGTCTTCTGGAACGGCCTCCTCACCTTCCTCATCTTCTTTTTTGCGATCGGAATCGGCATTCTCTGAGGCGGCCGTGTCGACATCCATTGTTGCCGCGTCTGTCGCTTCAGGCTTTGCGGCCGAATCGGAGGGTTTGATCTCGTCTTTTCCATTACTGGAGGTTGTGGGAATGCCAGCTATTTCAATTAAGAGTTAGAATCAATGCTTGATCAAAAATCAGTAATGAGTGTCAAGCTTACGTCGAGACCCATCTAAAGAGAATTGGTCATATTTTCCCGACTCCAAATCTTCGAAAAAATCATCATACAGCTTCTTCCTATAATCAACCAGGCTCCCTTTGATCGGATCTGCGATCTCGGGGACGTAGCGCTCTTTGAACCACACGTCATTGATATGCTGGACGACGAACCCGCGGGCGATCCGGGCGTACAGATCTAGCTTGTACTTGTCGTACTTTGAATATAGCTCGTCGGTGGTAGGTAGGTTGTCCTCGACCGGGAGATTTTGCTTGACCCACTCACAGAATTGAGTGAACGGAACTTGAAATGTGAGTTTGTAAGGATCCTGATATTTTCCCGAGGAGGTTGAGCTTGATCCGGCGTATTCGGATGGAGCGGACTTTGCGTCATCTCGAGATCGGTAGGAGCCACGAGAAGAGTAATCGCTATCGCGACGATCGCGAGAGTCGTAGTCACGAGAATCGCGGTTGTCGCGCCGCGGTCCGCTCGAGTATCGATCGATGTGAGAGGACGGGTTAGACCGGTTATGATACATGACCGATTTGAGTGAATGAATATGAGCTGCTAAAAGATAAAGAGTAGATGTTAGTATGTGTGTCGGGCTAGAGAGCAGACGAGTGGAATGCAGGATGAGGTTCAGGATGAGAGTTGTAGAGAGGGAAATGAAGATGAGGCATAATGGGACGATCCAAGAATGAGATCAATGGAGAAAGAAAGAGAATAGAGAAATCGCAGATGACGCAGAGCCAAGCTAAGCACGCTAGACAATGGCCGAGGGGTATAAAAGAGAGGGATCGTTGTTCGAAAAAGACAAGATAAAAGTCGGCATATAAGAGCCAAGAGCGAGATAGAGTGGATGATGATAAAAACGATGGGGATGATGGATAGAACGAAAAAGAGAGGAGGATAACTGACCCTTATATAAAAATCAAATGTCAACAACAAGAAAAGAGAGAATAAGATGAGATTGAGCGAATGAGTCGATATGTCTGCAATTGGAAGCAGATCAGGGCATCGAGTGAGGAATAGGAAATAGGCGGGGTGAAGTCGCTTGTGTGTTCGGATGACTGGGCGCTAGGGTTTTGCTTATGTCATTTATTACTTAATGCAGCGACAGCAGAGCAGAGCAACGAATGCGAGGTTTTGGCTGAATCTGAGAAACTACTACCAAATTATTACTACAATTTACATCAATATAGCAGCAACAACAAACACAGTCTGTCTGTCTGCCATTTCCTGCTGTCGTTGTTGTGATAAGCTGCTCTATTGTTCGCAACTGCATAATACTCACCTTTTTCCTCACTTACACCCCATCCCCCCAAACCCACGGCTTTAATGCACGTGCGCGGCGGCGGCCGAGACGGTCTTCGACGCACTTTCTGCTGGTTCTTGGTGTTTACTGCTGTCCAGACCCGTCTCTGCCTCCCCGTCCGCGGCTTTGTTCCCTGTCCCCGTGCTCTTCTTCCTCCTGTCGCTCTTTCTTCCGCTTCTCTGGCTGTTTTTGGTCGTCTGAACCTCGCGCGCGACCAGAACCTGCCATGTACGCTCACCACCAGCAGCGGCACTTCCAGGGCCCATCTCCTCCGTTGTCTTTCTCTACCTCGCCTTCGTCGCCTTCCCAACTCCAGAGCCTTCCCGCTATGCTCAGTCAACAGCACGTATCTGCCGTGCTTCAGCAGCAGCGGCAGCAGCAGATGCAGGCATCCATTTCCGCCCCTCACCAGCACGACCACGTACCGCAGCAGCACATGGACCAGTCCATGCACCTAGACCTTGGTCTAGCCGACGACATCGTGGACGACGACGACTTTGACGAAGAGGATCGTCACGATCCGCGCTCGGAAGAACAGATGTACGATGGCTCCCCCGTCTCGTCAATGGCCTCGCCGATGCCCCAGCAGCAGCAGCATCAGCAGGCCCCGCCAGACGACTCGGATCAGCCGCTCTATGTCAACGCGAAGCAATATCACCGCATCCTCAAGCGGCGGCTTGCGCGCGCAAAGCTTGAAGAGTCACTTAAGGTCAGCAAGGGCCGTCGTCCATATCTGCACGAAAGTCGACACAAGCACGCCATGCGCCGTCCGCGCGGCCAAGGCGGACGATTTCTCACGGCTGCGGAAGTCGCAGAGATGGAGGAGAAGAGATTACGTGAAGAAGCAGGGCAATCAAAGCCTGGATATGACGAGCAGACGGAGAGTAATCAGAAGCAACATCAGCCGCAACAGAACCAAGCTTTGCGGCCAGAAGAACAGCAGCGGCAGTCAGGGCAGCAGAACAACATCCAGCAGCAGCAGCAGCAGGACCGCCAACAAACTCAACCACGGCAGCTCCTAGATCAGAAACAGCAACCTCAGATGAGCGCACAGTCCGAACAACGAAACAGCGCAAATCAAATACAATCAGCTATGAGTATCTCATCGGTGTCACCGGATTACCTGAACGTCGACAGTCGGAATATCGGCAACGACGATGTCTCAGACGGCGTCCTGGCAGGCGTTGGTGGAATAGACGGTGCCGATCTGCAGATGTAGAGATTCTGCTGCCGTTTTCGATGAATGATGGATATCTTGTTTAATTTTTGTTTGTTTGTCAAGCGTGGGAGTACGGGAAAATTTTGTTCGGAAGTCTAGAGACTACATACTAATGGCCAACCAAGCTGTTTGCAAAAAAACGTGTCTATTTTCATATCCTTTTCTTTGATCTTGTGTTTTATTTGTTTTGGTTAATCTCTTTTGCTGATCATGACGACGAGCGACTGGTCACTGTACTCTACGTAATGTGCTATTTCGTGTTCTTGTCAATTGTTTGTTTGCTTGTTTTTAGTTGTATAGTCATTTCCTCCATGTTTATCTATTGAATCGACGATTTTCGTGATTAGTATGCTTATCTATTGAATCGACGATATTCGTGATTATTGTGGAGTGCGTTTGTAACGAGCAAGGCTTCATAGTCCATTATTTGCCTGAATGAGTCATTTCCTGACCTTCTTTCTACCCACAAGTCGAGTGCAGTTGCCTATACAGAGACTATCAAACTACTCTACAAGCTCTAGACCAAACATGTAGACATTTTGGCTCAATGGTATGTCACAATATACTCTTTTCTGCTCAAAGTCTGACGTAGGCGCATTCTTTACAGATCGAGAAGTACTGCTACTATATCGCCACTACAGTAACATACTGGCAGTTCACAAGAGCTAATGCAAACAACTACACCAACATCACCTCAATAATGTCCCCACAGAAACCTCAGCTGATTCAACCAGCCGGTCCATTACAATCCTCTGAGAGCATCCACTCATTCAACTTGCTCATCGCATCACGAACAGCCAAGAGCCCCTGCACAAGTCCCAAACCTTCGCTGCTTCTCCTCTCACCCAACTCGATCTCGAACCACCATCCCGCAAACCGCCCACGACGAGCAGCACCCAGCAGCCAGCACAGATGGATGACGAGTCCGCGATCCCGCCGCCGGTGGTATTCCAGTGCGCGTCCTGTCTCGTGATTGTCGCCGACTCGCTCTCTTGGGTGCGCGCGACCTCGGAGCTGCGAACAATCACCCTCGCGTCCGCACCAGAAGGCACGATTTCCGTCTCCGACACGCTCTCGACTTCGCACGACGGACATGATCTCGGATCCACGTACGCGTCGTTCGCGTGCGCGAATTGCAGCGCGGTGTTGGGCAAAATTTACCGCACGACGCCGCGCCATCTGGACGATCTCCGGGATTACCTCACGTTCGACGCGGCCGCGTTGAAAAATTACCAGGTCGGGACTGAGGAGCCTGCGAGAGGACCGCTGCCTGCGGACGCTGATCTTGATATCTTAAAGCCAGAGCCGAACGCACTTGCGCAGAGACTCGCCATTGTGAGTTGTTTTTTCCGTATTTGTTGTAGAATCAGCTGGTGTTAACCTCAGCCAAATAGATGGAGACCGTTATCATGGCGATGCACGACGAGATCGAAAGCCTCAAGTCTGCGCTCGGCAGCAGCACCGACGATTCTTCCCTTTCTGAGAATGCAAAAGCCGTGAATGCTGCTCGTAGGAGAAAGCGGTAGAGCATGCAGACCTTGTCGTTGTTTGTGTGTGTACAATAGGGTGCTGATAGACTGTGCTCCTCTTTTTATTTCTTTGTCATATGTTTAGTTGCTTGTTTTGTCTATGTTTTTAAAAGGCGTTATATGTACAGTATTTCGATTCATATAAATCAGGAGCACCCATCTGGGACCTGTTCCTCAATTGATAAAATTCCAAGTAAAGACTATCACCACCAGCTATCAACTCTCCCCAGCAGCCGCTGCAGGCTTGATCGTCAGGAAACTAACCCCCGACCTCGCAACCTTCGCCGCCTCGTACAACAGCTGCTGCTCGACATCCGTCCACGGCTGATCGATCTCGTCCCATTTCTTTGTCTTGAACTGCTGCATACTGCTGATTCTCTGCGCGTTCAGCCGCGACATCTCGCGCGGATCGCCAGAGCCGGAAAGGACAATCATCAACGACGCGGGCGGGAGCGAGGTCCAAATCGATTCTAGCCGCGCGTTGAGGTTCGTCAGGCATCGCGATAGCTCGGCGGCTTTTTCGGCTTCTGTAGGTTCTTTTGCCGCCGTGTCCTCGTCAGGCTTGGAATTATTCCTCACCCATCCTCTAGAAAACTCCAGCTCGCGCATGCGCGACCACACAAAATCATGCCGTCTGATATTCTCCTTCACACCCTCGACGACCTCATCATCATTCCTACAGCTCACAATCGTGCGCGCGTCGGTCCCGTACCACTGCGTCGGATTACCATAGTCGACGATCGCGCCGCTGCCGGTCCTGCTCCCGCGCTCCGCGCCCACCGCCGCCGCGTGCGCGGTCTCGCTCGCGCGCGCAAGGCGCTGCAGAAGCGGCTCGGTCGTCTGCGCGGTGCGGCCGAATTGCTCGCCGTTTGCGAGTTTTTTCTTCACAAGCTCGATGCAGGTGCGCGCGTCTTCGGCCGAGTCGTGGCCTGCGCCGCCGGTTTGTTTCTGGATATCCTTGTTGAGGAATTTGGTGGCTAGGTATTTCAGGCCTGGCTTGTATGGTAGTCCTCTGGCGTGCGAGTAAATCACCGCGGTATCGATGACTTTTGGATGACGCATCTTTAGCGCGCGAAGATCGTTCTCGAGTGAGTGGCCGGTCAAGATGACGTCTTTGCTGATCATTTTTGTCAGCTTGGCTTGTATGTCTGTCAAGGTCGTTGTTACTCCTTGAAGCATCTTTGCAGTGATGCCAGAGTATCGCGTCAGGTAGTCGGTGACAGTCTCATCCGGAAGCACGAGTTCGTCGAGTAGAATCTTACAATCCCAGTCTACCACCGTCACGCGCGCCAATGTTGATCCACTAGCAGTCAGTACCATCTCGCAGTCGAGTCCCAGGACCGTGTATTTCTCTTGAACAAGTTCTGCAGAAAAGACTTCTTTCTCCGACTCGTTTTCTGCTTCGGCAGTCTCGACCCATCCTTCTTCCAACGGCTTGTTATCATGCAAGGCAGCGAGGGTATCAGAATGTAGCGGATAGTCGCACGTCGCGAACAACTCCGGCGTCATCAAGAGATTCTCCAGAGGCATTTCTTCCTTATCGTGACTACCGTGCTCCTTCTTCCCAATCAACTTCTTCTCCGTCTTGGTAAGCGGGGAGTTCAGAAAGGTGACGCTGGGACTGTGTAGCTTCGTGCTGTCTCCGGGTGCTTTCGTAGGCCATAGATATGGGAACTTGTGCGTGCGGAAGAAGGAAAACTCGGCAGGGAACTTGGGCTCGGCGGGTGTGATTGGAACAGGGGTTAGCGCTTCGAGTGGGACACCGAATAGGTCGGGTGTTAAGCCTGGGACAAGTACGACGGCGACATGAGCGATCGCAAGTCGATTCTGTTAAAATGTAGGAGTTAGCATCGCAAGCTTGCGTCTTGTGAATGTGAAAACATACGTTGATACTGAGCCACCTTGGGGCAACTCCGTCTCCTAGAATGTACAGCGTCAAATCACGAATGTCCTAACAAGTGTATCAGTAAATGCCTATCATGAACCATATAGAGTATAGAAGGCGGAATGACTTACTGCGACGCTGATCTTGGTCTTGATCGACGAAGGATCGACTTCAATAGTTGGAAAAAGCCTGCTCTTCCGCTTCTCCCTCCTCTGCTTTTTCTGCTTCGGAAACTCAAACCCGCCCGCCTGCATTATCTCCTGCTTCTGCAACGCAGACGGCGTAGCAGCAGAGATGGCATTTCCCTCCTTCGGCTGGTGATCGACCGCATCCTCGTACACGTCGTCGTCTTCTGAGTCGCTGGCCTGCTTTTCAGTGCTGTGCTGGGTCTTTGTTTTTTTGGAAATATGGCCTGCTTGCTCTTCATCCGTGTCTGGCTTTGTGCTTTTCTTGCTGTGTCTGTTTTTCGCGTCGCCGCTGCTGCTGCTGCTACTGCGATCGCTCACGGCAGGCGCCATATCTATTCGTCGTTCTTTTCTTGCAACAAACTATCTAGCCCAGTTGAGAAAGTACTGGTACTGGAGGTGTAGTGTCTATCGAGTCTTATTCCAATGACATGAATCAGATCCAAAGCTGCAATTCAGGGGCCGAAAGATGAACGAGCCCAGAAGTAAGTAAGACAAGCTGTACCGGTCGCCTGCTCTTGCGACAGAAACAATATCAAGAGTAAAAGACCTTCACTCAAACTCTTCAGAGCGTATATCCCGAGCCTCTTGTTCTTGTTCCCACAGCTGCTGTTTGAGGACTGATTTGCGGAGACCTGAGAAAAGGCTTCAAATAGACGAGAGCAAAAACAGCAAACCAAATGAAAACTCGGTGTCTGCGCACCTAACCCACAGACGAGCCTCCACATCAGGATTCTGTAGTTAACCAACTTGTCATTATCAGATATATATTCAGATATAGTCATCTCTACACTATTTCGCCTTTGCTACAAGCTAGATCAGATATATTCCTGGAAAGAAGAAGTCAGTTTTTTTTGATAACGACGGTTTTCCGCATCAAGGACGCTCTAATAGAATTCTCTTTCCCTCCCTTGGGCTTCTTCAGTGTCAAAATATAGAAATGTGTATTTATGGGAGTTGTCCCTATTACGCGAGATTTCCTCGGGGTATCTCAAACAAAATAAATCTCATCAAAAACAATAAAAAGCAGCTGCAAGCAACGAATTAAGGCAATATCTAACGACTCTTAGTTATTCTCCTTGTCGTCCTCATCCTCGCCAAAGCTCCACGAGGCATTGAACTGTCTGTGCGAAGTCATCCGTGGCTGGTATCTGGCATGCTCAGCCTGCTTTCTGGCAGCAGTGGCAGCAGGAGCCGGCGCAGAAGCTGGCTGCTGCTGCTCCTCCTCCTCGGGGTTCATATCCCAAGACCATTGGCGCTGGCCGCGGCTGCCCATTCCATTGCCGGCAATCTTGATTCCTCTGAACCGGTTGTTGAGGTCCTCGGTCTCGGCCTTGGGAGCTGGGGCGGTAGAAGCGGTGGTGCTTGCGCGACGGGCGTTGACCGTAGTCTCAGGCTGCTCGACGAGCGGCTTCTGGTACTGCTCTTGCTCTTGCTCCTGCTCGCCAGCCATCATGTTGATGTTAAACTGGCTTCTTGTGCTCTTGCTGCCCATTCCGTTTCCAGCGATCTTGATTCCACCAGCATGGGCGACAGGAGCACTGGTCTCGAGGTGCTTCGCAAGCGGTCTTTGGTACTGCTGCTGCTCCGGCTCCTCTTCGTCAGCCATCATGTTGATGTTAAACTGGCTTCTCGTGCTCTTGCTACCCATTCCGTTTCCAGCAATCTTGATTCCTCCAGCAGGAGCAGCAGAAGCACTGGTCTCGAGGTGCTTCGCAAGCGGTCTCTGGTACTGCTGCTGCTCCGGCTCCTCTTCGTCAGCCATCATGTTGATGTTAAACTGGCTTCTGGAGCTGTTGCTGCCCATTCCGTTTCCAGCAATCTTGATGCCACCAAATCTATCCTTAGGAGCCGGCGACTCGTCGCGGATCTCAAAGGTGTTTGACATATCGCGGCGTCCGTTTCCAAGAGTAGGCTGGACGTAGTCAGCTGCCTCTGCATCGTGATCCCATTTGAGCTCGTCAGGCTGCGGGTGCATGTTTGAACGTGTCTTGGAGTAAGGGCCGAGCGCAGTCTCTGGCGTGCCAAACTTGAAGTGGGGCTCAAAGTTCTTTGCGTTGAAATTGCGCTTGGCGCGGATCTGCTCAGGGGTCTCAAACACGGGGGCAGGGCCCTTCATCTGGCGGTGCGCGATCGGGGTCTGGTTCTTCTCGTCAAAGATGTCGTATGTCTTGGGCGCGCTGCCCATGCGGTGCGGCGAGGCAGGAGCGGCCGCAGACGAGTCCATCAGATCTTGAAGGTTGCGGGGCTTGGGCTTGGCGGAGGACGCGGTCTCGATGGCGCCAGGGCGAGGAGCGGGAACCTCGAGGTCCGGCTCTAGTTCGGAGATCTCGAAGTGCTTGCGCGCTGCAGGATTGGTGGCGGCAGGTGCAACTCCAGAGGGGGTCGCTATATCAATGTTAGAACCAATGTAAGTACCTGAAGAGAAAAGTATAGCTTACCATCGGCGGCCATCAGCTTCTTCTGATCGGCACCGTTGAAGATAGGCCAGATGTTACCACGAGTGCCAATAATGTTAAGCTGCTTGAGCATGGCGCCCTGGTCCCAGAAGAATCGGATGCTCTTGACCTGCTCGTTCTCGAAGATGACAGAGTGGATCTATAGCGATCTCGTTAGAACACGCGGATCTATAACAAAGAAGATAGAAATCAGAAGACTTACAATTGGCACAACAACAGTATTGTCGACAACGAAGTTCTTATCAAGGCCCTGGACATAAGCGCCAGTACCGTTCACAAACTCGATCGTAGTCACGGTCTCGAGCACGATCGAATCAGCAGCCGCGTGCGCAGACATGATCTCCTCTGCGCGCTTATGCTGTCGCGACGCCTGCAAAAGATGCGAGACAATCGCGTCCGGGCCGTTAAAGGTCCTGCATGAGGTCACGTAGGTGAGCTTTGCGTCCGGGGCGAGGTAGGAGGCTTGAGGGGAGGAGAGGAAGCGTTGGTAGAGCTGGACTCTGGCGTCGGTCATTGCTGCTTTGAACTAGAGAGTAAAAGTAGAAAAAAGCTGCTGGTGAAGATCAAGAAAGAGAGATCTATGGGTTGGGTCAGAGTTTGGAAGCTGCAGAGCGATGACAGCGGCGGGCAGCTGTTGTTTGTGTACTCCTGCGAGATTTGGGAGAAAACAACAAACTCGCGGGTGCCTGCACGTGCCGCAACTGTTGCCCCAGCAACTTCTTAACCTCTCTAATTATGTAATATTAGTGGCTCTGAGGGCTGAGGGTTTCCACTTTGGGACTACGCAGGCCAGCCAATCAAGGGAGCCAGGATTCGAGACGCGGTTTTCTGTCTGCGAGAGCCTTCACGAGATTCCATTCAATCCGCTTCGTTTCCCCACAATCATCTTTCTGTCTTCTTCGACCTTGCAGAACTAGCAACGATGGGATCTTCAGACGCTACCCCGTTTCCTCTTACTTTGAACGACAAGCCCGAGGGCGAGAACAGTGAGTGTCCATCTTGTGGTTGGCTTCGAGAGCATAGCAGACACTAAACTTGCGCTCTTATGATAGAATTCCCGCGGTACAAGAAGGTCTCGTTCGATGAGATCGACTACAGCGACCCAAGTCAGCTCAAGGCGGCGCAGATGAGCGAGGTGCAGCATCAGTGGGTGAAGCTGTACGCTATGCGGACGGTGCGCAAGGCCCTTCAGATGTGCTACGATACCAAGGGCGTGAACCACATTGAAGACTGCAGAGAGCTTGCTCGTACGTGTGCCTTGTTTTTGTTTGATTATGTTGCATCTGCTTGTGAATGTGTGGTGAATGAACCGGGCTGACGGGTGGAATCATTTAGTGCGATACACCGAGATGCTGCCTTCCCACCGACTCCACGGCTACACTGGTGTTCAGCGAAACGATCCCTCGAAATAAATCCGAATCCGACTGCGAGTTTATGCTGTGACCCCGACGGACGGAGAGACTGGGTTTCTAAAGACATAAAGAACGTCGAAAACGGATATACGTATATAAATATGTGTATCTGAACAGTCGAGAATCCAGCTTCTCCAACCTCTACCATCATCATTCTTCCAATGTGATATTTCGTCTGCTTCACGGTTATAACTCGCCAACCTCTACCGTTGCATTACTTCACCTAGACTTCACCTCCAGCTCCTTTTTTCTCCTTTACAGCTTTTCACCAAACTATCAATTCCAGGGCGCTTTATTCTCTTTTTTCATTTCAGATTTCTATTCAGCTGTTTCATAATCGTGTCGGTTCGAGAGAGCAGGTTTATTTATTGAGTTTTGATTGCGTTTATCAGTTATATAGTTATATAGTTATTACAAAAATTATGTATGTAGTCATAACTACTTATTTTCGGGTTTGCGACTCTTCAATTTAGACAGATCTGCTATATCCAGTGATTCTAAATTGCTTTAATTAGACGTAGTTTTCTCTCCATCAAGAGCTATCTTATAGTGATAAGAAAGAGAAGGTGTCGGCAGATAACAATTGTAGAAGATCAGATTATGTTCAAAATCGACTTTTTGACTTTCGTGATTTCGAGATTTGGTGCGAGCGGCGTAGTTAAAGCTCTCAGCTCGTTCAATATTCACAATCCCGTGGTCCCTCTCCATCTTTACGCGCGACACAGCGCTTGATCTGTCTTAATATCCCCGAGGAATAGTCTCGAATCAGAGTCAATTGCGTACGTTGTTTATTTAATAGTACTGAAAGACGCAAGAAGGCAACATGGCGCCAAAGTTTGTGCGCGATAAACATATTCAGTACATTCAATCGCTCGACAAGGTACGTCAATTCTTCCCCAATCGGCAAATATACGTATACAAACGCGCAAGTGCTCACAATCAACGACAGAAACAAGATGAGCTGGAGTACTGGCTATCAGAACATTTGAGAATGAGTAAGTGGCCCGATCTGATTGCCTGAGGACTTGCGCTGATTAGAGGAATAGACGGGGTGTACTGGGGTCTGACGGCGCTGGATCTGATGGGAGCGCGGGATGCGCTTCCGAGGGATAAGATGATTGAATATGTGAAGAGCTGTCAGCATGCAAATGGTGAGATAATGATTTTAGAAGTAAAGAAGAGGGGCAATGGGGCTAATGGAGAAATGATAGGTGGATTTGGCGCGAACCCGGGCCACGACGAACATATTCTGTACACATTATCTGCGATACAGATCCTGTTCATCCAAGGCGCTATGGACGAAGTTGACGCTGATCTAGTAGCAAAGTACGTGTGCTCGCTCCAGAACCCGCAGAACGGCGCCGTGCGGGGCGATCTCTACGCCGACAGCGAGGACACGCGGTTCGTCTACATCGCGTTCCAGATCCTCGCGTTACTAGACCGCTTGCCACAATTTGACGTCGACAAGGCGGTCGAGTACATCGACTCGTGCAAGAACTACGATGGCGGGTACGGCATGGTTCCCGGTGCGGAGTCGCACGCAGGCCAGATCTTTGTGTGCGTGGCTGCGCTGGCGATCGCGGATCGCCTTGATCTGGTCGACAGGGATTTACTGTCCTGGTGGCTTTGCGAGCGGCAGGTGCCATCGGGAGGACTGAACGGACGGCCGGAGAAGTTGCCGGACGTGTGTTATAGCTGGTGGGTGTTATCTGCGCTGGCGGTGCTGCAACGACTGGACTGGATCGACGGGGACCGGCTGCGGGAGTTTATCCTGGAGGCGCAGGACGACGAGTTGGGTGGGATTGCGGATCGCAAGGGAGACGCGGTGGACGTGTTTCATACTTTGTTTGGGATCGCGGGGTTGAGTTTGCTGGGGTACGAGGATCTCGAGCCTGTGGATCCGATATATTGTCTGCCGGCGCGGGTGACGAAGGATCTGAAGTATCGGAGACGGTGAAGTGTAAGATGGCGTATTAAATAAATGTACAAAGCCATGGCAAATAGCTAATCAAAATCAATTATATTTCCTGCGGCTGCCGTTCTCGGCCTCGAACGACGCCGACGAGTGCGGGATCCATCTGCGCATCCGGCGGGCCATGTCGAGGGTCATCAGGGCGGGGACGAGGAGCGCGTGGAAATAGACAAAGAGCAAGTGTTTTCTGTCTGCTTGCGGGAGGGTGTCGTCGTAGCCGAAGGCGATGTCGGCCATGCATGCGAATGTGGTTGAGCAGGCGTTTACTGCGTAGATGAGGGTGGGGATGTAGATGAATTTTGAGTCTGGTGGGTTAGTGTTATTGACTGTGTAGCAAGTAATTGAAGAAGGAAGGACGTACTGCGGTGGAAGGCGAGGATGGCGATGACGAAGAATGGGATTTGAAGGGCGGCCTCGGTGAGGACGGAGGAGAGGAACCATGCGGGACGGAAGCGGAAGAGGGGGTCGTTTGTGTACATGACATGTTTTATGAGGTAGAATTGCTGGACGGAGAGGCGGAGGACGGGCGGGAAGAGGAGACCGATGTTGAGGGTTGAGAGGACTAGGTGGAGGGAGCTGGGAGGAGGTCAGTTAGGTGGGTCCAGCGAAGGAGGCAGCAGCGGAGGGAGGAGAGGAGGGTAGACGGACAAATAGACGAGGTAGACAAAGTCCAGAGGCCTACGAGATAGCAAGGCTGCCATTGCGGGGTGTTGGCAGGCAGAAGATGGAAGGCGGGTGGAAGTCGAGATGGAAGAAGGAAGGCGAGGAGTCAAAGGGAAAGGAGGGATCCGAAAGCACGTACGGGCAACGCGATGAGGTGCCACGGGGGTGGTACGCACGGTGTCAGTGTCGATAAGAGATGGATTTGTCGTAGAGACGGCGTATTTTGCTGGTTTGATGCATTTGAAACTATTGTATATGAGAATACAAACAGCATCAATCATATACACTATTTGATCTCGTCTGGGCATATCAGGGTCTTTGCCCTCGTTTATATTAGTTAGTCGATGACCCTGACCAGCTAAGCCGCACCATCGGTGAAGCAATGAGTAATAGTCACGGTATTGTTTATTTACAGTGTGAATAAGGAGCAAGTGAATAAGGAGAAGCAGATAGATGTAGAAGATAGGACCAGAGGATACCCCGGCCTTGCCTTGAAGGCGATTAATAGATTAAATGTATATAAGAGTATCCCAGTCCATAACCGAATCCGAACCATCAAAGTCAATATCCCAAACAAAACGAATCAAAATCACAGCGCGAGAGCAGCAGTGATCTTGGGGCTGATGATTCATTCGACCATCTTAACAAATACAAATAACAAATAACAAACTAAAGCGCTGCTAGCAGCAATAGCAAAGAAACAAAACAAAAACGATTCCCAACCAGAAGGGGCTCAGCCCCAACTATGCAAATTAACCCGACCCATAATAAACGCGATGCAGCTTAGAAAGGGGCAGCGCGTTCACTACTCCGACTCCGGGGAGGGACGGCCGAGATATGGCTGAGGCGGGTAGCCTTGGGAGGGGAAGAGGACGAGACGATGAGGTCGCCGCCCTCGATGCCAGAGTGATCGGGGGTGAGGTGATACTGCTCCTCGTAGGCGCGGTGGACGGCCTTGACGCCGCTGTCGGAGTCGGCGACGCGCTCGAAGACGCAGTTGTCGCCGGTGCAGCCGCAGGTCAGGCGGTGGGACGCGTCGGTGGTGTTGTCCTGCATGATGAGGGTGGGATGCTTGGGAGGGACGGACGCGCGCTTGGGGGCGTTGCGGGGAGGGATGTAGTTGTTGGAGAGGAAGTCGGATATTCTTGACTTGTCCATGGTGTGTGTAGAGGTAGCGAATGAGCTAAGAAGCAGAGCAGAGATGCAGATCAGCGAGAGTGTGAGGTTCAGGGAGCAGATGGGGGCAGGCGGACGAGAGCCTTTTATAATAAGACGAGTGGCGACGTGAAGAGGAAGGCGCGTGGTGCGGTGCTATTCCTGGATCCGCGGTACCCGCACAGCCACCTACCCGCCACTCTCGTAAAGTGATTGACTGATCCTTGTTCCCTGGTTCTGTAGTCTGTAGATCAGAGAATAGAGAAGAAGCAGAGTATTATCCTCTTCAATTGACTGCTTCTGCTATTCTCCAGTGTCTGAATACCTCTCTCATCAGCATGATCATCAGCAACCAGCATGTACTCACCACCCCAGCCACTGAGGTCATCGCATGTGCTGTGCTGTGCTGGCTCAGGCGCACTAGAAATTTCGTGCACAGGCTAGCACCAATCCGGAACCCTCGCCCTGGCACATAAACCTTAGCGGCCGAATTTTAAAGTGGGGCGTTCGTCGTCTGACTCGGCCGCTTTCGAAGTGCTCCGCCGCCTGCCGCAGCATCGTGACTCTACACCTGCTCTGCGTAGTAGGTGTAGTCTCTTCTTCTTCTTCTTCTTCTTCTCCTCTTCTTCTTCCTCGTTCATCATCATCGTCATCTTCTTTGTCTCCTTCTCCTTCTTCTTCTCCTTCTTCTCTCACAATCACAATCCTATCACACACTCACAGGTCACAAGCTCCTCGAGCAGCCAAACCTTAAAATATTACTCAAAAATGAGAAAAAAAAAACAAAAAAATAACAAACTCTGCCTCCTCCTCATCCCTTCCGCTGCTCCTCAACAAGGCCAAAATGAGCAAAAATAACCAAAAATAAACAAATAACCGGTAGAATTACACGACAACACATTCCTCGTGCATCAATTGCGTGAAATCGCGTGAAATCAGGTGGACAGAACGACTGTTCTAGCAACCAACTCCCACTGTCAACTGGTAACGCCCAAAACCTTGCATATTGCGCCTTGCTCGCGCCCAAAGGTGTAGAGCCCCAATGACTACTACTTTCACATCCTCCTACATCCTCCTACTAATCCCAATAATAGCTTCATACCAGAATCTGATTTGTGTAATAATAGTCCTCTTTCCAGTACAGAAAAACCTGCTCACAGAAAAATATCTCGTCATAAGTTAATAGACCTCGTGTCCGGACAGTCGGATCTTTGCTCTGCATTCTGCGCTGCGCTCTTTGCCTTTGCACGGCCTGTCCCAAACTGGACTTCAAATTGCAGCAGACGTCATTCTGGTGAAAACCTTTCCTCTTTCTCTCTTCCTCCTTCTCCATCTCCTTCTCCTCCGCATCTTCTCTTCCTCCCGTTTATCCCTCGTGGTCCATCTCCTACCAGTCAGCTGCCCACTCGCTTCTTAAAATGGTCATCTTCCCTCCTCCATCTTCTTCATCTCCATCGTCTTCTTCTCTTTTTCATCTTTTTTTCTCTTTTTTCTCTTTTTCCCTCCTTTCGTGCACGAAAAACTTTCTCCAACTCACGATCTGCGTCTGAACCTTGACCGGCAAAAAAACCAGTACCGCCAATCCCCTGTATATTAGGGTTCGAAAGAGACCCGTGGCTTTTCCTGCCTCACAAACCAATTTCCTAGTTCTGAATGTAGAAAATATAAAAGAGAACAAAAGAAAATATAGAAAGAGCAGCAAGTCAGATCAGAGCATGGTAGTAAGCAACAACAGGTGTGGAGGCAGCTGGCCTCTACGTCCCGAGGACCCTGCTCCCGCCCGCTCTATCGGCTGTGTTCAGGCTCCCTCTTCTCTCCTCGGCCTTCACTCTCTTCTTCTTTCCATGCTGCAAAATGCACTGTCCACATTTTCGGCAAGCGAGAGTTTGGCAACGAGCAGCCACCGGTTTGTTTTGGGTTTTTGACAACCTGAGCCGCGCAAATCACCAGAATCGGAATTCCACGTGAGGACCAACAAACCGAAAAATGGAAAAAAAAACAAAAAAAAAGAAAAAAGAAAAAAAAAAAGAAAAACGCTTTGACGAGTCTTCAGTGTCGACCCCAGACCGCTGCCTGCTCTGCTGCTCTGCTGCACACCTGCACTGGCCTCTTCTCCAGTCTGGCTGTCAATTACACCCACGTTTCTCTTTCCACTGATTCTGTAGTGTAGAGTAGTCACATCTAGTGAATTTGACAGAATTGCAAACTCATCAACAAATTGCACAAAAAATGGCTCATCTGCTGCCGAATGACGATCTCGAGCACACAACATTTCATCAGTCGTCTTGTCATATTGCATCATGCGCGTCCATCCCTGTGATCTCCGCTCCCCGCGGTCTGAGGTCTGATCTGGCCTATTTTTGATTTGATCCTGTGACTTTCTCTTGTTTGCTACCTTCCATCTTAATCCACCTCGTCTGTACCCGGAATGCTCCCGGTGCATAGCCTGCATAGCCCGCATAACCTGCAAATCCGGAGAATCGAGTAATCCCTTCCCAATCCCATCCCATCCGTGCACAGACACAGACTCGTTGGCATTTCTCTGCACTGCCTCATCGGTCCTCTCACATTCAATCACGTCTCAAATAGCACTCACTGTAAACAAACGTGATTGGGATGTTTGTGGATTCATAGATGCCGCACTCGATTCGCGAACAGAGGGTCTTCTGAACACTTGGGCTTCTCAAATTGCTAACTACTCTCGTCGTTTCTAGCATATCTGTATCAGAATTCATACATCTCTCCCAAACACAGCCCACTCACCTCCTCAACTCCGTAGCATCCACCGCTGCTTATACACTCCATCGTAGCACACGCCTGATCTGATCCATCTATCTCATATCTCGATCGAATGTCACGAATAAGGGCCTCGTTCCTCCCTTGCTCACCTCCCAGCCAGGGCTCATAATCCAAAAAATGGTTATCCTGATCTGTCGAACAAGAACCTCTTCCCAGCATCTGTCTTTCTTTTAATCTCGCTGCTTGTCATTTGTTATTCACGGCATATATGGCTGCTTGGTAGGTCTAGGTTGGCTTACTACCTGCCGGGAGCGACTGTACAGCAAACTACAGTCGAACGAAGTTTCTCAATCTCATTGCACGCGTGTCAGCTACCTCAGCCGTGCTCTCCAAAGCTGATTTTATTCAGTGTGAATCGTCCTTCACAGACCGTCGACGGAAGCAGGTTTCTTACATCGCGCCTACGCCAGCTATAGCATGTGGCCATACCTTGTTCATGGCCAAGCGTCTGCGTCGACATCCGAGACCGATTCGCCATCTCTACTCGCTCTTCTCTCGTTCGCAAAGAGCACGCACCTGTCCAGCATTCTGATCATTCTTGTGACCCTCTTTCTCGGACTACTCATCGCTTTTGCTATCATGGTCTCCATAGTCAGATCCGGGTTTTCCGGTGGCTTTGATCTTCCTGACTTTACAAATATCTTGAGCTCTTCGTTGTGGCATGGTGGTTCGGGTATCGGACATGACGATGGTGAGGATATCGATGGGTATGCAGAGAGTCAGAGGTTTAAGGGAGTGCTGGGTGGGCTTGTGAATACCGGCAACACTTGCTTTATGAACTCGGTGATCCAGGTAGGCTTTGATAATCATGCGCAATACATCAGAAGAATCATACTGACCATCCTCTAGTCACTAGCATCACTACCATGCATGAACGAGCTGACCTCTCTCCCCGCGGCCGAAGGCCTCGAAGTGACAGAAGCTTTAGCCATGCTCCTCTCCGATCTAAACACCTACATGCCCCGCCGGCACGCTCACTCACCCGACGTCCTGCTCCGCGCGCTAAAGTCCAATCGCTGGACCGCCGACACCGAACAGCAGGACGCGCACGAGTTTCTGCTATCGCTCCTGGACTCGATCCGCACTGAGCAGCATAAAGAACTTGCGCGCAAGCACGCTGCGACTATTTCGATTTCTGCAGCGGCGAAAGCTATTCGTCAAGAAAGCAAAGAGCCTGAGGCTGAGAAGAAGGAAGACGAGGGCTCTACTGATACGCCGCCGGTGTGTTTACTGCCGTTCGATGGCCTGACATGTACTCGAGTGATGTGCACAGAATGCGGCGAAATGCAATCTTTCCGACACCAGATCTTCTCCTCGATCGAACTTGCACTGCCTCCTTTATCAATAATGTCATCAGGCTCCTCGATATTCGGCGCAAAGTCTATGGACTCGGCTACTCTGGATTCCATGCTCGACTCCTACACCGCCCCGGAAACGCTCAGCCAGGTGAACTGCCAGCGATGCTCGCTCGTAGCCGCCTACGCCCAAATCGAGCGGCTGATTTCCAACGCAAACACAGTCATCTCCTCATCAACAGAGCAAGAAGACCAGACACCGCAAGAGACATCTACTCCCGACACAGCCGGCAAGACCAAATTATCAACAGCACAAGAGCTGATGCCGATCATGATCACCCGCCGCGACGCAATCAAGGAGATCCTGTCAAACTCCACGATTCTCGACTCTGAGTTTGAGAAATACAAGCCGCCGCGTCTTGTTGCGTCCTCGAAAATCAAGCAAGTGACATTGTCGCGCGCGCCGCAGGTTCTGGCGCTGCACGTCAATCGATCAGAGTACGACATGCGCTACGGGGGCGCGCGGAAGCGGAATACAAACGTTGTGTTTAGCGAGCGAATGCAGGTCCGGAGATTACTCACCTCTTTCTCTGGCGCAAAGGCAGAAGACGGCCGGTACCGAGACGATGACGACGAGAGAGGACCGGATCATCCGGAGGTCTGGTATAGGCTGATGAGCACCGTCGTTCATTTCGGCAGTCACTCGTACGGACATTATATCTCGTACCGACGAGTCGCTGGGAACAAGTGGATGCGGATCTCGGATCGTGACGTGCGTGAGGCGTCGCTGAGTGAGGTTTTGAGTAACGGAATGGTCGTCTTGCTGTTTTACGAGCGCGAGGAGCCTGTCGAGTTTGAGTCTTTTGATATGCAGGAGAACAATGTATCCGTACCCGTCGTCCGCAGCAACAAGCAAGAGCTCGAGGCGCTGATAAAATCAGAAACCGACGCCCTGCTCTTCGACAGTCATGAAAACGACACCTCGGATGGTCTACTCGCTACCTCCTCCTCCTCCTCCTCAACTTCAAGCGACGACCCGTCCTCGCCCACCCTCGCACCATCAGCGACTACATCTTCCTCTCTCAACCCTCCCGCCACCAATCCCCGCGCCCGCCCGCTCTCTGCATCAAACCCAAAGCTCAATCTGTCGGACACTCACCCACAGCGTGCCATTTTCGCAAACTAAGGCCCAAGAAGTCTTCGAGTTGTTTGCACCAGTGAGTCTCAACGAGCATTTTCAATTTTCTTTAATATCAATTTTCTTTTTCTTATCAAAATGGCTGGTCTTTGTTGTTTCATGGAGTATTTGTTTTCGTTCTTATCTGTTCACTTTGGCCCGGTGTTTCTCTCATATTTTCTACCGACTTGGAACGAGACGTTTCTGTTCCTTTCCACAGTCTTTCTTTTCTTTTTTATTAGTTGCTATTCTTAAGGATTGCGTTGTAAGCATCGCAGATGGTGCGAGTGAAGGGGTTATATCTTTTTTTTCGGTATCGAATTAGTGAGTGAGTGAGTGGGGATTTGGTCGTATGCCGTTTCATGGTTTAGGCTATCGTTGTAAATAGGTTTTCTCTTTTCCAGTTTTCGTTTTCTCTTTTCCAGTTTTCGTTTCTCTTAATGGTATTAATATTCTCGTCAAAAGATCTTGATTAAGCGAATGCTTGCTTGTTCGTAAAGGCATGTAAGAAAAGAATAGATGAAGGAACGAGAAATCTGTTTGATGACTATTATCGTCGATGGACAACTAATTTACAAAGTAAAGAAAACGCAAAAACAAAAACTGTAGAAGGAAGGGCAAGGAAGTACAGCATCGTGAAGGCAACATGACAAAATGAGAAAGAAAGTGAAATGAGGACGAGACTTTGACGATTTGAGAACAAAAGGAGATTGTTGAAGAGTGGGGCGGAGAGCTCTCTGGTTCTAGCCAATTTGCTTCTTTCGCACACTCGTTTCTACTCCTCTTTTTGCTTCGTTGATTGGGTTGTAGAAGTTTTCGGTTTTCGGGTTCTGGTGTAGTCGGGTTCCGTCATAATGAGATGAGACAGGTCATACTTCCACGCTTCACTACCAACGACACCAACCCATGACCCCAAACAACAAAACAAACAAACAGTCAAAGTCTCTATCCCCACTCCCCCACCCACTCAGTTACTCAAAAACTTGTTTGTAATCTTCGCAATAATATGCAACGCCACGACACTAAGGATAAACCCAATCGAAAGCACCATGACGACCATCGGGTCGACAATCAGGCCCGCGGCCTCGTCGGTGTACAGCTTGAGCATCGTCGAGCTCGAACCGCCGGCGCCGGCGGCGCGGGTCGAGTTCGGGCGCTGGTGCGCGACGGCCTGTTGGTGTTGCTGAGTTGCGCGGCGGCTGGGGAGATAAGCGGTGGGTTAGCGGGTCTTTGCTGCTTTGCTCAATGGACGACAAAAGTATGCGGCGAGTAGAACGGGGAGGTCGCTGCGAGTATTCAAGCATGTGAAGAATCTCAATTGACAAAGCGCCCGTCCTTCGTGTGCTCGCATGTCTTTTCAGAAAAAAGGATCAAGAACTCACCGGATCGCGCTCCGTGGTCCACCGGGGGCTGAAGGGGCAGCAGGAGTAGACTATATCAAAACAACACATCGTCGTTAGTGAAAGCACTCTCTTACAACTAATTGTCATCAGATGCAAAGAAAACTGATGTCTGTCTGCCGCATGCTTGTCGTGTAGCGGACGAGACCAGGTCCTTTCATTTTCCAGCGTTTGCAATCGAGGAATATCAACACATACCATTGTGAATAAGAAAAAGGAACAATCAAAAATTCTTTGCAAACAGAAACTCGGGAGAGAAACTGCTACTGTATGTCTGAACAAATACTGGCTTTTGTCAAGTTGCGGAAAGCTGAAGCTGATCGCTGATGTCCTCGAGGTCTCGAGTTGTGTGCAAGAGGCCACGGCGCTCGAAACCTCCACGAGACCCTTGGTGATTACTGGCTACTTAGCACTGGACCTGCTCTATCAGACGTGTATGCTGTTTACCATCAAAGATAGATGTTGTAGAATTGGCATCTAAAGAGTTTTGAATAAAGATTACAGAGCATCGGATTATGATGACCATATTATTGTATATAATTACAAGAAGCAACCCACATTCTGTACTCCTTTCTTTTTTATAAAACTCGAAAAAGAGATTTGATTTTTTTCAAGACACCAAATGTGAATCATGACAGTTTCCGCTTTTGACCTTTTTATTTTGTTACATCTCTTCATTCCCGTCGAACATCATCGCTCTCTAAAGCCACAATACACATCTAGTAGAAACTATATAGCGAAAGAGAAGCTCGTTAGCACCCGAGGATATCGACAGCAAAATTGACAAGTAGCAAGACTTACGTAGAGGGTCTGGAGTGAGAGAAGATCTTCTTCGACTTGACGATACGGTGGGGGAGAGGGAACTTGAGGTCAGGGACGAGGAGCTGCTTGATGTATTGGCGCTTGACGTCCTCAGTCTTCTCAAGCTCGACGACCTTGAGGATGTGGATGCTGCGGAATCTAGCACGGTGTCTGGCAGCCATGTCCTGGTACAAGGACTCGACGGCAGCGGTGCGCGACATGTCGCGGTACTCCTTGTACATGTTGTGAGTGCCAGAGCGCGAGTCGTATCTGATCCAGAGACCAAAGTTCTTGACCTTGTTGGGGTGCTTCTCGGCGATGGCCTTGACGCTGACAATCTCACCGGTCGACTTCTTGACCTTTCGGAGCTGCTTCATGAAGTACCAGTATCTCGACTTGGCAACGACGGTGTTGGGAGCGAAGATCGAGAGACGGTAGAGCTTGGGGTTGGGGTCGGTGTCGGTGGGCAAGTGACGGCCAATGACCTGCAAATTTGTCAGTTTGAATGTTCTATAATTCTGTATTTCGATCAGGGATATAGCGGAAGTGCTCAAAGAAGAGAGGAGAGAGTTTTTCACGAGTAAGTTGTATAGCAGTAATATGCAAAAGCATGCACTCTCTCTACCTCTACCTGTCCAAACACCCGCTATACCCATATCCACATCGAAAAGACTCCTCGTTGAATCGTACCTCGTATTCAGTAAGACGGCTCACTAAATTGACAACATGTTAGCCTCTGATATACATAGAACAAGAGCTGAAAGAACAAAGACGCAGCAGAGTGTCCAGCAAAGAGTCGACGAAATGTTTCCTCAATCGCACTTCAATCCACAGGATCACTGCAACCACTCTTCGTCCCTCCCAGTAACCGCCTGCAAACAACAGACAACAACAGCATTCAGATGATTCACGTACTTTTGACTTATTGATCCTTGATGCCGAAGAAAGGTGGATGTTGTTGTCGTGGGATGGATGGGAAGAGCAAGAACAATTCAACAAACTCTCCAAAAGCGTCGCGATCACTGCCTCTGAGCGCTCGCTCGGCCGCCCGCCGACTCAACTTTTGCGGGTCGCCAGAGACCTAAATTCTGCGTGACTGCTTTTATAACCCTAATAGTTAACCCTACATTGGGTGCATCACGTGATTGTAAGAGCCGCATAAGCCGCATGCAGGTCTGTCGCAGCTCCATTTACAGTTTATAGCTCATCAGTAGTCGATTGAATTTCAATGGGATCCTACTTTTCTACTACTACACACACTTCACGCAGTCATAGCTTGATACAAGAGTAATATTATTAATTGACCGCCAGAGGCACCGCCGAGGTGGTCAGCTTTCCCCTTAGCTCCTCCTTCTTCGCCGTAACTACCTCGATCAAGTCCGGATACCATCTCTCGGCCACATCTTTGTGCGATTTGACTCGGTTGAGAAGCGTAGCCTCGCCAATATGATCAAACATGTCGTGTCGGAATGTCATCTCAATGTTGTCCTTGTTCTGCCGTAACTCGTTCTTCAGTTTGAGCACGCTCTCCGGGAGGTCCATTTCTCCGAATTTGGCGTCGTATGACACGCCTTGGAAGAACGGGACGGAGTAGCGGGCTCCGGATCCCGCTGGTGGTGAGATAACCTGTTTGGCTTGTTAGAATTGTACAGCTTCATCCTTATTGACTCACAAAGAGCTGCCTACCTGATGTGAAGTACTAACACATACACCCCGCGTCAACGCCTCAAGACCTTGTCCAATCACGACGACTAATACTTCTGTCAGAAAATATGAAAGGGAACAGTAAAGGAGATACAGAGTTCTCGTACCAAGAGTGCCGTCAATCGGCGGACAGTCAATCCATTCACCTTCGGAATTCTGTGCTTGCAGTCCTTTGTGGTCCGACGCCTGCAAGAGGTAGGACGTGAGCATCGAGTCCTTGTGCGGACCAACTAGTATATCCCCTGTTAGCAAAGACTCTTGGTATAAATAGAGACATCACATATGAATTACCGCCTTGACCTGTGCCGGAGGCGCCGAGCTCGCCTAAATCCGGATATTTGACAATCTTGAGCTTGTGCTGCTGGTCGGGGTCAAAGTACTTGTCAAACGCTGTCGGTTCCAAACCCAGCGATTCAGCAACCAAGCTAGTGAAATTTGTCGACCTATAAATCAGTCAGTACGAGATTGTAGAGAAATCGCTCCGATCAAGCTCCCAGAGATACATACACCTTCGCCATCCTATTTATGTATTCCGTGTACACCTCTCTGAACTTGGGGAGCACCTCTTCGCTAGGCCAGAGATTAGGTCCCCTAAGCCAGCGATACCTTGGCTCGCTGCCACCCGGAGCAGGCAGTTCGGTCGCGAGATCGATCTGCTCGCGCCAATCGATTGCTTCTTTTGTGATTTCGTTGGCAAGTCTGCTGTATCCGAGAAAGTGCGGCGAGTTCTTCATCTCGATCTTGAACTTCTCCTCCTCGGGAATATCAAACAGAGCCTTTCCCTGCTCTATAACCTGCTGGGTGAGGTCGGCGGGTATACCGTAGTTTTTTATGTACAGGAAGCCGACTTCCAGTAGCGCATGGCGAAGCTGGTTGAGCAACTCGGGCTTTGTCGCCGGGTTGTCGGCCAGAGAGAGGTCGAGAATTGGAATTTCGCTGAACGCACTCATATCTCACTTGTGTTTGTACAGATCTGCCGGCTCTTGTATATCCTGCGACGAAAAGGGTGGAACCACGACAGAAAAGACACAAGAGGTTATGTACGGCAGATGGGACAATCGCGTCATTTTGCGCGATCCGAGGTGCACTTCGTATTCGTATTAGGTCATCGCCCGGAGATCATTGAACGCGAGCGAGTCACGAAGCTCCGGCAGACAAGCGATCGATGATGGTCTCGGGCCCAGATGCTGCGTCCCGGAGCCGGTCGCTATCAACCACGAGATTCTGTATCGACAATCAACCTGAGAGCGCGAGACGAATGCGACTGTATCTGAGACTGGAATTATTATCTGTCTCTGGATTGAGGAGCCGTATTTGGCCTTTATAAACTGGGGGCGATAGTCCAGTGATCAAGATATATATTCATGGTGCATCGGTCACCAGCTTATCTCTGAGCTGTTGCCAATCCCGGCACAATACTCTTATTGCAGACCGACCGAGCTCAGACGTCCCTCAATCCAAATACCCAGAACCCGCCCTCGTTTCTCCTAAACAGCAGCGGACCTTCTCCTTTTTGGTTCTTTGCGGTCTGTGTCGCGCATCTGGTTCTGGAGTCTGAGCTATCGGCCGTCTGCTTGTCTTCTCAGAGACAGAGATATTTTTGAGGTCTCCATTTGCTGGTGGGCTTATCAGGGCGCAGCTTCACTGATATATCTAATCTGTTTACAGACGTATGTGGTTCATCATTCTGCTCTCCTGCTCTTTCTTATTTGCTCTTCTTTTGGTTTTTATATTTCAGCGAGTCCTTGTTTGTTTCTGACAGCAAATCTCTTCTTCAGCTCCCGCCTCGGTTGTTATTAAATCAAATAGTGGGCCCCACCGCCAATCCCCCAACTACTCACACGATCCACCAGGAGGCTACGCAGCATATCTCACTCCCTATACAGCCTCATTGTTTTTGACGTCTTGTCGGCGGTTATTTTCCTGACCAGACACTGCGGTTTCCAAAATATCAGCAGTCCATCTGCGAATGAGCATCGAAATCGCGATATCACCATTACCACGACACACGGCACGAGTTCAACCCCGTGACAATTGATCGAGATACAAGTTACAAGGCGAGGGTAAAATGTCTGCGTCTGTTACACCTATCCAGGTCACAAAGACAAAACACAGGGCCAGGGCGTTATCGTCAACTTCAGAAAGCAGTAGTAGGATATCACAGGATGTGAGTTGATCAAGTTATCGGGAGTGAGATAATATAGAAAACGATTGTGCTAACACGTTTTCTGTTTTTTGCGATAAAGGACAGCGTATATGATTATCTAGCAAAGATCATTCTCATAGGCCCCTCGGGCTGCGGAAAATCCAGCATTCTTCACAGATTCGTTGAAGGCCACTGTACGTTCTACCAGTCCTCTCTCAGCGAGATGTTTCGAGCTTTGCTAACAGTCACTTACGCTTCACAGGGAAGGTTCTAACATCGTCTACAATTGGCGTCGAGTTTGCCTCGAAGGTTATAAAAGTTGGTACCGGTGCACGACGGAAACGGATAAAATTACAGGTATGCGACTCGGCATTTGCTTATTTTTTTGTTTGCAACACTTTGCTAACCTACAGCAGTTATGGGATACGGCAGGGCAAGAACGATTCAGAGCAGTGACCCGATCGTATTATCGCGGCACGGCCGGCGCGCTACTTATATATGACGCTACGAACGCCGCTACATTCCAGATGCTCCCACACTTTCTCTCAGACCTGCGCAATCTTGCCAACCCCACAGTCTCCCTTCTTCTCGTCGCCAACAAAACCGACAAGCTCTCTTCAGCAAACGCGGCCGATATAGTCCCCGAAGCCGACGTGATTGAGTTTGCAAGAGCAAACGGCTCGATCCCAATCACGCACACATCTGCTTTAAGCGGACAGAATATCGACGAGGCGTTCACACGGCTGGCGAATATGATTTTGACAAAGATCGAGCTTGGCGAGCTGGACCCTGATGATGTAGGTGCAGGTGTTCAGTACGGAGACGTTCCGAGCTGGGGCGCGGACGGAAGCGTAAGACGGCCCGGCGGGAAAGGAGGGACTAGAGGACGAGGCGTCGTGAGCTTAGTAGGTGGGAAAGGCAGTAATGCTCTTGGTATGCGGAGGGGTACATGCTGTTAGGCTTCTTCATATCTTTTTACAACCTTGTCCACTTGTTACAGTTGGAAGTGCAGAATAGTTAAGGACCTCGCTCTTCTATCTTTATGGAGTAGACTTATCAACTTCTTCCCTCTCTATTACTTATTCTACTCTGTTGTCCTTTTTGCTGCTTACCGCGCTATTGTTTGATTACCTATGCATTTTGGCGATTGTGTGTTTTGGATCTGTAAGACTAGTATGTTATCTCTTTTTGTCGCTTCATCCTCCGCAAGTTTGATCTCTATATTTCTCGTTCCGTCGGACATACTTTTACTTCCTTTCAATCTCTCTTTTGTCTCTTTTTTCCCTGGATTATGACGGAGACTTTGATTTTCTTTTACCACGCTAAGGTTTTACGTCTACACTTAAGTAATGGCTGGTGAGACACATCGAGAGCTTGAATTTATCTTATATCTCTAGGGCTCGTTGATTATATCCCTCTTGTACTATATAGGGCTGGTCAATGTGTATATATTGAACGAGAAGTCAAAAACGGAAGAATAAGAAACTCTAGATTCCAAATATAATACAGGGCAAATATATACTGAGACTGTAACACAAAAAGTCGTCTCAATAATCAAATTTCCAAAAAGATGGCCTAGACGGCCTCACGGGCCTCAACGGAGTGAGTACTCATGTACTCATCAGGCTCATCGTCCTCAGAGTCAGAAGCTTCTGGAGCCTCGTCCAAGCGGGCCAAGGCGTTGTCGACCTCCTTCGTCCAGTTCGTGGTCATGACGACCGAGAACTCGAGCGTGCCGGCAATGTACAGCGCCACGCACTGTCCGATCCACAGGCCGGGAAGTCCGCTGCCGTGGAACGCAAGCGAGATGCCGAGCGGCAGCGCGAGGACGTAATACGCGGCCGAGTTGATGAAGGCACCGATGTGCTGACGGCCCATGCCGCGAAGAGAGCCGGAGCAGGACGCGTTGATGCCGTCTGCGACTTGGAAGAGGGCGACGAAGGGGACGACGGCGGCGGTGGCTTTGATCACGTTGATGTCGTCGCTGAAGAGTTTGCCGTAGTAGTTCCTGGCGAGCAGCATGATGAACATCACGACGAAGCCGACTGACGCAGCTAGCAGCGCTCCAGTGTAAGCCGCACGTCTGGCAGCACGCGACCGTTTCTCTCCTAGTAGGTTGCCGACGCGCGTGGAGACGGCGACACCGATGCCAAACGGGATAGTGAACGTGACTTGGTCGGAAGTCATGACGCAGCTCTGGGCAGCCAGCGCGATATCGCCCAGCCGTCCGGCGACGAGCGCGACGATCTCGAAGGCCCACCACTCGGTTCCGACCATGATTATACCGAGAACACTGAGCTTGTAAAAGATGCCCAGGTTTGAAAACGCGCGCATGGAAAACCCGCCCCAGGCATCCTTGCCACGGGAGAACTTGGCGTAGAGAGCAAGGCCCCAGAACGAGAGCCAGTAGGTGCAGCCTGTGGCGAGAGCTGCGCCGTTCAGACCAAAGCCGAGAGGGTGGATGAAGAGATAGTTCAGGAGACCGTTTAAGGGCGAGGTGACGAGTAAGACATACGAGCTGGCTTCCATCAATCCCTGGACTTGCATGTACTTCTTGAGAGCTTCAAAGTAGATGAAGCCGAGACCTCCTGGAATCAGGCACTGTAGGAACTCTGCAGCAGCTTTGGAGAGCTCGGGAGTTTGTCCGAGAAGCATGAGGATAGGCTCGGCAAAGATCCAGACACCAATTACAGGAATGTAAAGAGTTCCAAACACAAAGAAACCTCGCTGAAGCAATATTCCTAGTCTTTTTGATTCAGTTAGTTCTATGTCGTTGAAGTGAAGTATGATGAGGTGCAGACTAAGAACACGGGCGGTAAACATACTCATAAGGATCTTCACTCGCGGTATATGTTGCAGAGCCAAGTGTGTCGATAGCGGTAGTTCCACCCAGCTGAATCAGCCATCCGGTACTCATAGCAAACATAAAGCTGAACGCCGAAGTGGCGAGCTCAAAAGCTCCGAGGCGGCCAACAATCAAAATGGAAACAGTCTGCAGTGAATTCTGGAGCATGTATGAAAAGATAACAGGAAGTGACATTCTAAACAGTCTTTTGTACTCCTTCGCCGAGACTTTTTTGAAGAACCGGGTGAGGAAGAAAGAGGGGGTCGCGGGACCATTAGGATCAGTCATGGCAGTATCGATAGGTCGTAGAAAGGCACTTCTTTCTTCATTGTCAAAGACGGTCGATGCAACGCTTGCTGAGCGCCGATGATGAGGAACCCCGGACTCATCGATCGTTCCGATAGATTTCGCGTCGGGATCCAGATCTGCAGTCAACGAATCGCTGGATTTCCGAGGCGCCGACGAGACGGTTTCTGTGAGGGGATTTGTGTCTGCGTTTGTGAGGTTTGCCGAAGCAGCGGCGGCAGAGAACGGAGAGGACATGATTTCTCGGTCAGTCTGAGAGGAAAGAACCAGAGCTGCTCAGAATTTATTACTCCGTCTGTGGTTTGGCAGCAGAAGTGGCCGAGAAAAAATGGTGAAGTTATCGATAAACTGTTAATCGGTAGGTTTTTTAGGGCTTATCAACGCCAGATGCTCTAAATCTGAGCCTGTTTCGGTAAACATATCCCTGGGCCCTAAGCCAACCACAGCGCTATTTTCCTGCCTTGCTCTATTTTCCTCTGTCTGTCTACACAGGACCTGTCTGAGAAGCAACCCGAGTCATTGTTGTAGAGCTTTGATCTGTATCCAACTACTCTTCCAGCGATATTGGACTGGCGCGTGCTGACTCACGCTGGAGAGAGAAGGGATGAGGAGGGTACTTGGGTTAACGCTTGATCCACCGCTATGACCACGGAAGTTAGCGGTGCCGACGCTGGCAGAGTGCAGTGTCTGCCATAGAGGAATGCTCCGGTTTAACCGTGTGCTGAGGTATATCAAGTCGCTGATTGACCGAGGCGATGAGTTCTTATCGGGCTGCTCTTTGCGATTCGATAAAGTTGCTGTTTATGAGTCGCTCCAAGCTTAAGCTTTGTTTTCACCAGGAGTCATGTTCATGTCTGCTTCTTGCGCGCCATGACTATCTTCTCTCTTGGAGCTTCAGCGACCCTTACGATTCAATAAATCGGCAGCATTCGAGGTGAAAGCTAAGCGCCGATATACACCAGAATTTGTTTACAGCTCGAAAATAGCAGACAGATTTAGAGCAATGCCGATAAACCATGTTGTTAGTAAGCGTACATATTATTCAGAGTAAGATATTAGTCATTTCACGTGACATGATTGTATGAGAGACGCCAAAAGCACAGAGCACAGAATGGCATCAAACAAACCGATAAATATTCACTGTTTGACAATCCAGCTCTGAGTTAGACCCTCAAGGACACCAAAATCAAAGCAGAGCAGAATTCTTTGAGTCTATGCAAGGTGCATCTGTGGACTTCATTGAATTAAGATACCGTGACATCTGCAACACGTCTGCAATCCAACTACAGGCCACGATTACACAATTGACCCAGCAACCCCAGATTTCACATACTTTCGGCCTCTACACAAGCCATATTAGCTCCTAATTCCAATTCTACTTGATAGGAGTACTTTGTGATGGTTGGTTGAATTGTTACATATACATCTATCTATTGAGAATGAGATTGCTGACTTGGTTGATGTAGAACTCATTGTTCAATCATGCGCTGAAGCAATCGCAGTCGCTAAAACGCGACATTGAGACGTTTGCCAGTTCACCAGGCACAACAAGTCTTGGGCTCCAAGGTATCAAGAATTGAATTGGTTTTAGTCCACCTTCTAATTCTGACGAATCATGTCTCTAATTTGCGTTTCTTTAATCATAAAGGTCAGATATCAGCAACGCTCGCGACATTACAGCGAACGATAGAAGAGTACGATGCCGTTGCTCGCCGCGAGCTTGTGCCAGCTAAACAGGACAAGGCATTTGCGCGGATCCGCAATTTCCGGTCAGAAATAGCAGACGCGCGCACGCAGTTTGAGAAGCTAAAACGAGAGCGCGAGGAGGTGCTCAATACTCAAAATCGCACGGAGCTTTTAGGGCGGCGGCCGCATGCTACCGCGACTCCGGATAATCCGTACGGGATGGGGAATAATTCATCTACAGGGATCTCAGATAGCATACCTGCTGCTGCGATTCCGCGCGAGTTCATCCAGCGGACTGGGGATCAGCTTGACGAGTTTATCGAGCGCGGACGAAGTGTACTGGGGGATCTGGTTGAGCAGCGAAATATGCTCAAGTCGACGCAGCGCAAGCTTTACAGCGCTGCTAATACTCTTGGTATATCGAATGATACTATAAAGTATATCGAGAGACGGGCACAGCAGGATAAGCTGGTATTTTGGGGAGGTGTGACAATGGTGGTCGTTGCCTTCTATCTTATAATAAGGTGGTTGAAGTGATGACGTTAATGTATAAACCGGAGCAATCATCATCTGATCTCCTCTAATCATGAACAGAAAAGAAGCACATGGCTTGTCATATTCGCTATAGATTTACATAAAACAGTATCGATACAACCAAAACTCCTAACGAGACCCAAATGTGGCTCGTCTCAAGATGAAATCCTGCTGCGACATCCGTCTGCCCAGCGCTTTTTCAAGCTTATCTAGATCCAACACACCGTTGATCTTTGTCTCCAGCGCAAGCGACGTGATAGCCTCCAGCTTCTCGGTCGTAGGCGTGTAGCGTTGCTGCGTCAAAGGCTCTGATTCCATGCGCCCAAGCATGTGTGCGATAGACTGCACAAGCGCGTATGGATTCGATAGTGAGATCGATCGTTTGGGAGACGGACGAGCACAAATCGTCGCTACTGAGCCGTCACTGTATGACTTCAGACTGCAGTTGGTAGCATTATCGTCGGCAGAGGTCTGTAATGTGGAGGAGCTGGAGCTGCTGGTGAGGCTAGCCAGCGGCAAGTTCTACAGATGCAAATAAATATCGTCAGTGAGCACTTCCTATCTGAGATACCAATATATAAGTCACGATCTCTATTCTCTTACATCCTTTAGAGATTCCGAAGCACAAGTAGTAGGAGTTGTAGAGCCTGTCATTTAATGATCTGGGGATGGGATATCAAGCTGGGGAAGAGACGGCCATGCGGCGCGCCTTATATCGAACTTCTGGTAGCCTCATCTCAGCTGCCGGCTGCGTCTTTCCTAACATGGAGACGTTTGAGCTTTTCATTAAGTTAGTGATTTACGGTTATTGTTTTCATGACGTCGTCTGTTGACAGATATCAGTCTGCGTGTTTCTGACTGCGACGGTCAATAAATACTTTGCACTATTATCATTATTCGAACACAAGAAAGCACAAACGCCATACAATACATCTTTAAACAACCTCAAACAAAGACGAAACAGATCAGCAAGATCAATCATACACAACCGCTGCTAAAACAAAACACCGAATCCCATCATCAATGATAGCGCCCTAAATCATTTCGACCAGTTTAGACTCCAGTACGGTAAACGTTGGAACGCTGGTGTCTGAACTGAATAGTGTCGCGACGTTCGGCAATCATCAGGGCTTTATCCAAGGCGTGCTGCGAGTATTTTTTCTGTGTAATAATTGTGTTAGCGAATCTGAAAATCAAGCAAATGAAACAAATATTTACATACCCCGTCCACGAACTCGCGTACCAGTGTCTGATACGAGGTACTCCAGCCGATCGGCAGACGTCGCTTGAGCTCGGCCTCGATTCTATTAACCTGCTCGACGAGCTCTGTTCGCGATCCCGCTCCCTGTCCGACGGCGTCCATGGTTGAGGCAGAGAATAGTCTCAAAGCCTCATCCACATGCTCCTCTCTCGCAATTGGTGAAAGCTGGAGCTTGGCGAGCGACTCGGTAATTCGAATGATTGCCTCAAGCTGACGGATTGTGATGGGAATACTCGATCGCTCGTTGGAGTCCTGCTCGACCTGGTGGACCTGCTTGCGGAGGCTGACAAAGTGACTCGACAACTTCTCGGACGCCTCAGGAGACAGTCTTGGAGCGCACTTGGTTTTGCAGTAGGAGATGTATCTGCGCATTTTCTCGATCGGAATCTCTCCCGCCTGCTCTTCGGTGGCCGCAGAAGAGTACTGATTCATGTGAATGTTCATGACGTGCTTTGCAATCGACTGATCCCTTGCTTCGTCGTGTGCGTCCTTGACGATGAAAATCATGTCAAAACGAGACAAAATCGTGGTCTGGAAATCAATGTTCTCGCCAGGAGTCTTCATATCGTCGTATCGACCAAAGACAGGATTGGCTGCAGCAAGAACACTAGTACGGGAGTTGAGAATCGTAGTGATTCCAGCTTTTGCGATCGAGATTGTTTGCTGTTCCATCGCCTCATGGATAGCGACGCGATCTTCGTCTCGCATCTTGTCAAACTCATCGATGCAGACTACACCTCCGTCAGCAAGAACCATCGCACCTCCTTCGAGGTAGAACTCCCTGGTCGCGGCGTCTCTCTGAACCGAAGCTGTGAGACCAGCTGCTGAAGAGCCCTTGCCGGAGGTGTAGATTGCGATAGGCGACACTTTCTCGACGAACTTCAAGATCTGGGACTTGGCGGTACCAGGGTCTCCGAGTAAAAGCACGTTGATATCTCCTCGAAGCCTCATACCATCAGGCAGAATCTTCTTTGATCCACCCATCAATAAGCAAGCAATAGCTTTCTTGATATCAGTGTTGCCATAAATAGACGGAGCGATACTGTTTGCAAAGACCTCGTATAGCCTGGGATGACGAGAAAGAGCCAAAAACTCTTCTTCCTCTTCGTCTGTGAACGAAGCGGCCGCCTTGCTATGATGATCATGTTCGATCTGCAGACCGACAACTCGAACGTACGGGTTACGGATAGCGACAGCTTTTCCCGTTCCTCGAGAAGCTGCTTTTGACTGGTAGATTGAGTAGATTCCCATGATTGTGCATCTGCTTCCAGGAACGACCTGGTTGGTGAGGTAGCGGTCGGCCGAGAGAATGATGTGGCGAGGAATCTCACCGACAGGAACCATATCCGGAGCTTCCTGCAGCTTCAAGATCTGCTGGTCTACAAACTGACACTTCTCGTGAACAATGATATATGGGTCCGGAGGGCAGTTCTTGGCCTCGTCCATCTGAGGCGGCGCATCACACATGCGGGGAAGAGTAACACCAGCAAAACCACCACCGACAAACAGCTTCTTGACGTGGCGGCAGGCCTTGCAAGTCAAATGAAGCATCGTGGCTTTCGACGCCAAAGTGGATGCGCCAATGACAATACCGGGAATTCTGATCAGCTTGGAGATGTGCGTGGAGTCCAGGTCCCGGATGGGCAAGGGGTTGGCGTTGGAGGTCAAGATGACTTGACAGTAAGGAACTTGTTTCCGGGACTCTTCTTCCATGTTCTTGGCCTGGTCGGCTTCACCGGTCCCTTCGGTGTTTCCAGAGAAGATAACGCGTCCGCCGACATCTCTCGCGGCAGATTCAAACTGTGGAATGAAGGTGTTAGCAATGCAGAGATTTCATTTTAGTCTAAAAGTAGAATTAGTAAAAGACATACCAGAGGAAGCATATCAGCGGGTTCATTAACCAGTCTGTGAGCGAGCTCTTCGTTGTACGAGATGAGATGCGACATGTCGACCGACAGACAGAATTTTTTGATCAGGATGTTTTCCCGTAGTTGATCACTGCGCAGCAAAAGAGCAAAGTCAGTAAGATTAATTAAGACACATAAGCAACTAACAATGTAGAATAAGCCTACCGGTAGATGAAATCGCTGTCGATTCTGAACTCGAGGATGAAATCTCTAAAGCTCTCCTCTGTCTCCAGGCGAGATTCGTCGCCAGGAACCTCGCTAGGAGGGAGTACCGAGGCAGCATACACCCGCGGCTGGTCGAAGGACATATTGGCGGCTGTTTATGAGTATTGAGGAAGATTCACCGGTGGGAAGGGGTGAGAGAGGGTAGAGCGAGAGAGACGAGGAGAGAGAGAAGAGAGAAAGGAAAGGGGTGGTGAAGAAGGCGTGTGGGAGGAGCAAGTAATTAAGATAAAGAAAGGGATGGCGCGAAGCAAACGCGTCCCAAAAGGGCAAAACCTCTGAACTTAAACGCGTCAGTTCTGAACTCTAAAACGCGTCGTCTCCGCTCTAAACCGCAGAGAAGTTACCCGGTCGTGACTGCGCCAGTTTGTGGCTGGAGTATTTGTGGCAGTGCGAGCTCATCGTCGAGCTGCGAAGCGGCCGCGCAGACAAAACAGAGGCAGAAAGAGGCGGTCGACTGGTTTGAAGCGATCTCGACACCGCAGACAGAAATTCTTACACCGCTTTTACTTCTTCCTTCGCGGCTTTTCTGCTAGGCGAACGCCTGTTTCAACGACGACGACGACGAAGTCGACGGATCCACTGGTGCCTGGGCCTGTCTTCAATTACAGATGGCTTCTGAGCCATCAGGGCAACCGAGCGACGACCGACCGGCTACGGAACAGCATCTGAACGGGTCCGCGTCCAGCGATGCCGGTCATAATCCGCGATTGACAGTGATCGAGCCCAATGGCAGAAGCTCGATGATGATGGAGAATAGATCCGCAGAACACCTGAAACCCTCGGGTGAACTGCCGAGGAGCGAACAGAAGGTCGATTCAAATGCCTCGAGATTCAGCACCGAGACTACCGGCTCTGATAATCATACCAACGTCTCTCTATATGCGCCGAGTACAGTCAGCCGGCCAAATTCACCGTCTCAACAGATTGATGCTATCCCCGCCTCTCCTGCTCTTTCTACTTCTAGAATCTCTTATGACTCGGCATCTTTCTCCCCAACCCAGTCATCATTGATGTCTCCATCAAATCTCACCTTGACTGCTCAGTACAATAACGGGGCTAGCAGTATAGATAGTGGGAGTGTGCGACGCGCTTCCACTACTAGCTCTACATCAATGCTCAGTCTGCGACGTGATCTCACGTCTCTTGGGTTTAACAAAAGCAGTATAGCTACGAATGGTACGGCTGCCCCTCCCCCTCCTCTTGACTTGGTCCCTCTCAAGCTCATAATATCTGCTGTGCATCATACTAATTGATCTTGTTTTCAAACAGCAATTGCAACACTCCTCAATTCCCCAAGCGCTCGCGCGGCTGCTTGGTCGCCGACAATTCGAGATATCCCTCCGGTCGTTTTGACAAATCTCAACATCGTCCCGCCCGAGGCTTTCAACGAGTATCTGGACAGCATCACGTCGGAGTTTGAAAAGTATCAGCATATACGCGGGCCCGGGACCGAAGGATTCAGAAGCGTGGCAGTTTCTCCCCGTAAAGGAATCCCCCAAAGAGGAGACTCGCTAGGCCAATCTGCTCCTTCTTCGTTTGTTGACATGCTTGACAATCGGCTACTAAAGTCGGCACCGACCACAGAAGATGGTGCGGATAAGAAAGCTGGTGATGGGAAAGTGCGGCATTCTAAAAAGTATAGGCCGATCCCGGTTACTCCGTTGTCGACGATTCCGCAGGTTTACTTTGATGCGAATTTCAAATTGGAGAATCCTCGCATATTCGACGTCGTTACAGAAAGATCCGAGATTCTATCCGCGCCCACCCCAACCTCCTCTATCTCCAGTACACCAACCGCAAGCTCATCGTCTTCTACAGTTGTGTCAAAAGATCCTCACAGCCCAATAAGCAGAAAATCACTGGCGAACAATGCGATTCTGCAAGAGAAGCTATCGTGGTATCTTGATACGGTAGAAGTCCATTTGATCAACGAAATCTCGAAAGCCTCGCCTTCATTCTTCGCCGCCTTGGGGGATTTGAGGAACTTGCATGTCGAAACAGCCAACGCGGTGAGCAAGATTTCAGGTTTGCGGGAGGACCTTCGTCGCGTTGATCTGGAGCAAGCCGAGGTAGGACTAGAAATTGTCCGATTACAAAAACGGAAGGAGAATGTCCGAAAATTGGAGCAGGCTGTCGCTCAGATGTCACTGGTGTCGGATGTCTTGGCTGAGGCGGAAAATTTTTGGAAAAACGACGACGCTGATGCGTGCTGGGATACGACGTTCAAGGTCGACAACGTGGTCTCTGGAGGTATTCCTTTGTCGGTGTTGCAGCAAGAGCGCTCGCAGTGCAAGAACTGGAAATTTCCCCTATCTGATCTTTCTAGTGTTCCGGCGATTGCCGCTGTCAGAGATCAGCAGACCAGTTTGAGGAACTGCGTTATCAATGAGTATCAAGTGCGGTTTACGAGCTGCTTGCTTGAGGATATCAGACGCCACGTTGCGTCGGTGCCAACCCAGGAGACTTTAGATAGGTTGAGCAGAACCTACTCTAATTCGAGAATCAATCGTTCTGCAGCGACCTCGTCTGGTGCTCCACCGCCCATCAACAACTCCTATCTGAACCTACCTGCGCGGCTGAAGCCAGATGTTGCTTCTTATATGCAAGGATTGGCAAAGATCGGATCGGTGGACTCTGGTGTGCGGCGATACCGCGACGCTATCATGCGCGAAGTGAAGAATCTGATCAAGAGAAACTTGCCAACGAATGCAAACGATGACGCGTCATCAGTAGCGAGTAGTGCGACAGGAAGGACCGCCACTACAGCGCAGAAATCTGCCACTTTGGAGAGAATGCTGCGGGAGATGAGACCACAGGAGTTTGAAGATATGCTAGTCGATATTTTCACTGGAGTATCGGAACTCTTGCGTCGGTTATCTATGCACCAGAAACTACTGCTTGATATCACCTCATCGATGGACACGATCCTCGATATCTCCGACCTGTTGACTGAAGTCGCTGATATCACTCAAGCGCGGACGGTTAGGATTATCAATGTCCGTCGGGACTTGAACGCATACCAAGATCCCTCGTTGTTTGCGAGCTTCTACAACCTGAACAGAGTTTTCCTTGCCGAGTGCGAGGCCATCACGGGAAAGTTTGGAACTGCTTTGTTGAATACCGTGAAGTCCTTGCAACCGCCTCCGCCTCCTAATCAGCTACCCCCGGGTGGTCGAATGCAAGAATCCTTGGAACGGCGAAAATAAAATGCATTCAGCTAGGAAGAAGCTGTATAGAGGATTTATGTATAGTTACACATTGCATTATATTTCGTTGGGATACAGTTTTGTGACGGGTGGGGTTATTTTATGTTCTGGCCGCGCCCTATTTTCTTCTTTTTTTTCATTATTATTTCTTCAGATGGTTTTGGGATTTGTAGAAACCGACGGTTATTTTTATTCACATAAATGGAAGTTGTTGATTGGTTTTCAATACGAATGGAAGACAAGTAAACTACGCTCACACTCAGGGGCTCACCAGGCGTAATGTAGAGTTTAGATGAATTTGGGCCACCACAAAAAAATCATACTGACCACATTCATCCACCGACGACAGACGCGCTTTGCGGAGGACGACATCGCAGCAATATGAGCAGTGAGACAACACCAACGAAGGCAAATATGCAAAGCTTTAAAGTACTACAGACGCAGGCAAACTCGGCTGCCAGGCAGGGCACGTTCGCGGTCTCGAGGACTAATGCGAACACGATATCGACTCCTAATTTTCTGTTGCCGACGTCAAGAGGTAGCGTGCCGCATTTGACACCGGAGATTTTGAGGAAACATGTTGATGTGCCTGCTTTGTACATTGGCGTTGAGGACTGTAAGATAGAGTGGTCTTTTGTGTGTAGTTATTGAGCAGGTTGTTAACGATTCTATTTACCATAGTCATTTACAAAGCAGCGATGAAGTCACCTCTCACTCTATCAGGGTTCAAAATCAGAGACTACGTGTCCATCATGCCTCCTCTAGACTCCAAGAGCCCGCAAATTCCCATCTTCCTATCTCCTCGCCGCTCGAATCCGATCCCTACCTCCCAGCCCAGCACGGATAACACGCTCGCCGTAGTGACAAGCGATGGCTTTCGGCAATTTCCGATCCAGGAGTATTTCCAGCTCGTCTCACAGATCAAGGATGATGACACTGTCGTTATTGCGCCCACAGACCTGCCGCTGATGTTGGTGCCTAACGGTGCGCGGGGATCCGGCGTTGCGGTGAGGAGTTCAACGAAAGTAGGCGGCAATCGTTCTCGAAAGTTGGTCGTGCGGAACGAGAAATGGAGCACTTCTATGCTGGAAAAGTTCTCAAAGGATGTGCCGGTGATTGTCCCGCTAATCCCAGGGATCTCGTTTTCACAGCAGCAGATGTACTTTGACTCATTATTGGGCAAGGAGAACGTGTTCGTGGCTGCAAAAACTATCGAAACAATCGACGGTCTCGCGGTCTCAGATTTAACGTCGCCGTTTCTGCCTGAACCCGAAGCCGAGGAAGAGGAGGATCTTGATAGACTTGGTCAAAAGGAAAATATAGCGCCTGAGAATGACACTTCGCTTACAAGTGCGAGTACCGTGGATTATAAGCTGATCCCTACCGAGCTGAAGGAGGTCGTGCGACTAAACATGGCGTACCAGAACGGGCCTCACGACGTCTTGAGAGCGTTTGAACGAGGATCGGATTTAGTTTGCGGAGACTGGATCACCACTGCTACCGACGCAGGTCTTGGATTCTCATTTACACTGCCGACAGACGACGCTTCTGTTCATGATGGCCACCAAAAACTGGACTTTGCACACAACTTTATTGATAACGAAAAGTACGCGAGTGATCTCTCGCCGATCGCAGAAGGATGCGAATGCTATACGTGCACAAAGCATCATCGGGCGTATATCGCGCATCTTATCAACGCAAACGAGATGCTTGCTTGGACGCTTCTGCAGATTCACAACATACACGTCGCGAACCAGTTCATGTCTGCTATCAGAGAGGCAATCAAAGCCGGAACATTCACTACAGCAGCAACCTCGTTTTGTCACTTGTACGTCGAGCATATTAGTGGTGTAAAACTCGGAGCGCCTCGAGTACGGGGCTATCAGGTTCGTTTGGTAGGCGGTACTGACAAGAAGTTGAACGAGAAGGCATTTAGAGATTTGTCTGCTGATGTGTAATATATGAAGGCGTCTGTATGATGTAGCATAATCTAATAAAAATAATTCAAGCCTGTGTTATACCTTGATACAGTATTTATATCAATATTTTTTAAATTCATTTCTATATGAGAAGTCGACAAAAGCAAAGTGCAACAAAACTCCAAACACCTAAATTGATACAAATAGTAGCGACACCAACTTTTCTATCATCTGAGCACAAATGACCCACAAACAATATCATAACACACATGATTCAGGTTTTTGGCCCGTCCGTTCCATTAGCCGCCGCCGACTCCGGGTTCGCTCCCGCTTCGGTCGGTGATGTTGGCGCCTTGGGGAAACTAGGTCCGGTATTTTGCAAAGTAAGGTCAACTTCCTTTGACAGTTCTGGATAGGTCTGCTTTATCTGTTCGGCCAATTCATCCCTGAAGTCTCTCATAGCGTGCATCTTGCCATTCACAAACTGGTTCTGCTTGACCAGCAGCTCGACGAATTCTCTGGTATAAACCCGTGGATTCCTGCCGTCTTCTATGTACTGAATAATCTCCCGAGGTACAAGCACATCTGATATTGTCCGCTTCGAGGCCTCGTCAAGAGTAGAGAGCTGCGCGGTTAACAAGTTCACGCGAGCTATCACCGCATCCTTGCTGTGCGAAACTGATTCGTAGTCGTAGATTCCGATCGCAAGCTCAAGAATTGTCTCGATAATCTGACGAAGTCTGTCCTCCAGCTCCTGAAGTTCGGGGGTTGTTACAAGATCGACCGCAGACATAATCAGAGCCAGGATGGGTTGCAGGCCATACAAAATCTAAATTATCCTGCGGATAGATTTTGAGTCACGGAAATGTTTAAGCCCCAGAGAATACAGTCACGTGAATAAATTATATCTGTTGTTGTAGCAACCAAAATAAGGTTTGTGATTGGAACATATGTAAACAAACCCTGGCAGACATCTACTTGTGGCGTGCGATAGCGGGTTTTAGCTAAGACTTCCTTAAGGGTCCTTGATCCTGACCGCTGGCCCCATTCTACCACATATCGACTATGGACAGATATATGCTATAAGAACAAAAGGGCTGACTCTATTCGACAGTGCAGGACAATGAGCAGTCAGAGGAAGGGTGTTATGTCTAAAGAAGAGCTAAGTACGTCGATCTCGAGGCAGATATATATAAGTGACACACGACGTTCCAATCTGGTTTACTTATAAATTGCCCATATCTCCCGCCCCAAGTCGGATCGATCAATCTTGAACTAACGCCGAGTCCTGCAACAGAACGTTACCTGGCTGATCTCGAGAACCGATCGATGGCTCACCAGCTGCCTCCGGATCCGAGTCAGAGACTCAGACAACGCAGCCGATCGCCCCATAAACCTAACGGAGGTTTCAGATCTAGAGACATCGAGCACTGGCGGCGCTTTGGAAACGAGAGAAGTGAAAACACAGCAGATGCGGTCTCTCTTTATAATGACCCGATGACGGAGAGCTTCAGCTCATCCGCCGTCCAGCAGAATCACCGACCAGTACCCCCAACACATCACTCATCATCGCTATCAAGCTGGTCAGCGTCGGCCGAGAGCAGTTATCACAGTGAAGAAAGGGAATACACAAAGCACCGGAGCTGTAAATCGAGCAGCGAGTCAGACAGCTCCCGCTTTTCAGACCTCTCACATTGGCAACAGCGTCACCGGCATCACCACAGCGAGAGCCAAAAGCGACCGCCAAAGCCGCTTCCACTCATTCATTTCCCACCAGACCATCCGTATTACCAAGGTCCCCCACCATCGTCGGGCGAATTGAGTCCTCAATTCAGATCAACGTCGAATAGTGTCTGTGCGGGATGCGGCGGCGAGCTGGCGTTGTCAAAAGTTGTTCTGAAAGCGCTGGGAGAAAAGTACCACCCTGATTGCTTTCAGTGTGCGCATTGCGGGTTATCACTAGAGCATGCTGCTTTTTTCCCGCACGAGGGGAAGGTGTACTGCCATCTTGACTATCACGAAATGTTTTCGCCTCGATGCGATCACTGCCATACGCCGATCGAGGGCGAGGTTGTGAATGCGATGGGCAAGACCTATCATTTTGGCCACTTTTTCTGTGCCGGCTGCAGTGAGGTAAGTAGACTATAATATAGTCAGTTGCTCGGTTTAACTAAGTGATATATAGCCATTTTCCATGATGCCGTCTGCCTCATACCATGCCCGCGACAACCACGCGTGGTGTCACGACTGCTTTACGAAACGATATTCGACCAAATGCTGGAAATGCACAGAGATCATTCCAGAAGGAGACGTAATAATCAAAGTTCTTGGAAGAGAATGGTGCAGCAGCTGTTTTGCGTGTGAAGTAAGTACCTCGGAATCTGATTTTGACTCGTTGGTAAACTGCGATATTGATCTAGTAGTATAGGAATGCACCACACCGTTTGGTGATGATGGATTCGTCTTACGAGATGATGGAACGCTTGTTTGCATGACGTGCGAAGAGCTACGACTTAAAAGAAACGTTTATTCTTTGTAGAATGTTTGGATATTCATGGTATTTTTAATGATTTTGATTTCTACTTTCATATGCATTTGGTGTGCCGTGTTTTGAGTTTTGTTTAACTTGGGGTTTATTTCTTCAATTTATTTTTACGTATCTACTGCTATATTTTTCTATCAATCTTATTCCATTCTTTCATTCGATTATGTTTTGGTTATGGGATTCCTACTTTTCGTATTTCCATCCCATCTCCGTTAGTGTTCTGCAGCAAGAGTGCATAAGAGCGGCGACGAGAGTCATGATTGAGAGACGAGGATGATCTTAATGATAGATTCATGACAAGTTTAACTCAGCTTGTCAGACATAGATTTTTTTTGAAAGACTATATATGCAATCCGTAGGCCCAGCAAAGCTGTATAGTGCGACCCGGTGGATTTACGAATGTAGGTCGTTCACCGACCGAAGATTCCTTCCGCATCTCTGCGGATTAGGGCTGGAATAACTTACGCTTTGCTTTCATCTTCGACGACGGATGATTTCCAGCTATTGCACTCTCAAAAAGATCGCAAGATGGGTAAAATCCAGGTCGTGCAGGATATTGCGCGGGAGATATTTGTGAAGGAATACCTACGGCGCGGAGTTCCATGCCTGTTCAAGTCTCAGTTCAGACACCTTCCGGCTCTAAAAAAATGGATGGTAGCATCCGACAAGAGTAGCGACGGACAGGCGACGACAGCACCAGCAGCATCGCTAAACTTGAGATATTTTATGAAGTTGATTGACGGGAATGGACGGGATCCGTTTGTGGATGTTGAAACGGGTCGGTTTAATCCGAATGCTCCGCAGCCTGCTCCAGATAACTTCACGCCGCCGACGCAGACGGTGATTCAGCAGACTGATTTTACAAGGACCGAAGTTCCGCTGTCGCTGTTTCTGAAATTGCATTCAGCTGAAGCAGGACAGGTTCCCGAGCAGTTTAGAAATATCTACCTTGCGCAGACTCCGCTGCTCGAGACGCTTCCCGCGCTGAAGGACGACTTTGTGCCGAGGCCGGTGTACCTTCCTGTTGAGACCGAGAAGCACGTATACGGCTGCAGCGCGTGGATCGGGCGCAAGACGTTCACGCCACGGCACTTTGATCCGAATGAGAATCTGTACGTGATGGTCGCGGGTAGGAAGCGGGTTACGCTGTGGAAGCCCGAGTACGATACGAAGGATACGGAGACGTCTGATATGGAGAAGTTGAACAAGAATCGCAAGAGAGGGATTTTGGGGAACAGAAATTTCGGCGAACCGAAAGCGGGAGAGGCTGCGTATGATTCGTGTATTTTAGAACCGGGCGATGGACTATTTATTCCGGAGAGATGGTGGCATGAGGTTGAGAGTATAGGGGATGATGTTTCGGCCAGTGTAAGTTGCTCCTCGGCTCCTTACCATTTTTTATACAGTGTTGCAAAACTGACACGCTTTACTGCTAGGTGAATTGGTGGTTTAGAGAGCCCACGGAAAAGCGATGATAGACCAAGAACTTCTCGATTGTAAATAAACCGCATATTCTATACAGTATACAGACGATTTCCTAGCATCATACCAGGAAGATACAGATCGATACAAACATATAACATATATCACAAGCTCAGCCTACATTATCAGACTAATCCCGACCCTTTTCAATCGAGAACTTCCGCCCACCCTTCTTTTTGAACTCGGTCGCCAACACGCCCTTGCCATGCAGCATGCGCATCTCGTCACCACCGCCGAGACTCTTGCCGCCGACAAAGACGTTGGGAACAGTGCGACGGCCAGAGATATCGAGCAGCGCGTCTTGGATGATTGATCCGTGCGGATCAAGGTCGAGTTCCTTGACGGTAGGTGGCGGGTTCATCTTGTATGTGTCTTTGAGCAGGTTCTTGACGAAGCGGGAGTGGGGGCTAGAGGTGTGAGCACTTGTCAGTTTCCTTGTAGGGTAGACGAAGAAAGGGATCAGCGATTGTATGCGTACCAATACGACTTTGAGAAGATGACAACTGGAAGATTAAAAGTCAGTACAGAATCATGCAGCCATCAAGCTAAAACACTGCTATCATTATTTATATCGGTAGCGAGAACGGCTTACCAGGTGAGTTCAGGAGTAGTTCTTGGATCTCATCCAAGGGTTCATAATCACCTGCCCCCTTCTCGGTCAATTCCGTGCCTAGTGCCTCGGCGCGGACTGTTCGAAATAAACCTCAATTAGCATACAACAAACTAATAGAAGATCAAGAACCAGACCACGAAAGGTCGCGTGCACACTCACCAGCTTTGTAGTTAGGGACATCGTAGCCAAATATACTGGTGGTGGAGTGGCTGCTCAAGCCAGCGTTGCGGTAATGTTGAATGTAGAAGATCAAAAGTCCGGTAAGGAAACAAAACAGCAGCAGGCGCTTGGCTTTAACAGGTGGGTTGATCATTGTTTTAACTGACAAGAAGGAGGAATTGAGAATAGACAGAACGCGGTAAATTGAATTACAGGACACATCTTCGATTAAGGGCGACTTGGAAGGGGACGTGACTCCACGCACGCGTTGCGTCTTCGCGATAACGCTCGTGTCAGAAAAGCCCGCCACACCACACGCTCTTTCTACGGTCTACACAACCCGCTCGCGAGATAACAAAATGCCTCGAGTCCGCACACAACGCACCAAGAAGCCACCAGAGGGGTTTGCAGAGATAGAAGATACTTTGCTTGAGTTTGCAAATCGGCTCAAAGACATCGAAACTACCCCCCACGAAGGCCAGCGCAAGAACGAGTCGCTGTGGCCGGTATTCCAGATCACCCACCAGCGCTCGCGGTATATCTACGATCTCTACTACACGCGAGAGGCCATCTCTTCTCAACTCTACCAGTGGCTGCTGAAACAGGGCTATGCGGACGGCAATCTGATAGCAAAGTGGAAGAAGCAGGGGTACGAGAAACTATGCTGCCTGCGGTGTATCCAGGCGAAGGAGAACAATTTCAACGCTACGTGCATCTGCAGAGTGCCAAAGGCGAAGCTGGCGAAGGACAAGGTGGTCGAGTGCGTGACGTGCGGGTGTCATGGCTGCGCTAGCACGGATTAGAGGATGCGGGTGGTCATGGGAAAGATCATTACGGATGGCTGCAAAATGGGTTTTAATGTACGATTATCATTTGTGTCTGAGGAGCTGTAAATTATTCACTTGTCATCTTATCACACCACTAATGCTTGCTTTTGGGTTATGGAAATCTTTTAAATTCACAAAGAGAAAAAAAGTATGACTAAAAGTACAATTCACTGGTCTCAAAAAATTCATATCATACACTATTTTGTCATAAAATAGGATACCATCCATCACTAGGGAACAAAAAATTTGACAATAAAACTCCACCGGTAACACAGAACATGGAAAAATACCCCCGAAAATCCCAAGAATAGAAATTGAAAGTGCAGATAAGATAAAAAGGAGAAAAAAACAAAGAAACAGGCATTAAAACGGAAAAACTGAACGCTGTCAATTCACAACCAATCTGGACCAATAAGCAGGAAATAGAAAACAAAGGCAAAACCATAAAAATCTCTATATTAAAACGTCATCGTTCGAAACATCCCATGCGCGCGCATTGCACGCACCTCTTCACTCTCACCAGCAGTGGGTTCTCGAGATCGCGACTCGCTCTGCTGGAGGTTGAAACTCATCTCTTGAGCAGCGGCTTCGGTGCTCTTTGACGAATCGAAAGAAATGCCTTGGCCGAGTTCGCGCTTTTCCCGATTAAACTCGACAGCGCGCTGCACGACCCCGCATACGTCGACTCCGAAGACCTCGACGCCGATGTTTGAATCATGCCGTTTCTCGCTTTGCAGATCGTCTTCTGTATCGCCATCGCTACTCCGACGGTCACCATCGAGCATGCTGCCACCGTTGTGTCGACCGTAGTAGAAGAAATCATCAAAGAAAAACTGAGGCTTCATTTTGGTTCCCCGCTTGTCTGGCGATGAACAAAATCGTGTCAGATCATCATCGTCGTCGTTCATCTGCACTGCGCCCAGGCCTACTTGCTGGCCCATGAACGCGTGTGCTGGCACTACTGGAGATCCAGACTCGTCGAATGTAAAAGTGGAGTGTGCGAGCAACTTCCTTTGTGGAGACATGAACTGTTGGTGATGTTGGCGAAGATAGATTGGTGAGCCAAAAGGAGATGCCGATGCTTGCCGTTGAGGCCTTAGCGGAGAGAATGTAGTCGCCTCATACTGCTGCTTCTGCGGCGTACTACTCCGCAGCGGCGACTTTGCAAATGGTTGGTGAGAGTTGTGGAGAGGAGCAGTCGCCGGCGGGTTGAAGTACAGTCCACTTGCATCGTCCCTAGGAACTGCAAGAGAGCCGACGACCGGCGAGGTCATCAGACGGATATGTGCGCGATGATTCCGCAAGGACGTGTTGGGAGATATAGAAAGAGACGGGTGGTTGCCGTCAAATAACGACTTGCTGAGCTCGTCCTCATCGTTCTCGTAGAAGCTGTCCGCTTCATCGTCGTCTGTGTCAAGAGAATGACCGGTGGAGTCGACTGAGAGAGGGAAACTTGTTTGTCGACGAGAACTTGGCAGAGAAGCCTGCTTTTTCGCCCGCGACGCGTTATTTTTCGCGCTGGTTGGCCTCCGACGCGTAGCATTGTTCTTCTTTTTATCAGTGAAGTTGCTGACGGGCAAAAGCAATGACGAGTTCACGTCACTGGTAGCAGGCGTAGATGGCATGCCCGGCGCAGGAGACGACGACGACGCGAACGAGAGCCCTGGAGCTACCGCAGAAGACGACACCGACGTCGGCGCATTCCCACGAGATGCAGGACGCATCGGAGTCGCGAACTCGTTCTTCACATTATGCGGCTGCGGCGGAAACTGCAGAGAGGGAGCGGCAGACGCGTCGTTTGCAGAAGTACGTGCGCGCTTGACGACAATGTCCGGCGAAGAAGAAAGCGCATAGTCTGCCCCTCGTTTCGCCAGAGGCTGCAGCAGAGCCGACTCAGATTTTGTGGCTCGAGCGACGCGTGATAGGGTGGGCGACGTGTCCGCATTCGCGCCTGCATCGTAGCGTTCCTGGGTATTGGATCCAGAGGCATTCTGAGAAGATGACTGGGCAGAAGAAGAGGAAGCGAGAGCTTTTCGAGGACGCGTCTTCATGAAGAGATACTGCGAGCCAGGCTCGACGACCCAGTAGTTACCCTTACCGGGATCGTCCTTAGGCCGTTCCTGCTTCGAGAAGGCCTTGTTGAGAGAGAGGTTATGGCGGATGGAGTTCTGCCAGCCTGGGTCGCAGGACCGATAGTAGACAAATGTATCGTTTATCCACTTGTATATTTGAGAGAGTGTGAGGCGTCGGTTGGGGGCGCGTAGGATAGCCATTCCGATCAAAGTCGCGTACGAGAACGGCGGTTTCTCGCCGTCGTCATCGATAGGGGGCATGAGATGTGGAGGCGGGATTTCTGCGTTCGGTGACGGGTCGTCGTTCTCTTTAGGAGTCATGGAGGAGACTGAAGAAGAAAGAGAGGGAGCGGTGAGGATGTGCTGCGCGGCCGCTGCGTTCGAAGCCGAAGCAGCCGGCGGGAGAGGCTGAGAGCGCTTGACGGGTGGGGGTGGCGGCGGACGGTGCGGGACGTTGACTGAGACTGAAGAGAGCGGCGGAGGAGGAAGATGTACTGAAGAGAGAGAGCGCATCATGTTGTGGGAGGAAGGCGCGCGGATGGTGGAGAGCGAGGAGGAAGAGGAGGAGGAAGAGGGCGCGACGGAGGAAGCTTGGCCGCGACGGGCAAGCTTTGAGGGAGAGCGCTGCTGCATTGTGCCGGAAAGCTGCAGACGAGAGAGTCGGCTGCGAGGCGGAAGGACGAGGAGAGGACGAGGAGGAAGGCAGAGAAAGAAGGAGCAGGGCAGGATGAGGAAGAGGAAGAAGAGATGGGAGGATGGAAGGAAGGAAGAAAATGGCGAAAGAAAAACGCGGAAGAGAAACGCGGCGGCGGCATCGTGTTTGTGCGTGTCTCATTTTAGGTTCGACGTGACACGCGCGCTCCGACAGCCTACCAAATCGGTGATCTGTAAACAAACCGATTTGGCTGTGACCCACACGTGATCTGCGAGTACGAGAAAGTAACTGAGAGAGCTCCAGCTGGAGGATGCTGCGATGCTGATAGTGAGCGCAGAGAGGCCTTTGACCAGACAGCAGCAGCCCTCTGTCCCTCCACCTCCTCCTCCCTCGAAGCAGCACCTGTCTGCGTCGACCGATATGCGGCACCGACCTTTCGAGGACGGCTAGTATGTGACAGACCCTCCAGACACAAGATCTCGGTACCACATTCCTCACGCCAACCCTAACAGTACACGCCTTTTCAGCCAGATCCGCAATCTTGCATACTTTGACTCGGTGCCTCGTGCTCATTCGGGCGCGACTATGCCCAGGGACAGGCGCGTGCGCAGAATCTTAGTCTTTTCAAACCCGTTTGCGGTAATCCGCTGGGCGCGCCGGCTGCGGTGCTGAGCGCTGCCTTCGTCTCGAGATATCTCGAGCCGCCTGTCGCGTTATCCGCAGCACGCGTTGCGTCTCCCGCATCACTCGCCGCTCCCGACAATGACCTCATCTCCCAGTTCTGATAATTCTAATCCCATTCTCGGTGCACCCCACGGTCTGTCTGTCTGCACAATATGAGTGGCCTTGACCACGACTACTTTGCCGACAGCTCGGTCGAGCTCACCGCTGCCGATATTCTCGCAGCAGAGCAGCAGCAGCAGCCACCACAGCGACAGCAGCGCAACGCCGTCCAAACCACCTCCGCACCAGCTGCCGCTTCGCCTTCGCCTGCCCCGGGCAATCCCCGTCAGCCATCCCGTCCTGCTGTCCAGCAGCCCACTCCTCGACTGGTCTCCGCCGGTACGATTCTCGTCAACCGCAAACAAGATGGCAATCCCGTACTACAGCATATCAAAGGCGCTTCTTGGGAGTTTGCAGACATCACATCCGACTATATGCCCGCCGAAAACGTAGCCGTTCTCTTTCTGAGCTTGAAATATCACAGTATGTCACAATATATTACGTTACGATTAAAGGATTCAAGACAATGAATCTGATATGCTGATCTACTACACGCAGGACTACATCCGGAATATATCTTCAACAGAATGGGAAAACTTGGGCAATACAGAAATCGCATCCTTCTTGTCGTCGTCGACATCGAGAATCACACAGATCCCATAAAGACCCTATCAAAAGCCGCAATCGTCAAGGAAATGACAATCTTTCTTGCTTGGTCGTAAGTCTCTGCCACATTCTCTCGCTCTTCTCGTCGTGTCTCGGCTAACCAGACTAATATCGTCACAGTGCCCGCGAAGCAGGAACTTACATCTCTCTCTTCCGCAGACTTCAAAAAGTATCTCCTGCGGCGATTCAGGGCAAAAAAGACGAAGACTACAACAAGCAAGTAGTCGAAGTGCTGCGGACGATTCCCCGCGTGAACAAAACCGATGCGGCAAACCTGCTGGCAAATTTTGGTTCGGTCGCCGGCGCAATCGACGACTTCGGCAACTCGCTCCACAACATCCCCGGCTGGGGCGAACAGAAAATCCGACGGTTCAAGCAAGCGATCAGTGAGCCGTTCGTGGCTCGGAATAACAACGCCGTAGTTGCGTATCGGAATAAAGCACTCGCCACGCATACTGCCTCTATCCGCACTGCTTCACCGCCGCCTCAAGTGGAGCCCGCGCTTGGAACCGAAGCAGAGGAAGAGACTCGGCAGTCTGAAGTGTCGAGAAAACGTGCTGCTGCTGAACCCATTATTCGTGACTCGAATAGTAGAGCATTCTCTGAAAATATGGCTCGTCTTCGCGGAGAACGGTAGCAGGTTTTTGTCTATACGTCTTAATTCAGTACTATTGTACGCCCGGTGTTACGGAGTTCTTAACAATGTTTTAAACTACTTGGAAATAAACGAGCTTGAATTGAAAATCAACGAAAGAAAAACCTGACCTATCTGCGCTGCACTTTTGCTGTGAGCCGCGTACTGTCCAGGCCATCGAATATACTTTTAGTCACGTGAGATTTAAACTTTATAAACTCCCAACGAGAAAAAAAAACCACCGGTTAAACAAAAAATTCTTAGCATCGTGGTGTGCTACCAATACCACTCCAACAAGCCAACACACACAAACAATGGCTGATAGCCCTATTGAGACCACGGGCGATATAGATTCAGTAACTGCTGTCTCTACAGCGGTTACATCTACAGAATCATCTTCTACCCCGGCAGAAAACACGACGCTGTTCGTGCGGTCGATTCCATTCTCTGCCACTTCTGAATCGCTGTCGGATTTTTTCTCGCAGATTTCCCCGGTCAAGCACAGTGTGATTGTGACCGATCACAAGACCCATGAATCCAAGGGCTTTGGATTTGTGTCTTTTGCACTTGCCGCTGACGCGAAGAAGGCACTGGAGGAGTGCCGGAAGACCAAGTTCGAGGGTCGGTTGCTCAATGTTGATTTCGCAAAGAAGCGTGAGCGGAAAGAAGCGCCAAAGCAGCGCGCTGTCTACGTTGACGACGACGGATCTGATGATGAGGACCAAGATGGTGAAGAGCCACGGACGGATAGCACCGGCCAGAGTATCGAGCGACGTCGGCCTCGATTGATCATTCGCAATCTTCCGTGGTCGGTCCGCGACCCGGATGAGCTCAAGAAATTGTTCATGCCGTACGGAAAGGTTACAGAGTGTATTATTCCGCGCAAGGCCGGTGGTCGCATGTCTGGATTTGCGTTTGTCACTATGCGCAAACGGATCTCGGCCGAGAACGCAATTAAGGCTGTGAACGGCAAGAAGCTTGACGGACGACCGATCGCGGTTGATTATGCGGTGCAGAAGGACCTTTGGACTCAGCATCAGGCTAACAGACCCGATGAGGACGCTGATGTTAAGGAGGAGTCTGATGAAGACGAAGTCAAGGAAGAGTCCGAGGATGACGAGGATGACGACGATTCGATCAAATCTGAAGATGACGATAGCGAACCGGAGATCAAAGACGAGCCTGACAGCGACACTGAGATCAAGCTCGAAGACGATGAAGATGAAGATGACGATGAAGATGATGAAGACGGTGAAGATGATGACGAAGACGAGGAAGACGAAGACGAAGACATGGACGTGGAAGACAAGCCTGCCACTCGTCGCGCCGGCCCTGACACTAAAACGCCCACGACTGTCTTCGTCCGCAACCTCTCCTATGCAACCACCGCCGAGAGTCTAAAGGCTCATTTCGAGACCCACTTCGGACCAGTCCGGTACGCTCTCCCCGTCATCGACAAGGAAACCGAGATGCCGCGCGGCACCGGCTTTGTCTGCTTCTACAACTCTGAAGATCATCTTTCATGCGTTACCTCGGCGCCGAAGCAGATTGCTGAGAACTCAATCCTAATTGCCGATGACGTCGACCAGCGCTACGTGCTCGACGACCGTGTTCTCTCAGTCACGTCGGCGGTCGACCGTGAGCGCGCTGAGAAGCTTCAGACTGCTGGTGCGCAACGCAGACTTACGGCTGCTGGAAAAGACAACTCTGGATCTCGCGACAAGCGGCACCTGTTCCTTCTCAACGAGGGTCGCATCGCGCCCGATTCAGAACTCGGCCAGGCAATGTCGAAAACCGATATGGATATCAGACAGCAGTCTCTAGCCGCCCGACGACAGCAGCTCCGCAGCAATCCGTCGCTTCATCTGTCACTCACCCGTCTAGCTGTGCGCAATATCCCGCGTAGCATGACCGAGACGCAGCTGAAGGCGCTCGCTCGCAAGGCAGTCGTCGGGTTTGCTGAGGACGTCAAGGCCGGTATTCGTCAGCCCCTTTCAAAGGAGGAGCTTGAGCGGTCGCGTGCAAATGAAGAGCAGCGCGGTATGATTGGCAAGAAGAAAAAATTTGGTGTCGTCAAGCAGGTGAAGATCATCACCGAGGACAAAAAGACCGGGTCAGGACGTAGTCGCGGATACGGATTCATCGAGTACGCTACGCACCGATCTGCTCTGATGGGTCTGAGATGGCTCAATGCTCGCGAGATCGGACCTAAAGATCTGACAGCGCTCCAGGCCGATCTCGACAAGATCGTCACACCGGAATCATCTTCCAAGACCGAGACCGGCGAAGCCTCCGAGGGATCTCAACAGGCGAACGGCAAGGCGGGCAAGAAGGGCAAGAAGTCGGTGATTAAGGACGCGGAAGATCTACGGAAGCGGAGAATGGTGGTCGAGTTTGCGATTGAGAACATCGAGGTTGTCAAGCGCCGCGAGGCACGGGAGCTGAAAGCGCGGATAAAGGTCGGTCAGAAGAACGCATCTGCCGATGGCGAAGGGAACGGTGATGATGACGAGGCAGAGAAGGAGGAGGAGGAGGAGGATAAGGTTGTGGTTTTCAACAAAACTCGTGCGAGTCGGGGTTCGAGTCGGGGAGGACGTGGCGGAAGTCGTAATAGTAACAGCCGGGGAAGAGGTGGCGCTGCTGGTATCGGTGCCGGAAAGAGAAAGAGAGATGGCGAAGAAGATCGGTCGGGGAAGAACAAGAGACAAAACTCCGGACGGGGACGGGGAAATTTCAGAAGAGGAAAATAGAGTAGGGATTTATGTTTTGTAAATAAATGTAGGATTGTTTTCCGTATATATGACATGCCTTACGAGAGCTCATGGATATACCATGTCATACCCGCGTCGCCTCCATTTCTCCGCCTCTTCCAAACTTGTACCAGGCGGCCAGCCGCAAGTTACCCTAAAATCCCATTTTATATAGAAGTCCGGTGCATGACTTATTTTGATCTTTTCGTAATGGGACTCTGCCAGTTTCCATCTTTCTGCCCTTCGGTCCAGTCGTTCGCTCACAGGGCCGAACTCGTAAACAACAAGCAAGTTGCGATGACGTACCACCAGCTTAGACAACAAGCAGAACCAGATTCTTTCGGCAGGTCTGCCATTGTGAAACAAGGCAGGTGCCTCGAATCGGCGCGAGACCATTCCTGCCACATGACTGTTCTGCAATTGGTGACCGTACAATAAATTCATGCACCTGGTGAAAGAGTCTAGTGTTTCATTGTATGTTTTGCTTTCCCGGTAATTCTCTGTATAGCGCAGACAATGCTTTTCCGACAATGAGAACAGATCGAAATCTCCATCCCTTCGGACTATCAGTCGGGATGTCTCGTCATTCAAAACATAGCCACTACCTTCAGGCGTTATCAGTAACGATGCCTTCAGGTCTGACGATTCATCGCGGTCATCGTCCAATAGACGATTCTCAAGTTCTCTTTCTTGCGCTTCGGTATCTTCACCTGAAGCATCATCATCGACGTCATCGTTGAGGCACACTAAACGCAAATGGTTTTCATGACTTTCCGAAGGTCCCGGTGGAGGACTTGGTGGTGATTCGGATGAGTGTGATGATGTTGGTGATGATGGCGATGATGGTTGTGGTGGATCTTCGGTAGAAGCAGGCTTGATACCGATAAACCACCCTCTCAAGTTCAGCCCTCGCACGCCTTCCATCTCTACATACCGCAACTCGGTACTCTCAATTAGTCTTGCATAGTAATCCCAAATGCTAGTTTTCTGCTCCCAATCCTTGGGATCGAAGCTCCGCATAACCATCGTTTCGTTGAAGCCGGTCAGCATCAGAGCTTGATCGCCGAGCTGTAGGTTGATTCCCAAATCAAGTCTGTAATGTGGCAGATCCAAAGTTTCACCGGTTTTCAAATTAACGATAGTCAGTCCGCCTAATCTGTTGAAACCCAAGACCAGCACCTCGGCATTTGAAGTTAAGGCGATAGAATGAACTGTTGAGGGAAATTGCTGATGATAAATACGTTTGAGCATAAGGTTCATCCTGGGACCATACATCGAAGATCTGCCCCATGTTTCTTGCGAATGGGACTCATTCTCTCGCAAATTCTCCAACGTATACACCTCGACATACCCGTGTTGGAAATCGATCGCTATAGATTTTCCGTCCCGAGCCACGACAACAGATTGAGCCTTCTTATCAGAGCTTTCGGTCAAAACCAGTGTCTGCCATAAATAAGGTCCATGCATATCCTCTAGTTCGAAGTTCCCGCGCCGGGTTCCGGGACGGGGGGGAGTGTAACGATCATACATCACACAATGAAGATTGTATATATGGACTGTGCGTAGCGGAACCGGACTTGTGAGTTTATTGCGCTGAACGACAATAAACAGCGTACCATCATCTGAACGAGTAGAGCACTCGTAATACATAGGGTCAAAAAGACCTTCTCCTAGCCATAAATTATAGGCCGGACGTAGCACCAAGCCAATCGATTTCTGACGAAGAAAGAAGAGGTAGAGATATTCCAGCCAGCTTTCGTTGTTCTTGCGTTTAGGCCATGACGCTGACTTTTTATGCTCACGACCACACCTATAATTATAAGCGCGTCAGTACAAGAGATCAAGAGAAATTTGCGGATGTTTTGAGCGACAGTGGCATACGAATGAGGAACGATCTCCAGATACTCCAATTCGGCGGGATTTTCACATATACGCTCGCGGATATGCTTGGCTAAAACAGCATCACGACGAAGCAACTTCAGCCATCGAGAGCAGGTATGTGAAGCCTGGAGGAACGCTGGGGCATCAAGCAATTCGAAAATCCAGAGCAGGATCTCGTCTGGTAGCCGTTCCATGGCAGCGAGTTCTCTAAACTGATTCGAGTCGTTTCGTATTTTTGGCCCTTCCGTACTCAACCTGTAAACAGAACAACGCGTGATCTGCAAGGCTTATCAAGCCTACTTGCAAACCTGTAAGGCTCAACCCGGATCTGATAAAAACGTTCGGCCGGCGAATATTTAGGCAGATGCAGGGAGAAGCTGGGGTGGGAGCAAAAACTTCCACGTGATCAGATGAGTTACCAGGTATATTGATCCAAAATAACGGTAGGGTTCTTTATAATGGTGCGCAGCCCCCCTATCCTGTAGGCCAGAATCACTGTGCTTTGATACCCAAAGTAAGCAAAAATGATCTGTAACAGCAGCCGCACCTAATAAACTTTCTTTGTTTGTTTGGTTGCCGGCTGAGTTTAGTTCTGGACCAAGATTTGGGTCGGTATCTCGAGGGCACGGTAATCGTCCCCGGCCTCTATCTGCGGTTATTTTTGTATATCATCAACGGCAGCACCTCTTGGAGCAGTGCAATTTGTAACAGCATGTTTGTTTGAACCTTTAAGTAGCTCTTCAATGACGAGTACAAGTTCTCTGCTCTTTGCCGCCATTAGTCTTCTCAGCTACCAATAATTCCCATGGCGTCCTCAAAAGCAGGTGACCAGCCCGCCCTGCCATCTGCAGCCGACGGTTCGGAGTCGCAGCTCCCTTTACCCCGGGCGGAGACGTCGCTACCGACTCCCGTGCGTCCTGCACCGAAACCCTCGCCTGCTGCGAGCAGTAGTTCGAGTACCATGCGGACGTTTACGGAAGCAGTCGATGCACTTTACGACACGGATCCCGAACTGGCTGGCGATTTGCCGTTTCGCGTGAAGGACCTGCGGAGGTGGATTACTTGCTTTTGCGCTCTTGATTTCAATGTGGAGGTCGGACCAGAGTTTGAGTGCATCTATCCGGCTGTCCATCTGTCAGAGCAAGATCTGAAAACAATGTATGTAAGATATTATTGGGAAGATCGTGAAGTTAACGCTAATTATGATTCGACTTAAGTTGCTTCTCGTCGTTCCCTGAGCAAAGCTACGCTGAAAACACCGAGGAATTTCACACATTCCGCTTCAAGTGCTCGACACGAGACCTGACATTCCCGCCGGCAGCTAATAGCCCAAAGATGTCTCGGGCATATACTAGTCGGTATCTATACGGTTACGTCTTATTCCAGCAAAGATACGACTCCACCAAGGCGCGAAACTACTCACAGAAAAGCCTGACACTGCTGTCGCCATACGAATTCCCCGCGCTATTCGAGACCTGCGTGCGAAAAGCTGCGCAGTACTGTTTTAGTACCGCGCTGCTTCCCACTTTGCAAACGGCAGCAGGACACATTGCCGCTTGGCCGGCGCCTGAAGCTCTGATAAGTCGATTTAGCTGGAGCATGCAGAGCAGCGGAAGCAACGGGCAGACAAAGAAGAGACACATTGAGCTGGCATACCTGGGGGACAAGATAAGGATCCAGGCGTCTGCAGCTGATCCAAGAGTGCCACTGGGAGAGTACAGTGAGTCTGGTATCTTTTTATTTGGGAAGAGTGGCTCATGGGGTGTGCTCATGAGGATGCTCGAAGATCCAGCAGATATATACACGGTGTACGAGCACGTTTTACTGGGATACTCGCTTGGCGTTTTCGCACCCACGCCGTCGTTGTGTAGCCAGTTTGTGACCAATGCGGTTGACTTGATCAAGCCCGTTCCGTATACTGGTCTGATCCGGGAATACGTGACGATGCACGCTGATCTGGAGTCGATGAACGTTTTGAGTAAGAATCCGGTTCCGGGTATCACAGGCTTCACCAACCCGTTCTTGTCACAAATCGTCTCAGACTGCGACGGTGCCGTGAGTCTACTCGATATCTGCACGGCGGAGAAGAAGCTGGGCATCAAACGTGCGCGAGGAAGACTGAACAACATGCCGACGATGAACGTCAGTTTTCTGCCGATCCTGCCCGACTTGATGCCTTCGACGGCATCGACGCAGCAGATGACGGTCGACTTACTCTACCCGGTCACCGCGACAGTGGAATGGCAGCGGAAGTCGTTCAAGAAGCTGCTGACGGGAATGGGAATCTCAAAGATCCCCACGTCGATGACTTCCACTAAGCCAAAGCTGCTAGTCCGTGACCGGCAGTTTATTAAGCGAGTCCGCCGAATGATCGCGGATTCAAATGCGGCGACTTCAGCTGCAGAGGCAAAGGCGATCCAGCTGAAGATTGACAAGTTTGTACGGTTACATTTCGCGAATCTGACGGCGAAGGTGATGGCACCTGTTAAGCGGTTTCTATTTGTCGCAGAGACATCACCGAAGAATTTCTCGTACGCTGAGTTTATCTACTATCTATCCCAGCTGGACGGGAAGGGCGGCAGCTCGATCAGTAGCACGACGATGAGCGGCGATGTACTTAATGGTATGATTGAAAGCACGGGGAAGGCGGCAGTGAAATCGGTTCACATGTTTTCCACATGGGGAATGCACCATGAAGGCAGAGAGAGCCTCTCGAATGAAGTCAAGGACGAAGACAGGAGCGCAGGAGACGGTATCGAGACCGCAGAGCAGGGCGCGGCGGACGAGGACGAGGAAGGGAAAGAAGAGCCGGCGGCGCAGAAGGCAAGCGCAGCCGCGAAAGCTGACCTGCAGCACGAGCTGTACGGGGAAGCGGTGCAGCCCGACAAGGAAGTGTTTGCCGGCAACGAGGGCGCGCTGCAGTTCTACACTGCCCTGCTGCGGTCGGGCAACTTCGAGGCGTGGTGTTTTGCATAGACGGGATGATTAATAATTAGACTAAGACATGTTCCATAATCCTTAACGTAAGCGCCAGTTCCGTGCCGAGAGAACAATGGGGCGGCTCTGTGCTCGGACAGCGGCATAACCCTCGCGCGGCGGGTGCACAGCTGCCAGCCGAAAGACAGCGGCGTCGGCGAGGCCCGGAAGTCGGCCGCCGTTCCGCCGAGAGAGACGGCCAAACTTCCTCTGCCGTACGTCTTCACGACCAAGTTCTTAAGCATCTGCTCCCTCCCGCGTCCAGAGAAGAAGCAATGCTGCCGTATGGTCAGTCCAAATCGCCCTATGCCCTCTCTTCTCTCATCCACCCGCCCGACAGCTCCCAGCAACCCGAGCTGCCGAACAACCTACCCGCAGTCCGCAGCCTGTCTGCCGCGGTGTCGGCCCAGCAACGGGCTGTAGAACAGCCCGCCGCTGCTGTCGCCGACGAGCACAAGCGCTCCCGCGCCTGCGACAACTGTCGAGCGCTCAAGGTCCGCTGCGTGCCTCACGACGAGTCTGACGCCTCTGGAGCCTGTCATCGCTGTTTCAAGTCGGCGCGGAAATGCGTCTTCACCGTGAACCCGCGCAAGCGACAGAAGCGCACCGATACGTGAGCAATTTTTCACCCCCCTCTTCTCAATTGGCTACTTTCAAGCCAGTCTACTAACTCTACGATTTTACTGTAGCCGGGTCGCTGATCTTGAGAAGAAGCTCGACGAGCTGACGCAACGGCTCAGTGCTGCTCGCGAGGAAGGGGAGTCTGTTGGATCGCCTGATTCAGCCGACGGATCCAGTCGCGCTACCGGAGCAGGTAGTCTTATCGCCTCCTCTGCCCACGCTTCCGAACCAATATCCCGTTTATCGCCTTCGACTCCTCAGCCTGGATCCCGACTGTACTATCATCCATCCAATGGGTCTACTTCGACTTCGCCTCCTGCGCCTGACCCTGTGGCGCAACCCCAATCGCGTGCAAAGTCCGATGAGTACCGCAGCATGTCCAGCCTGGCTGAGCTCGCAGCCTTGAAGTCGCATGGTGCCTCGGCCTTCCAAAACTCGTTTCACGCTTTTTTCGGACGTCCTGCTCCTGAGGCGTCGAACCTGCCAGTCGTCGATCCGGCACATATCAGGAACATTTTGACGAAATACGGTCTCTGCGATGGGTACGCGCAAGGTGTGCTTGAGTACTTTGTCAAAACAGTGTTGCCTTGTGGCAGCCTGGTGTACTTCGATCCCGATACCAAATTCGAAGATTTGATCCAGACGAAGCCATTGGTGACGCTCTCGATTTGTAGCATCGGCTCAACCAAGAACGGCGCAAAAGGGAGAAACGAGATCGCGTCTAGTCTTATGTCGGAGCTATACAAAATTGTCTCCGAGCAGGTTCTGATCGTCGGAACTAAATCGGTCGATCTTATTCAGGCGCTACTGATTTTGACATTCTGGTACAGTCCACCGGAGCTGTTTGAAGCCCGAAAAATTCATGTCTTCACTGCATGTGCCGTCGCGATCTCCAGTGATATGGGTATAGGTCAGCCTTCTCGTCATCGAAGAAAACTTTTTGAAAAACCCTACGATCAAAAATCTCCTGATCCAAAGATGGAGTTGACCTCTCTCGAGCACCGTCGCTTATGGATCGCTGTATATCTCTCAGCGAGTTGCTACAGCATGCTGTTTCGGCAAATGACACTTCTGCAGTGGTCTCCTTACCTACAAGAGTGCTGTGATGTCTTGGAAAATCAAACTGAAGGAAGAACATATTTCGATCAAGTACTTTGCAGCCTTGCCCGGCTGCATTCCATAGCGGACGAGATCAATTTGATGTTTCATCCGGCTGATTTCGCAGAGTCAGTGGATATAAATGATCGGAGAACGACAAATCTAATGCGAATGTTTGAGAGACATCTTGCAGCTTGGAAAGCGAAATCTCCCGACGACCGTAAGCTCCTGTGCTTTTGCGATTACCTGCTTGATATACGACTAACACTGATATGCTGCAGCTTTCCTCTTGATTTCATACTACAGCACACAGATCTTCATGCACGAAATTGGCCTCCACAACAAAACCAACCGGTCCGATTTCGTGATTCCCTTCACAGAAACCTCGCTCAATCCCGACGCCCCGATTGTGACGCCTCTTCATGTGGAGTCGATTTCGTGGTGCATTTCCTCATGCCAATCTCTCATCGACATATTCTGCACCTGTGACTTGACGCGATTGTCGTATGCCCCGGTGCATATCATCGGACGAGTGATTTACGCATGCACGATTCTCCTAAAAATCTCAATCATGATTTTGCGCGTTGACCGGATGTCTTCAGTCTGCTCGATCAGCATGGTGCGCCCGGAATATTACCTCGGACGGGTGTATCAGCAGATCTCCCTTCTTTGCTCCGACGGGCCTTTCTCTCTCGTCGCACTAAAGTTCAAGTACGTGCTTGGTCATTTGTACATGTGGTTCCACCGCGTGAACCGCGGGGCGTGGAGAAAGAGCAGCCAGGGTGGTAACCCGGAGAACAGCCGTTCGAAGCCCTCGCACCGAGCTCCGAAAGCCACGACTTCTCAGACCCGCAATGATACAGATAAGCCTGAATTATTCAGCGGAATGACGGAGTATGATGCTGCGAGCTCGAATCCGGCCTTTGACGAGAATCATGTGTCGACGCTAGACATGCTGAGCTCTGTTGCCGTACGGGAGGCGGGACAGAATCAAAACTCGTCAGAATCTCCACATACCACCACAGCTCCTTCCAACCAGCCCCCGGCCCGGGCCCGGGCCCCAGTCAATGCGCCTCTAGCTGATAAGACAAACACGCCCTCCTCCTATACGCCAGAGGAAGAAATTCGAATGGCAGACTCAGGATTGACCATATACGAACACATCTTTCAAGAATTCATGGGCGGCGCTTCGGACGACACAGGACTTAAGCCCGAAGACTACAATCCCACGCTGCCAAACTATGCAGCAGGCGACCCCAACCGGCAAAATAGCACACAATTGCCGCCGGAGGCGTATTTCGGGAAACAGGATATGGCGGACTTGAACGCGTACGACTATCTATCAGCCGATACGGGAGCGTTCTCGATGAGCCATTTTATGGACGATTATTTCTGGAAAGACTTGTATTTCATCAACAACGGACAGGCGCCGGACCCTGTTGTGAGTTCTGCACCTGAAACTTGAATGGGTTTATCCCACTTGCGTTTATCATACATCATGTTCGTTTGCTCTTTTGTTCTATGGTTATTGGCTCTTGGGTTTCATAGACTGGCTGTCGCCGTCACACATCGTTCGATTTTATGTACCATGGATATATACATTGTGATTTTTGTTTGCTCTCATAGATATTTTCTCTGCTATGTTATGGATTATATGCAGCATTACATGATTTGCAATGAATACGATTTAAAATATATAGTTATAATGACTTAGCGCTAAATACAACCGCAATTCTCACTAGACGACTCCATGCAGGATCCACTGTTCATGTATAGTGTAATAGAAACTAGAAACATGCAAAAGTCACACGGAAGTACCACAATCAATACCAGAACGGAAAGTCACAAAAGATGAAAACCAAGAACGAATGAAATCCAAAATATAATAAAATTTCTGCCCAATAAACTCCAATATAAGCGCCAAATTTCATCCATACACACCTCTGAAGCAGGGGTAGTGAGCTGATGATTGAGATAAAAAGGTGCGGGCGTCTAAACCGGAGGTAAAACCCGTCCGTTGTCGGCCCAAGGCGCAAATGAATCTGAAGGAACGTCAGAGTAGTCGCTGCCTTCGCTACCGTAGAAGCTAGGCATGAGTTGCAGATACGTTGCATCAGATGCGACGCTTACAGCGCCAGGATTCGACAAATACTGTGACGAGAACGGAGAGGACAAAAGTGAGTTATTGTCCGCGTAGTCCGAATTTGTATCTTGAACGGGAGCTGAAACTACAGGGACTGTGGAATCGGAAAGAGCTGTACCAGCAGTGGCAAGCATGACAGCATCGACTTCAGTAATGTCAACGTCCACGATAATAGCTCGCGAAAGATGGAGCTCCTGGCAAATCAGCTCGACTTCATCCCGCGATCTATCGCCGAGATAGACTCTGAGAAACTGTTGTCCGTTGTCGCAATGCTGCACGCGGAAGCTCAGCTCGCCAAGTTGCGAGAGCTTCTGGATATCTCGAACTATAGCTGACATGTTGTCTTGATAATCCTGCTGCCATTTGGGAAAAATGACGTACGCAGACTCCTGGGTCAAGGTACCCACGGTGCCAGATTCGTACGTCGGAGTCACATCGAAAGAGATGCAAGCAACTTGACGGGTAGCACCCGAAACAGTCTTCTCGCCGTCAGCGTTCTGAGCGGATCCGAAGTATACCGAGGAGTCTTCAAACTTCCGGGGCGCGTCAGCGAAGGTGACACGAACGGTGTTGTTCTCGGTGACAAAAACATTGAGCTTCTTCTGATGAACATATGATGGCCCCATCTTCTCAATTGAACCGGCAAGCTTGGAAGCTCCAATACCGCTAGCGCAGAAGCCGGCTGAGAGATTGGAAATGACGTCGGCCATAGGACGAACGTTGTACGAGAAGTATCTCGCTGAGCCGCGGGCTCGAAAGCCGGGAAGCGAGTATCCCATTGGAGATCTGTGCAAAGTACCGCCAATTCTCGGACGATAGATTGGGTGTGCAAACGTAGTGCTGTGCTTGATGTTGGATAGTCGAGCAGAAACAGAATTGAAACGAGCTGGAGAAGCGTATGCTCTGCTAGAGTTGGTGTAGCCCCGCGCCTGCTGATTGAGAGCCTGTCGCGTGAAGGAGTCGGAAGAAAACCAATGTCGCGAAGATGTCGAATACCAGCGAGAAGAAGACCCTGAAGGCGCCTGAGGAAAACGAGGTCTGTTGTTGACTGGCACGGGCACTCTCACTGGAACGAGTTCACGTCTGCGGCCAAATAGACCGCCGCCGCCACCGCCATTGTTGCCGGGTGGCCAGCCTTCTTCGAGAGCCTCACGAATCGCCTGACGGCCTGTTTCAGTAACACGCCGCAAAACGTTCGATAAGGCCTTGATGGCCCTTTCACCGGGAGGCATGATGTTGGTGTGAAGGTGTATTTGCGAGGTGTATGAAGAGATCGGAGAAACTGAGCGGAAGCTGATGTGGCGAGACGCAGTGAGTCAGTTGACGTCCCAACAAGTCACGTGAAATGACCACGGAGAAGAAGCGCCGTTTCATTACTTAAGATTTGAATAATAGAATGTAGGATGTTATTCCAGTACTCGAGCATCATTATCAGAGGACGTATGGTTTCTACTGGAGGTACTGCAAATTAAACAGTGATGATTACCGAGGTTGACCTTCTTATTCTTCATATCGTACATACTCGTAATAGCAACATATCGTAATAACCTCTACCTTAACCCAGGCACACCATTATACCGGTCATTATTTTCGACCTTGAACACAAGTTGCAGGAAATACTCGTTTGTATCCTGGTCATAGTGAGTCCAAAATTTTCCCGGCCTTCTGTCAATCTCCTTGTTAGGGATCTTGAATGCCACAGTCTCATACGGCTCCGCGGCGACCAAGAGATATTGAAACCGTTTGTTGTCATTGGCGTTCTCCACAAGCTGCTCGAAAGCGCTCATAAATCGATGTCTTGGTTTGATCTCCGTTGTGATTTCAGGGTATTGGAGTTGGAATCTCAATCCCTGTTGCCGGGTGACCGGATCTCTGATCTTTGTGATTCTGTAGCCTGGTCGTCCAATTTTCACGAGGTTCTTCTTTACTTGGATCGAACTGGCGCCAACACCTGCCGTCTCACTGGTTCCGTTTGTGAGCAGTAAAGTATCTGTTCTTCCCTCTCTCTGGTCTCTTGCCGCGCGGCGAGCGAGATTAGTCTGATGCTTCCGTCCTTGCGTGTGCGCCAGATATGAGCCATCACTGAGATGAATCGACAGGCAAAGTTTGCATTCAAATGATCCCAAGTGATTCTTGAAAAAATACGGATCTTTCTCAATATCAATCGTCTCAAGCGCTAGCTTTCTTAACCGCTCGCGCCGGTCTGCGTTTGTTTCACTGAAACCTGCAACACCTCCACCTGTAGGTAACGTAAAAGATAAAGATTAGTAAAAGATCCAAAGATGTACAACTTGTTATGCAGAACGACACGTCTTCTCACCTCCTTTCTTTGAGCCCGCTCTATTCTGATAATCCATATTCCTGCTTGCTTGTAATGGCTATTATGTTGTTATTTGTACACTTTACACATTAATGCGGGTGTGGCACCAATCATAAAAGTTCGACGCCGGCGAGCCCTAACCCCCGACGAGAATCCGACTCCCCGCCGCAGAGAAAGAATTGTGGTTTTTTCTACATCTTTCGCGTAGCAGCACACAACTTCACACGAATCTCTGGTGGGCGTTTGTTTGAAGAAGAGGACGACTCTGAATTTGGAACTTGAGAAAATTATTGCCTTGCCAGACTTTGTTTCGAAAATGGCGGCCTCTGTTCCACTCACTAGCCGCCAATCCCGGCTCTGCAACGCACCCTTGAACAACATATCAAAGTCCAAAGGGTTTTCGGGTTCTCGTCGGTCCACTGTTATCGCTCGCCTTGGTGTTCGACACACCTCTACACACGGCGATGAAAATACGCAAAAGGACAACACATTCGATTTCACGAAATACATCCCCAACAGACAGCCACCTGGTGCAAGACTTCTATCTCCGCCGAAGCGGAAATTCGTGCCTCCGACAAGACCATTGTTCACACGCGAGGGCGGCGATGGCGATTATTTCAGAAACGATATAACATCGACTCGAGATAAGTTCAGGCTTATCAGCTCAGCTCTTGATAAGAGTGTGGAAAAACCAAACCTAGTCGGCACTCCGCGCGGCGATTTTCGGAAAATAGAAAGTGGCAGAAGACCGGTTTATGACATTGCCGGTCTCCCCAAGATTCCGAAGATGGCCCGGCTAGCTAAAATGGAGACTGCAGAAATTTCCCAGGTTCCGGGTGCGAAAAGTTTGGTTGGTCTTTTGGCTGGGTTGGGCAAGCGTCGAAGCGACGCCATAAAGGCGCTTTACGATAACAACGCTTGGTCGTCTCTGGTGTCGCAACAAAGACGACAGGAAAATGCTGCTAGAACAAAACAAGGGTTGAGACCATTGCAAGGGTTGAGCCCATTGCAAGGGTTGACACCATCGACTGAAACTGCCATCCGGAAAGACCCTTCGGCATTACTCGAGGAGAGATTTGGTGCTACTGCGTCCGAGAAACCACAAGCCGTCTTTGCGGCGGAAAAGATGACTGCACGGGGCGATCGAATAAAGGGCAAGAAACCTGCTGTGACGGTACAACCCACATGGACATGGGCACAAAATGCCGAAGATATGAAGAAGCAGTCCGGTGATATTACGGTCAACGTGGTTGATGCCGAGGGTGGATTCCATCAAAGCTGGACTCTACAAGCGGCTCGTGAGTTGTGTCCATCCACACACTCGATTGTCAAGACGGGAATGGCCGGAGAGGTCATGGTGGTCAAGTACATGCTGAGGCCACATGATGTGGTGGTTGCCGATCGTGAGGCTACCTCGACTAAGGCGAAATCCAGCAAGGCCAAGACTTTCAAGATTCCTTTGAGTATTGAAGATCATGATATCGAAATCAGGGCGCGGAAGATTGTGGAGAATCTCGAGAAATTCGAGCGGGTCTCAGTCACGCTTGGAAGGACAAATAAGGATATGAATCGTTATAGAGACCGTGAGGATCATGTTGAATCGACATTGATCGAGATGTGCGAGGCAAAGGGCGCCAGACATAGCAGGACTCTCGAGGAGAACAAGAAAAGAGTGGTCTACTTCGAGAGCGCAACAGACGACGGGGTTCTGGCTGAGAGCATAAACGCTAGCAGGGACGAAACGGACGAAATGGACGAAATGGACGATTACATCGGGGAGGAAGAGAATTATTTGGAGAATGCGGAGGGGGATGTGGAGGAGACACCTGAGGAAGAAATGTCAAAGTATTGGTCGGATTAGAGTATGCTTGTTGTAGGAAATTTTTGTAAATTTTTATGCGCATAGATGGTCAAATATATTAACGATATTACATCATTTAAACTCCAACTCGATTATACGGTGGTATAAGAGTCAATTGGTACATATATGCCCCGAAATTATTCTCTACAACTATAGCAGACAAGCTCTATTGAGTGGGAATTATAATTTACACCAGAACAGAACAACTAACACGACCATCGATATTTTATTAAGTATTAACACGTTCCTCTAAGCCCCAATTTTTCAACCCAATTCAACGTTATTCTACGGCTTAGTAGAAGGTAGAAGCCAACTCGAGATCGTCAGCGTTGAGCAAGTCGGTTCCGAGACCGATGAGCTGTCGGTAGAGAGTGTTGCGGGTCGACACAGGCCACCAGGCGACCTCCCAGAAGCGGGTCATGATGCCGGCATCATGGGCATCGTCGATGAGCTTCTTGACGGTAGCGTACTGGGTCTTGTTCAGTCCAGAGGGGGCGATGTCACCAACAATCTGCGAAAGCGAACCCGAAGCAATAGGGTTCACAGTCGCGGGGTACGACGAGTTGAGGGTAGCAATGGGACCGTCGTAGAAGTAGTAGCGGTCGGTGTGCTCGACGACGTAGTCGTAGGGGGTGTTTCCGGTACCAATGACGGTGATGGGACCGTAGGTGACGTCGGTACCGTTGTAGGTGGTAAGGTATCCCTTCTCGTTCAGGGGCTCGAGAGCCTCGACGATGTAAGGCCAGGTAGCATCACCATCGGTCTTAAGATCGACAAACAGGTACAGAGTCTGGGTAGAGTCGGTATCCCACACACCGCTGATGCAATAAGCAGTTAGTATCAATTATTACAAAAAACGGATCCCGACGTGCAAACTTACTTGGGAGAAGTCTGGTTGACGGTGAATGTGTTGTTGGGGTTGTTCTGGGTGAGGATGTCCATGAGCGGATCAAGGTAGAGGTTTTGGAAAGTGCGCTGAGCGTTCAGAGCAGCAGTGTGGTGACCGACCTATGATAGCAATTGTGAGCATTGATATCCCATCTAGCTAATCAAACAATCATCAGACCAACTTACGTAGATGGTGTCATCATCGTCGTAGTGCCAGACATCAGCCTCGACAGAGAGCACACCGAGCGACAAAGCGGTGTAGAGAGGGACATCACGCCAGTAGTCGTTGTGAGAGTGGATTCCCTTGCAGAAGATGTTCCTATAATATTGTCAGACATTAGAACCAGCCATACTCAATCAATTGCGGTCAGAACTTACCGAGTAATATCAGAGGAGTATCTGGTGTTGATACCACCCTCGAGAGAGAGCAGCTCGGTAGCGATGGGAGTAGCCGAGACGGCACCGGCCAGAAGAGTAAGGGCAGCAATTGAGAGCTTCATTTTTGTGTGATAGAAGGTATTCTTGTGAGATCAGTGTATGTTCACTTGAGACAGAGCAAAACCACGAGCGAAAGCTCGTGAATATATACTGATCTGGAGGCCGCCTACGATCCTGAAGCACATGGTACCTAGAGTTCGAGAGGTCTCCACGAATACCCGAGGACTATGGCCAGAACTTGCCGATGCCGCCAATCAACCGGGTGAACGGAAGATTAAACATCAAATTTGCCCATCGACGATAAGGTGCATGACGAGCACACAGCAAATCTGGGCCTACCGCAGCGAATCTCCGTGAACCGTGCCTGAGGCGTGGGGAGAATCCGTTCATATCGTTGGCTGGATCTACCGGTCAACAGAGTTCGCGGTTTCGATAAGCCGCACTTAATGTGGCTCCTGCTCTCCCGCAGCTGCTTCAGCTCAGTGTACCACCTACCGGATATGGCGCTGGTTGACTCGAGCTCGTCTGATTGACAGGCAAGAAAAGGCAGGCTGCGTAGGCAACCTGGATGCAAACGTCAGGACTCCGGGGCACGGACGGCACACGTGTTTGGCCCGCTGAACCACGTCGCCAATCAGCACCGCGATCTCGACAGCAGGACAGCGTCTGATATTACTGTCTGCATGGGTAATGCGTCAGGCCAGTAGTAGCCGAGCTACGCACGATAACTGGATAATATTCGTTGTGGGAATCTTAGGCGATTTTTAGTACGATTAATTCTATTTTCCTCAGAGTACCCGGTGCCAATTTCGCTCCGTGCGATAAAAATAGTATTCAGAGATACTCTTCGGCGAACATGCATCATGCTGACTCTCTCTCTGTTATATCTATATCAGCCCACATGGCATCATGTCGTGCATTCATTTCGTCAATACCCGCTAGAAAGATACTCTGTCCCGGCATAAATGATACCGATGCGGGTCAGCCAGCTCTAGATTGTGCGATTTTGTTAGGCTAATTTGAACTACTTCATATCATACGGATGTTTGTCCGGAAAAACTCACCATGACATAGCCATGTACGCCCACAACCGCGTATCCACGTGGGGGTATTATGTCAGTAGCGGAGCCCCCCTTCGTGTTTCCGTAGACGGCACTAAAGAGCGGGAAAATTAATACAACTGATCTCCCGCCATGTCAAAAATCTAATAAAACAAGCAAAGTGCACCAACCTTCTTCTTAAGTTCGTAATAATCTGGACCGCGTCAACCCAGGCTCCTGATCGAACTTGAAACCCAATCAGCTGCTCGGTAGGCTCAAACACAAAATCGGAAGGCGAGCCGCCTCTGTTTCCAAACATCGCCGAACCGCTTTCGAAGAAGAACTCGAGGCCGTCAACCGCCTGCCCGTGATAGATTCTGATCCGACGGATTTGCCTGAACAGTACCCTCACCGGTGCTGCAGTCGATGGAATCGCGTCGGCTTCTGGAAGAATGCTGTCAAACATAGGGGCCCGGCCAACATCCGTACGCGAACTTCGCACTAGAGCACTGAAATCCCCAATCTCGATCTGCTGCTCACCCAGTCCGAGTACCAACAGGCTGAATTGTTTCATCTTGTACTTATCAGGAAGTATTGTCCGTAGTTCTTCCTCAAAAAGAAATACCTCTTTCTGTGGACCGTCAGGGTACTCCAAGTGCGCCCGGCAAAGTCCGTCATAATGCAATTCAATCAAGTATATGCCTGTCGCCGATGTAGCAATTGCTCCGTTCTCAACCGGGAAAATCGCCGGTCTTGATTTCATGATAATTGGCTCAGCAGGGAGTCTAAACATCGGATGACATCTAAATCTCAACATATCAAGTCTACACAGAATCTGTTAGTCTTTGATCAAGGAAAGTGAAGGCTATCTACCGCCAACGTACCGATTCCAACCGCATTCATCTTTAGGCAGGCAGATATTCACTCGGTGCTCAGCGGATATCGGCTCCTAAATCATTAAACAGTCAATTCCCAGGTCGATGTATGTCAAATAAACAGGCTACTTACTCTGACACAAAAAGTGCGATTCAGCCGAACATAATCTCGAAGCATCACTCCAGACGTCTGATGCGGACAACCAAGTAAATGTCCTACTTCATGCATGAAGGCGCCTATTCCAACATTGGCAGCCTTGAAGTATTGACCGGACTCGTTACAGTCGTCTGCAATAATTCGAGTGTCCGCGGGAGTCGTATCGGAAAACTAGAATAACAGAGAATCAGCTTGACAGCACTCCTAAACGCATCAAAACCGTACGTCTACATACACAAGAAACGACATCTTCAATGTGTGAAGGCCAGCTATACGTCGAGTGACTGCCGAATATAGCCAGCTTGATATGTTCTGACCCTCCACCAATTGCAGCATGCCCTCTGATCAGATTTCTCTTTGGGTCCCATTTACTGTCCAAAATCAAGACAGCGACGTGCGTATCCTCCCCAGTCGGCGTTGGAGCAAAAGGACCGCCGTGCTTTCGTATAGCGTTTAGTGCATAATCAAACAGTCCTCCTGTGTCTTTGCCCTTGTCGTTTTGCTGTGCAACATCTGCGTCTCGGATTTCTAAAGAGAGTCAGTTCCGTTTTTGCACGATAACCACGACCCATCACAGCAGCGCAATTTGTCTTACCCTTCATCGTTTTGTCCGACCGAATCACATGAATTTTCGCAGTCATTCTTGATCTCCCGTCATACCGTGAGAGGGTATCAGGCGCCCACTCTTCATCAAGCCTGAACGTTCTGCGACCCATTCCGTTTCGTGACATCTGCTCGCCCGTAAAGGCCTGCATAAGATATCCCGCCACTCTGAGCTTTCGCGATGCCGCTTCCAGTCCATTTCCTTCACTCTCGGTTTTTGCCGGTGGGGAATCGAATTTGAATTCGCTGTCTCGAGCAACCATAATCGCTAGATGAAGAGGCGCGTTCTGTAGCAATGGCGTATAGTTGAGCTGTAGGTTTGAAGAACTAGGACCAGAGCCCATTCCAGGTGGTGGATTAAAAACAAATCGCAGATCATTAGATCCGGGAGACAAATGGACAAGCGCCTTGAAATACCCATCCGCGACCGGAAACGTTAGCGGTGGAAACTCCGCGAGGTGATGATGAACGGTGATCGAAGCATCAAATTGAGTATTCTGAGGTCCAGCACCTCCGTGAACAAGCACGACGCGCTGGTACAAGTTGGACTTCTGCGAGACGTTGTAGAATCGAGGAGCGAACGGATCTGCTGCTGCGGGCTGTGTCGAAACTGGCCTCGTCTGTAAATTCGGCGCCGGCGCTGCAGCGACCGCTGTATAAACTGTAGCACTCATGACAGGCACAGGGGACGGGGAAGCTTGGTAGTTGATTTGCTGCGTTGACGGTGGTTGTGGGAATTGTCCGTATGCCCCTCCGACTTGCGGGGTGGGCCTTGACGAAGAGGGAGCAGTCGCGTAGACGCTTTCAGGCCGAGGTTGCTTTTTCTTCAGGAGCCCCATTTTTTGTGAGAAGTTCAGCTAACAAGCTCTTATATTTGCCTCAAAATATCAAGCCGGAGTTCCAGCTTCAGGTGGCTATAAGAACTTATGGTGAAGAAGCTGTAATTATTTATAGATAGGCGCTTCTACGGGTGCTGTTCGTCCGCGGATTGGGAGTTAACTTAAGCGCGGACATACTCAGCCACTATTTCTGCTCGTGCCATCCTTTATATGCTTTACCTTCAGCTTCACAGATAGCTGCAGAACTCGTGAATACCTATATACACTATCTGTTACTTGCTTATTGCAAGATGTTATGATTTAGTCATTGGCAACACTGGAACGGATCTTTTGTTGGCCTTGGTCACTTGATCACTGGGTAGTACGCACACAATGCCAAAATGGGAACCTTGTAATCACTAGACTGCAAACCTCCTCAAGCTTGTAACACGTGGAGACAAAGCTGCAAACCATACTACGCCGCTCATACAAATAAACACATGCATTCATTATATTCACCTTCTCATACAATTTAGTATAGCAAAACGATTCAAACAATTTCAGCCTCTTATAATCAATCATCCATAGGTATCTTAACAATCTCTAATTAGGTCTGCAGCTGCCGTCGCTGCTGCTCCTCAGTGACTCTGCGATCTCGAACAATCGTAGTCAACTCCTGGTTTTTCAGAGTAATACTCTTGGTCTATATTCGAAGCAGGTTAGTTCTGTGAAATCAAAGGTAAGAGGAAGGAAATAGCGTACCATATGATTGACCTTATAAATGCCGACAAGTTGCTGAGCAAGCTCAAACATGTTATTTCGCAAGGAAATGACAATGAACTGCGCGTTCTTCGTTCTCTCCTTAATGTAATTAGCCACAATAGAAACGTTGCGGAAATCCAGCGCAGCATCAATCTCGTCCATGACATAGAGCGGAGTAGGCTTGAAATGATGCAACGCGAAAACAAGAGCCAGTGAACTGAGAGTCTTCTCACCACCAGACAGATTCGAAATGTTCTTCCAGCTCTTCTTTGGTGGCATCACACTGAATAGGATACCTTCCGAAAACGGGTCCAAACTATCAACGAGCTCGAGTTCGGCATTTCCGCCCATTGTGATCATTTGATACATCTCTTTCAGCTTGACCGAAATCTGACTGAATCCAGCCATAAACTCATCCAGACGTCGCTTGCGTAGATCCTCATACCGCTGCTTCATAGCATCACGCTGAGCAACAGCAGCCGTCAAATCTGCGTTTCGCGTACCAAACTCCTTCTCGCGGCGGCGGTATTCTTCAATAACTGCGAGGTCGACATGCGCCTTATCGGTCTTTTCTTCCAATAGAGCAATCTCAGCCTTCAACTCGTCGTTATCCATTCCTTGGAGTTCGTCTTCGCTGTAAGTAGGCAGTTCAGTCTGCATCTCATCTTCGTCGCCAGTATCCTGGAGCACCAAGCTAGCGAGCTTCTCAGACCAATGCTTTAGTCTGGCCCGGTTCTCTCGAATTTCCTTCTCATGTACCTCTATTCTATTCTCGAGATCGATCTCAACTTTTCGGAAATCGTTGATCTCTTTGGTGCGTTCGTCAACTCTTTGCTTGATTGCCTTGACGTTTTCCTGCATTTCCTCGAGAGTGAAGGCTGCCTCGTTTGCTACTTTTTCAACCTCGTCCGCCTGCATCTGAACACCAGCTAGCTCCTCCTCGACAGCTTTGGACTCGATTTCCACCTCTGCTAGCTCCTTCTCAGCAGTCGCCACAGCCTTGTTTTGTTTGGAAGATTCCTTTCCAGCTTTGGCCTTCGCCATTTCGCTGTTGGAGATCTGCTCGTTTCTGATCTCGATCTGCTGCATGATACCGTCAACCTTTGACTTTTGAATCCGAAGCTTGACACCACCAATCTGCATAATCTGCTCTTCGAGCCCCTTGATCTCATCTTCGATAGACGACGTCTTTGAGCGAATTTGTTCAGCTTCGGCCTCGAGCCCAGAGATCTTCTTTTCGAGCTTCTTGACAGCAGCATCATCCGCAGAGCTCGAATCAAGCTCAGACTTCAGCTCGGCAAGCATTTTCTTAGCATCCAGCAGATGAGTGCCCATGGCTTGAATCTCCAGCTCGATCTTTGAAATAGACACCTCAAGCTTCGGTTTCCTCTTCTTCAACTCTGATAGAGCATCCTCCATCACATTGACTTTGGCTTGCTCCTCTTGGAACCTCTGCTCGGCCTTCGCAAGTTCAGTCTCGATCTTCTTAAACTCCTTCTCAGAGATTCCGTCAGACAGTTTGCTCTTCATCAGACCTTTAGAAACTCTGGAGCCACCACCACTCATTGTTCCTGAAGTATCAATGAGTTTACCATCAATGGTCACGACACGCCATCTCTTTTTGCCAAACGCAATCCGGTTAGCTTGAGCCATGTCTTTGGCAACAAGGGTATCATGCAAAACACTATAAAATGCCTGCGCATATTTAGGATCTTTGGGTCGCACAAGGTCAAACAAACGAGGCGCGTTCTCTGGAGTCTGAATGGGCGATAAGTCTCTCTGAGCCAACCGATCCAGCAAAATAAACATGCCACGACCGAGGTTGTTCTTTCTCAAATACTCGATACAGGCTTGACCCGTCTCAACGCTTTCCACGACAAGGTTGTTGAGCGATGGGCAAGCAGTGGAAATGGCGACATCGAAACGCTCGTCAATGGCGCCAAGATTTCCTAGACGGCCATAGAATCCGCTGATGCGTCCAGATTCCTCAAGTCTCTTCAGGCTGGAGAGAACATTACCTTGGCTTTCTGAGGCAGCCATTTGCTCTCGCGCCTCCTGGACTCGCTGGCGAGCGATGGACACCTGCTGTCGCATTTCGTCAAGCGCGGAAGAAGCTTGAGCACATTCGTCCTCTCCTAGAACAATCTGCTCATTGACATGCGCAAGCTCCACCTTCAAGTTCTCGATCTCTTGTTCCTAGAATGACAAGCAAATGTTAGTCTCTGTAGTACCTTCATGATTCCACTAAGCTAAACACTCACCTTTGCACGTCCATTGACCTTGATCTCTTTAATTCTAGCCTCCTGATCTGCAATTGCAGATTCATTCGCTGCACGTCGGTCAATGAATATTTGAAGCTCACTCTTTGCAACATCAAGTTCAGAGATCTTCATATTCATCTTCTCGTTCCAGGGCTCTAGAAGTTTCTTCTTCTGCTCGATTTCGTCAGAGATACCTCTCGTACTACCCTCAAGGCTCTCCTTGATCTCCTCCAACTTGCTCTCTTCGCCCTGGAGGTTGTTCTGTAGCTGTTCAATTTCGCTTGAGAGACGCTCAATCTCCTCATCGTAGTTTGACATCCATCCAGCCGAACTGTTGACAGACAATTTTGCGCTTGCGATGAGCTTCGAGAGTTTTTCCTGTTTTGCCGCTATATGCTTCTTCCTCTCCGTAAGCTGGACAACATCACGCTCGTGCTTAGCATGAGCCTTTGCGGTAGCTTTGGCCTGGGCTCGGAAAGTCTCAAGTTCCTCGATTGCCTCCTTGTAGCTGTCGTTAAGCGACTTGACCTCGTCCTGGTTGCCTTTGTTGCTGGCCAACTGCTCTTCGAGTTGAGCCTTGAGTTCAGCCTGTATACAATGTTAGCTTTTGACTGGCCAATTTCTCAGTCTAGAAAGACACAAATTGGCATACCAGAAGTTCCTCGGTAACGGTGACGTTCTGTTGGCTGGTAGTAATATACAGTTGATAAAGAGCATTCTGCTTCTGTACCAACTCATTATTGTCGTTGATATAGGACATGGCAGCTTTCCGAGCATCCTGCAAAGTATAAAATTAGCATTGCCCGTCGCACCTTATAAAAAAATCCAATGCATACCTCAAGCTTCGATTTCTCCTTCTGGACAATCTCCAAACGTCCGAGCTTTTCATGACAAGCTTCGTTCAAAGCCTCAACCTCGACCGCCGACTCGTCAATCAGCTTTTTATACTTTGAAGTACCAATGATATCTTCCAAATACTCCAAAAGCCCATCGTCACTATCGTTCATTGCCTTTGGCTTCATCTGCGCAATACTTTCAACCTCTCCTTGAAGAATCAAGAATCGTTTATGGTCGAGATCGATTCCACGTTCACGGAGTAATGTGGTGACTTCACCGTAGTTACTCTCGCGGTCGTTAATTGTGTACTTGGACGAATTGTTTTTGAAAGCGCGACGAGCGACTACTAGTCGAGAATCAGGAACGAAGGACGTGGTCCCATCAGGCTACAAAAATCAACATGAATTAGCATCCATTATTCTCCCATAGTAACCAAGACAAAAAGATAGACTCACATTATCAATCACGTCTTGAAAATGCACTTCGACGCTACACTGAGTAAGATCCGGATGAACTGCTGAATTGTGGATCAGCGCAGAGAGCTTCGCCTGACGCATTTTGTTGGCGCGGAAACCAAATACAAAGAGAAGCGAGTCAATGACATTGGACTTTCCCGAACCGTTAGGTCCAACCACCGCAGAGAACGACTGATGGAATCTGTTAGTAGGGCAATATATCAGACGATCAAAAAAATTCACTTACGCTGTGGAAAGGTCCGACTTCCTGGCGGCCGGCATAAGACTTGAAGTTGTTGAGTACCAGGTTGGTGATGACGAGGCGTTGCTTAGGTCCCTCTGGAACCGGAGTCGGTTCCTTCACAGCCTCTTCTGTGCTTGCCTTCATTTTGGGGTAAGCAGGATCAAGCCCAACAACAGAAACATTCTGGCGAGAGGGAGAAACGTCGTCCAGCGGTTCGGGCTTGATGATTGGTGTTTGCAACTGCTTTGGAGTAAGTGTTGACTCTCTGATATTCTCGCGGTTAGCAATGTCGCTATCCGCTATCGGAGACTGCAGCGTCAGACGTCTGAGTCTGTCAACATGCTGCGTCGTAGGCGACAAAGGGCTCGCGCCGTGGTCTGTGTTTTGTTTAGACGCGGACAGCTGAGCGAGAGGAGTGCTGCTAACAGACGAGGCCTGGTCGAAGGATACAGAATTCGCATCGTCATCGCTGTTTTGCTCATCCTCGCTTTCGTCATAGACCACCTTCTTTGCGCGTCGTGAGCGATTTGCTGCAGGTTTGGTTGTGGTCGTCTTTGTTGTTGTGGTCTTTGATTCCGCAGTTTTGCGAGATCGCGTCGTTTTTGTCAAAGTCACGGCCGGAGACAGTGTCTCAGACGCTACAGACGAGCGAGTCGATCGAGTCGATCTCGTGGTGCGCGAAGACATGACTGAATCGAGTGGCGCGAGGTTCTTGTTGACTGATGGGCTGGTGTTTGGAGTTGGAGATGAAGTGGGAGAGACGCGATGGGCATTCGGGCTGGTAGAAAACTTGGGGTGTAGAGTACGGAAACAACAACAGCCGTTGTCACGGCAACCGAATCAAGCCGTTCAGCCTTTTGAATATGAACATTGATAAAGTCATCTGTACTGTAGTTTATGTAATTAATCTCACTATTATGTATTTCCTAACTGTCTTTTATATACGTGTAATATTATATCGAGACATAGGAAGCATATACTGGACTAAGAGGCTGTTGGATATGTTACTCGTAGAGAAGAAAAGCCAGATATAGCTGTTCTAAGTTTTGCGGTGCTTGCAGGCATAGAAATTACTTTTCAGAGCTTCTGAATAACAGCAAAAGTGCAGTCTTCAATCGCATATAGGAGCTCAGAATCTTGCGTGGGAATAATACCCATCACGAAGTGATCGACCTCTGTCGCTGCACTTAGCTCCCCAGCACCCATGATCTCAGTCTGCGCGTAACCACGCATATATTCTGCGGTGATTTCAAATATCAGTAAATATCAAGGGTTTTGAAGCTTAAACAGAGTTGGTAAGATGATATCTGAAGGGTATTGTGGGTAGCCATTCTGTAAAACTCGTCATGACTCCGACCGCCGGGAGAGTCTGCATTGAACAGGCTGCATCTGACATGCTGTCCAATTCCTTTATTTCGCTTCAGACCAAAAGAGCGTTATAATACTCTATTCATCCCACAGCCATCTTATACGTCCGGTGTGCTGGTCGTCTCAAATCTGTGCGGTTGCCGTTGGACCAGTGGTCGTAGGCGCCCGTTTCCCTGCCACAGTCGTTTTTTTTGTGATCGGATTTCTTAATCATTGTCATTATCATTTCCGTCACCTGCTTTAATCATAGAGAAACCGTCTAAACCACCAAATAAGCAGACACACTGTAGAGACAAGAAGGTGAGCTCGCCCAGATCACGGGCTCTGTGGCGCGGGCTTCTCGATCAGATGATGCCGGGTAAACGTGGGAAGCACAGAGCCGAATTAGTATAATCAGCTTTCCAGCTCGTATTGTATCCCCCGCGTCGGCTTTTACAGCGAATCTCGAGACTCAACAGACCTATTCACGCTCAAAAGGCTCTCCTCTTATCTTTATCTAGATATATTTCAGTTGAAGACTTATTGTTTTACGGGTCGAAGAAGAAGACAGAGCTATAATCATGTCGGACGCACAGGCATTACTTCAGAAGGTACGATAGGCCATGAGCATGCAATCTGCCTAGTTGTGATCGCACCGGATCTGGTCGGCACCTGGCTAACAGCTAAACGGCATATCTAGGCTGAGAAAAAGGCGTCGTCGTCAGGGTTTTTCGGGATGCTTTCGAGCAGTACGAGATACGAGGAAGCCGGCGATTTGTACGTCGAGGCTGCGAACGCTTTCAGGCTTCAAAAAGATAGTACGTCATAGTCCACCACTTGAGTCGGAAAGATACTATGTTCTAACAAGAGTTTGTCATAAACAGTGGTTGGCGCTGGAAAGGCGTTTGAAAAGGCTGCTGAGATGCAGCTGAAGTCGGAATCGAAGGACGAAGCGGCAAACACCTACGTCGAGGGATATAAAGCTTTCCGAAAGGTTGATCCTTCCGGTATGTGAATATTGTCTATACACCTGTTATTAGTTGATTTGCGTAGCTAACAGCAGCTCCAACTCCGACAGAGGCCGCCAGACTATTGATCCAGGCTATCACCTTATTCACAGCAAAGGGCCAGTTCCGCAGAGCAGCGACATACAAGCAAGATCTAGCGGTGCTGTACGAGAACGATCTCAATGATCTGGACCGCGCAATGGATGCCTACGACGACGCTGGCGAATGGTTTTCCAATGATGGTGCTGAATCGTATGTGTCTCTTTCTTGTCATTTGCGTTTATAGTTGCGTTTCTCAATCACTTGCTCATCATGATTTCACATGCAGTCTGGCAAACAAGGCCTGGCTCAAGGTCGCCGAGGTCGCGGCTCTGAAAGAGGATTACATCAGAGCGATTGCAAAGTACGAAATGGTCGCGAAGAACAGTCTCACAAATAATCTCACAAAGTGGAGTGTCAAGGATTACTTCTTCCGGGCTGGCCTATGTCATATCGCCAACAAGGTGCGCTGTCCCCGTTTTCCCTTCATATTTTGCATATAGGATTCCAACTGACTTTGTAAATTACGCAGGACATTGTTGCTGCCAAGCGGTCGGTGGAGGAGTACGCTGATGCGGACCCCTCATTTTTCCAGACCCGAGAGTTCGGTCTTTTGCAGGACATTATCTCCGCCTACGAGGACGGCGACCAAGAGCGATTCACAGACAAGGTCTTTCAATTCGATCAATTCTCGAAGCTCGATAAGTGGAAGACGACGATCCTTCTCCGTATCAAGAACTCGATATCAGAGGAGGAAGAGAACATTCTGTAAATTCGGGTATATGCGTTGGAATCATACATTTGTCTTTTGTATTTGAGTTTATTGTGGTTGGCTTGATTGATTTTTGTTACTCTTCATGTCTCTGTTAGAGGTGTCAGTATCTGCGATTTATGTAGCAGTTCATTCGAAATCGATATTTTTAAAAAAACTCTTCGTACTTTTGGTGAAAGCGTACAAAACAGGCATGGAAGATAAAATAAAGTAGTTTGGGTTGCATACTAATACACCTGCAGAACTCTACAGTGCGGACATCATGCAAGAATCATAGGTACACGTTTCAAAAAGACACCAGTTTTCAAATAAAAGGAAGTAGAAATAAGCAAAAATAACCAAAAAGATAAAAATAGCAAGATAAAAGAGAGGATTAGATAGAAACTGGAGATAGAATAAGGAAAAGAAACACGACATGAAAGGCTTTTAGGCTGTGCTGCGCTTCAAGTCAATGTAGTGGATGCGGTCGTAAACCGTGCGAGCGCGCAGGTAGGGATCTAGGCCGACGTAGTCCAGTTTGAGACGCTTTGCAACGTCAAATCTCGCCTGCCGGGCCTCACTGGAAGACGAGTATATCCAAGTCCAGGTCGCGTCTTCATATTCTCTCACAATCTTCGCGCGCTCCTCAAGCAGTTTCTCCCGCGTCTCGACGTCCTGGAGTAAGTCGTCCTCGCCTTTGACGGGTTCGATATATTGGTACTCCCACGGGTCGGAGCCGCCGAGGTCTTTCCATAATTTGTCGCGGTCGATGAATTCGGATAGTTGGTCAGAGTTACGGACAAAGTGAATCTTGGACGCGACAACTGGGTCGAGCCAGCCCTTGATGATGTTCCAGACACCCTGGAAAATCCATGGGGCCTTGTAGACTAGGCAGACACCCAGACTCTCGGGGTAGTGAGCTTCAAAGCACTTGATCATGAATTTGACAGGAGCGTAGTCCATATTCGCGAGCTAAAAAACGTATGTTAGAACAAGTTGGAAATGGCATCAACTGAATAAGAGAGCGTACCGAAAAGTCACTGAGGTCAAAGATAACGGTCGCGGTGTCGACGGGGTCCTTCAAGCACATGCGGGCAGTTTCTATCACGTAAATGGTATATCTGTTGAGCGCATCCTCAGATTGGTCACCTTGCTTGTGAAGACGAGCTCGCACAACACATATGGGTCTTCCTTCCTTGTCTGTTTCATGAAGATAGGACTTGCCCATCCGCAGCTGCTTCAGGAAGCCTTCATCGTGCTCCGCAAGCGCGGCACCCTCACCCTTGAACATAATGGACTGGACATCGACTTCCTTCAAGCGCCAGTGCATGGTGGAGACCATCATGACGAGTGCCTTCTTGACATCCCATTTGCGCGCGCGTAGGAATCGCAGAAGCAGGCCGTCGGGATGATCGGCCTGGACCATACTCCAGAACGCGACGCGCAGCTCCTCAGGCGTCATTTCGGCGATAGCGGTCTTGAACTGCTTTGATTGGCCGTATTTATCATTGTCGTCAGTTGTTGTCGCACTGGCGATGGAGGGGCTGCTGATTGTCGACGAGTTTGTTTTTTCCTTTTCTTTCTCCTTGCTCTCCTTGTCCTTCTTTCGGAATACTCCGAATCTTTTCTTCTTCTTGTCGTGGGATTCCGCAGTCTCGGAAACAGCAGTGCTGCCGTTAGCAGACTTGATGGAAGCTGTGGCCGAAATGGCGGAGGATTCGAGGAGCGAGGGAGGGGGCTGGACGCCGAAGGTCTTCATGATCAGAAGCCAGAACTCCTTCAACTTAGCCTCCTGCTCGGGAGTGAGATTTCCGGGACGTCCGGGGGCCTGGTTTGCAGGCGGCATATCGAATGGCGGGTATATTGAGAGAAAGTCTGGGCAGGGTGGGTAGCGAAGGGCGGCCTGGTAGATGGCAACGGCCTGGGATGGATGGCAGTCCCGAAGCTGGTCGATAAATGAGGGGGATTTTTGCTGCTGTACGGCAAAGAAAGTGGCCGCGAGAGTGAATGCGGTCGGCTTGAACGAGAACGAGGGCGAAGCTGATGAGTTTGAAAAGAAAAACCTGGTGAAAAGACGACGGGTTGCTCTGAAGACCATTAAACAGGAGTGAAGTGAGGTCCTCTGATGTTTACCAAGGGCGCGCTTTCCATTCCTTCACAGTAGAATTGGGTGTAAAGTCAGCTATCATAATCAGTGCACTCGGCACACGCTCACTAGTCGCGTCTGCTGTGTTTATTACGGCCAGATGCACCACTTTGCTGCATTTTTTACTCGGTTCTGCTACGGAAGTCTCTACAATCATCCTTCTTCCCCTTGTTGCTCTGCACCTTCCTCAAAGCTCATCGACGAGCTGGTGCGATGCTTCCGTACACCGTTTCTGGCCGGGTGTCGGTAAGTCACGTGCTTCCTGCCACGGGATATTCTGTCACGAGCGCTCTTCGCGTTGTAAACTGTTGAAGATCCACGTTCGACTGTTGCGAATTCTAGTTGCGGCACCGATGTAGGATGGTTTGATTGTGAGGAAGTTTTTGAAAGCAATTGATTAACGATTGGTGATATCGCGAGGCAGACGAAGTCATCCGTGGGCAACGGTTGGCTTGTCGCCTTTTTGCCCCCAGCGGGGAGCAACGCTAGACTGCCATGTGCTTGGGTCGATTGTATAGCAAAGAGAACAATGGCGACTATTTCAGGTCATTTTGCCTTTGCGGCAAGCGCAATCGCTGCAACTGCAGCTATCGCCACCACGCTGCTTACGTCTACGGGGGAACAGACATTTCAGCGCATACAACTCTATATAGACTTGAATCGGCGTAGCCTAACGACACTGCTAAAGGCCGAGTCCTAAATCGAAGAAAGAACGATATACGTCATTCTCCGCGGGTCTCGAGAGGCGTTGCAGAAAGCAAAATTGTGTTGTCAATAAGAGGTACTTGGTCGAGTTGGTATCTGTGATCGATGAAGCGGTTGAAGAGAGCTTCCGATAGATGCCGGCAGCTAGTGTCAGTTAGGCTATAAGCTTTGATCGATGATGAAATCACGTAGAGCGACAATAGCCAGTATAGACGGGGATAGACGGGGACTGAAAGCATGCTTGCGAGTAGTAAAGATTAAAAAAAGCCTACTTGAACTATAGCATACACGACTGACCAGCCGTGTAGGCTCTGATATCATCGGGCTGCGGTTCTTTGTTGAGCCGGATACCACATATCTATATCAATTATAAGCATAAAAATATATCAATTGCCTCTGTGTGTTGTCATTGATACATGCTATACCAATCACCTCCAATATCTCCCGAAAAAGAGGCAATTGCTCCAGAGCAGACAAAGATTGTTGGGCTCGGTTAGTCCGGCTGCGCTACGAAAAGCTCACGACGCTTACATTTCCGGCGTCTGTGCTCGAGTGGCTCCTGCTCAGAGACGGATAAAAACAAAAGACAATTCGATTATAACAAACGTCATCGGCGCGAAGACGAGCTTATTTGTGCCGCTTTGAGTTAGCAGCGAAGACGAGATAGAGATGGCTCCCGCGCTGGGGATGAGCTAAAATGGATCAAGGTCGATGACGTCAGATACACAACCGGCAACGATGAACCGGTATTCGCGCTCCTGAGCACATATCGCAGGAGCAATAAAAATAGAGATGGTTGATATTCGAATGAAATGAAGCTAAATTAAATAAACAGACAAATATATTGGAATAATCAATTGTGAGGGGAAGCAGCCAAAACAGCAGAGAAACCCATAATGGGTGCTGCTTAAACCCGAACAATACCTCAGTGTCGATTAGACTATGCGCGGGTGCAGCACCGTCTGCATTCAGGCCTAAACAATAGCGGCACCTTGTTCCTCGAGATCAATGACGCAACGGGCAAACTGAAATTCAACAAACTGAGGATCCAGCTAGGCCGCTTTCACCACTGTCGCTGGCCGGCCCGCGCAGAATACGAGCCAAACTGTAAGCGGTGAGGGGTGGCGGCAGCGTAGCACCAGCGTAGCACAGGTGGCGCGCCACATCTGCACCGCCCGTGACTGAGCCACAGAATGCCGACTACCGAAGCAGCACAGTGAAGAACTCGGCACCGGTGTGCCGGCCAAGGGGTTCGATCCATCCTCACTCACAGACCTCAACTCTCTTCTGGCTCCCAAGGCGGCACTACGGCACTACTGTCGTCGACAGGTACCTGTTCTGCCGTCTCTTCCGCTGGACTCTCCTTTGTCTCCCACACTATATAGTTCCTGTGTTCTGCTCCCCTGATGCTGTTCTTTTTTCGATATCCTCTACTTCACATTCTTACTGTGGTATCTCTAATACCTCTTCACTATCAATACTCGAATCGAAGAATTCAATATCAACAATGTCGACATCTTCCAATACCGAAGCCGACTCTCAGCTCTACGACGTTGAGAGCCAGCGTTTGGCTCCCGTTATATCGGCTAGTCATCAGCCGTATCTTCATACGGCACCTACCCACATCGAACCTCTTGACGCCGCCAATTTCCCTGTCGCTGCCGTCAGCTCCCAGGCTGATCTGACAGAATACGTCTCTCCTCACCAGGACGGTTATGTCACCGACAAAGAGGGTTACAAGCTCGTCACCTTTACACCCGGCGATCCCGGCAACCCAAAGAACTGGTCAAGGGGCTACAAGTGGTACTGCACCATGGTCGTCGCTCTTCTGTGTTTCGCTGTCGCCTTCGGCTCTGCTGTCGTCACCGGTGATATCATTGGTGTCCAAGAACATTTCAACGTCTCACAAGAAGTCGTAATCTTGACCGTCACTCTTTTCGTCATTGGCTTTGGTAAGCATTCTCCCTTTCCTTTTTTCTCTCATCGTTCCTATTGCTAACTATCCCTACTAGGTGTCGGTCCTCTTGCATTTGCTCCTCTGTCTGAGCTTTTCGGCCGACAGATTGTCTACCTCACTACCCTTGCCGTTGCCGTCGTTTTCATTGTTCCCTGCGCTGTCGCTCAGAACATCGGAACTCTCCTCGTCGCTCGTTTCATCGATGGTGTTGCCTTCTCCGCACCCATGACCCTTGTCGGTGGTACTCTTGCCGATCTCTGGGACGATGAAGAGCGTGGTGTTGCCATGGCTACCTTCTCGGCTGCTCCTTTCGTTGGTCCTTGCATCGGTCCCATTGTCGGTGGTTACATTGGCGACACTGTCTCCTGGAGATGGATCTACTACGTTTTCTTGATTTTCAGCGGTGCCATCTACGTCCTCGTCGCTCTTACCATTCCCGAGACTTTCGCACCTGAGATCTTGAAGAGAAGAGCCCGCAAGCTCCGGAAGGAGACTGGCGACAGCACTTATGTCACTGACCTTGAGCGCAACCGACGTCCTCTCGGCGAGATGTTGAAGGTCTCGCTTTGCCGTCCCATGATCTTGCTCTGCCGCGAGCTCATTGTCTTGTTGATGTCGATCTACATGTCCGTTGTCTATGGCTTGCTCTACATGTTCTTCTTTGCCTACCCCGTTGTTTTCCAGGAGGGCAAGGGAATGAGCGGTGGCTCGACCGGTCTTATGTTCATCCCCATCGCAGTCGGTGTCGTCCTCTCGACCTGTCTCTCGCCTTTTGTCAACAGGCACTACATCAAGCTTAGCAAGAGATACAACGGCCACCCGCCAGCTGAGATCCGCTTGATCCCCATGATGATCTCGTGCTGGTTTATCCCTATTGGTCTCTTCATCTTTGCCTGGACTTCTTACCCGCGCTTGTCCTGGGTCGGACCTTGCCTTGCTGGTTTCCCTTGCGGTCTCGGCTTCTGCTTGCTCTACAACTCGGCCAACAACTACATCGTCGACTCGTATCAGCATCACGCCGCCTCCGCGCTCGCAGCCAAGACCTTCTTGCGTTCGATGTGGGGTGCCGCCTGCCCCTTGTTCACCATCCAGATGTACCACCGACTCGGAAACGAGTGGGCTGGCTCTCTTCTTGCATTCATCTCTCTCGCCTGCTGCGCTATCCCGTATCTCTTCTACTGGTACGGTGCTAAAGTCCGCTCGTTCTCCAAGTACGCTTATGCGCCTGAGGACGACGCCGCAGAGAAGGCCGAGGGTCGCTAAGCATCTTATTTCAGCAAGATGAATTAGTCGGTCGTATATACAATAATCTCATTGAAGGGGATGAATCATGAAGAAGGTGACGATTACAATAATAATCTTAATATGGGTATCGCTTTCGTTTCTTAATTTGCAGTGTTCATAGATATACATGTCTCAAAGGTGTTTTTACTTGATCATTTTGCATGCTTTTGTGTTTTAATGGATAGAAATAGAAATATGGAGTTTCTTCACTATAACAGTCTCATCACCATAACGTAGTATTAGAATTGCGCAATAAATAGGCCCTTGGCACGCTTTATGTCATCCGGTCTACTTCTTGATCTTCATTTCTCGGTCGCTAGTTCTTATCAGCCGTGTAGTAATTGGAGGCTGTGCAGTCGAGGTCGAGTAAAGTGACGCATGTTCTCAGTAATTGGCCTCTGGTTGGCGTGGCGAGCCGGTCTGAACCTCACCGCTTCTGTCACCCGCTTCCCCAGTCTGCTTCCCTGCCGTCTTCCCCATATTCCCCCCCTCTGCCGCCTCCCCACCGCCTTTCCTTCCTCTCTTTTTGCTTGCCTTTCTACTCTGCCCGCTGTCGATCTCCAACAACCTCCCTTCTACCCCTTCCGCCCTGCCTCGCCCGTTCTTTCCTGCTCCAAGACGGCGCCAAGATGCCAAGCAAGGCTGCATAAATCCCTATAAATTTCGACGACTGTGCCACGCTCATCTGCGACTACAAAGCCTGCCCATCCCCGCGTAGACGAACTCTGCCCTTCACCAGCGAACCTCTCTTCTTCCCCACCGTCGCCCTTCCCACTCACCAGCCATGTCCTCCGTCGCCAACTTCATGCCGGCCGCGTCCTACCCGTCCATATCGTCGCTCGTCGTTGACCACGCCTCCGCCGGATTCGCCGCCGCAGCCTCCTCTTCCTCTACCTCGCCGACCTCGTCCACGGCATCAGTCGCCACCTCGTCCTCCGGTGGACGGCTCTCGACCACCTCCTCCTACTCCTCTGCCGCAAACTCCCCGACCTACAAGCTTGCCCAGGACTCGACCTCACCTGCTGCTGCTCAGTCGTCCTCGGGCTCGTCAGCTCAGTCTGTCCGCCAGCCGGCCTCGCCCTCAGACGGCCTTTCCTGCCAGTGGGGCGCCTGCTCAGAGACCTTTGCCTCGGCTGAGGACCTCTACAACCATCTCTGCGACCACCATGTCGGCCGCAAATCTACAAATAATCTCTGTCTGACCTGTGCCTGGGGTTCCTGCCGTACCTCGACCGTCAAGCGCGACCACATCACGTCCCACTTGCGTGTCCACGTGCCGCTCAAACCTCACCGCTGTGATTTCTGCTCAAAGCCGTTCAAGCGCCCTCAAGATCTGAAGAAACACGTCAAGACACATGCCGACGACTCTGCCTTTTCCGACAACTCTCGTCCGCACCGGTCATCGCAGGTCTCGGGTGCCGCGTGGAATGCTCGCGAGAGCTCGTCGTCGTCTAATGAGGAGTACTCGACTTACACTGTCGGCTACTCGCACTTGCCTTTGCCCAACCCCGACAACGCGCACCAGCAGAGCCAGCACTACTCTATCCCTGTCTCCCATCACGACAACACTGGTTTCTATGTGCCGCCTTTGGCCACCCATCAACAACCGCAGCAGCAGCAGCAGCCTCAGTATGCCTCCACAGCTTCTGGCGTCCCGCCCAGTTATCAGCACGAGTATGCTCCTCCCCCGTTTGCAGGCCTTCATGGAGACATGCCCCGCAAGCGTGTGTTTGATGCCGCCAACGATTTTGTCGAAGATGTGAAGAGACACCGTGTTGCCCCAGTATACGGACAGGATATGGCATCCCGTCTTTCGGCCTTGGAGGCCTTGGTCGGAGTCGTGCCGCCGTCTACCGAGTACGCTGGTAACTATCAGTCGCAGAACCACTCGCACTACCCGCTCCCGCTTTCGCAGATCTCGCAGCCGCCGGCTCAGCACCCGACGACTCTTCCTGCTTTGAAGACGAAGCAGGAGATGCTTGAGGCCGATCACTTCCTCAACCAGCTCTCGACCTCTCTGTACAGCTCTTCGTCCCACCCTGCTCCGCTGCAGTCGTCGTACTCGTCAATTTCTGCGCCTTCCGGTCCGCACCCACAGCACCAGCAGCCGCTGATGTCGAGCTCGTCTGCGCAGACGCAGCCGCTGCAGCCTGCGTCGTTCACCCCGATCAGCAATTCGAGCCCGCACCTAACTCCCTACGCCTCGATCCAGGTGCAGTCCTCCTCCGGTCTGTATCCCTCGCTTCCCGCGGTTGTCGGCACCGAGCACCATCAATCCTACCCTTCGATCGGCTCGCGCTTCGACATCGATCCTACTCGTCGGTTCTCTGTCGGCGCTCTGCAGAAGTCTGCTGTTAAGGACGCCAAGGCCGCACCTGAGGAGGAGAGTGAGCGCCAAATTGACGATCTGGTCGAGGGCATCAACAGCAAGCTTGATCTTAGCAAATCTGACAAGGCTGACTTTGAGCTCTCTGATCGGCAGCGAAAGATGCATATCCTCGTCATCGAGCGTCTTCGCACTGTTGTTCGCAACATGATGGTCTCAATCGATGTTTAAGTGCTAGTTTTTCGGTTTATCTTTCTTTTTTCAAGACGATCTTTACATTGTGGGTTATGGGATTTAGGATAGGATGGTTTTTCGTGTAGTGCAATCAGTTTTTAGGAGTAAAAAAGGGTTCTAGTTTGGCGTTGAATTCTTCAGATGTATATTCGATTTATATGCGATTATTTAAGGAAATATGTGTTTGAAGAGTGTTTATATTGAATATGTCTCGGTCTTTGGATTTTGGTTATGTGATTAGTCGATTTTTCCACTGTATTATTATTGTTTATCGTTTTCTTCTGGAAATAGTAGTCACCAATCGCTATAAATATTTTCTAACTGCATTTTTGCCACTTTTTTTTTCTATTTTTTTATTTCGTGCGATTTTGGTGTCCCCTGATCTATAAACTTAAACCCGAGCAGAACTGATTTCTTCGGATCTGGACTCTGAGCAAACCCCAGTACGAGAAAACGACGACAGCCCACACGACCACCGATGCCGGATACCAGGCCACCACAGCCTTTCGCTACACGGCACGATGCCGACCGCCACACGACACGCAAGCGCGTGAAGCTGAACCACGTGCCTGCACCGGTGATTTCGATTGACAAGACACATCCGCTGGGAATCCAGCCGTTAGGGAACCTGATTCTGTCGAGCAAAGATGCGGGGCAAGTCGAGCGGGAGAGTAATGCGCTGCGGACGCGGCAGCTGGGGTATTTTGCGATACTGCCGGATGAGATGGTGAACCTTGTGCTGCAGACGTTTGGGGCGGAAGAGCTTCGGCGGGTTGGATATTGCAGCCGGGTGTTTTCTGCGTTTGCGACGCAGGAGGATCTGTGGAAGCAGCTGTTTGTCGAGCGGGGAGTACCGCCTACGAAATGGTACGGCAGTTGGAGACGGACGTATTATGGTCTTGAGGAGGAGCGAGAGGCGCGCGTGCGTTGCGACGGGCTGTATTCTGATGTTTTGTACCGGCCGTTTTTCTGCACGCACGCCTGCACGACCGAGTACCTCAAAGCGTGTCTGGAGCACTACTCGTCCGAGAGCATTCAGATCCCTTATCTATCCGAGACTCCGACGCAGGCCGAGTTTGACAGCGAGTGGGCGTATAAGCCGTTTGTCCTGCGATCGCACGAATGGCCGAAATGGTCGTTCTCAGAGCTGCTGAAGGAGTATGGCGAGATCGAGTTCATCCAGGAATGCGTGCGGTGGCGGCTTGATGTCTACGGGCAGTATATGGCGTCGAATCAGGACGAGTCGCCTTTGTATCTGTTTGACCGGGAGTTTGGTGATAAGACTAGTATGACGGTCGAGTACGACGTTCCGGGTATATTCAAGCCGGACTACTTCACCCTGCTGAAAGATATCCGTCCCGACTACAGATGGATAATCATCGGCCCTGAGCGCAGTGGAAGCACGTTCCACAAAGATCCCAACGCGACATCGGCATGGAACGCCGTCGTCCAGGGCGCAAAGTACTGGGTCATGTTCCCACCCGACGTTCTTCCCCCAGGGGTCTACACTTCCGCGGACGAGTCGAGCGTGACCTCGCCGCTGTCGATCGCGGAGTGGCTGTCTGAGTTCCACAAGGCTGCGCTGGCGACGCCGGGGTTCAGACACGGCGTGTGCAGGTCGGGCGAGGTGTTGTATGTGCCGAGCGGGTGGTGGCATTTGGTGGTGAATCTGGAGGACACGATTGCGCTGACGCAGAACTTTGTCCCGCTACCGCATATCATGAGTGTGTTGCGGTTTTTCCACAATAAGAAGGATCAGATTTCTGGATTCCGAAACAAGAAGCGAGCTAGCTCTGACGACGATGACGAGAACGAGGTCCCGGACGAGGATATTTTGAGCATGTTTGTTGACAGATTGTTGGGAGGCGAGGCAGAGCTCACTGACGAAGTAGAGGGGAAAATCAAAAAGTGGACAGAGTCGCTGGGCGAGTCGAAGTGGGATAAGCTGATGGATGCGAAGGAGAGTGGGTTTAGTTTTGGTTTTGGGTTTGACGAGGATGAGGATGAGGATAATACTGAGGATAGAGAAGATGAGCGATGATAAGGATTATAATGTAATGTATTAATGCAGCAACTGTGCTGTATCAAGGAGATCAATTCATGGGCCAAACATTATGCCAAAAAGTACAAAAAGATGATTACTTTCCAAACGCATAGATACCACCCTTCTCAGCAACATCGACCGAGATCTTGCTATCCTCAAGCACCTTGCCGTCAACCTCAAGACCAGCATCGATGTGGTCGCCAGGCACGACAGAGCCGACGCCCTTGGGTGTGCCGGTGAGGATGATGTCGCCGGGCTGGATGGTCATGACGCTGGAGATGGCGGAGACGAGCTCGGGGATCTTGAACATCATGAGGTTGGTGGAGTCGTGCTGATTGTATGGGGTCTGCTTGTTGACGGTCAGGAACAGGGTCACGTCGGAGGGGTCGGGAATGGCAGACTTGGGGATGAAGTTTCTGAGAGAGGATGAGGAGTTAGTAGACTGTTCTCTGGTAGTAATGAGTTGCGGCGGACGACTCACGAGACGGGGAGGAAGGTGTCGAAACCCTTGGCAGTGGTCCAGGGAAGACCCTTCTTCTTGATCTCGTCCTGAACGTTACGTCCGGTCATATCAATCGCAACAGTGTAGCCTATTCATGTCAGCTTTAAGTCTCTACTGCTTAAAAAAAACCAAGCATACCGCTGATTTGGTCAATGACCTCATTCAAAGCCGTCTTCTCGTCCTTGCCACGGTAATCGTAGTCCCGCACCGTCTTATCAAACACCAGCGCGAGCTCAACCTCGTAATGGCATTTGACGCCAGTCGGTGCGAGGATTGGGCCCTGGCCGGGCAACAGAATCGACGACGGTGGCTTGAGGAAGAAGAACGGCGACGTGGGCTTCGCGTTGTTGAGCTCGAGCACGTGGTCAAAGTAGTTGCGGCCGATGCACACGACCTTGCGGCATTTCTCTGCAAACGCGGTTGACATTTTCAGATGCAATTGAGTGTGTTGTTTGTGTTGGAAAGTGTCGAGAGAGACGGTGGAGAGGTGAGCGCAGGGAGGAGCGGTGCGGGATAGCGGGGGAGAAAGCAGTTCTCGGAAGAGCGTCAGACGCTAACTTAAAAGGTTATCGCCCGCAGCCTTTGGCGGGGATAAACAAAACTTCGGCGATTGCGTCAGTTTCGACGAATAATCCTGTTATCACATATTGGATGCTGCTTTTTATCGTAGTTAGATATAAAAGATGCATTGAAGGTCAATTGGTGTTCACGCGTGTTCCTGGTAGATTGACAATCATCTCGAATCTAATCTATCGCCAAACTTGTACTTCCGGCATCCTACTAATTCCAGAACACTTTAACAGCAGATAATATTCCTACACAAACTACTCGACAAGCGCCTCCTCAATATGAAGCTTCGAGCGCAAGAAATCCAGACGCTGCTGCGTAATCGCAATCGCCTCCTCAACCTCATGTCTGCTAAGCCATCCCCGCGGTTTCACATCTTTTGCGTGCGTAACCCCGTCTTTCGCACCAACCCACTGCGTCCGGTCCTCGATCCAGTCCCATAGATACTGCTCCTCGATGTCCCATAACGCGTCCCATTTCTTCACCGCGTTGGATCTCGACCGGCTGCTGCCGCGGCCACCGAAGATTAGGTACGTTGACTGAATCAGAACGAGGACGAGCAGGCCGATGACAATATACGTGATGTACGTTCCGTCAAACTTCTTCTCCGTCTCGTGTACCGGCTGCCGGATTTGCTTGACCGGCTCCGACTTCTTCGTTCCTTTGCTCTTTTGTTTCTTCTTCTTGCTCTTCGTCGTTGCCTTGGGCTGGAACTCGTGATTCAGCGCCGCCACCAGGTCCTTCGCCGACTGCGCCTGTCCCTCGTTCGCACCCTTCTCAATCGGTCCCTTGATCCAACTCTTACCGCTCCATTCAACAGTGCACATAATCAGCATTCGCGTGGTATTGTTCTCGGCCCATGTTATGCAATACTTTGTCTTTGTCACAAACAGGTTTCCGTTCGGAACATCCGGTGTCTCGGTCGAGACGACGACTGTGACGTGATCGTTGAAGTCCCAGAACGTTAGCGTCTCGGTCGTCAGGCATTTTGTCTGCTTGGGACCGATACTGGCGTTCAAAGGCTTGATGTAGCTAAACGTTCGCGCTCTGTGACCTTGTGCGTCGGGCTCAAACGGTGTAGGCTTTGTCATATCTGTGTACAAAAGCAAATTGTTAGCACAATCTTCCAATCACATAATCGTACTGGTCTTACCAAAGTTCTTGAGAGTGTTTGTGGTGTAGTTCATCATCCAAGTCGAGTCATCACCCCACAGCAGAGTGCATAACCGACCTACCGGAACATTGAACTTTTCGTCACAGACAATCTTCTCATAATGCTCGTTCGGCGGACATCCACAGGTAGTAGGAGCGTGTTTCAGAGGACCAATTAATTCCAACTGCTTTTCGTCTAACCCATCGCCATTTCCCTTTCCATCACCATCTCCATCACCCGAGTTTCCATCTCCGTCTGCATCGCTTCCGTCACCACCTCGTTCGCCGTCTGCTTCTTCCCGCTCGCTGTCCGACTCCTCGTCAGAAGATCCGGACGGTGTTCCGCTTGGCAATTCGCCGTTATGCCAGATCGAGCACATGAGTTCGTAGGTACTATCTCGGGAGATGAAACTGGCAAACACGTTGCGCGCATGCAGAGTCTGGACAACAATCGCGTTAGGAAACAGTCCTGCCGTGGTCTTCTTTTCGATCGCCACCACTTCATCAAATGAAATCACGAGATTCGTGACCCAGCCAAAGATATTCGAGTTGAAGCAAATATGCTGCTCAGAGATATATAGACGACCTTGAAGTAGAATTTCTCGACTCAAGGCACATCCGTAGTCCTCAATCAGATAGTCATCTTCAGGCACCGATCGAAAGAGCTGGTGAAACTCTCTGTTGCGCTTCTTATTTGCGACAGCAAAGCCAGTCACTCGCGGCTGCTGAGAGATCTGGGGCGCAATACTTGATAGTCCAGTCGGTGTAGGCATCTGGCTAGCAGTGGACCCTCGTCGCCGAGTCATGGAGTTGCGCTTTGAGTTTGAGCGCTCGGTGTTAGCGAGGTTCGTCGTGCTTTCGCCAAACGCGGGATTTGCAGGGGTTGCAGCGCCGGACTCGTGGGCTTCTGACTGCACGTTCTCGTCGTTCAAGGAGTAGCCGCCAGCGATGCTACCTGGAGCTCCGTTTTCATTTGATCCTTGGCCTTCGACGATGCTCTCGAGAGTCAGATGACCAGATCCAATAGTTGCTACCGTTCGCGCTACCGATGGCGTGGAATCGTCAAATTCTGCGGATTTGCGAGGAATCGGCTCGGTCTCAGCTCTGGGCCTACCATGGGGAAAATCAGAGGACAGGTTTGGGGTAGTCATTGGCGAGTTCTCAGTAGAAGCAAGGGGAGAGTCTATGCCGCGGGCCATCGAGTTTGTGACGCCGGTGGTGAGAGTGGAGAGAGTGTTTGCTGCAGTTTGGGCAGCCGAGAAGACAGAGGTCAAGAATGATGGACCGGTGATCGCAGCTGAGTTTCCTTGTAGATTGCTTTGGAGAGTCCTCACTCTGTCAATGCCTGGTCCTCGACCTAGCGCGACAGATGACGAGGCCGCAGAGGTTGATTTTTGATCAGCAGGTCGGCCAGCGAGGTCGAGATTGGCAGGAAGTGACCCGGTAGGAGAGACCTGTTGTGCTATCGATCCGATTTGTTCGTCCTCGGATGATGAGTCGTATTCACTACAGAAAAAGGTGATATGTCAGGATCATGAATGAGAAGGAATGGCAGAAGCCTTTGAATCAAAAGCTGGATGTGAAGAATTTCTAGCTGCCAGTCCAGCCCTGGGGTTTGTTTGATACCTTCCACTCCAGGAGGCCTCGTCAAAACTGTAATCCGAGGCAATACTCGCGCGTCTTTCATCGCTAGCTGGCCGTGACGAGCTGGTCATGATCGCATCAGAGGCAGTGGACGCTTTGCGTTTGATCCGATTGTGCCTGCGTCGCTGCTTCTCTTTGAAATCCTGCAGTTTCTGGCGCACTTTCGATTGACTGCGTCTGAGCGACGACGACGGCGACAGCGAAGGATGTGAAGATGAGTGCAGCAATTTTTCCGCCTTGTCCATGTTGTATGAGGAAAAATCAAGGTGAGAGAGAGGTTGAAGTGGTGAAAAGGAGAGGAGGAGACGGCCACCCGGAACGAGGAAGATCCGAGGACCAAGTGCCGAGCACTCTCAATTATACCGTGAGGTCTTGATTCCTGGCACAGGAGCCGGGGAAAAAGATGACAGAGGCTTGAAGAAGCAGACCAGAAGCAGATCTCTTCAAAAATAGAGCCGCGTAAGCAGATGGTTATAAGAACAGAAAGTGCTGACTGGCGATCCGCAGCATCGAAATGAGCTGCACGCGTTGCTCGCAGACGCTGAGCGGCTGCTTCCAGCCCCCGAGACTGAAACCGGCAGCAATGAAACCAGTCTCCTGAACTGAGCCAGAACCGAACCGTATTCTGGTTTACTATAAACCTTAAATTACTTTTTTTTTTGTGGGTGTTCTGGATAAGTTATGACTGTCGAGATCGACTTTGACACAGCTCCACCGTCTATCCCGCAGCCTCCGCTCTTGCGACAGATCGTCTCGTTCAACCGCGCGAAATGAAGCAGACCGTCGTCGATACTCCGCCGAAGCGGATCTCGGCTGTGCACTTTGGTGTGCTCTCGCCGCAGGAGATTGTCAAGCAGGCTGAAATTGAGGTCTCGACCCGTGAGCTCTTTGACCTAGAGAAAGGAAGAATACCGAAAGAACATGGTGCTCTGGATCGGCGAATGGTGCGTGATTTTGCGGTGAAAATGTTGTCTGCTTTCTGTAAGAGCAAAAGATCTCTAACTTTGGATTTCTCCAGGGTATCTCGAGCAACTCTGCCGAGTGCGCGACATGTCGCGGCAAGCTCGCTACCTGCCAGGGTCACTTTGGACACGTCAGGCTAGCACTCCCGGTGTTCCATGTGGGATATTTCAAAAGCGTTATCTCTATATTACAGAACGTCTGCAAGGTGAGTGCTGGCTGCTGTTTTGTGCTGTGCGTTTTATCTGTCCACCAGCTTCTAATGCTAACTTTGTAAACTCTGTAGGAATGTGCCGCTATCCTCCTCGACGACATAAACCGCCTAAAGTTCTTGCAGGAGCTACGACGTCCCGGCATCGATAACCTGCGCCGAATGCAGATTCTCAAAAAAGTCAACGAACAGTGTCGCAAGCAGAGAAGATGTCTAAAGTGCGGGGCGATCAACGGAGTCGTGAAGAAAGCTGGTCCTCTCAAGATTATCCACGACAAATTTCGATGGAGCGGCAAGCAAATCGTGGAGGAGAAGATCGAGTTTGACCGATCGTTTGAATCGGCAAAGGAGTTTGTGCCTGATTTGGAGAAATTTCAGAAAAAGGCAATGGATGACATGAATCCTCTTAAAGTTCTCAATCTGTTCAAGCGCATTATTCCCTCCGACTGCGAGCTCTTGGGTATGGATCCCTTGGAAGGTCGCCCTGAGATGTTTATCTGGCAGTATGTCCCTGCTCCACCTGTCTGTATCCGACCATCTGTACAGCAAGAAAGTGCGAGTAACGAAGACGATCTGACCGTCAAATTGACCGATATTGTTTGGACAAGCTCGCTCATAAGATCGGGTCTCGACAAGGGTATGACAATCGTTAATCTCATGGAACAATGGGATTACCTCCAACTGTGTGTTGCAATGTACATCAACAGTGACACTCCGGGAACTTCTGGGCCTGGTGCTCCAGCTAAGCCTATGCGTGGACTCTGTCAGAGACTGAAGGGCAAGCAAGGTCGGTTCCGCGGCAATTTGTCGGGAAAGCGTGTCGATTTCTCCGGGCGTACGGTTATCTCGCCGGATCCAAATCTGAAGATTAACGAGGTTGCTGTTCCGGATCGGGTGGCTAAGATTCTGACGTATCCCGAGACTGTGAACAGATACAACAAGCAGAAGCTTAAGGAGCGGATTTTGAACGGACCCGACGTCCACCCTGGCGCCAACTATCTAGTGAAGAAGGATGAGGAGGGAAAGCGGTTTTTGAAGTACGGCAACAGAAATCATATTGCTGATAATCTTCAAGAAGGCGACATCCTCGAGCGCCATCTCGAAGACGGTGATATCGTTCTTTTCAACCGTCAACCTTCGCTGCACAGACTTAGTATTCTCTCTCATTTCGCAAAGATCCGTCCCTGGAGAACCTTCAGACTGAACGAGTGTGTCTGCACGCCCTACAATGCCGACTTTGATGGTGACGAGATGAATCTTCACGTTCCGCAGACCGAAGAAGCTCGAACGGAAGCCATGAACTTGATGGGTGTCAAGAACAACTTGATCACGCCTCGAAACGGTGAGCCTATCATTGCGGCCACCCAAGATTTCATCACTGGCTCGTTTTTGATTTCTCGCAAAGACGCTTTCTTTGATCGCGCTCAGTTTTGCATGCTTTGCTCTATGATGTCTGACGGAGACCTGCAAATTGACCTCCCGCCTCCTACGATTATGAAACCAGTCTATCTCTGGACTGGTAAACAGGTGTTCAGCACTCTGATCAGACCCAACAAAAAGTCCAAGATCCTGATCAATCTCGAATCGAAGAACAAGACTTTTCATGCTCCGCCTCCCGGATATCCTCCAGACATGTCGCCCAATGATGGATACCTGCTTATTCGCGGTAGTCAAGTCATGTGCGGCTCGATGGACAAAAACACGCTTGGCGACGGCAAGAAATCCTCGGTATTTTATGTTATTTTGCGGGATTTCGGCGCCGATGAAGCTATCGCTGCTATGAGCCGCATGGCAAAGCTTTGCGCTAGATTTTTGGGTAATAAAGGGTTTTCGATTGGTATCAACGATGTAACTCCGGGAAGGATCTTGAACTCGAAGAAAGATACTTTGGTTGAAAGGGCTTACGCGGCTTGTGATGACTTGATTATCAAGTACAAAGAGGGCAAGCTTGAGACTAAGCCGGGTTGTAACGAGGAAGAAACCTTGGAGATGGAGATTTCTGGTATTCTGTCGAAAGTCAGAGAGGAGGTCGGCGAGATTTGCATCCGGGAGCTGCCAAAGTCAAACGCTCCCTTGATTATGGCGACCTGTGGTTCGAAGGGTTCGACGATCAATGTATCTCAGATGGTTGCCTGTGTCGGTCAGCAGATTATTTCCGGAAAACGTGTTCCGAACGGTTTTCAAGATCGGTCGTTGCCGCATTTCCCAAAGTACTCTAAAGAGCCACTGTCAAAGGGATTCGTGCGCGACTCGTTCTACTCTGGCCTGTCACCTACCGAATTCTTGTTCCATGCCATTTCTGGTAGAGAAGGTTTGGTTGACACTGCTGTCAAGACTGCCGAGACCGGTTACATGTCTCGTCGTCTGATGAAGTCGCTTGAGGACCTGTCTATGCAGTACGATTCCACTGTGCGTAATTCAAGCAGCGGTGTTGTCCAGTTTCAGTATGGTGGTGATCGTCTTGATCCGCTGGATATGGAGGGCGACGCCAAGCCTGTGAATTTTGTGCGGACATGGTCGCATACGATGAATATCACTTTCTCGCACGACGCGCAATCGCTTCTTCCTCATGAGGTGGTTCGTATTGCGGGTGATATTCTTGCTCCGTTGGAAGCAAAACTTGCGCAGCCGAAAAGTTATCTCATGGAAAAGGAAGATGGTACGATGGAGTCGCAGCTCCAGTATGTCGACGAATTTGAGTCCGAGCGAGTGTTTTACCAGACCGTCAGGGATTTCGTTTACGGAAAGGCTGTTGAGCTTGGCAATGTGCGGCATCGTCGTGGTCTTGCAAATATGCGGTACGCGACTGATTCAGAGTACGACAGCGAACTTCAAGATCCCGAGGCTCGTGATATAGCACAGATCGCTGTGAATCAGATTTTGAAGATCAGTGAGAGCACCGTGAAGGAGTTTCTGAGACATTGTCTTATGAAATACGAGCGGTCAAAGGTGGAGCCTGGCACGGCGGTTGGTGCGGTCGGCGCGCAGTCTATTGGTGAACCGGGAACGCAGATGACGTTGAAGACTTTCCATTTCGCTGGTGTCGCCTCGATGAATATCACGCTTGGAGTGCCGCGTATCAAGGAAATTATCAATGCGTCGAAGGTGATTAGTACACCTATTATTCGTGCTTCTCTTGTTAATAATCGGGATGAGCGCGCAGCGCGGATGGTGAAGGGACGGATTGAAAAGACGCATTTGGAAGACGTAAGTCATATTTTGAAAGTCATACTCTAACATTTTGAAAATTGCTAACAATCATCCCCGTCCAGATTATCTTCTATATCGAGGATGTTTATCAAGAGTCTCGAGCCTTCCTTGCCGTTCGCGTGGATCTGAAGACGATTGATAATCTCCAACTGGAGATCAAGATCGAGGACATTGCGCGCGCGATATATCATGCGCCCAAACTGAAGATCCAGCAGAAAGACGTGACGGTTGTAGGCCACGACCGGATTCGGGTCGCAGTTCCGGATATCCCAGAGAAAGACCGCGCGAAGGCCAAGACGGCTGCCGAGACTGACGTGTTCTATCGTCTTCAGCATTTGCAGCGCGTGTTGCCCAAGATTGTTGTGCATGGAATCCCGAACATTTCGCGCGCGGTTATCAACATCGACGCGAAGACTGACGAGAAGGAAATCCTGGCTGAAGGATATGGTCTGCGAGAAGTGATGAATACCGATGGCGTGGTGGGTACAAAGGCTACTACGAATCACGTTCTTGAGATGCGTCAGACCCTTGGTATCGAAGCTGCCCGGTCGAGTATCATTTCTGAGATTGCGACGACCATGTCGGAGTACGGCATGAACGTTGATCCCCGCCATATCCAACTCCTAGGCGATGTCATGACATACAAGGGCGAGGTTTTGGGAATTACCCGATTCGGTCTGGCAAAGATGAGAGACAGTGTCTTGCAGCTGGCGTCGTTTGAAAAGACGACCGATCACCTGTTCGACGCCTCGTTCCATATGAAAACCGACCTGATCGAGGGAGTGAGCGAGTGCATCATTCTCGGCCAGCCGATGCGAATCGGAACCGGGGCGTTCCAGCTTGTTCGGAAGACTGGAATGTCTTCGGGAGAGAATTTTGGTGAAAAGCCTACGCTGTTTGAGGATTTGTGCATGGAGTGAAGTGAAGTGGAGCGGAAGCAGAAGTGCTGGTCGCGTAATATTTTTGAGTGGCGTTTTTGCATGATCTAGTTGTATGATTTAATGTCCTATAGATGTAGTTTATTGATATAATGATCGCTGAAAATAGTCTTGAGCGAAGTAAAATCTACGTCTTTATGAGACATCTCTTGGTCTGGACGAGCTGGTGTCAAAGAGTCGGATGTATAGTCTGTGATTGAGATGGTAAAACTAAGATGAGTTAATAGAAGAGTCTGTCGATATGTACAGTGTATATTGCTGGAGCAAGCAATAATATGTTGATATCGGAACAAGCCGTGATGGTGTCAACCAGGCGGGCAGATGGGACAGAGCGCAGGTTCGAGCCGTACGTCATTTTCACGCTGGTCCGCGCCGCTCCGCTTGATCCAGCTGCAACCCCGCCCACGGAGGCTTCCCATCTTTTCTTTCTTCACCAAGAGTCCTGCGTTCTTGAAATACTCCTCTACAGCTGCTGAAATGACCACAGGCGAAGAGTGGAGCGAGGAGAACGAAGCCGTAAGTCCGCTCACCTGTTCTTCGTCACACTGATCTCTTCCAGTTTTCTCTCGCATGACGGTCACATGCATACGTCGACGTGTTCTAACATGCCCTGTTTGTGTTCGTCCAGGTCGTTCTTGGGCCGTTCTCCTACATCGAGTCGCATCCTGGGAAGGATCTGCGACGGATCTTGGTTGACGGGTTCAATCTATGGCTGCAGGTTCCCGAATCATCGATCGAGATCATTAGCAATATAATCGCAAGGCTGCACTCGGCCTCATTACTGTTAGTCGCCCATCTTCGACTGAGAAACATGAGCTGTGCTCTCTAACATCTCTGTCTGCTGCTAGGATTGACGATATTGAAGACTCCGCGACGCTGAGAAGGGGTTTCCCGGTTGCGCATACGATATATGGGATACCACAGACCATCAACTCTGCAAACTACGTCTACTTCATCGCCCTGCAAGAGCTCTCCAAACTGAATAACCCAAAGATTTATCAAATATTCACAGGTCAGTCGGAGCTATATACTACTTTTTATTATTTGTATCGCTGACGGATCATTGGGCTATAGAGGAGATGCTGAACCTACACCGAGGACAGGGACTGGATCTATACTGGCGAGATTCCCTAATATGTCCGACGGAGGAGGAGTATATAACCATGGTGAAAAACAGTAAGAGATAACATTTCTCAAGTACTCTACAATATCAGTGCAAGATCAAGTATACTAACTGCTCAGAAACCGGTGGTCTTTTCAGGTTAGCAGTCCGTTTACTGCAAGCCGAGTCCCCTACAGACTAGTAAGTTCTCACAAACTTGTCTGATCTAGTGCTTTTCCGCTGTCTTTTATGCTGTAAACTTACTCTTTACTACGCGATTAGTGATTTTGTCCATCTTGCGAACCTCATAGGTATCCTGTATCAAATTCGCGATGACTACATGAATTTACAATCAGATCAGGTAATTTGTCTACATTATTTATCTTCTCGGTGTTTGATTATGTGACATCTACTGACGTGTTTTGCTCTCACTTGTAGTACTCAGTCAACAAGGGATTTTGCGAGGATCTAACAGAGGGAAAATATTCGTTCCCAATAATTCACAGTATCACCAACGACGACTCCGGCAACCAGATTCACAGTAAGACCACCCTTTCTTCCCATACGATATATAAGCTAGAAATACTAACTCGACCAACAGATATCCTCAAGCAACACTCCGCAGACATAAACCTGAAACAGTACGCCGTCAAGCACATGCGCGACGTCACAAAGAGCTTCGAATACACCGCCCGCGCCATAAACCGGTACCAGGCCAAGATCACGGACGAACTAAACCGGCTGCAGATGGGGCCGAATCCGATTATCGAGCAGGTTCTCGCGGGGCTGTCCATATGACGGCTGATAGAGTAGAATTCGTGTGTTGGTCGACCTGCTGCGCACTGGTTTGACTAGTTGATCTCCTCGTCATCTTCTCTTTTTTGAAGGCGTTCATTCGGTAAACAAGGCTAAAATATCGCTAATCATTTTCTCTGCGAGAAAAGGGTTGGAAATTCTTTTTCTTATATATATTTTGTAGAGTGTTTTGTTTCCGTCTTTTTACTGTCATCTTTCTTGGCTATATGGGATTTGTACATATCACCCTGTTCCGCAACAATTGAAGAGTAGCGAATAGAAAGAATATTTCCGTAACAGGATTGATAATGATAATCGATCAGAGATGAGTAAAGGTGTAATTATATAACTATGTATGTGAAATACGACACTCGGCAAAAACAAAGGATACCAAAACAAGAGAAAAACTGAGCAAGCAAGGAAGCACAGAAATACACAAACAAGAAGACTACTTGAACAGCTTTCTCAGCGAAATCTGGCCCTCGTCGTTCCGCGAGAGAACCTTGGCGACCGCGAGCTCGAAATCCTCCTGCGTGACGTGAATTCTCCGCTCTCTGAGCGCGTACATGCCGGCTTCTGTACAGACACCCTTGACTTCAGCGCCGGAGCAGCCGTTCATCTTGTCTGCGATCTTGCGGAGGTTGATGCCGCGCGTGAGGTTCATTGATCGGGAGTGGATGCGGAGGATATCGGTACGGGCCTCGAGAGTCGGAGGAGGGAACTCGATCTTTCGATCGATACGGCCGGGACGAAGAAGAGCGGGGTCAAGGATATCGAGGCGATTGGTGGCCATGATGACTTTGATGTTCTTTGATGACTCGAAACCGTCGAGCTGGTTGAGAAGCTCGAGCATAGTTCGTTGGACCTCGGAGTCGCCGCCGCTGCTGCCTTCGACACGGCTCGAACCGATGGAATCGATTTCGTCCATGAAGATGATGCTAGGCGCGTGTTCGCGGGCCATGACGAAGAGCTCGCGCACCATACGACTACCTTCGCCAATGTACTTTTGCACGAGCTCGGAGCCGCTCACGCGGATGAACTTGCACTCGGTGTGATGCGCCACCGCACGCGCGAGCAGGGTCTTGCCGGTTCCGGGAGGGCCGTAGAGAAGCACACCTTTAGGCTGCGCGATTCCAAGCGCTTCAAAAAGTTCGGGATGCTTAACCGGCAGCTCGATGACTTCCTTGATCTCCTTAATCTGCTTGTCGAGACCGCCGACCATCTCGTACGTACTGTCGGGCACCTTCTCGACCATCATCAGAGACACGAGAGGATCGACCTTGTTGGGCAGGATCTGATGCAGCTGGTAGGAGTCTGATCGTAGACATACTCGCAGACTGGGCGTGATCTTCTTGATGTCGATGTCGGGAGCTAGATCGACGACGTACTTGCCCTCGGGATGAACCTTGACCAGCACCTTTGTCTTTCCCATCGCTTTCATAACCTCGCCCACGTACGAGCCGGGTTCTTGAAGAAGTTGGAGTTCCTCCCGAAGTAATCGGACTAGAGACGATCATCCGTGCGTTAGACCTCTAGTTCGTCGAGAGAGTGTGTATTGGTGTCAATCAAATTGAGACAATCATACCCTTTGTATTCAAAGCATTCCGCTGCGCCTCCAGTCGCCGTAAGTTCTGAATCTTCTCATTGATTTGGAGTTCAGTCTCCTCAATCTTCTGTGTGTAATACTATTGTGGCGGGACGTGTCAGTATCGTAAGCAACTCCTCACGAATCGAGTCCTCTGCAACTCAAACCCGCGTCGTAAAAAATATAAACAGCAAAGATACAACATACCGGCTTGATTCCGCTCTCTCTCGAGATAGCGACAGTCATTGTGATGAGATTACGCTGCTGTTTGATCCTGTGCAGTTTCCAAATCAGATCAAGAAGAGCGTCTCGCTAGAGGTTCGTGTAGTAGTCAGTGGAAACATAGAACGCGCGCTCACAGCTTGGATCACTAATCACGTGACTAATTGTGACTCAGATGCTCTTCCCTCCCCGGGTTATTGCGCGACTGATCGATACTTATCTCGGACTTTATCGATTAGCAAAGAGCTGCGCGTGTTATCCGCTCTGTTTGCTTGGGGGAGTTTTATATTACTACTTTGCGAATAGCTGACTGCGCGGAATTATGTGCAGCGTGTTGTTCTAATTTATTTTTATTTTTTTTATCTCGCTTTCCGTTCTTTTCTCTGGACGCTACGACGCGGTGTCCCGTATATCAAGTCAAGAAGAGGTCGTTGATACCATATCGATAGAGAACAGAGTACACAACAGCGACCAATTACCCGAGCTTTGAATACCCTTATTAATTTCAAAATCCCAGCTCTTCTATTTTTGCATAAATGAGCACGGCGACAGACGAGCTGGCGAAGTTCCGGAGTGAATGGGAGAAGGAAGTGCTGGAGCGGAAACGTACCGCGCGAAGCAGTGCCCACGCTGGGTCGGCAAAGGGGAAAGGTACAGGGTCTGAGGTGCAGGCTGAGGGGAGTGCTTTGCAGACCAGCGCGCAGACGACGGCTTCTGGTGTCTCTGGATCGCATGAGAGCCCGGAGAGCTTGAAAGTGCAGGAACCGAATGCTTTGGAGGAGGACACACGCGGTGCTGAATCTGAAGAGGATGAGGATGTGGAGATAGAGGTGGAAGCAGAGGAGGAAGAGGAAGACGAGGAGGATGCGCTCCTGGAGGAAGAGCTGGAGTCGTCAACTGAGGAATTGGTACAGAATATGACGGACCTGAATCTGGAGCTAGAGCTACAGGCCGCCGCAGCTCCGTCAGCTGCAGCCGCGAGAAACGCAGATACTTTGTCGTCGTCTACAGTAGCAGCATCAGCAGATACTGAAGAACACTCTCTAGGTACTGCCGATCAGGAGCCTAACCAGAAGGAGTCAGGGAAAGAATCGCCAGCGGCAGAGCTTCCGATGGACTATGCAGATCTGTCGGAGAATCTGCTGGCGGCAGAGGCGGGCGGTAACTTAGAGGTCAGTCGGGCACAGAGGGCGCTGTTGGTCTACGAGCTCGCGGTTGAGAAGGAGAGGGTGGGGAATCTTTCGGATGCATTGCGATTCTATAGACAAGCATTTAGAGTAAGTTTTTTTGGAGGATCTGGGATTCTGGGTAGATGCTAACTCGGCTGTATTTCTAGCTTGATGAGACAGTGGACAAGCTATACAAAAACAAGCATTTTCCCGCAAGTTCGTTCAAGCGAGCTCCATCGCCGTCAAGGAAAGCAGCGACTTCATCACTTCCGACGGACAAGACGACGTCTATACTGTCAGAGTACTCGAATCTGGAGGCAATGCCGGAGGACGAGGACGTGCCGTCGCCGTTTATTAACATGCCGAACGAGGTGACGTCTGCGATTCTACGCACGCTTGCACTGAGCGACCTGTCGTCGTTTACAAAGGCGACGTATACGTGCCGCAAGCTTGCGTTTCTGGGGTACAGCGACGTGCCGCTGTGGAAGGCTCTCTGCATGAGAGAGTATCCGCGGATGAACTACGAGGAGGAGGTGGATGAGTACGAAGCAGTGGCTCTGTGGAACCATGACTGGCGCCGGATGTTTTTGGAACGGCCACGGGTACAGTTTAATGGTATTTACATCAGCACGTGCAATTATCACCGGTATGGTCATTCAGATTCGTGGAACGCACCGATTCATATTATAACATATTACCGATACCGTATGTTTTCCCTTCACCTTGTTTGCTTGTTTTGTCTTGTTTATGAAAGATTGATTGGAGCAGGAAAGTTTGATTGTATGCTAACAGGCGGGGTGAAAATCCATAGTTCGGTTTTACGACGACGGAACATGCATTACTCATCTCACGTCCCGGGAGCCTATCGAGGTTGTCTCTGAATTTCACCGCCATCTGATGCGGCGGGGAATGTACCGGGGTACGTGGGTGATGTCGATGGACGGACGTATACGGATCGAGTCGCAGGCCCCGGTTGCCAAGTATCTGTTCTTACAGGAGCTTGAAATCAAGTCTTCGGGCCGGGGACGGCATAACCGCGTCAACTGGGTCAGTTTTTCGAGTTTTAATCGGCTGACTGAAGAGCGAATGGTGAGTTATTATTAGTGAAAAATTGTTGTTTTGTGTTGATATTGATGAGGGTGATTATTAATTTCATATACTATAGGAATTCTCGCTGCAACATGACAAGCCGTTTTACTTCTCGAGAGTGCTGTCGTATGACAGGCCGCCCAAGAACTTTGCAGAGGTGGCTACCCCGAGCGCAGTTCCTGTTGGCGGCAGCGGCGTCATTGCGGGCGGCGCGGTAGGGGTGCAAGCAGCCAGTGTGAGGGGGTGAAGGAAGCATGACTGGATGAGGTAGGAAAGAGCAGATATGACATGCTTGAAGATTCGACAGGCATTTGGGTCTAGATTAGGAAGAAGCAGAATCATGCAAAGTAAATAAACGTATTCCGCAAGCATATCGATATGATGTACGCATGGCCGAATGGAGAAGACGGAGGTGGCTGGAGCGTGGAGCGTATGGACCTGCGAGTCCAAGAAAAGCAAGAAGGCGGGGAAGGTTCGGAAAGGGTCGGGAGGAAGAGGCACGGCAAGATAGAGAATTGGTAGGCGAGTAGATATGAACAGGTACGGTTTGGATATAGGACGATCGTCAGGATCCTGGGGAGTAGGTGGACCAAGACCCCCTCCAGCTGGACAAAGAGGCTTTGTGACTAGTCATTTGCTCAATGGCATGGCGTGTATATACGCGGATCTACAACGAACCTACGGAATTGAGGAGATTCGGTGCACGATGAGGCGCGCGAGTAGCTGACTAAATCTGCAGATACGGAGCTCGAGAAGGAGGAGAGGGTTTCGGCAGCGCATACGGGAGGAAAAAGACCATCTCGCTACGACAACTATAAGTGGTTTCCCCGCTTCTAAAAGAGGGTGGAGAGAGCGGTAGGGAGGGAATGGAGATGATGAAGTTGCAGTCCGATAGTTTTTGTTTTCGTCTAAGCTTGGAGTCGTTAATATCAACTCTTGGAAGTGGAGAGTGGAGAGGATAATTCAGCAGGAGGAGCCGAGCTGGGGTCCAATGCTTCATGCCGGTAGCTGTCGAGGAGCTGCGACCTGGTAAGTCGCCAACAACCAAGTACTGGCTCTATACTTACATCTAGTCATTTGTTTGATCTTGATCAGCATCAGCAGCGCAGAGCAGCAGTTCGCGCGATTGCGATAGACGATGGTGATCCCCGGATCTGCGCCAGTGCCGAGTCGCCGTCGCCGCACAGCCCACGCTCCAGCCACAGCACCGCCACCACCACCTTTGCACATGCTTGTGGCAGTGCGGCTGCTCGTCTTGTGACAGCCGATTTTTCATTGTCACCGAACCAAAGGCCAAACCTCTAAAAGCGATTGCTGCTCCTCCTCCGCTCTGCCCACGGCCCTGGGTTCCTTCTGCTGCTCCGTGTGCTCTTCTTCTGCTTTTGCTGCTTTGTATCTGGAATATCCACCACCTCTACGCACATCTCTCCCCGTCAGCGGGCTCGCTATGCGCCCTCCATCCTCTGGCGATGACTTCCGCTCAGTACATGCTTGCAAGGCCGTCCCTCCACCACCACAACCACCACAATCTCGACGGTGCCCACGATCGCGTATCGTCTAAGATGCCGTCTTCTCCTGACGACCCACCTCTACTCAATCGCTTCTCTTCCAGATCCTCAGAGATCCCGCCCATCGACCCTTCTTCGTCTCTCGACCCCGCCCTGCCGCCGCCGTCGCCCCCACCCCCGCCTCCGGCCGGTGCCGCGATTCCTCTGCTCGACGACCGCGAGAGCCTGGCGTACTCCAACTTTCTTGACAAAATTGCTCTCGACTCTGACTTCATCTTCGACCCTGTCTTGCCCGAAGATCTCCTGCCATGGCCGCATCAGCAGTCATCTTCCTCCCTCGTGTCTTCGAACGGCTCGCTCTCCACCACCGCAACCTCACCAGCCAAGACCGATCTCAAAACCGAGGACGGTCCCGGCGACCACAACACCCTTCTCGGACCAGCCTTTCCTGACCTCTCCTCCCACAGTTCAACCATCGACCACCACCACCCTCACCAGCGGCATGTCTCTGGAGGCATGCGCAACTCTTGGCCCTCCGCCGATCATGCTGGCTCTGTCCCGCCGCTGTCGCCGCTGCGGTCTCACTCTCAATCGCGACCTCCGCGATCGCCGCGCTCGAGCTTCTCTCTAGGCAGCAGCTCGCAATCCGCCTCAGTCTCACAGAAAGGCCATCCCCAGCAGCAACTGCCGCTGATGTCTCCGCCGACCGAAGAGCGGTCCGGTTCGCTGCTCGATAACCTGCGATCCGGCCAGATCTCGAACGAGGATCGCGCGAGCCTGCTTCGTGCTGTGCACAGGCAGCAAGGGCTTGCGTTTGGTTCGGACCCGCGCTTTTCGCAGTCGGGGTTCAAAGCCAAGCCTAGCGTGCCGCCTGTGTTTGAATCGTTGTCTGATCTTTCCGGACAGACACCTCCGAGTAGTAGGCTGTCCACGAACAGCCAATCGACGAGTGAGAAGGTAGCGGCAGCTTCTGAAATCCTGAGGCAGATGAGCCAGGATGGCATGTCGTGGACTATGGAGAACGACAGCACGAAGGTGGACCATCCTCGCACGGGTGGGAAAGCGGCTATGATCATGCCGATGCACACAGTATCTCCCTCGTCAGAGTCAGTGGGTGTCTCTCCTGATACGTCCTCAGACGTCTTCAGCGGTCGAGGCCGAGTCCAGCGATCAGCTTCTGTGCAGAATACCCCGCCGCTCGGCCGGAAACGGACCTCGTCGTCTGCGAATCTCGCCGATCTGGCTGCAGAAGAGTATCATATATCAGAACAGCCGCAGCCAGCGCCTTCCATAAGCAAGAAGTCCAAAAAGCAGTCAATCAGTGGTGCGGTAAATTCGGCATCGCCGTCCATGGCAGCCATGTCCAGCGGCCGCTCGGCGCGATCAAACTCGGTCTCGTCGTCGAACGAGCGCGATAACCGGGAACTCCTTTCCGAGGCCCAGCGGCGCAAGAACCACATCTCGTCTGAGAAGAAACGGCGCGACGCAATCAAGCAAGGGTTCGAGGAGCTCTCGTATATCGTGCCGGTTTTGCGCGCAGGCGGGTTCAGTAAGAGTATTGTGCTTTCGCATGTTCTTGATTTCATCACGGACGTGGAGAAGAAGAATAAACAGATGCGCGAGATACTGGCTGAATTACAGCGAAAGTGATCAACACCGTCACATTAATCTCACTACATTTCTTTTGGTACTTTTATTTATTATCACGTCACATTATGATTCGGCAGACATTCCTGGAGATTAAAGCATGCTTCAGATCAAGCAGATGGGGTTGTACGGTACGGTAGCATTATGGATAGTTCATTGTGACCAGTCAGTCAGTCAGTCAGAAGCAGTCATTCGATTGTGCACGCAGCGTTTATTATAATAATTCAGGTTTCGGGGAGTAATTCAAGATGTTGGAGAGTCTTATGATTTAGTACTATCCTTTCTTTGTCAATGTTATCGTATGTCTTTTCTGTTTTGTAAGGTGGTGTCACTGTTTGTTTTTGTGTTTTTGTGTTTTTTTTTGTTTGCTCTCGGTGGTATTTTGTTGGCGTTCTTCTTTGTAAATGCTGTTATCGCTCTATGTATTCCATATGATTCATGTATTTATTTATACAATTCAATAAATAAACGCTGTACCAACACATATATACTCAACTTCCGTTTCTTAGCGAGCACAACAACGAACCAGCAGACACGCACTTACTTATACCCCTTCCCCTTCTTATCCTTCTCATCCGCCTTCTTATCCTGCTCGCCTCTACTGGCCGCGATCCGACTAAGCCTGCTCGCCCTCGCGACACGAAGCTCGGTCGCGCGCGCCTCGCTCTCGGATTCGAACCGGCCTTCGGCTTCGAGCTCGCGCTGGCGCATGTGCTCGAGGAGTAACTTGCGGTTGTACTTGTTGAAGTCTGCAGGGGGGTGAGGAAGAGGGAGGTATGAGTAGGTGTTTTGAAAAGAGGAGAAGAGAAAACAGAGAGAGAGAAGAAGATGGGAAAAAGAAGAAGAAGAAGAATGAAGTGGGAAGATACTTCTGCAATCGGCACAATAGTCGGACGCGTAACCATCTGTAAGGTCTACATCGCACAGCCTGCACTGACGCATCGTCGGTCGTATGCTTAACAACAAGGAGGAGCGTAGAAGAAAAATCCAAGCAACGTGCACTGACACACAGAGAAACGATGGGTATACCACAGGAAGAAAAGGAAAAGACGCCAGAAAGGGGGGCAGCAGCGGGTATTTATCCCACCTCAGTGCGCGCACACCGCCGTGTTTTGAACGTACACGAGCGCGTTTTACGGAAACAAGACACGCGCCGAACCGCTTCGTGTGTGCGCGGTTCTTCCACATCGCAGATCGCACGGGCGGTAGTCCCGCTGCTGCGACATGTGGAAGCAGGAGAGCAGAACAGTGCGCAGGGCGTGGAATAGGGAGGGAAGAAGGGGCGCCGCGGTGGGTGGGCCGGCGGTTAGAGAACGATTGGACAATTAATCGGGTTTACCAGTAAACGGCTGAAGTTATCTCAGATCTTTCTATCCTATCTGTTTGTATATTTCTTTGTCTAGAAATATCAAGAATGGAGTTTCTATCGCAAAACCGCACAGCGCACAGGGTCGTCAAAGCACACTCGCAGTTAGCCACAACTCAGAACCACCATCTCCAATTCCGGCAACGGCACAGCACAGCACAGCACAAGCAGCAAATCAAGCATCAGCGCCATTAACAAGTCAAAAAAGAACAGAAAAACCAGAGATCGGCACTCACACTGCCCGAAGCACAAAAGCGCCTAAAAAACCCGCGCGCGCTGGGATGCGGCAGCGGCGGCGGCGGCGGCGGCTTTTCACGATCTTACCAGAGAATCCGCTGGGGCTGCTTTTGATGATATCGAATAAGGCGTTCTGGGCTGTTGCGGACGGGGTGGTACGCGTGTACCAAGCACACAATACTAAGAATTGTAATCTGGAGACTAAAGAAGACCCCTTTGCTTAATAACAAAGACGGTACATAAACCTGATTAAGATATCGCATAGTTACCCAAACAGGTAATACCCTCTCTCCAGACTTAAACCTCACCTCCTATCAAAGCTACACCTCTAGTCTACACTACAGCAGTTTCGCAGTCTCAAGAAGATTAAAATTCAGAATAATGATTAGTATGGACTCTAGCACAACACCGGTGACAGAAAAGCAAAACACACGATAAAACACAAAACAAGTATGGGGATTCGTCAAGAGAGGAATGAACACAAAAACAAAAGAAATGAAAACGATGAAGGATGATGTGCGATCACAAAAGGTAACAAAAACGATGGAAAGTGAAAAAGAAAGAAACTAAGTTGCCGATCTTTGGCCAGCCTGCAAGCCAACCAAACTGTTTGAAAAATGTATGAGATGATATAGAGACCCGTACGAGGAAGCAAACGCACTCTCCTCACTTCTCAGGCTCTATTTTATGACCCCTCGCCCTCCGCAACACTAAACAAACATGCCAATCCCGCCAGGCATGATAAAAGGCGATCCTGCGCCAAAACCGCTGTCTGCGCCGCCGATCGACGAAAGCTGCGCCTCGCCGGTCTGGCCGCTGAACCAGAAACCGGCCATGACGACAAAGTAACTCAGGAGCAGGATCGAGCCTTTGAAGTAATTGGATCGGCCTTCGGCGTAGATGTAGGAAAGGAGGAAGACGCAGAGGACGACGACGACTAGATCCCATCTAGGGAAGACGAGACTATATAAAAGATGTTAGATTGTGTCGTCAGTTTTCCAAGTAGAGAAGAACTTACGTGAATGAAAAGTCGCGCAAATTGTCGTTGACGCTCGAACTCCAAATACTAAACAAGATAAGAGCCGGAATCTGCAGCAAGCACACCTGCAGCACATACGCCGATCCAATCTCCATACTAAGCGCAATATTACCGTTCATCGCAAACGAGATAGCGTTCAAAAACTCGGTGGTGTTGGGAACCAACGCAAACAGAGTGATACCCAAGAACTTTTCGTCAATCGCAACCGAGTCAAGAACGACATCGACCGTGTCGACCAAGATCTCAGCAATGACCGCGTACAGAATCGTCGCACCCAATAAGACGACGCTACTCTTGGTCTTGCTCCAATTAGGCGCGTCGTGGCCGCCTCCCGCGTGCATCTCAGCACCAGCGCCTTGCTCGCCCTGCAGAGCCGCGGCTTCCTCGGCCGTAGTCGTCGAATCGATCGTCGCCGTCTTTGCGTTCTTGGTAGAGCCCGATCGTCGCAAGAGGCTTCGCACCGTCGCGCGTCTCGAAGCTGTCGTGTTGGGCGACGCTGCCGACGGACTCATGCTGCTCGTCGTCGTTCCGGCCGCTCCGCTCTTCTTGGCGTCTTCGGCTAAGGTCGGGATAACAACTGCAGTTGGTGTCTTGGGCGTGGTCACTTCGCTTGGTGGAGCATCGGCGGCGGTGTTGATATCAACCAGAGGCATCGACTGCACCTCTGCCGGTCGGGTTCGAAGAAGAGGAAGCTTGAATTTTGAATTAGAATTGCCAGTCACATAACTACTACTATCACTCGTGCTCCCAAAATCATCAAAGTAGTCATTTACCGGAAGTACAGACGGGGCGTCACCACCGTTCGCTTGCTGAGCATTTCCGCTGGCGACAGTACCATCCGCCTGCACTCCGACAACCGGCACAACCGGAGCTGAGGTAGCTGAAGGACCGCCGCCAGGAGCTTGCCAAATCAGCGCTGCATGAGTTCGAAGCGTGAACCAGAGACCGATCGTGTAGGACACGAAAAGCAAAACTGCGCAAATGTAGGAAAACGGTTTCACTGACGAGCGATAAAAGTGGTCGTTCGTGATCGGGTCGAGGAAAAATTGGCATCTTCGGCAGACCGAACCGTCCAGCGCGGGCTGCTCACGGCTGCTGCAGGGCATGCAATACAATTGATACTTCACAAATAAGGTCAGCAGTCACTCAGAAAATGAAAACGTGGGACAACATACAGATCCGTAAATCTGGTAGAAGAGCGTAGGCGCAAACACGGCAATGACGGCAAAAAGCAGCATCGTCGAGCTAACACCGGCCGATTTGGGATTATATCGCTGAGTCTTTCGCTTCAACGCACCCGCGCACATGGAAATTCCCGGCATGACAAGCACACCAGCTAGAATACTACCGATGATACTACCTTCGACCAAGCGACCTTTGCCCTCTGTAAGGGCGACGCAGTAGAGAAAGACTTCGACAATTGTGGAGAAGAACGCGTTGATGGCCGCGCCCATACCCATCGAAGACTGAGCCGAGATCGAGGCGACGGCCATACCGATGAAGTAAGCTAGCGGGATAACCGAAAACAGCGCAAGAACAAAGATGACGCCCGGAGTAGTAAAGAAGGTGCGGGGTCCGAGAATCTTGGAGATAAGATATTGATCAAAGATAGTGAACACGACGACAAACATCAAATTCATAAGGAAGACGTTCGTTCCGTCGACGGTGTACTTGTAGTAGTTCCAGCCGAACGCGCGGTATGTGCACAACAGGATTGTGCTATCAGAGTGAGACTCCTGGTTACGGCTAAACGGACCGTCGTAGTGGAACGATAAGGCGAGCGGGTGTCTTCTCAGATGAGAGCACAGATGCACGTTCACGCGCGCCATTGGGATCGCAAACACCACGAACCAGCACACACCGGCGACGATCACAAGCGCAGGATAGACAAACAGATAAAACCAGATGTAGAAAACAACGCGGCCGACGTTCCAGTCTCCACGGCCGAAGAATCTGCGCTTGTTTGTGTACAAAAGGCCGGATTCCATGGAATTGACCGAAGCATTGTCAGTCGATCTGGCCTCATCAGACGCGTAGGCAGAGTTTGAAGCCGACGCGCCGTCGTTCGGCTCACCGTTTGCGCCTAGCAAGCCATCGCTTTCACGGATCGGGTCCAATCCCGAGTTTGTGCGACGACGATCTTTGCGGGAAGAAGGACCGAAAAAGAGTCTTCCGCGACCGTTGCCGGTCCGCCATTCCTCATACTCGCCCAGACTACGGCCCTCACCTTCGTCTTCGAGAGCGTAGCGGCCGTCCTGATCGAGTTGGACGAATTTGCCAAAGGGGAAGATGAGGTAGTTTGCGAGGTCGTAGAAAGCACGGCCGTATTGGCGCGCCGAGCGACTCCAGGAGAAGAAACCGAAGCAGATGCAGGAGCCGAGCATTGTGACGAGCCAGAGCGGTATGCCGAATATGAACGAGTAAAAGTAGTTACCAAACCAGACGGTCCATGTGACCTCTTTGCCGGGAGCAGAGTGGATATCACCTTCGGCGATGCGTTGGACCGAACGGGACTTTTTGTAAAGAGCAGGCTTCCAGATACGGATACCGAATGGATGTGTTTCGTTGATGGCGTCCTGGCGCTCGCGGAGAGTGAATGATTCGATGGAGGCGGTATCGGAATAATCGTCGAATTCGTCGTCGTTGTCGGTGGTGTGGATAAGAGTGCTGCCAGAGTCATCACCGTCGTCTACTTCGCTGTCGAGGGTCTCGGGAAAGGCGCCCTCGTCGGCACCCGTGCTTGTTGATCGTCCGCGCTCGCGACTGAGCTCGCGGGCCTGCGGGGACACGCTGCGGTCGTGTGGGTGATGATGGACATGGAGATGTGATTCTGGTATAGGTGTGGAAGTCGCGCCGACGGATGGGTCATCGGTGAAATGGACTTCAGCGAGCGAGGGTCGCTGACGATGGCTGCGTCGTTTGGAAACGCTGGGCCGGCCGCGGCCGACGGAAGAAGAGTTGCGGAGTTCCTGCTCTGCGTCCTCGACGGAGAAGGACCGCGAATTGAGTGACTGCCTGCGAGAGCCGCCGTGCGAATCCATTGGGAAGCGGACAGGATAGGCGAGGCAGGATGGTGTGGGTCAATTAATAGTTTGAGAGGGTATTGTCGAGAAGAAGTGGAGAAGGAAAAGAAGAGAAAGAAGAAGAAGAAGACCGGTGCGGTGCAGTTGGAGAAGCAGACGCAGGAAGGAAAGGTGTGGAGAGGTGAAGAAGAGAGCCGGTGGTGTTGTGGTCAATAGCGGACCAGTCGCTACTCGAATTTCGATTGCGTGGCGTTGAAACCAAAAAAGCGCGAGAAGAAGCCCGAACCCTGCCAGACCCAGTCACTGTTCGTCCTGCCGCAGGATCCCTGTCAGCTCAGCCTGCGTGTTGTTGGAGATGGGTGTTCTGGAGAGCAGGAGCAGCTGTTCTTATTGATATTAGAGTAGTCTCAGTATAATCCTCTCTTCTACAGAATACTACAACTCTGAAGTGGTCAGCACCTCCGGCGGTCGCTATCGTGAAGCAGAGTCAGGGGTCAAAGCCATGGCAACCAACCCGCTCGCCAACTACGTCATCCGATTTCATTCTGTTTATCTCCCTCCGATAACGCACTGATAATTGCTGTAATCATATGGGATGCCTGCCTATCCCAGCAGGTGTAAACAAACACTGCTCCTCCGCCTTCCGCCTTCTTACCGCCGCTCCTCTCCTCCGCTCTCTCTCCTTTCCAAAATATCTCAGAACGCCTCTGCAATGCAGTGATCGTCACGCTCGCCGTGGCCCCGGATATCCCTCCTAGCTCCCGCACGAGAGTTTCGCGCCGTCGTTTCGTATCCCGCGCTTAGAATGTCGCCTATTCTATTCTTCCTACAGACCCAAAACTCACGATGCAGAGACGCGTAGAAAATAAAAATAGCTGTACGTGAACATTCTCAGGTCTCGTGTATCACATCGCTGGCGCTCTGGTGGATTCTGACGGGAAGCATGAAACTCATCTCGCTTCTGGACTCACCACTTATTCAATTCCTATAGACTCCCTCTCTCTACTTTTCACAACCTTTTGATTGTCATAGGCCGGTGCTTCATGAGTTCTGCTCACTGATTTCAAATGCGAGTGCCGCTCGCTGTACGTAACCCCGAAGCCCACGCGACAGACTATTCCAGAGTTTAAGCGCACGCCTCGCTAACCTTACGCGCCATGGCTTCCCGTCGTTCCAGTAATCTGCTTCCCTCCAAATAAGCCGCGCTATCGTATACACTTATAGACCATTATACACTTAATTACTATATACCAGAACAAAAATTATGACAACCCAACCAAATGAAAGGCCATCCCATCACTGGCCGCCATTCATCCCAGCAAACACCGGCGTGTCCCAATCGTTCGCCAGCGCGCTTTCCTCAAACACGCCCTGCGCAGCCTCGCTGAATCCCTGCGCGTTCGACTCCTTTTCTCGAATCATGTGCAGGAACTCCTCCCATGTCGTGCTCAAAAAGTCGGTCTCTCTATATCTTGCCAGACTTCCGCGCGCGCTCTTGAGCGTGTTGCGGCCAAACAGCTCGGTTATTCGCTGGATGCACTCCCCGCGAACCTTCCAGTGACTCGGGTTTGACGAGATACCGCCGTCAAGACCGAAATCGTACACCTCGTCGGTCACGATGTGGAACGGCGGTTGACCCGTAACACCGGTCATCAAGAAGTTCATCGCAATGTCCTCGCAGTTCACAAGGTCGTCGACGTACTTCAGAATATGATCCGGCAATCCGCAGCGCCACAAAAACAAAAAGTGCTCGTCCATAAACATCAGCTTGGTGAGGATGATCGAGTATCGCTGCGGGTTCATCTTGTACGCCCAGCAGTATTTGTAGGTGTTGGCCTTGGGATCAAAACACTCGACTCGGGGCGCAAACCCGACGAGCGAATCCGGCTGCCGCTGCCAGGCCTCAAACGCGAGGTGGATGTCGTCCATCGACGTCCAGACGTCGTCGTCCGCAATGAGCACGGCACCCGTCCGCATCTCGGGAACTGGATTAAATCTGTTGTTGAGCGAGTCTACTGTCTGGTTGAGGAAGATGACAGTGTCCTTGTTGTCGGCCAGAAGCTGCCGGATGTTCTTCGATACCTTCATATTCTTGTTGTGCCAAACAATAAAGATCTTGTCCACCCGCGGCGACATCAGAAACTGGTTGACCACAAACGGCAGCGTTTCTTGTCGCTTCAGCGAGTAAGTCGCAAGCATTACACTGTACTTGTCCATTATGCGGTCTGGCATGCTAACCTTGTTCGCCAGATAACGCTCGCAGACATCCTTCGATCCGCGCTCTTTCCGCCACTCGAGCAGCTCGTGGCTGTCGAGCTTGAGCTTCGCGCTAACCTCGTGTGACATTTCCTGCCATCTGTAGAGCATCTCTTCGTTGAACGAGCTGCGCCAGTTCTTGGGCTCCTGGTACCAGAAACTCCAGGGCTTCATCGTGCCTTCGTAGTTGTAGATCCGGGCGTTGCCAAACACGTAGCGACTGTAGTCTGTTTCCGCGTACTTTGCCTTGACGTTATAGACCGGATTGAGCGGGTGGATGCCTTTGAAGAAGTAGTTCAAGAACCCAATGTCGTGTGGCACGTGCCAGGTGTTGATCATAATCTTCTTGAGCTCCTTGTATATCGTCATGCTCGATTCCAGAAGCATTATCGACTCGTCCACAACGCCTCCGAGCTCAAGCGTCGCAGTGAACGGCGGCTCCTGGAATATGTCGTCCACGTTTTTCAGCACCATCATCTCGGGGCTCATATACAGCACTCGCTCGTACTCGATCAAACGCCACGCCTGGATCGAATTACTCCTGCACATCCTCTTTCTTTTCGGATCGACCTCTGGCTTCAGATTGCCTTCGGCCTTGCTTATCTCTTTCTCCTGCTCGGCGGACTCGTAGCTCTTCTCGTCCTTTGACTCCTGCGAATCGTCGATCGTGAGCTCGATCATGCTGGTGTCGACCAGCTTCGCGCCCAGATCGACGAGCTCGGCGCGGTCTTTGTCCGAGATCTTGGCCATGATCATAATCAGAATGTCAGCCGACGTTCCTGTTCGGTATATCGAGTGCACCAGCACGCGGACGGGGATAATCTAAAAGTGAGTGAAGATCTTAGACGCACGATCCAACTACAGAGGTACAACAACAAACGAAACCACTTACGTCCTCCTGGAAGCAGATCGTAGAGACATAGGCCGCCTTGCCCGTGAAATTCTGCGACTCAAAAGCCTCGGCGACGGTTATCTCGCGCTCAGGGCTGAAGACAGCCATGAGCCGCTCATCCATCATGTTCAGCAGCGACTCCTTCGTCACGTAGTGCTCCCGCCAGGCAAAGAAGCCGATAACCGACAACACATTTATCACAATCAGAAAAACCAGGCGCGGCCGCAGCGTGCGCCTAAAACTCGGGCGTCGTGTGGTCGGCATTGCGAGGGGGGCTGACAATGACTTGCTCCAACGACGGTCGTCAACGGCAGTGAACAGCGACGGGATCGAGGGTGCCTGGCGATGAATTTTTGACTGCCGGTGCGGCCGCTGCCACTTTGAGCGCCGCGGACGCAAAACCTTAAGATTTTATCTACCTGATTTGGGTCGGCCGCGCTTGTGTTTACAGCGCTTTTATAAGATAGTATAGTTGTAGTATTTTATTCTTGTTTTCTATAGATTGTAATTGTTTTCGCACGGTAGCTGTGCAAGACGACGTTGAACGAAAATCTGACTGCTCTTGGCCATTATGTAAGGCCATCTATTTATTCTATCACATCCATCTACACCGACCCTCTCCATGACCCAAATCAGCGTCCAGCTCACCAATCAGTCAAAATAAGCGCAATGTTTTGAGGGAATAGCCCAGCCGCGAACATAATTCCCGCGTTCATCCTCTTTTCATTCTTTACCGACCTCATCTCTCCTGTGACAACATCGCATGGGCCTGCGGGGTTAAAACACAGCAACGTCTGAATGATGTAATGGAGTACGTAAGCGGTGCTTTTAACTCGCGAGGTGCGTCAGACACTTTGATCTCAGGGTCTTGTGCATCAAAAATACGTCGATAGTATGTCGATCATGGCTAGAGGACGTACGGAAGGATTCGCGTAAAGATGCTGTCTGTCTCTGTTGAATCTGGTTTCTGAGTGTGTGGAGTGCTGTGGACCATCGGGTCTGTGCGAAAGACGTTGGAAGAGGTGGTCGATTGCCGTGCTGCGAATGCATCAGTGTTTGTACTTCTAATCTGTCCTGCGCATGAGTACTTAATGAACTCTGTTCACTGTCTAGTGGAATCCATAGTGATGTTTGGGAGTGCATGGCAAACAAGAAGGAGTCTGTGGATTGTTTGCATCGTAAGCGAAGACGAGAGAAGGCGATCCAGAAGTTCATTCTCAGCCATCGTCTGTTCTTCTCACGAGACTCCAATTCAACCTACAACCAAAGTAGCTGTGACTGTTGAGCAACTTCAAGCTCAGCATCTGGTTTTAATGGAGATGATGCGGTAAATTGACGAGACACTGGGCCGCGCGGTGGCCGCATTTGGATGGATGCCTCAGACTTGTATCCCGGCAACATATGGTCTTTGTCCTGCAGCCTCGCGACGTTTGTGTCAAGCTCGTCTCTATGAGAAGCCACCGACTTCTACCGGCAGACTCTCCCTCGTCTTCTTCTGCTTCTACCAAACATGGCATCCTCTGTGTCCGCCCCCGTATCCGCCCCGGTATCCGACACCGAATCCACGGCCTCTCCGGCCAACACTCGTGTTCGGGTGCCCCGTTTGCCCGCCATTTTCAATAAGGGATCAGATCTCTTCAACTACCAAGAACAACCCGAGACGATATTGCCAATTCCCTCAGACACCGATGATCTCGAGACGGCCTTTGAAAAGTTGGTTGCATTGGTCCAGGTCGTTGAAAGCGGCAAGAGCATCGCCATCAATACTGGCTTCAAAGCTGCCAAACATGACTGTGTGGATCCCGTGGCGATTGCTAAAAGGGGTATGACTCTACTCCATCTGAGGTTGTATGAAGCGTGGGAAACGGGCCTATTCACGCCCTCGCGCCAATTGCCGCTCGATTGGGAACGGGACCGGGCAGTTCCCCCCCTGGTGCCGCTTCTGCGAGTCGCTTTGCGGAGCTCGCTGCTGCCATGTCTGATGCGTGGGAGTACGAAGATGCTACTGCTGAGCATGTCGCCTGGCTTTCCAAACATCATCCTTCGGTTTTCCCACTGTTGAAAGCTATCGTCCGGGTGTATGGAGCTGCCCGGGACCTTGTCAGTGGCCAGGGCCAACTCACGGCTCTTGAGTTGGCAGACCTCCAGACCTACCACAAGCTCTCCAGAATAAGAAGCAACCTGGAAGCGCGACTTAGGAGTGATACGTATTATGCGAAGAGATTACCTTACAGTTTTTTCAACTTTTCTAGTTTCCCGCTTCCCAGGGTTACGGCTACGATGAAGAGGCGAGTGAGCCGAGAGGATGTTCTTGAGTTTGACGATGTCGATTCGGACGATGATGAATTTGATGATGTTGCACTGGAAGATCTTCGCAGGTCGCGACGCAAGCCCGGGCCTATGATCAGGGCACAGACTGGGGCATATGGGACCCAAGAGGATGTGGGCGCTTCAAGAAAAAGGAGGCTTGAAGTTATGTAAGGAAAAGGAGGCTGGGGCTTGAAGTTATGGGTCACAGAAGTTGAGACTTGATGCCATATAGGTTCTATCTTCAAGTACTCTCGAATAATTGCTATATGAAATACAGAAATCAATCACACTAAAAGACATTCATCCCATCACAATTCAACCTAAAATATAAACCCTCGATACTCACAACCGACCCCACAATATTTCCGAATCCAGTAATATCTTCAGTAAAAATACCCTAACCAACATAAGCTTAAATATGCAAAAGTCCTAGAAATGACACCATTATTGTTGGGAGCTTGGCCGAGTGGTCTATGGCGTCAGATTTAGGTTCCTTGAATCTCTGATATCTTCGGATGCGCGAGTTCGAATCTCGTGGCTCTCAAACATGTTTTTTTTCTTTATTTGCGGCTGTTTCTTTTTTTTTTGTATATTTTTTGGATTAATGATGAGTGGATTTTAGAGATCCAAAGGACGGTTGTCTATCGTACATTGTCGTAATATTTACAAAACTTCGAACCCCCGAACATGCGCATTAAACATTAAACATTACACTCATATCTGAGCATGAAACCCCTCGTCGACAACCCACTTCTGCCCCTCCGGAATCTGCTCGATAACCCCACAACTCTTGCCCGTCACCAGAATCCCCGGCGGTCGACTTCCGAGCTCCTCAAACGCGGCCACGACGTGCTCGAGCGTCGTCCGAATCACTCGCTGGTCCGGACAACTCGCGCGCTCGACGATAGCGCAGGGAAGATCCATGCGCCAGCCCGCGGCTGCGAGCCAGCCGATGACGTCCGAGAGCCGGTGGAGGGCCATGAGGAAGACTGTTGTGCGGGACTCGACGAACTCCGGGATGGCGGGCGCGGCGCCCTTGCGGCCGGTGCCGGTGCAGATCAGGATTTGGTCTGCGACTTCGCGGTGCGTGGGGGAGATTGCGGCGAAGAGTGGTCCCGAAAGCGCGCTTGTGATGCCGGGGATGACGGAGGGTGTGTAGCCGTGGTGGCGGAAGAAGATGTACTCCTCTGCGCCGCGGCCAAAGATGTATGGATCGCCTTGCTTCAGACGGACGACGTATTTGCCCTGCTGCAGCGCCGAGAGACCCATGGCCAGCAACTCCTGCTGCGCAGCCTCGGCGTTTCCCGGGAATTTCTTGGCGATGTAGGTTTCGACGTGTCGGGGAATCAGGTCGAGCACGCCCGCGGGCACGAGTTTGTCTGCGAGCACGAGGTCGGCGGAGGTAATTGCTGTGAGCGCGGCGGTGGTGAGCAGACCTGCCGAGCCCGGGCCCGCACCGACGAGCGCGATGCGGCCGGTCTTGGAAACTATGGTCGAGACTTGCATGAGTTTGGCCTTTTCCGCCAGCGCGAGCGAGTTGGAGCGGTACTGCGAGGACAGCTGGTCGACGGAGAGCGTCGCGAGCTCGGAGAACGGGTAGTACTCCACGACCTGGGACAGCCAGCGCATGCGCTGCCGTTTAAGCGCGCCTCTGTTTTTCGCCAACTCCTCCTGCACCAGATCCTCGAGCACGAGTTCGTTGAACTTATGGCTCTGCACGGCGTCGTCGTCGTGCTGACCGACTTCGTGATACCGCGCCTCGATGTCGTGCTGTAGCTGGTTTTCGTCGCCGTCTTGGATGGATTGCTTCAAGTCGCCGACCTTTTCGCACGCTTTCGCAATGTCTTTCGGAAGCGCGCTGATGATCTCGCGACGGATACGGCTGGCGAGGCGGCAGCCTTTACCAGAGGTCGTGACGCCTATCTGCAGAGGGCCGTCGATGTGGGTGGAGAGAAGGGTGAAGGAGGAGAGCTTGGGCGCGTCGGCGACGTTGACTGGTATTCGCAGTCTGTGGCATAGATTTGATATCCGGGTGCCTAGGTAGTAAAATGTTAGCAAGCAGGTTGGATGTAATAAGAGCAGCGCTGGAGCACATACCGATATCAGACACGTTCGGCGTCGCAACAAAGACCATATCAACAACACGATCAACCTCCTCGCGCCCAAGAGTAGTCAAATCCGCGTCCTCAAATTCCCGCTCAATCCACACAAATCTACCACTGTAATCCGCTATCCGCCTCTCAACCTCCGATTCCCAGGCCTGGGGCCCGTCTCGCGGCGCGAGCAAGATGACTTTGGACGCTCCGCATTCGACGGACTTCGCGACGCGCGAGAGCGAGAGCGCGGATGCGCCTATGACAAGATGAACCTGTTGCTCGCAGGCATGCGAGAGTAGTAGTCCCGGCATTGTATTTAACACAGGCCAGAAGGAAAGAGACCGGGGATTAGCAATGAGGAAGGGTAAAATAATTTTCTGCGCCACAGTTCAGGCAGCGGTGCGGACGGCGGGAATAAAGTTTGAAGGTCGATGACGCGATTGCGATGCCGTGGCGGAACTTCCCCTGAAAAACCAGCCACTGAGACGGGGCGGATTAGAGCATTCTGCGGAGAGCGGGAGGGTGGGAGATGGGCTGGAGATTGCGATAGAAGAGAGTGTTTGTTGTTGGTGAACTGCTGTGTGAAGAGTGAGAGTCTGGTCGTAGGTGGTGTGGAGTGAGGTTTGGCTGGGAGAGCGTTGATGGTGCAGACCTTTCCTGCTCTTCCGTCTCTGTCCATGCTATCTGCTTTCTTCATCGGATATCAACTGACTGCCTTTATTCTTCTGCTTCGTATTCTCTAAGAACATAAGCCTAGTTCATGTATTTACAATATGCCCGTAGTATAGAACTAATAAGGGGTCTTGTACTGGGATAATAACCTGTCTCATTATCGACCAAAACGGGTCGATAGCCGGCGATCATCCAGCACTGTGATCGCCGTAGGTTTGTTCCCGAGTTCTCTGATGCAGCCTTATCTGAAAGCAGGATATTACTCTGCTATACGATCGTGCGATAGTGCAGCTCTTTTGAAGCAAGAGCAGAATCATGAAGTTACGCATCTCGTGGGACGATTCTAATGACGCTTTCGCGGTCAAGGTGTACACGCACAACATCAGGTATGCATCTCTCTCGCGATTTGGAAACAGATCTAACCGCAATCTCAAGATACGCGGCCGACCCGGTATCAGAAGGCGAAGAGCCCTGGTCCACTCGCAAAATGCGAGTCGCGTCCTCGATCCTGTTCAACACCTTCAACGCCTCCAGCCTGGTCTTACTCCAAGAAGTCCTGCACGAGCAACTGCACGACATCCTCGACCTTCTCAACCGCGCGTCTCCGGGCGACAAGTGGACGTACTGCGGCGTGGGACGCGACGACGGCAGCACGCAGGGTGAGTACGCGCCCGTGCTGTTCCGCAGCTCGCAGTTCGAGGTCGCGCTTAACCGCACGTTCTGGCTCAGCGAGACGCCGGATGTGCCTAGTAAAGGGTGGGACGCGGCGTCGAAGCGGATAGTGAACGTGTCGCTTTTGAAGCATCTGCAGAGCGAGCGGTTGGCGTACGTGCTCAACACGCACTTGGATGATCAGGGCGTGGTTGCGCGGAAGGAGGGAGCGAAGTTGATTAATAGGATTATCAGCGGCTTGGAAGGGCATGACATCTTGATCCTCGGAGGTGACTTGAACTCTGAGCCGGAGGAGGACGCGTATCAGGTCTTGACTGAGAAGCTGAAGGACGCGAGTACATTGATCACGGGTGAGGTGACGGGGTACGGCAACGAGCACACGTTTACCGGATTCAAGGACAGCGAGCGCAAGAAGACGATCGATTACATCTTTGTCTACAACGATACCTCTGTTTCGAGCTATGGCGTTCTTCCTAATCGCTTTGACGACGGCGTGTATTCCAGCGATCACCGTCCCGTAATCGCGAATGTCATTATTGAGAAGCGCGATTGAGGTAGTGCGAGTACTACTGGTATTTCATCATAGAAGCCTGTTTATAATTATAATACAAACAATATACATGAAGTTTGTAACTAAGGAGCTCAAGACGGGAAACAAAGGAGTGAATGAGAAATAGCGAGAACGAAAACTATGCAACACCATCTTTGTGAACCAGTAGTTGTCCTGCTACTGTGAACGAGCGAGTGTAGGAGCGGAGTAGCAAATCAAGAATCAAACTGTAATACTAGGATCCCAAAAACTGAAAAAAAAAATTAAATGACGATAGCAGATTTGTATGGCCGAAGTGTAGGTTGTCATTATCACTCATCCCGCCCTAGCACCAGAACAAAACGACAAGCAATGATAGGAGAGCACGAAATGAGCGGGAGCAAAACAACAAGACAATTTAAACAAAAAAAAACAAAACAAAACATAAACAGCACGGTGGTGTAGCGTCAAATGTACGACGACGAGACGGCTTTACACAATCACGCACTTGTTATTTGGGTCTGGCGTCGGATTGTCGTGTTTCTCAATCTCGGCAATGAGAAGCTCAAAGACCTTGGAGACGTTGGCGTTGTGTCTGGCACTAGTCTCGATGAAAGGACAGTTGAACTCTTCTGATAGAGCCTTGGCTTCAGCGGTCTCGACTTTTCTATAGATTGAGAAGGAAAGGGTTAGACGTTGGAAGATCATTGGGAAGAAACGGATGGAGAGGGAAATACCTCTGAGCTCCAAGATCGCTCTTATTACCGACGATGATCATGGGTATCGTCTCAGTGCCCTGTGAGGATGTTAGAATAGAGAAAATTGGCGCTAGTAGACGGCTGAGATCAGGAGGACACATACGGTACTATTCAAGATCTTGTCTCTGATCACGCGGACCATCTCGAAGGACGCACGCGAGGTGATGGAGTACATGATAACATAACCATGTACACCGATGGAGTGTTTTTGGTTCATGATGCTGAATTCGTCCTGCGCGAGGGATGTGATGTAAGTATTTGAGTCTGGGTGGTGACGGTGATCGGAGCTCTGGCAGCTGTCTGGAGCAGCAGCAGCACAGAGAAGGAGTAAAAAAACGTACCTGGCCGGCGGTGTCGAGAATCTCAGTGGCATAGTCCTGTCCTTTGTACCTTATTATCTTGGAAAACTGGTTCTCGATTGTGGGATAGTAGCTCTCGACGAAATGCTCTTCGACAAACTGGACGGTCATGGAGGATTTGCCTGCGTCGAGAGGGGTTAGTAGGGCAGAGGAGAGACAATAAACGCACACGAGTAAATTGAATAGACTCACCTACGGCCCGTGAGCCGACGACGGCAATTTTGCGCGTCCGAGGGGGAGCCATTGTTGGAGGAAGCTGATGGAGACGGAGGTATAGAGCTGGATTGGGAGTCGATCACGGCGACGGCGCAGCGGAGGACAGGGCAGATATGCGCGGAGACCGGGACTACAGAGCAATGACAAGACGTAGAAAGAGTTACAAACAACTAAGACGCAGCAAGACAACAAACAGCAGCAGCGAGAGGGTTGAATGAAGACAGAGGGACTTTAAAGGACAAGGACCCAGAAGCAGCGAGGCGCCGCGCCGAACCGAGCGCTTGCTTTGCCTCAGGCAGCCCAAACCCTCAGCCGGCAGCCTCGTGCGGGCAGGCGAAGCCACCGAAGCATCAAAGCGTCGCGGTGCTGGCTGCGTTGACCTGTGCTTCAGCTGAGAGCGCGATGCGAGGTCACGTTCGATCGGGGATTCCAGCGGGCTGGGAGCTCGTGTTTGTGGGGTGTCGGCGTGTTGTGATGTGGTGATGTGGTGATGTTGGAGTGCTGCTGCTGCTGCTCCTCTACATCTACTCCATCTGCTCTTCTCTACATCAGATATCTACTCTCGCTCGCACTCCAACGACCCACCTGATCGTCAGCTGCTTGCACCCGCACCCGCACGTGGCCGCAGCACCGGCTCCCGCTCATCCGTCGTCGTCGTCGTCGCGGTCGCGTCGTGGTCGTGCTTGTGGTCGTCGACGGCCTGGCCCCGCCGAGGCCCCATATCGTAGCATGTCCTTCTGATTTGATTTCAATTACCCCTACCAGTAATCAAGATCCGCGAAAATCCCTGCCTGCCGCCCGTTCCACCGGCACCCACACTTGCACGCACCTGCAGAGCGCACGGGATTCACGGGCGTTCTTAGAGACTGTCCCTTTCGGTGTGGCTAGTAACGCTAAGCCTTCCCGGGTTCTCTCGCCTTGCGTGCAAGTTGCATAAATATGATCATTGAGGCGAGAAGATCCCGCATAAGGGGCATAAGCCGAGCCATTATCTAATAACTCTGTGATTCATTCATTAATTCATTAATCTCCCGAGTTTATTACCACTATCGCCTCCGGATTCGGCCACTCCTCCTTCTCTAATCGTCTCTCCATGCTAAAAACACCTCGTCCGTCCTATATTTAGAGAATGTTTAGTTATTCTGCTTCGGTCCTGTCTGCTGCTCGGATACATACCTGAACCGCTGCGTGCACACAGAGTCCTCGAGCTCCGTGCGGTAGCCCGTCTCGTATGCCAGTAGACCGGCGTGCGCAATCATTATCCCGTTGTCAATACAAAACCTGTATTTAAAACGTCAGTTCCCATCTCTCCTATCGCTAGTAGCAGCATCTCCTCTCTCTAGTATCATCTCAAACTCACCGTTCATCGGTCGCGTACACGGCCCCGCCACGATCGCGCGCCATCATGCCCATCATCTGCTGTAACCGTTCGTTGCAACCTACACCTCCCACGATCAGCACCTGCTGACTGCCGACGTGCGCCATCGCGCGCTCGGTGATCTCGACCAGCATCGCGAAAATCGTTTCTTGCAGAGAGAAGCAGAGATCCTCGCGCGTGATCTCGGCGCCGTCGTCGGTGTACTTAGGTTTTCCGCCGAAAATGTCGTTGGCGACGCCGTCGATGTAGGCGAGGATTCCAGACATTGAGACGTCCATGCCTTTCACTGTGTACGGAAGCTCGACGTAGTGCTTGCCTCTGTTGACGATTACTGTTAGTATCTGTAAATCAACAAGCGCAGTCGGCGCCAAGAGGTCTCATACTTTCTAGCTAGTTGCTCGATGTTGTAGCCTGGACTGGGGTCATTAGGAATATGCAAAGTCCTCGCAAACCGGTCGAGACAGTTTCCGACCGCAATGTCCAGTGTCTCGCCGAAGATTCGATATCTACAAAGCCGTCAGCGCCCACTCAACTCCGCAACTCAGAAAACAGACAATACAGACCTCTGATGCGAGTAAGCAATTACTTGAGTGTTGCCGCCCGAAACGTATAGAACAACAGGATTTGTCGCGCCGGTGATTTCTCTACCCATCTCGATATCTGCCAACTCCGTCAGCAAAGATTCGCTGCTTCCAGATCACACCTGTAAACATACGTCCAACGCAATGATTGACTCCAACCAACGGCTTATCCCACATCAGACTGATCGTCCGCGCAGCAATAGCAACGCTCTGCAACGGCGCTCCCATGCCCGGACCCTGCGTGAAGCAAACGCAATCGATATCCGCAATCGACACCCCGCTCTGCTTCAGCGCCTGCCGCACAAGCTTCACCACAAACGACCGGTGATGCTTCGCCGTGTCCCGCGGCAGAAAACCTTCGCCGGGAGGGGTGATGTACGTGTGTCGAATGTTTGCCAGGATCTCGGCCGGCGGCTTGGGACTCGATTTGTCGGGTCGCGGGTGGTGTCTGATGATGCCGACTCCGAGTTTGTTCGCCGAGCCTTCGAGACCGATCGCGATCGTTGTCCGGTCTGGCTCTAGTTTTTGTATTTTCGAGGGCATCTTTTGTTGACTCTGTTCGGCTTTGCCTGTAGTGCTGTACCTGCTTTCTAAAGAGAGAAAAGGCCTTTTCTTTGGGATGACGGTTTGTAAGTGCAATATTTCCCACCTGCGGCTCAGCCTTGAATTTATTTCTGTAAATTATTTCCAAAATCTCGAGAATCGCATTCGCATCTCCTACTCCATCTTCCACCGTGTCTCGCTTTCCCTATAGATTACTTCTCGCGCTCTCTCGAGGTACGTCTATTCCCTCCAACTGCTAACAAAAGATACCCGCTAACCAGCACCTGCGTTCCACGCACAGTGCCCACCTTTGTTGTTAAGTCCGAAGCCAGGTACTCCTCGCTCGCACACCACCCGACTCCTCACCCCACCCGCATGTCAAACAGCGATCCCTCGACAATGGCCAAGAAAGAGTCAGCGCTGAAGAAATCAGGCGGCAAGCCCGACTTTGTGACGCCAGAGTATATCGCCGCGCAGCGAGCGAAGCGCGAGCAGGCAAAGCTGGAGAAAGCACGCAAGAATAAAGAGCTGGGGATCGTGCCGCAGGAGGAACAGGTTGCTGCTAATACGTCGTTTATTAAGAGGCCTATGCTGGCTGTTAACGACGGACATGCACTGGATGCAGCATCTGAGGGTGTGGATGTGAAGATCATGACTTATAATGTATGTTGATCTGAAGATCTTCTCGCAGCTGTGGTTCTGACTATCTGGTGAATCTAGGTCTTGGGTCAAGCGCTCATTCGACGCAAGCTATTTCCAACGAATGGTAATGATACAAATTGCAATGGGGTTTGCTGCTTGTTATAGTCCAGAAATTGACACAAATGGTTCTAGGTGATATCCTGAAATGGAAACTGCGGTCAAAAGTTCTACTCTCAGAACTCAAGTTCTACGACGCCGATGTGATGTGCATGCAGGTGAGTACCCACCACTTCCAACATCCTGCTCTACATACATTTATAAGTTGCTGACGTCCAACAGGAGGTTGATCTCGCGCATCTCGAAGGATTTTACTACCCCGAGCTGACAAAACTCGGCTTTGACTACCTCTTCCACCGCGGCGAGAGGAAGAATCACGGCCTGCTGATCTGCTGGAAGAAAGCGCTGTTCAGCCTGGTCAAGTCTGAAGTGGTCGACTATGATAATGACTGTGGATACGACGATCGTGAAGCTGAGGGAGCCGTGGTCACGGAACCGCAGATGCTTACACGGAATATCGCGTTGCTCGCTGCGTTGAAGTTTAATTCGTCAGAGAAGGGGATTGTGATCGGTACTACTCATCTCTTCTGGCACCCCCATGTACGTATTTTTTCGTGCCCTGCTCGATCTAAACATGTTGCTAAATGCGTGATGTAGGGAACTCTGGAACGAACGCGACAATGTGCAATTTTTGTGCGAAACGCGAAAACGTTTGCAAACAACCTGGACGTCGCCAAAACATGGCCAGTATTTCTGGCAGGAGATTTCAACAGTCTGCCGTTTGACGCGCCGTATCTTTGTCTGACCAAAGCTAGTGCCGAGCGGGTTACCGAGCGATCAAAGTACGTGATTACAAACAGCGCGATCCACGAGTACAAGAAGAAAGCGGTAGCGGAGGAGGCGGACGACGACGCCGAGGATGAAGAGCAGGAAGACGTGCCGGAAGAGAGCGAGAACAAGCCTGCCGAGCCAGCGCCGGTTCAGGCACAGGCACCAGCTGCGCCGGTTATGATGGAGGAGTTTTTACCCGAAACGTCGCATCCGCCTATTCCGATCCCGTCAGCCGATTCGGCGGCCAGGATAGCTGGGATCGAGGACGTATACAGGCTGCATGACAATAACGAGGTCCGTCTACGCAGCGTGTACGGAGAGTGCTACCGGTACGTGCACCCCGAGAACGCAAACATCGAGTCGCGGAACGGGGAGCCTACGTTTTCGAACTGGGCACACACCTGGCGCGGTCTGCTGGATTACATATTTGCGTTTGATTTTCCCGAGCGGCGGAGAGATGATGTGCAGATGCGTGCGGAAGAGGGGGATGTGGTGCCGGGCGTGAAGGCGCTGGAGTTGCTGCGGCTGCCGTTGCCTGCGGAGATGGGCGAGGAGCCGTGTGGGCAGCCGAGAGTTGGGCAGTATCCTAGTGATCATCTGTGCTTGATGGCAAAGTTACGGATTTACTAGGCATCCGCTCTGATGGCAAAAAATAGATCTATTAGGGATCAGACAAAGAGAGTGTACATAGATACAATAAACGTACTCAGTATATTAACAAATGGGCATCACAAAGGAAGGGACATGTATGGACTACTGACGGACTTAAAACAGAGATTTATCATCATCATCATCATGTATGGACTACTGGTAGGTTGCCTTGATAACCTCCAACACCAACAATTGCAGATCATTACCAGCCAGCCTTGCGGCCTCGATAACTTCAGCATGGTTAGCGATTCCCTCCGCGAGATCAGCCGCGCCGTCGCTCGCCTTGGGCGTAGGAGTCATAACGACAGCGTTTGTGATCAAGCTGATTGCGAGCACGCGCATGCCGGAATGGCGCGCGACGATGATCTCAGGCACTGTGCTCATGCCGACGCAGTCGCCGCCAAACATCCTGAGCATGCGCGACTCTGCTCTGGTTTCGTAGGTGGGCCCGCTGACAAAGACGTAGACGCCCTCGTGGATCGCGCGGCTGAGGTTGAGTGTCTTTGCGGTCTCGAAGAGCTTGATGCGCAGGGCGTGGTCGTAGGCGTCGCTGAGGGGCTGGAAGCGCGGGCCGAAGGTGCTGTCGTTGGGGCCTTTGAGGGGGTGTGATCCCGCGAGACCTGGGAAGTTGATGTGCTGTAGTAGTCAGGGCAGGTTAGTAGAGTAGAGAGAAAGCTGGGGAAGAGCTGTGGGAAGACAGACATCGTTGAGAACCATGAGATCCCCGACTTTGTAGTCGGGATTCAGACCTCCGGATGCATTAGTGACTGTCAATGATAATTAGTAAAAAGCAATTGTAGTTATACTATGTAGGTGTACTCACCAATGAGGGTCTCTACACCCATCACACTAAAGACACGGGCGGGATATGTGGTGAGGTCGAACGAGATACCTTCGTAAAAGCTGCAGGAGTTGATTAGTACCGAGGATAGAAACAATAGCTGAATATAGGAGCGTACTGAACTCTTCCGACCATGCACACGGAGGGCACATTGCCAAACAATCCAAAGACCAATTTGCCAGTATGGCCCTCGACTAGAATATAAGCAAATTAGGAAACAGCTCGGTAGACCACGACGGCGCACCCGAGCAAAACCCGAGCAACAAAGCCGCAAAAAAAGAAAGAAAACACACCGGTGGTCTGCGGGAAATTAGGCAGATCAGCGAAGTTGATCTCGACCCGGGGCGAGGGCGAGAGGGCGTCGGCCAGGTGCTGCAGACCAGACCCGCAGATCACGGCGACTTTTGGGGACTGCAGCTCGACAGGCACGAGTCTGTTGATTTCCGCGATGGTAGCGGCAGCACGGTCGGATATGCTCATTGTGAACGACGGAGAATGCAGCTAAAAAAACAAGGAGATATTGCAGGGTTTTTGGTCAATTTGCAGGTTTACGGACGAGTTCAGGTTGAATTGACGGGCGATGCGGTGCGGCGGGGTGCCCGAATAGGCTCGGGGCAGACAGCCAATTTTGAGATATCAGAGCCCCCTGCTCTGCTTCTCCCTACATTCTCTTCCCGAAACGCACGCAGAGGAATTCCAATTGCCTGATCTGGGGCAATCAATCTGCGTATATCACCTTCCTAATATCATCCTGGCTCCCCTTTCTGGCCGTCGATGTACCTGCCTGCGCGCACCGCCCCTCCCCGTTTGGGCTCTTGTCCAGGACAGAAACAGTGAAACTCCATTAGAACGCCGGTTTTTAGATCTATTTACAAGCAATGTACTCAAACTCTCTACCACACACGGCACTCCGCGACCATCGCTAGCACGTCCAGAAACAGGCTGCGATGCGCATCGTCCAGGTCCTCAGTAGCCTCTCGCTTAGTCGCCGCCATGCCCACTATCACTGTCCGTCGCTCGTCAGGGCTTTGTCGGCTAACCAGCGACGCAACCTGGACCGCGTAGATCCGTCCCTCGACGTCGTCTGCCGAGCTTCCCAGCACCGGCGTCGGCGTCAGGTGCGTGAGCGGCAGCAGCGAGTACTCGTCCTCGCCGCCGGGATTGGTGCCCGAGCCGAAGGCGAACGCGCTGAGTGAAGCTGATGATGCAAGAGGAACGTAGTACTGCATGCGATTAGAAAGAGGAGAAAGTTAGTCAGACGGCTCTGTAAACGGCTCGGACAGTATTCCCGAGGCCCGCAATGTCAGCTTCAGGTTGCGTTACCATTTTCCCCAGGCGTCCGTTCTGGGACACCAGCACCATGATCTTGTCTGCGAAACTGTACACCACCACATCGACGCGCACTCCGCTTATCATGCGCACCGATTGACGTGTTTTCACCGGCGCTGAGAGGGTTGATGAAGATGAAGCCGGCGCGGGGGTCACTGGCGGGCCGTCCGCTAGTATGCTGGTAGACGACATTTGCCTGGAGTAGAGGAGGCAGATCAGAAACAGGACACAGAGCAACTACTGTCTCTATTCAAAAAAAAAGAAATTGCCTTTGATGTCTAAACACAGCAAACAAAAACAAACAAAAACAAAAGAAACAGATCCAACAATTCATTAGCAGAGTCCAATATAACCCTCACCGCCACAGCCCAGCCACAATAAGCTACGCGTGGGTTTGTTGTTATGTGGCGCAGCAGTTTCTCCTTTCTCGTCTGCCTGTACACAAACACGCAGCAGAGGATTAATAGCCCGCCCGCAGTCCGCCGCAAACGTCTTCAGACCACCCCGAACTACGGCTGCACGAGGTTTTTGTTTGTTGCGCGATAGGCAGCGGTCTTGTTTTTTGTTCTGCTTGTCTGGCAACTCGTTGAAGCGGTGTTTTGACTGCGCGACGCATTGAGCTGCTTCTCGCTCTTTCACCCTCTCTAGCTCCCTCTACTACGCGCGCAATACGCTCTACTCTGTCAGATATCGAGAACGTGAGTGTATTCTTTATTAAAACACTGCAGATCTGCGTCTATCTGCAACTACGCTCGATGAGTGACGGTGCTAACTCCTCGGTCAACAGACTCACAATGAGTCGCCAGCGGCAACTACAGCCAGTCCGGCATCCGCTCAACAAGCTGGGCAACGACGTCGAATCATGGGACGACGACCCGGAATTCGACCTTCAAGGCGACGAGGATCTTTTTGGAAAACTGTCCACGCTCGAAAACTCGCTGCAAAACTTCAAATCGACCGCTTCGTCCTCGCGATCGTCGTCCGGCAAATCTGCAGACTCGCTCTCGTTCGAGGACAGGCTTGAGTCTCTCAGTCTAAACGACGACGACGGCGGTTTGGCTGCGTCTTTTGCTTCTAAAGCTGCTTTGGATGATGCCTTTGACGGGTTTAGTGATTTCGGTGATGACGACGACGAAGACGACAGGAACGGCGACAAAAGCACAATCAAAATGTCATCCGCGGCAGCAGTCAGCATTCTGGGCACCGTGCAACAGCTAGAACCAGGTGACTCCTCGACACTCAAGGGATCTGATTCATCTAGACTGATCGACAAACAGAAAATTCTCAGCTGGGTGGAAGATAGCGAAGAAGCTGGGCTCGATTTCGACGATACACTTAAACCGCGTCAGCAGTCCACAGACAGGAGACCGGATCATGGCGGCGACATCATCAGCGGCTCTCTGTTCGAGGTGCCTATTTCCAAGTCCACCGGCAAGCCGTCACCGAAACTAACCCAGCACTCATCACCCCGGCCGACTTCTTCCAAGCAGAAATCGCCCAAGCTCAGCACTGTTGTCGAAAGTAGTCGACAAAAGACACCGCCAAAAAGCGATTTCGACGATTTCGAGAGCGATTTTGTCATTCCCGACGATCTGAGTAAGATCGAGCTCAAGCTCTCGACTCGTCCACGAACACCGGTGCATCTGGGAGGCGATAGCGATATCGAAGGCGGATGGGGTGAGGAAAGCACGAGCACGCGGTACACCGGATCGAAATTCACGGATTCGTCGAATCGATCGTCGATGATTTCGGCGTTTTCGCCGTCTTCGAGCGTGACGTACGAAAGCGAGGACGAAGGCTTGCTCGGACTACAGATTCCCAGCGGACCGCTTAATTTCCAGCAGCTCCTGGACGGCAAGATGAAGGATGTTGGGGGCGACTTGTCCAAGACCGAGGCTGATGTGCAAAACCTTGAGCACGAGGAATTTCTCGAAGGTCTCGAGATCGGAGAGGATGATCATATTTTCGATACCGGGAAGTGGACCGTGAACAAAAACATCAAGCAAAAGTCGATGGGCGGTCTCTCGTCCAAGACGTCGCCAAAACGACCCACGGTTTCACAGATCTTTGCTCCGAGGCCTACGAGGATTCCGCGACCAGTAAGCCAGACGTCTAATTCATCGCCGCTGCTACAAACACAGTCGTCGCTATCAATGCTCAAACCCGAAGCGCCCCCGATTCCGCCGACAAACTCCACTCAACTGAGGCGCCTGGGGCATAAAGCATCCATGGCCTCGATAAAGCCGTCAGGGCAGAATTCAAACCAACGACATGGCGCCTTACTATCAAAGAAATCGATGCCCTCACTCCGGACTTCAACAAGTGACCTCGGGAACGACCGATATAGTCTATCAAGTGCACCACCGCTTCCTTCTCTACCTTCGCGGTTATCCTCTGGTATCTCGTCAAACACCGCATCGCCAGGGATCCGCCCTGCAGCAAGCTCGAGCAATCTAAGACGCATGACCTCACGAAGCAGTATGATCCCGCCGAGTCCCGCATCGCTCGGCACACCCGCCACACCCTCGATCCCGCCGTTCAACCGGTTCTCTCGAAAACCTTCGATGAGCAGCTTCCACTCGCACGCATTGTCTGATGATAGCTTACCCGGGCGCGCGACGGTCTCGCAGTCAACGGCGACGACGACGACAACGACAATAAGCTCGGCAACAACGAAAAACACGCCGTCGCCGCGGAAACACTACATCGAGACCGAGGTGCCGGACTCTGTCAGACGAGAGGCGCCGACGACGAAGACTCTACTGAGACCGGTGCGGAGGCGACTTTTTGGAGATGGTACTGAGCTGGACGAGTTTGAGGATCTGCCGATTAGTTCGGTGAAGGAGCAGACGTATCTGAAGAAGCCTTCCAGTGGTGGAAGCCATTCCAAGAAAAGCTCACTGAGCTCAAGAGGTAAATATTATGTTTAACAGTGGTATCGAATTAGTACACTTTCTAACAGTGATGTAGGAGACGATACAGGAATCTCGCATCTCAGAGACATATCAAAGACTCAGGGCCGTCGTCAGACATCGACTCAGTTGCGCAAAGCAGCTTCGTCGAGCAGCATCGCTGGCAGCAGTAGTATTCCATCCGCGATGCCAAAGTCAGCAAAGAGCAGTAACATTCCACCTGCCAAGACGACCCGCCAGCCATCAAGCAAGCCACGACGAAAGCAGCAGCAGCAACGGCCGCATTTGATTCGGCCGATGGGAGACTATGCGAACGCTCCGCGGCAGGAGAAAGGAATGAGGTATAACCCCAAGACGTTCAAGTGGGAAGGAAATGACTCGGTGACGGTTGATTTCGAATCCGTCGTGCTCACGCCGCCGCGACCGGCGCTGATCTCGAATATCTCGGCAAAGAAGGGGATTCAGGTCGTGGGCGGGATGGTGTTTGATCCTGTTCGGATGTGCTGGTTCAAAGCCAGTGATGTCATGCGGCCGAGCGCAGGGTCTGGGTCTCCACACGGCAGCGCAGGAGAGGTGGAGTTTGATTTCGACGGCGCGGCAGCGAGTATGGAGGACGATCCGTTTGCCGGGTTTGACGACGAATTCGACGACGAGGACACGCTGAAGGCGCACGAGCAGCAGCAGTTTTCAGCCTCGGAAGGCACGCTGAGCAAACGGCCTCTGTCGATGGGCGGCGGCAACCGGGCAGCGAGCTCGCAGCTGCCGTCGTCGTTCGCGACGGGCGACGGGGGGCGAAGGAAGATCGACACGGGAAGCGTCTACGGGGAGTTTGTGGTGGGCGAGGAGTTTGATGTCGGGCCTGGGTTTGTGCGGAAGCAGATGGACGAGGAGGAGCGGTGGAGACGGAAAGTACATGGGTGGATTGGACGGGAGACGAGCGAAGGGGCCGGGGCGGGGCAGCCGTTCAGCAGAGAGTATTTATATGAGATCCGGACTCTGATCATGGGGCGGAAGTAATATGAAGGGTTTTATTGTATATATATCTACATCAAGAACAGGCATGAACGCATCAGAAGGTAGATGGAAGTTCGATAGGCGTTTGACGGGGTAGGGTTTTGTCTGTTCGGCGGGCGATATGACGGAGGGAACTACGTCATCGTCCCAATTTACTGAGCCTGTTTTGTTGATCGTCGTCGGCAGCAGCGTAGATATAAAACCAGGCCGCGTACCCGCTTCTGTTCTCGAGATGGTGTCAACAGAACCGAACAACATGGGATTCTTTTCACGCGACAATAGCAGAAACGGCGGGAACACGCATCCGCTCGAGCCTGCTTCTACGGCAGAGTACGACGGGTCTGTGACGACGAGTGGCGGTGCTCACCAGCAGCAGCAGCAGCATTCGCCGCCAAAGTACGGATCGACAGATACCGACGCCGACCACGACGACAACTACGAGGACGAACACACACCCGACCACGCGAGGAACTCGGAGGACAGCGGGGAGGAGTCTGCGCCGCTGCTGATTTCGGCGGAGGACCCGGCGGTGAACCCGTTGAAGCACTTCAAGATCCGCACGCTGCGCCGGCTGTCGCTTTTGTTTCTCGTGTTTAGCGCGATTATGTATTTCCTGTTTCTCGTCTCGATGTTTTTCACGATCCCGAAGCTTAATACGCATGGCGGGAACTACTACGTGATGATGAATATGCTTATCGCGCTCGGCAACCTGGCGATATCGCTGCAGGTGTTTGCGATTCCGACGAGGTCTGGACGGATTATCAATTTTATTATGATTGGGTTTTTGTTTCTCAGCTTTATTTTGTCTGTGAGCGTCAACAAGCTTCGCCACTACGAGGGCAACGTGCTCGCGATCCTGGTGAACCTGTGGGTGATTTTCACCGCCGCGTGGGTGCTCCTGTGCAATCTTGCCGTCGAGCGCACGCGCGTCTCGCTCGAGGAGATCATCTCTGGCCGGCGACATGGCACTGGCTCGCGCGCGCAGCGGTCGTGTAAGATGTGGGTCAGCCTGCTGTGGGCGCTTGTTGTGTTTTCGCTCATTCTGGCGATGGTCGTGCTCATCACGCTCTCGCTCGCGGTGGACTCTTACGACTCGAGAATCAGCCCGCCGGGGGAGTACGTCGAGGTCGAGGATAATCTCTACCGGATCCACATCTACTGCAACCGGCCGCAGCGGAACGTGAACGAGACGACGCCGGAGCCCACGATCTTGCTTGAGGCGGGGTCGACCTCGGCCGAGGTGTTTGCGCGCGAGTGGGCGGAAAGGGAAGTCAACGACGGCGGGTCGACTATCTCCGACATGCGCTACTGCTACTGGGATCGTCCGGGCATCGCGTTTTCCGACAACGCGCCGTCGCCGATGTCGGCCGGAATGGCGATCGATGCGCTCTCGGACGGGTTGAACCAGATCGGCGAGCGCGGGCCGTGGATCCTGGTGTCTCATGGTGTCGGGGGGATATACTCCCGTATCTTTGCCTCTCGGCACGCAGGTGATCTCTACGGGCTCGTGCTGGTCGACACGTACAACACCGAGTACTTCACCGACAACGTCGGCAGGTCCAGCCGCGGATTTGGATACTGGCTGCACGGCCTTGTCTCGCCTCTCGGGATCGACAAGCAGATCGGCTGGATCTTTGGCGGGCGCACGTCCGAGGACCGGATTTTCGGGCGCTCGCAGTCGACGAGCGGGAAATACAACCTGGCCAAGTTCCAGGAACAAGTAGCCGCGCGCACGTTCACCAAGAACGAGATCCTGGCGGCGTCGGAGATCTTGCCGGAGATGACGCCGATCGCGGTGATTAGCTCGCAGCAGATGATTGAGGATAAGGCCGGATGGGCGGATTACCAGCGCGAGCTGTCGCAGCTGTCGAATAATCTGGTGACGTGGGAGATTGTGGAGGCGCCGCATGAGGTCTGGAGGGATGATGAGGGCCGACGGACGATTTCGAGGGCGGTTGCGGATTTGCGGGTGATGACGGGCATGGTTGCTGATGTGGAGATGTAGTTTATCGCTCTCTATTCTGTATTTGTTTGTTTTTATTTTGTATTTGTTTTGTCGCTTTTGGATAGGTATTTGGGGGCAGGGCGCAGGAGCTGTTTGCAATAGTTGAAAATGATAATGAGATTGTGCTGACATAAGACATCTCACAACAGTAGCACTCAAAACGCCGCACGATTGTGATTCAATGTGACTCCGACGAGCAGAGGCGCCTTATCAGCACGCCTTCGAGAACCAGGTTCGAGGCAGGATCCCGCAACATTCGAGCACCAGGCCCAGCAACAGGTCAATTCGAGCTCTGAACAGGCTCAGCCAGCAGCAGTCTGAAACCAGCGAGCGAACACGCTCCGAAACCGCAAAGCCGAGCCCCGATAAATGCTGTTGCAGGCCAGAAGGGGTCTTGTGCACCGCCCGAGCCCGGCGGCGGCCCAGTGCGCCTATCGCGTTCTTCACAGGCAGAGGCCCCGCTCGCTGCTGTCTTCACCACCTCCGTCACCGCTTCCTTCTTCTTCTGTCTTTGCCCGCCACTTCCGCTCCCCAATTGAATTCAAAATGTCGCTCGACCAGCAGTATCTCGATATCGACGACGCGAAGGACTACAGTGCGTTTGCTCCTCTGTTTGGTGTTGAATTAGTCAACCTTGTTCTCGTTCTCGGCGTCGGGATAACTGGGGATAACTGACGACCGTTGACTAACACTACTACCTTCTCCAGAGTTCTCGTCGCGGAGGTCCGTCGTGCACTCGCTCGATGGAATTGTCTCTTGCACTCAGCCCATGGCCGCTCAGGCTGGTCTGAAGATGTTGCGCATGGGCGGAAACGCGGTCGTAAGTTTCCCTTCTACAGAGTGTCTGTCCGACGCTCATTGCTGTAGTAGTCATTCCACTATAGTAAATGTGAAAAAGCATTCTTATTAACACCGGCTAACTCTACCCCAGGACGCCGCCGTTGCCACCGCTGCCGCGCTCACCGTCATCGAGCCGATGATGGTCTCCCCCGCCGGAGACGTCTTCTCCCTCTTCTGGAGCGCAAAGGACAAGTCCCTGAAGGGTCTTAACGGTTCCGGCCGCTCGCCCCAGAAACTGACGATCGACTACCTCAAGTCGGTTGGCATCACGGGCCACAAGCTCCCCCCCAACTCGGTGCACTGCGTCACCGTCCCCGGCGGTCCTGCCGCCTGGGTCGACGCGATCGAGAACTGGGGTTCGGGCAAGATCACGATTGCGGACGCGCTTGCGCCTGCGATCGAGTTTGCCGAGTTTGGCGTGCCGATTCCCGAGATTGCTTCGCAGCTCTGGTACCGCGGAAAGAACATCATTGCCAACAACTCCGAGAACGGCAAGGACATGCTTCTTGCCGACGGATCGACGCCCAAGCAGGGTGACCTGTGGGTCAACAAGAAGCTCGCGGAGACGTACAAGCTCGTTGCGAAGAACGGCAAGGCTGGATTCTACGAGGGTCCCGTTGCCGAGCGCATCGTCGACCAGGTCCAGAGCATGGGCGGTGTGATGACGCTCGAGGACATGAAGAGCCACACGTCGACCTTCGTCGACCCGATCTCGATCGACTTCAACGGCCTCACGCTGTGGGAGTGCCCTCCCAACGGCCAGGGACTGCTCGCGCAGCTCGCGACCGGAATCATCCGCGAGATGATCGAGGACAAGATCGTGCCCCCTCCGTCCGAGTGGGTGCTCAACTCGGTCGAGTACTTGCACATGGTCATCGAGTCGCTCAAGATGGCGTTCCGCGACGGAGAAGAGTACGTCGCCGACCCCGAGCGCGCAAAGGTTCCCACCGCTGCGCTTCTCGAAAAGTCGTACCTCAAGGCCCGCGCGAAGGAGTTCGACCCCAAGAAGGCCGTGCCGCAGTACGCGCCCGGTCTGCCCAAGACCGCGAACGACTCCGACACCGTGTACCTCTCTGTGACCGACAAGGAAGGAAACGCGTGCTCGTTCATCAACTCCGTCGCGGGCATGTTCGGCACCGGAATCGTGCCCAAGGACTCTGGCTTCCCGCTGCTCAACCGCGGCGTCAACTTCATCCTCGACCCGACCGCGCTCAACGCGCTCGAGGGCGGCAAGCGACCGTACCACACCATCATCCCCGCCATGCTCACCAAGGACGACGACATCTACGCCGCCTACGGTGTCATGGGCGGCTTCATGCAGCCCCAGGGCCATCTGCAGGTCCTGCTCAACCACTCGGTCTTTGGCCTCGACGAGCAGAAATCCCTCGACGTGCCCCGTATCTGCATCACCCCCGGCCGCGTGGTCGACGGCGTGACGCTGACGAACGTGAACGTAGAGGCTGAGATCAGCGACGAGGTGGTCGAGAAGCTCAAGGCGCTCGGCCACGAAATCACGCGCCAGAAGCGCTACGATCCGTTGTTTGGCCGTGGCCAGTTCATTAAGCTTACCAAGCTTGACAACGGCAAGATCGTCCACAGCGCTGGAAGTGACCCGCGTGGTGACGGTGCTTCGTTCCCTTTCTATGCTTAAATAGTTGATGCGTAGGTGAAGAAAAGTGATTGATATTTAATGTGGTGATGGCACGGCTACGACGATTTGTTCATTTGTTCAATATTTTCAATAGTTCAGAACGACTTAATGCAAGACTTATAAATATCTTAAGAGAATCGAAATGTCTACACAGTCTGTCATAGACTTGTTGCACGCGGACATAAAATCGGTCTATCGACAAAATGCCTACGAGGGAAGAAGCAATTATTGTAATAAAACGAGTGTATTTTAATGTATCCCCAATACTTGTATAAAGTAAATATAAAACAAAAAGAGCAGCCAAAAACACGCAATTTACAAAGTAGTAGTAGTATACAAAAAAATAGACCCAAAATGTAAAAATCCCAAGCAAAATATATATAACGATCACTTCCTCCGCGCAACCCCTATACTTCCAAAACCGAGATGCAGATAAACACGAGACTCACAAATAATGCAGAAAAGACAGAAAACACCAAAGTACAAATAGAGAGTGTGTAAGCCAAGTTCTAAAGAGAGACGATAAAAGAGAGAGAGAGAGAGGAAGACCAGGATGAAAGAGTGATGCTGGTCTTTATTTCTTCTTGTTTGTAGGTTTCTTGGACTTGTTTGAACCCGACTTTGCGACCGAGCTCATGATTTTGACGTGGTCCTTCGGCGTCAGGTTGTTGAAAGTGACGCCGCCGGCGCCCGAGGCAGCGGCGTTTGCCCTGCCGGACTCGCTGCGCTTCTTCTTGGTCGCTGAAAGAGAGGACGGCGAAGGCAACGAAGAAGGCGAGGAGACGGGCGGCGGAGAGACCATTGCTGCGCGGTGCTGAGGTACCTGTCCTGGAATGAGTGGTGCGTCGGCAAGGCTGAGGCCAAGACCGACTTGCTGGACAGGCTGGTGCGTGGGCTGGATCATGAACTGCTGCTGGCTCAGAGTGGCAAAGTCCATTGGCAAAGGAGCGTTGACAAAGGAAGGTAAGTGCGCGGCGCTGCTGCTGGCGCGGATCAAGCTGGGCTGCGAGCGCGCGCGCTGGAGACGCTGCTGGTGTTGTTGGCGGCGGTTGGTAGGTCTGGTAGACGAAGGCGCGCTGCTCATGAGGAACGTGTCCATCGATCGCTGGTGCTGCAGCAAGGGCGGGCTGGTAGTGTGCAGATGCGCGGTCGACGGCGGGATCGAGGACGACAGATGCATCTCGGCTTCGGCAGACGCGGTCGGGAGCGGCATGTAGAACTGCGCGGGCGAGACCGACGGCGAGCGCGAGGTCGCGGAGGAAGCGTACCGGCGCTTGGTCTCGCGGTCGCTGTTCTGGTCGCCGTTCAGAAGCATCGAGTCCTCGCATCGAATGTCAGCCAGGAACTCAGCCTGAAACTGCTGCTGCTGTTGCTGCTGTTGCTGTTGCTGTTGCTGGTGATGGTTCTCCTGCCATTCGACCACACGGAGCTGCTGCGACGGCATATGATGAAGCTGATGAGTCTGCTCGCCAGAGAAGTCCTCGTGCGATCGCTTGCGCAATTGAGACGAAGACACAGCATGAGAGAGAGCAGGAAAATCGTCGTGCGATCGCTTGCGGAGTTGAGATGTTGACACAGCGTGAGCAAGAGCAGGAGGAGATGGGATAGAATGCGGAGAAGGGTGCGCGGTCGCGAGGATAGGCGAGGGCGAAGTATGCATCTGCTCGTGCTGCTGCTGAGGACGGTGTTGGTTGAGCGAAGTGAACTCCTCGTAGAGCGAGGTAGGGAGTCTGGAGTCGAATGAGCTGGCGAGGATGCTGTGGTCGTTGGCAAAGATGTCCTCGACGGGGCTGCTGTAGACGGGCTCGTGGTCGCTGTGAGGGAAGGTGAGAACATCGTAAGCGTCGCTGGAGAGCTCTGCAAAGTTGCGCGGCACGGAGTCGGTGTTGTAGTTCTGCTTCTCAGACTGTAGCTGCTGCTGTTCTTGCTGATGCTGCTGCTGCTGGAGGAGAAGCTCGACCTCGGGCTGCGTCTCGGCGATGTGGGCAGTGACGCCGTAGGCAGGTTCGTCGAACGCGACGGTGGTAGCCGAGTCGAGAGAAGGCGTGTTTGCCATCGAGTCAATTGCAGCGTAATTCGAAGACGACGAGCGCGCGAGTGCGACTGGCTCGGGGATGATTGCCATTGCGGCAACGATGTCCTCGACGACGACGTGCTGCTGCTGCTGCTGGTTGTGTTGAGAGGGCAGAGCAGGAGCGGGCGACGAAGCTTTTTTGGACTTGTTCGAACTGGAGCCACGTGAGCCGCGAACGGATCTTTGCGAAGAGGAGAGGATTTTCTTTTGCTGTTTCTCGTCGACGAAGGAGGAGAGGTCGGAAGAGTCGTCGTAGAGGCCGGCGGAGGCGTTGGATGCAAAGAGAGGGCCGAAGCGGGAGGCGAAGGAGGTGAAGAACGCCTTGACGTCTTTCCGTCTCTCTTTGGAGTCGAGGGCGTCGCGGGGCATGCAGGCGTGGGAGTTGTAGGAGGCGTAGCCGTCGTTCTGCGAGGATCTGGAGTTTTCGTCGCCGGGGAGGAGGAGGAGGAGATTGGGATCGAGGGAGGTGAGGGAGGCGACGGAGGACGAGGCCGAGGAGGAGGAAGGCGAGGAGGAGAGCGCGGGGGGAGGCGGGGCGAGCGAGGAGCTGTCGGCGACGGAGGCAGCGCGCTTGATGACGGGCGGGCGCTCGGTGGACGAAGGCGAGACGGGGGCGGTGTGGGGTTGCTGCTGCTTGCGGGCGGGTTTCCTGCGCTGGGAGGAGGAGGAGGAGCTGTTGCTGGCGAGACGGGAGCGGATGGCTGCCAGGCGCGAAGGGTGTTCGCGCGGGATGTCGCGCATGATAGGCGCAGCGAGCATAGGAGAGGAGGCGAGGGTGAATGAGAGAAGCACGGAGAGGAGTGCAGAGAGAAGAAGATGAGGAAGAGAGGAAGAAGGTGAAGAGCAGACGAGGCCGAGGAAGACAATTCTTATATCGGCTCCCAATCTGGGGCCTGCGATGCTGGGCTGTCCCGAATAGGAATAAGTCTTTCCTCTTTGGGTAAGCCAGCCACCACGGACCAGCCACCATGACTCTCGGTGCCCGGCAGCCGGCGCAGGGTCTGCTGCTGTTTGTTGTGGTGTTTGTGTGTTGTTATTCCTGTTTTGTTCTGCTCAATTAGCTTATGTATTATTCTACCTTCTCTTCTCTTCTTTCTAATACCACTTTCACCATCTACAGACACCTCCTCGTCCCACAGCACCAGGTCAGTTACTTATCACGTGAATGCTCTACTCATTAAAGTTCTTCCGTGCGGCGCTCGTTGCTGCTCCGAGCCAGCCACCGCTGCTCGCTCGTCCATCACCAAACCTGGCTGGGCTCCTGGCTGGGCTCCTGGCTGGCTGCTCTGTTCTGGTGATCTCTTCCTGTATTATACTGTTATTACCGCGCCGTTGGATATGCTGTTATGCAATCCCTCGCGCTCGTAAATCTCCTTATAAGTCCCGTCCACCACCTCCTTGCTTCCCGTCCCGTTATACTGGCACCCGCACTCCCTCCCTCTCCATCCCTCGCCCAGCCCTCGCCAATCCCACACTGCATACGCATTCGCATACTTGCATCCCTCACTACCACTACACACACAGCACGACTAATGTGTAATCCCGTCCAGCCCAAACTCCAGCTCGCGCTCAAGACTGCCTTCCACCACAGTCGTCTCGCCATCCGCCGTCAGCTGCCCGTCAAGGTCCATCTCCGACGGCCGCGGCACCTCCTCCCGACCAGCCGCCTGCCCGCCAACATCCTGCGTCTGCATCTGCGTCTGCGGTCCGCCCGACGGCGCGGCCCCGGACCGGCCCAGCATCTCCTTCTGCGTCTCCACCGGCTGCCGCACCATCTTCCGGAACTGAATCACCTCGTCCTTGATCATCTCTCTCATCGAATCAATGTCATCCACTGACTCAAACGAAAAGTCAAACGTCGTCGGACACTCCGGCTCGTCCGCCGGATCGTGCCACACCGCCAGGTACGGGTGATTCAGCGCCTCTTCCACCGTAATCCGCTCCGCGGGATCAAACGCCAGCATCTTCTCCAGCAAATCAAGCGCCTGCGGGTTCGCAGACGGAAACAGCTTCGAGAAGGGGACTGGCGCGCGGTACTCTAGACTGCGCACGTAATCCTGTGCTCGCTGTGATCCGATCCGGCATAATGTCTCTTCTGAGGGTGTGCCGAGGTAGCGTAGAATCTGATTGAGCTGGTCAACGTAGTCGTGTCCTTTGAAGAATGGCTTTCCTCCTAGAAGTTCGGCAAGGATACATCCTACCGACCACACGTCGACTACAGAATCGTCAGATTACGTAGAGTAAAACAAAGCAAAAACAAAGAATAAAACCTACTGGCTTTTGTATAGCTCTGGAAAGACAGCATGATCTCTGGCGCTCGGTACCACCGCGTTGCCACATACTCAGTCAAGAACCCCGCGTTTTCCGCCGGATCATTAGAAAACCCGCGCGCGAGGCCAAAATCGCAAATCTTGAGCTCGCAATCCGCATTGACAAGCAAGTTTCCGGGCTTGAGATCGCGGTGGAGAACGTTGGCGGAGTGGATGTATTTCAGGCCGCAGAGGATCTGGTAGATGAAGGACTGGTAGTGCGAATCCGTCAGTGGTTGCTGCGAGCGGATGATCTGGTGCATGTCGCACTCCATCAGCTCTTCGTAGAGGTACACTTCGTTGAAGTTGTTTGTGTCGACGATGTCCATGTCGTAGAGGCAAGTAATCTATTATCAACTGTCAGTCTGGTTCAAAATCTGATCAAACAGAGCCCTGAGCAATGTCTGCACACGCACGTTCTTGTGTCCACGGAAATGAGTCAGAAGCTTGAGCTCGCGCAGAGCCCGCTTGGCCAGGATCTTTTTCGAAAAGATGTTTGTGACTTTCTTGATGGCGACGCCGACCGCCTGCGAGCTCTCGGTATATCGGGCGGCGCAGACCACGCCATACGCGCCCTGGCCCAGCTCCTTTGTGACCTGGAAGCGGCGGTCAATTGTGAAGTCCTGGTTGAGGACACTAGAGGAAGGTTTGTGTTAGTATATCAAGCTGCGGTATGCAAACAGCATCGTGGTCGGCCGTGATCGACGAGCAGAGGGAAGGGGGTGCGGGTACCGGTAGGTGTGGCGCTCTATCTGAATCATCGCCTGTATCTGTGCTTGTCTGTATTGTCTGTGCTGTTCTGTCTGTATCTGCGGTCAAACACAGTCTATCTCAGCTGATAAGTCTCTAAAAGCGCTGATATCCTCTTACTATCTCGCTGTTGTCGTCGTGAACTGAGCGTGCCAGCGGCGGTCGCTGACTGCAGCTGAGCCTGAGCCCTAACCACAACCGAGTGGGGCGAGCAAACAAGGATTTCTGTTCAAAGCGCTGGATAAATAAACAACCTCCTCTGATCTGCGTCGCGGCCTTGTTTATCAGTCTGCGCCCCGGTCCTTCTTCACGAACTCGTCTCTATTCGCTCTCCAGTTCTGGGCTGCCGGACGTCAATTCGCTCTGGAGCCGCTTCCTGCCGTCTGCCTCGCGAACCCTGCGCTGGATCACCGCGGTTTCCTCTCTCGCTTAGCGTACTTTGTCCAATAATACCGCAAACCCGCCTTCTCGCTCTCGCTCTCCTACTCCTCCTCTATCTTTAATCTGCTCGTCTCTCCCCGCAATGGAGACCCTCGAGATCCACTCGAAGGACTTCGTCGTCAAATGGATCTCCGTTCCAGACAACGGCTCCGTCAGATGGCAGATCCGGCCTAACAAGAAGTCAATGTATGCCCGATGCGTCCCCCTCCTCCTTCTCGCTCTTTCTCCTATCAGCCTATCTCCTCTCTAACACCTCCTCTTCTCTCGCTCTAGCAACTTTGGCATCTTCCGCCGTCTTCCCGGTGCCTCCGATTCAACCACCGCCCTCGCCCCCAACGCCGGCTCTAATCCCGCCGCTGCCGCTGCTGCTGCAGGCCGCACGCGTTCGTCCTCCTCCGTCACCGTTATCTCCCCCACCGGCACCACCCACGGCACCGCGCCAGCAGGAACCCTTCATGAGCGACTGCGCAACTCGGGCCTCACTCCCGTCTACTGGCACGGCAAGTGCCATGCCCACAGCATCCTCAAGGGCTCCTATCACGTCCCCAAGAACTCTGGTGGCATGTTTGCTTTCGTCTTTGACAACACCTTCTCCAAGACGCTCTCCAAAACCGTCCAGTTCGCCCACTCGATCGAGTCGCAGGATGCAACGTACTCCGAAGGCATGACCGCAACCACTACAATGGCTGCCCCCAAGCGACGACGCAGCACCGCGCATCACCCATCCACCAAGGGCAACCGCAACAGCGTCCTCGCATCCCAATCACAGCCCTCGCCGCCGGTACCTCCCACCATCCTCCACACCCACTCCGACAACTCCGTTCCTAACCTCGCTACCCAGCGCGCGGTCTCGGCCTCCTCGTCAACCCTCGTGCCCCAGACCGGCGTCGACGACCGCTTCCACTCCGGCATCCTGCTCAAGAAGCGCCGCAAGAAACTCCAGGGCTACGCAAAGCGCTACTTCACCCTCGACTGCGACTCGGGCATGCTCTCGTACTACCACGACGCATCCTCCTCGCTCCTGCGCGGCTCCATCCCGCTCGCGATCGCCGCCGTCGCCGTCAAGCCGATGACGCGCGAGATCTTTATCGACTCGGGCGCTGAGATTTTTAATCTGCGCGCGCAGACGCAGCATGACTTTGTGTCGTGGAAAGATGCGCTCGAGCGGGCGCGCACGCGCGCACTTGTGACTACGACGTCGGCCAGTTCAGCGATCGCGGGCTCGCCGACCGAGTCCGGGAAGTTGTCACCTATTACTTCGGCTGGAACTCAGCTTCTTTCGCCGCCGTCGCCGGGGACGGTCATGTTGACCGACAAGGAGTGGGCGCGGCTCGAGGAGATTGGGGATAAGATCAATGCTGCGCTCAAGCTTACCCGTGAAATGGGTGGAGAACCGTCGTCGCCTTCGGGCCATCCGAATCACCATAGTCATATTCCTAATCCTCTCCACCACTCGCTTCACCACAATCACCACAGTAATTCGCACAACAACAGCAACAGCAACAGCCATAACGGCGCTAAAGTTTCGCCGCAGCCGCAGGCGCACCGGGAGGACTACTTTGCGCTCGATGCGATGGTCGAGCAGCTGCACAATACATCAGTTGCGCCGCAGACATCAGCAACGACCCCCGGCGGAACGACGACTACGTCTTCGAGGAAGTTCTGGAAGAAGCGGTCGTCGACAAAGGACAGTTCGAACAATGCCGTCACGCCGGGCGGGGGCGATACTGCTGCGGCACACCACCACCATCATCAGCAACATCACAACAAAGATGTTGCTATCGAAGTGCTGCAGAACCTGCTCACGACCGCAAACGAAGACTTTGTAGCGATCATGAACGCGCCGCGGAGACGCTCCTTCTCTGGCTTCCGCATGCCGAACCTGAGCAGCGTGCGCCGCGGCTCGCTCGACGTGGCGTCGATATACTCAGACTCTGAGTTCTTTGATGCCGAAGAAGGGCCCGCGATTGTGGTCATCGCCGACAACGACGAGCCGGTGGAGGACATTGTCGTTGTCTCGGACGAGGAAGAAGAGGAGGAGACCGCGCGGTCGAGTTCGTCGTCGCGTCGGCGCTCGTCATCGTCCTCCTCGTCGTCGGTGGACGCCGACCACCGGCTTGCCGCGCTCTCGCCATCGACGTCAGCCGCGGGCGCGACGCGGGACCTTTCCCCGCTTCCGATCGAGAAGCACATCGAGCGGCGGCACACGGTGCCCGCGAACTCGGTACTCCCGCCGAGTTTGATTCAGTTTGTGCGCAAGAACGTGGGTAAGGATCTGTCGACGATCGCGATGCCTGTGACTGCGAACGAGCCGCTGTCGGCGCTGCAGCGGTACGCGGAGGCGATGGAGTACAGTTCGTTGATTGACGCGGCTGCGGCGGCGAAGGTGGACTCGGGGGAGCAGATGATGTACATTGCCGCGTTTGCAATCTCGAATCTGTCAAATATGCGATGCAACACGCGCGCGCTGCGGAAGCCGTTCAATCCGCTTATGAACGAGACGTTTGAGATGGTGCGCGAAGACCGCGGGATCCGGTTCATCGCGGAGAAGATCTCGCACCGCCCCCCGATCTTTGCGACGTTTGCCGAGACGCCAAAGTGGACGTACTCGTACTGTCCGCAGCCGGCGCAGAAGTTTTGGGGAAAGAGCGCGGAGCTGATTTCGGAGGGCCCGATCACGATCAGTGTGTTGACGACCGAGGACGGGGCCGAGCGGACAATCACGTACTCGTACGCGATGCCGACGACGTATTTGCGGAATATCCTCGCGGGGGAGAAATACGTCGAGCCGTCTGGTCAGATGCATATCTCGTCGTCGTCCGGGCACAAGGCGTCGATTGAATTCAAGTCAAAGTCGATGTTCTCAGGTCAAAAGTCGGACGAGGTGTTTGTGAAGATCTTTGGGCCGCAGAATAAGCCGTTGCCGGAGGTCGCGATCAGCGGGAAATGGACGACGAGCCTTACGCGGACATCCGACGGGAAATGCGTGTGGTCGGTGGGTAACTTACTTCCCGAACCACGACTACGTTACGGCATGCCTGAATTCTGCGCGGAGCTGAACGACATCACCGAGATTGAGCGCGAGAAGATGGCGCCGACGGACAGTCGGCTGCGGCCGGACCAGCGGCTGCTGGAGACGGGCCAGATCGAGCAGGCGGAGGAGGTGAAGAAGAAGCTCGAGGACAGCCAGCGCGAGCGGCGGAAGCAGGGCAAGATTCCCGCGGAGGGGGTCGCGAGTCTGTGGTTTACGAAGGCCGAGAATGGGGTGTGGATTCCGATTCAGGGAGCGGGCGGGTATTGGGAGCAGAGACGGGTTGGGGACTGGGAAAAGTGTCCGCCGCTTTGGTGATGTGCATTTTATGGTTAGAGTAGAGCTGTGTAAATAGTGTCTTTTTATTTTTTTTGTCAGATTGATGACGTTTTGGACTTGCCTCTAGAAGAAGGTGAGAGTGTGAATAAAACCAGACTATTATAGAGAGATTTAGACGATAAAAGATATTCTCTTGATTCAGGGTTTATTTATTAGTTCAAATTATCGACACACTTCTTTTCAGATATTAACAGCATAATCAGCAACACATATGAACAACAACAACAACAACAATAAAACACGAATGAGCACGACGTATAAACTGGGAAAAAGCAGTGATAAGAAAACAGTATGAGAGATTATTAGTGACTTTGAAGTAGGAGGGATTAAGACAAGTTATAGAAGAAGATATAATGCTTAGCACAAACGATTAGTGAAAAATATGGAAGAAAGAAGTTATTAAAAAGATAAAGATTCCAAACTCCTAAATCAAATTGAGATCAAAAGCCATCGAATCAAAAGATGAAGGACGGGAGATGTAAAAAAAGACTCGTATGAACATGCGGTCTCTTTCTTTAGTTTCGTGACTCGTAGCAGGATTTTTCTTTTAGATATTGAGCAGGCATTCTTCTCAGTCATATACACACAGATCTGGTTCTAGATGGATGGAGATGCAAGGCACCAGGGGTGTTCAGTTGGCGACTCAGTCGGTGGATTGGATCATTTTGTCTTTGGCGACTCTGCGTCCTGAATAGCCTTGTTTCGCTCCTCGACGTCGCGCTCGGCAAGGATGCTGGCGGCGTTGACGAGCTGGATGACGTTGATGACCTGCTTGAGGAGCCAGAGCGGGAAGGTGAATGCGCCAAGGAAGGTGACGTAGGAGAGCGGTACGCCGCGGTAGTAGCCGAGGTGGGGCGGGGTCTTGAGGGGGAAGGAGTAGAGGTAGAGGGCGACGAAGAAGAGCTCGTTGGCGGCGCAGACGATGAAGAGGACGTTTGAGTTTGTGTAGTAGAGACTGAGGATCCAGCCGCGGTCCTTGGAGACCTTTTTATGGGACTGCACGCCGGAGGAGAGCATTGCGTACATGTGCATGTAGTGCGAGGCGAGGTCGAGGGAGATGAGGCATTGGTAGAAGATCGACCAGGACGGGTAGCGCGCGGAGAGGAAGCAGATTAGGCAGGAGGTGGTGCAGCGGTCGGTGACCATGTCGAGGATCGCGCCGAAGCGGGTGGATTGGTTGAAGCGGCGGGCGGCCATGCCGTCGAAGGCGTCGAGGAGGCAGGAGATGGAGTAGAGCCAGGTGCCTGGAGACAATCAGAATTGAGTGGGGAATGAGGAGTGAGCAGTAAGAAGAGAGCAAACATACAGGCCTTGGGATGGTAGGCCATGAAGCCCAGCGAGGCGAGGGCGAGGATAACACGGCTGTAGCCGATCAGGTTCGGGATGAAGAGAAAGACATCCCGGGTGGTGACGAGTTTAGCCATTGGAGAAGTGAGTTCAGATAGAGAAAGCGGATCTCTGTTGAAGGGAACCGAGCCAATTGACGAGAAACAAGAGAAGAGAAGAAGAGAAGGCAGCGGGTGAGGAGAATAACAAACTTGTTTCTTGAAACCCGGAGCGGAAGTGCGCCGCGGTGAAGGTGCGCGGGCGGTGAAGGTGTTGTGGTGTAACTGCAGCGGCGGAGTGTGCATATCGCGGTTTATCGGCCCCGGGGCTCTTGTTCGCCGTTGGTGTGTTGAGAACCTGAGCAAGAGGTAGGTGTGTTGCTGTCTGTGTTGAGATGTGTGGGTTCGTGGACTGCAATTGAGGTCTGCTTGTTGATATCAACGAATGCAGCGATATCCAGACATCCATCTAGTTGAGGTACAGACATGACTAATAATTCTCCACCAACTCTTAGTTCAAATATCGTCCTCCAACCCACATCTTTCTACGCAAGAACTGCACAAAGACAATGGCTAGCCACACCAGCCCAGACTTTGGCGTAATCTCGGCCGTGCGATACGACCCTTCCCTCGTGTCCCCGGCCATCGTCGACGAAGCCCAGTTCGCCGCCTGCAAAGCCTCTCTCGACCCGACCCCGTTCTTCCTCTTCCCGCGACACATCGCCCGGCTGAACGCGTCCTACAAATACTTCTGGCCCGAGGAGGCTGCTGCTGCAGTCGCCAAAGACGGGACAGTGATCAGCGCGGAGGCGTTGCTGGCCGCGCTGTACTCTGCGGTCAAGGACCCGAAGAAAGTCTGGCGGATCCGACCGTTTGTGTACCGCGACCGGACGATCAAGGTCGAGTCTAACGAGGTAGGTCCGCGGGCGGATCTCTTCTCGGGTCTGAAAGCGGATACGAAGCCGGAGGACGCGGACTCGTGGACGATATACATCGACACGGAGGCCACGCCGCAGTCGTCAATCACGATGTTCAAGACCTCGAACCGGGACCCGTACACTGCCGCGCGGGAGCGCGTGCTGCCGCCAAACTACCCGGTCAGCGGCACTACGGTCGAGGTGCTGGTGTACAACGAGCAGCAGCAGATCACGGAGGGCAGTCTGACGAACGTTGCGTTCTGGCGCGGCGGCGAGTGGGTTACGCCGTCGAGTAACGAGATAGGCGGGTTGCGCGGGGCGGTGAAGGCCGAGCTGCTCGAGCGGGGCCTGATTCGCGAGATGAAGAGCGACGAGGCGGTGGGTGTTGAGAGCGTGAAGGAGGGCGAGAAGGTGCTGCTGATGAACGGGGTGCAGGGATGCACGTGTGGATATGTCAGACTGGGCGGTTATAGAGAGGATTAGATGCGATGTGAATAGCAGCGGTATCTGGATGCTCGAATTGGTACCCTAAACCCATGCATCTTGAAACCTTAACCCATGCCGCTGTGTGAGCCGTGCGGGAGGCTGGGAGAGCTACGAGAGAGCGAGGAGAGATGTAGAGAGAGGAGGTGTAGGGATGGGCGAGAGGAGGAGAGGGGGTGAAAACAGAGAGAGGAAGGTGAGGAGAGGAAGGTGAAGAGTGGCGGATAGCGGAAGTGCACGTGAAAGGGTCTGTCGGGCACTGAGCAACAGCAACAGCAACAGCAACAGCAACAGCAACAAGCAGCCGAGGAGAGAATGAAGCAGAGTGGAGCAGAGTAGAGACTACAACTATAGCAGACTGCAGCTTAACTACTACCAAACAGAGCTGATCAGAGCAGAGATGATGTGCTTGAACACGCGACGGTGGCACTGATGTGCGTAGCGTGAGCGGTGGCATTTGATGCGGCGGTATGATGTCACCGATGGGATGGGGAGAGCAGATGCAGCGCGGCAGCACAAGTAGAATAGAAGTAGGAGTAGGAGTAGAAGTAGCATTAGCAGAAGCAGAAATAGTATTAGCAGAAGCATCCTAACTACTAGAATTATCAGAAGTAGTAGAAGAGAATAGCAGCTCTATAGACAGAAGCACCAACCCCTCATCAACGTCAGCAGATGGGCAGTGAAACCTTAACCCTAAAACAGCAGCGTCGGGAGATCAGAGCCTCGTCTCAGTCGACGCTGGTTTGCCTCCGTCTCTGGTTTGGATTCTGCGCAGCTGTGTACTTGCAGACGTATTTGTTGATATAAGAAGGCAATAAGTTGGTTTTTGGCTTGTTGTTATTGTCTTGTTCTCTTGCTGTGTTCTCGGGGCTGGCTATTTCTCATCTAGCTTGTGTATACTCCACCGATGACTATCGAGATTAAAGGGTATCCTCCATTCTCTATATCCTCTCTCTATCCTCTCTCTATCCTCTCTCTATCCGCTCTCTAACTCTCCTCACTCTAGAAGCACCTCGCGGAGCACCTCCTCCTTCGTCGACACCCGCTCCTTTGTCGCCTACCTCGCCCGTGTAACCGTCAAGCACTGGCAACTCCGCGACCTGGTCTGCAAGACCTCGACACCGCACGAAGTCATCTACGTCTCTGACCACTTTGTCAAGACCCTCGATCTCAGCAACGGCCGCCGCGGGAGATGCGCAGAGTTTACATTCGATCCGCAGTGCATCGCCTCCGCGCACGGCATCGTCGCCGCCGGCGGCGTCATGCGCGGCCAGCTCGGGATCACGTACCGGACTACTCCTGCCTCTGGCGCCACCGCGCCCGCGCCGGTCTACTTCTTTGAACTGGGCGGGTACATCAACAACTCGATCACGATCTTCCGTCGCCCGGGCGCGCCGCAGGGCACCGCGTCCGCGCTGGTGTGCAACAACGACCACACGCTGCGGATCCTCGACATTGCCGACGCGCGCCACTCGGTCGTCGACGCGGTGCAGATGCCGGTCCCGCTCAACCACGCCAGTATATCGCCGGACCAGAAGACGATCGTGGCCTGTGGCGACTCGGCCCATGTGTTTGTGTTTCATCCCGAGGAAGGCCTGCGGGCTGCGCGGGTGCCGGATGATTTGGACGAGACCGCGCGGGTGGATTTGGCAGGCGACGAGAGCGAGGAGTATAGCGGACACAAGCGATGGAAGCCGTCGGCGACGCTAGGTACTTCTTCCGACGCAGGCTTCTCGACCGCGTTCTCGCCGTCCGGTGTTTTGTTTGCTGTCGCCTCGCAGGACGGCGTCGCGAGCGTGTACGATTCCCGCCAGCTGTCAAACAGTTCGAGCGCAAAGCCGTCGTCGTCGTCACCTCCTCCCGCGAGCAGCAGCGCGAGCAGCAGCCAGCGGCGACGGAACAGCCAGCGACCGCTCAAGTACATTGAATCCACGCGGCCGCTCGAGAGCTCGGGCGCGTTCCGGTCTCTGAAGTTTTCGAGCGGGACGGAGGACTTGCTTTTGATTGCGGAGCAGACGGGAAGAGTGCATGTGGTCGATACGAGACGGCTGGAGTATAAGCAGGTGCTGAATATTCCCGTCACGAGACGGTCTGGGTCCGGGTCTGGCCCTGAGCCATCGTCGTCTTCGTCGTCGCGGAGGCGATCACGATCCGAGTCTGCGGACGAGGTGTCGGAGATTGAGCGCCAGGGATTCCGGCAGTCTACGTCGATCTGGGGCGGTGGGTCCCGAGCGAGCGGGAGTACGGTTAATAGAAGCCCGTTCGGGCCGTCGTGGACGTTTACAAATACGCGGATGCCGCATCTGTCGTCGTCGTCTTCTTCTTCTTCGTCGTCGTCATCACGGGCGTGGACTGGTAGAGAGGAGACGCGGGATAGGTACCAGTTTGAGGATGAGGATGGATACTACGACGACGAGGATACGGGGTACAACTACTGTGCGACTGACGGGGCGTATGAGAGCGGGAGCGACAGTGCGCTGGAGGAAAGCACGAGCAGCACGTCGCTGCGGAGTTACTTCCGGTACACGTGGGCGCGACCGCTTGTGAGCAGCACGGGCGGGAGCAGCGGGAGCAGTGGCGGGGGAATCAGACGGGAGAAGGATATCTCAGGGCTGGCGTGGAGCGAGGATGATGGGGGGTCGATTATAGTTGGGTGGGACGGGGGGATAGGAAAGTGGACGATTGATAGCCGAGGACGGCGGGTGTTTCCCTCGTATATCATGCGCTGATGTTGCTATTGCAGAGTCGCTGATATTGAAGAGGATGAGAGTCTGGGAGGAGTATATGGAAGGCGTAATTGTGTGTGTTTATTGTGACTGGATTTGTGGATTATTGTTTTGAGATTATGGAATTGCTATCTCTTATCGGACGGGTGATGTACAGAAGTGAATTTGAAAAGTATGTACGGATTAGAGGATCGATAGAGCAATTGATGAGATACGATATAGAAAAGAGAAGTAGTTGAGAAGTAGTAGGTGAGAAGAGAGGATGACATCACAATCAGCCAATAAAGTTGCAGGGAGATCAGATTCCGGGGAGGATGATGGAGGAGTTGGCGGCGAGCAGAGCAGATGGGGTGAGGAGTGGATTGTAGTAGTAATAGTGAATCAATTGAGTATATTCTACTATAATTGCACAATTATTGTCTTTATATATCGACAAATACACAACATCCACGCACCCGTCGACAGATCAACGATAAAGCAGCCGGAAGAAAACCCTACCTGCACTCTACCTTCCCGAGCTTCCGCCTCCTCCTCCTCCTCCTCCTCTTCTCTTCTCTTCTTCTACTCTCCTTCTCTACTCTCAGTCCTCAATTAATCAGAAATGGCCTCGTTCCTCCGCTCGACCGGGTCTTCTGCGCTCAAAGTGCGTATTCTCCCCATGTGGTCTGCTGGTTATCTGTTTGTAGCAGGGTAATCAGGAACTTTGCTTGCTAATCCTCAATTTGCTCATCCAGTCCGCTTCCCGCCTCTACTCGACCTCCGCCTCTGCATCCGCGCTCCGTCGTCCGTCGTCTTCTGCAATTGCTCTTTCTAGCGCTGCTGTTATTGCCGGCACTGCCTCGTATTATTTCTACTCGTCCATGGCTGCGCCGATCTCTGCCTCGTCGCCGGTGTTTACCGGCGAGTTTGTCGATTTGACGGTGTGTCGATCATTCATCAATCTCAATCATCAATCAATTGAGAATAATCAATTGAGAGGAATCAATTGCTAATGTTTTATTATCTGTAGCTCACTGATATCAAGAAGGTTACTGATAGCGTATGTATTGATACTTCTCTACCCATCACGCTCTCATTTATCATCATCACTAACCCCCGCAGACCAGCATCTTCACCTTCTCCTTCGACGACAAGGACGCCGTGTCCGGTCTCGTCACCGCCTCTGCTCTGCTGGTCAAGTACGTGACTGCGAAAGGCAACAACGTCATTCGTCCGTACACGCCCATCTCCGACACCGAGCAGAAGGGATCGCTTGATTTGCTCGTGAAGGAGTACCCCGAGGGCAAGGCCTCGAAGCACATCCACCAGCTCAAGCCCGGCGATAAGCTCGCGATGAAGGGACCGATTGTCAAGTATGCCTGGTCGGCGAACAAGCACCCTGAGATTGTGCTTATTGGCGGTGGTACCGGCATCACTCCTCTTTGTATGTGTTTGTTTCTATAGTGTGTGTATTGCTCTGCTAACACGTTGTTTACTCTACAGACCAGCTCCTGCACGAGATCAGCAAGAACCCCGAGGACAAGACCAAGGTGACCCTGGTCCAGTGCTACGTGACCGAGAACGAGATCTTGCTGAAGGACCGCATCGACGCGATCGTCGCCTCGCGCCCTGAGCAGTTCAAGGTGGTGTACTCGCTCGACAAGCCTTCCGAGTCGTGGACCGGTCTTTCGGGCTACCTCACCAAGGAGTCTGTTGGTCCCTACCTTCCCTCGCCCACGGCCGACAACGTCAAGATCTTTGTCTGCGGCCCGCCTCCGATGTACAACGCCGTCTCGGGCGCGAAGGTCTCTGCTAGTGATCAGGGAGAGGTCGGTGGAATCCTGAAGGATCTCGGATTCACGAAGGAGCAGGTGTTTAAGTTCTAGATGATATGCTAGATGCTCTAGATACCTCAGTCTGCACCCTCGCGGAATAAAACGTAGCAGAACTGCACTGCACTGCGACTATAAAAATATTCTCTTTTGATTATAAATGCAATCACTGATTCTAAAACTACTGCATTCCAAGAGTAAAAGACCGCGCTCAGACTGTTCTCTTCTCTTCTCTTCTCTCAGTCAGCAGCGGGGATAAAGTATCACCGGGGCGCTGCATATGCCCCGCGCCAATTCCCGAGACGCGACGGCATCCGAACCACGAATAGCAAAGAAAAGAAGGAGAAATAAGCAGATATCTGCTTGAATAACAGGCATTTTAACTGACGATAAGAGAAAACCAGAAGGAGCAAAACACAGCAGAGAAGAGCAGAGCGGGATGAACCCATTCTGCCGCGGGATCATCCCACGGCCGCTCGGAGCCACCTTCGATAGCCGACTCTGCTTCCCCACAAAATCGACCCCGATCCGCCTTCTTCTTCTTCCTCCTCTTCTCCTCCTCCTCTGTACCTCTTCTTCTCATCATCATCATCAGTCCTCCTCTATTCAGCAAAGATGTCTACAAAACACTTTGTCACCGACATCGACAAGCTCGTCGTCGATTGTCTCGAGTCGCTCGTTCTTACCAACCCTGATCTGCTCTACTACAAGAACGACAAAGGTACTCTCCTCCTCCCTTCCCCACCTCTCCACCACTCCTTCTCTAACACACCCAGTCATCGTCAAAAAATCCTACGACCCCGCAAAGAACGTCGCAGTCATCTCCGGCGGCGGCGCAGGCCACGAACCCGCCCACGCCGCCTTCGTAGGCGAAGGCATGCTCACCGCCGCCGCCTCGGGCTGGATCTTTGCCTCCCCCTCCGTCGCGCAGATCGTGCGCGCCGTCAACGCCGTCGCGGGTCCCAAGGGCGTCCTCCTCATCATCAAAAACTACACCGGCGACATCTTCCACTTCTCGCTCGCGGCAGAGAAAGCGCGCAGCAAGGGTATCCCCGCCGAGGTTGTCGTCGTGGGCGACGACGTCGCCGTCGGCAGGGCAAAGTCCGGTAAGGTCGGCCGTCGCGGACTGGCCGGCACCGTGCTCGTGCATAAAGTCGCGGGCGCGGTCTCGAGCGACGCGAGCGCCTCGCTCGCGGACGTCGTCGCGGCCGCGAACGAGGTCGCAAACAACCTCGTCACCGTCGGCGTCTCGCTCAACCATGTGCACATTCCCGGCCGCAAGATCGAGGCGGAAAACATCATGGCCGAGGACGAGGCCGAGCTTGGACTCGGGATCCATAACGAGAAGGGAATCCTGCGTCTGAAGCCGATTCCGCCCTTGCCTGATCTCGTGGGTTCGATGCTCGAGCAGCTCACGAGCTCGACCGACGCTGATCGCTCGTACGTCGATTTCTCTGACGCCGAGAACGTCGTCTTGCTCGTCAACAACCTCGGCGGTCTCTCCCCTCTCGAGCTCGGCGCTATCACGACCGAAGTCATCCACCAGCTCGACGGCCTCAACCTGCGTCCTACCCGCGTCTTCTCGGGCACTTACATGACCTCGCTCGACGGCCCGGGCTTCAGCATCACCCTGCTCAAGGCAAAGAACTCGCTCCTGCCCCTCCTCGACGCGCCTACAAAGGCCACAAACTTCACCCCGGGCACCGTACTCACGCCCAAATCCGAGGTCTCCTCGCGCATTATCGTCGAGTCCGCCGCGGCCACGCACGCACCCGCCGTCGACGCAAAGCCAAAGCCCACGATCCTCGAGCCGGCAGCGTTCGCCGCCGTCGCGGCGGCGGCCTGCAAGAAAGCCATTGCGGCCGAACCGCTCATCACGCAGTACGACACCGTCGTCGGCGACGGCGACTGCGGCTACACGCTCAAGCGCGCAAGCGAGGCCGTGCTCGACTTTGTCACCGCCACGAAATCGCTACCGGCCACCGTCGACGTCCTCGTCGATCTCGCCGAGACGGTCGAGAATAACATGGACGGCACTTCAGGCGCTATCTTCTCAATCTTCCTGCACGCGCTCGCGACGGCTGCTAGTTCGGCTACGGGTCTGCTCGACGCGAGTTCGTGGGGCGTGGCGGCCGCGGACGCGCTCAAGTCGTTGTACGCTGCTACGCCTGCGCGGCCGGGCGACCGCACGCTTGTTGATGCGCTCGCGCCGTTCGTCGAGACGCTCGCGAGCACGAAGGATGTAGCTGCTGCTGCTAAAGCCGCGCGCGCGGGCGCGGAGGGGACGAAGGGGATGAACGCGAGCTTGGGACGCGCGGTGTACGTTGACGCGGCGGGGTATGATCGGGTGCCTGATCCTGGTGCGGTTGGGATTGCGGAGTTGATGGAGGGACTTGCTGCTGGTGTGAGTGCTTTGTAGAGAGAGATGTGTGTGATACGCTGATTTTTTTTGAGTAAAGTGAGATACATAGAGTTGTAAAATGAAGAACTGAAATAAGTAGAAACCAAGTACGCCCCAAGGCCCAAAAAACACAAGATACACTAGATACACTAGATAAACACACTAGAGAACACTAGATAGCAATAGACACGGGAGAAAGAGCAGGATGATGTAATATGATATGATAAGAAGCAAAACCAAGATGAGAGTAGGTGTAAGAGAGGAGATCTAGGAGGAGGGAGAAATGCAAATGAGGAAAACAGGAAAGAACCGAGGAAACCCAGGAAATGGAACGAGAACGAGAAGCAAAAGATGTGGAAACACGCAAACTGATTTTTGATGAGATAAAAACGAGATGTAGAGAAGAACGAATCACGAGAAACTCCGGATAGGCGCCGGAGCATACGACCGCGCTCGCGAGGCAAGTTCGGGGTCGTCGGCGTCCTCGTTTTCGACCTCGTGCACGACGTACATTGTGGAGGAGAAGCTGGACGCGCGTCTGGCGGCGGAGGCGGCGGGCGAGGAGGATGATGCGGAGGAGTTTTTGGCGAAGGAGAGGTGGTGGCGGTGGGAGTAGGAGAGCGGGGGGGTGAGTTGTGAGGATTGGGTTGCGGGGAGGGTTGGTTGGAGATGTGGGGGGAGCTGCTGCTGCTGCTGCTGCTGTTGTTGTAGTTGTTGGAGTTGTATTTGCTGCTGTTGTAGTTGCTGCTGTTCGTGTGGCGCGCGGAAGCCGAAGGACAGTCGTGGTCTGCGCCGTGAGGAAGCGCGGGAATCAAGCACGAGGGGCTGTCGTCTGGCGGAGGAAGCGGGCGGGATCGAGTGCAGAGAGTACGAGAACGTGCCGGTGGCAGGGTCGTAGTCCTCTCCCGTAGTGAGCTCGATGAGCCGGCGCTTGAAGCGGGACCAGAAGGAGGTAGGTCCTAAAGTCGGGGTGAGCACGCGGAGAGCGGCTGAAGGAGGGGTGTGGTATGCGGTTGTGGTGGTGAGGGTTGCGTGGGCGGAGTCGAAGGAGGACGAGCGCGCGGAGCGGAAGGAGGAGAAGGGGTTGGAGGCCATGGTGAAGGTCGTGGAAGGGTGGTGCTGGCGCAGGATGGAGGAGAGGGCTTCGAAGGAGGAGATGGCGCGTTTGCGGTAGGTGATGGCGGAGTTGATGAACATGGAGATGGTGCCGGAGATCCAGAAGCAGCTGGAGCGATGCTGTTAGTGACTCAGAAGATACAAAACATATATAGAGACATATATAGAGAGAAAACATACGCATCAAGGGCGCAGGAGACGACGATGAGGTTGACGAGTCTGCATGCGGTTTCGTAGGACGAGCAGAGCGCGAGATCTTTGCAGACCTGCTGGGGATTCTCGATCGAGCAGCTTGTCGAGATGCCGCCGGTGAGGGACATCACGTAGACAAAGAGAACGGACCAGAAGAGGGCCATCACGATCTGGCCGACGACAAAGATGAGCGGCCAGCGCTCGCCGGAGACGGCTACATCGATCTCGATCGTGGCTGGTAGCTGCTGCTGCTGCTGCTGCTGCTGATGCTGCTGCTGGAGTTGGTGTTGGGGTAGATCAGCAGGGTCGTGGTCTACAGAGTCGCGGATGCGGGTCTCGCTCTCGATGCGACGGAGGAGGAGGTCAGCCTGCTCCTCGAGTTCTTCGGCGGTGGACTCGTCGAGGTCTTTGACGGGCCCCGCGCCAGCACGGTGGAACTTGACGAGGACGGTGACGACGGAGAGGAGGACGATGAGGGTGGTGAGAGTTGAGGAGACGACGAGCACGCGGTAGGACTGGGAGACGGGAGCGCCGGAGTTGTGCTGGCGGACGAGGAAGATGAAGTAGGCGACGACGCAGAGGGGGATGAGGGCGAAGACGGCCTGGAGGAAGGCAAAGACAAAGAAGGAGAGACACCACGAGGGATAGCCGGCGGTCTGCCTGCGGAGGGAGCCGATGGCCGGGATGGCCAGTGGCAGACCGGAGAGCTCTGGCATGTGAGCGGCGGTGGAGGTGGAGGTGGTGAAGAGGGTGAGGAGGGAGGAGGGAAGGAAGAGGAAGAGGAGGAGGAGGAGGAGGAGAGGCACCGGGCACACGCGTCGTGCGGCACAGCTCGAAGAATGAGGACGAGAGAATACAATGGACTGAGGTGAGAGGAGGAGGAAGATACTGTGGACAGTGTGTTATTGTGGAGATGTATTTAATAAAGAGTTACTGGATTAATAGTGGATACAGACTACGATATAAGATATAAGATGCGAATGCGGTTGAAATGTGATAAATGCATCAACATCCGCATTCGTCGTCTTTGATCACAATATCCCCAACTCTTCATCAGAATGCTGATCCTCTCATATTTTACTATCAAACTTGAGCTTACTATCTTATTTTAACCGTATTCTTTCGACCATATTCACATTGACGAGCCTAAATGCAACAGGCCACATCTATCCACCATCTCCTTCTTCTTCTTCTTCATACTCCTCACCACTCGCGCTGCTTAGAACGGCGAGTCAGCAGGATCAACCGGACGGACCCAGTAGTTGCCGAGAACGGGGATCTTGGAAAGAATGTCGTTGCGCACACGCGGGATGGGCTCGAGGAGGAAGAGAGCTCCGGCGCCGGCGGCGGCGCCCCAGAAGCCGAGGATGGGGGTCCTGGGTTGTGTTAGTTGCTCTTGATCTCTTCTTCTGTTGAGTGTTCTATTTGTATTTAAAGAAGGACATACCATCTGATGAGGGTGCTGGGAGGGAATCCCAGGATGGTGGGGGTGGGCTTGAGAGTGATGCGCATAGCTGGTAGAGAAGTTAGCACCCGCAACCAGCAACCAGCAAACATAAACAGACAAAAGAAAAGCAGAAGAACAACATACCCATTGTTACTGAATATCAAACACTTCTTTCTTCAAACAAGCAAAAGCAGAACCGAAAAGAGTCGCAGAGCTCGAAAAGAAGTCGAAAAGGCGGCCGACGAACAAACTCGCGACGGACTCTGTGGCCCGGCGCTCGTCCTATTTCGCCCGTCCTGATTGGCTGGTAGGGGGACTGCAGTTCTTGTGCTTTTGCGTGCTTCTGATGTGGTTTATTTTAGTGTAGATGTGTTGTCGAGTGTTGATAATCTGTGTTTATGTATCTTTTTTGGTGAATTGGCGGCGGTGGGGTATTCCGGGTATTGCATCGAGATATTCAATGTATTTCCTAAACAGGAAATAATCACCCTCTTCTCTTCTTTCTCTCCATATTCCTCCGCAATCCTCCAATCCTCCCTCAATCTCCTCACACAACCTCTCTTAATAACCCACATTATCCCTCCTTTCCTCCTCCCTCACCCCCTTCATCCACACACATCCAACATACCTCATTACATAACCCATCACTAAGTCTGTCGTCACCTGCTCGGCCTCCGACCTCACCTCGTCAGCTCTCGTCTTCTTCCACCATCCCCGGTTCTTCTTCACCATCCACTGCTCCTCGCCGGCCGCCTGCTTCTCTTCCTCTTCTTCTCTTTCTCTTCATCTCCTCTGCTACCGCCCCCAAATCATGGGCCAAGCGGCCTCGCTCTCGACTGGTCAGAGTGCGTCGGCCTCCTCATCGGCCTCTCCCTCTGATACTCCCCAGCAGCTCCGCCAGCACAACCAGCAGGACCCGCTCTTCTACGCGCCCGATCAGTCAGACAGCGACCAGGAGCCCGACCATCTCCAGCTTTTCCAGCACGAGCCCCGTCTCCCGCCCCGCGTCCACCACTCGTCCATCCACCACCACAACCACAACCTCCATCTCAACCGGACCCAGTCCCCCCGTCGCTCCCGGCGCATCTCCCGCCATCTCTCAAGCCTCGGCCTGCTCCAGTCCTCGCACTCAACCGCGACGTCCTCTTCTACAGCCGCATACTCCTCCTTCGAGCCCTATGCGCGTCCCCCGCCCTCCCAGCAGCAGCAGCAGCAGCAGCAGCAACCCCAGCAGCAGCGCCAACCGCACGCGACAAGCTCCGCGGTAGACGCTCTCGGCAGCACGCGCTACCTGCGTCGTCGCAGCACGCGCGATCTCTCATCCACGACCACCGCGTCCTCTGCAGTCTCGTCGGCCGCATCCGAGCACGACACCACCCCTGCCGCTGCTGCTGCGCAACCCGCATCGTCTTCGTCGCCGTCATCGTTGGGATACCTGCGCATGCGTGACACCTTCCGCCGGCTCTCACGAATGCGAAGCTCTTTCTCCGGTGGCTCCGCCGCGTCCTCGTTCACCGACCGATCCAGCCAGACCCGAGACGATCCCTCGCATGCTCAGACCACCATCACCCACACCGACGACGACGACGAAGACGACTCGACATCCTCGCTTCTCCCTGAACCAGCCTACCTCCGTCGCCGCCCGCGTCCTTCGACCGCAACCACGACCGCGACCGTCTCTGGCTCGGGATTCTCTCCCCTGTCAGTCTTTCCCTCGTCGTCCTCCTCCGCCTCCGCGCGCGGCGCGCCGCCCCCTCGGCCGCCGATCCCAAGCTTGCCTCCGAGAAGAATACTCCGGTCAAACGCAGATTCCCACTCCAACTGGATGAACAGCGACACCGACGCCACGCGCAGCACCGGCACAAGCACCAGCACGAGCACAAATACCACCGCCGGCGGCGCTGCGTCCGCGGACGACGATCAGGCGGCTATGCTCTCGCGCCTGCTCTCCATCGCCGCCGCAGCCACCGCAGCCAGTCTTATCGGCGGCAGCGGGACCGGGTCGCGAAGCCGGCGCTCGCGGCGGTCTGCGCGCAGCGGACTGGGTTCGTTGTTTGATCACGACGACGCGGAGGACGCGCGTAGTTTGAGCGGCGAAGACGACGACGAGGACGAGGACGAGGACGACGATGAATTTGACGAGGAACAGTACGGGGATTACGAGGATTACGAGGAGGACCTAGATGGTCCGTCCAGCTCCAGACGCAGCAGACGAAGCAGCAACACCAACAATCGCAACACGTCCACCACAACCAACGACGACGGCATCGATCTCTCCAGCGGCATCAGACTAGGCGACGCGACCTCCGGCGCGGGCGGCACCGTCGACGGCACTTTTGACGGCTTCCTTCGTGCGCTGCAGAACGGTCGTCTGGCGGCTGAACTGCGCAACGAAGCAAACCGCAGCAGTAACAACAACAACAACAGCAGCAGCAGCAACAGCAACAGCAACAGCACCGACAGCGCGCGAGCAGGCGACGGCGGAAGTGCCGCGGACGGGACGCCTGCGCCGCTAAACTTCTTCCGCATGTTCAGGTTCGGATCGGGGACGTCGGCTGCGAATGGAAATAGCGCCGGTGGCGAGGACGGGCCGCGAATGGTGCCGGTAATCATCGTCGGTATTCGGTCTGTGAATTCAAATTCGGGCGCTGGCGGCTCTGCTGCTGCTGGTGCAGGTGGAGCGGCCGCGGCTACGGCTACTACTGCTGCTACTACTGCTACCGCCACGGGAGCAACTGCAGGAAACGGAGCACAGACTGCGTCCGACGGCGCGAGATCGTTCCTCGACAGCCTGCCTCTATCGCTAGGAAGCAACGCGGCCTTCGGCGCAAGTCGCAGCAGCACGGGGCCCAGCAGCACGAGCGCGCCGGTGGGCAACGGCAGTGGTCGGCGACGCCGGCGATCAGAAGACAGTCTTGACATTGCCGGGCGGGCGGAGAGTGCCACGCGGCAGCGACGGGGAAGCTCGATGCTGTTTGATGACAATGATACGATTTTAAGATTGAGCGATGAGGAAGATGGCGAAGGGGATGATGGGGACGTTATGATTGGCGACGCGGAGCGGGTGAGAAGAGCGCATGAGGCGCTGTACGCTGGGCCGCAGGAGGACGAGGAAGAGGATGAAGACAGCTCGAGGTTTTCCTTGTTCCCGCGCAGCGGTCGAGATCGCAGCAGTAACGCAAGCAATCTCCGCCGCCGCGGCGGGCATGGCAGACGACACTCGCCCTCTGCTGCTGCTGCTGCTGGCACCGGTGCTGCTTCAGAAGGCGGGAGCACAGTGCGCTCGTGGATCATCTACGTGCTAGGCGGGCAGTACCCCGAGAACCACCCGATCCTAACTACGCCGTCGCTGTTCACGGACTCGCCGACGTACGAGGATATGATGCTGCTGTCGAGCTACATCGGGCCTGCGAAGCCGCCTGTTGCGAGCCGCGAGTCGGTCGAGGAGGCAGGCGGGATCGTGGTCGCGGGCGAGGAGTTGGATGGCGAGCGGTGCTTGGTTTGTCTTTCGGATTTCGTGAGGGGAGAGAGGTGTCGCAAGTTGAACGAGTGTGGGCATTTGTTCCATCAGTCTTGTATTGATGAGGTGTGTTGATCCTGTTTCTTTGTGATTACTTTTGAACTAGCTAACATTTCTCCTGCAGTGGCTTACCACGGGCCGTAACTCATGCCCTCTATGCCGCGCCGTCGGCGTCGCAGAGTCAAAAGACGCTCCCTCATCCGCCTCAGGTTCTGCATCCGAAGACCGTCCATCAGTGCTATCAGCCTAATTCCCAAACGGCATAATGTAATCCCACATTTTTATTTCTCACTAATCCGACACGGTGTGTCTTTTTTGATTATATCGTTTTAATCAGCGTTAGTTTTCTCGTTTGCAGTTTGTTTTGTATTCTTTTTTGCATGGCGCGGAGCATGGGGGCGATATATACCCTCCCTCTACTTAGTAGTTCTATACATTCAAGCTCAATTATCACGTTTTTATGAATAAATATCTTTTTACAATGCAAGAGCAGTATAATCAATAAACCAACCCCGAGCTCTCAGGAAAGGTATTTATAACCTCCTTCAAATCCCTCACGACGTCGGCGATCGTCCACCGCTGCTCGGCTGCAGCATCAGCATCAGTGGATCTGTTGAACGCCGCCCGGATCTGCTCGTCGCTGTCGACAGACACGGCCGAGTTCTCTGAAAGCCTGTAGACTGACGACGCGCTCCGCTCCGCGTACGGCGTGATGTAAATCCTCTGCTCGCTTCCGCCCTCGCGCCCGTCGACGAAATTATTATCATCCAACCTCTCCAGCCTAAAATAATCAAGCCACAAACCCGCCTTAATATGTCCTCCCGTCTCCTTAACCTCGACCAAGATCGTGCGCCACCCCGCCCGCAGCTCGGGAACGCGCGAACTCGGGATCTCAAACACCGGAAGCTCGACCTCGCACCACCCGCCGTCGAGCGTGAGCGCTTTGACAATCTCGTCCCCGAGCTGGACCTGCTGCGCCAGCACGCGCTCCGGGCGGCCTTTGTCGTCGGGCGCGCGCTCGTCGTCGTCGACTTTGATTGAGAAGTCGACGGTCGCGAGACCGAGCGAGCGTTGGAGACGCATGCCCCAGACGGCGCGGTAGCGCCCGGGCGCGACGCGCATGCTGCGGAAGAGGTGCAGCCAGAATACGGACTTGAGGTTTAGTGTTGATCCGAACGCGGACTCGGGCGAGGGCATGACTTGCCAGTATCGGGGCTCGCGCCAGATCAGACCCCAACCAGGCGCAGCGCAGAAGAAGCGCCATTGGATCGCCATCGCGGCGTATATTGCGCGGAACGGGTAGACGACCGCGGGAGGAGACGCAGCGGCGTTCCGGGCGCGGAGTTCGTCTGCGTAGACGAGGCCGCGGGATTTGAAGTCGGCGAGGATTTTTGCGCGCCAGAGGTCTTGGTCTGCGACGACGGCGTGCAGGTGGCGGCAGGTGAGCTCGAGGGCGAAGATGTCGCGGATCGAGAGGTATTCTGCGACTTGGATGAAGATCTCGGGCGGCAGCCTTGTGAGTTGCGGGGGGCCGGTGTATGCGGGTTCTGTCATTGTTGATGTCGAGCGGATCGAGAGGGAGGGGGAGGAGGAGGGTGACGGTTGCGGTTTGCGATATGATTTGAGCACAGCGGATTTCTGAAACCGGCCAACTACTATGAAAGCCAGAGCAGTAATCGGAAGAGCAAGGTAGCCCAAGAAACTGTAGAGCGCGACGAAGGCGAGCGGGGGAAGAAGTCGACCGACAGTTCGTCCTATATCCTCCAGACGCGACATATATCAACCAACAGCGACTGAACGACTTTTCTGGAGCACACGGCTGTTGCTGCAGTAATCCTTTTCTTTAATCTCCTCTCAATTGTCAATAAACAGATCAACAGATTGAAGCACCAGCAACAATAGATGCTCACTTTTGCTGCACCTTCGAGAACGTCCACGACCTGCTCCTCCCCCGCCGTTGGGAGTTGGATGTGGCTCTTTATCACGTGATTCACTCAAAGAGGGAAAACCTTCGAGTCCAAAAGGTCAGCGAGGTTGTTGATTGACGGAGAAGCAGACGCCAGCACGCATTTGCAGCTAAAGAAGGGATTCGAAGGACGGAGACGGAGAAGTGAATTAAGAAATAGAGAATATTGTGCTGTGTTGAGCGCGGAATTGATAATAGGATCGGGAGGTGCAGACTTTCACACACCGTCGCGTCGGAAGCCAGAGACGAGAGAGAGAGAGAGAGAGAGAGAGAGAGAGAGAGCTGGTCTACTGCTTGTTTACACACGGCAACTATGTCTGCGCGATTCAATCCCGCTGTGCCGTCATTCCACCCGTCTGCCGCGGATCTCAAGACCTCGCTGTCGCAGAACTCGAACGACTCGGTTTCGAGCGGGCATAATGGAGGTAGTGGCGGCGGCGGCGGCGGTAACCCGACGATGACATCCGGATCACCTTCTTCTTCTTCAGCAGCAGCAGCATCAACGCAGACAGCGACGCGGAACCCCGCAGCGCTCTCGAGTGCCTCGCCACGAGGGAACCAGACGTCGCGAAACCAGCACAGAAACTCGCGCAAGTCGACGCCGCGGAATTCAAAGCCTACCATCAATATGTCCGACGGCGGACGTTTCGTGGACTCTGAGTCTGCTCTTACCGAACAGGTGTGTATATGTTTTTTGTTGTCGTTGTATGTGATGAGTGTCATTCTGATTGTTTTGTGTAGTTGTTGCTGTCAACGCCGACCCGCGGCCGACGCAACCAAGTCTCGATATCGCACCTTCTCAACTTCTCGCTCCCGCCGCGCGACTCCCCCCGTCGCCCGCCCCCCACATCCACCCCCTCATGGCAACACCGCAACAACTCCGCGGCCGACAAAGCGCGGTTCGTCAACGCGAACTTCCGCTTCGTCGTCCACCCGAGCGGCGACTACCGCGCGCAGGCGCTCGACCCGGACGTCGTCGTGCCTTGGCATCTTATCTTGCAGGTTCTTGTTTCGAAACATAGGCAGCATGCAAATTGCCCGATCTGCTTGTCTGAGAACCCGGTCGCGCCGCGGATGATGCGCTGCGGCCATATTTTCTGTCTGCCGTGTCTCATGCGCATGCTCGCGTCCGATATGTCGGCTGATGACTCGCAGTCGCAGTCGCAGTCGCAGACGTATCAGCACACGCCCGCGCCTCGAAAACGAAACATCTGCCCTATCTGCCTCGACAGTGTCTCGCTAAGCGACGCGCGCCCCGTGAAATGGATCGAGCACCCCGGCGCCGGCGACGCGTCGAGCGTGCCTGTCGCGGGCCGTGACGTGGTTCTCCGGCTCGTGATGCGCAAGCCCGGCTCGATTCTGGCATTGCCGCGCGACGGCGGCGAGAGACCCGCGAACACGTCTGAGATCCCATGGTATTTCGCCGCGGAGGTGATGCATTACGCGCGGCTGATGAAGGGCACGGAGGAGTACATTGCGGACGAGTTTGCGCGGGAGGTGCGCGAGCTCGAGGTGCAGGAGCAGCAGGACGAGGCTGAGTTTCGGAGCGCGAGTAATAGTAATACTGCCGAGGAGGAGGATGACGCGGAGTGGAATCATCGCGCGATCGAGCGGATTTTCGATACGATGGAGGTTATGCAGGGGATGGGTAACGCGCCTCGACAACAGCAGCAGCAGCAGGGTGAGTCTACGGGAGGGGGAGGGAGTAGGAGCAGCCGGCGGCGGCACAAGAAAGACCGGGACGAGAGCGCGGCGGGTAGTAGTCGCGGCGGGAGCAGCAACAGCAGAAGTCGGAGCACGAGCATGAGCGCCGGCGGCGGGAGTGGAGGCGCGACGGACGCGCCGTATTACTTTTACCAGCCGCGGGACGCGTCGAATTGTTTTCTTTCCGCGCTTGATATTCGGATTCTAAAGACGGCGTTTGGATCGTTTGCGTTGTTCCCGTCGACGGTGCTGGTGCGGGTGGAGAGGATAGTGACGGACCAGGTTGTGGACGAGGAGTTGAAGAAGCGGACAAAGTACCTCGCGCATCTACCTACAGGGTGCCAGTACAGCATCCTGGAGTGCGACTGGACGGACGTGGTCAAGCCCGAGATTCTGCTGCAGTTCAAGGAGGATCTGGATAAGCGGCGCAAGCAGCGGCTCGACAAGGACGCGAGGGAGGAGCGCGCGCGGGTGAAGGCGCTCAAGGAGGAGGAGGAGATGAAGTATCGCACGCACGGTCCGTCTGCAGTTCGCTCGGCGCGGGTGAATAACAGCTACAGCAGCAGCAGCACGTCGCTGCTCTCGGCGTCGCTTGCGGCGGAGGCGGAGAACGATCCGGAGCTGTCGGAAGCGCTGCGGCGGTCGGTGATCGAGGCGTCGCTGATGGGGTACGACGGGGGTGCAGAGGCGCGGGAGAGTAGTAGTTTGCCTAGTAGCGATAGCGCTGCGTGGCCTGCGCTGGGGACGTCTACGGGGAGCGAGTCTGCGCCGTACTCGATGTCTGCGTCGCCGCGCGCAGCAACGGCGGCAGAAGGCGGGGGTAAGACTACGGTGTGGGGAACGCCGGCGGTGGCGTTTTCGCGGGTGGGGAAGGAGATGGGGGTTGAGAAGGAGGAGTGGGAGGAGGAGGAGTGGGATGGATGGGCGGAGGTGTTGGCGGAGAGGGAGAGGGAGAGGGGGAGGGAGAGTGAGGCGGGGATGGTTTCGAATATGGATGGGGTGAAGGATGAGGAGGGGTGGGGTGAAGCGGCTGCGTCGTCGTCGTCGAAGAAGAAGAAGCAGAAGAAGAAGCTGGTGCTGATGTCTACAGGTGGTCAATGGCGGCAGTAGTTCTTCTTGTAATTGAAATGTTCTCATCATCTGTGCTGAAGATCGCGGCTGATGCAGCTGCGTGTCGTCTTCATCCTCGAAGAAGAAGCAGAAGAAGAAGCTGGTGCTGATGTCTACAGGTGGTCAATGGCGGCAGTAGTTCTTCTTGTAATTGAAATGTTCTCATCATCTGTGTTGAAGATCGTGAGCTGATGCAGCTGCGTGTCGTCTTCACCCTCGAAGAAGAAGCAGAAGAAGAAGCTGGTGTTGATGTCTACAGGTGGTCAATGGCGGCAGTAGTTCTTCTGATAATAGAAGATTGTCTGTATTGAAGATTCCCGAAGCGTAGGCTGGACTGCGGCTTGGATGGGTTGGGGTATGAGGTCATAGCCAAAGGATCGTCATGGAGAGATATAAATACGATGAAGCCAGTCCAGAGTTCCTAGACAGACAAGAGGAAGAACTACTTGTGTGTATTTTGTTGGATACGGTCGATATGTCTATTCCTATGATATTCGTGTGCGGTGGTGAGTCTTTAGCTGAGGATCTGTTGAGGATCTGTTGAGGATCTGTTGAGGATCTGTATTGAGGAAGAGCAAGGCTGATCTGGTGATATAGGCACAAACTTCAACGGTCCGCTGAAAGGATACGAAGGGCTGCGAGTGAACTGTCCTAGGTGGTATGTTTACTACTCAGACTATGAGTAGCTCAGACTATGAGTAGGGAAGGAGATAAAGGGCTAACAGCCTATGCAGTCATAATAATAGTGTGATGGCGTTGAAGAAGCGCGAGTTTTTCACGTTTTGCTTTGTTCCAGTCATCCCCACAAACTACGGCAAGGTGAGCCATCTACTTTTTTTTTCTTCTCTAGCGTTGGAAGTGAGTTAGAAGACTGACAAGGTAGACACTACAATGCACAATCTGCCCGTACAGCCGATCGACGAGCGACGGGGAGCTGGAGCAGCTGAAAAATCACGGATAGCAATCACAGCGGGTGATGATGGAGCAAGTGGACGCGCAGCAGTCAGCAGCGGAACGGGAGCGGGACGAGCGGCTGCACGCGCGGGCCGGGGTCGGGTATAATCAGTATCAGCCGAGCACGTACCAGCCGTAGAGGTTATAGTAAGGACGTTATAGTATAAGGTAGATAGTGGTGAATAACAGATTGTATGAAGTTATATACAGGGAAATCTATAGCGAGGGGTGTCTATAGTGGGTGGTCTGGTGCAGTGGCCGGTTTGGTGAGGAGCCAGGCGTAGTCCTTGGCAAATTGCTCGCCAGCAAGGTCGACGAGCTCTTGGCGAGAACTCAGAAAGTTGTGGTCGCGGTAGTCGAACCCAGGGATCACGACTTCGGAGATGAGACAGTGGTCGTGAGTGTCGTCGTCGGGGAGGAGGAAGGAGGCCTTGTAGTCGCCGCCTTCGACGATCCACTGCAGGCGTTCGCCGTTCGCGACGTCGTGGCCGACGACGAAGGTCTCGACGGAGCCGTCGGGGTGGACGAGCACGTAGCGCGCACGGCCGGAGTGCAGGAGGTGGATCGTTCGGCCTTTGTTGCGGTGGAATCTGCCGAGCGGCGAGCGGCGCGTGAGGAGGTAGTAGATGAGCGTCGAGCGGTTGCGTGTGTTGTTGCTGTCATCTTTGCTATCGTCCTTACTGTTGTTGTCGGCGGAGTCGGGCTCGAACGGGCTCGGGAGGGAGATGGGGTCGCGGTCGGTTTCGACAAAGTAGCCGCCTTCGATGTGGGGGAGTAGATTGAGGGCCGAGATAAGTGCAGCGGCGGCCGCGGGTTCTTCGGCGGCCATGGTGATGGGGGAGGAGAGTAGGAGCGAGAGGGCGATAGCTGGGTTGCAGAGCGATAGAGTGAGGATGCTAGAAAAGCAGAGTGCATCACGTGAGATTAGTCACTGAGTAGTAATCGGAGATCAGACGAGACTACGAGTCATTCGTTTAGTTACGTGGACGGCAGCCGTCGGCGAAGTCAATCTCGCTGATCCGACCTGAGTTGATGAGACTGACTGACTACTGAGACCGAGAGTGAAGATGGCAAAAACGGCAGTCAAAAGAGCCCCGCTGGCTGCACTTACTCATGCACTCAGTCTAGAAAAGATGCAGAGAAGTTTTAGGCGGGCGTCGGGCATCCGGTCGAGATGAAGACAAAGCAGAGAAGTGGCGCTCTTAGTCGGCGCACGGTCGCCGCCGCCGCCCGCAGGGACGTAGGGGAGAGGGAGTAGGGTAGTGATGAGTATGAGGTGAGGGAGACAGAAGTGAGCAGCTGATGTGGTAGATGAATAATATAGCAGATTAAATAGAATAGAATAGAATAAGAATAAGAAGAGAAGATAAGGAGAGAAGAGTCAGCGGTGATAAGAAGAAGAAGAGAAGAAGGCAGCACCGACGCGGGCCGCCGGTCGCCCACCAGACCTTTTCATTTTCTTCTTCCACTTCCACTCCTCGCCTGTTTCCGTCCTTTTGTCCCCAAAGCCAACACTCAACTCAACTCAACTCAACTCAACTCAACCGCAGCTGCACAGTTCCTTCAAATTCTAACAAAGAAAGCAAAACTTTAGATAAGAAACAGTGCATTGCTTCAACTTTAATCCCGCCATGGGCGCCGCCAAAAAGCGCCACCTTCGAAGCCATTGCTGTGGCCACCGCCGGGTCCCATTTTTGTTCGAGTAGTGTAGTTGTTGATGATGATGATGATGTTGTTGTTGTTGTTGTTGTTGTTGTTGTTGTTGTGTTATTGTGTTGTTGTTGCTGATAGACAAGGAGACAACTTCACCAGACCTGGGCTTGTGCTTCTTTCTTATCTTTGTCTTAGTCTCGTTATCCTCCTCCTTCGTCCTGGTTCTCCTTCTTCACCTTTTTTTCTTCACTTTTTCCTCACTTTTCTTCACTTTTCTTCATTCATCAATTCATCTTCCGATAAGCCACCGCATCACCACCATCTCCTCTCCTCCCCTTCCCCCTCCCCCTCCCCCTCCCCCCCTCCTATCTCCATCTGCCTGCAAATTTTTCATCTCCTCCCTCGTCTCCACCCCGCCGCCCGCCGGTCGCGCGGCGTACTCAAACCTTAATCCGCCACGCTAAAACACACTAAACCTTAACTAAACCTTATCCCTGCACGCATCTGCTCCAATTTCCGGTCTCCGAACCCTTCTTCCGTCCGCTTTCCGCCTTTGTCTCCACTCTTTGTTATAAATACCCTCCTCTTCCTCTTCTCATCTCTCTCCTCATCCCTCTCCTCTATCAACAGATATCAACAGACATGGCCATCGACCCCCCTCTCCCCCAGGGCGCAGGCTACGGCGTCGTCGTCGGCCTCGGCGCCCTCTTCGCCTTTGGCATGATCCTCACCACCTACCTCCTCAAGCGCTACCAGCACGAAAACATCACCTCCGAAGAATTCTCCACCGCCGGCCGCTCCGTCAAAACCGGCCTGATCGCCTCCGCCGTCGTATCCTCCTGGACCTGGGCGGCCACCCTCCTGCAGTCCTCCGCCGTCGCCTACAAGTACGGTGTCTCGGGCCCGTTCTGGTACGCCTCTGGTGCGACTGTCCAGATCATTCTCTTTGCGACCATCGCCATTGAGCTCAAGAAGCGCGCCCCTGAGGCCCATACCTTCCTCGAAGTCGTCCGCGCCCGCTACGGTCCCATTGGCCATGCTGGTGTGTTCCTCTTGTCCTGTTTATAATATCATTGATCACCGCTAACAATCATAGTCTTCATGTGCTTCGGTCTCTTCACAAACATCCTCGTGACCGCAATGCTTCTCACCGGTGGCTCATCCACCGTCAACGCCCTCACCGGCATGCACCCCGTCGCCTGTTGCTTCCTCCTTCCCCTCGGCGTCATCGTCTACACCCTCTTCGGCGGCATCCGCGCGACCTTCCTCACCGACTACATCCACACCGTCGTCATCCTCGTCATCATCCTCGTCTTCACCTTCTCGACCTACGCCACCAACTCCGACCTCGGCTCCCCCGCCGCCGTCTTCTCCAAGCTCCTCGAGGCCGCAAACACGCACCCCGTCGACGGCAACGCCGAGGGCTCGTACCTCACCATGCGCTCCAAAGAAGGCGCCATCTTCTTCGTCATCAACATCGTCGGCAACTTCGGCACCGTCTTCCTCGACAACGGATACTGGAACAAGGCCATCGCCGCCTCCCCCGCCTCCGCGCTCCCGGGTTACATCCTCGGCGGTGTCGCCTGGTTCGCCATCCCCTGGCTCTGCGCAACCACCATGGGTCTCGCCGCGCTCTCGCTCGAGAGCTCCCCCGCGTTCCCCACCTACCCGAACCGCATGGACCCCGCTGATGTTTCTGCTGGCCTCGTGCTTCCCTACGCCTCGATCGCGCTGCTCGGCAAGGGCGGCGCCGTCGCGACGCTCATCCTCATCTTCATGGCCGTCACCTCGGCCTCGTCCGCCGAGCTGATCGCGGTCTCCTCGATCGGCACCTACGACGTCTACAAGACCTACATCAACCCGCAGGCCTCCGGCCGCCGCCTAATCTTCATCTCCCACTCGTGCGTCATCCTCTACGGCCTCGCGATGGCCGGCTTCTCCGTCGGCCTGCACTACGCCGGCGTCTCGATGGGCTACCTCTACCTGCTCATGGGCGTCATCATCTCCTCCGCCGTCATCCCCGCCACGCTCACTCTGATGTGGGACAAGCAGAACCTGCTCGCGGCCGCGGTCTCGCCCGTGCTCGGCCTCGCCTGCAGTCTGATCGCCTGGCTCGTGACTGCCTCGAAAAAATACGACGGCGTGCTCAACGTCGACACCACGGGCGCGAACGACCCGATGCTTGCTGGTAACGTCGTCGCGCTGCTCTCGCCTATGCTCTTCGTCCCCGTCCTGACCTTGCTCGGCGGCTCACAAAACTACGACTGGGAGTCCATGAAGCAGATCAAAGAAGTCACCGACGACGAACCCCCCGCCACCAGCTACTCCGACGACGACGACGACGACGACCTCGCGGCCGGCACATCCGACAAGGAACTCCGCGCGGAAGCCGAAGCCCTCGCGCTCCAAAAAGCCTCAAAGATCGCGCGCATCCTCACCGTCTTCATGGCGATCTCGCTCCTCGTGCTCTGGCCCATGCCCATGTACGGCTCCCGCTACGTCTTCTCCAAGCGCTTCTTCACCGGCTGGGTCGTCGTCGGCATCATCTGGATCTGGCTCTCGGTCTTCCTCGTCGGCATATACCCGCTCTGGGAGGGCAAGGGCGCGATGCTGCATATGGCGAAGGGCATTTATCGCGACATCACGGGAAAACGCCGCGCGAGCGCGATGAACCCGCATGGCGAGTCGAATGTTGTTGAGGGAATCGATACGTCGCCGTCGGCGGACGAGACCCAGTTCAGCGCGGGCGCAGAGTCAAAAGAGAAGCTGTAGTGTGTTATTTCTACTTCAATTTGTTTGTTTTTTATATCTTGACTTTCTTTATCTTGTAATCTTTCTTACTAAGTAATACTTTCCTTCATTTAACCCTCCTGTTCAAATCTACTGTACACCCCCTCTCTCCACAGAACTTGCGTTCTCCACAGAACCTGCGTACGAACCCACCCCAAGCGAAAATCATGATCGCCCCCACAAACTCGCGACCCTAGCCGACCATGAACCAAACTAGCCGAGTATCTTTTTCTCTTCTGAAAAATTCAAATAGTAGAGTTACCTACTAGAAAAGCATAATCCACTCTTTCCTGCGTCAGCGGCGTCGCCGGCGCCGGCGATCGTTGGTAAGGGTACCCTCCTGCCTAGAAAGCTAAGACGGTGTAGGTATATATGATGTGGCGGCGGGGGATGTGCGTGCGGTGGTCTTTTAGGCGAGGTAGGCGTGTGGGGAGTCTGCTGTTGCGTTTATGGCCGCGGACGAGGCGCCGTCGTCGTCGATTGGGACCGGTTGTAGCTTTGAAAGTACCGAGAAGCGCATGATAATCTCGAGCTGCGTCGACGTTTTGTTAGCATCCATTCTTAATTCAAGAGAGATAAAAAGAAAAGGGGAACATACGGTAGTCACGCACAAAGACACGACAATCAAAACGATGATAATCCAAGTAATCCTCGACATATTCCGCTCCGCAATCGAATCCCCCAAAATATCCGCCAAATCCAAAAAGACCTGGCACCGTTTATTCAAGATCTTGATCCGCGGCTTGATCTCGAGGTACTCGCGCACCATGTCGTAAAACTCCTGCATCCCCGGCTCTGTCTCCCAAAAGAACGTCGGCACGTCGAGAACGCTCGAACTCAGGTTCACTTCAACTCGCAGACCAAACAGTTTCCCCTCGATCTTGAGCAGGTCCTCGCGCGTGAGCCGCGGCGTGGTGCCCAGCAACGCGAGCCGCGCGGGCACGATCTCGAGTTCGCGGATGGTGACGGTTTCCATCTTTGTTTCAAAGTACGAGAGGATCGTCGACTGCGCGATCGCGTGCGACATTGTGAGCTTGCTTTTGACGTTGAGTTTGTTGGAGCGGTGCGCGCGCAGGATGATGAGGTCGTTAAAAATCCGCGAGTTTTCGTTCATCGTGTACTCGAACCTGAACGTCTCGGTCTCGCGGTCGTGTTCGGGGAGGATTCTGCTCATCAGGTTCCCGCCAAACGCGGTCGCGTCGTGGTTCGAAAACATGAAATCAGCCATGATATCGCGCTCCTGCGTCTCGGTGAAATTCCAAAACACGACAACCCCGTAGCCAAACAAAAACAGCTCGGCGCGCTGCGTGCTTTCGTTGTACATGTGCTCCGCGTAGTCCTCGTTGCCGTCGTCGCTGTGGTGGTCGTCGCCAAAGTAGTCGTCGTGGTCGACCTCGCGCGAGTACTGTTGCTGCTCTTGTTGCTCTTGCTGTTCCTGCTCCTGCTGCTCGCTGCTGAACTCGGTGGTCTCCGGGCCGGGTCGGAGTAGTGCTTTGCTGTCGTCGTCTACCGCACTAGTAGGCTCCATCTCCCTCTCATCATTCACCGCGCTCACTCCCCCACTCGCGTCCGCAGCCCTCTTCCCACTCCCGCCAAAATACCCCACCGCCTTCGTCGCCGCCGCGAGCGGGAAATACGCCTCCCTCCTCCCCGACCGCACCCGATACCCATCTTTCCCCGGCACCATCGGCAGTCCGTACGAGAGATACAGCGCGTCGTCGTCGCCGTTGCCTTCGAACCCGAGCGAGTCCACGACGTCGTGCGTTTGCATCGCAAACTTGTTGATCTGCCGCAGATCAAACTCCTCCGCGATATGGTACGCCGTCACGCGCCGCGTGCCTGCGACTGTGGGATGGAGCTCGTTGTAGTGGCCCGCGGGCTCAGGCACGGGTGGGAGGTAGACTACGCGACGACCGGGGCGCCGCTGCGCTTCTTCGTAGTCTTCGTCGCCAATCATGCTCTCGTCGTCCGAGCCCGAGCCGGAGTCGTCGCTGCTGTCGCTCCCGCTGTTTGCGTTGCCGCCGTCCAAGTCATACCGCCGCCCGTAGCCGCTGCTGGTCCCGTTATTTCCATCTTCGTCGTCCTCGTCCTCATCCTCCTCGTCGTCGTGGTAGGCCGTATACCCCGACACGATGCGCCGCCGCGGCTTCGACGTCCGACTTGCCTGGATCATCAACCTCGGGTTCCGCTGCGGCAGCCTCGACTGCATCGGCACATCCTCATACCCACCCCTCCTCGCCCCCGCCCCCGCCACCGCCGTCGTCTGCGCTCTAGTATACACCCCGCGAGGCGCAGACGTGTACGGCGCGAACGACGACGCGGAACTCAGCATCTGCTGCTGACTCTGCTGCTGCGGCGACCGCCGGTGCGAGGACGGGATATCGGACTCGCCGTGCTCAAAAAGCAGGTTGCTCACCGAGATGCTCGAGTATCCGCCCTGCTGCTGCTGCTGCTGCTGCTGCTGACGGGCGAGGCCGCTGCTTGCGGAGCGGAGGAGTTTGCGTGGCGTGCGGAGGAGGGCGGCGGCGGCTGATCCTGCGGCAGAGGGGCGGCGACGGGGTGCGTCTGTGAAAAAGTCCGCGTCGTCGTCGTCGGTGGCGTGGATGTCGTCCCTGTATCGACGAGTAGGGATCTGCGTCTGCCGAAGCAAAGCCTGCTGTCCCCCCGCCGCCGCGCCCGCTGCCGCACCGGACGCGGACGCGGAGGAGGAGGCGGAGGATGCGGTCGAGGAGGCGGTGGAAAGAGCTGCAGAGCCTGATCTGCGGGCGGCAGCGGCGGCGGCGGCGGCTGCTTCTGCGTTTGTGGAGGAGTCGGGACGGACGTCTGTGACGAGGATCGCGGGAGAGCGGTTTGGTGTTAGGCGGGGTGGTGGTGGGCGGTTGTTTGATGCCATTTGTGTATTTCCTTTTTGTTTGTGATCTGTTTTGTCGAGGTTTGATCTGTGGTGCTGTTCACAAATAGAAAGGTTTACAAAAGGTCTCTATATCAAAACAAAAGGAAAACAAGACAGAGACTGAAGAAGCAGAAGCAGGATCAAAACATGAAATCATGAAAAACTCCACCATCTCCCAAACCAGCCCAGCTGCCACCGAAATAAGGTTTTAGGACGTAAACACGAGACCCGTGGGTTTGTAAGAGATGCGGTTTAGAGATGATGAGGAGGATGAGGAGGATGAGTATTATTCTCGATTGAAGAGGGGGTGGAAGTAGTCTGAGATGAGTTGTTGGTTTGTTTGGTGATTGTTGGTGATATTACGTGTATGCCGTTCTAGTTTTCTGAATTTGGGATGGTGGAATGAAATGTCGTGGAATTGATCTTTGGTTTAAACAGCATTCACATGCATTCAGCGCTTTAGAATGCAAGTTCCTCTAATGGTTTGCTTACTGTTGTATATTTCATCTTGTCATTGTCTTGCACAAGAAGAGGGTCGGATGGGTGATATTTCACTAATTGGCTAAACAATACAGTCTACTTCCTCAAAAGTCCTGGTGCTTATCTATATTACTTTCATTGTATTGTATAAAAGTATAGTGTACACACTGCTATCTCCTGCTATCAAACTAATCCAAGCTCGCATAAGTAAATAAATCAACACCCACCCTCTCATCATCATCATCATCACCATCATCAAAGACCCCACCACCCCCAAAAATACTTCAATATATAGACCTCTAACTAAACAGAAAACCTACATCTTCAACCAACAGAATAAAAAAAGACGCAATCGCAATCAGTTACTATTTTTACTCTCAAACAAATTTTTTCTTCCCTCGCGTTCGTAATCGCCACGTCAAGAAAAAAACTGTCGTCGTCGTGTTTCTCAACGCCGCTCGGCAATCACAGTTCCTGATTAGGCAATGATTTGATTTACGCGCCTCATCCACAAACACGAGAAACTAAAGAGAAAGAGAGTATGGTAGATGATATCGATTAATTCCCTGTATAATACAATTTTGTCCTTTAAACAAAAAACATAAACAAAAAACAAGCAAAAACAAAAACGAGAACTAAAACACCGGTTGTATCCAGAACACACAAAAAGAACTAACTATATATATATATATAAAGAAAATAGAGAAAGAAGAAATGTACAGAAAAATGATCGTATAGTAAATAGAGATATAATACCAGCGCTCCGTGATCCCGAGTTCCTGTTTAATGCAGAAATATAAAAAAAAACAGTAGAGTAAAGCCAAACACCGCTGCCGCCGTTCCAGATATATAAACAGATATATAAAAAGTAAATTGTAAAAAACAAAAAAAGAGAAAAAAAAGAGACAAGCGGGCAAAACGAAGAACTTTTTTTGTTTTCGTCATCTTCATGTACATACACTGTAAACTGTCAAACTTTTCGTTCACTCGTGGCTCACGCCGCTGATGTAGTAGCCCGCAAACACGCTCCAGTGGAAATCGCCGAGCAAACAGATGCGGCCTGCGAGGATAGTGAGTTCAGGCGCAACGTCCTTGGCTGCCTGCGATTTTGCCTTGTCTTTATCCTCCTCAGTCGAAGCAGTAGAGCAAGTCTTAATTGCCGCAGCGCCCATGAAGCACGCGCGCACCCGCTTCTCGACGTCTTCCAGAACACGCTTCTCAACAAGCTTGTACACGGTCGAGTAACTCTTCTCGTCCGGTCCGCTCGCGAGGTTCGCGTTCAGCCAGCGCGTCGCGATCCCGATGATTGCGTTCAACGAAGGGCCTTTGCTGGGAAACCGCTCCTTCACGCGGCGCGCAATCTGCAGCGCGATCGACTCGGCGTTGGCGGGCCAGCGCGTGTTGCTGGCGACCGCGGCGGCGGCGGTCGCGGCGGAAGAGGAAGTCGGCGACGTGGTCTCGATGTCGTCGGCGACGAGGATCAGCAGCTCGGATTTGAGCCGGTCAATGTCCTGCTGCGAGGGCGTCGCGCCGGGTTGGCACGAGGCCAGCAGCTGGCGGTAGAGCGTCAGACACTGCAGCAAGCACGAGATCTGGCCGATATCAGACTTGAGCGACCGCAGTCTCGACACATCGAGCGCAAACGTCACCGGAAACTCGTTGCTGCTGCCGCTCACCGCGCTCGCCGCCGACGACGAAAAGAATCCGACAAGACCAGAGACAAAGGCGTCGATGTACGACGGCTTCGAGTCAAAGCTCTCGTACACGCGCTTGTACCAATCAACCGCCTGGCGCACGTCGACCTTGCGCAAAGCAACCCTCTGCGCAAAGTAATCCTGCTCAAACTCGACCGCGGTCTCGACCAAGAGCGGCCGCAGCGTGCGGATCTGGTGGTTGGCCACGTCGAGCTTCATCGCCTCGAGAATCGTAAACACAAGACGCAGGCCCTCGGCGAGCTTGGACGAGTCGTTCGTCGCCGCGCCGTCGACGATGCAGGCTAGCATCTGGTCCACCCACGCGTCGCGCATCGGCGCACAGTGCGACTTGAAGATACCCGCCAGCCACTGCGCGAGCTTGACAAAGTCAAACGCACCGTGTCGCAGCTGCTGCAGCTGCAGCTCGAGATCCAGCACCTGCTCGATCTGCGGGCAGTCCCGCAGCGGAAGCAGGCTGAGCAGGATATCCCGGAGCGAGGACATGATACCGACCAGCTTGCTCCCGGCGTCAATCACCACCGGCGAATCGGACCCGCGCGAGCGCGTGCTGTACGCCGCCACCAGCGCATCGCACTCGTGCGCAACACCGAGCCAGTACTGGTCCGCGAGCGCTTTTTTGTGGCGCCCGCGCTCGCCGTCGAGGTTTGGTCGGAACTGGAGCTGCGGGTCAAAGACAATGTCGTGTCGCAGCTGCGGGTTCTTGAAAATCTCTTGCAGGTCGAGCTCGCGCAGGCCCTGCACGTTCACAGGCGGGACGTTTGCGAGAGCGGGAGGGGAGAGAGTAGGAGCGGTGGAGGTGGTGGTGGTCGAGGTGGAGGAGGAGGTAGAGGAGGAAGGCGGGAAGGGGGCGCGCAGGGAGTCGATGAGTCGCTTGCTGCTGCTGCTGTGCTTGTGGTGGTGGTGTCTGTGAGAGCGGTGGTGGTGACGGTGCTGGTGGCGGCGCTTCTTGGGCGCCCAGTCGTCGATGGCGGAAGGCGCGAGAGTGAGCAGGGAGATGTCGGGGAGAGATTTCGAGCGCATGCGGCGGTAGGCGGTCGGCGGGAGCGGCTCTTTCTGCTCCTTCTGCTGCTGCTGCTGGGCCGGAGCGACAGAGATCTCAGAGTGCGAGTGGCATTCTCGGAGCGAGGGCGAGGGCGAGAGCGAGGGCGAGGGCGCGGGTGAGGGAGTGGGAGAGGCGGGAGTGGAGACCGAGATGGGGACGACGGTAGGAAGAGAGACGACGGACGCGGCCGAGGCCTGGGAGGCAGGGGCGACGACGACGTCTTGGTCGAGCTTGAGGCGTTTGGCGACGGAGCCGGGGACGGTGTAGGAGCGCTTGTTGTCGGTGCGGTCGTCGGCGGTGGACGCGGCTGCTGAGGAGGAGGATGAGGAGGATGTGGTGGTGGAAGAGGCGGTGGTGGACGGAGGGGTGGTGGTGGCAGCGGCGGCAGAGGCGGCGGCGGCGGCGGCAGCAGCAGCGGCGGGCTCGAGGTCGCAGGTCTGGTAGTTCATGGCGGGGCAGTCTGTGGCAGCGGCGGCAGCGGCAGCGGCGAGCAGGGAGGAGCGTCGGCGCGGGTTCGGATGGGGATGTACGGCGACGGCATGCTGGACGACGGGCTGCTGCGGGGGCTGCTGGGGTTGCTGCTGCTGCTGCTGAGGGGAGGCATGTGAGTGTTGTCTGGAGTCCATGGTGCTGAGTCGCTCAGCGGGGGGGAGGAGGGGGGGTAGATGGAGCGGTAGACGACAGGAGATACGATAGAGGAAGAAGCAGGCGGAGAAGATATGGGGAAGCAGAGAAGAGAGCCGGTGGAGGGTGGGACTGGCTTTGCTTATATTTCTCGTGATGGGCCGCGCGCGTGACGAGCGCAGAGTCGCGGACGAGTCGCAGGTCCGACGCCACGCAGGCGACACAGAGTCGCGCGAGATGAAAAGAGATTTTTTTCTTTTATTTTGTTTGGTTGATGTTGGCTGAGGGACTCGTGAAGACATCGCCACCGCCGTTCAACGCCGACCGCCGGCTTGCCCGCTTGCGGCATCTCTGTGCTTGCGGTTCCAGGGCACGCGGAGCACGGACGGCGACAGCGACTTGAGATGATGGGTGTTGGTAATGGTGATGATAGTTGTTGTTGAGTAGAGATGTATGCAAATACACTATACTGTACTGTTGCAGATATCGCTGGATGCCGAGTTGAGGTTCGTCTTTTACTTCCTATAAAAACACATTTATTTAATACTAAACAATAAATAATTACAAGTAAAGTAAAGAAAACGACAATAGTGCGCGTTACCTGCTCGTTTATGGCTGCACCTTCCATCCATCCTCCTCTTAAGCTTCCCTTCTATTTCCACCGGCGCGGATTCTTGCATCTTTCATCTACGCCTTCTCTTGACTGCTTCTAATCCACCAGGCCTAATTTAAACCCCATCTCAAATAGTCTACTTCTAATTCGCTGGCGGCTACTTTGTCTCTCTTGGTCTCGCCCACTTAGCTCCGTTTCCTTGTCACCTTTTCTGATATCCCTCAGCTCAGCTCTGCTCTACCTGCTCTACCTGCTCTACCTGCTCTACCTGCTCTCTCAACGTCGACCTGTCTCGATATCTCCCTCGGCCGTTAGACTTTCCATCAGCCGTCCTCTAGCCAGCTCTGACTTCCTCTCCCTCTTCCTCTTGCTCTCGTTATTTCTCAAGCATAGACCTGTCGACGGCAAGCCATATCCGCTGCCGGGGCTGGCCGGCCCTTAATCTCTCTTCTCCTCCGGTGGAGCTCAACCGTCGTAAGTCCTCTATCTACGCCCGCGCACTGTCTTGTTCATGTACGTACGTAGACCTCGAACCGACCTAATCTGCGTTCTATAATCGTATTTGTTCCAGTCTTCCCTGTGCCGAGGTTCTCTGCGTTCTATAAACCGCTCCGGACATATCCGTCGACTATAGCCATCCATACGCTCAGCTCGATTGATACTTTTTCGCGATGCACCGGCTTCGTCGGCGTTGCACCCTTTCTACCTTTTCATCTTCGCTCTCGTTCTCTCTCTCATCTACTCCTACGTCCCTTTTGCGACCCAAGAAACCAGGCTCGCTTAAACCACTCAACCTTACTCCGCTCGTCTGCTTCCTTCGTGGACTTCTTCTCTCTATCTTCTCTACCTCTCTGCGCCATTCTTCTCTTCAACACTCATCTATCTATATATCTGATAATATACCTCTCAGCAGTCCAAACCACACGCACCCCTACACTCCCGGCACCCACGCAGCACCACGCAGTGCAGATGATAAGCTTTTATACCGCAACAGTTCGTGCGTTATCCGTGCGGCGGACCCACAGTTGCTTTTTCCTGGGCTTTCGTGCCTTCATTTTATCTAGACGTGGATAATATCCTGCTGCTGTGTTACATGCTTCGGTGGCTGTAGGCGTATTGTGTTTTATTGTGTTTTATTGTAGTGCTCGTGTAGTGATTGCGGTGATGATGGATGCTGATGTTGGTGGAGGGGTTATCAACACCAGCAGGCTACGCGGAGCATCTTGAAACGACAACAAACACGCGTGCTCGCGTGTCCTCACGAGCAGCAGCAGCAGCAGCAGCAGCAGCAGCAGCATTATCATCAACAGCAAGAGCAAACGTCGACGGATGCCATCCGAGCACGCACGCACGACACAACGACAACGACGACGACGACGGCGACCTCAACCACAACCACAACCACCACCTAACCGAGGCCTGCGCGCGGGATCCACAATCGGGGATCGAACCCCTCTTGGAGCGTTAATCCGCAAGCACAGACAGTGCCCGAGCAATTCGCGATATGCGAACGCCGGCTGCTCGGAGGACATAAAAGAGTTGCAAGTGACATCAGCCGGGACCGGGCCTGAGGAAGGTGCGCGAGCGAGCAAACGAGCAGTTGCTCAAAAAGGCAATTAAGCGCTGACTTACTTTTTTTATTTTTATTTTTATTTTTGCGACGCCAAATTAGTCAGTCCCAACCGGGCCTTTGCCTATCTTCTCGACCATATTCGCCAGGGCCTCCGCTCTTGTTTTAGAAATAGCTTTGGAAAAACATATTGCGATTGTTATGATAGGTGCAGGTTTTATTTATGTAATCTCTCTCTTCCCTTTCGCATTCTAGTGCACTTGCACTCGTAGTATCGTGTTGCCTCTCTAGTATAGTACCTGCACTTCCATACTACGCAAGAATACACAACCCCTCCTCAGCACCTTCATACACCTCCACACCTTCACACCCTCACACCTCCACCCTCATACACACACACACCCACCCACCCACACACACAATCCACGGCCTTCGGCGTCCGCGGGGCAGGTGTCATCCGCTCCGCCCGACGCCACCGGATATGAATGAAAAAAGGTTTCGCCCAGGTCACGTGGACTGCCGCTCGCCGGCGACCTCGTCTTCTATTCTTCACGACCCCGGCGCCGTGCACTAACCCAGCTGACGACCGCCTTTGCTTACGCCTCTCGCTCGCTAGACGGCCCGGGCAGGGCACGAAGGCGGCGGCGTCGTCACATGGCTCTCTATTAATTCTGCTGTTGACGATCTGCTAGTTCGCGGCAAACGCGGGCTGCGGGCTGCGGTCTGCTGCGCAGTCACACTCTCATGCGACACATTTCTTCTGCTCTTCGCTTCCAGAACTCTTCCGTTTGCGTGTCGTATTCTTTCTTTTTCCTGTCTGACTACGAGGACGAGGACGAGGACGACGACGTAGATCGATCTCTGATTTCATAGTTGATTCATCACAAACCTCTACTCCTTACTCTGAGCGAATACTATCTCAGTTCGAGCTAGCTGCACATCGTCACCCTTCTGTGCAGATACGAATCTGATCTCGTTTACGATGCCGGCCGTCGAGCACTGTTTACTTCCCTACTTTTACTTTTCTACTGCCTGATGTAGTTTGACATAATATAACAGCACTCGTATTACTCCTTCACTTCTTAGCAACAGCAACATCCCAGCTCTGGATCAAGACATGTCTCGGCGGCTTCGCCTTCCGTCGGATATCGTCGCCGTCTCCGAAGACGCAAACCCTCTTCCTCTTACTCATCCGCCCTCTGCCCTCTCATTCTCTCGCTCGAGACTCGACTCTGCTTTTGCTTTGTTTTTATTTATTTTTCTTACAACTAATCCTACAATTATGCATTAATGTTTAATACATCCACTCTCGAGCCTGCCTCTGTCTCGTTCTGTCGATGCGCGCCCACTTCCCTCTTTAGGGTTACTCTGCACCTCTTCTTTCCACCCACCGCCCTCTTCGGCGTCGGCGATGCGCCTTGCTTTCTATCCCTCGTCTAGTCTATATGCATCTCCACTCTTTCTTAATACAATTTATTCGACGCAGCCCTGCGCAGCCGTCGGATTTCGCCTTGCAGCTTCTAATTGAGGGCCACAGCCTCAATGATTACTCGACAATGGCCAAGACACTTGATCCACAGCGCCTATTGTCTCACCAACTCCGATTCAGAAATTAGAGATAGGTGATATTTAGCAATTGTCTAGATCTAACCGCAACCTCTACATCTCCACAACCCCCACATACTCAACCCACCGCCCAATACTCTCAACCACCAAATGCGCATCCCGTCTCCTCACCGCAAACCACTCCGTATGTCTCCTCCCGCATCCCGCGCACGCGGCAACCGTAAACCCCTCATCCGTAGCAGAGCACGCGAACCGGCTGCGCAGGTCGAGATGGATCAATCGCTCGGCGCGGTGCACGGCCGCGCATTTCGCGCCTTTTGCGTGGGCCGCGGTGGGCGGCGGCGGCGAGGGGAAGTGGCCGGTCAGAAGCACGGCGTGCGAGCACTGCCGTGACCATTGCTCGATTCGGCGGGGTACGTTTACTGTCCGCCCGATTTTGAGAAAGAGTAGCGCGTTGGCGTCGAGGTTTGCTCGGTCGTCTGGAAAGAAGTTAGCGTACGGCGTCGATAGTGCGCGCGGGAAAGTAGAAAGAGGACGTACGGGGTTTGGACGGCTGCAATTCGTAGATGTAGATGTATCCCGCCTCATCCGCTTGCGAAATCGGCTTGTTGAGCTCGGCTGCGAGTAGTTTCGTATACCGCGCGCGCGTCTGTGGGGAGATCGTGTAGGGATCAACTACTGCTGTTGATGCAGAAGTCGACGGACGAGCAGCGGCGATCTCTTTGGACGACGAACGACGGTCGGAGGTGGGATTGGTGCAGCAGAAGACCAGGCGAGCAAGTTTGGATAGAGCTTTGGAGAGTACGCTGCGTTTATTTTTCTGCTGGTGCTGGTGGTGGAGTGGCTTAATGTCGTTGTACGGCATTTGCTTTTCTCGCTTTTGATCTCCCTTCTCCCTCCCTCTAAAAGCACGAATCGCAGCATCTCCAACCCCATCAGACCTCTCAATTTTCTGGTACAGATGCTGCCGGCAATACACGTCGCCGCTCAACTCTGCGCGCGTCTGAACGAAGACCATATGTCGACACTGCTTCCCCGTCGACTTTGCGAGTCCCGCGCATTGCTTCTTTTGCTGGTCATCATTCTTCCTCGGCTGCTGATGCTGCTGATGAGGATGAGGATGAGGGTGGTGGTGGTGGTGGTGCTTGGAGTCAGATCTTGTCATTCATAGGCGCGAGGGGGGAAGAAGACAAAGAGGATTGTAGATGAAGATGATGTGGGGGCGGGGTGGCTGGGCAGGGCACACGAACCCCATCGATCACCACGACAGATATCGGGACCAGCACTCAGGCCCTGGCCCTTCCAGATCTGAGCATACGAAACCAGTCCACGCCTCAACTCACACCACCAACCTCCATAAATAAAAAAAGAAAGGTCGGAACCCAGATCCAGCACCCACCGCGCGAGAAAAAGAACGTGTCGACATTCTCTTCCGACGGTAAACGGGAAACGGCAGAGAAACGTAAACGATCCAGCAAACTGGCTTTGGGGCGACACCGCGCGCGCCGCATGGAAGAACCTTAATGCGGGTAAAACGTCATCTTACGTAACCCAGCGCGCGAGTCGCAGGGTCGCCGGGTGGCCGACGGGGCCGGTGCCGAATTCGGTAAATGCAGAGAAGGACGGAGGTGGGTTCTGTCTTTTTCTGTGAAGTGCAGTGCGGTGCGCGGATGGGTATTAGTAAGATGCGCTTGATTGTAGAAAGTACGTAAACTAATCAACATCTGCCTGCTGGCGTGGAAATGCGCTGTATCTGGGTGGATGTAAGGAATATCTGAGTAATAAGAGGGTAACAACAGAACGCGAGCACGATCTGCAGCGCGCTATCAATATCATTTATCATATCAACGCCCGTCTGGGCGCTGTAAATGGGGCTATATCACATAACACTTGACACGTTAGTCATGCGCAGCAGCAGCAGCAGCAGCAGCAGCGACTCCTCGCAGGCTGCAGCAGTTGAAGAGTTGCTTGCCGATATGTCTCAACCGACGATATGTGCGGTGTCCTCGCTCGCTAGCGATTGCTTTCTTGCCTGTGTCGACACACACGCGGTAGAATACATGCGAAATAAGGCAAGAAAAAAGTAAATAACAATCATATTTCACATTTGTATTTACCAAAAGAAACGAAAAGCAAATCCAAACGCCAGCCGCCCAGATCCAGGCGGGTTTTTTTTGCTCTGCTTCTCGCACATGTCTGCGCTCGCGGTGCTTGGCTCTGGCTCTCCTCGGCTGGCTCTGCTCGGCTCGCGGGTCTTTGTCTTCCTTCTTCCCTTTTGCCTGGGCCACCGCTGCCATCGCATGACCGAACGTCTCCTTGCTCTCTGCACGCGCGCGCTATTCCCGTTTTCTCAACCGTCCCGAGTCGTTGGATAATAGCGCAGCGCATGCAATGGCGTAGATCATCCCCCTCTCTTTCGTATCCGACTTGCAGCGTGCGCGTGTGCTTCCTTCCTTACTCTTCTGGCGCTCTCTCTCTCACCCTCGCTAAACTATTCTGTTTACTTCCTGCAGCAAGCTGCCAAAAGCGAAGACTAGTTTTAGTCTCGAGTCTCTTTGAACTTCGCACTGAGCTCAGCTCATAGCTACAGCAAACTGCTCTGTAGCATCCGATCAGCTATCTCCTGCCCCTGTCTCCCCTTCCTTCTCACTCCTCCCCTCCGTCTGCAACCCGTGAAATTTCTACACTCAAGAGTCAGCCCCCTCCTTCTTCTCCTCAAGCCCCCAACCCCTCACTCTCCTGTAAATTCTTTTCTTCTTACCTCGTACTGCGTCACCAAACTTCCCCAGATCTTCACAACCTCGTCATCCGCACACCCCTCAACCGGCACAGAAACCGCTGGCGGCACCTGCTGCCGCGGGGTGCTGGTGCTGTCACCGTCGTTGACGCCGTTGCCAGGAGTACGCGCGGCGGGGTCCGGGAGTGCCATTATTATTTGTGAGTATTTAGTGTACGGCGGACGGTTGACGACACTTCGAGTCGTGAGATGTGTAGAGGGGAGAGGAGGAGGAGGGGAATGCCGCGCTTTATGTTTTACTAGCTCGCATACCCTCATTTCTTTTTCAATCAACCACATTTATTCTACCATACTATCTCTAAAAAACAGGAAAAAAACAGAAAAAAATGTATCTCCCTCATGAAACTTATAAATCTCATAAAATAAAGAAAAAGAAACCAATTCAATCGTGCGTAAAAAATCAAGTTTCTAATTCAAAGAGCGAGCTCTCTCCTATTTTTTGAAGGAGAGCGCTCGTGGGGTTGATTTTGACTCAGTTATGAATCCGAAAGCTCATGGAGAATGGAAACTTGGATCTTCGATAGAGTCGTTGGGGGGTGTTTCTTGTTGTTTCTTTCGGTGGAGGGTGAGAGGTGAGTGTGTCTACGGCGGACCGAAGAAACAGGACAAGAAACAGAAAAGGAGCTCAGTGGTCACCATCTTGTATGGGTATATTCTGTGTGTATAAACGAGTATCAAAAGAAGAGATCGTCTCTCGTCTGGCGATGGAGTGTGTTGCGTAGTGAACGAGTCCTGCTGCTGCTGCTGCTGATGTCTTTGTATTCTTCATACCTAGTCCCACAAAAGAAAAACAAATAATAAAAAACAAAACCTACTCAACTCTCACTACTCATCGGGTATAAACAGTATCTCCCGCCTCTTCAACAGGCCTCTTCAACAGATATCTTCACCTTCATCTTCACCAGAAAAAAATTGCCGCGAGAAAAAGCGAGTCCGCTTTATACCCGCCCAAACAGGAACCCTACCCTACTTTTCCTCGGACAACAGAAAACACATCTGAGCCGCATCCACGTGATTTGGTTTTGTTTACTTTTTCGAGATTGAGACTGTCGGGAAGATTGTTGCGATAGACGGTGGTGAAGCTTGTGCTTGAGTTTTGGCATAGAAGAAGAAGAAGAAGAAGAAAAGAAGAAGAAGAAGAAGAGAAAGAGAAGAGAGGATGAGTACGAGTGCGCTGGATACGTTGCAGCGGTTACCTTGCGCCACGCTGAAATCGCTGGCTCGACTATGTGGTCTTAGTATGCCAACCTGCTCATTTCTGTATTCCCCTCACGATTTCGTTGATTCACGAGTACTAACCACGACACGCCAGGTCCATCATACACAAAAGCAATCCTAGCCGCAAACATCACCCACGCCATCTCCCCGTTCTTCAATCCCCCATCCTCATCCCCATCCTCGTCCTCATCCACACCAGCATCCACCTCCGCCAGATCCTCGCTCTCCACATTCTCCTCCGCCGCCGACCACGCAGCCGGCTCCGCATCCAGACGTTCCTACCGCGTCCTCTCAATCGACCTAGGTCTTCGCAACTTCTCCTACTCCGTCCTCGACCTTCCCCCGCGGCCCGCATCCACAGATCCTCTGTCCTCCCCGCGTCCTCTGCTCGCAGCCTGGTCCGTCGCCGACATCATCCAATCCTCCTTCCCCTCCCTCTCCCCCTCCCCCGCACCCACCGACACCCCCGCATCTCCGTCCCTAATCAACATCAGCGCATTCTCATCCGCCCAAGCCGCCGCCGTCGCGTACGACTTATTCGCCGAAACCCTGCTCCCGCGGTACGAGCCGGACGTGATCATCTTTGAACGCCAGCGACTCCGCAGCGGCGGCGGCCACGCGGTGATCGAGTGGACGCTGAGGATTAATATGTTTGAGAGCGCGTTGCAGGGCGTGTTTGTCGCGCTTAACAGACAGGGGCGGTTAAGAGCGTCTGTATGCGACGTGTTGCCGAGCACGACGAAGGCGTATTGGATCCGCAGCGAGAAGAAAGCCGAGACGCCCGACGCTGAAGCAGCAACAGCGACGGAGAAGAAGAAGAGCAGGAAGAGTAAGAGCGCGGGATCTACGTATGCGCTTTCGAAAGCGGCGAAAGTCGCGCTGGTCAAGAAGTGGACCGAGAACGTGACGGCCAAAAGTCCAGATTCCTGTGCCCACGTCGTGTTTTCCCCAGACACAATCCCGCTCGCCATGCAATTCAACACAAAGAAACCCCCCAAATCAAAATCCAAACCCCTGACAGACCCCACCCCTCTTCTCTCTCAGCACCAGCAGCAAGAAGACGACCGCTTCCTGCACCCGCCCGCCAAATTCAAACTCGACGACCTCGCAGACTCGCTCCTGCAGGGCGTCGCGTTCATCGAGTGGCAGCAGCACCAGTACCAGCTCGCGCGCGCGCTCAAGGCCGGCGACGATCTCGAGAGCTTGAATCGCGAGCTGTGCGCGAGGCATGAGGAGGCTATGCTTTCGGTGTAACTTTCTTGCTCTTTTGGTTGTTTGTGGGTCGTGGTGAGAGATGTGCATTTGCACGGTGTTGGGATTGATTCTGTTTTTGTTACATCACTTTGGTGCTTTTTGAAATGCATAGTTAAATAATGAGTGTTTTTGTCGTCCGCATCATTTCTAATTCAAAAATGAAAAAATACAGGGACTACATATCAAACAAAATCAACCACCTCCACAATAACTATTACCAACCTTTTTTTAACAAAAACACAAAGAAAAATCACCTAGGTCGGAACTCGATAACGATGATGCAAAAACACAAACAGATCAAAACAAGATGAGATGTAAAAATATATAGGCTTCACGCCTTCTGTTTCCGTCTATACAACAACAAAACATCGCCGCCCTGCCGCCAAATCCGCGCCCGGATCGTCGCAAGCGTATACACATTATCCAGCACCTGTCCCTGACACACCAACTCCAGCCACTCCTCGGGCCTGCTATACTTGCCCTTCTCCGGCACCTGCGCGCCGTCCAGCTTCTCCTCGACGTACCCGAGGATCTTCTTCGCCCGCAGCATGCGGTACGCGTTCAATCGCGCGTTGCCGTTCGGCAGTGCGGGAAGCTTGTCCTCGTACGGCTGCAGCACAAAACTCACCTTCACAAGCTCTTTGCTGGGGATCTTGTTCAGCAGCAAGAACTCAGCAAGCCACCCCGGCGCCGCGTCCTCGAGAATCCCGACGTCGTCGTACTTGCCGCAGCTCGCGACCGTGCCGCGGTACAAGTCAACCGTGCCCCCCGCGTCCACTCGTTGCTCGGAAATGATGATCGCGGTCTCGGCTGGTAACCTCACGATCGGCGTCTCGCTCGCGGGCGCCACCGATATCCCGGACGTGCCGTAGGACTCGCTCTTGTCGTACTCGTGCCGTACCTTTTGCAAGACACCAGCCAGCGTATCATCATACGCCGGCTCATTCTTTGCTTCCTCCACCGGCGTCAGCACGCCATCCGCACCCGCGCCGGCTGCGCCTCCCGCCGCCGCGGCCCCGTTCGGTCCATCGACGCCCCGAGAATCAGCCATCGACGCCGTCCGGCTCAGTTTCCCTTTTCCAAACGACCGCAGCCGGCCCATCAGCGAGCTCGAGCTGGAAAGGTTATCCCCTGCGTCGCCGTTGCTGTCGATGTTGTTGGTTCCGTTGATGGGGCTGGTGGGTGTTGCGTCCGTCGACGGAAACGCGAGATCGGATGACGCGGGTGTATTTGAGAGCGCGGCCGCGGCCGGCGCAGAGACTTGCGGCACCGGCACCGCAGACGAAAAGTAATCCGTCACAACCGTCCCATTAACAGGCGAAAGCGGGTTCTTGCCGTCGTCCCCGTTCAGTAGCTGATGCCCTCCGTTCGGATTATACGCCGGCGCCGGCGTCGCAAGTCCAATAACCAGCCCCGGCGTCTGCAGCGGTATCGACGACCCGTTCGCGCCCGCCGTCCGCGGCCCCTCCGACCACGGCGTCATCTGCGAAAACGACAGCTGGCCCGGCGGCACGCGACGCATGGCCCCGTTCTGCTGCGACTCGATGATCTGGCGCCGCTTGGTCTGTCGGTATTCGTCGTCGCGCTTGATCTCGGTCTCGATCAGGTTCGCAAACAGGTTTCGCAGGATCCATTTCCCCACGTTTATGCGCTGATCGTCGCGGAACTCGATCTGGCCGCCTTGCGGCGCCTGCGGTTGGGGCGGCAGCTCGCTCACAATCTCGTCCGCGTAGATCTCGGCGTCAAACACATAGGATTCTTCCAACACCACAGAGAGCTGACCCGTGCGCGTGTTGACCTGGCACCAGTTCGTCATCGTCTCAAACGTGTTGATCTCGTCCGCCACATCCTCGATATCGCGGCTGCCAAACGACTTGACCATCACGCACTTCACCAGATCCCAGAGCATGACCTCGCCGGCAGTATCAACCGTAAGGACCCGCCTTCGGTCATTGAGCAGGATGTGCTTAATCAGACCTGTCTGGCCCTCGATCGTCTCCTCGGGGTTATGCCGCAGCGGGTCCGCCGCCGCCGCGCCCGCAGACAGCCCGGCCGTGTTCGTGCTCGTCGAGTTAGAATCCGACCGATGCAGACTGTGGTTGATGATTGTCCCATTGACCGAGGCCGCGTCGTCGGCCCCGTCGAGCGCGCTGTTGAACCCGCCGTTGAGGTTGATCAGAGACGCGGCCGGGATCTGTGAGGGAGCGATGTTCGCGGCCGCGGCTTGGCGCAGTAGCGAGGTCGATTGCGGCGGGGGTTGCAGAAAACTGGCGCTTGATCGACGACGCATGCGCTGCTGGCGTTGGGTGTGAATTGTTGTTGATGTTGTGTCGACGTCGCGCTGTGCAGATATCGTTAGATTATTCGAGTAGATGAATTATGATAGAGAGTTTGGAAAAAAAACATACCCATCTGTGAATACGTGAGTTGGCAGTAGCGGTCCAGAGATAGTCGCCCGAGGCGACGACCTTTGATACACCCTGATGCTCGTTGCAGACCAACACGCTAAGACTATCCTCTGCCTCTGAAATTCCCCGCATGTCAGTCTTGACCACCATACCGGAGCGATCGGAAGAGTGGAAAACCTCCAAGTTTGGATGATCCGAGTGCAGCGACCAGACCGATGAATCGTGCATATTGAGCGTGTGCATCAGGCGGCCGGCGGTAATCGACCACAGCTTGATAGTCGAGTCCGACGAGGCCGTGAGCACGAGATTACCCGCTTTGTTGACCAGGATCGAGCGAATGTTGTCGGTATGTCCCACAAAGTTGACGATGCTCTCGCCGTTGCGCTGGTCCCATAGTCTGACGATCGAGTCCGGACCGCCCGAGCCGATGATTGAACCGCCGGCTCCGCCGATTCCGAGGGCGTAGACTGAGCCTTTGGAGTTGTTGCCCTTGTTGCCGACGTCGATCTGCAGCTTTTCGCCGCCGCAATTAATATCCCAGAGAATGACTTTGCGGTCAAGAGAGCCGGAGGCAACCCAGTCGGCTGCCTGGCTCTCGACGGCAAGACACTTTACAAAGTCGTGGTGATGTCCGATCGTAGACTGTGCGTCGGTGCGGGGGTTCCATAGTTTTACTGTGAGGTCAGAAGAGCATGAGATGACTGAAGCGGATTAAAAATTTGACAGGTTAGCTCGATCCGATGTAGATTGTCAGTGATAGAGGCGAGGATTGTATCGCATCCGCAGAGAATCAGGATATGGAGATAAGCTTGCCTGATTGGTAGTTGTTCACGAGCGCAATGTCGTTGACCCAATGGGTATGAAGCTGTATTTTCGAGCGAAATGTCGACTTTCCGACCGGCTTGTTTGTGCCTGTGCCATTCGCGGGTGGAGCAGAATCTGCGTTTGCGCTGGCAGCCGGGGGCGCCGCCTCGGTCGGCTCTTCCTCCGCGACGGTGTTCAGGGCGGCAGAATCGAGGTCGTCGATGGAGATGTAGGGCGGCGTGCGCAGGTTCATTTGCTCGAGTTCCCAGGACATGACCATACCATCGCGGCCGGCGGTGTAGAGCATGCCGGAGATCGCAGCGGACGGATTGGGGTCGACGGCGATGGAGTTTACGCCGAGGGTGTGGCCATTGTGGCTCGAGTCGGAGGCCAGCAGGTACGAGATCTTGCGGGAAGTCTTGCGGACCATGGCTGCGGAAGGCCAAGTGGCCAAGTGAAAGAGGGTTTGGAGAACGGGGGAAGGATAGAAGAAGGAGAGGAGAGGGATGGATGAGGAGGCTGGGGAAGGGTGGGAAGTACAGGAAGACGAGGCGGAGTGGTGAAGGCAGACGCGGGGCGCTCGAGGCGGGTTCGAGAGGGCGTTTGCCCGCAATCAGCAATAAGCGGGCTAGGGTTTCAGGTCCCCCGCATAAGCTACGCGGTTATCAGCTGCGGGAGAGCAGGCGGCCTACGGACGGGATATTGGAGGTGTTTGAGATCGGAGGAGTGCAGTGTGTTTGTGAGGGTGATTAGAGCAGGGTATTGGGTCGGAGAGTGTACGTTGTGCGCAGAAGCAGAAGGCAGGAGAAAGACGATTGAGGTCTGCCTGCTTGGCGGTCTGCCTCGAGCCATGTCGCTGTTTCGCAGCGCAGACAATTCTCGCAGAGTTCGTTCAGTTGTCTCAGAGTTTACAGGTGAAATTCAGACCGTAGGCGCCTGTCAGTTCGTGGCAGCACCCTTGGTTCTTGATTCAGGGATCTGTGTATATGAACCACGAACTTGCGCCGTTGAAGGTCACCGGATGAATTCTTGATCCCGACCAAGAACCGTCTCCGGCTTGGGTGCTCTCATAAACTATGGCTCAGATCAGATGATTATTTCATCTCCCTCGTATGGTGAGAGCTCCGTAGGTGTACTTGTCTGAGTATCGCCAGTTCGCAGCAATAGACATCGATAGACCGTATGCTGTCCAACGAGCATCCGACAGACTCTGAATCGAGCAGCTGTCTCTACATCCAAACTCCTGCTGCTTGGGCATCCTCATCCCGCTGCCCTTTGCAGGACTCGCACAGTCTCCCCTGATCCCGCATCAGTACTACTTCCTCTGCTATCGCAACCTCCGACCACTCATCTTCTCGAGTTTTCCAACCCCGATACACTTGACTTGGCACCCAGAACACGCTCCCGCTCCCGCTGATAAATCAACGCTGCCGTCAGCTAGCGACAGCCGGTCGGAAGCAAAAGGCTGCTGATCGGCGACTATTTTCGCTTTCGCAGTCGCCGAGGAGCAGAAAAAATCTGCTTACTTCATCAATGACGCAACGTGCGGCTCACGCGCTGCTTAGCCATCGCCTCGGTACACTCGCACTATCGCCGTCTCGCCTCTTCGCCGTCTCCCTTCTGCCCATCCGTCATTATAAATCCCCATCTTCTCCCTCTTTTTTCTCATCAGATAATAAGATAATGGCTCCCATTGTTAAACATTACGATTACCTTGTCATTGGCGGTGGTTCTGGTGGTCTTGCCTCGGCTCGTCGTGCTGCTAGCCGCTATGGCGTCAAGGCTGCGATTATCGAGGGTTCCGGCCGTCTTGGAGGAACTTGTGTCAACGTTGGGTATGTATCAGCTTTGATTCTCTGGTTTGTGACACGGCTTGCTGCTTGGGCAGCTGCAAGGGGGATTTGCCAATTGAGCATCCACCCGTGGTATCAAGAGCTAGAGACTTGCGAAGTTTTTAGTGATTTTTTTTCGGATTTGCTTGCTGACATGTTCATCACTTATAGATGTGTTCCCAAGAAGATCATGTGGCAGGCGGCCGACATCAGAAAGCGTCTTGAAGATGCCAAAAACTACGGCATGGACGTTGGCTCGCTGCCCAAGTTTGACTGGTTCAACTTTGTCGAGAAGCGCGAGGCATACATCCGTCGTCTGAACGGGATCTACGAGCGCAACCTCGTCAAGGACAACGTCGACTACATCTCTGGCTGGGCGCGCTTCACGGGCGATAAGGGCGAGAAGAAGGTCGAGGTCTCGCTGCTCTCTGGTGAGACTGCGTACTACACCGCCGATCACATCCTTGTCGCTACCGGTGGATACGCGTCCGTTCCTACTGACATCCCCGGTGCGAACTACGGTACCACCTCGGACGGCTTCTTCCAGCTCAAGTCGCAGCCGAAGCGCGTGGCCGTTGTTGGTGCCGGATACATTGGCGTTGAGCTTGCCGGTGTCTTCAACGGACTCGGCACCGAGACTCATCTCTTCATCCGTGGAGAGACCGTCTTGCGTCACTTTGATCCCATGGTCCAGGAGGCGATCACCACCCGGTACATCAAGCACGGCGTCAAAGTCCACAAGAAAGCCAAGGCGTTTGAGAAAGTCGTCAAGCTTCCCTCCGGCGCGCTGGAGATCACGGTCGAGGATGAGAGCGGAAAGCAGGTCGTCGAGGTCGACGCGCTTATCTGGGCCATCGGACGCGGTGCAAACACCTCCGGCCTCAATCTCGACATCCCCGGAATCGCGACCAACAAGGTCGGCCAGATCGAGTCTGACGAGCTCCAAAACACAAACATCCCCGGCGTCTACGCGCTCGGAGACGTTATCGGCTGGGTCGAATTGACCCCTGTTGCTATCGCCGCCGGCCGAAGACTTTCGGACCGCTTGTTTGGCGGCCCCCAGTTCAAGGACCGCAAGCTCGACTACACCAACATCCCCACCGTCGTCTTCTCTCACCCCGAGGTCGGAACCATCGGTCTCACCGAGCCCGAGGCTCGCAAGGAGTACGGCGACGACAAGGTCAAGGTGTACAACTCGTCCTTCATCGGCATGTACTACTCCGTCTTTGACAAGCAGGAGGACAAAGAGCAGACGATCTACAAGCTCATCGTTGCCGGTGAGGACGAGAAGGTTGTGGGTATGCACATCGTCGGTGACGCTTCTGCTGAGATTTTGCAGGGATTCGGCGTCGCGATCAAGATGGGCGCTACTAAGGCCGACTTTGACAACTGCGTTGCCATTCATCCCACTAGCGCCGAGGAGCTCGTTACCTTGGTTTAAATAATGAAGTTAGAGGAAGTTGGATAGGATATGATATGTTTTTGACAGGATCTACGTTGAAGAGAGATTTAGTACGAAGGTAGAGACGGGAGAGAGGAGTTGTAAGCTTATAATCTCTCACAGTCTAGTAATGCAGACGTTATGAAAGAAATGGAGTCCTCTAAGGATAAGCCACTAAAAGAAATGGAAAATTGGTCGTACATCATTATATTTATCAGCTCTCAAGCCCCTGTTACTCCCTAAAGATAAAAAAGAAAACGTAATCACATATACATTTCGACATTGCAAGATGATCAATCGACCCCGAAAGCAAACAAAGAGCACCATGCCCGTCTCTCTTTTCATCCAGCAAAGGTACACCATTATATCAGAATGCGGAAGATATACGAATTCCAGAGTGAAAAGGGAAAGACGGGGCAGTAAAGAAAGTAGTGTGCATACTAGATCAACCTGATCTGACGCTCGCACTTTATCATCTTACTACTTGACACTATCGCTTCCTTGCTAAAGCAGTCGACACCCCACGAAAACGAAGGACGGAAACCTCTCCGCCGGAAGAAACCATCTACATATCAGGCTTTTTGCCCTCCTTTTTTAGCCTCCGCTACATCACAAGCAAAAGTCAGCCCTCCACTCACCCAATCAACTACCAGACATCATTTTAAAAAAGAGGGAAACAAAAAACATACCTTCAGCCTGCTTCTTGCGCATGATAGCAGCCTGCTCCTCAAGTCTCTTCCGGGGATCTCCCTCGAGTTTCTTCTTCGTGCCCGCAGCTTTCTTAGCCGCTTTCGCGCGGTCGTTTTCTCGCTGGTTACCACGCGTCATGTTTCCGTTATATTATCACAAGGAAGATATGAAAAAAAAAGAGGTTCAAGATCTTAAATTCTCGAACGTGAAGACACAAAAGTTAGCAAACTCTGTAGACCTGAAAACGAATGCCTAGTCGCTAGTCCTTCTTTTCTGGATTTTTTTTTTTTGTCGCAGAGCCGAGCTCGTATGCTTGAAAGAAGTGCTTGCTCGAGGAAGGAAAAGAGATAAGTTAACTGAAATAATCGGATCTCGAACCTACTACGGCTGTCAGTTTAAGGTTTTGATGCTCTGAAGCTTGGGAGAGGGGAACCTTAAAGGGCGCTCTAAAGCCGACAACCAGAGCCGTTTTCCGGATTTTATAATGGGATTGGAATTGATTGATATGTAAATTAGAAGCTATATTTTGTTCATGACATGCACACCATTCATCGATATGAAAACAGTAAAAAAAAGTTGTTAGAACGCCTAGGTTCACTCCGCACATAATATCTACACTACACTAGCAACATCTTCCCCCAGTCCCAGCCATGTCGGCGGTTCATTCTCCGGCAACTCATCCACCCACTTGACAAACCCATCTACTCCTCCTCCCTCCGGCAACCGCAGCGCAGTCGCCGCCCGACCTGCTGTGATATCAAAGTCGATCTCGAATGCTTGCGCGGTGAATACTTCGCTCGCAAGTTTCTCAAGACTGCACAGATCATCTTCGTCGTCGACTTTGCCGCCGTACACGGTATCGACTAAGATCCGCAGGATCGTCGTCCACGGAATCTTCTCTGGCGCGACGTTCGATCGGCTCTCGTCGCCTGCTGCGGCAGAGACCCATCTGTCGACCACCAATCGAGCAAACTCAAAGTCGGCATCGCTGAACTCGTAAGCTTTCTTCCATCCGACAATACCGTATCGCAGTCGCTCCTGTACAACGCCATGGAACCACGCCAGCAGGAAGTATACCCGCACACGCTCAACAGGTGGCTTTAAAAGTTCTGTTTTAGGGATACCGCCAAACGTGTCATTCATGCTCGCACGTAAACCTGGTGGAGGCTCACACATGATAATGTAGGACGCGCGAAGCAAGCTTACAGGGGCTTTGCTCGTCGTCATCTCCATCGTCAGAAACAACCTGAACGAAGACTCAAGCCGAAGGAGTCCGATTCTCTTCTCAAGCAAGCTCACCCATTCTGGCGCAAGGTGTACGTTCTTGAGAAGAACCCACGAGCCTCGTTGGGCTGCTTCGGCGATCGCTCGCTCAGCTGAAGCTATACTTTCATCTGATCCCATCGCAATTGAGACGCATCTGTTACTGCTAGAGCGCACCAGACTATCTATTCTGTGGCTGGCGTCATACCCAGGACGAGAGCACAGAATGACTGGGGTATCACTCGACGCTTCTCGGGACACGATCGTAGACAGATTATCAGCCGTAGCAGATAAAAAGTCGGGGCCGAGGAATCTCGAGACGAATGCGGCTGCTGTCTGCGTGTACTTTTCGGATCTGACGAGCTTCATCAACAGGATTCTGCAAAGGTCCTCATCGATATCTATAGAATAATTAGCGTCAAGTCACAAACTGCATCAAAGAGCCCAACTCACCATTTTCCTCATCCGCAGGACTCTTGTTCAGGAAACTCATCAGAGAGTCTTGATCAGCGATTGCATACTGCTCGAATACTCGAGATCCGCTTATATGCTCCAGTAGCTGCGGTATCTCATAGCTTTCCGCTGCCAAGTCGACAAGCTGCTCTTCTTTATTGAACAGAGATTCAATAAACGAAATATCACAGCTGTTTGCGTTGGCGTAGGCAAAAAACACCGCCAGCGTCAAAGTATCTTTGTGCAGCAGTCCCTGGGAAGTCCTCTTGAAAGATTCCCTGTACAGATCGACAACGATCTGCTTCAAAGTCGCTGCCAAATCAGGCACATCCTTGATGTTTTCCACAGCGCTGAGGACGTGGTAAAAACCGTTCTGGAAGAACTGCAAGGAGAACTGATAGTACTGGTTGAGATTCTGAAGCAGCTCTTGAATAGCGTAAATCGTACTGCTTGCTGCTGCAATCGGTTGATACTGCTCGGCAATCTCTGCGATCTTCGTCATAACTCCTTCGGTCTCCGTCATCTTCTCAGCAATGTCTGCGGACTGCACCTTGAGATTCTCCAGCGTGTTGATAACATTATCGTCATCCAGAATATTTCCCTTTGACTCGTTCAGCGCCTTCAGCAAACTCTGCTCCAGCTGACGCAAGTGCACTTTAAAGTCGCGACGAAGTTTGACCAAGTTGTTCTGTCTGCGATCGACCTCCGGCCTCAGCACCTTCAACGAGTCGTTCAAAGACTGCGCTTGCAGATTGCTCCTCGTGACTGTGAAGTTGACGAGCGTTGTTCGGCTGCATATGTCTGGCGAAAACACTGCCGATGAGTCGCGCGAGCACAAAAACAGATTGAAATTTGGCGAAAAGTCAATCTCTTGCCGGCCTAGCTGGATCAGGATCCGACCTCCCACTCGCTGATACTCCTTCTTCAGCACCTGGTTCAAAATCGGATCAAAATGCTCAGCGTCATTAACGAGGAGAGCATTTCCAAACCTCAGTGCACTCTCCAGTTGTTTGACAAATGCATCGTCCAAGAAGCTTGCGACAACTAATCCTGGATTCTGGCTGCGAAGGAAATCAACGACGCGGCCTGTCGGATCAATTATCAGCGGATATCTGCTCGACCGCTCAATCATCAATGCATTCTCTTCGTATAGCTCACCACCGGGTAGCGAATTGTTGTGCCAGTCATTCTTTTTTGTCATTGGACACATATAATCCACAACCGGATTAAAATCCTTCAACAGAATATCTGAATGTCTCAGGAACAACTGCCAATCTTGCTGCATTTGCTGGCGGTATTTCTGATCAAAGAAACCGCCGTAAACAATCAGCGCAGCCGCCAACAGCGCGTCGCCCGAAAGTGTTTTGGTCTGTTCCTCAAACGACAAACTCTCCATCCTCCAACGTTCTCTCTCAGACGCCAGACTGCTCAGCAGCTTTATGCTTCGATTCACCTTATTTTCAACTTTTGTCATCTCACTCTTGATTTCCTGCACTTCACTGATCAACACCGCATACTCTTCCTTGTATTTTTCAATACTCGTCTCCAGCTCCTGGACAACAGTAGCCATCTCCGCAAGTTGCTCCTTCGTCTTCTCCGCGCTAACTGTAAGCTCAGCAACTTCTTCACGCAAAGGTCCTATTCTCTCCAGAATGAATGAATAATTCACTTGCGCCTCAAGCCATACAGTCAACGGTCCACAAGCTTTACTAGCACGGTTGACCGTCTCAAAGTTGAAATTCGGACGACTCAAATACTCAGCCTGAATCTTGTTGCGCAAAGATTTAGTCATTTGACGGTCAGTATCGTAGTTTATGATACTTGAAATGAAGTCGTCCCGGCGAATGATTGATTGAACCGATCGCCAATTGTCAACTTTGTGACCAAGCAGAATGCAAACAGCCTCCATCGCCATCTTCACTGCCTCGGGAGGGTTGGCCATTGATCGCACTTCAGTCAAATGCTGTTTCTTGATATTGCTGACACTCTGCTGAGCCTCAACAACCATCGGTTCAGCTTGAGCAAGGTCCTCGAGTACAATAGCCTGGCGAGACGCCACTTCCTTCTCTTGGGTTTCCAGCTCAATCTGGATTTTCAAAGATTCGGCTTGCCTCAGCTCGGCTTCCTTCTGATCAGACACCATCTGCTGAAGCTTGTCGTTGGCCTGTGTGCTTTTAATTTGAAGCTGCTCACGTTTCTCGGCCAGACCGGTCCGAAGATGTCGGACTTTTTCAACAGTATCCTGCAGTTTCTCTAGACCAACATTCAGATGACGCTGCTGCTCTTCGACCTCTTCGCGCTTCTCGTTAATGATTCGACCAAACTGAGTAACAAACTCAAGGAATTGACGAGGCGTAGCATAGTTGACTTTACGCTGCTGCACAAATATCCTGTCGTTATGAGACTTGACCGTCATGTGGAACTGAATCATAGCGTTGAGAATTGCCTGCTTGTAAGTGGGAGGCATCGGAAGCCCGCGGTAAGCAACTTGCAGATCGTTCGGTGCCGAGTAGTCCTGTCGATCAATATCTAGATTCTGTACAAGCTCAGACGACACTTGATAGAGAGCTGAATCAGACCAGTCACCCATCCAATTCAAAACACATCTGTTGAATAGCGCAGGGGAAGACGCAGTATGTGAAGAAAGTCCTTCCTTGGGTGGGTTCATGGTGAACACGACATGCAGGTTCCGAATAATCTGGCCGCGGAACCAACTATAGAGCTCTTCAGGAGAGCTAAGCATCAAGCCTTGCTGCCTTGACCCTTCGCGGCATGCAGACAACAGATTCGTATACTCGTCACCCTCAAATAGTCCAGGAATCTCGGCGTTGGCCAAAAGGGTATTCATACGCTCAAGGAACGCAGTTTGGAGGACATTAGATTCATCAAGTATGAAGCAAATCTTCTGTCCTTTACATCCACTGTTTCGCAGAACCGTCCTTAGATCCTCGTCAAAGTCATCGGCATTATATTTTTTGTGCGCATTGATTTGAAAAACGCGGAGGCCGTTCATCCACGCAACAAAACGAGTCAGAGTATTCTATGAAAAAATCAGTCAGCTATATCATAACCTCAAGCCAGACAGTTGCTCTGCTTACCTTGCCACTTCCACTTAATCCAATCAAAATCAAGTGACCTTGGGGCTGTCTGAAAACTCTGTCAATCCGAAGGATATGATCAAGAGCATCGTCATAAAGCACCAAGGGAACGTCCAGTTCCTCTTCGCAGAATGTCTGCAATCGAGCATTCGTATACTCTCGCAGATCATTCAAGGACACGGGCTCATACTTGTTGGATAGCCAGTTAGAGAAAAGAATTGGCCCGCCTAGAGCAGCGTGCCGGTCGATATTCAAAAAGTGTGTCTCCGCCACCTCTGCTATCGCATCGTCCATCCAAAGCCGCTCTTGTTCCGTCACAAGACGATCGCAAAACAATCGAATTGCCTCATGCGCCCATATGCGCACTAATCCCTCAAGATTGAGGCCATCCAGTTGCTGGACAGCTTCGTGTATTCCTTTCATCCATCGGGTGAGTTCGCGAGGACTGTAAACATAGTGGCTCTGCTCTCGTGCAGTGAAGCGACTCTGAGCTTTTGTGTACAGATCCACCATAGCAGATGTCAAAGTAGTGCCATATCCACGAAGAGGAGGCATACTCTTCAAGACAGCAGCAATGAAGGTTCCGTATATCTGGTTGAGAGAAACCTCACCCGGATAGTCGATCATTACCAACGATGTATGATTCAAAAATCGGTAACCCAGCGGAGTCCGGCCAGCGTCTGTCGGGGGGTTGCAAGCTCCCACGAACTGAACCCTTTCGAGTGAAATCCAAGATCTGTCAGACGTTCTCCAAAAACCATTCTGCTCAAAGAGCTGACGCATAAATGATATTGTCCGCTGCGTTCCATAGGTATCAGGCGCAGGAAGATTGATCTCGTCACAAAACACAACAAGCCGTCGCCCAATCTGCGTGGGAGCGAGGATAAATCCGCTCGGAAGCTTCTTGTATTCACAATATTGCTCCAGTGTCTTGATGATCAGCTCAGGAGTTGTGGAGCTGGAAAAGTTGAGCGCAGCCGTGTCCACATTAGCAAACGTTCGCAGAGTATTGAATAAGCTCATCGTCTTTCCAGAGCCTGGCGGTCCACAGAGAATCATTGGACGTTGCTGCTGGAGGCAAGCATGTAGTAGGGATTCATGACGCAGAGTATCGATAGTGGGAATAACAATATCAGTCTCAGTAACCATATGTGGATCAAGATCCATCTGGGGAACCGACGACAGCCATGGTACCCAGTTAGCCAGCGGTAACGATGTGTCGTAGTCTATGATAGATCCACCAGCAGGCAGTTCCAGACTGGTAAAGATGTCAAGCTGAGTAACAAACACTCCATACTGCTCACGCTCCTGCAGAGGACAGTCACCAGCAAAACTCCAAATGGTATTCAATAGCAACTTCTGCAGTAAGTACGTCTCTCGCTGATTGTCACCAAGAGGGAAATCAGGGTGCCTCGAATCGTACTCCACTATCTGATACACAGCCGCAGTAGTCAGAGAAAGAAGCGTTTGGAGCGCCCTGGTGGTACTGAACTCCATGATATGGCTGTACTTAAAAACTTCGGCTAGACTGTCGTTGAGCCATGATCCTCGATTGACGAGAAGCAACTCGACGTAATTAACAATCTGATTTAGCAGCTTATCATTATCAGCAAGGGAAGTGAAGTCAACACTGTCTGAATCATCGGGTGAGAGCTTTCGAAGTCGGTGGATGTAAGCTCTTGCCATCATACTTGTGGACACTGTATCAGCTCCCAGCCATACCATACCACATCGGCTGACCGTTGCAAGAGTGGCGTGCCGCAGATTCTCCACCTCAAACAGGATTCTGATGTTCGGCAGTAATGCAAGTCGTTCACCATTAGGCAGAGTAAGAATCCGATTGTCGTCAAGTACACTAATTCGAAAAGTCAGTCTCATATACCTAAACTCATCAAAGTCGGTCTAGTCTTACCTGTTCAAGTTCTCTACCCATTCTGGATCGACGTCCCCATCAAAAACAATCCAATGTCTCTTCGTGCTCTCACCCCTTAAATTGTCGTTTATCTTCCGCAAAATGCTAGTAAACAGTCCATCTGTCCATTCCCGGGTGGTACTATCGAGACTACCGTACAGCTTTTCCTTCGACATCACCTTCGCATCAATGATGTAGAAGGCGCTGTCCATGCCAGTAGTAGCCTGCATCGCACGTAGGAGAGTTTTCCATATAGCAGATTTTCCAGAGCCAGAGTTTCCAACAAGCATAATCCCATGATGGATATTTTGGATCTGGTACAGCTGCAAAGCTTTAACCAGCCACGCGTCGCTCACGACAAGACCATCCTCAACTGCTAGCTTCACAATCTGCTCCTGAATCTCTTGCAGCACCTCCGGTTTATATTCAACTCCTGGGAATACTTCTTGCTCGATCCTATTAATGACCGTTAGTATATGCAGCAGATATCAGCGAGAAGAAGAGCAATTTACCTTGTCAGTTCAAGCGCGTCGTCCTCCAATAACTTGGGAGCAATGGTCTCATGTATGCTCTGTATAATGACCTCACTCTCCGTAGTGCTATCTGTCTCTCCATCAAGAAGAGCCTGGCGTCGCTTCAGCTCACCAGAGGAGGCAAGAACGCTCTTCAGCGCTCGCAGCCCAAAATCATAATGAGGTTGCTTCGTGAGACGCTTTGCAAGAAGATTGAAAAACGGTACAATCTTAACAGCAAGATCCTTCGCTTCCACAAAGCCTTGAGTGTACAAAACAACCTCGGTGATAAGCTCTTTGTCTGGTCGAGACATTGAGACACTGCGGAACAGCTTCTTGAGGTTGTCAGGCAGGTTGGAGCGCCCAGAATATCCCGGATTCATAGTGATGAAGATACCTATCAGAGAAATAGACTGTCAGTAAGATGTTGCAGCTCTTGGGGGCAAAATGAGGTTATAGTACCTGTGTCTTGATTGATCACGAATTCTTTCCCCAATATCTCAACTGTATCTTGCTGGCTGGACTTCGCCTTCTGCAGTCCTAGCTGGATAGCTTGTATCTGTGACGATATAGCACTAAGAATCCTTTCCTCCAATCTATTAAACTCATCGAAACATCCCCAGGCACCAACTTGGCAGATGCCGAGGAAAATTCGTCCCATAGCCTCAAAATTGAAAGTGTCGTCGCAATTGAAAACAAGCACGAATCGACCAAGTTGTGAGCCGAGTGCCTTCACGGTTTCCGTCTTACCAGTACCTGCTGGTCCAAAAGGCGAGCCACCAAAATTCTGCTCCAGGGCTCCCATTAAAGCCAAAAAGCACTTATCTGTAAGAGGTGTCTGAACAAGCCTATCTCCTACGCCGAGATATTCAAAGCCATATTCAAACTGTGCAGAGCCCATATGAACAGTCACCCGTTTCTTCACATCCTCTTGCTCCTCAGAGTATCTGAATGTCATGGTTGCAAGCCAAGCATAGTCACTCTTAGACTTTGCGCCCTCGGAAACCAACTTCTCAACAACGTTGCGCTGATGGACGAGTTCAGTGATAAGACCCTCACACTTTTTCCGGTCAATGCGGTCCAGTTCTTGCAGTACGATGCCTGCCAGCAACTCCAGCAAAAGATTTTCGTGATCGCCAATCTCAGATAAGCCTCCTCCAGACAACAAGCAATTATCCACCTCTGAAGTCCATACAATTTGTGAAGCAAGAATGACAACCTGAGCAGGATATCTCTGCACCCAAGAAGTGAACTGCTCAGCAGTTAGTGTACTTAGCCTGAACACGGCTCGAAAATCTTCGATTGCATCTACAAGCAAAGTTGCCAGTGTCTCGCGCATTGCTTCCTCCAGTGAGCGTAACCACTCATTGACCTTGGGATTTTTAATCAGAGATATCGGCTCTTTCAGCATGACAGTCTCACCCTCTTTAGATGAAAAGCCAGAGATCGTGGAATTCTGGCTATCGACGACCAAGTCCGAGATACCCGCAAACATCTTCTTGAAATGCTTCTGGATACGGACTGTGTCCTTCGAGTTACCGATAATTTCCAATAAATCTTCATCACCGACAAAGTAGTAACGCGGAAAAAGCATCCGCTCGCGCTCAAGGTACTCCCCAAGGGCCTTCTGTACGCGAGTCAGCATATCAGCGAGACGGCTTAATGAGGTCGAAGTTCCAGGGATATTCAGCACGTGAAGAACGTTTGGGTTCTTCGACACTTTCCGCATCAAGGCAAAGAACTCCGAGTTGACATTTTGAAATCTGGATGACTCGACAGGAAGCAAATTCTTGATCTCGGCATTGTCACTGAAGACACCTTCAAGATAAACCCATTTGCGCTGAACCTCGATCCAGCTATCAAACAGAAGGTTGATGCGACTCAGCTTTTCTTCCCATGCCAGCGCCTCTTCTTCAAACTGCTTGAAATATGGCGAATGATGCATAGCAGCAAGTGAGTTCATATGATCGGTGCATTGGTCAAAAAGCGCATCCCAGCCACGAATCAGCCGGCACTTGTCCTGATAATTGGCTAAATCTAGATCGTAGCTTGACCAAACGTCGCGAATCTATACGAGTGTTAGAACGAAGTGGATACCTTCCTGCTAGTATAGTAAAGCGCACCTGTTTTAAAAAGTCCTCAAGAGCGGCTTCACCCCTTGCTTGAGTGAGTATATCACGAATGAGATTTTCATTTTTCGTCAAATTCAAATCCCAAACATCTCCTAGAGTCAACGATCCGAGGGCCAAAGTCTCTTTGGGTGCCAAAGTGCGGTAAAGATGCTCCCAGTGCCGTACTTTCATGACCTCCGATTTCAAATCGATCAAAATTGAACTGCCCTTGAGATACTGCCGCAAAACACCCTGGACATACTCAAACGAAGCGTACTGGCGCATGCGACTGGGCATTTCCTTCGTGGTAGCGATTAGTTCCTCAATAGTCGTTTTCACTCGTCGACCGACAACACTCAGCCAAGGGGTATCGCGCAATTCATTCAAGGACGCCCATACGGAGCTCAACGCGGACCAGACAGTTTTGAAGTCCTGTACTTCTTGAAGCGACGACTCTATGGTGTCGAGAGCGCGAAGATCGAGTTCAAGAGCATCATTGGCGCGCAATATCAAGTCTTGCTCAGCTTTCAGTGCAGTGATCCGCCGGTCAAATTTCTCTAAGCTCGCAAAGGCCACATCAGGAGAAATATTTCCAGCAACGGGCTTCTCTGAATTCCACTCAGACACAGTGCGTGCCACTTGATCATTCAGGAGTTTATGCTCAGACGTCACCTTCGACCGTAGAGAATCTATGAATTAAGTTTGAGTTAGTCGAGAAATTACCCCTGAGTTAACAGTGCACGTGAACGGAACTTACCGATGTTCTCCATCACTGTCCTGTCCTTCACCGATAAAATCTCGCTGACAGCGGCCATCTCTCCGCTGATTTGCTCGACAAAGATCCAGTCAAAAGGGAATCTGAATCTGTTCTTTTGAAGAGCCATCTGACCCATCCGGTATTTCTTGTGGCTCTCCGCCCATTCCCCACTCTTCGCCTTAGCGCGCTGCACAATAGTCACAAACGCGATGGCTCTCTTCGTTGATAACATGTCCAGTGTTTGAATTTCAAGCTCCCTGCGCGTGTCATCAAGATCCTTATGAGTCCTTTCAATATCGCTTTGCAGTATCTCCGCAAATCTCATCAGAATATCGTGCTGCCAGCCATCATATTTAGCATTAATTCTCGACTGAACTTGTTCATAGTCGACAATTATATTGCCAAAATCGTAGGATGAAACGGCTGTGTCGAAGGTTGACCGGACTTTCCTGATATCTTGAAGAACATCAATCCACTTAGTCAAGTCGTCGCCTAGCATTCTAAAGACACTCTCCGGCTGTAGGTTCCACAGAGACTGAAATTGGTACCATTTCGCCGTATAGGTGCTAACATCAGCCAGCTTTTCTTCAATCGCGTTATAGACCGGTTCAATATCCGCAGCTGCTAATGTAGGCAGATCGCTAAACGTGAGAGGCTCGGTTTCTGGCTTCCCGAATGTCATATTCTGGTCCAACGTGAGTTCATAGCGGGCCGAGTCAATCCTCTTCAACTGACATAGTGTAACGAGGCATGCTTGGAAATCACCAAACCATATCGCCCTGGCATGTTCGAGGGGTGGCTGTAAAGCAATCGCTTGGTCTTTGATGACTATCTCAATTGTAATCACACGATCAGACTCAGTACTTTTGTGGTCCCCATGAAAGTGGGCGATCCATTGAGAGATAGCCTCCCGAAGCCGAGCAAGAAGGATGGAGTAAATCTCTGTGTTGAGCTGATCGACCCAAAATGTCAAATTGGCGAAACTCTCGAGATTGAGCTTGTCGATAGCACTCTGAATGTTTTCAATCAAAGCAGTAAAGTCAGTCGCCGAGTATGCGCAGTCACGAAGAGCCTGCAGGTTCTCTCCGATCGAATTCACAGCCGCAGAAAGAAGAAACGCCTTTCGCTCAAGAACTGATATTGAGTTGGTGAGATTTCTAGCAAACTGAATTTGAGGACTCTCGTGTACCACCGACGTAGAGTCATCACCAGCAACATATGACGGTACCACGCCAACGTCGTAAGCGTGAGCAAACAATTGCCAATCCAGTTTCTTGCCTGTGAGAATAAGGCTTTGGACGGCGTTTTGATACTCATTCATCAGCGCAGACGCGGCGCCAAGCTCTTCGATAATCAGTGTCACATCTGAAAATATGCGCAATGAGTTGGTCATACTCATGGCATGAGGATATACTCTTTTCGCATCTTTCGATACACTGTTGATCGCATGAGGAATTTGGAACTTCAGGTATGTCAGATTGCGCACTTCTTTGAAAAGAGCGATGATCTGCGGATCAAAATTTGTGGTGATCTCTAGGCGCGTAGTACCAGTTGATCGAGATCTTGTGATGCTAAATAGTCTTCCTTTGACTGCAATATGGCGCTCCGTGACATCGCGCAGCCACGCATCAAATATTCCTTTCGCATCCAGCTTCTTCCTGAATGTGTTGCTCTCGTTCTGCAGTTTTTCACCTTCCGCATAGAGGCCCCAGCCGCTACCCAAAACATCCTCCACTCGTTTCATATAAAGGTTCAGCTGTCGCTCAATCTGGCGAACCCAGATAATTGCTCCTGCGACAGGAGGGATATCACGAAGCTTTGCCATCTGATAATTTCCGGAATTTGGGTACTGCGCAATAAACCTGTCATGAAGGGCTTCAATGTCGGATTTGACACTGTCAATCAGCTGCGTCTGATACTCCTGAACTGCTGCACGAATTTTATTGCGAATGAAGAGTGCATTGAAGCGCGAAAACACAATAAACATCTCGTTTGCGGTCTTTGCGTTCGCAAGATGGTCTCGTAGCTTGATGATGATCGAGTCTTCAATTCGTGAGGTGCGCTCATTGTATGCTGATTCGGCCGACGCCCAGATATCAGATCCTTCCGGAGAGACGTCCAAGACGTCAACGTCCCGAAGTGCGGAATACGCTTCAACCAAATCCTGCACAACGTCATCGGTATCCTCGCTGGATCCCTCTTTGGATCCACCCAAAACCGTGGCCACGGTTGACTGAAGCTTCTCGTGGGCCTGACGGAACGACTTTAGGTACTGAAGTCGCTCCTGCGTAGCATTGTGACGTGCTGTGATACGAATTGGAATGAATTTCTCAAGACGCTTGCGCGTGACCTCTCGCGCAACGTTGGTGAACTCTTTGATCTGATAGTCCCATGCCGCAAACACATCTTCAGCAACTGATACGATCTTCTGGAAGTCTGGATATTCAAGATGCATAAGTCTCCTACCACTTAACAGTGCGTGGAAGCGGGCATCCAAATCTCCAGAAATTGCTTCAACTAAATGCAGCGCTCTATGGATTGGGTACGGTGAAATCTTGATCCGCCTGTTCAGATGGTTGAAAACGTGAACAACCGCCTCTTTCAGTTTCTGCAAAGTTGAAGCAGATAAAAGCTCGTCAATGGGAAACTCGTGCATCAGCAGATTATACTTCTTTACCAGTTCCAAAGATTCCTTCAGCCCAGTGTCTGCTAGAAAACTTGTTGTGACAATGAACCGCTTTCCATGCTTCAGAACTTCCATAGTAAGCGTCACACCATCCATCTGTAACTGGCGATCAATATCCTCAAGTACTGACTCCAGCGAGATCCAAAAGTTGATCTCCTGGGTTGCGGATCCAATAGAGGGGTCGCGTGTCAACTTGGTAATGGACTGAATTGACTTAATCCAAGAGTTGACGTTTGCTTGCACTTGATTCAGAAACTTGGCATCATTTAACAGCTCTGGCGAAAAGAAATCAAGAGTAGGCGTGGTATCTAGCTTGGTAGCCTAGTTGAGAACGTTAGCAGGCATGAACCTCTTCACACGATCGATCATACATACCTTGTCCAGAACTTGTTGAATCGCAGGATGGAAAGTGAGCGTCAGCTGAGGAATCTCGATATTCTGCTGCAGATGAAGTAAAGACAGCTCAAGTTCTGTGAGTCTTTTCTTGGTCGCCGGAATGCCTTATAATAGATGGTTAGTCTGCGGTGTTGTACTGTTGCACTATATATTCCAATGTTCGCATACCAGTTTTGGCGTCCGCAGCTCTCGCTTCATTCTCATTGGTACCAAGAATCGACCCTTTACCTCTCGTAAAAGCATCAAAGAAAGGCACAAGAGCGAGATGTACTAGTGAGTAAAGGACATCGTATGGCGTTCCTGCGGTACCAGAGATTTGCATTTCGTCGTTCGCTTTCTGCTTCAACGCCGCTTCGGAGAGAACGTTCGGCAGATTGACAACCTGCAGCTGAGACTCCATAGAAATTGACACGTCAAGCTGGGACGCCCGTTTTATCACTGCAATCAGCGAGATGGTGTCCTTCGTCGGAGAAATCATCGGACTCAGAGTGTACGTATATTCGAGGTCTGTCACGCGCATGTTAGTATCGATGTAAAGAAATAAACAAAGGAAAGTCAAGATCGCTGACCACTGATATCATCTTCAACTCGACTCTTCTCAACAAACAGTACCGCAATATTCACGTCCCCTGCAAAAGTTGCAAGCTGCGTGACAGCATTACTTGTATCGGAGAAGATTGTCCTATCTAGATCACTAGTCGCTGCGCCTAAAAGTACCTGGCATACATTGCGAAAGTACGAGATTAGTATATCTGTATCATAACTGAGGTTAGTATCCGTGTTGCCGTTCTTGGACGGTCGCGTCGGAGTCAGGGCAGTGGATTCCATCGGCTCCATCTTCTGAGATCATAACATCAATTAGCATTCGGCCTGAACAGCGATACAGGCACGCAGAACGGTACAAACCCTCGGAAAGCTCAAAGTGTGATTTTAAAACAAAGATCCTCAAACAAACATATCAACGCAGACTAATATTCTTCGAATGTATAGTTGGTAAGAATGTTGAAGTGTTTGGAGGTGCAACCTATGTTTGGCCAAATGAGTGAGAACAGCGTAGCGAGCGCGACAACGCGACGCGAAGGGAGCACAAACAAATGCCCTGAACTTTAATCGTACGCCTCGTTCATCACTGACTTTAGTTTTTACAGTTATTTTTGGAGCGTATTCATCAACTTCCTCTAAAGCTAAAGTCGATCTTGTTTTTCAACAAATATGTTGGCAAAAGGCTACAAAAATGGCAAGCTATACTAGTCGTGCGTATACGAGGTGTGTCTGGACTGGCAGAGATTTTAAAAAGGTTACAGGCCTGCAATATGTGCGGTCTTTCTCTGCCTCCGTGTACAGATCAACGAAAGATGGAACCTTTCAGGACACCGCGCGCACACTCGACGAAGCCGATCCGATTGCGGGCGCTGCTGCAAAGTTCAGGATTCCTAGCCGGGTGGATATTACAAGAAGTGAGATTGTTTACTTTGTTTAAATTTTTGTGGCGACTTATAATTGACGGTTTCTCTCTCCTGAAGACAATGACATAGATGATCCCCACACCAAATCAGTTTACTTGGCCGGCAACTCTCTCGGTCTACAGCCAGTTCGCACATACGAGCTATTGAAGGAAGAGCTCGATGTGTGGGCCAAAGATGGTGTAAATGGTCATTTTCGGCACTCGCACAATCGTCCATGGCTATCTATCGACGAGACGGTGACAACGATCATGGCAAATGTTGTAGGCGCAAAAACCGAAGAAGTCGCAGTTATGTCGACGTTGACTACGAATTTGCATTTGCTGTTGTCGGCTTTCTATCGACCAACAAGTGACCGCTATAAGATTATTATCGAGAACAAGGCGTTCCCAAGCGATCATGTAAGTCATCTGAGCTACGACGAGATCATGGTTCGTGACTGACATCTTTAATAGTACGCAGTTGAGTCTCAGATCGAGATCCACGGCTACGACAAAGCCGACGCTTTGGTTCAGATCAAGCCTCAAGAGGGCAACTACATTCTTCCTACTCAACAGATACTCGACACAATCACGGAGCATGCCGATAACACCGCGCTACTTCTGCTTCCTGGTATTCAATACTACACTGGCCAGGCGTTCGAGGTCGAAAAGATAACCAAGTATGCTCAGAGTCTCGGGATTATTGTGGGCTGGGATATGGCGCATGCTGCTGGAAATCTGAAGCTGCAGCTCCACGACTGGAACGTGGACTTCGCGGTATGGTGCACGTACAAATATCTGAACTCAGGCCCCGGAGGCATAGGAGGATTGTTTGTGCATGAGAAGAACTTTGATAGACCGCGCCTGACAGGTTGGTGGGCTCATGAGAAGAGCACACGATTCCTGATGGACAACAGTAAGCGGTCTGAATTTTTTTATCGTTGCGCTGCTTCATGCTAACTCTCTATTGCCAGATTTCGTTCCTGGCAAGGGTGCCTCGGCATTTCAACTCTCAAATCCATCAGTTCTCGATACGGTCGCTCTTCTTGCCTCTCTCGAAGTGTTTGATCAGTACGGAATCGCTGCACTGCGTCAGAAGTCCGAGAATCTCACTGGATTTTTAGAGACCATGCTGAAGGCGACGTTCCCAGTTGATCCGCCATTTACAATCATCACTCCTTCGGATCCCGCGCAGCGAGGTGCTCAGCTGAGTTTGCTGTTCAAGCCGGGATTGATGGATAAGGTGCATGCTCATTTAGACGCCAGTGCTATAACTACTGACGAACGGAAACCGGATGTCATCCGAGTCGCCCCTACGCCGTTGTACAACAGCTATAGCGACGTGGTGAAATTCGTGGAGGGTCTGAAGACCGCGTTAGAGGCGGCCTCCGCTTGATCGCCCATCAAACTGTCGTCTGTAATTGAATGGATCGCATAGTAATTAATTTGATCCACTACATGTGCCGTAATTTCTCAAATGATTCTTAATAGAAACTGTTGTCTAGATCAGTATTATCTATTAAAAAAATCTAGAACACGTTGGTGCAAAATGCGTAAATTGCTTGACCGAGATAGAGTTTCGAAAATTGTGTGCGGAAATAAATTATCGACCTCGAATCAAGCCGATCCACACATTCGTCCCAGGTCCCAAAACCTCCATCTTCTCGATCGACAAGAACCACAAGATGGCATCCAGAATTTCTCGGATTACAGGAGTTAGGTCGATGAGACCGATGCTCTATTCGCTTAATGCTAAGCGATCACTGTCTTCCACCGCAGTGAAGCTGGCAAACACGGGCGCAGATGCGAAGCCGGCACCGAACGGCAACGGCAATAAAGGGACTACGCATTTCGGATTCAAAGATGTGCCTGAAGAAGAGAAGGAGATCTTGGGTGAGTTTTAATTTATTTGCTTGCAATTAATTGATTATATTTGGCAGCATCTAATTGTCTTTCTATCACGTGTGCAGTCGGCGAAGTGTTCTCATCAGTCGCAAAGTCCTACGATATAATGAACGACGTGATGTCGCTTGGAATTCATCGTCTCTGGAAGGATCATTTTGTGTCCAAGCTAGACCCTGGGCGTCGGCCAGGCGGCGAGCCGCTCTCGATTCTCGACGTTGCCGGCGGCACCGGCGATATCGCGTTCCGCATGCTTGACTGGGCCTCAGATGTTCACAACGATCATCAAACAAAGGTTCTGGTCACAGACATCAATCCTGATATGCTTGGAGAGGGAAAGAAGCGGTCGCTGAGCACCAAATACGCTGATGGTATGTGCACAGAATTACGTTTACAACGTATAAGATATGATGAGCTAACATACCATAATATCGAAGGATCGCGCATTTCGTTCCTGGTCCAGAACGCAGAATTTTTGGATTCTGTGCCGGATAATTCGCAGGATCTCTACACAGTCGCGTTTGGTATCCGTAACTTCACAAACATTCCCGCCGCGTTGAAGTCGGCGCACAGAGTTCTCAAGCCCGGCGGAGTCTTTGCCTGCCTCGAGTTCAGCAAGGTCAACTTTTCGCTTTTCGACATGGTCTACCAGCAGTACTCATTCAACGTTATTCCTCTCATGGGCCAGTTGATTGCGGCCGATAGAGACTCGTACCAGTACCTGATTGAGAGTATTCAGCGGTTCCCGGATCAGGAAACTTTTGCTCAGATGATTCGCGACGCTGGATTCGAAACTTCGGGACCGGGATACGAGAATCTGACGATGGGAATTGCTGCGATTCATATTGGCGTGAAAGCTTGAGTAGGTGGTGATGAGCCGGCGCAAAGCAGGGGGATATTTAAGAAGCTCAGTTTGTACATATTGATCTAGTTTCACGGTAGAAGGCGTGAATGTACAGTAATCGAATAAATATGGATTCTAGCACCTGCTCTAGATTATAGCTCGAGTTCATAGAAAAGAAAGCAGTGAGACTGTCTGAATATCAAAAAAAAGATTCCTGAAGAAGCAGATAATACACAATCAAGATCGTAGAGCGAGAAAGCACGAATACAGCTAGCGACCAATGGTGATCCCTCAGATCCAAGTCAGTCAGCCATTCTTAAAACCGATGAAATCTTTCGGAGCATCTAATGAGGGGCAGAGGAGGGGTATTGAAGCTGATTGAACTCAGCCCTGCCACCGCTCGGTACGGAGACCGAATGAGTGAGAGGCTTGGGATCCGGATTAGACGTGGCTTGCCCGGCACTCCGGGCATCCGGGATATCATTCTTTGGCTGGAGTGTGTCTACGACGTGGGGGGCGTGCAGGGTCTGCGATAAAATATTTATCCGGAGCCGTCCCAACAGGAATTGTCAAAACAGAGTTGGGTTTCAGGAAGTTGATTGGCAATCCGCAGACTACGATTGAGAGAGAAGCTGCTGCACACCTGCTGGTGGATTGAGACCCTTCCCTGCTCACCTCCTGGCTACCAATTGCCGCTGCAGCAGCCCTTTCGAGGCCCAGAGAACCGTAGCAGCTCCAGCGTGTTTCTCGCCGGCAATTTCCACACTCCGGAAACCACTGCTACGCTGCAGCGCGCTTCGGAGACGCTGCTCTCACCACGGTAGCTCGGAAGGCGCGGGGCAGTCTGTGCAGTACAGCCAGGGCAAGAGGAGGGGTAGGCGCACTAAATGGGTAAGAGGGGGGAACGCCTTCCGAAGGGCAGATGGGTTTAGGGTTGAAGTGTACAGGATGAGTCGTATGGCTGGTGCAGATGGACTGTGCCAGCTCCAGACAGAGCGAGGCGCGGAGAGAGGAGGGCTGGGGTCGAGAGCGGGTGCGAAAGAGATTTATATACTGTCGTGACTCTTGCACGGCGGGTAGACGGCGTGACGGCCCTCCCCCGCACTGCATCTCGACGGACGAAATCGTGCTGCCGGTCGAGTTCCGGAGCGCGCGAGTGTCAAGCGAAAACGTGGGGCAGCTGCTGAGGGGTGAAACCCGGTCGTGCGAAATGGGCCGGGTGAGTTTTAATTCGGGAATCCAGGTTTAGGGCTTTACAGACAGCCGAAGCGCTGTAGGAGCCACGCTGCTCTGCGGTGAAGACGGCTGCGCAATTGATGCTGCTGCTCGGATAGAGATAGAATATGAAGAATTAAAAATACGACTCGAATTGCTGTGAGGATGAAGTTGCCAGTAGATCAGCGAATACAGGCGGTGCGTGTCAGTCGAAAGTGCTGGGGACAAAGACCATGGCCGTTCGGCTCGGATAGAAGCAGCGACAGCGGCGATATTGTACCTCTACTCTCGAAAAAGCTTCCCTCTGATCGCTTTCCGTTGAGCAGCACCAGCTGATTGAAACCGCTGGGCATCAGCAATATGTTGCAATCACGTAGTAGCCTACACACAAGTTCTCCCCGCAAGTTCCCAGGCCGTAACCACCAAACTGGCTGCTCTGCGGTCCCCGCAGCCTGCGCACCGGTAAACAGTCAATAGAGGGCCCAGGATAGGCCCTTACATAAGCATTGGCATCAAGAAATCAATAGGGCTAGGGGAAATTATCCCCGGTTGCGCTCTTGGCGTTGCGGCCCCTGCACGAATTCCGGATTAAGTACCAGGGTCTGCGGGGTCCGATTTCTCCCGACTTGCAAACCCGCGATCTGAATTACGAGACTATGGTCGGGATAATAGAGAGGGGTATAGAGAGAGTGGGGAGAGAGTCGGAAAGTGCATTGATTAATTTAATGACTGAATTACTCAGAGGAAGACTGCATTGCGGATCATATCGCGAGTGATCGGGATGGATCGGAACATACAAGGCTACGATGATCCCGGTACATTTTCGTGATATAATTACGCGCTAGTCAAACCCCGCACTAGCCACACAGCCATGTTCGGCTCAGCTGGACGAGCGCACTCGTCCGTCTTCCGATGCTCGTTCGGGCTGAGAAACAACAAGGACCGAAGCAGAAAAAGAGCTGTGATAAGGGATATTGCCGTAGATCTTCCAGACCAGCTGTAGAAGATGCAGAGGAGCATTGCCGGCAGATATACTCCTCAAATCTAGAGACTAGTAGCTAGAGAGCGATGGTGCTGGTGCCACGCTCTTGAAATGGAAATGGGGGCGCGGGGGACGCTGTGGCGCGCGCGACTTTCCCAGTCCGACGCGGACAATCCCCTCCACGAGGCTGGCACTACTATATAACTGGCGTTTCCCTCCCCCGATTTTTTTTCGTTACGAGTCAGTACCCTCTCTCTCATCCTTCTTCCCATTCATCTCTCAGAATGTCTATCGTCAATCAGACCAACTTGCATCCTAACGGTGTCAAGCCTTCGCCTACCGAGGTCGAGGAGCACCTTGCTAACGTCGTACGCTGCACCCTTTCGTTTTCTTGCCTTGTTGCTCGTGTGCGCAAAAACTGACCTTACAACCTGCACCTTCTAGGCCAACATCGACTACAACAATGTGACCATCCAGTACAACACCTCGGTCCCCGCTCTGTACGAGGATGCTCTCGTTTACGAGAGCGGCTCTGCCATCTCTTCCGCTGGTGCCCTTGTTGCCTCCTCGGGAGCCAAGACTGGCCGTTCGCCCAAGGACAAGCGTCTTGTCGACGAGCCTACCTCGCGTGACGATGTCTGGTGGGGACCTGTCAACACCAAGCTCTCGCCTGAGGTTTGGCAGATCAACCGTGAGCGTGCTATCGACTACCTCAACACTCGCTCGCGTCTCTACGTTGTTGATGCCTTCGCTGGCTGGGACCCCAAGTACCGGATCAAGGTCCGTGTTGTCTGCGCCCGCGCCTACCACGCTCTCTTCATGCGCAACATGCTTATCCGTCCTACCGCTGAGGAGATCAAGACCTTTGGCGTTCCCGACTTCACCATCTACAACGCTGGTGCCTTCCCTGCCAACAGATACACTAGCGGTATGACCTCGAGCACTTCCGTCGACATCAACTTCCAGGACAAGGAGATGGTCATTCTCGGAACCGAGTACGCCGGTGAGATGAAGAAGGGAATCTTGACTGTCATGTTCTACCTCATGCCCGTTAAGTACAATGTTCTTACTCTTCACTCGTCTGCCAACGAGGGCAAGACCGGCGATGTCACTCTCTTCTTCGGTCTCTCCGGAACTGGTAAGACCACCCTTTCCGCCGATCCCGCTCGTCTGCTGATCGGTGACGACGAGCACTGCTGGTCCGACACTGGTGTCTTCAACGTCGAGGGTGGCTGCTACGCCAAGTGCCTTGACCTCTCTGTCGAGAAGGAGCCCGATATTTTCAACGCCATCCGCTTCGGATCCGTTCTCGAGAACGTCGTCTTCGATCCCATCACCCGTGAGGTCGACTACTACGATGCCACTCTCACTGAGAACACTCGATGCGCCTACCCCATCGAGTACATTCCCAACGCCAAGATCCCTTGCTTGTCTGACAACCATCCCACCAACATTATCCTGTTGACTTGCGATGCTCGTGGTGTCCTTCCTCCTATCTCCAAGCTCACCAACGAGCAGGTCATGTACCACTTCATCTCCGGTTACACCTCCAAGATGGCCGGTACTGAGGACGGTATCACCGAGCCCCAGGCGACTTTCTCTGCCTGCTTCGGCCAGCCCTTCTTGGTCTTGCACCCCATGCGCTACGCTCAGATGCTTGCCGACAAGATGGCTGCCCACAACGCTAAGGCTTGGTTGCTGAACACTGGCTGGACCGGTCGCTCTGCTTCCAAGGGTGGCTCGCGTTGCCCTCTCAAGTACACCCGTGCTATCCTCGACGCCATCCACTCCGGCGAGCTCGCCGATGTCGAGTACGAGCAGTTCGAGACCTTCAACCTCTACGTTCCCAAGACGTGCCCCAACGTTCCCGCTGAGATCCTCAACCCCGCCAAGAGCTGGGCTGATGGCCCTGCTGACTTCGGTGTCGAGGTCGGCAAGCTCGGCACTCTCTTCGCTGAGAACTTTGAGAAGTACCGGTCTGGCTGCAGCAAGGAGGTTATCGCTGCCGGCCCTGCCCTATAAATCATTCATTAATCGGTTTTGTCATTCGTCTTTTCTCGTTCGGGTTTGAAATAGTTTTTTCTGTGTTTTGGTTCATTAGGGGCTCTTTGTAATTTGAAGAAGGCTTATCAAAAATAATAAAGCTTTCACTATCAATCGTTGAATTCCATAAACTTGCCAGATGTAGTAGTAGTATGGGTTGGACGCGTACAGATGGATGAGCTTCACTAGCCACACTTTTACCCCACAAAAAACCGAGATGCATCGAAGAGCGAAATGTCACGAGATTATCTTCCTCGATCGAGGATTTGGAAGCGTTGCAGCCGCTACGAGGATTTTTTTTTATCGGTAGTTAATTTTTTTGTTCTTTTCGTCGGGTAGCTGTGGAGCACGGCGGATAGGAGCAAGGCTACTAATAATAACAGCACAAACTCCTCAAGTACTATTCGATCCGTAGGTTTGCAAAAGAATGCCAGTGCTATTCTTCTCTGTCGGAAGGTGTCCACTCGTCGGGTAGACAGAGCATCAGTGCGAGATCGATGCGGAAGTGGGTGGGATCACTTGAGTAGAGCAGCGTGACCATCGTGCAGATCCGTTTCTGTTCAAGAGCGCGTGAACTTTGGGATCGTATGAAGCAAAAATAATTTGTCCGGTAGGTGATCCTCCGGGAACTGTTATCGAGACGACATTCTATGCCCTGCGTGAGTCTCAGCGAAGAACTGCTAGTGCACTCACTCAGGCTGGCTGATTATGCCAGAGTTCCATTTCCTATTTAAGATAACCCTACCCTATAGTGAATATCACGTGCAGGGCGTTAGTGCATTGACAAGATTTTAGAGAGCTCGCTATCCGATGATGAGCTATGCTGATTAGCTGAAGAACAACAAGGACAATTGATTTTACAGGGATGCTATTAAGAACTGATTTAATTGGAGGGTATGTAGAAGTTTTCTTTTTTTTTGTCTATTCTTCTGATCATAAGGCCGCGCGTTTGAGATGGGAGAGAGACGACTTTTTTATCCGCAATCTTGCAAGTATTTGAGCAAGTCGAAGAAGAATTGCAAGAGGACCGGAAGAATAGGGTGGAAACTACAGTCAAAGATACATATTCAGGATCCCTCGTACACTTTGTGAACGGTACAGATAGTACAGACAGCTACGAAGGCTTTTGCCAGCTGGAGATGACGAAAAGGCAAGAGAAGAGCGGAATGAGGCCGGGAGATTGCACGTAATGTCGGACTCGCCTGCTATATTTGTATAAATCAGCTGTAGCAAAAACGCCTTCAACGTCTCTTCAAGTCAGTTCAGTCAGTGGCTAAGAAGCTCGAGCGTGTACGTGGTCTGCATGCGTTCGCTCACAGCGAGAAAGCGCAAGGTGGATTAGTGGTGGGCTAGTGAGCGGCCCCCTCCCGCCCAATGACATTGCTGTTGCGGTCGGCCGGTGCTCCCGGGAGAGAGCCGACCAGCGTGTGAGAACAAATGCATGCATAGAGCAGAGTGCTTCGAGAACTGGAGAATTGTGTTAGATTTAATTCTATTTCTTACTGATCTTTTGTTTGAGAAGTCTAGATGCGTGCGTAATCCTCGATGATCGGAAATACGCAGGCGGACATAGTGTGCGTATTAAATTCAAAGGGTAGAAGCTCTGGTACCCGGAGCTTAAGAATCAAGAGCGCGTCAGCTACTGATGGATATACGGATATACGAGTTTAGCAGTCACTATGAGGCAGGCTTGCGTATGTGTAAATTTCGCTCTCGAGTTCTCAATTGACAGCTCCCCCTCATTCGTCGCTCGGTGAAGGCCGCTAGTGAAGACTCACGAACGAAATAAGGCTCGCTATTAAGCTCGGCAGATCAAAAGTCTTGCTGGACTAGCAGGCTCCGGCTAGCTCCAACAAGCTAGCCCGCGCCTGTTCAGCATTTGCGAGAATTGCAGTTTAGCGCCGTAGCTTCTGCTCGCAAGAAATCCGAGCGAGTCTATGAACTTCTTCAAACCATCTTGCTTCGCATGAACTTCCGGACGCGCACTCGCGCTCTGCTTTCTCGCGCCCACTCGCTATCTTTTCCGACGGCTGGTAGCTTGGCAATGATCTTCCGAGAGAGAGTACGGTCCAGCAACGAGCGATTTATTTTTACACTCTTTCCTCCGGGGCTGTCCAAGCTGGTCAGTCGAGTCCCCACAAATCACGCAAAGTTTACACGTTTTCGTTATAGATTGCGAGAGAAAAAAGAAGAGAACAGAGAGTAGTAGGCTAGCATTTTCAGATTACTATGCAATGCATGTCAGTAGTAGGCTAGCATTTTCAGATTACTATGCAATGCATGTCAGTTGCTTGCAGAATCGCGGCCCGGAGCTTGCGTACGTCGCTTAAATATATTTAATACACATGGCAGAAATAGACGACTGAATCGATATCTTTTGTTAACAACATAACGTCTATCACATCGGAGGAGCAGAACAATCAAATCTCGGATCTCATCCTATCTCGCATATTACTCGTTAACTCTGCGGAACTGACGCGCGGAACTAAACAACCGCAGAGCAGGCAGAAGCGGTGTGCTTTCCACTAGTGTTCTGGCCAAGCAAGCCACTCACTCTATCGAGAAGAAAAGATTAATGGCTGGACAGAATGATTTTAAGGTTTAATTTTAGCTGGACAGCTGCTCTGGAGCACGTGAAGGCCTGCAGCTTTACTGAACTACGGCATACGGCGTCATATGCATGCGCAGCGCAGCATCAGCATCAGATATCTGCAGAGCACATTAGTCGTCAACGTTTTTGTCAGTAGTCTTTCCTGTCAGTCCTGTCATTCACCCTTTCGATACCTCTCGGAACAGCATGAGTTCTGTATCGATATAGAGTTCACTCGTCCAGATGGAGACTAAGTAAACGACACTACTTGAGTACTGGGAGGCTCGTAGACTACTACTACCTTATGCAGTTTTTTATCTGTCAACTGCTAGTAATGAGAAGAAAAAAAATCAATGAATCTCGGAGATATGCGCGCCCAGGACCTTCCATCTGCCAGATGATGCAGAGCATATACGCAGTCGGCGTGGACATGCGATGTGCTCATCATCCGGATCTTCAATGCAATAAATGCTTGTTTTCAACGACGAGCTGCATGTGCGTGCTGCCGCAGAGACATGCAGAAGCAGACGGTAAGAAGCGAGGTGCAGCGAATGAAAATATCTGCAGGATGAGAGAATCTGTGAGAACACGGCCCCGGCCCCGGCCCCAACAGCTTCGGAAGGAAAACGGCCGACGTCCCGAAGTCCCCCGCCGGATACTTTTTTCAGTTCAGGACGCGCTCTAGAAGACAGACCTTCTCTTTCTCTCAGGGTATACCAGCAAGCTTTCTGAAACAACAGTCTGAAGACGTGCTTTTGCTTCTCAGTCAGCCAGTCAGGTTTCTTCTGACTGGAACTCTAATTCAGCACAGAGCGAGGGACGATAGTCGTCCAGCTCAGAGTACATGCACAGTTCACGATCCTATCAAGGGGGCGGGCAGCGGCGCGAAGTAACTTTAAACACACTTTATACGTTGAAAAGAGAGCAGAAAAAAGAAAGAAATTATAGTCACTCGTCATGCCCGAAGCCGCTATCTGTGCGGCGAAGTTTCTATCCCCGATTACGACATCGTCCGGTCATTAATTTTCGAATTTTTTTTGCTTAGCTTCGTTTGGTTCTAGAGCCGAACCCCGAGCAGGCTTTTGCTTTGTTAGTAGGCTTTTGAACAACTTTATATTCTAAGTCTTTAACCGAGGATCAGAAAAAAATTTCCACACGAGAGGATGAAGAGGTCGCCGAAGGAAGGCTAGACCTGGGTAGTGTAGGCCTCGATTGGTTTATTCCAATCGACCGTTCAGCGTACAAACGAAAGAGGTTATTAACTGACAGATTTGGAATAAATTGCAGGCTGTTTTTTGTTGCTGTAAAAATGGATAGAGTTTTCACTAAGACTCATGCTAAGAGATGGCTGATATAGTCTGAGAAATTCTATGCGTAGAACCTGGACTTTGTACCGCGCTCGCCCTTCTAGAGTTGGTGAAGAAGGGGGAGACTTCGTGGATGGAAGAAGGGTCCACTGCGGAGAATAAGAGGGATGAGGACCCTTCGTACTTGTGGTATCTGAACTCTCGAGTTCACCGACACAAAGAGAGGTACAGAAGGAGCAGGTAGCAGGTTGGAGAGCGTGAGCCTCGAGCGCGTTATAAGATTGACTCGCATGACGATCCAAAAGCCAATCTTGTTCGTAGCCTGAGAACTAAGATCAGTTCGAGCCTGACCTCTTTGCTAGTTTTTCATCTTTTTTGCTCGCCTGATGAAATCCCGAACGTTTTTCTCGTTTCTTTCATTTCGTTTCAGTTCTTCAATGTAGTGTGAGCCCTTTCGGCGCAGCGAAGTCATGATTGTTTTTTTTCATGACGGATAGCTATTACTTTGATTGCAAGGGCTTTTGACAGGTGTTTCAGCCTACAGACAGTAGCATTTGATGGGTCCGCTCACAGAAACAGAGCTGATCTTCGGAGGAGAAGAGAACTTTGAGAGACGGTCAGCCGCTGAAAACAAGCAGAGGAGCCGTGCATGTACGGTGTTAGCCCCGGTACAATGAAGGAGTCAATTCCCCCGAATGCGGAGAAAACCGAAGGCGCGTGAGATCTTTATTTCCTCCTCGACCGTCGTCCTCAGTCATACAATCCATTGTTCATCGGAGAGAGAGAAGGGCAGGAAAACATACGATCGAGAAAAGACGGTGGGAGCAGAGGGCGCGATAAGTAGGAGACGTGAGTTTCGCCAAGGCAATTTTTTTCTCCATTGTAATATGACGCCCTATCGGTTCGAGGCAAAAGGGCAATTTTTGGGAGAGAGAGCGTCGAATGGGCCAAGTTGAGAATTATTCCAGCCTGAGACATTGCCCGGTCTCTTGGACTTTTAAATGGGCAAATGTCTTAGCGCCTTACGGCACAGTTCTATCATATGACGGCTACAGGACGCAACTGTTTTTATTCAATTAGGGACATATATTTTTCCGATCACCTAAATTCAAGGGCAGATGGACACAAACAATGAGCATAGGAGTTTCGGCCTTTACTGGTCGTTGAGGAAGGCTGAAAAGCTAACTGCGGGCGTGCGCTAGTTGCACAGTCCTTGCAATTTTGCTCACAGCGGTCGGCAAGGAACACCCCGCCCCCTCTGCTCATAGTGGCACACCGCAAGCCTGTGGTTACTTCCAAGAATCAGCAGCTTTCTCTAGATTTACCTTCTCATATAGAAGAAGGCAGTAGGCATGTACGATGTATGTCAACGGGCCTTGGCTGAGAAAATAGAAATGTAAGTCAGTCAGAGCTATCCGGGGGGCCGGGGAAGTATGCGGCGGCGACTCGGCAATACTTCTCGAAGCCCGATAGTTCCAACTATATTTATGACGCTTAATCGCACTCTCTGCACGTGGACGCTACAGCTTTTCTATGCATGCAGCTAGCTTCTAGACGTAGAACGGACTTGTGCCGAGCAGTATGGTCTCTTTTCTAGGTTCTGGCTCTGCTGGTCACTATCTTCGTCGTTCTCTGGCACCTCTTTCTGACGATAAACGCTGAGCAACGAAATAAGCCTTAATTACACCTGCCACCGGGGACCAATAATAGCAGCCTGTTCATGTCTCTGCCAAACGTCTAAATCAGGGTTTAGGGCAGACCTGACAAACCTTAACCTCTATAGAGTCTTCTTTTTGTTTTATTTCACCAAAACCTTGTTTTCTTAGTTCCAGGGCCTTCATTTCTTTTTCCTCGTTTGAGATAGCATATTCTTTTATTTTTCTCGAGTCTAAAACCGCCCACCAAACGTCGCTAGCTATTGTCGGGGGCTCGCGGTTGCGTCTGGCTGTGGACTGCAAGACAAACGGTTTTTGCTCCAGCGAGTCATCCTCGTAGGATCTCGACCAGTTTCATCCGTCTTGGGGCCGCCGCGGCTGGCCAGCTGGAAATTTTTTTTTTCGTCTGTCCCCATTGTGTCTCTGTAAGAAGCACTGACTCCGCAACTACTTGCCACCCACTATCGTCGCTTTGCACTTCCACAGTTTGTTCTTCGAGCTCGCTCGAACCCACAGGACTGCTATCCCCGAAGGATTTCTATCCTTTGACGTCGTTCGTCGTGCTAGAAACCTATGACGCTTTTATAGAGAGAAGGTGGAGGAAAACGGGTGCCTCGTTGGCCTATGCGCTGGAACACAAAACGACTCTCTCAACCGAGCGTACATTTCACTAGTAGCACACACACACACTCTCCCTCTCACTCTTACTCCCATAGACTTATAGCCTCAACCAATGCCGTTGAGTTCACGAGTTCAAGAATCATGATTTCGCACGGCTCAGCTCCTCCCTTTAATTTGCGCATCCGACTTTTCACAGATTTTTTTTCTCACTTCCCTCTCCTTCCGATGCATTCTCTTGCACCACACAACCTACTCTCGGCCTCAAAAAATTCATGAGGCCGACGGCCCACCGCCCACTGAGAGAAGAAGCTCTTACCGCTTTGCAACGGTCGGCTATCTGCTAAACCACAGGCACAGAATTAAACAGCACACATGCAGTAAATAGGAGAACACCCTCCCACAATGAGGCCTTGCTGCCCAGTCTCGACTGGTTTTGCAGATAGATTGCCATTCTTCACGTATTTGGGGCGAGGGTGTTGTCAGCCCTCCGTACAGACCTCGTGCAATACGCAGGATGGTTAAATTGGCCTCATCTATTTTTGCGCGTCATCTAAGGTTTCGAGCATTTGCCCTTTAGGGTTAAAAAAAGCCCTGTGTATTTGACCTGCTTCCACACCTGCACATAACCTGCACGCAAGCGCAGGCCGAAATGAAACGAACTAATTAGAAATAAAATACACTTTGCAGTTGCAGACGACGAACATACTCGGTGTTGGATTGGACATTTCGAGCCTGCTCCTCGCCCACGGCATGTTTGATAGATATCTCTTTCTGTCTTATTCTTGCTTGCTACACCAAGGGCGCCGTGCAGAATCATGCCTCTTCTCGGCGTGCAAAAAGCCCTGCAATTTTCTTGCAATTTTAGCCCGCTCGATGGCGATGCAGGTCAACGCAGGGCGAAATGGCCTAACTTCCGACGGTTCTCTCTCTCAGAATAGTAGTAGTATATTGATCCATCACGATAACGTCACTAGCTCGAGATAAAAGGACTCAAAATCGTTCTTCACGCCGAATCCGTCTTTTCGTCTGTAGATCCAAGGCATTTTTTGGCGACGTTTGGAATCGAGTTCGTCATCAGTTAATCAGGATCCAGTTCTTGCCGGCGTCTAAGCACTATCGCCCTTCTCGCCACTATCTCATCCCCTCGCATTTCCACGACAAAAAAACTCTGAGCTCCTCCGTCAAATTCCCATGCTGCAGCCGTATGCATCTCTCTAAAGCGCGGAGCTTCTAACGATAGAAGGAGAAAAAATGTGCATGGGGCCTGATAACAGAAACGAAGCGGGCGAGCGAGCGCGGGTGTAAACTCTCGCTTCTTCCCGTCGTGATAACTTTTTATTAATTGCTATTCTCTCTCTCCTACGACATTCCAGTAGCAGTTTCAGCAATCGTGGTCTGCTTCCGATATATTTAATTGTCAACAGACCGAAAGGAGAGCTAGCGCTGTAGAAGTCGGTTTGGAAAGCTGCAGAAAGCAGTATAGTCGCAGCGACTTTGGGCAATATCGATCCCGCTTGTGTCGTCGATGCACACACCTTCTTGTCTCACAGACGTGCAAGAGATACCTTGATTTTCCGACGGTGCAATCAGAGCAGAAAAGCAAATTGGCTCGACAGCAACGAGTGCCTCGCTCTCTCTATCCTCCAGACACCATGTTTTCCTAAAGCAGACGGCAAGCGCGGACAATCGGGGTATCCGGTTCCCGGTCCTCCCCCCATCCCCGATTCCACGCACCGAACAGAGCCTCTCTTCAATGACAGACAACAGCGCGACGTGCTGCCCCAACAGGCCACGCGTAGAACAGCCTCACTCGCAGTGCACAGCCCAAAACCGGGACTGTGGAGTAGGCGCAGACGGGGGTCGGCTATCAGAAACGGTCTCGCGCGTGTGGTACCCTTTCGTAGACTCATTCCGAGGTGCAATTATTCGAGTAAGAACTAATTAGGTACTCTCGTCGGCGGTGCACAAGCCTTGCGAGCTGTCTTCTTCTGACGTGCGGCGTGGTTACTCACGTGTACTGTAGAAGTAACTCCGCCGCGCGCTAGCTGCTTCGGGAAAGTTAACCTCTCGTACCTACGCCCCAATGGCGTATCTGGTACCTCTCTCTGGCTTACTCCTCGCTTCGAGCTTACTTGTTCTCCTCCTATCTTTTCCCTTTCCTCTGCTATGCTTTCCTTCGCCCCTTTCATTGCGGTCTCTGGGCAACCGGCCCGATTATAAATATATCTCTGCGGAGCTGCTCCTGTTCCAAGCCGTGCATACCTCGAATTCCACCGCTCTCTCTCCCTCAGTCCTCTCCACACACAGGTAACCATGTCTGCCTCGCCTCTGCTCCCATCGCATGAGAACTACTCGCCTTACCGGCCGTCGTCTCCCTCGCCCTCCGTTGCCTCCTCCGTCCCTTCCACCCCATACTCCCCCAACGCCATCGTCATCCCCATGCCCGAATGGGCCACCACCGTCTCGCCCTCGCGCGTCGGCTCGTTCGTCAACTCAGCAAAGAGCCGCTCCCGCCAGCTCTTCCGTTCCGCATCCTCCGCTGCCACCACCAAGGGCTGGCGCGTCCACTCCAAGATCCGCTTCGCGCTCGAGGCTCTTCTCATCATCTACGTCTTCACACTCCTCGCCAAGTTCCGGCACTACGGCGTCATCACAAAAGAGCATCTCTTCTCGCTCGAGATCCCTCTCTCCAAGGGCACGGCCGACGACGTGCTCTCAAACTCTGTCATCTCCGAGGGCTATGTTCCCCCCCACTACCTTCCCCTCGAGCGCGCCAAGGTCGACGGCAGCCGCATGAACGTGCTCCTGGTCAACACCCCCGACTACCACTACGAGGTCTTTGTCCCCATCGTCGAGGCCTTCAAGCAGATCGACAACATCAACATCACCCTTGTCTCGAGCGAGCTCGGCATGAGCAAATGGGGACTCCGCAATGCTGTCGATATTGAGGTATGCCACTCTTCTCCCTTATTCTCCTTTTATTAAATATAGCTAACTCTCTTCTTCAGCGCGGCGACCTGCCCATCGTCGACGCCAGCTCTACGCCGCTGGACCAAATTGGCTTTACCCCTGATTTCATTTTCCTCACCACCTGCCCCGAAGACATGCGCGTCATCGGCAAATCGGCCCTTAATTCAATGCTCTCCCAGGGCGCCCACGTCGTCTGCATCGTGCACGAGGCCCATCTCTGGGACTTCCACCACGTCGACCAGTACGCGAAGGAGATCTCCTACATGCGCCCCTGGATCCGTCAGGACCAGTGGCACTTCGCCGCCCTCTCGCGTCACGTGCACACTTTTATCCGCAGCAACTTCCCGCGCTTCCTCGACATTGAGGGCCGCGACTACCGCCCGCTGCTGTTCCACCCCGTCTTCAACTTCCCGGTGCCGAACAACCGCGACTTCATGTCCGACGAGCCGTTTGCGGTTATCCCGGGCAAGTTTGAGCCCGAGCGCAGAAACTACGACAAGATCTTTACCGAGTATGGACAGCTGAAGTGCGACATCAACCTGCGGCTGATTGGCTCGGGTCCCATTCCCCAGATTGCGAGCGAGATGAACCCCAAGATTGGCTTCATCACCAACCTCAACTTCTTTGAGTACTTTGAGGAGCTCGGAAAGGGCGTCGCCATCATCCCCACCCTCGGAAACGAGCACTACCTCAAGTCGCAGGCGTCCTCGACCGTGGCCACCAGCATCATCGCCGGCACTCCTCTGATTGTGACCCAGACCTTCCTCAACGCGCACTCGCAGATCCCTCTCGACGCGATCTGGGTCCAAGGTGACGACGAGACCGAGCTCGAGGTTCTGCAGCGCGTGGGACACTTGCCCGCGACCGAGTGGCAGCGGAAGAAGGACAGCGTGCTACAGCTGCGCAATCATCTGATGGCAGAGAACATCCAGCGCAGCGCGCGTCTGCTCAACATCATCAACGACAGCAAGAAGCCCGAGAAGACTCTGAAGGTCCGGCCTGATGTCGGCGAGGCTGAGAAGAGCGTGCCTACTTTCCAAAACTGATTTGTTACTCTAGCGTGTGAATTCTTGTACTCTATATTTTTTTCTGGCTGATTTTCATTTAATATCCTTGTCTTGATATCTTGATTTGCGATTGTTTTTGTTTCATTTTATTTTTGGGTGTTTATACATTCTTGCTCCAGTCTAGTCTATGGGATAGTGCGACAGGCTGCGACAGTTGATAGAGCATGACGGTGTTTGTTCCATAAATTTTGTCAATCCATTTTTGTTTTTGCTGTTTTGGTTCTTGCTTGTATGCTTAGGAATTTTCAATGACCATTGATCTCACATCATTCATTGATCTCGTATCATTCATCGACCCCCGTATCATTCCACAATGACGTCAAGTGTCTTAGCATTGTTAGCCATGTACAGTTTTGACATCTGCGCAATGCGCGAGTCAAGCTGATACCAATAGCGAATACCAAGCGCAGCGGTGGGATCTGATTGCGGGAGATTGAAGGTGTAACAAGTCTCGGGAAATAGTACTGAAAACATCGCCAAAAGTAATGCGAAACAAAACCGTCGAGAGCGAAGGTCAAGATGTTGTGCGGTTGTGACACGGCTGAGAAGACAGAAGTGGGTTGATCATTCATGTATTTGGAAATCAGATAGCCATCCGAGATTTGTGACGTTTCAGCCGGGATGGCAGATGTAGGACAGAGAAGACCATGCTGGATGCGGGAGTACGGGACGGGGCCATGCTCGACTCGGGAAGATAGATGGGATACCTAAGCAGACACCGAGCGCGTTGTTGAACTGATGATGAACTAGTACGTGCGGGAGATATGGCGTGGACTGAACCGGCAATTGTTATTGCGTCGGTTTTGTAGACCGTGTACTCTAGGTATGCTCATACGGTTGGAGATTTGATAAGAATTGCGGCTATCCTGCCCAGTCAGTAAAAATCAAGAGTTTGCAAAAGATGAGAAAATAAAGAGATGTAAAGAGATGAAGGTGATACTTTGATACTGCCTTCATCTATCATAGATGAGATCATAAAAAAGCAGATGTGAAATAGCAATCAATCAAAAAAAAAAACAAATAGGATGCTCATCAAAACAAGAAACGACAAAAATTGGCGCAAGTCAAGACATAAGAACCGACGCGCAGCCACGATTAGATGAAGAGAATGAGGAGTATAAGCAGGGACCTTTTTATTTCGTGGCCGGGTAGCTTTGCCGCGAGCCGAGTTCGTCGTAGCGTTGGGAGGTTTGGCCATTGAGTTTTGTAGTTAGGGGAGATGTTTACTGACGGCGGCGGTGAGCGGTAAACCCTAGTTAGTCAAGTAAAAGACATTCCTGGGGAAAAGGACAGACAAAGCAGACAACAACTGAAGAATTAAGCATAAGACAGATCAATGGAATCTCGAGGGCAGCTGATTGTTGTCAAAACTCGAGTCATCCACGTACTCGACTTTCCTTAACGCGGCCCGTACGCACCTTGTAGTTTATAAGGGGGACAGGGCATTCGCATACGCCCGGTCCATTCTTCCTTCCGGTCCCGACATAGACCACGAAGGAAAAGGGGGGGAAGAACATGCCGATTCAAAAGCTCGAGTTCAATCTCGGGTTTCTGCCTGGAATGTGCATATCTCAGGAACCTGAAGAATAAGGACTTGAATAACGAATATAGTGCCCGTTGATTGCGCGCACAGGCAGTTGGGGCAGGCTTGATCAGCGGTAATCTACGCTTCGTGGGGTCCTCAGCCAATCCACTCGGGCGACAAGGATCTGAGCATCACAAGTGTATCTAGCTGCCGTTTAAAGTGGCTGCTAGGGCTGTACCGTATACCGCCCAGTTCGGTATCAGCGCGTACTTCAATCTAATGACAACAAACCAGGTCAAATTGCTTGGTCTTTCTCTATTTCTAATTTTCCCAGGGCACGTTCTCTCTATCCTTCCCACTTTGACCTAGCTTAGTTCGGAAGTCATCCAAATAAAGCCACAAAGCTCAATCTAAGCGTACTCTCGCTCTTGAAACTGAAAACGATAAAAAAGATAGGGAATGAAGAAAGCAATGACTGAAGAAAAATATCGAGCTGTATCTGCGTGAATAACGAGATAATATGGTCGCAGTATCTCAGTCACTCGAAAAGCAGTGTTCAACAATGACAATCATGTTGAAATAGGAAATTAGTATTAATGTACAATATACACTCCAAAGTCTTGTTTCATATAATACACGGAGAATCACCACCCAAAACGCCCAGACTTTGCCTTCCGAGCCCCCCTCGGAATCGTCAAGTAACAAATTCACAATGCAAAGACGCGGTATCCGAGAGCGGACTGTGCTGTTGGTTGCAAGACTCGTACCACCCTATCCTCACGGCTCCGGCTATCGACGCGACACGCTTTGCGCTACACTAAGTCCATATAGCTGTCAAAAGCGTACATCCTTTGTAGAGACTGTTGCTGTTGTTGTTGTTGATGCTGTTGTTGTTGTTGTTGATGATGATGTTGTTGTTGATGATGTTGCTGCTGCTGCTGCTGCTGTTGTTGTGGCGGTTGTTGCTGCTGCTGTTGTAAATCCCCAGAACTCATATCGATGCTCAAATACTCTGGTACCAACGCCAACGGCATAGGCACGTACTGCGGCATCCCTGGATCGTACATCGCCTCGCTCGACATCTCTCTCGTTCCCGCGCCCTGCGCTCCAAACACCTCGTTGATCAGCCGTGCGTTGTAACTCTCAAACTCGCGCCGGACCGCATGCGTGATATCCATCTCATGCACGGCTGGTTGCAAGTTGTCGAGACCGCCTGCGCCTGGCGCGTGGCCGGTCGGTGGCTGTGGCTGCGGCTGCGGTTGAGGTTGGTTGGAAATTCCTTGTTGTGGAATTCCAGAATAGACGGATGGAGGTTGTTGCTCCTTTTGCTGTGGTCCGGCCGGCATGTTTGAATATAGATCCGGGGGGTGACCGGATGCAGTCGTGCGCGTACTGCTCATGAAGTACAGACCCGAAAAACTGTTGACGTCAAAGGGTATATTCCGCATCAGTTGCTCGACCTCTTCTCCAGCCTGCGGAATCTGCTGATTTGTGCTTTCCTGCTGCTCGCTCTGTCTCTCTATATGATTCAAAATCGCCGAAAATCTATCCAAAACCTCCGCGCACTGCGATCCAAAAGCCCACTGCAGCGCTCCAGCCAGCAAATTTGCCTTCGCCGTCTCGAGCGCGCTCATCACCGCACGAGTCGAGTACAGCCGGATGTTGTACCGTTCGCAGGCAAAGTGCGCCCAGAGCAGCGTCAACGCGGCCGTGAATACACCCCGGAGAGCAATGAACGTCGCCTGGAAGTGCGAGAACGAGCGGCTGAGATGCGCGTAGAGCTCGATCGTCGCGTACGCGCTGTTTGCGCATACAACCGCCGCCGACGGCGACGGCACTGGAAACGCGGGCGAGGAGCGGTAGAGCAGCATCAGGTGCTCGTAATGCTCAATCTCGAGCCTCATCCGCGTGCGCTCGGGGTTGATTGTGATCCGCGGGATCGCGGCCTTCCAGTCGTCCAGCGCCTGGTGCAGTTGGTCGAGAACCGACATGTCGCCGCCGCCTGTCGCGGGCGCGGCGCTGTCTTCCGAGCTGTTCTTGGGTGTGTCGATCGCGATCAGGATCTTGCCTGTCAGCAGGCGAAGCTTGACTAGATGCAGCGCAATCGGCATATCGGACAGCACAGGTTCGTCGCTGCTGTCGGCTTCAGGACTGGGGTCCTGAGCCAGATCGAGGAAAAACTGCACGTCAATGTCGCGATCCTGCAGCGTCAACGGACGGCCGAGCACGGTTGCCAAAATACGGTCGAGGGAATATGCGACCCAGAAAACGCGCTTTCGGATCTCCTGGTTGATCAAGTTAAGGTTGTCGCACGATGACTGACGATGGAGACCAAGTGCAACGGCCATGCGCATCGCATTGCCAAGACAAAGCCACGAAGATGAACCCTTAGGATCATAGAATGAGTAAACTGTGAACAGAAGCAATGTACGTATGGAGCGGATATTGTCGCGGAACAGTCCAAAATCCACACATCGAACCGCGTGGTTGAAGTATAACCGCTGCTTGTCGCGCTGGCCAAGTGCTGCTGCGCCAATCGCGCAAGTTAGAAAGCAGACCATCCGCCATGAGGGAAGAGATCTGACCGAAGCGCCCATGACATTAGGCTCATACGAGTTCCGGAGATAGATCAGGTAAGTTGGGGGAGTCAGGATGGGGAAGTGTATCAGCTCTTCAAACGCGGCGACAGATAGCGTCATTGCTTCCTCGAAAGAAGGATAAAAGTCATCGTTGATGACAGTACGTAGGACCGCATCATGAGGTTTGTTTGCGTTTTCTTCGGTCTTGATCTTCGGCGGCATGGTGCTCGTAGGTTTGAAAGGCGGCGTGGGCGCCAGTGGCGACGAATGTATCGGCACCGTCGTCGTTGGATGGTTCTCCGGTAATGTAAGACCACTGGACGCACCTGTCCCTGGACTAGCAACAAAGTCTGTGCTGGCGTCGTCGGTAGGCGACTTCATATAGCTTCCTCGTAGTTCGGCCGCGGTAGGAGTCGACGGCCGGTCGATGCCAAATTCCCGGAGGATCAGGTTCAGATTAGTTGCGATAGCAAGACCAGACGATGGTCCGATGTACCTTGGCTCTGCTGGCGCGTCTATCGCCGTCGAGCTGTGCTCGGCAGCGGTGCCGAGCGACAAAAACCCGACATGCGCAGCGAGCTCGTCCATAGTCTCCATCGGGTTCCGGAAGGCCTCGTAGTAGTAATGCGCAGGACCGACGCGGTACTCTTCTATCGGGGGAGACGTCCGTATTGGTTGCCCGCCGCTGGTGCTGGTTGACTGCTGCTGCTGTGTTTGTGAGAAACTATCGTCCTGCGGATGCGTTCGTCGGGTACTGAATTGCAGAGGTGTGTTTGTGGCCACCTCGGTGATGTCCATGTCTGGGAAGCTTTTAGAGATAGCCTGTTCAAGCCAAGAAAGACGCTCTTCGAGAGCAGAAACGTAGCCTCGGGGAAATAGCACGGCGCCCGAGCGATTCGAAGCGTATTGGCAGCGCACCGATGCTTTTACACAGGCAGAGCACTCTGGGTATTTACCATCACACTGCAGAAAAACAAACAGCCGCCACAGATCAGCAACAGCTCTTAAAGATCCACTAATAACTAAAAAAAAATAGAAATCACTTGATCACTCACTTTTGTCCGGCGGCGATGACAGCGCTCGCAGGCTTGTATGGTTCGTCGCACACCGGGCGAACGCGACGAAGTTGGGGTGTCAGGACTATTGGTATTGACCACGCCACTACCAGTTCCGTTGCTCTTCAACGACGACTGAGTCGAGCTGGCGCTACCGCTGCTCGTAGGCGCTACCCGAAAGACGTGGATCTGGTCGCGGACGTCTGCCCCCAGCGAGCGCGAGACGGCACTCGGGGAGGAGGAGCGAAAGACGCTGGTCGAGAAGGTCGGGCCGGCGTACATCTGCTGCGCATACGGATCCTGGTCGGCCGCTTCAGAGGACCCCGACGAGGCCGGCTGGTCGGGGGTTGTGGATGAGGATATGGGGTGCATTTCGCTCCGTGGGGTGCTCTCGGTCGAGAGAGTCGACAATCAAGATTGCCTATCTTTTTCATCTCTGCGCGCAGCTCTCCCAAAACCCAAAAAGCCGCACGCCACAACACAATAGTCATTATCCCGCCTGCTAACTAAGTTAACTAATCTGGGACATTATCTACTTCCAAGCAAATTTATGAAATGTCGTAAATGTTTAATAGAAGAACCGCGTCTTGGCTTTGTTGTTGCTATTACTCCCGCCTCTAATCATCGCCCCACAGATTAAAATCGAAATATGCCCGCGGCCACTCCAACCACGGCTCCCAGTCTCTTCCCAAGATCTTACAAATCATCCGCACGTCATTCTTCACCCTCAGATCCTGCCACCAAACTTTTGTAAAACTCATGACCGCCAGATAATGCACGTAGATCGCGAGCGGCACCAGCTCGTGGTTCTTCAGCTTCTGGATGAACTCGTCCGAGCACACGAACGGCCACGTCATGATATACCGAATCAGACCCGCGCCGAGCTCCACAAACTCGGTATCGTTGAACGTAATCAGCTGCTCGAGCACGCGAATCGGGCGCTCGCACATATACGTCAGCTCTCGTTGATTGAGCTCGGTCGCGCGCTTGTCAATCAGGTTGGAGAGGTACAGCAGCGAGCGCTCGCCGACGGGCAGGAAGTGGATGTGCGGGTTCCAATGCAGCGAGGTGTGTCCTTCGTTCATATTGTCGGACTCGATCACCACCGCTTTGATACCCAGCAGAAGCGGCAGCCAGCGGTCGAGCGAGACCGCCCGGTTGTTTGAGTACTCGCCGACTTCGACGTACGCGAACGCGTCGACAGAGACTAGAGCGCCGGCGATGATGAGTGCTTCGAGCATCGTCGGTGTTTTCTCCGTCACATCGCTGACAATGTTGTTTCGGAACGACTCAATCGCGCGGTGGCGGTAATAGACCGCAATGTTCTCGTACGAGATGTCGTTTCGAAGATACTGCAGATGCGTAGCCGATAGCGCGAGGATCGAGTACATCATGAAATCAAACTCGCACGCCATCGCAGGCACTTCGTGCGTCCACATATAAACCGAGCGCGGGTTGAAATTGTTTGAGAGAGACTTTGAGGTGTTGAGAATATAGTTTGTCAAGAGCGCCAACTGCTGCGTCGCGATCGCGTTGCCAAACGGCTGGCCGAGAACGGTGTGAGGCGACGGGATCGCAGTCAGGTTTGGCGCCTCGCCGTTTGCGTTTCGTGGTGCGCCCGTGTTTGAGGCGGCGTCGAACGCGGGCGGAGTCGAGAATGTCGTGGCCGACGAGCGCGCAGAGAGGCCGGCTGCAAAGGAGGAGTTTGGCGTGACGCCGCCGGCGAAGAAGCGGGTTGCTAGGCCGGGAAGGACGCCTGGGACAGGGATCGAGATTGGGATCTGCGGCGGGCGTTGGTACTGTGGGGGTGGTGCATTGGAAGTCGAAGATAAAGAAGAAGAAGGAAGGGAGGTGTCGGCAGTGGTCGCGGCCGCAGTAGCGGCTGCTGAGGTGGCTTGCGACGAGATGAACTGGTTGTGCATATGAGAAGGAACAGGAGACGCGTGCACAATGACAGGCGACGAGGTCACTGAACTCCTCCCGCTCGCTCCGCCTCCAGCACCGGCTCCTCCACCTCTGCTACCAGGAGTACCGCCAGACGCAAACGAGCAGGTCACATTATGGCGAACACAGTTGCGGCACTGCGGACGCGTCTCGTCGCATTTAATCTTGCGGCGCTTGCATATCAGGCACCCGTTGCGAGACTTGACGTGCGAGCGACGGCCAATTGACGAGCTGGCCTGATTAAGCAGGTTCTCGATCGCAGCAGCCTGACGCGCGCGGGCGGCGTCGCCGCCGGGGTTGAGGTTCTCGTTGTTGCTGCTGCTGCTGCTGCCGCCTTGGGAGGATTCGCTCGGCTGGTGGTGCAAGTGCTGGCTGTATAAATCTTTGCTGTCGGGGGGTTTGCTGTCGATGTCATTGTCGTTGCTGTTTCCGTCCAGACTCTCGTCATCTTCAGAGGTCTCCGGTTCGGACTGGGAGCCGTTGCCGTCTTCGAGCACCACGCGTTTGCGCTTCGCGCGATTGTCCTTCATCGCGGTCGGATTAGGAGCAGGGACGACCGGGGCGCGGGTGTCTGAGAGCACGGAAGCAGGCTTTGAGAGCGGGTTATTCGCGGCCGTGAAGCCGTTCTCGGGCGTAACGGGCATATACTCCACGAACGTGCTGGGGGTCGACGGAACTTGATCGAGCAGGGCGACGATGGCGCGGAGGAGATGTTTTTGGGCGCAGCGAGCTCGGAATCTGACACGAGAAATCACCCGAGCCGGATACGAGTACGGATGACTAAGCGAGGGCTTTGTGTGTTGCAGATATGCCATATTCGGATCATTGTCGGAGTTAGAGACGGACTTATGATAACGGGGAGTGGGAACCTAATCGCAACCTTCCCCGGATTTGATTGTGAATAGAGATGGTTTGATCAGCCCATATGATTTGATCAGTTGTTGTGTAAAAGATATCTTGCTGCTCGAGCAATCTATAGTCAATCCTCTTATCCACCCTCAGATCCGCCTACAGAGTCACCGGCGTCAGCGGCTTCCCGCTCTCCAGAAAGCTCCTGATGTTCCCCAGCACGAGCTTTTCTCCAAACTTGACCGTTCCCACCGAAAACCCCCCATAATGCGGCTGGATCGTGACCCTGTCGCTCTTTCTAAAGTACTCGTTGATATTGGGCTCGGTGGCAAACACGTCGAGGCCCGCGCGACTGATCTTGCCGCTCTCGAGCGCACGGATGAGCGCCTCCTCGTCGACGATCGCGCCTCGGGCGGTGTTGACGAAATAGCTGCCGTCTTTCATCAGCGCAAACTCGCGGTCAGAAATCATGTTTTTTGTTTCCGGCGTCAGCGGGCAGTTGATTGAGAGCACGTCGCACTTCTTGAGCAGCTCATCCAGCGAGCTGTAGTACTTTGCTCCAAGCTTCTCCTCCACATCGGCCGGGAGCTGTCTCCGGTTATAGTACGCGATATCCATGTCAAACACTTTCAGTTTGCGGGCAACTTCGCGTCCAATGTCGCCCATGCCGACGATACCCAAGACTTTACCCTGCGGATCGTCCATCAGACCCAGCCCGTCCCGCCAGCGTCCTTCGCGTGCTGTTTTTTCCGCCAGTGTCGTTCCGCGCAACGCTGCGAGCACGAGGAAAACATGCATGTCCGCCGTACCTATTGTCGGTGTTCCCGGCGTGTTTGTGTATAACGCGCCGTGGCTCGTAATCCACTTGACGTCGACGGCGTCGTAGCCCGCGCCGCCGCCGGCGAACATGGGGCATGGCATGACAGGCGCCAGGAGATCTTCGTCGAAGGGCCGGTAGTGCGTCCAGCCAAATAGCCAAAAACATGCGTCGTAGGGAGTGGGTGAGGCCTTGCATACCGACGCAATTGCGGATTTTGTGGCTTCGCGGGTGGTGGGGAGGACGTAGTCGACGTCGTAGTTGGCTTCGAGGTAGGCCATCTCTGAGAGGGCGAAGCGCGGTTTGCCGATTGCCAGGATGCGACGTCGGACGGACATTGCGTCAAGGAGTTATCAAAAAAGTGTAGAATGTGTAGAAGGAGTAGGAGAAGGAGAACAAAGAAGACCAGGCAGAACAGTTGGAGATGTTTGCACCGCTATCGTTGGCTCGTTAGCTGCAGGTGGTTCCTTAATTCCGAGGCGACGCGCACATCAACAAACCCGCTGCACGAAGCACAGCAGGCGTCCGCAGCGCATTGCTCGACGCGCAGACACATACACCCGGTCTGCACTTCAGCTCTTCGTTTCACCATTGACACCTCCACAAAGCCTCGTCCTGCCGCCCTCAACTCTCTGCGCGTTCCCTATATCCGATGGAGACAGTCAGCCAGCGCACCCTTGCCCTGGGTGTGGACCACGGCCGCCTCGATTAGGGCGCGAGCGAGAGCAATTTGATCTCCCAATTTGTGACCAAAAGACACGAGCAAACAGAGCGAGCAGCAGCAGCAGCACTCGTCGCGAACAGATCTCTCGCGGGAACGCCCTCTTCTCCTCCTCAAGGCGCGCGGTGATTCTGGAGCAGCCCACGAGCGATGGCCGACCGCGACCCGTCTCGGCAGCTCGCGCCGTCGAGCAACCTGAGGAGCGACGGCAGCAGCAACACCATAAGGCAACCGATCTACATCCCGCCTGGACCCTTTACGCCTCTGCAGGTCTCCAAGAGCGTGAGTTGCGCCAGTCAAGTGCGCTGTGCATCTGTGCGTGTTCTTACTGTATTCTCTGTTCTCTAGACAATCACCTTGCCCTCGATTGCTGCGTATATGCCCTCACCACCTCCGCCCCCGCCTCACCATCACCAGCTACAGCCGTCGTCGGGGTACATCTCCTACTCGATCCCGACCCCGAACTCGATCTCTTCTCCGGGGAGCGCAGACACGCCGACTCCGACCAGTACTTCTCGTCTTCTTTCCTCGGCATCGGCATCGCCTCAGGTATCGCTGCAACCACAACCACCACCACCTCCTCCTCCTCCACCGCAGTCGATATCGTCACAGCATCCACATCCTCCGACCTCGGCACAATACCAACAATCTGCGCAGGCCGTGCAAACAATACCCACGTCGCTGCCTGCGAAGAGGGAGGCGGACTCGAACCTACAGCTGCCGCAGAGTAAAAAGAAAACCCATTTCAAGTCGCGTACCGGCTGCTTTGTGTGCAAGCGACGCAAGATCAAGGTCTGTTTCTACATGATTTTCTTTTAATTATAAACTGCTGACTGACTGGCTGTGTAGTGCGACGAAGCCCGGCCTCGATGTAAGAACTGCACAAAACACGGAGCAAGCTGTAAGTACGCCGACGACGACAACAGGTCAGCGTCACCTAGCAACGACCTTGGCTACGCAGGTGCCGATGTCTCGTCCGCCAGTCTTCTCGCGTCGCTCCCGATCCCACTTTTCAACGCCCCCGACGACCCCTCGAGTGTGCCGACTGCACAGGCAGAGCTAAACATGCAGCATCTCTCGCTGATGGTCCACTTCTTTGCGCGCGTGCTTCCCCAGCTAACGCGGTTCCAGAACCCCAAGAACCGCGAGATGTGGATGCACGAGGCACCTGCGTCGGCGTGCAGGTTCCCGTTCCTGATGTACGCCAACCTCGCGATCGTGTGCTCGCACATCATCGTCACTGCGACGTGTCCGCCGATCCTGGCAGACGGCGAGACCGAGTCACCTGAAGATCGAAATCACCGGCGCAGCGCGCGCAGACACTACGAGACGCTGTGCGCATACTACCGCCAGCGCGCGTTTGAGCTCTTCCGCACAGCGATCTCGGGGGACACAAATGACCTCGAGCTACTACGCGCGGCGCTGTTTGCTTCAGTCATTCTCTCGCTCGACGGCTTCTCGTACCCGGAAGGCAGCAGCGTGCTGTCTGATCTGGAAGAAGACTCGGCCAATGGAGACAAGAAGGGCGCACGCGGCCGGGTTGTTGATGCCCGAGAGCAGAAGATTGTGTCGATTGATCTCTGGCTGCCGCTGCATTTCGGCATTGGCGCGTTCTTGAGGGAGTTCACATCCAGAGGCATATCGCACAGTGAGATTCACGAGTCGTGGCAGATGAATTGGGATATTTTGCCTCTTGGAAAACCGTACTTCAAGTACCTGAACACGCTGATCGAGCAGCAGTACGATGCCGCGACTGTCGAGGATTGCAAGCAAGCAATTAATATCCTCGAGCGCATCCTGACGCTCCAGATGAGCGCCGAGGCCGCGCTGAACACGCCAAACCCGTCATCTGCCGCGACCGAGAACTGGATCGTGATGACGACGGGCGGGTCGATTGGCAGATACCTGCTCGCGTGGCCGTACAAATGTCCGCCGAGTTACCTACAGCGGCTGCGCGAGCACGACATCCCCAGCTTGATTGTCTATCTACATTTCCTGAGCATCATGCGCGTCACGCTCTGTCCGCAGAATTGGTGGGCGATGGTGACCACGCGGCAGGACATTCTGGCGATCGTGGCCGCCCTGCCGGGTGTCTTTGGCGACGGCGGCGGGAGTGGTAGTAGTGGTGGTGGTGGTTCGCACGGGCGAGAGCGGTGGAAGGAATGGTATGAATGGCCGAAGGCGCACTTGGATTTTGATATTTGTATGGAAGTAGGATGATTTATTGTTTTTTTGGGGGTTTTCATTTTCCTTTCTGTCTTGATCTTTGGTTTGTATACTACTTTGTGCTCTGTACATATCGCCTACTTTGCAGAATATCTATCACCATCTTGGATACAAATCTCCCGAAACAGACAGCCCTCCCAAATCAGTATTGCTGTACCCTACAGTCAAAGTGTAGGGTTCGTGAACTCTAAGCACAAAACGCAGTCACGCTTAAGATTTGACTGGGACCTTTGCTGGGACGCAGCGAGGCCGAAAACCCTCACCCAAATCAAGGTTTGGACGGTCGAAAGCGCAGCGCTGGAATCGAGTTGCTCTTGTTTGGATATCTCGCAGTACACTACTCCACAGCAACAATGGGTAAGTAGACCTGATTATTGCATAGGAGTGCTTAAGGAAGAAGAGAAGATCAAGGATTTGTTGCTGACTGTTTTTGTTCTCTAGTTAACATTCCCAAGACTCGACGAACATACTGCAAGGGCAAGGAGTGCCACAAGCACACTCAGCACAAGGTCACCCAGTACAAGGTACGGCGCGCTCATATTTGCACGAGACGGGATCAGGATTGCAGGAGATTTGAAAGAGTGGTTTATTGACTGTTTGGTTGTTTGTATAGGCTGGCAAGGCTTCGCTGTACGCCCAGGGAAAGCGCAGATACGATCGTAAGCAGAGAGGTTATGGTGGTCAGACCAAGCAGGTTTTCCACAAGAAGGTGCGTTATACTCATTATTCAGAAGATTAGGAAGAGTTCGGTTTCTAATCAGTGTTTTCACATCTACAGGCCAAGACTACCAAGAAGGTCGTCCTCCGCCTCGAGTGCACCGTCTGCAAGACCAAGGCCCAGCTCCCGTTGAAGCGATGCAAGCACTTCGAGCTCGGTGGTGACAAGAAGCAGAAGGGACAGGCTCTCCAGTTCTAAGCGCTTTACCTCGCTTTCCGTTCTCTCCTTTTCAACATCCAGCACGAAAAAAAAAGCTCAATCCTCTTTCTTTTCTCAGTATTATATCCATTTTCTTATTTGTTATGTCTTGGCTTTGATCACCTTCAGCACAAACGCGATTTATTTCCCGACGGTATCTCGATTTAGGAACCGGGATTGTTGGTCAGCGGGCAAAATGTACAGATAGAAAGATAATAATTATGAACGAGATTAAAAAAAGACACTATTTACATACAGCCAGCGAAAAGAGCAGTTTCTCCCAAACCTAAGCAAACCGACGCCATTGATACGTAAGAGATACACAGTATTTATTTTGAAACCCCGTACAAGTAATTACATTGAACACAAATGACCTTATTAAATGATCTCTCACCGCGTCTCCGCCAACGCCTCGATGCTCAGAAAGTCATCGCCAACCTCGCACGCTACCGAAGACGATTCGTCAGCGACCGTGGATGCAACTGCCGATGCCGTAACAGCACTACTACTGCTGCTACTGCTGTCGCGCGCGTTATCAAGAGCAGCTGATGAGGCGGCAGTAGATAAATTCTGACTGGTTCCGTCGTTGTCGTCGTGATCGAAAACCGGACTGCGATCGCGATCTCCAAGACCGTCCGTCAAGCTCCGCCTATGCATCGAGCCCTGGATTATCCTGCGTAGTGTGGACGAGGATGATGAAGAGGCAGGAGCAGAGGATGTAGATTCATTAAAAAGCGGAGGGGATCCTCTCATTCTGCGCAAAGGCGGCTCATTAGAACCACTGGGGTCCGTAGATGCCGGTCGTGGAAAGATCAACGGGTGCTCCTCAGATCTGGGAACCTGCGGAGCTGCTAGCGAGCCACTACGAGACGCGGCACCAAGACGAAAGAGCCTATGCCGATGCCGCGAAGCCGACGACGAGTTTGGCAAAAGCGTGCCTGAGTACGTATCCGCCAGATCGACCGCCGAGCGCTGCTGCCGTTCTCTCTCGCGCTCGGTCTCCGATCCTTCGCTCTCATCTCGCCGGTCAGGGTTTGTCGGGTCGACCTGTAGACTCCGTAGCAGTAGTCGACGGGCTTGTAGTTCCAGATGTGTGTTCTGGTCGCGCAATTGGCGCTCCGAGCGTACTTCCAAGAGTCTCCACAGCTCGCTCTCGTGCTCGTGCTCCTCGGGCTGCTGCTCGGTTGGTTGTGAGGAGGAGGAGGGCTGCTGCTGAGAGTGTAGTCGTTCACGCACTTCCTGCCTTCGCGCGGCCATTAGCAGTCGTAACCCGCGCTCGTGCTCGTTTTCTTCGGCTGCCGCTGCGGATGTCGACGTTGCAGCGTTATCACCGTTTGACAGGTTGAGCATGCTATTCTGATGTACCCGTAAGAATCGCGAGCGCTGGCGGCGCAGGTATTGGCGACGCAGACCGTCTGTGTGCTGCGCGGAAGGTAAAGAGAGATGTGATGAGGAGGAGGAGGGACCGGGTGCGGACGAGTCCGAGGTCGCGAGAGAGGATGAAAGTGTTGATGTGAGCGATGACGAGGGGAGCTGGGGCGGAGACTGCGAGCGATGGGGGTGGAAGGGCGGGAGAGGTATTCGTCGGCGGCGACGGCGCTGGAGGGCTGAATCGCGCGTGGATGCGAGTACTGATGCGTGACGAGATGAGGTGGAGGAGGTAGAGGAGTAGCGGTTGTTGAACAGGGTTAGGAAGGATTCGCTTGAGGATGGCTGCGACGAGGAGGAGGGAGTGCTGGGAAAGTCATGGGCGTCATCGTCTGGCATGGTATGACCATGGTCTGTCTCGCCACGGTCGTCGTTTGTCAACGGACCGTCGTCTAATAATCTCGGCACGTAGTATCTGTACCAAGCGCTAGGAACAAGCGATGAGGACGCCGAGTCGTCGTCAACATCACGTCGTGACCGTGGCTCTAGTCTTTCGAGTGCGGAGTTGATATCGTAGCGCGACCGTCTTCTTGAAGAGAGGGCGTCGTCGTCCATGTTGACGTCGTCGTTGTCTGCTTCGTCCTCGTCGTCCTCGTCGCCGTCTTCGTCGGGGAAATGCAGAAAGCTGAGCATGCTGCGACGGTTGATGCTGCTGGCCAAACGAGAGCCTTCGGTTTCGGGCTCGGCATGACGGGGAGAGGAAGGTGAGGAAGCTGCGGAGAGAAACTCGAACGGGTCAGGATCAACTTCGGCAGCGGCAGCGACAGCGGCAGCAGCAGATTCAGGCTGCGAGTCGCGCGTACGCCAAGTGCTGTGGATGTGGTCTGCAGAGGAAGAAGTGAAGGAGGAGGAGGAGGAGGAGGAGGAGATGCCGTGGGTCTCTATGAAGCGGCGGACAGAGCCTGCGGGGAGGATACTGCGCTGGCGCGGCCGCTCGATGCGGGAGCCGAGCTCGCGGCGGCGACATTTGAAGGGGTCGCGGGAGAGCACGGGCTCATAGGGCTGGGGAGAAGGAGAGCGCCATAGAGGGAGGCCCATTGCGCATTACGTGAAGAGGAGGAGGAGGAGGGAAGAGGTGATGGTGTTGCCCGCGAGAGAGGCTGGCTGGTGGATATCTGGGTGGGAGAAGAGAAGAGGACGATGGCCAGCAAGGGTATGTTAGTCATGGCAAAGTAATATAATGTGTAAATGCTGAGTCAGTGTCATGAGTAAGCAATGACATAACAAATTAAAACTGTAAATGCGGGCGATGCAGGCAGGCGCAGAGGACCCGTGAAGGCTGCAAAGGGGCTGAGATGCGATGGGAGCACTTGGAAGAGGCGCAGTAGGAAACAGAGAGAGAAGAGGTATTAGATGAATATATAGACAAGTACATAGACAATAAAATACACAACAACAACGAAACACACACAAAACAACGCGTAGACACCAAAAATACCCAACTCAATCTGCTCTCCGAAGCAACAACGCGTGGCGCACGCGTCGAACAAGGTTTTAAGGGTCAGGGCCTCTTTTGGCTCTGGTTCTCCTTCGCTCGAAACCACTTTCGGTTGATTCTCTTCACCACTTCTTCTCTTTCTCTTCTATATCTGTTCTTCTCATCAGCTATTCTCTTCATTATCTATTCTTCTTCTTCCTCTACTGCTTTTTATTCACCAGCACACCCCAACACACACACACACACACACACACATCCATGCTCTCCTTCATATCCTCCTTCTTCTCCTCCTCCTCATCCTCCTCCTCCGCCCCCTCCCGCCTCGTCCCTACCCCCTCCTCCGTCGCCCTCGACGCAAACCCCTACGGCACCTCCACCCGACCCGTCTACTCCCCCGGAATGCGCACTCTCTCCGCTGCCTCCATCCCCGCCGCCTCCCCTTCCCCCTCCGCACACCACACCATCCAGCTCCAGGACTTTTCCGACGGCGCCCCTCCCGCTCCCCCCGTCTCCCTCTCGTGGGCCCGCATCTCCCGCTGGGCTGAGAAAAACTACCCCGAGCTCTCTGACAACATCGGCGACCCCACCCACCCATCTGACCTCGCCGTCCTCGAGCGTGCTATCGACTGCTCCCTCCCTGCCGACGTGCGCGCCTCGTTCCTCGAACACGACGGCCAGCAGGAAGGCGGCAAGCCCTGCGGTCTCATCTACGGAAACGCCATTCTCAACACCGACGAGGTCGTCACCACCTGGGAAACCTGGCGCGTCATCGCCTCCACCCTCGACGGCAACAACACGCTGCAGCAGCAGCTCTCCGACGACGGCCTCCCCGGCCCTTCGTCGCGTCAACCACCGTCCGCGTCCCCTTCGCGATCCGCGACCTCTGGAATCGGTCCCCAAACATCCGTTCCTGCTCGCGCCATCCAGCCCGTGTTTGCCTGCACAGGCTGGCTTCCGCTCGCCAAGGATTTCTGCGGAAACTACATCGGCGTCGATCTCGCCCCCGGCCCGGCCGGCCACTGGGGCCAGGTCATCCTCTACGGCCGCGAGTTTGATCGCAAGTACGTCGTCGCGCGCTCGTGGGGCCACTTCCTTGCCATGCTTGCCGATGATTTCGAAGAAGGCCGATGGTCTGTCGACGAGGATTCGGAAGAGATCTGGTACGTGTCCAACGGCCGCATGCACTCCTACATTGACGTTCTCAAGCGCCGCGTCGAGCGCGCGGTCGCATACTCGCAGCGCAAACAGAGCAAGGCTCCTGCTGCCACCGCATCGTCCCCCATGTCCAAGAGCTTGAGCGCAGACTCGCATCCTAGCCGGAGATCAAAGCCCGCGCCGCTCAGTCTGCACGCGCCATCTGCGGGCGGCAGAGTCCCTGGCCTGACGTCCTCGTCCGAGTCCAACCTGCTTGCCGACCCGACCGTTCAGCAACCTGTCTCGCCTGGCGTTGTCTCTGCTCGTTTGCCGCGGATACCGAAGCGCGCTGCTGTTGCGGGTTCGCTGCCTGATGATAAAAACCTGACAGATGACTCTGAGGCATCGACTTCATCTACCCTGTCCACCGCCGACACCACAGTCACCGTCCCCGTCAAGTCTGAAGAGCCATCAACCGCCGCAGAAAGTTTACAAGAGGAAGACGTGTCGACACCGACTGTCGAGCAAAACAAGCAGCTAGCCACAAGTTCGGACTAGATACCGCCGCTGCATGACGCGAGTCTCTTTTTTTTTTATTTCCATTTTATATCCATTTCTATTTTTTCACAATCAGCAGTGATAGCTTGGGGATAGCTTGAGTGGTTTTTGTACTATTTGTAATCTGTTTTGCCTGCGTTTATGTTCTTGTATCGTTTTGCTCACATGTTAGTCCTTGCTGTTATCGCGTTTTGTCATCTTTTTCTTCTTGTCTTTTTTTTCATTTTATCGGGTATTCATCTTGTTCCATCTCTCTCCTTGCTTTCACTTTTCTATATACCTTTCCCCCCTTTGTCCTATAAAGCTCATATCAACGCACCGCCAATAGAGGTTTTCTTTTCTTCTTATTCTTTTATTATTCTGCGCATGAAGCTTTCTGATACCGTTTGTCTTCTTCCTTTGTATTTATTTCCGCGCGCTCTTATTATTTTCTAGTATTTGATGGGTGTTTTGTTAAAATTTTTGTACTTTAATTTTATTTTACCTATCTACATCTTTTCCCCATGCGTAGACAGTCGTAACCTGATATAAACAAATTTTGAGAACGAGGGTGCGGCCTACCGCCACAGCAGCGCTCTATAATTCCACCTCCACGGCGGCGACAACGGTCTGACTCCACCATACAGTCTCGGAAACACGTCTTCGAAAAAGAAGTAGACATGTCCGACCGCGATACCGAGCAGATCGCCCATCGGCAGCGCGTTATTGAGCACGAGCGAGAAGCCAAAGAGGAGCCAGGGCAGGTACGGCGCGGAGAAGACGAAGAGGCCGAGGAAGGAGAGCCGGACGGCGGGGTTGCGGCGGGCCCAGATGTAGACTAGGCTGAAGCTGAGGGGGGAGCCGAGGAAGAGGAGGGAGGCGAAGGGGGAGAGGAGGAGGAGGGAGATGGAGGAGTAGAGCAGGAGCCAGAGGAAGTCGAATGTGTTGTTGCGGAAGAAGGTTTCTTCCAGCATGCGAGAGTATCGGGACATGAAGAAGATGTGGAATACAAAGTCAAGCGACAACGGACCGAAATATAAAAACGTCGTAACAAATCGCCAATACTACACAATCCACCAGTTAGCTTCACGATCCTCCAACTTCCCCTTGCACTTTGTCTTGTCTGCAAGTAAGAAAAATAAAGGACACACACACCTGCTGCTTCCCAACCGCGGTACTAAACGAGAAATACAGCTGATAAGGCGACAACACGTCGCACTGCACCAGCACCGACGTCAGGACCGATAACGTAGTCCAGTACCGAGTCACGGGCGGAACTTCAAAGAACCACGCTTCGAGCGGGATCACGTTGTCCATCTCTGTTTTCTTCTTTCTGCAGATTCTCTCTTTTTTTGTTTTCTGATTCGTGATGTATTTGGTTCAGACTCAATCGCTCGCGCAGAAGAGAAAGCGATCGTGGTCGCGGTCTTGATCTCTCGAGTAAACGCTTGGGAGAATCGCAAACGTGTTCAATCAACCACCTCTTCTTTCCAACCAAACAAATCAGAAATCTCAAAATTCCCTGAACCCACAAAATAAATCTCAATCAACGATGTTCTCTACCCAGATCAAACAACCGTAGTCTCTCGATCTGCTTCGCGCTTGAATGTGGAGCAACAGAGGTTTTAGTTTAGTTGGAACCAAAGTCCGCTGCTTCCCCGAGGTTGGTTTTAGATTTGTGTGCGGCTACAAGTCCCAATCGCGCTCGTCCCGATTATTTTTAATCTGTTCTTAATCTGTTCTTCGCTTTGCGACTTGCTTGAATGCGTTGTTGATGTACTCTTACGAATGTAAAGAAAGTAGGAGAAAAGATGTTAAAAGAATTAGATCACTTCAATTAAGAAAAAAAACAGAAAACCCTCAATAAAATACACAGACAGCATAGTTTCGCTCAGAAGAAACCAATTAATAAATTCACTCGAAACAAAAGAAAACAATAAACGAATAGAAAGAATTACGTCACATGAAAATGAGAAAGAACAATAAACCCAAAAAGAAGGAGAAAGAAAACAAGACAGAATGAAGGAAAAAATACACGCATTAAGAAATAGAATCGCATCTTACACCCTTTTTTTCTCCATCCACAATAACAATTATTTTAGCACGTCGTCCCCTTCTAATAATAACAGACAACACTCTCTCAAGCCACACTATTGATCAACCTACGCTCGACTTCAGCCTGCGGGATCTCGTTGCTGTCGCTCATTAATCCCAGCCATCTTCTGGCCATGAAGAAAGCCACGCAGACAATGCAGGCGATAACACCGACGATTCCAAAGAACCAGCCAAAGGTATCTGCGCCTTCGCCCGGAACATGGACGTTCATGCCAAACAGACCGGTGATCAAGTTGAGCGGAACGAGAATCGTTCCGAGCAAGGTGACTTTGGACAGCATGTTTGTGACGCGGTTGTTGGCATGGAAGGACTCCACCTGCAGCTGCGCGAGGTAATTCGCATGCGACCGAGACAGAATCTTTTCGTACGCAGACAAGTTCTGGTACATAGTCACGATATGGTCCTGGATATCGCCCAAGTAAAGACCGATCTCGCCCTTGGGTGCGACGTCCCACTGCTCGTTGCAGCGCTTGGCAAACATCTTGATGACGTCTGCCTTACCCGAAAGCAAACGCATCAATGTCATGACCTTCTTTCTCGCCTCGCCAATCCGCTTCAGCATGTTTCCAAAGTCAGACTCGCGCGCGACAAACACGGCGTCCTCGATCCCGTCGGCCTCTTGCTCGATCTCGTGAATCACAGGCGCAAAGCCGTCAGTGATGTCATCGATCAACGCATAGCAGATCCAGTCCGCAGAGACGGTGACGTAGTCACGCAGTTGACGGATGCGGCGTCTCACGTTCGCAGTGTGGTCGAACGGCGAGAAATGGAACGACAGGATTCCATCGCGGAAGACAATCATGTACATGTTGAGCGGCTCGAGGAATTCCTCGCTGTGCTTCTCATGCTCAAACGTGCGGAAACAGACAAAGTAGTAGGACTTGAACAGTTCTACCTTCTCTCTGGTCTCCTGCACTCTGATATCCTCAGTAGTCAACGGATGGATTCCAAACGTTTTCGCAAGCATCTTCATCTCGGCGTCTGTAGGATCAAGGCAGTCAAGCCACCATGTTCCATTGCGGCGATCAAACAAGTCGGCAAACGTCTGCTCCGGCGCAGTCAAAAGACAAACTTCAGGAGCATGAATAGTCTCCTCAGACTCGGAGCAAAACAGACTGAAGCGATCTTCGGCATTCGCAAGCTGCGCAGCCACCTCAGGAGGCAACGTGCGACTCTTGAGGATCTCGACTTGCTCCGCCACAAATCCACCTTTCTCATCCGAAGAAGTGGATCCAGAAGAGAGCACAGCCGTGGTCGACGAAGACGACGCGACGCCCGCGCCACGATGGATATCTCCGGCAGCGCCCAACATTTCGGTATTAGCCGGCCGTCCACCATCAGAGAAAGTCATCCGGCGACCAACAACACCGAGGTCGTTATCAGCATGGCGCTTGAGCGACGGGAACCACTGCTCAAGTCTCTGGCTGGCCGCGAACTCTTCGATCTCATCGAAATCAATACCGTTGATCCGCTGGTGCTCCAGCTGCATCGGGAAACAAACATCCTCCTCCGTCTCGTCCTCAGAATTCACGCGCGAGCGGGCCTCTGAATCCGAGCTGCAGATCGAACCTGCAGCAGCTGCAGCAGCAGCGCCACCGGTCTGCGCCTCCTTCTCGCGAGGAATGCTCTTTGTGCTGTCCACCGACGGGCGATGAGGGGCCGTAGGACTAGCGAGATGAGCCTCGTTTCCTGTCGGAGTATCAAGAGCAAAAGTAGGTCGACGAGTGTTGACGTACTCGTTTGACGTACGACGCTGGCGTCGCGTACGGCCGGCGCCACCAGAGGCGTTGACCGAGATGTTGGACTGGTGACGATGCAAACCAGCCGGAGAAGAGAAATCGAACCGGTTAGATTCCTCAACTCGAGCAGCTGGTCCGTTGGCATCGACGATGACGGGAGCAGCACGGAGAGAGGACAGCCTGCGTCTCAGAGGGGCTGGCCCCTCGTCTTCAGCCTCGGCATCGTAGTCGTTATCGAGGATAGCCGATTCAGCAGAGAAGGAGTTGATCCGAGATCGCACAGTACGACCACCAGATCCAGAGGTTCCGGTCGTGGCAAAGATAGGCGCAGAAGGTAGACCGTCGGAGGTAGTGCTGCCAGAGAAGGAGGCACCGCGCACAGGCAACGAATCGGGCTGGTTGCGGTGATCGTACAGCTCGCTGGCAGACTGAACGGGAGACGGGGAGTTGGGGCGAGAAGGATCCATGATCTGCAGGAATAACAATGAAGTCAGTACTACAAATTCACTCATCACCCAAAAAAGATATCCAGGCCGAAGTAAAATCAATATCGCGCACTACTTACTCGATAAGCCAACTAGCCCAGACTAACGAATAAAGATAAGACGAATGTAATCACAGGGGAATATCCGGTAGCACCCGGACAACAGGAGATCTAGAGCAGCCAGAATGAAAAGTGGTCTGCGCAAGAACGCGTAGATATGGACGTGGGGGTCAAGAAAAGGAAAAGCGGCGATCAGATAGCCAGTGCAGGAATGACTATTGCTTCGATCCAGGGAGAAAGCAAGTACGATTTCAGTAGCTTGCCAGACTGTGAGTATAATAAACCAGCGCCGGAGATGTTAAACCCAACGCCAATAATCGAGAGAAAGATATGCAACAAGGAGCAGATAGCTGAAGAAGCTGGGACGGCGATGAACTAGCAGCAGAGTAGGGCAGTTATGGCGGCTTCTTTGACGCTTCGCAGAAGCGGAGGCGGCGAAGAGATAGTAGATAGGTTGCCAGATTGGGTAGCTTGTAGACGCAGGCAGTACGGGTAGAGTACGCCAACTTGGAGGAGGATGGGGGATCAGGAAGGAGACGAAGGAAGGGAAGAAATCGAGGTGAGTGAAGGAGCAGAAATTTGAAGAGGCAAAAACCGCGCTGCCGCAAGGCGCTCAAGCCACACGCCGCAAATGCCGCTTTCATCGCTACTTTGGCTCCTTATCCCTGGTTAGTAAGCATAATATAGATTACTTACTAATCACGACTGCTTGTTCTGGTAATAGTTAAACCTCCCCATTCTATTCTTCTATCTCCTCTCCTCTCTCTATACCTCTATACATGTCATCAAACTTCACCCCAAACCCAGAATCCGTAAAAAGTATCCCAAACATGAAAAAAATGCAAAAGAAAAAAGAAAAAAGAAAAAAGAAAAAGAAAAAAGAAAATGAGAAGGAAAAAAAAACAAAATACACCATTCCGTCGTGATGCCCATAAAAAACAGGGAGAAAGTAAACAAGCTAGTCGGTCATAAAAAGCGTACACTGGACAAATAATATGAACAATACAAAAACACTCGGTCCTAATTAAACAACACATTCCCGTCGCTTTTTAGTTCGTCGCCGTTCGTTCACTTCTCATAGCCTTCCTCGACGACATTGTGGTCGCCCACGATACGCAAAAACACCTGCTCCAGACTAGCCTGCGAGACAGCATAGTAGATAACTCCGATCTCCTTCTTGTCGGCTTCAATGGCCTGGAAAATCTCAGAGACTTTCATCTTTGGCATGCCTTCGCCCGCAGACGTCTGGACGGCAATCTTGACCTGACCGTGGTACATCTTGTCCTCAATCCGGACGGCGTGTCCCTTGAACCGCTGCTGCGCCCAGCTAACAACTCTCATCATCTGCTCGTCGGTCGCGTGCATACCACCCTCACACACAAAGTGCAGGTAGTACGAGTCACCATAGCGCTCCCGGAGTCTATCAGACGTTCCAACCGCAAGCAGGTTCTTAGCCAAGATACCCGCTCGCGAGCAGAGCGCATCGGCTTCCTCCATAGAGTGCGTAGTCAACACAATACTGCGGCCAGCAGAAACATTCGCGAGAGTACGCCACATCACACGCTTACTGGCAGCGTCCATACCCGACGATGGCTCGTCAAGCAAAAGTACAGACGGGTTAGCCATCAGCGCGATTCCGAGCGAGAGCTTTCGGCGGTTGCCTCCCGACAAACGGGCGGCCATGCGAGTAGCGAACCGCGTAAGTCCGACAGCACGCACAAGAACCTGCACGTTGTGCTCAACCTCCGGGCCCTTCAGACCACGGAGACGGGCGTAGAAGGTAAGCGTCTCCAGCACGTTCATCTGATCGATAGCATCAAACTGAGGACAGACGCCCAAGTGAGTCCGAGCATGCGCACGGTTGTCGTTCACGGAAACTCCTTCAACATACACACCACCCGCAGAAGGAATAATCTCGCCACGGATCATGTTAAACGTAGTTGACTTTCCAGCACCATTGGGACCCAGCAGAGCAAAGCACTCTCCGCGCTTGACTCCAAACGAGACGTCCTCAACGGCAACAAACTTTCCAAACTGCTTCGACAGATGCGCAACCCGAAGACCGTCAGTTCCATCATCAGGGCTGTCGACGCGCGCAATCTCCTTAGCAAGATCCTCATCCAGAAGCGCGGCCTTGGCCTCGGCATCCTCAATCTTGAACTTGCTCGAGAATCGCAGTCGGAATCGACCAGAGTCCCACCAGATCAAGATACCGTAGAGAACAATAGACTGCATGACGAGGTACAAGATCGGTCCACCATAAGCACGAACGTTGCCGTAGTAGCTAAACTCTTCTTCGCCGTCGCACATCTCAGTGAACAGATTCAGCGACAAGAAGAGAGCCTTGATCAAGTTCGGCATCGGCGCGAAGGTCGCAAGAGCGAAATGCACCTGCTGAACAATCTTATCCGTCTGCAAGGCGGGCGCAAACGTGTTCACCGCAAGATACGCAATCAGGTACACCAAGAAGTAGATGCACTGGAACGCAGCAGTCAATGCAAAAGCAGCCAGCTGTGTCGATGCAATAAGCGATATCACAAATGCAAACAAAATCGAGGCGACGCCATACAAAAACATGATTATAAACACATATCCCAGGCCGTACCAGTATGGATTCGTGGCAGCAAAGATGATGACGCAAACAATTGACGACACCAAGACGAGCGACGAATCAAAAAGAAGGTACGCAGTCCACAGAGGAACCACACGAAGACCGTTAGAGTAGTGCAGAGCGCGAACACGCTGCAGCCGTTCCATGGTAGGGTACAAAGCGGCAAAAGCCGGATAGGCACCCATTGCCAAACAAAAGTAAATAATAAACTGCAGCGTGTCTCCCATCGTGCCGATCCACGGGAATTGAAACGGCGAGTAGTTGGTCACAATGAGAGCATTACCTTGGCCGCGGACATTGTCCATAGCATTAAGAACAAGAGGACCAGTGACAATTCCGGCACCGTTGACGCGGAACGCCATAGTAGGCTCATCGCCAAGATAGATACCACCGGGCTGGATAGTCGAGTAGTTCTCGGCAATAGCGTACTTGAAATCATCGATGTTCTGCACAAGCGTGACGTTGTCTCTCAAGAGCTCGGTGTAGTTCACAGCCTGGCCAGCAACCTCATTCATGGGGCCATTGTAACCGTCTATAGCAGCCGTGTATGGCGCGAGAGCATCAAGAGCACCGTTGTTGTCAACAGGAGAAGGTCCCAAAACGACCTGGAGTGGCTGGTCAGTGATATTCCTTGTCGAGATATCACGGAAGATCTGCTCAGCAACGTTATCCTCTGCCTTGCACGATCCACCGGGGTAGTCGCGAACAAAGATCATAGTGATTCCGCCGACGATGATGGGAAGGAATAGGATTCCCAGAATAGGCAGGGGATGACGGCGAGCAACAATAACTCGCTTCCAGATCATCGTCCAGATTTGTTCTAAACATCAAACGTTAGTCTCATTGAAAGTACGACAACGAGTAAACAGAAACTCACCTCTCATTCCCACAATCTTGCCAACTTTTAGATCCAGGCCGTTGTTGTACGGCTTCAAAGCAATCTTCTCATCGTCATACAGAAGCGAAGAAGACTCGCTCTCCACAGCACCGTAAGTCGTAGATCTCTTTTCAGACAACAAGCTGCTTTCGCTATCATCCAGCAAGAAATCGTTCTCACTCAGAAGCTCTTGAATCTCACTGTCAGAGTCCGCAACAAGCTTCAAGAAAACATCCTCAAGCTGAGGGCCTGAAACACGAAGCTCCTTGTGGCCTTGAGACTCAAGACGGGAGACGAGCTGAGTCACTTGAGCTCCATCAGCAGCCTCATACACCTGCTCACGGCCAGATCCGGGAGTAATCGAAAAGACACGGTATCCATTACCGAATCCCTCCTTGAGCTCGACGGGCGATCCGGTAGCCTTCAACACACCACGAGCCAAGATCGCGATATGATCAGCCAGTAAATCGGCCTCGTCCAAGAAATGAGTAGTCAAAACAAGAGTGCGCTCGCCACGAGACGAGAGCAAGATATCCCAGATATGACGACGAGAGAGCGGGTCCAAACCGGACGAGACCTCATCGATGCAGCAAACCTTTGAGCCACCGACAAACATGACAGCGAGCTGGAGCTTGCGCTTCTGACCACCGGAAAGATTCATGGACAAAAACTTGCGCTTGGGTACCAAGTCGCACTGAATGACCAAGTCCTTGACTTCCTGGTTGAGAGTCGCCTCGGGAGAACCCTTGACACGACCCCAGATCTTGATGTGCTCCTCGACAGTGAGCTCGTCCCACATGACGTTCTTCTGGGGACAAATTCCGAGCGAGGTGGTTGTACCAAACTCGATAGATCCCTCAGATGGCTTTTGAATACCAGCAATCATCTCAAGAGTGGTTGTCTTTCCCGAACCATTAGCACCGAGCAAGCACGAAATCTCGCCGGTGCGGAACTTGACATTCAAATCGTTGACCGCAATAACGGGAGGCAATTTCTTGCCACCACGGAAGAAACGGCTGATGTTGAACGGGTGATAGATCTTGGACACACCTCTGATGACAAGCGCGTTATCGGGGTCCTCAACCGCAGCACCAGTACGGCCATGAGAGCCATACATAACTCGCTCAATGAGCATGCCGAGACCAAAATACAGAGGAATCTCGACCAAAGCGCCAATCCAGAGCACTCCACCAGCGAGAACACCAGTAGGAGCAACCTCGACCAACGAGATGCCCATAACCTCACGCTCGAAGCGGGCGTTGGTCTGCATGTAGTAAACGTAGTTCATAGGCGGGAAAAGGAATCCGAGCGCGTACGCAGAACCACCATCCTCGGGATGCATAGTCGACTGGACGGTAGTCATGATGGCCAAGAAAACGCAGACGCCGGTGGCAATGATACCGGCGAGCTGAGCCTGCTTGAACGGCTGAGCAAGCATCTGTGCCCAGGCAACGTTTGCGAAACCGTTGATGACATGGAAGACGATGATTGAGAGAACGTTCGAGTTGTAAAACATCGTGCGTCCAACAGCAGCACCGACAACGATCCATCCGGGAAGGTAGAGCGCAGAGTACGAGATAAAGAAGGAAAGATGACGAGCAAGTTTCGTGCAGCCCATGCTCTCGAGCAAGGTTGAGATTCCAAGCTCACGCTCGAGAGCAACGACACCGCAGAGATGGTAGATGATTCCAATCATGGCGATGAACATAGCCGGCGACATGTACTTGATCAAAACAAACATGTAGCGGACACGGATATCCTGCTCGTGCTCTTCCTGACTGCGAGAAGTATACGCAATCACATCCGGCGCGTCTTCGGTCTGGTCAAGATCCAAGATAGCAGCATCAACGGCCCCTGCAACAGCTCGGTTAGAATTTTCTTATGATATCAAGAGGGGAAATGGGAGTGGGACTTACACTGAACGGGGAGAAGATATCGCTCGACATCACTAGTGTGATCATCGACCTTGACACGAAACAGTCCAGCGTCGGCACGAAGAGTGTAGTTATATAACCCGTTGGTAGGATCAAAAGTATTCCACTGAACAGCACCAATGCAGTTCGAAGCGCCTCGCAGGTTCTGCTTGCAGATAGTCAAAAGCTCAATCTCGTCCTCAATCTCGAAGACTTGCTCAGGAGGAATGCCATAAGCGACTTTCATCATCAGCTCGCGCACTTCGGGAGTCACGGTTCCGTTCTCCATCAGATAGACAAAGTCACGGTCGCCGATTGCTTCAGCCAATGGCCGGATAGGCGCCGGATCTGCGACGCCGAAAGTTGCCGCGGGAACGAAGAGGTTGCGGGCATATCCCTACACGCGCCAGGTGTGTTAGTCTCGATGATCTCGCGAGCGCGCACAAGACACCCGGCAAGGGCCGATAACCAGTCTCGAAACATACCAGGATCCACATGAAAGCGACCGGAAACACAAACGCGCGGAAGATGGTCCAGAACCATGTCCGGCGGAAGGTAATCGCGGACTTTACACACAGCGCATAGGTCTGGCGGTATACCGCGGACCTGCGCTCAGTAGCCACCATTGCTTGTAGATATTATGGCAGTTTCTAAACTATTGCGTAATATCAAGCAGGAATCCAGACAGCGCAAGGATTTTTCTATTCGCAGATAATCCGGGCGTGAGAGGAGGCGGCAGGTGTAGAGAGCGATGGAGATGAGGAAGAGAAACAGGACAGAAACAGCAGGAGCAGCAGCCGGAGTCTACATGCAGAGCCCGAAAGTTATCCTGGGACTTGGGCGGTGGCCTTTTCTGGTCTGGCTGGCTGATTGCGCGCTGTCCTGGATCTGGATTCACATCAGTTGTGATCTGATAGTGACTCGCTGGCCTCTGTCCGCTGCCTATCCGGTATCGTGCGCTGCGCCGATAACAGAATTCCCGCCTGCGCTAACCGAATCAGGCGCCTATCTGAACTCTCTTATCCTGCCCCTTGCTAGCCGCGTGTTCGTGTTGACAGGTGTGTCCGCCGATAAACCGCCAGATAACTCAGCTACTTATAAAACAGCATATATTTCATTTTTACATGTAAACGGCATTGAGACAACAAAAATAGAAAACAGGATTATGGTTACGATGCCCCATACAAATAATACCAATCGCGCCCGACGACTGTAGCAAAGGAAGCATACAGCTGCACCCATCACAGAAAAGCATACAAGATAACAACTCACCCACAAACCTGCCTATACACATGATACATCATATATATAGCACTTGGAAATATAATGAGACTAATTGACAGCTAGCGCTCGCATACATAGATAGAGCAAGAATATACAAATACACAATATCACAATTGCAAAGACAAATAACAACTTTGCCTTTGGCATAGTAAAAAATACAGAAAAGAAAACAGTGACATTCAAACAAGCCATAGTCCAAAACAAACAAATAGAAGCATATGTATAGACATATAGTATATATATAGTATATATAGTATATAGAAGTAGATATGTATAATGGACCGCTGAGTGGCCTGCGTAGCCCGTCTTCCAGTATCGGTGAATACACACTTCGACACACAAGAACGAGGCAACAAAAAGTATTATGCGCAAAAATAAAAAAAGAAAAAATCAGAAAAGAAAACTTGCAAACTGAATAAAGCGACGTTGAACTCCTAGTTCCTCTTTTCCCGTCCCGCTTTCCTATATTTCACCCTCACCACCTATTGTACGTGTGGCATAGCCACCTTTTCTTCTCTAGCTGCCTCGCTCATCGCCGAGCTCGGAGGCGCAGAAGATGCGCTCGAAAAACTGTTCTCTGCCGATCGGATTTCCTGAAACGTCGGCGGAGGAGTGCTAGTCGCATCACTAGACGACGGCTCGCTCGCAGGCGTTTGCTCGTGCGATACCGACGAACGCGGCGACACCGCCAACTGTGCAGACTTCTGCGTCGACGGCGACGCAGCAGGAGAGAGTGGCAGCGGCTCATCCGTAGACAAATACATAAGTTTCTCAATCGACACCAGATGCTTGCCATACGAATACTTCTTGAGTGCTTGCAAGTGTGGCGTAATCTTCAACACCAAGTTATCTCTCTGCTGTCCGTTCGTCACGTCCAACAGTTTCTGAATCACGTAGTTGGCAAACTGATCCTTCATCATCGCAGTCAGCGGCAGCGACCCATCAGACTTTACACGCAGTATCTCGTCAATAATCGCCTGTCGCTGTCTACTGTCGCCATAGACAATGCACTTCTCAACCACATTCGAGGCAAACTTGTGCTTAGAAAACTGAAGCACATTGTCTCTCACAACCATGATTATCTTCTCACGGTCCTCTGGCTTTCCGCGCTCAATCACATGCTGTATCACGTAGTTTCCATACTGATCTTGCACCAGATACGACGAGAATGAGTGCAGCTCCTCAAGAATCGAGTTCTGCGCTTCATCATCACAATGTTCTAGCATTCGCTGAATCACACGGCAGCCGTAAGGATGTGTCGCAAGATCATACACCTGCTGATGAAATGATCTAATGATAAACTCAATGTGCTCAGCAGGCACCCGCTCTATCGCCTTCTGTATGACATGATTGCCGTTTTGGTCCTTGACACATCTCAACACATGGCCTTCGAGCTCCTTCACAAGCTTCGCCTGCTGATCAACCAGCACATGCTCAATAGCCTTTTGCACAACACGGCATCCGTACATTTGGAGTGACAGCGTAAGCATGTGGCCTTCCATTTGCTTTGCAAGAATCGTCTTCTGCATCTGATTTCCGTGCTCAAAGAACTTCTGAATCACATAGTTTCCGAAAACATCAGTCATCAACTGCAACGAATTCGATCTAATCTCATTGAAAATCGTCTCCTTCTCGTCGCTATTGGCCGTCTCTAATCGCTGCTGGATAAACCGCGAACCATGCTGATCGCCACTGAACTCAACCACATGTCCATAAATGTCTTTAAGCTCGTATTTCTTGCCCTTGCTGCTCCTGAACTCCTCCAACAGCGGAGACCGCACCCCAAGAGGGAAGTCATCCGTCGCAGCTGACGAAGGCGCCGTAACAGGCGCTGTCTGTCGCCGATTCAGGGACGGAGGAACAGAAGCTATAGGCGAAGAGACAGTAGCCTGAGAACCCGATGCAGAACTCCCTACGCTCATCGTACTTCTGGCAAAAGGCGACGAAGGTGAAAACTCAAACACGGGAGCCTGAGCACGATACATTGGCGACATTCCCGGCGCAGGATTCTGCTTTGTAGACAAAGACAGCTGAGGAGGCATCTGGGTCGAGCGTGGCCGCGACTTTTTGCCACCGGCAACGTTCGGGATATTTTGCATGCCTCTCATATTCTGCTGTTGTTGTGGCATCGGAGGCGGCATTTGCTGCTGTACTGCGCCCGGCGCATACTTTGGCATATTTCCAGAACTCATTGGGTTTCCGTAGTACGGCTGGCTCATCGAGCGGCTTCTGTAGTCTGCCGACGCATCGTAAGAAGGAGAAATACCTCCTCGGGAATACTGCCGCGGGTTACGGAACTCCTGTAAAAGATCAGGCTGCATCGCGTTCGGGTTGTTGCCATACTGCATGTCATATTCGGACACGGAGCCGTGTTGCGAGTGCATCGACATACGCTGGGGCTGCTGATAAAAGCGTTCATCATTATGAGACGCACCCGTCCACATGGGTGGACGCTGGAACGGGTATCCGTCAGCAGCACCATAGTGTTGCTGCGATGGGGACGTAACCGAGGAGGTAGACGCCGAAAACGAGGGAAACGGGGACGATGCAGAAAAGGATCCCATGCGTCGGCGGTCGTCGTATGCGTTCTCCATCACGGGCGAGGTCGCCGACTCGAGCTGCATGGCCTTCATACTAGCAAGAATCTCGGCCTCCCGTGTGGCCTCCGCAATCGACCCTACTCTGTCACGAAGCTGGGAAGCAAATCCCATCTGGGGAAACGGGGATTGAGCTTGGCTACCACTGTTGCTAGTAGATGCAGAGCTACCGAGCATGGCAGTAGTGAAGTTGCTGTAGAGCGGAGGGCTTGCACTTGCGCGGGCGTTTCCTATTTCTTCATCTATACGAGACTGTGATGAGTGTGACAGAGTAGGTGAAAGAGCAGATACAGGCTCGCTGAATTCGCGCGATGCTATGGACGTATGGCGGGAGGGGTAGTCATCACGCATCAGTTGCTCCTCGATTATCGCCGCAGCAATATCATCTGCGTCATCAAGAACAGTAGCCTCGTCTGCAACGACCGACGCATAGCTGTTGCCGAAGGAGTATTGTGATGCCTGTTGAGCCTGCGAAACTCCCGCGGAGGCGTGCAATGACGATGGAGAGCGCATCCCCATTAGCATGCCTGACCCACTATTTGGGAGTTGGCTTTGCGAGGATCCGAATGTAGATCCCAATCGCTGGCGCTGGGACATGAAGAAGGAAGAATCACGCGGAGAGTCAGAACGCTAGACAGATTGAGCGAAGTTAGCTGGGGGCCCGGCAAGACGGGATTGGATTGCGAGATAGGACGGGTGAGAGCAGGATGCTCCCACCAAAAGCGGGACGGAAATGACGCAAAACAAATATACATACGTCGAGTTCGACCGGAATCTTGCGCATGCCAACCGGCGACATACTCGGATTCTCAACGGCAGGTGCCCACAAAGGCGAACGTGATGAAGAAGAATTGTTTGAAGTCCATGGGTGTAGATCGAGGTCAGCTTCGCGATCGGAGGGGCCGTTCGTGATTACGGATGAGGACGTGGTAGCAGCGCGGGCGGATAGCGGCGAAGACTGCGTGGTGATAGCGTGTTGCGAAAGCGGGGAGACATCGTCTGGGAAAGATCGTGTTAGCAAGCAATCGGAAGATCAATGGCGACACCAGGGCCGACAAACCAGGGCGATGCGCGGTGGCGGTGAGCGGAGACGCGCCCCATATTCCCCAGTTGGCGTTAGCGGCCATGGTGGACACGCGATAAACAACAACAAGAGAGAATTGAAAAAAATGAACTAGGCTGCGCGCATTGCACGCAATTGGCGCAGGCTCGGTCTGGGAAGGTGGGAATGGGTGTGTGTAGAAGAGCGAACAGGCAGGAGCTCAAAGCGGTGAAGCTGGGGCGAGACAACCCAAGTGCGTCGGGTCGAGAACAGATAGGCGGTGCAACACGTGACGAACGCACCCCGTGCTTGCACGTGACCATACGCACCACACAAACAATGGCGGACCTGGGATGCACCGCAGCAGGCAGCCCAGCCACCGCGATAAGAGACCGCGGCGAGAAATCTGCTGGTGTTTGTTGACCTACGCTGTAACTTAAAGCAAGAATTTAATAGAACAATCTTGGAAACATCTCTGGTCGAGAGATGAACGCGTTGACTCGACCAGGCCTACAGATCAACGCTACAGATCGTGCGGGAACAAAGAGATCCCGCCTGGATGATATCGCGGTATGGGCAGCTGCTAGAAGTGGGTCCTGCTGCACCAGCTCGCGCGCAGCCTGGCGAGGAGCAGGTCGACTATTATATGCAGCCCCCAGCAGCGGGCGGCGAGTAAACGAGAAGTAAGCAACAGGCCGCTGCTCTGAAGCGAGCGACCGCTGTCTGACCTCAATATGCGGCAATGCGGCAATCCCTCAACCCGCACCTGTTTCCGCGCTTTGAAACCGCTGCTGCCCTACCTCCTCGTCTCCCCGCGTTTTACCGCTCCCACCAATGGCCGGCCGTAAGAGTGAAAAACTTGAGATAAAATGACATTCCTAGCTTCTAGATACTAGATACACAACAACTGATTAACAATAAAAACACCTCCACCTTAAACGAGCGCCTGTCTATACTGGTTATAATCCTCTACCGCCATCCCGATCTTGTTGTACAGATATTGGCGCGCGCTCTCGTCTGAGATTGGCACAAACGGGCCTTGGATTCCACCCCACAGCACAAGCGCAATACCACCTTTCTCCATCGACACCGTCTGCAACTGGTCGAACTGCACGTCCCACAACGTCGTCATTCGTCGCGTGTGCATCAATAGTATACGCGTGTACGTCACAATCACGACAAGCTCCTCGCCGGGTAGAGACATATGAGCCACATATTCCTCATTGAAATAATCGCCCTCGTTGAGCTGCTTGAGCCACGCCTGTCCGATCGCCTCGCGCTGCGAGTATGGCTTGCAAGTCATATCGCGGCCGATAAATCTAGGCAGACGCACTCGGTCGATTCCTTGCCCGTCAAACACGGTCGTTGTGTTCCGAATACCCTCACTCACATTATTAGCCATATCGAACAGACCGATCGCAGTCTTCGTAGGAAGGCCAACCAGTCCACGACCGAGACCCTTGAAAAACCCAGAGGCACCTTCTTCCGATGCACCACGCATAGGAGCTAGAGCCAGACCCGACACACCACTGGCCAATCCCTCGACAAACGAGTTCGCTCCGGCTGTAACACCGTAGAGAGCATGGCGAGGCTTGTTACGCGTCCGACTGATCCTGCGTCGATCCTGGAACTGCTTATCAAGCGTAGCAACCGCGAGACCCTTCGAGATACTACCAGATATCTTGGCGATGCTGTCCGAAACACCAAATACCGACTTGCGCAAGAAACTTATTCCGCCCTTCGCCAGACCAATACCGAGCTCTTGAGGCCGATCGTTCATGATGAAACCCTGATATGGCTCGTAGAATATATCCATGACTCCAGAACTAAGATTGTTGAACAAACCAACAGGATTGCCCAAAAAGTCTGCAGATCCAAGAATCTTGTGAACCTGGAAGAAGAACTGCTGTCCGTAATGGGTAGCCATCAGTTGGAATAGCATCGATGTCGACACCCGAGCATTTTCGAGAACAAGCGCGTTAAGCTGAACCGGCGCATCGTTGATGTTGCCGATCGCCATCGTGAGAATGTTCAGGAAAAACATCAGAGCGTTTTGAGACGACGTCTTGTCTTCCACATTCACTCGCTCCGTCCGCACAAACGAAAGATCCATCTGCGCTGGCTGGATGTGCAATACCTCAAAGTATACATCATTACCTGCCGCTGTCATCGACGGCTCGGGAATCTCAATCACATCGTCACATAGCTCGTCAATCTCGTTCGTAGACCAGCTCGCGCCGGGAACCTTGGAGAAGTCAAGCAATGCAAACAAAAAGTCCTCATCAATCTCAACAGTCATCTGCTGCAGCAAGATCGTAGCATACTTTATATAAAGAACACCATGCGATTCGTCTTTAACGCGAGTGATTGAGAACGAGAGCGTCGGATGACTTTCCATCTCCTTCGTGGTCTGCGGAAGAACACTAGGATAGAAGACAATAGGGTAGATGCCACCAAACAACATGTTATCGATCTGGATCCACTTGAGCCTCGTAGCAATCGTCTGGTAGATGGCTGATTCGTTGTACTTGAACTCGAAGCCGCGGAAAGTTATATAGCACAGCTCTTGCATACGGGAATTGATGAGCGAGATACCCACACCTTCCAAGCTGACAGTGGCACGGAACGTGATATCACCGTCATCCTCAATCGCCTCAAATCCATTATTCCCCGATCCTGTTGACGATGCAAAGCTAGCTTGTGACACGTTATACTTTGGCTTGTACAGACTTCGACTCTGATCATAGTCTGACAGAACAAGTGTCTGAATAGGCCCATCAGCAACCACATTGATATCTATAATCTGAGCCTCGCCATCTCTGGTCGGAGGAATTTTCATGGGCACAAGATTTCCAATCTCCGCCAACGCCACGTGTCGCTCGACATTTGCGGCACAGATCACTAGCTCCTTCTGTTTAGCAGCAGGATAATCCCATGCATATGGCATAACGCTCTTAGGCGGCAATCGGTATTTGATTGGCGTGAATCGCTTGACATTGGCAGCGCGGTACGTCATATCTTGATCATCCTCATAGTTGATGTATGGATTCTGTTTGCAAAAGTTAGTTTGATAATTCTTTGTTGCAGAAGATCTTCTACTTACCGACTGGTAAAACGTAAACTCCGTGTTACTGAAGTTGCGAATTGAGTACGGCCAATTGCTCTTTTCCATATCAATATGCAAGAACACAGTTGCCTGCTCAATCATCACTTCTACCTTAAGTAGCTTCGGTCCGCTACCAGGCTTGGTGAGTTTGATATGCGTTCTTCCCAGGTCCGATATGTTGAACGGTGACGACCTAAGCAAACAGTTGGTTAATTAACCGACCACACAAACCTCTATAATAACACAAGTTCACGAACCATGGAGCTCCTTCTACCGGGAAACTCAACGACAGTTGTTTCTCTGGAACTTGCTGCAGGAAGTGGAGCGGGTACACCTCGCCACTCTTGATCGTCATCACTGTGGAAGATCCTGGCTCACGCATGTTGAGGTCCTCAGATAGCCTGTTCTTCAGAATGAAGCGCGGGGTAATCGACACCACTTTCGTCATTTTGTACTAGATCGATGCTCGAGATTAGCGAGAGAATTCAAATATGGAACTCAGAACAAAAACCATACCTTTCCTTGACCCTCAGAAACATGGATACCCAAGTGAATCTCCCTAGTTCTGTCAATCGACGGAACAACAACATCAGTGTTTCCTCCGATAGCTTCAAAACTCTGAGGGCTGCTCCACTGCGAATCGGACAGCCTCAACAATGCACGGTTTCGTGTGTCGACGGTGCTATACGAAAACATCATAGGAATTGCCCTCTTCTTGGTGTCTATAGAAAAGTGTTAGATGAGAGAGAGGAGAAAATGTTTTTGCTTTGACTCACCATCGTCGCCAATGTCCTCCGCTTCAAACTTGGAGGAAGCAGTCACAGCACCTGCTTTGATCTGCAAATCAAGTCCAGTCTTGTTGAGGATAATGTACGGACAATAGATAGAGACGCGGAAGGCGCCGCCGCTATTGGGAATAACACTATTGACGAAAGTTAGTATATCTCGTCACCGTCCTTATAATTCGAGTGGCAGGAACTACTCACTAGTAGTGCAGGTACAGATTCAACTTCTGTCCGTTCCTATTCCTCGTCGACAGCTTCGACTCTGGCTTGAAATCATCTTGAGCGCTCGAATTGATAACCGCAAAGTCAGTGTGCTCAAAGCCGCTGTCGCGCATTGTCAAGCTCAGCATCAACAGATGAGAGAGCTTGACGACGTGAATCGGGCTCTGTAATCCTTTCCGCAAAAAGTTCGACCACTCGCGCCGCAGTTTCTTGTCGTAAATCATGTAGTTGAAGTCATACGGCAGCAAGTTCACGACTTCGATCGGAGCAGTCACGCGGATCTTCATGTGTGGATACAAACGCGTGAGAGGCTCCTTCTTATCAAACTGCGCAAACAACTGGAAATAAAATGACGTCGGCTCTTCATCGTCATCGTTGTCGGTGCTCTTACAGGTGATGTAGGGCTGATGAGGCTGCAACATGTCTCGCCAGAAAAGAGTCTCTTCGCACCAGCCGAATCCAAGACCCGCGCCAGGTCGGATCTTGAACGACTGGTCGAATATCTGATTGATGGGTAGAGCCTGACTATCTCCAGGGACTAAGATATTAAACATATTAGAATCAGATATCAAGTATTCATTTACAAAAGTGGTGAACTTACCGATCGTCCAAATCTTCCCTTCCGTCTCGCCATTAACCTTCAACTCAATAGGAATCTGCGAGTTGTTCTCCACAAGAAGAGCAGATCGGAAAGTGATGTGCTTGACCTTATCTTCACGCAACTTGACCTCACACACGAGTCGGTGCGCAACTTTCATGGTCTTTGGATAGAGAACGTAGAGTGCTTCGCCTTCTTTGTTGGCCGGAATGCGAGTGACCGCATCGAAATCGGTACCCTTAAGACGGACACCGACTGTTCCGTGCTGCGAGTCCTCACTTAGATTCTATAATCAGATGCTGTCAGTATGCTGCTTCCTAAAGTCAACAGTCAGAGATACATACCTCACGCAGTTTTCGCCAATCGTCAAATCTCCAGGGCACCTCCTCTCCGTCGGCAATCTCCTTCGCCATAGAGAACTCCGGGTTATCAGTATTATCAACCCACACCTGGAGAGTATATCCTGTCTGATTCTTGACTCTGTACGGCGCATTTGCATCAGGAGGCTTGGAGAGCAGATCACTGTCACCGGACATCATCTCCACCGCATTTGAAAGCACCGCGATAGTCTGTGTCGTCACAGTGACCTCCAGCGTCTTGCGAGAGTTGAAGCTGATCGCCATCGAAGACGGCTCAAGAGTCCGTGTCATATGGAACCCAAGAAACCAGGGCTCAATCAGAGGCTCCCAGGCTGATTTTGAGTAGTTGTAGATATTCACAAACATCTCAATACTGGTATCGGCATGCATCTCGGACGACCAATTTCGAACATGCACAGGGAACTGCTTGATACACATATCCAAGAGCGGAAGCTCGTGAACACCTCCGATAAGCACAAGCCTCAGACCGTCCAAATCGGCACTCAACTCTTCACTTCGCAGCAGAGCCGACGTCGGCTCTCCAGTAGGCGCCGCTGAAATAGTTCTAGGAGGTAGTCGCGGAGGGCGATCTGCCGCGATCGGCTTAGGCTTCTTAGCCAATTGCTTCAGACGCTTATTCGAAGAGAAACGGGAATACGGCCTCTTTTGAACAGGCTTTGCCTGCTCGGGCGACAGCTCTGAAGCTTTGTTGACGATCGATAAAGCGAGAAGGATATCGCGCAGCGACACTCGGAGAACAAGCGCCTCGACGCCAATGTTAATGAGAGTTTTGTGCTGGATTCCGCCGTGGTTGTTGTCAATGGAAAAGATGATGTTGAAGTCATCCAGAATACGGAGTCTGTTTTCCTCAAAAAGATCCATCCGGCAAAGATAGATACCAACTTGACGCGCCGACATCGTGAAAGCATTTTGCTGCGTGAGCATGATCTCCTTAATTCGGAGAACAATGGCTTCCGAGCTAGAAGACAGCGGGTTCGCGATCAAGATAACAGAAGCATCGACGATATTGATTCGGAACGAGACTGACCCTGTCGGCTCAGGCTCTTCACCAACATCAACGACGCCATACTTTGTCACGGCATCAGAGTTCTCAGTCGCCATAGCAGAATCGCCATCAACTCGAGTAGCGTCGGAGTCGCTGTTCTCATCGTCATCGCTGTAGCTGTCATCTTCCTCGATCTGGAGCGAATCGACGAAAAAGGCCTTGAGGGAGAAGATATAGTCGATGGCGAAAATGAACCGGGGACTGTCGATTGATAGAATAGCAATCATGTCCGTGACTCCGTCGTCGTTCTTCATGGTGGAGATGCTGGCCATGAACTGGCATCCGTCGTGTTTGATCGGGGGTACAATCTCGCGGAATTTGTTCTTCTGGTGTTGACGACTATCAAAGATCGTGAACGACTTCACGTGAAACTCAGACTCAATCGAGTCATCAGACTTCATCCGCATCTTCACGTCCGTTCCATCAAGTGCCAGCTTTGACAAAGTCGCGGGCTCAGACGTGATCGTATCCGAGTCGGTATCCTTGAATAGTTCGAGAGACAATAACTGCAAACGGAACACAAAGTCGATCTTTGTAAACGAGTCCTGATCGGACGAGGAAGACATGATAGCTTTGCTATTATTCTGATCGCTCGAGGCAGCACCTGCACTTGAGCTGGGCGCAATCGACTTGGACGCACGACGCTTCGGCGGTTCCGAATTCGCGTGGATCGCCCGATTTCTCATATTCTCAGCAGCTTCATCATCCTGCGGCGGCGGTGACTGGAAAGTCGTAGACAGCGACTTCAAAAAGTTGATGATAAACACATACTGAGACTCAGTCAGCTTCAAGTTGACATCCGACATTGATCCAACAATCTCAAGTGCCGGACGATCAACGCCGCGCGTGTGCTCGACGTAGACCATTTTGAAGGTGATGTCGAGATTCTCAATCATCTGCAGCTCCTGCACCACGTCGTCGGGGAAATGGAAAACCGACGTGATTCTAGTCTGGCGTAAGCCCGCGTTGATCTTATTGACAGTAGAAGACTGACCGGTCACGGGATTTTCCAGAGTGCTGAAGTTGTTCTGAATATAAAGCTCACCAAGATGAACAGTGAGGACGTCGGACTTTGAACTTCCGCTGCCTTCGCCGCCGTAATACGGCGACTCTCTCGAAAACAAGAAAATGGGCGTGCGCACAATCACATCGAAATGGATTTTATCTGGATCCTTCATCTGCGATGCCTGCTGAACAGCCGCCTCTCGAGCAGAATCGTAGAGCGTTTTCATCTCGGCAAACTTGGCAAGGAACTGCAAGATCCGCTGGAAAGACTCCTCGACGAAGTTCACCTGGATAGATCCAGAACGGAAATAAATCGACGAGTTGTAGCCTGGATACGCAACCTGGAGCGATCGCTGATCAAATGTTTCGTATCTGAAATCAGCGAGCTCGTTGCCTTGGATGCTAACCAGCTCGTTCTCGACCTCAGTTCCAGTCTCGTCGATAATCTCGTGGTCCTTGAGAGTAAAGTTTCCGATTCTGCCGCCGACACGCATGGTCTTTCCCATGGTGAAAATACCAATATCGGCTTGATCAATACGGATTGTAGCCAGACGCACGCCGTCGTCGTTCAGAACTAGGCCGATGGTTGACAGGTCAAGCTTGAGCTTCATCTTATCCGGACCACTCTCAGAGCTGACGACGGTAGATGCAACTTCTAGCTCGTTGTCACTCTCGTCAGTGATCTCCACGATCTGGTCTTCGTCCTCGCTAGCGTCGTCTCCCGCAAACATCATTTGCAGGAAATCAAGCAGAGTAAGGATAGATTTGCGGGTGATGACAAAGTTCAGAGTGGAAATAGACACCGCGATGCTCTGATCGATCCCTTCGAATGTAGACAGATACTCAGGGGACTCTTTCTGAACCTTCACATAAGTAATATGGAACAGATTGTTCGTGTCCTTGCCATCCTTTCTCGCGACAGCACCCTCAGACTCCTTGAGATCGTAATACGAATCAGAGGAGATAAGATGGCTGAACTCCGGAGACGGATTACTCTCGATTTTGTCCTCGACCGTGAGCTTGCTGAGGATGATCTCGGCATGCATGTCATAAGCGCGATTGAAGAACACAAACTCAAAGTGCTCCAGAATGACATCTACGAGCAGATGCTCGCCAAAGTCCTCACTACTGCCCTGCTGTGACGACGTTCCTGAAACCATACCGCCGCGGTATAAAGATCCCTGGACCTTGTCGACAGTGAAGTTGAACTCAAAGATTCTCTGCTCGTAGCTAGCCTCTGTTCCGCCACCAGTTGGGACAATGCGACCGTCGCTGGTGTGGACATGTGAATGCTCGTCTCCTGCCTCCACAAACGTGTCTCCATCATCGTCGTCATCAGATTCGCCTTCAGTTTCAGCAATCAACTCGCTGATCTCTTGCACTCGGCCCAGATCTTGAGATGAGAATCTGAATTTGGACGGCGACGTGCCGGGCTGGGCATTGGAGCTCTCCGTTCTTGTCATATTTGGTCGCGCCGGAGTTTCTTCCGGTATGGTACCAACGTCAACCAGACTATCGGTATCATCCAAAAACGACATGTTTGGAATACTGGAGTTGATGAGATGCATCAGAGTCTTGTACTTCATATCCGACATTGAAACATGGAGAACCGGCAAGTGGCCAGACACCCTGAACTTTGTGAGATTGGCCGCTTTTGCAACGATCGAAATCTCGACGAGCAAGCTCATGTTGATCTTGTCGAGGATATGGAAGTGCTTGTGCTGATTCTTCGACTCCTGAAGCTGAGCGATCGTGTCCTCGACATTGGGACCGACCAGGACCTGCGTCGACTCTAGGTTCAGTTGGAATCTGTCGTACATCAGGGACTTGAGCGTCTCGTAATCCTCCTCCTGATACTGAGTAGACTGCTTGCTCTGTACCTCGCGAATGACGGCCTTGTCGACAAGGTTAGATACGATGTTGACGTGTCCAGCGTCGAGAACCATGCAAGGCGCGTTACGCTCGGTGGCGCTTGACGGCAAGATGATCAGCGGAGCACGCAGATCGAGCTTTGCGTTTAGCGTCTTGTGCTCTTGAAGCGCGTATTCTAAACCCGCCCTGGTCTGGTTCGTGAACCCTTCGACTGTAGCACCGGCGGCGTAGATCAATGCGCCGAAACTCTCCATATGCGACTTTGGAGGTTTAAAAAACTGCGCAATCTCCTCGATGAACGTCTTGTTGTAGAAGATTTCCATGCTGCCCATCTTCATCTTCAGGCTTGAGTCAGCAGACTCGTCCAGAGGGTTCTTCTCAAACTGCAAGAAGAAAAAGGGATCCGAAGGCGGACTGACGTCCGCTTCGCTGTCCAGTTCCATCGAATCCGTCAAGTCCATGATCGGGAGCTGACTCTTTGGCGACTGCGCCGATCGCTTCACACGGACTATATCGGGATAGAGCAGATTATCTGCAGTGCCATCGTGCACCTTCAATTCCTCAAGCGAGAGCTCGACCAGGAATGAATCAGGTCTCTGCAAGTAATTCACCGAGAACGTGTCCGAGACAAGCTGGAGAATCTCGGCCGCAGCACCGCGAGGGTCACGCTTGAGGGCAAAACTTCCAGTGCCGAGAGAGAGCTTGAGCTGCATCTTGACCGCGTCGCGAGGTAGATCCAGCATCTCTGCCGCAGGCTTCTTCTCTTCGTCCCATTCGATGGCATCATACAGCTCCTTCCGCTGCTGATCAGTCATGACAGCAGCGTCATCCGTAGCACTCTCCTTTGAAGGCGATACACTACCGTCAGAAGCTGCAGGCGCAGACGATCCCCAGGCCCAAGCCATCCATCCGCGCTTAGCGGGTTCAGCCTGCTGCTGCGCAGCCTGCGACCTAGCGGCCAAGGCCTTGACTTTCCGGCGCTCCTTTCTGAGTTCAGCTTTGGCGAGCGAGCGGTAAAAACGAAGATCCTCAAGCGAAAGCTTGAACTCGAGCGTCAACAACTCTTCTTTTTGAGTCTCGGTCAGCTTTGCGTTGGGATCGGCCACGACGCTGATCTTGTAGAGCTCGATATATCGCTTCCTGTCATCGCGTCGCTCTTTGAAATACGACCAGGACCATTGCCGGTGTTTTTCATGAATCTCCCGCAGAATGACGTTACCCGCAAACCTGAACCAGGCCTTTGGATCATCTTCGAGCGGAGTGCTAGGCCGCATGTTCTTAAACTGCTCTGTTCGGACATAGAAATGAAACAGATCGACCATCATCAGCGCATCGCGGTACTGGTACTCGTCGAGTATAAAACCAATCTCATCGAAAAACAACTCTGCCTTTGAGTTTGCAATCGTCGTAGGCGAGCCCTTGTGGATGGTGATGCGGCCCTCGCCGGAGACGGGTTTAAGAATGTACTGGTTCTTATTCCCGCCACCGGTCAATGCCTTTTGGTTGTTTTGGATTTCAGTAAACGCAGTCACGATATCGGTTTCAGAATTGCTGAGAAGTTCTGAGTCTGTGTTCCAATATATAGCCAGTCGCTCGAGCTTTGCGAGCTTGTGTGTGGTGAGAACGTTGTCCTGGATGAAGATCGGGTTCCAGGTCTGGTCGGTCGAGACCGCAGAGAACTCGGTGAGGGTGAGACCAAGAGAAAACGGGTGTCCGGGCGCTGAGATTGTGTCTTCGTAGCGGAAATGAATGTGTTTGATGGTGATTTGCAAGTTGTCAACAATCTTGGTGACCAAAGACTCGGTGAAGCTCTGGTTCTTCTTCTGCTCTTCGGCAGATAGGCCCTCAGGCTGCGCTTGCATCAACAACTCTGCATTCTCCAGTCTCTCCATCTTGAGCATCTGTTTGCGGCGTTCTTCCTCGGCTTCGTCGTACTAGATAGTGGAGATGTCAGTCGGCGCCGATCAGCAAGTTGAGACAAAGGGAGTTTGACTACCTGTTGGTTGGCCTTGGGGATCGCAAGAAGATAGACATTTTCAATGATGACTTTCACTGGTTTGTTTTTGAGGTTCGACCACGGGATCTGAAGTGTGAGATCGCCGAGATGGCCTTCGACGACATCGATCGGCAGTTGGAATTTGTCGAGAGCCTGGTCACCATGTTAACGATAAACGACATACAACAATATAGAAGAGGGATACATACCTCCCGTTTCAACTCTAGCTTCCTGAGCTTGACATCTCCGCTCCAGATACCAATGTTGAGTTGCTTGGGGTCGAAGTTTTTGACCTATGACATCATGTTTGTTAGAATAATGATACTATTTACCGCACCGATGAGCAGGAATGCAGCTGGCGAAAGACATACGTATGCTCCCTACAGTAAGAAATAGAGCGGTTAGCAATTACATAGTGAATAATAGGAAGGAAGTCAAAGATTCTGGCAGATCTGGTGGGTGGGGAAACATACCAGGAAGCGATTCAGAAGCGAAGCAACCAGGCCTTCCAACATCGTTCCGAATTCCAGGCAAGAACGAGGAGTTAAAGAGCGGTATCAGAAAAGCCGTAGCTATTTATCGTCAGTTGTGTTCTTCTTTCACAGTTCTCTTGGGTGGTAACAGGATGGTGAAGCTGTGGAAGAACAAAGGTCGATAGGCTGATCTGAGATGAGTGGTAAACGGACTGGGTGCGGTAGTCAATCCTTTGATCCAGATTGGGAATAGTGGCAGGAATAGGGTTTTGCGATAAAGGTCAAACAGCGCCAAAGATCGGCGGGTCGAAAGAAGCAGGCAGTGTTTTTGCTGTGGGTTTTTCTAAAAAGAATAACAGATGCAATTGCAATTGTGTTTTTATGTTTTGCAGAACTGTCGTGTTTGTCTGGTCTAAGTCGTTGCTGGATATGCGAAATCTTGATCTAATGCAGCCGTTGCACTGTTCTACGCCTCGTTCCCTGCTCTTCTGCTGTAGCTGTTCAGCTTGTTCATGTCTAAAAAATGAACCAGTGAACAATACACACCACCATACACACTACTAATCGAATATCACGATTGTAGTACTAGTAGATGTAGAGGGCAGAGAGTCGGAGGCAGGCCCGCGGCTGATAGCGTATTATCGCGCATCCGTACTCTACAGCTCGCAGACCTCCCAGCAGATTAACCCTCCCCAGCACATCCCCACACTACACGATACGACGACGGACAACCTCCGTGCGCAATTGCTAGAACACAGAATACCTCTCAAATACTAATTGTTTGATTGTGACGTACAATGGATCCCGAGGAGTACAGAAAGGCAGGCTATGCCGCTATCGACTACAGTACGAACCCGCGCTTGATCCTTACCTGTTCAAACACCAGGACTAACACCAATTGCTTATAGTAATCGACTACTTCAAGACCATGGACGAGAGGAAAGTGGTCGCCGATGTCGAGCCGGGATACCTGCGCAAATTGCTCCCGACCGAGATGCCCGCCGAGCCCGAGAAGTTCGACGACGTGCATCGGGATTTCGAGTCAAAGATTGTGCCTGGATTGACGAATTGGTAAGGCAATTGATTGCTCATGCAGACAGCTGTGTTGGCATTGCGTTTACTAACCAGCATCTACTACATCTAGGCAATCGCCCAACTTTTTGGCGTTTTTCCCGTCAAATGTGTCGTACCCGTCAATGCTGGGCGAGCTCTACTCGTCGGCATTCTCGGCCCCGGGATTCAACTGGATCTGCAGCCCTGCGATGACCGAGCTCGAGACAATTGTGCTGGACTGGCTCGCGAAGCAGATGGCGTTGCCGAAATGCTTCTTGTCGGACGGTGAGGGAATGGGCATCATTCAGGGCTCCGCGTCCGAGTCGGTAATCACATGCATGGTCGCCGCGCGCGACCGGTACTTGCGCGACGCGGTGGCGGCAAAGTACGAGACCGAGGAAGAGAAGGAGGAAGCGATTGCTTCAGCGCGGGGAAAGCTGGTTGCGTTTGCGTCCGACCAGACGCACTCGTCCACGCAAAAGGCGGCGCTGATTGCGGGCGTGCGGTATATCGCGATCCCGACGTCGGCAGAGGAGGAGTACGCGCTGACGGGTGCGCGACTGGAGGCGGCGCTGGCGGAAGCCGAGGCGAAGGGATTGATGCCGTTCTTTTTGACTGCGTCGATGGGCACGACGGCGGTGGTTGCGATTGACCGGTTTGGGGAGATTGCAGAGGTCACGAAGAGCCGGCCGCAGCTGTGGAAGCACATTGACGCGGCGTACGCGGGGGCGGCCCTGGTGTGCCCAGAGCACCAGCACATGCTGGACGGGGTGGAGGACAACTACGACTCGTTTGATATGAATATGCACAAGTGGCTGCTGGTCAACTTTGACGCGAGCTGCATGTACGTGCGGCGACGGCGGGATCTGGCCGACGCGTTGTCGGTGATGCCTCCATACCTGCGCAACTCGGTCTCGGACCAGGGATTGGTGGTTGATTTCCGCGACTACCAGCTGCCGCTCGGGCGGCGGTTCCGGGCGCTGAAGGTGTGGTTTGTGATGCGGACGTATGGATCGAGCGGACTACAGGAGCACATCCGGCGGACGAGCAAGATCGGCGAGTTGTTTACGGAGCGGGTGCGCGCGCGGGCCGATCTGTTTGCGATAGTGGCCAAGCCGCGACTGGGCCTGACGGTGTTCCAGGTGGTTGCGCCGGGGAGCAGCGCGGGCACGGAGGCGACGAACGCGGTGTCGAAGAAGGTTGCGGCGCGGATCGAGAAGGAGGGGCAGCTGTATCTGACGTCGTCTACGGTGCATGGAGCGTTTGCGATGCGGGTGGTGACGGGGAGTCCGTGGGCTACGGAGGGGGCGATGGAGGAGGCGTATGCATATATAGAGAAGGTGGCGGAGGAGGAGCGCAGTGAATAGAGAGGGACGGATGAGATAGTCTACGCAGGGTGATAGAAGCAGAAGCACGGTATGGATGAGTATAAGTATGGCACGGACAGGAACAGCCAGGAAGAAGCAAAAGAGTAGAAGCCAGAAAAGACCGGGTAGGCTTAGCCTGCGCCACAGAAAGGGTGCGGCGGCAAGTGGCGGTGCGAGTGCTGCACAGAGGCAGCTGTGTTGCGCGGCTCCATATCACGTCCGCCTCTCGCTCTCGTCCTCCTCCTGTCCTCCTCCCTCCCCGTCTGCCTCTTCTGCCTCGTCCAGCCCTCCAGCTGCTGTTAGTTCCTCTTATTCATTCAGAAATGTCCTCTGTCGCCCCTGTTCTCCCCATCCACGCGACCGGCGCGCCCCAGCCGGCCGCTGACTCGCTCCGCACAAAGTACCTCTGGCTCGCGGTCTACTTTTTTTTCAACCTCGCCCTCACCCTCTACAACAAGGCCGTGCTCGGAAACTTCCCGTTCCCCTACATCCTCACCGGAATCCACACCCTCTGCGGCACCCTCGGCTGCCTCTACTTCTACGTGCGCGGCGCGTTCACCCTGACGCCGCTCAGCGACCGCGAGAACTTCACGCTGTTCCTGTTCTCGCTGCTCTACACGATCAACATCGCGATCTCGAACGTGTCGCTCAATCTCGTCACCGTGCCCTTCCACCAGATTGTGCGCGCCATGACCCCGCTCTTCACCGTCTTGATCTACGTCATCGGCTTCCGCAAGACCTACTCGGTCATGACCTACGTCTCGCTCGTTCCCGTCGTCGCCGGTGTCGGCTTCGCGACCGCGGGCGACTACTACTTTACGGCGATGGGTTTCTTCCTCACCCTGCTCGGCGCGTTTTTGGCCGCGCTCAAGACTGTCGCCACCAACCGCGTGCAGACCGGCCGCCTAAAGCTCTCGCCTCTCGAGCTGCTGTTCCGCATGTCACCCCTGGCTTTCTTGCAGTGCATCGTCTACGCCTACTTCACGGGCGAGATCACGTCGCTGAAGGCGTACTGGCCCGTGTCGATGGACAGCTCGATGATGATCAAGCTGATTTTGAACGGTGCTATTGCGTTCGGCCTCAACGTCGTCTCGTTCACGGCGAACAAGAAGACCGGCGCGTTGACGATGACTGTTGCTGCGAACGTCAAGCAGATCCTCACGATCGTGCTCGCGATCATGTTCTTCCACCTCGCGGTCACTCCGTTGAACGCGATCGGAATCATTCTCACTCTTGCCGGTGGTGCCTGGTACGCCAAGGTTGAGCTCGAGAGCAAGCAGAAGTCTGCGCCTGTTGAGATGCGACCGAAGGAGGACCTTCCCATCAAGGCCTAGATACAGAAACAACAACACCAAACCACCATCATCACGCAAAGGGAAGGACAATGACCGTAGGAACGATCTAAAAACGGCCTATAATTTAAGAATTTTACTTATTATGTTTATTATTTTTCTGCGATAGCCATGTATTTTTCTTTTAGTTCAATTGTTGAATAAGAACCAACCTGATCCGGAGATTTGGTCTGAACCGGAACCCTGGCTCCGGCAGATCCTTCCTGGTACGGGGTCAGACCCTAACCTGGCAATGGTTGCGAGTGTCTTAAGTCGGGCTTGTTTATAGTATCTAGTAGTTTATTTAGGTTGTTTATGTTGTCGATAATGTACTTTAGTCTATAATAGTTCTCTATTCACTGACTGTGCTGTAGAGCCATGTGTGCACCGCCTTTGTGTCTGTGGAATTCTGCAGTAGCGGCCTGCAGGAGCTGCGGCAGAGATGAGAAACGGTCTTCTGCCTGGCCGTGGCTGTACTTGAGAATGTCACACTGCTCTTCTTCGCGTGAATCAGCGTGTGCTGTTCCTCGGTAGCGAAGCAGTTGCAAACGCAGCCATTGTTGGAGTGAAGATAAACCACCACGTGCAGCAGCAGGAAGTTGGACGCATTCGGTCGAGGTCGACGAGCAGAGGCCACCGCACACGCGTCCCAACGTTCGCCCCATCATCTCCTGGGCCTGTTCCTCTCCACCTTCTTCTTTCCTCACGATCCTCCTCTTCTTATAGTACCTCTATAGCACACACATCTACTCACTATCAACCCTCTACAGCTACTTTATTCCTCCTCGGATACCCACTCCGGCCGCTGTTCAAACTCTCGCGACCCTCGGGCTCTCGGTCTCGGCCAGGGTTCAAGGTCCGTGGCGTAGCTGTGGCTGCGCTCTGCCGCTGCCTATCGCGGTCATGTGACGTCACCTTCCGTACAACTCCAACTCCGACCGTACACTTCAGACGCACTTGGGCAGAGCAGCCTGCAATTGCCTCTGCGGTTTGTAGATATCGGATAGAATAGATCAACAATTATTCTCTAGTCTTGTGCTTTGCTCTGCTCTGCTCTCCGTGATCATCCATCTCAACAGATTAAACATCTACACTCTGCGGGGTTTTCACATGACCGACCCTGCCCATCCCATCTACCCATCTACTCTCTACTCTACCTCACATCTCATCTATCTTATAGTACATCTGTTCGCCTCAATATATACAGTCTATCTCAATCGCATATATCCTCACCGACGAATCATCGCTCGCCACCGCAACCTCAAACTTGCCTTCCCCACACCGCTTACGCGGCCTCCACGCCAATCTACTGATCCTCTGCACCGGCGAAATCTGCTCCTCCATCGCGCACACCTGCCTCATCCGTAGCCCTCCTGCCTCTCCCTCTCTACTGACCTCGTACACGTACACTCGTCCGTTGTCGAGCCCAATAGCGAGCAACCCCTTTTTCTCCGCCGCGTTTTCTTTCTCCGAGACCAGCCTCGGAAAAATATCCACCGCCGTCACCGCGTCCCCAAACTTCTCCGTCGCGACCGCAGTCCACATCTTGCCCTCCGCCGACGCCTTCCACACTTTCACAGTCTTATCCCGCGACGCCGTAGCAAACACATAATCCTCCTCTCCACTCGCCAGCAACCCCGCCGGCGCCCACGCGCAGTCCCAGATAATCCGCGAATGTCCCCGCGGCGCGCTAAACCGCTTCTCGTACGTAACCCCGCCGTCTCGGTCCACAACCTCCCACACCACAAGCATCCGATCGCGGCCGACCGACAGCAGATACCGATCGTCGGCAGAAAACTGCAAATCCGTGACAGTCAGCGCATGCGCCTCCTCCAGATGCGGCTGGATCTCGTGCCATGTGCTGGTGTCGAACAGCCGGATCACCGCATGCGTCGTGTTATTCGCCCGGCACGTCGTCGCCAGGATCTTGCGGCTGTGCGAGATCGCGGCCGCAGAGATCTCGTAGCCGTGCCCGTACAACTTCTCGATCTCGGGGAAGAGCGTGTGTCGCTGCAGGTGGGGTTCGAGCGGCGGCGTCCTCAGCGAGACTATCGACTCAAAGCTCGCGTCTGCGGTTGTCGCTTCAACAGTTTCTTCCTCTGCATTGTCGTCACCGTCCTCTGCATTGCCACTCACGCCCATATTCACTGCCTTGTTTGACAAACCGAGTGACGGCACAGCAGCGGCGTCAGGTAACACCACTTCCTCAGCCTTTGTGCTCCTGACATCAATCTGACACTGCCGCTGCAGCAACTGCGCAACACTCTTTGGCATCTCAAACACCCGCAGTACTTTCTCGTCTCCCGCGCTCACAAACACCGTCGACGAAAGACACGAGACCGTGATCATGTCGTAGCCGTGGATCTGCGGCCGCGCAAACTCATGCCAGTCAAAGTCGTCTTCTGCGCCGGTCTTCCACTCCGCTAGTAACCGCGTAGTTTGGTCTAAGCTCGCGGTGAGCAAATAGTCTCCCGTCGGTGACCACGCTATTCCGGTCACTTCTCGTACATGTCCCGTTATCGCCACTTTAGGCGCCCATCTCACATACCCCCCTCCTCCGTCTCTGCTTTCCAAACCCTCCAGCTGCCTGACTTTCCCACCGTAGAGATCCAGCTCGGATCCTCACTCTGCTCCCACAGCGCCGTCCAGAACCCTCCCGAAGACCCTGTTGCGGTGCTGGCGCCCTTGATGCTGACGTCGCCTAGCCGCGCTTCGGAAACCCAGATGCCTGAGGCCTCGTCCGGAGACCAGATCATGAGCGAGGAATCGGCAGATGCGGATAGAAGGCGCATCACGTTTGGCGCCGGATGCCATTGTAGAGAGATGACCCAGTCGTCGTGGCCCATCAAAAGGGCGTCAAATACAACCGCATACTCTCCATCCTTGTCTTTGCTGTCGGCGCCATCCCCGGTCGCAAGAGAAAACTTGTACATCGTGCTCGCAAACAAAGGATCGGCCATCATCAGAAAGTTATCCTCCTTGCCATGCTCATACTTGCGCCGCGGCAGAATCTTCCACAGCCGGATATACCGATCCTGGCTTCCCGAGACCAGATAGAGCACGTCGTCGCCGTCGTGCTCCTTGAAATGCTTGAACGCCAGACTATGCACCCAATCCTCGTGGCCCTTGAGTGTCGCGATCTTGCGAAACACCGGCGCGTCGCTCTTTGCAGAGATAAAGACTTGGATGCGCGTGCTCGTAGCTCCGATCGCAAGAACGTATACCGGCGACTGAGAATTGTCTGTGGAAGACTCTGGTCTGATCTCGTCGAGTGCGACGCAGAGCGGGAAAAACCCCGGCTCGAGATCAATCGTGTGGATCGGCTGGGCCTGCTGCTCGCTATCAGTCAGCGCGCTTGCTGTGCTCCATACCGAGACGCGGGCATCTCCACCGGCTACTATTAGAAACTTCTGGTCCGGACTGGCTGTGATCATGTTGATTGTCCTGGTGTGGAACCTGAGAGTGCTCACGCATTTGAACTCGAACTCGCGCGCTGGCGAGTCGCGACGCCAGAGCTTGACCACGCCGTCGGTGCTTCCGGATGCGATAACGTCGCTGGTCACGAAGCAGACTGCAGACACGGGATCCGCATGGCCCTTCAACACCGTTCGCACGCCTTTGCGCTCGCTCTAGACACAGACAGTCAGAATCCACGCCTAGCACCCCCCACACATTCAAAAACTCACCTCGGGCTTCCACAGCGCGACGTATCGGTCGGCAGCAAACGCAACGATCCCCTTCTGATCCGGACAGCAGGACGCAACCGCGGGCACCCTGTTCGCTCCAATCGCGATATGCTTCACTTGCACGTCCATCTTTCTCTGTCTGTTTGTTATCTACTGCCCGGTTTCCAGCGACCGCGACGGTCTGAAAAGTTTTGAGCCGCGCCAGAGGGAATCCTCCCAAACGGGGAACACGGCTGAACCTTAACCGGCGGACGAGCAGAAATCGCATCGCGGGTGCAACAAGAAGCATCAAACTGAGATATAAGAAGGAGAACCGCCAGGGCTGTTTTGACCGGGCTTTTGTTGCGATGCTGCTGAGCTTGAGCTGCTCTGATTTGTTTTATAATCCATCTTGAAGAGGTAGCTGTTTGCAAAGGTTTGATCTATCTACTATCTCTCAATGTCCTCTCCCGGCTCGTCTTCGTCCTCTCCCTCGCGGTCGTCAAACTCGACCGCTCCGTCTGATGTGGCTTCGCCTGCTTCTTCTGAAATTTCCGATTTGCTTGGAAACTTGAGTATCAAAGATAATGCAGCTAGCGAACTGACTAGACCTCTCAACGATTATACGATGTACGTCCCTTGTTGCTCAAAAGTTGCAGATCAGAGTGCTAACATCACAATCCTCAAAGCCGATATCTGTTCTGTCTCGACATAGAGGCCACTTGCTCTGAATACCTGCCTTTTCTCGAAGACACCCACGAAGTCATCGAGCTGCCTGTCGTGCTCGTCGACACCCATAAATGCGAAATCATCGATGAGTTCCACACCTTTGTCAAACCCCGCTATGCCAGGATCCTGACGGCTCACTGCACCGAGCTCACCGGTATCACGCAAGCGCAGGTCGACAGTGCGCCTACGTTTCCACAGGCGATTGATATGCTCAACAGGTTCATGCTCTCTCACGCTGATATTCTCAGTCCTCATCCGAAGGATACCAGTGCCTCGCAGCGGGCGTACCGAAACTACGCCTGGGTCACGGACGGGAATGCAGACATTGATCGATTTCTATGCCTCAGATCCTGTAAAATCAACAGGGTCCTACTCCCTCCATACCTACAAGGCCAGTACATCAATCTCAAGCAGCTCTATAAGGACCACTTCAGAGAACGAGGCCATAAGCGCATGGCGGAAATGCTGCATACCTGGAACGCCGAGTTTGAAGGAAGATTGCACTCGGGCCTGGACGACGCGCGGCAGGTGGCTAGGATAATGATTTTTTTGATGAAGCGGGAGCATGTTGATCTGCGAACGAACCGCTCGATCGTCATGCAGAGCAACTACAGGTTTACGTATAGAAACCTGAGTCCGCGGTGGTAGTCGTATGTTTCTCTTCATTGTGTTGGCGTTTATGGTGTTGCTTGATTGCTACGTTTCTTCTTGCTTTTGGCTTTCTTTTTGTTATCTCTGAATAAAGTACAATTATAGTGTGCTAGTATACAAAATTTAGGCACTGCGCAGATCCTACTGCGGCCGACCATCTTCTCGCGGCACAATCGGCAGCGAGTAGTTATTCTTCTTTGCCTGCGCGGCCAGCAACCGCTCGGCCGCATCTCCATGCCTCTCACCCTTTCCATCCTTCTTGAACGCGTAGGTAACCGTACACTGTTTCGTCATCAAGAACTGATTATTCATGCCTTCGATTGCTGCATCCGAGGCCTCGAACGAGTCAAACGATACGAATCCGTACCCCTTCGACTCGCCGGCCTCGTTGCGCGCAACCTTTGCCGGCGAAATCAGCGCCCCGAATCGAGAGAATGTATCGCTCAGCATGCGCTCGTCGACGAGCGGATCGAGGTTCCCCACAAACAGTTCCGCGCCAACGTCCAGATTCCGCTGCTTGTTCGCGCTGGCTTTGTTGACCCGGATCGGTTTGCCAAACAGGCGGATTTGGTTCATGATTTGCGCGGCGTAGTCTGCGTCTTGCTCGCTTTGAAACTCGCAAAAGCCAAAGCCCTGGTGTTGTTGTGTGATCCGGTCTTTCGGCAGATGGACGTTGACGACGGGGCCCGCTTGTAGCATAAGCTCCCATATCTGTGATTGCGATTAGACCAGTTAGCTCGTTTACTGAGCAGTTGTTGAGACTCATGGGGAGGACTTACCAGGGCATCTGTGACTTGCTCATCTAGATTACCGACGTACACCGTCGCCTCTTGATTCCTCTCCGCCTCTGTTGGCGGCCGTCCCGACATCTATGCAATATCTATAAAAGAATAAACGTAAAGGACACTCGCTCTATCGAGTTCTCTTGCTGCTGTGAATGAAATGGAACTGGCGCGCTGGTGTTTAATTTTCGAGATCAGAGCCGCAGGAGCGAAGTGGAAGGTTTATTTTTATTTATTTATTCCTTTATTTACACTGATGCAATTCATCTCTTATCAACCGTTTCTCTCTGATTTTAGTGAATACATATTCCTCCTATCTCCTCATCAATAAACCACGGTTTTTCTCTGCCTGACTACAACCTACCGCAATCATGGAGATTGTGGATCTATCCTCGGATTCACCGTCACCTGTCGACGAAGATCACCGCACCAACGACACCGACATAATCGCTCTTGACGACAGTCAGCTCGACGCGGATCTAAAACTCGAACAGGAGCACCAGCCACCCGAATCACTTTCTTCCTCCTCCTCGTCCTATCTGGCGTCGCTGGACCGCGCTGCGATGGAGCGCGAGAGACTGCTGAGGATCTCACGGGCGAACGGCGGCGGGCGCCCCAAACGACGACGCGAGGACAGCGACGACGAGGTGGAGATGGGGAACGGCAATGACGGCGACCAAGACACTGTATCTCACGAGAGTGATAGCTTGGGGCGGGGATCGACGACTGAGATGAAGAGACAGAGAGAAGATACGGCGGATCAGATACCGTTTCCGCGTGGAGTCGTGAAGCGCACGGCTGTCACTGGGTACCCTCGAACAGGGGACGAGATCAGTATCGAGGAAGTTCTGCAACCTGTGCGTATTTCCAACTTGCTATGAAAGCTAATTGGCCACCAAAACTGACCGATTTCACTCTTACAGCGACATCTTCGCAGCGCGGTACTCTCCGCTTTCCAATGGGACTTTGACTGGATCCTCAACAAGATCTTCATCGGCCGAACAAGTCTCGTCCTAGTCGTCCCCGCCAAAGGCTCCGAAGTCAGAGATTCTCTGCGCAAAAGCCTGGGCCAAGTCCCCAACGCGCGTCTGTGTATGCCCAACATGGACGGCATGATCAACTGCATGCATTCGAAGCTGCAGATCCTCTTTTACGACAAGTACGTCCGCATCGCGGTTCCCTCTGCGAATCTCACGGATTATGACTGGGGTGAGGGGATGGGTGTTATCGAGAACTATGTGTATATCCATGACTTTCCGCTGCGGTCTTCGGCAGGAGGTGGTAGTCGACTACCGAGCTTCGCGGCTGATTTGATCTACTTCTTGGAAGCCCAGGGTATGCACCAAGATATCATTGACCGACTCGAGACCGAGGTATCCTGGGAAGGAACGGAGAACGTTGAGTTTGTCCACTCAATCGGAGGCGAGCACAGAGGAGAGAAAGATATATGGAGGACGGGGTTCACGGGGCTTACTAGAGCTATTCAGAAATTCGGAGGCAAGGGATCCGAAGTACAGATTGACTATGTGATCTCTTCTCTGGGCAGTTTAACCCCGGTCTTTGTTGAGAACATATATAACGCCGCCAGTGGTACGTGTTATCAAGAACTTCTCTTTTGTGTTTCTGGATCGCTAACTCTGTCGTGGTAGGTAAATACTACTCCATCGTCACACCACCAAAGTCAGTACGCTCAGTTCTGAAAACAGCTAAGGAACGTCTCCGCGTTTACTTCCCAACCCACGACACCGTCGCCGCTTCCCGCGGGGGCACAGACAGCGCCGGGACGATCTGCTTTTCGGCAAACTATTATGAAAAGCCGGTGTTCCCCAGAGAGATTCTTAGAGATGGCCGCTGTACACGGCGTGGGTGCCTTATGCACGAAAAGGTCATGCTCATAAGGTTCGATGAGCCTGTGCGGGCGCGCGATGGCGTCGAAGTCTGTGGTGCCGCGTATGTCGGCAGCGCAAACATGTCTGAATCAGCTTGGTAAGGCGCGGTCAAGTCAGGAGAAGCGAGCAATTATTCTGACGTTTTGTTTAGGGGTAAGCTTGTCAATGATACCTCGACGAAGAGGACAAAGTTGAACTTGAGGTGCGTACGGGCTTGAGAAAGACGATTGAGCTCGTGGCTAACGAGTGCGTGTAGGAATTGGGAGTGCGGAGTTGTTTTGCGGATACCAGCGCACGATGAACGAACAGGCCGCAGCCGTTCTACTACCACTGTTGAAGATACATTTGCGGGTATAATGTGAGCAAAATGCACTCGGCGACCTTTTTTCTTCTGCTGCTAATGCTTCCGTTTCTATCAGCCCTATTCCTATGGAAACTCGCGACGTGGAGTATCAGGGTAAAACTCCCTGGTTCTTCATGAACCAGCGATAGCACAGGTCGTTGAGGTGACTGCAGCCGTCGTGGCTGTAGTATACGTACATTCGGGCATATGAGACTCGAAGTCGTTCTTGCTCCGCTCCCAGTCCACCATCATCTAATTCTCGCATCTTAAATTTGTATATTGGCATTTTACTTTCTCGCTTCTTGGTTATCTCGTATATTTCGTCCCATTTACCGGTGCAGGCTCCAGGCATTTGTGTTTCAGGATATTTTTAGTATTTTTTCGTTTGACTGCATGAATGTTTGTCAGCTTGTGTGTTTTTCTTTTGTGCAATTCATCGTACACGGGTGTTCTTATGCGTTATGTGTTTTATGTGTTTTGTTCAAATATCTTGACTTCGTTTTTGGTTATCTCCTATCTCAATCGTGCTGTAGATCACCCAATACTATCATTCTTCACCGCAAATGGGACTACAAACCCGAGCTCGTCTCCATAAAATATGCAGAGAAAAATGAAGCAGACGAGCGCCATTCCCATCGTGGAAAGCCATCAAGATTTAAAGTGTCCCAAAAAGGGTGTCTGCTCTCCCAGCCCCTGATCCGCGGTTCCGCCGCTCGACTGAGACGTGCTTCTACATCATCCTCGCCCTGCGACAGCTTTTGGATGCCCGCTTTATCTCCTCGTTCTATGTTCATCTTCTTCGTAAATATCTAAGGTGCTCTCTGCCTCTCTCCAGAATCACAGTCGTCACCCTGGCTAAGCTTCACCGAATCCTCACCGATCTATGCAATGACTTGCCTTCCTCCGGTCATTCGTCACCAGCCTCCTCGCCCACCGACAACGCCCCCATGACGCTTTCGAGCCACGCGTCGCTGGCGCCGCGCAGACGCCTGGTCGCCTCGCTCGTGGCTTCGGATCTGGCGAAGAAGTTTGCGCGGTTGAATGAGGCGGACAGCAGTCGAGTGCATGGATACGCGGCGGCGGCATCGCAGTCGGCGTGGAGCTGCGATAGGGCGGCGAACGAGATGGCGCGGAATCGATACTCGGTGGGTTACCTTCTACTGCTTGGTGCTGTGATGAGACTCATTTGGTGGACTGAACTTGTGCTAATTGGATACTCTACAGAACGTCTTGCCATGGGATAGCAACCGAGTCTGCCTGAACGTTGGTGATGGTGCAAACGACTACATCAATGCCTCTCCCATATGTCTCCAAGCGCCCAGATCAAGGCCACGACGATACATAGCTTCCCAGGTACCAACCACTCTGATCTACCTCCTCTCAAAAAAGAACCGCTCACTCATCTCAATTCACACAGGGACCTACTCGACACACTACCCCACATTTTTGGCACATGGTCTACGCCGAGACTTCAGATCCGGCCGTTATAGTAATGCTCACACGAACCTACGAAGGGCCGCGCGAGAAATGCTACCAGTACTGGTCCGACGGCACGCAAGAGATCCGCTCTTCGGAGTTCAGCTGCCGGATTACCTTGACCGACAAATACCACTACGACAAGGCAGACTGCACCGTTCGACAATTCAAGCTCGAGCCTTTTTCTCCCGACGGAAGCGAAAACGGGAACAAGGATAGACCGTCGAAGACAGTCTACCACATATACTACGAGAACTGGGTCGACTTTGGCGCGCCGGAGCCAGGACGGGAGCATCAGATTCTCGAGCTTTGTAACCTGGCAAACACGAAAAACTCTACAGACAGCCCGCTCGTGGTCCACTGCTCGGCAGGCGTGGGACGAACGGGTACTTTTATCACCGCGGACTTCTTGCAGAGCTGTGTCCAGGAAGGACCAGCTGACGACAAAGACAACGACGACGACGAAGCCTTGTCTGAAAACCACACGGTCGCGTCTTCGGCCCTGTTGTTTTCAGAGCAGAATTCTTTATATTCGAATTATACTAATACCGACCGGGGTGATCTCCCTGATCCGGTGTTTGACACCGTCGCCACGCTGCGCCGTCAGCGAATGCTCATGGTCCAAAGCGTGTGGCAATTCAAGTTTTTGTACCAAATCCTGCGGACTATAGTTTTTGACGAACACATGTAACCATCCTTCTTTTTTTTTCTTGTTGTTTTAAGGGCTCAAAGCAGAATATTATTTCTTATACACAGAGACTAAATATACAAGGCATGCAAATCGGCTGCCAGGAATCGGCTCCCTTCAGCAAAAGACGTGCTTCTGGAGCTAGGCGATCCGTAGTTTGAGCAATTAAAAATATCAGAAAAAAAGAACATAACGTCAAAAGACTATAAACTAAGCCAAGCACACAACTCCCAGTAGTAAAACAAACACTGCATAATGATAAAAAAAGAGAAAAGAGGAAACGTTCGACCTCTGCCGGTGTTGCAGAGACGAACAGTATTAGCTTTCATTTCAACTCGATGTTCCCCATCTCACAAAGAAGCATCTCGCAACCATCCGCGTATAAAAGGATCAGATCTTCTTCTTCTTCTTACTCGACTCTGCAAACGTATTCTCCGAGCTACGCTTCTTAACCACCGCGATCTTGCCCGTCGGCGGCAACTTGGGTCTCTGGTTCCGCTGCTTGGGCGGCAGCGCTTCGTCTTCCAGCAACACGCCGTCGACCTCATACTTCTCCATTCTCGAGATGAAGAAATCGCGCATCAGCCCGATCTGCTGCTCGATCTTTTCCATCGTCAGCGGCTCGAACGGCGGAGCGGATTGCATCAGATTCTGCACAGTGGGCGCGGCTTGGACGTTGGAGCTGGCGTGCAGTCGGCTATGGAGCAGGTGTAGAGGAACCGACATTGACGACAATCCAAATTCTTCATCGAGACCAAGCTCTTTGAATCCAAAGAAATCCTCGCCGATGTCGTCCGAAAACGCTCCTGTGATGAATTCTTGACTGCCGTCGTCGAACTGGGCATCAGAGTTATTGCTAGGAGCAAGCGCCGGTCGCAAGTAGTCAGCCAGCGACATATTCATCCGCTCGTGGACGTCCTTGAGTTTCACGCCAAACCTCTCGATGTCATCCCGGTAGTATGATTCAAGGCCACCGAGGTCGTAGATACCGTTCTCATAGAGCGCTTGGAGAATCAAGTCTTCCGTCGAGTAACGCTGTACTCCACGACAGGATTCCATATACAGGCACAGAGTGCGTCCCAAGCGCTCCATGAAGTCACCGGCTAATGAGGTCAGTCCTTCCATAGCAAGCATCTGGCAGTCCTCATAGCCGGTATGCATAGCAACCTTGGCTACTGAACGACGCATACACGCTTCAGCTACTTCTCGGGATAAGTCTGAATGACCAGGAAGACGGGATTCCATATCCACGTCTTTCTCAACAAGAGGCTCGGGATTGTACGCCTTTAGCTGGGCTGAGTACAGATGCGCTTGCTGCTGCATCCGCTTGATGACAGCGATCTTGGAGCATACTTTGCGAATCTGCTGCAGCTCCGCAAGATTAGCATCCATACAGGTCGTCAACCCGGATTTCGTAGAGACGAAAGGTGACTCGATCGTCGACAGATCGACTGCGGTCTCAAACTGCTCGTGTTCGAGACCCTCCAGCTTTTCTGAAACATTCCATAATGTCTCGGGGACAGTGGGGACAACCTCATACTCGAAAACTTCTGTAACGGGTTCTTCGCTCTCGACGGCTGCACCCCGAAACCCTGTCTGACTCTCAGCCTGACTGGCAGTGTCGTCCTCGCGTCGGTTCAAGGGGTGATGGGGCACGTAACCAGGAGGCGCTTTCTTTGACCCCGTATGCACACGAGATGACGAGCGGTGGTTACCCACCACGCTGTCTCCGTCTTCACTTTCGATATCGCCATCGACAGACATCTCTCGCGGAACAGGAGTGACTGTGTAATCCTCGGACTCAGCCTCGGCCTTGCTCTTGATCGTGATGTCGGGAATCAGCGGGATCAGCGTCAGAGTCTTCTTTTTCATCGCGATGGCGTGCTTGCGCAGATAATGCTGCGGGTCGGTGTTGAACTCCAAGCAATTATTCCAGATCAGCATGAGATCATCCACAAACTCCTGCTTACTCCGATACTGAAGAGCCTTCAACTTTTTCATGACCGTGCTGAGGTCCATCGGATGTTTGATGATATTAAAATAATTTGGTGCATCTCTTTTGTTGACTTTGTTGAGGAAAGCGGTAGAATGCTCTGTGTAGGCACGAAGTTCCAAGACCACTTTTTCCGCTGCCTCATACAACTCCTCCTGTCCCACCCTGTCCTCGCTCGCCCACTTCGATCGATTTTTCCGAACCTCTGATATCAGGTTCCTGAGCTCGATGTCGGAAAATGATAGCTGTTGACGCTTTTCGTCGATAACAGCCAGTAAATGCTATTCGTAGTAATGTTAGTAAAGAATTCTCAGATCATTGCAATATTATAGGCACAAAGTACCTTCAAGCTCAAGTTTGCAGCGCCAAAGTTGATTTGACTGAGCTTTCCTTGACCGTTGGGTGGATGCGCATCTGCGTTACCGGAGCCATTCTCACGACTAGGGCTGCCTTCTCTATTTGTTTGAGAGCGTTTTCCAAGCTTGTGGACTTTGAGCAGGTGCTCGCTGTCAGAATCAAGAGTCTGGTAAATATTGTTCATCTCAAAAGTAAGCATCGCGTCTCCGTTTTGTCTCTCTTCGCTTGCTGATGGAGTATCTAGGGACGTGTCAGTAAGCAAAGACTCTTGACTAAGAAACCAAAGAAGAAAAACACACCTGCTGGAGTAATAATGCCACCGGATATTTTGGCTTCGGGATCTGTGCTGGGTCTCTGAGGCGTTCCAGATCGAGATTCAGGCTTGAGATCGGGCCTGTTATCGTTGCCCGATTTGCTGGCCGACTCTGGTGTCTTGTCATTCTGACCTTTCGATTTGCTTTCAGGTGTATCGGGTCTTTCATTCGTTTCGACGTCCTGCATCGTAGTATCCTGTTCTTTGGCTTCTTCCTCCTTTTGTTCATCTTCCTCTGCTTCGTCGTCCTCATCGTCGTAATCGTCTTCATCGACTTTACGCGTCGGAGGTGGGGGTTTCTCCTTAACTGCGAGCTCAGCTTCGTCAGCTTCAGCATCCGTGGATTTCTCGTCATCAATGAATGCGAAATCGATCTCGAAAGACGCGGCGGGTGGTCGAAATTCCGAAGCAAACAAGTAGTTGACAGATTGTTCGTAGAGCATATACCGAATTTTGAGCGCGAGCGCGACGAAATCGACGTCCTTCTCAGTCTTTTTGTCTTCCGCATTCCCGTTGACTTCTGAATCACTTTTCGTGCCGGGATCGGCAGATGGCTCGGGAGATTTCGAATTGCCGTTGTCATTGGGAGTAGGCGATGGACGCGGCGTGTGAAGCTCGGCCGGATCTTCTTGCTCAGACTGGATCTGCTGAGTGGAGTCGACTTCTTCCGCTTGTGCCGCTGTTGAATCCGACGCTTGATTATCTGTCAGGCTATCATCAATCGCCTTCTGCCGTGCAGATTTCGCGGATATCAGGGTTTTCCAGGAATCGCCGCCTTCGGCAATTGCTTTCGCGTATATCGTATGCTCATCGGAATTAAGATGTGGTCTCCAAGCGCCGTGATCCTCAATTTGACGAGCCAGATTCAATAGCCGATCCGGATCGCCAGACGACCATAATCTTGCCAACTGCAGAGGCTGGGCCGCCATTGTGAAAAATAAAGATGCAACAAGAGAGGAGAGGGCGGGCTAGCAAGACGCGGGTGCACTAAAACTCCACCGTGACGGCACCACAACGCATCGGAGCAGTTTCAGCTGGTAAATAACGAGAGCTAATGACCAGATAAAGATAACTATGTCAAAAATGCAGATGGATGGATAGAACGCGTCTAGATGGAATAGCTTGTTGAAACAACCAGGCACGAAGTTCAGTGATATCTGCTGGGCTCGATAGAATTCACAGAAGCCTAAAATAATAACCCTAAACCACTATTCTACCCCATCGCCAAAATCCTAAATAAATTCAGGCGTAGCTTAAAGTATCGTGAAGCAGAGCACGGCAGATCTCGGATTTCCTGTATGCTGTCGACCAGGATCGGCGATGGAGTTTCCTGAAATCAGCAAAAAGTTCAAGAAAGCGGCCGCCAAGCAGCGGTCTCGTGTGAAGATCTCGTTCGACGAGGGCGAGGGTGAAGACGACGGCTCGCCTTCGTTGCCGCACGCGTCGAAGAGATCAACTTCGAAGAAGACGTCGAGTTTGGACCGCAACGCTACGAACGACACGTCTGTTCCGAGTAATGAACATTTAGAAGCTCAGGTATGTGGTTTTTGGCTGCACAAGTATTCTTACCAGATGGTTTGGTCTGACCTTCATTTTAGGACGAAACCCGAGACGATGATGAGGAAGAAGAAGAACCTCATATCATCACCGCGTCATCTTTAAGGAAGAAACAAAAAACTAGAGCCAAAGGGCTAGCATCTGATCTGGCAAGAGTCAGACTACGTGATAAGCTAGCGCCGAGCGTGCCAGCTGTAAAAGAAACCTCCAGCACATCCTATTCTGCTTCCTATCTTGATGAGCTGCGCGGTGCCACACCTACAACACCGGCTGAGTTTACCAAGAAAGTGGACTTTGATGACGACCAAAACCGTGACAGCTCTGATCCCAAAGACGAAGATGTCTTTGAGGTCAATGCTGAGATGATGGAGGATATAGATGTACCAGACGAGGCCTTCATAAGCCACATGATTGAAAGGAGGAGAGAAAAGGCAGCAGCGCTTGCGGAAGAGGAGTCAAAAGAGGAGACTCCATCGAAAGCCAAGAATTTCATCTCTCTTGATGAGTCTGCTAGTGACGGGGAAGAGAAAATGGAAGGAGTCGAGACATATGAAGAGGATACGAGTGAACGCCCTAGCAAAGGTCGTCTGCAGCGTGAAGATGACGTTCCTGATAACGAATTTGAGGAGATTGCTGAAGGCGATGGCCGCATCCCGTTAAGCGCCGCTCAGGAACTTCACCAGCAACAACAACGGAGGCGTGAAATGGAAGACATGATCAACGACCACGAAGATGACCAGCCTGAAGCGGGCGATGATTATCTGTACATGGGCGAAGCCAGTAGTGACTCTGAAGACGACTGGGAGAGGGCACAGCTTATGAAAGGCGCTTTTGGAAAACGGATGAATGGCACAGACCAAGGCGTTGACCAAAGGAAGTCGGAGACTGACTCGAAGTTCATGGTACTCCAGGGTTTACCAGACTTTGACTCGGTTTTAAAGAGGCTTACGCTTACGCTCGAGAAGATGCGACAACACAGAGACGAGTCGTTCGATTCCCTTAAAGAGCTAGAAGCTGAACGGGAACGAATAGAAACAAGGAAGGCTGAGGTGAAGGAGGCCCTCGAGAGTCAAATTATAGATGTATAGATAAACAGGGGATAATTTAGGAATTATGTACAAAATGTAAGATAGCTAGCGAGCCCAAAGAGGTTGGGATATATACCAAAATGCTCACCATTCTAATCGTCTTGACTCTTTTCCATCTTCGTATGCTATCAGCTCGCCGCTCTGTATAGTTACCACGTTCATACGCTCGAGATCGAGGAAGCCTTTGAATTTGACGACACAATAGTGCTTTTGACTATCCTCCTCTCCATCGCTTTTGTTTTGATTTCTCACGAAAGAGCCATGAACCACTGCTGTTCCGTTCACGTCTACCCACACTCGATTTTTCCACTTTTCCAGTCCATCAAGAAGCTCGTGAACTGCAGATGTAGGCTCTCTTTCGTTATCGCTTCCACCATCAAGTCCGACTGCATTGGCGAACGGCGTCACAAGCCTTGAATAGGCATCTTCGATTGAAAGGATTCGAACACTTGATCGTATTCTTGGGAAAATCTGGTCCGATTTTTCACGGTAAAACTCAACTCCCACAATGACGTGTTCTTTTGGTCTGTCTGGTGGAAACGAGAATTTGACGTCCTCCATCTTTTCGATGATTATTGGTAGTCCTAGCATTGCACCTACTGATTCTTTGTATGCCAAGGCGCCGAGGAGGGCATCTTCGGTCAAGTCTAGATGTGTTCGGCTGTCAATATCTACCAACTTTCAAATAACACACTCAAGACTCACTTCTCAGTGTCTGTATCTGCTCGGGAGACAGGACTTCCTCAAAGACGTAAGGCTTCGCCCATAAAGGGAGGAACACTGCCTGATCGCGATAATGTATTCGATAAGTAAAATAGCCCGCCACCACCACCGATGTGCCAGCAATCAGTAGGGTAGACAGCCACTTTGATAAAAACGACTTTCCGTGCAATGTGTGCGAGGAAAGTATCGCTTCTTTCAGATCTTCTTCTGTGAATCGCTCGTCGCCAGAGAACCTTCGAGGTGGTAGTTGCTCGCTGGCTCTGTAGGATAGAATGGAGAAATGCCGGAGTGATCTAGAGCCACTGTACACGTTCTGTGAATTTATAAGTCTTCTTTCGGTGAGAAGACCAGCACTTTCAGAGATTAGAGAGGTATGCGGTGGCAGCCATGCGCGAACTAGTTGCGAGGGGCGAAGTCTGACGCTCGAGACATGACGACGGAGACTGATCTGGGCCTGACTCGGTATCTGCCGCACTCGCAAAGTGCAAACACTCGCCATAGCAAAACAATTAAGTTATTTCTGCCTTTTCAAATCAATTAGTAGCGGTTGACGAGCTGGAACAAGCGACAGAGACGAGAGTTGCTGATGATTTGTAGCGAGACGGGGATTCTCCACGACATCATCAATCGCGAAGGTTGGGAGGAATCCAGAAATACGGTTAGGGTATAAAATCTGCCGGACCTCACTGTTCATCGTCTATTTCGAGTATTATTTACATCATCCGCAACTTCGCTGTGTAATCAATAGATCCTGGATCTTTTGAATACTTTGGTATTTTATATACTGCATATTGTTTGACGTTTTGACATTTAGAAGTCATTACTACGACTGCTTTCACCACTGGGTCATCATATCAAACCATCAATATCTTCACAGCCGATCAAGTGACCGATTCAAATCAAGATGTCGAAGCCATCCACACCAGAGTTGAAAAAGGTGAGGGATCCTTCCAGCTGAGCTATACCGGGATTGCGTGCTGACTCTTTTGCAGTATATGGACAGGCGGCTATTCGTGCAGCTGAATGGCTCGAGGAAAGTTATTGGTGTTCTACGAGGCTACGATGTAAGCTACTCTTGAACGCGCTAAAGGAGACACGTATGCTGACAGACGAATACTATAGGTCTTTCTGAATTTAGTGCTCGATGATGCGGTCGAGGAAAAGGATGGCGGTGAAAAGATCAGGATTGGAACTATTGTGCGTATCACACAAATCAGAATTTATGGCTTTGTCCAGCGCGACTAACCCTCAAATTTTCCATACATGCAGGTCATCAGAGGAAACTCCGTGGTTATGATGGAGGTGAGTAATATCAGACGTCTACTGGGTCTAGAAAACATCAGCTAACGACGGGAATATAGGCACTGGAACGAGTATCCTGATCGGATAGCGATATGAAATTCGACTAGGATGCGACTTATGTTTCTCGATCGCGTTTCTGGGCGCGTTGTTAACTAGAACCTATCCTTAGAATAGCGTTTACATGTATATTATGTTTTGTCTCGTCAAATACAGCTTTGTTCTGCCTTTGAAAACACCAGTGTTCGTTGTAGGCAGATCCTTCTCGACATACAAAACCGAAACCAAGGACAAGCAGGATACGGCTCCTACTTACAGCACACACAGCGACCTGACAATAACACTCTCGACCAAGGAATCGTCAGATACAAATGTAGACGACTACGAACAGCTGATATCCCTCCAATCCCTTTGTTAGCAATACTCCGTGAACGTTTAAACATTTTTATCAAACCTAATTTGTATAGCATTTTACTACACGCTAGCCATATTAAGATTAGCTTTAAAGCATATATAGGGTTAGGATGGCCCCGAGGCGGGATGGCCGGCAACACGCTCGACGCTTCAGAATATTTCCTCGCGGTCTCAACCTTCTCTGTCGACTAGTTTGCTCTGCATTTCGGTCAATTGATGGCCAATTGTCTCCTGTATTCTGTGTATGGCGCCGAATAATCTATATCTTGCTTGAATGTAAGCTGGGCTTGTTTCCTCGTGCTCTGGATAACCACTAACGCTCAACACGACAGAAAAAAGTGTATCGCATATCGAGAGTGCAAATATGGCGAAGGAGAGCGATAAATCAGCAACCAAGGCGGTACGGAAGAACAAGGCCAAGTTAGATCGGTCAGGTCTTTTGTCGACAATCGTACCCGTGTGGTTCCTGCTATTGAACGTCGCAGGTCTGGCGCTGTTCAGCCTCGGGTTTCTTTTGACTCGGCCGGTCCTTCCTGACATTGCTGTCAAATCTGAAACGTACTCAGATCCAGCAGTCGTGTTGCCGAAGCCTTTCCAACGAGTTGTCTTCATTTTGATTGATGCTCTAAGAGAGGATTTCATCACCGGCAGCGCTCCCGCAGATAGCTACATCTCAACCCTTGTTACGCCTGCAAAGTACGCAGAGTCGCAACCCGAGAATGCCGCGGTCTTCAAGTTTATCGCGGACCCACCCACTACCACATTGCAACGTTTGAAGGCTCTTACAACGGGTTCATTGCCTACATTCATCGATGCAGGATCCAACTTCAACGGTGCCGCAATCCTTGAAGACTCGTGGGTTAGCCAGCTTCTGGCAAAGAATGGATTTGATCGAATTGCATTCGCTGGTGACGACACATGGGTCTCGTTATTTCCTGCACTGCTAAACGGGACTGATAGCTCGATCAACAAGACGTTTCCCTACGAATCGTTCAACGTGCTAGATATCCACACTGTTGACAACGGTGTCACCGCTCATCTAGCACCCTTGCTTGAACGTCGTTCTGAGTGGGACGTACTGATCGGCCACTATCTCGGTGTGGACCACACGGGACACCGTTATGGACCCAACACTGAAGTAATGAAGGACAAACTTGCTCAGATGGACGATGTTGTCAAGAGCGTCATCAGCGCTATAGAAGATGATGAGGACACATTGCTCGTAGTCCTCGGCGACCATGGCATGGACGAAAAGGGAGATCATGGAGGTGACTCTAAAGGAGAGATTGAGGCCGGCCTATTCATGTTAGTATTCTTGTCGCTCTGTGTTGCATTACGCGTTCTAACAAAACTGTAGATACTCGAGTCGACCATTCTTGGCTCCTTCGGATGAAATTACGACCGTCAACCAGATCGATATCGTACCAACTCTATCTCTCCTACTCGATATTCCTATTCCATTCAACAGTCTTGGCTCGCCTATCGCCTCCGTTTTCAAGGGTCCCAAGTCAGACTTTCATCAACTAGCATCCGCCTCGCGCATTGTCTCCGAGCAGATCAACTCGTACCGCTCGCGTCATCCCTCGTTTGCCAACTCGACCGACGTCTCCATACTTTTCAACGAGGCAAACCTGGCATGGGTTAATCAAGATTATGAGAAAGCTAGCTCATTGTATCTTGCTTTCCAGTCAGCAAACGTGAATGCATGCCGAGACATGTGGGCGCGCTTCGATCTGGTTTCAATGACTTTGGGTATAGCTCTGTTGGTCGCTACTTTTGCCACTATGATTGCATTCTATGCTATATTCAATGGTGATAGTGCATGCGCGTCTGACTACCTTAGTATGTTTTTCAAGCGTATTGTGCTTGGGACGGCTATTGGTACCTTGGGTGGCTACGGATCGACTGAGTTTGTTCTTTCCGATAGAACGTTGATTGTCACGGTGTTTGGAGCGTCAGTCGGAAGTTTGCTTGGATTCCTGAGCTGTCTTTTGAGAATGCGCAAGTCTCTTCCATCGATCAGCCTTCCTTCGAAATGGACAACTCTAGCGCTGGTATACACTGCAGCCCACGGAATGCTTTTCGCATCCAACTCGTACGTTGTCTGGGAAACCCGATCGCTATCGTATTTGCTTGTCACGTTCGGCTTCATTCTCTTGGCTGCGAGCTTTGGAATCACTGATCCCATCCAGCGAGGAACCACTGTTTACAACTCTGTGATGTTCATCATCCTTGCCCGTGCTGCGGAATATCCAAAGCTCTGTCGCGAGGAGCAGCTACCCTTTTGCACTAGCAATTTCTACTCATCTCCGGATTCGTCAGTGTCGTCAGTGACTGTGATTATTATACTTTTCTTGGTTCCAATTGTTCTTCCTTCCGTCATACGGTCATTCCTTAGAACATCTGCCTCTGATGAGGGCTCAGCAAAGGCATGGATAGGAGCTGGACTGCGCCTGGCTCTTGCCTTGGTCGGACTTTACTGGACTCTTGATTATGCCGAAATGGATCCGCGATCGATCACAGCGCCTGAAGACATTCGTCCTTTCAAGTATATGATTTCGAGACTATTGATCGGTATCGCACTTATTGGTGGTCCATTGGCGTGGTTCCGTGCCTCTCCACTCTGCCTTCGCGTTGAAATGACGAATAACCAAGAACTCATCAAGCGCGCGGCGGAGGAAGGTGACATTGAGACTGTCGAGAAGACGAAGCCGGTATCGGTGGAGATTTTAGGATTTGCAAACGCTTACGGAAGTCTCTATCTGTTGCTTTTCCTCTGTCTCTATGCAGGCGTTGCATTGTGCAACAAGCCTATGGGTGGAATTGCGCTGGCGGGAATGATTTACCAAATTCTAACGCTTCTCGAGATCAGCGACGCTCTTGATATTCCTCAAAAGAGCGTGCTTTTGATTCCTACTATCCTCGGTTTGATGGGCACGCAATACTATTTCGCTACTGGTCACCAGGCAACTCTCGTATCCATCCAATGGGACGTCGCGTTCCTGTTTACAGAAACGACAAAGCCCCCATTGCCTCATATTGCCTTGATCTTGAATACCTTTGGACCATATATCTTAGCAGGATTCGCCGCTCCACTGAGCGTGCTATACAAGCTCTCACCATCGCCAAAGGACTTTAGAGCATCTGAGATCACCCTCAGTAAAGTTCTAAGATCCTCGATCGGTATGATGATCTATACGACATTGCTTACAGTTATCAACTTTGTCATGACCGCAGTGTTGCGGAGACATCTTATGGTCTGGAAAATTTTCGCGCCGCGGTTCATGCTTGCCGGCGGAGCATTGATTGCAGTCGATGTCGCCGTCGTGTTGGCCACCTATGCAGGTGCTAAATCAGTTAGCAGCATTTTCGACGTCTTTGGCTAATCGAAACGGTTTATACTCGGTTCGGGAGCTATATGCATGAAGACAAGACTATGTTTATAAACGCAATTTTTATGATGGGATGATTTTTGCATCGATGTATATTGCTTAACGATGGTATCACCTTATCTTTAGTTTATAAGTTTGGGTGTATACAATGTATCATATTGGAAATTTGAGAATGTATAAATAAATAAATGCATGACCGGTTTGATGAAATTCGAATAGATACATAAATGGAATATTTCATGAACAAGGTGCATCTCACATGATTGCATATAGCAAATATGTCCGTTTCCAACATGCCTCGACTCTTTTCTGAACAACACTTTCTAGCTTCTTCCTCTCACCTTGCTCCATAAGCTTATCAAGCTCCTCAACCACAACATCGAGGGTTTTCTGCAACCGCATGTTAAACACGTTCTCCAGATACAGCACATCAAAGAGTAGCTGTGTCCAGTTATCTTTCGTAGGGAAGATCTCTGATTTTGACTCCTGGCTTTCTTCTTCTGGCTTCTCGATCTTTGTCTCTGTCTCTGTTTCCGTGGAGGTCTGCTCACTGTTTTCAGGTGACTTCTTCTCGTCACTGTTCTCAGCCTCCTCAGATTTCTCTGGTTCGGGCTCTTGCGTCTCTTCGGAAGAGTCAGACTTCTCTTCGTTGGAGTCCTCCCCTTCTTTCGCTGCATTGTCTTTGGTAGACTGTTCCTCACTACCAGTGTCCTTGTCGTCGGGGGTTGTACCTGCGGATGTCTCAGCGGTAGCTCCGGGCGAAGACTCAGGCTCAGGATTCTGATTCTCAGAGACTGCACTGATCTCCGACTCACCCTGCTTGACGACGCCGTCACCATTCGTATCTACCTTCTTCAGTGATTCAAAGTGCTCTTGGATTCCTGCCGAAATCGCCTTTGCCCATTTGCTTCCAGCAACGATACGGAAAACGACAACGCTGACCGAAGATCCTATAACCACATCTTCCCATCCTCCCGATATGATGGGTTCAACATATGTACTGTAAACTCCTTCGGACAACCACGGCGACACGTCCGTAGGATACTTTGTGTGCACAGCAGATGGGATAGTTTGCGGCTCTTCCTCCCACAATTCACTCGCTGGAAGAGACTCCAAGAACTTGCGAACCTGAGCGGGCGAGACGTCTTTATCAAATAGCGCATGCGCAAAGGCTTCATATACCCGAATGACCGTGCTTGAGACCTCGTCTTTGACCTCCGAAGACAATGGTAGCTCGCCGATCCGTCTCGTCACACGGACCAAGCTTCCAAGCTTCTGCTTGTCTCCTGCCGTTTCTTTGAGCATGTCGTCTATTTTGGCTAGTAGTGTCTTGACGCCGCCGGGAATTACGTCGTTGTCAATCACAAGCTCAAGAGCCTTGGCTTCGCCCAGTGCCAGATCGCGCACCGATTTAACCCATTCTTCCTCTTCATCTCCATAGGAGTTGTAATCAAAGACGCCACTGACTTTGCTGACAGTTGTGTGCACGTCTTTGACAGCAGACCACCAGCTTCTGATTTCATCTATGATTATTCCACAGGACGAAGCTTTCCCACTCAATAAAGCAGAGACAGCCGAGCGGAAGTCCAATGCTCCACGTGAAATGTCAAGGTCCATCCATCTATCATCCCAAAGACTCATGATACCAGACTCTGTTGATTTACCAGAGTTTACATCACTGACAGCATCCGCGAGCTGCGCGGCAATACTCTCGGCCGCACCAAGGTATGTCAAGCAAAGTTTCTTCAACGCTGGCAACCACTCTTTCTCCCAAGTCGACGAGTCCGATATCAGGACGGCTCTGATTGCCGGTCTATCAACGAGAGACTCAAAAATCTTGCGACGTAGATCAAGAAGCGACTGTATAGCTTCCTTGGACCCTGCTGTAACTTTGCCTGGCTCGACAGCGGCAACAACAGACTCAATGACTAGACGAACACCTTCTTCGAAAGAATTAACCACGGTTTTCTCAAATGACTTGAGGCTTTCGTTAGTATTCAGAGCCTTTTCGTCCTTTGAAAGCACCAGTATGTGCTCGGATATAGATTTCGGTACCCAGACATCGAGAACCGAAAAGTCAATGTAAGGAAGCTTTCTGATCTCGGAGTCTTGTAGCACAGGCAAAACGGCCGCTCGAGAGAGCGACCGCTGGAACTGGTTGGGAAACAAAGTCTTGGAAGTGCTGATTGTGGAGTCGAAAACCGCCAAAGCGTCAATGAGAGACTCGGGAGTGCCGTCTTCCATCAGACTTTTGATTTGAGCAATGCGCACACCAAGGAAGTAAGAAATCGTATCGCCAGAATTGGAAGATGAGTATAAAGAGTAAGATACTAGTCCATCGAGGATCACGGCAGTCACTGCGCCTTTGAGAATCTTGTCGAGACAGGATAGGAATCGCGCCTCGAGAGCTTTGAATCGAGCGTGGAGAAATGACTCATGAACGTCAATCACTGCAAGCAGCTCTTTCACTGCCAAAAGAACCTTGCAAGAGGTAAGAATGAATGTCGGGTTACGCAGTAGATATTCGAGAGCGAAGAAGAAGTCCTGGATATTTTTTGATAGTGCAACTCTTCTTTTCCTGTCCAGATCTATCGGGCACATCGTCTTAGTTTTGATCCAATAGCGATAAACATCATAGACAGTCAAAACTACACACCTGTTTCCGCAAATCGATCGACAACAGATTCTAGATTTCGTGCGCGATGCCGAAGGGCAGAAGACTTGCATCCTCTACCCAGTTGCTTGAATTGATCTTCCAAGCTACTGACGGTGCCATTCATATCAATGATCATATCAGCTGTTGCGAGCAAGTCGCGGTAGCTCTCACCAACCAGTTCGCGCAATTGCTCGCGTTTGGTCTGCGCCTCTTTACGTAGCTGGAAGGCAACAACGCGAACTTGCGGAGGCTGGTAGTGCTCAAAGACAGACTCATAAGATTGGATGGAGGAAGGGTCGAGGGTGCCATTTATAGACGAAAAAGAGGCTGTGCTATTGGTTCTTCGTGCACCAGAGATTGGGACTGTTGGAACGGATGATGGGGAGCGGACGAGAGATTTCAGCGAGCTGATCGAGGTGGTGGACGCCGAGGTATCGCGCCGGGCAGGCGGCCTCCTGGATGGTGTTGACACCATTGCCTGTCGCCAATTCCTGAACTGAGATCAGTACAATAAACACCAGTCCTGTTTACTTCGCCAACGCACAGATTGACCTTTCACCAGGCTTTGCAGACCAGGTAATTGCTGCAAACTGTACACGCTACTCGGCTGAGGAGGGCGTGTTGCGCGCATCTCGAAGCTGCCACCTCCACAAGCCCCTGCGCACGTGACTGTTGAAAGAAGCACGTGCGCCGTCGTTATTTTTGTAACCCCGGATCCTTGGGCACAGCCGAACCGCGTAAAGAGTACACATAATCACATCCAAATGTCGCCCGCCTTATAGCGAACACCCAGCCCGGACCTGACTGGCGCATACAAAGCACACTTTTTTGACTGCGGGAGAGACCAGAGAAGCTGCGCTGGATCAGACGATCAGCAAGCAATCTACTTCGGGATCTGCACCATTCATAAGCGCAGACGCGGTATCCAGAATTCAACATCTTTCGGGAACGCTTCAGTTACTTGACGATGTCCGGAATCGTTCGTGTATCTACGCGGCGGTTTGGACACGTCTTACACGTGCGGCGTGTGAGTCTACAGAGACGGCTGCCGAACGGCGGTAAAGCCTCACTGGTGGGGAGGAGGTTGGTGACGATTGACGCGCGCTCTGCGGAAGGACGCGCCAGGCCTATTGTACAGATGCAGGCCGCAGATGGAACCTGGAGGGATATGGGAGATCCTCCAAGCTCTAAATCGTCTTCACCGTCCAGCTCTTCCGAGAATCCAAATAGTAGTTTGGGACAACAGCCCGCAGACTCCTCTGGAAATGTCAGTAATGCGGGTAATGATCCACCAGCAAAGGACGGGGAGCAGCCGACTCCAGAAGCTGACGACGAACCTGGCCTTACGGTCACCTATGCACCTCCCAGTATTCGATATGTGCATCACTTTGATACATACAAGACGTTCAAAGTGCTTGAGGCAGCTGGGTTTACCAAAGAGCAGGCTATTCTGATAATGAAGTCCATGCGAGGACTGCTTCTCGAGCATTTGACGCGGGCAAAAGACACATATCTCTCGCAAGCCGACCTGGAAAACGAAGCATATTTGTTTGACGCAGCCTGCTCTGAGCTGAAGACAGAGATTCAGAACAACCGCAAGACACAAGCTCAGCTCGAGAAAACAGAGATCGCGGCTTTGCAGACCGAGTTCATGGCGCTGAAGCGGCAATACGAAGAGGAGATCCAGAATATGAAGACTGAGATTAGCGTGGAGGTGAACGACAGACAGAATATCATGAAGGTCGAAAATAGAGCGAAGGAGCTTCAAATACAGGAACTAAACAACCGGATCATGATCGTGATCACGTCAGATCTACGATCCGAGGTTGAGGCTCTCCGATGGCAGACCACCCGAAGAGGATTATGTGAGTGCACTACAGAGCCTTTTCTTTCAACCAGACGATCGAAATACTAACTGGAATCATAGTTGCCATTGGTGTAATTGCAACATTAATCGTTACTGCATTATCCTATCGCAATCGGTTTGAGCAGAATAAAGCCGCGGAGCAAAGAAACGATGCAGCGGCTGCGGCTGCCGCTATAGCTGCAAAGGCGGATGCGGAGAAGGCGAACGATGATATGCAGGAGGATTTCATTCTGCGGTGAAAGTGTATAGAAGACTGACGACCTTGTACAAATGAATCAGTAAATTCACCCAGTTAGCTTTGACGGCACATTGCCAAGGCAAACGCCCTATATTCTGTCGATTTCGCCATAGAATAGGCTGTTTATAGTTCTACTGGTTACGCTAGAGATTACTCTGAACGGTCGCGAGAGTAGGAAAGAAAGACGCGCTTCTTGCTGCTATTATCCCATGATCCAGGCACACATCGCAGCAGAGTCAGTGGAGCCAGCATCAAGGCGGCGCAGGAATTTACTAGCGAATAATCTGCCCAACCCGCCACAAAACACAATTGCGGGCAGGCCAATAGCACAGTCATCTTTCAGTAGATATTCGAACCCAGACAATGAACAGCAAACCACTAAACAAATCTTATGTGATAAAAATGCCCATTATTTCCTGCACCCGGGCTTATCTCATACAGATCCGGCCTATCGTGACCATCGGCGTTGTGCCGCGCGCTGGTGCACAAACGGCATAACCGTCAAACGCGTGCACAAACACAACGCCCGTCTCGCCGCCCGTTCGCCTCCTCGCAGCTTAGAGCACATCGACTCCCCGGAACAAGCTACAATGAACGCGGAACCCTCACTGGCAGCGTCGTCTCTCGGGCAGCCGACCGCGGCTGGCGGTAGCGGTGCTCAGAGTCAACCTCAGAACCAGAATCAAGGTCAAGGGCAGCAGCAGAATCCGCAGAATCAACAGCAACAACAGCAGCAACAGCAACAGCAACAGCAACAGCAGCAGCAGCAGCAGCAACAGCAGCAGCAACAGCATCGATCTGAGCAAGACTTTCTTAACGCGTATATTTACGACTACTTGAGAAAGCACAACTTGCACCAATCGGCAAATGTCTTCGGCCAAGAGGCGGACGTAAAGGTCCATCCGGTCCTTAAGGGTCAGCCATTGAGCCAGCCTGCAAGACCAACGGATTCGGGCGAGGAGCTCAAGACTGAAAACCGAACGAACGGTGATTCGAAACAGGGCGATGGCGATGATGAGAGTAGCAATGCGCCGAACACGCTTGCAAAGTCCGTCGGAATCATTGATGCGCCCGAAGGCTTCTTGTTTGAGTGGTGGCTCATTTTCTGGGACCTACTCTTTGCTAGATCAAACAAGCCGGCCTCCGTTCCCGCTCAGCAGTTCATTTCGGCCCAGGTATGAGATTATTTACTAACATACTCCATCCACTTTTGTGCTGTTTACTGACTCAATTACAGAGAATCCGCCAAGAGCAGGCCATTCGCGCCGCTCAGATCCAGCAGCAGCAGCAGCACCTTCCGGGCCACCTCCCCCCCGGGTACGCTCACTCGGCTGCTCTCCTTGGAGGCCGTTTGCCAAACGGATTTCCTGAGGGTCTGTCTGATCTTGATAAACAACGCCAGCAGCAGCTTTCGCGGCAGGCTGCTCTTCGCTCACGCACCGGTGCGGCAGGATTCACCCAGTATGCTCCCACGAAACCCCCTTATTCATCACATTGCATCTCCATTGATCTGTACTAATATCGTAACAGGCAACAACTGCAAACCATGAAACAGCAGCAGCTCTTTGCTCAGCAGGCGCATTTGCAACAACAGCAAGCGGCGGCGGCCGCTGCTGCCGCTGGACAGAACCCGGCGGGATCCTCGCAGCCCCCTGATCCTGCTAGTGTGCAGTCTCCTACGCCGAATCAGTCTTCATCACCATCCAAGCGACAACGGCTTTCTCCTGACGGACAATATGCTCAAGTGCCATCGAACCGATTTGTTTCGTCGACTGGCCAGCAGCCTAATCCGGCGGCCCAGCAGATGTTGCTCAACACCGGAATGAATAACGGTCCCCAGTCGGCGTTCAACTCTCAGATCCTGATGAAGCAACAGCAGCAACAGGCCGCAGCTCAGCAGCAGCAGCAACAGCAGTTGCAGCAGGCTCATCAGCATCCCGCTCAGCAGCAGCAACCGCAGCCGCAGGTGGGAGGGCCCGCCACAGGCCTTCAAGCTCAGCAGATCCAGCAGTATTCCGTCAACCTTCTTGGTAGCCACCAGCGTGCTCTCATGAATATGAACAAGAATCAACCGGCCGGCGCTGGTCCTCCCGGAGGACCTCCAGGTGGACCCCACATTGCCGGTGGGTCGCCGATGATTGCCCATTCGTCGTCTGATCAGCACCCGATATACATCGCTGATGCTTATGCGGCTCAGGGCGCTGCTGGAGGGCAGATTAGGATCCCTCCCGGCACGCAGCCGTCTGTTGGTGGGAACACGAATGCTCTGCAAGATTACCAGATGCAGTTGATGCTGCTTGAACAACAGAACAAACGCAGGCTCATGGTCGCACGCCAAGAGCAGCAAGATTCTGTTATCAAGCAGCCAGGATTGCCAGGAACGGCACAGCCAGGTGACTACGCAGCTATCTCCCCTCAGCAGGGCCGACCAGCACCGTCACCACAGCCGAATATGGACATGAGCAAGCGCGCCACTCCCAAACTTGCGAACGCTATGCCGGGATCGCCGATGCCAGATCAGCAGCAAAACCCGCAGAACATGCAGCATAACGTTGGACAGCAGCAAGGTGGATCGCGCCACTCTTCACCTAGCATGGGTCAGAACTTCACAGGCATGGACCAGTTCAATAACATGGTTGGTGGCCAGGTGAACAATATGATGATGCGTGGTGGTGTGCAGCAGCAGCATCCTCCTACGTTCAACGCCTCGCATATGCATGGTCAGATAAATGATCAAGCTGCTGGCCGGCAACAGGGTATTGCAGGCAGGCAAGGATCGAATGGTGGTTTAATTTGGACTCAGCAGCAGCAACAGCAACAGCAGCAACAACAGCAACAACAACAACAGCAGCAGCAGCAACAGCAGCAGAATGGACAGATGATGGCAGGTCAGCAGGCACAAGGTAGTGCTATGCCGGGCGGTCCGGCAGCACAACCCCGCCAACAAAATCAGCTACAGCAGATGCCTCCTCCTCAAGCTCCTGTTTCGGCTCCTCCCAGAACCTCCCCATCTCCATCTCTTGCTAATACCCCAATCACTGCGCCCACTCCTCCATCTACCAAGATGCCACCGAAAGGCAAAAAGGAACCTCAGCCTAAGAAGCGCACGAAGAAACAACAGCAAGCTGCTGCCGCTGCCGCTGCTGCTGCCGCCGCTGCGAATGGCACGAACCCCGTTACTCCATCTGCTACTCCGAATGGACAGACGTCTGAACCTCCGACCCCGACTACGCCAATCACGCCTCAGCATGTAAACTCGTTCAACTCGAACGGGGGACAGCAGGGCAGCAGTAATGCTGGCGCGAACCCATTGCTGATGAAGGCGACGACTTTCTCAGCGTCTCAGAATGTGGCGAACAACCAACAACAGCAACAACAGCAACAGCAGCAGCAGCCGCAAGCCTCACAGTCAGCAGCTGCTTCCGGTACCCCGTCTGCGAACCCGTCGATGGGCTCTGTTGACGCTGCTCCGCCTTCGTTCCTGGATGCTGACGCGCCTTCGTTCTTGACTGAGTTTGGCGCCGGCGGCGAGAATGATATAACCGACCTGGATTTCGATATCAACACTTTCCTGAACACGGATGATTCTACTTCCGGCGGCCTGAATTTCGATCCCTCGAGTGCCTTTGCATGGAATGAGAGTGTCGAGGCGACTGGCGAAGTCTGATGTACTCTTACAAAAGTTCTGCTACTTTTCTTACAATTTTGGCGAGTCTTATACATTTTTTCTTGATTTCCTTTCTATTTTCCTTTTTCAAATTATCTCACTCTAGAAACGAAACTTGCTCGGAGTCAGAGAAGTGATTGTAGACAATTACGTTACTACTCTTGTACCTTTGCTTTGACCTTTTTGTCCTGTTATCTGATTCCTCTATCTTTTATTTCTCGTGTATTTGTTCACTTTCTCTGATTATGACAAGTGTATATTATTAATCTGTTAATTTGGGTGTTATTGGTGTTGGGTTCTTTAATATTAATCTCCCTCAAGCCTTTAGTTACATTCCTGTATCTCAAAGCGTGTATTTTTTCCTGTTCTCTTTTTATGTTCTTTGTCTATTGTGTCTTTATTATGCTTGTTTTTCTACCGTTTGCTGCGAGAGCTCTAGTATTCCTTATTTTTGGGTCTTCTGCAAACCTTTTTCTCATTTACTTTTTCCTCTTATTGTTTCTTTTCTTTTTACAAAAACCTTTCTGGGAACTTGGTGTATGGGTCATATCGACTCATATAGCTAGTCTAGCTGATTGTCCGATTTTAGTGTATTAGTTTGACTTTTTTTTAAATAGTAATAGTAAATGTAACGAGCTCATTTCTTGTTTCAAACTGAAAGTTCGATGACCGAGGAAAAGGTTTTACCCTTGACGCTCTCGAGATTCTCACCGGCCTTGTAAATGATGTGTTAGTTGAGTTAAAGAGGAGGAGGAGGAGGGTAGAGAGAAGAGAACATACGTAGCTAACCAATGGAGGAACCTCGATACCAACAACACCAGCCTCGACCGTCGCACCAGCAGCCTCGACCCATCGTTTACCCTGGGCGAGCAAATCAGCGCGAGACGAGTCGGCGTCGTCTTCGCCCGCTGTTCCGACCTTGTTTTTGAGTGGCGAGAACTCGTCCTCGCGCTTGACTTCGAGGTTTGCGAATTCAGAAAACTCGAGACGAGGGAAGCAGTCGAAGATGAACTGCTCGAGCTTGATTCCGTTTGGTGAAGAAGGAGAGATGGAAGAGCCGGTTTCAAGGTCTATGCAAGGGATTTTCTTGCGGGCGATGTGGTAGGGAAGATAGTGCTCTTCCCATGTTGGGATAGAATCCAGGTATTCGACAGAATAGTAATGGTTGACGATGTTTGCGGTTCTGAACGCTAGTTCGTCACCGGTCTTTCTAAATGCCATCTCCTCGGAGATCTCAGAGTACTCAATCACAGCCGGATGGCCGTCCTTGGCCACAATCAACCCGACGCTCTCGGTAGGGCCGCGCTTGGGCACGGACTTTGTACCGACAAGGAGAGATTTGGAGGCAGCGAAGCCGAGGAATATAGGATCAGCCATGCGAACCAAACAGTTGTCAACGCAGTATGCGTGAATATGCTTGATGCCACGCTTCTTGAAGTCATCGAGGACACCTTCTCTCATGAGCGCACGGTAGATTCCACCGTTGCCGTCCGGGGCGACAGCCACTTTGGATTTCGACTCGAGCAGGATCTTGCCGGAGTTGTCGATGCAGGGCAAAACACCTTGCTCGAAGAAAATTATGTTTGCCGAGTCTAGTCCGAAGTATTTGTTCTCCTTGAAGAAATCCTCGGTAGGCTTGCGCGTAGGTCCCGAGGTCATGATGTACCATGGGATGACCACGGCCTTGCCCGTCTTCTTCGCGACGAGGTTCTGCAGCGACAAAACACGCTCGGCCTGTAACGCAAACAAAGATTTGTGAGATGGAAGACCAATATCAAAGCACCCCTTGGGCGCCGAGGATCCGAGTCGGGTGCCCTGTCCGCCGGCGAGGAGAACGACCGCGACTTCATTGGCTGCAATGAGCGCGAAGCCCTTCTCTTCCCATTGCGCGATCTGCTCGGGCGAGGCGCTCAGCAGTGACGCAGTCGAGACCTCAGGCAGTGGAGTGATTTCTGAAACGGTCGGCTCTGAAGTTGAGGGAGGAGCGAGAACGGTCTGGGCGATGTTGGTGACGCGGGCGGGATCAATTGTTTTCAGTTGCGCGAGCAGCGAGGATTGATCTTCAGACGAGAGCGAGTCGTAGAAGCTCAAAACATGATCCTGGCCCGCCTTTTTGTAGTCTTCCAAAACAGATTCGTAGGACATCTTCTAATTGAACGCGTAGATAGTCGTGATGGCTGTTGTGGTTGGAGGAGTAGGTGGTCTTTCGGGTTAAAGTAGACGACATCGAAGAAGGAGGCAAATTATAAACAAACGCGCCCAAGCCTCAGCCGCATCTATAATTAGTCTGGGCCACTGCGTACGGCGCGCAACTACGTCGGTTTTAATCGACTTCTATACGCACTTTATGTAAAGAAATCCCAAAATTCAAATAAAACTACCAACTACCAAAATTGATTGATTTCTTACGACTCGTGGTTGATCAGGTTCGCAAGACGACTGTTGTTTCGTCGCAGCAACTGTGAAAACACACCCGTTTCCGTGATGCTTCCCGACTCCAAAACAGCAACCCGGTCCGCAAACTCCATCATCTCCCTCGAATGAGTAATTATCAACACCGTCGGCCTGTATCTTCCCCCATTGGCGCTCCCGCTGACAATATCCTTGTCGGTAATTGTCTTGATCGCTTTCCGCACGTGTTCAGCAGACGTAGCATCAAGCGCTGACGTGCACTCATCCAGAATCAGCAACTCTGGTTTACGAACAATCGCTCTCGCGATTGCAATTCGTTGAGCTTGCCCTCCTGAAAGCATTATAGAACCTCCCAGCTGAGTCTCAAATCCTTCTGAAAGAGAGGAGATGAGCTCAAGAATGCCGGCTTGTTGACACGCGTCCTCGACATCCTGTCGTGAGACCTGGTTGTCCGCAAGACCATATACAATGTTCTCATATATTGAACCATCAAACAGTTGGGCAGCTTGCGTGACAACTCCAATACGTCGCCGAAGCAACCCAATGTCGTAATCCATCACATTTGTTCCCTGGAACATAACTTTGCCGTTCGTAGGTAGCAGCAATCTTGTGAGAAGATTAGCTAGCGTTGACTTGCCGCTGCCGGAAGAGCCAACGATCGCGACTGACTCGCCAGGCTCGATCCGTAACGAGACGTCTTGCAGGACTGGAACTTCTCGACCTTGATACGTGAACGAGACGTCCCGGAACTCAACCACGCTGTCTATCGCATTTTTCAAGCTCTTCTCACTCTCGGAATCCGAACCAGGCTCGCGATGATCGCTACCTGAGCTTTCTGCGCGCGACCCGTCATCATCAATCATCATCGCTAGAGCCAATAGATTAGTGCCTCCGTTCTTGGCCTTTGATTCCTCTGGAAGGGAGCCCAGAATGGAGGCAGTGTTGGTACTCGAGAAGATAATCAGCGAAAAGACAGTTAGCACTTGCGCGACTGAGTACCAGCCCTTTGAGATGAACATCGAGCCAGCAAAAAGCAGTGTTATCTGAATCGCATTATCGACAAATCCTGCAACGCCCTGGCAAATTCCAATATACAAGCCTCTCCTCAGGCCTACCCGCCTAATGTTTGCAGCCGACTCAGAAAGCTTGACCTGGAAGTATGGCTCCAATACGAGATCTTTCACGGTCTCTATTTTGGTAATCACCTGAAACCAACAATGTTAGAGAAATAGAATCAATAAACCAAGTGACATTGAACTCTTACCTCATAGGCAGTTTCCAAAAACTTCTCCTGCTCCTGTTTGTACTTCTGTGACCAGAGGAAGGAAGCATCGTTCATCAGTCTTGCTGACAAAATTGCAAACGGAGCAAGCCCAAGACCAACAAGCGTGAGTTTCCAGCCAACTGCAAACGCCCAAGAGATACCAAGTAAAAACATTACAAACGCACTCAGAAACGGACCAACGAGCCTACTGAGAATAAACTGGGCCTTTTCCGAGTTATTGACAATAGCGTTGGCCATCGAGGCCGGTGATCTATCGATGATGGTCTGGGAAAGATCGCTGCCCAATGCCTTCTTATCACCGTCTTCCTTTCTGTTGATTATTGCCCCGTCCTGCAGGCAATCGTTTGCCAAAGACGAAGGGTCAAAGAACCAGCTATAGTCTCTGGTCAGGACCTTTCGGAACGCAAGAACTCGTAGCCGATAAATCCATCGGATACCCGACACCTCAAGTAGCAATAGATTTGCAAATGTAGTGATAGCATCAATGACCGAAACAAGCAAGATCATAAGCGGCCAGAAAATCGTGCTTTTTCCAGACGAGTCATTCGTAGCTGTGAACAATGATGCCAACAACTTTGAGAAGGTAAACGAGAATGCAGGCATTGCTGCTCCGTTGAGAACCGCACATAAAAGGCCAAGGAAAACCACGGATTTGCGCTTTTGTGATAGAAGCACAAGCTTGATGAAGCTGCCCATCCCAATAGTCTGTTTTGGAGAGTCGTCTTTGACCACTGACTCTTCGACACCATCGACTGCTTTTTCTGTTTCGTCTTCGCTGATAATTACCCGCTTGTCAGCTTTGACCCAGTCACTCCTTCGCTTTTGTGCAGCTTGATCTGAGTCGAACTGCTCGTTATCAAGGTAGTCCTCAATCTGAAACTCCGAGTAAGGCCGCTCAACTTCCGACATTCTCAGCGACGTCAACGAAGCACGTCGATCTTGCCACCCCAGACCGCCAGAATATGGCATAGACCATCGGTTTCCGGCCAGGTCCCAGCTCGTTTCGCTGCGTGGAAGAATCTCGTAGCTTTTGCGCTTTGCAAGAACCTCGTAGCTTCTGCGCTTTGCAACAGCTAGATTGTGGTCAGCAGCAGTACTGTGTCGACGGGACGCAAATTTCCGGGAACGCGTATTGAAATTGTACTTCTCAAAAGGGCTCTCCTCAAAATCTTCTCGAGCCTCCATCTCCTGATCAGCCTCCGCCCGAGAGCTTTTGATCAATTTCGCAAACGCACCCGCATTATCTCGCTCAAGTACGTCCCGGGTTCCTTGCTGAACAACCTGGCCGTCCATCATTACAATCACGGAATCATTCTTTTGGATCTGCGTGATATCATGCGTGATGACGATTGTTGTTTTTCCTTGCCGCAAAGTTCGAATCGCGTCCATTACCAGGCTTCTCGACACAATATCCAAGGCGCTAGTAGCTTCGTCCAGAATCAGAACCGGTGTATTCCTTACCACCGCCCGAGCAAGCGCAAGTCGCTGGCGTTGTCCCCCGCTCAGTTCACTTCCGGAGCCATCGAGAAATGTCTTAAGACCATCTGGCATGTTCTTAATCGTCTCTTCCAACAGAGCAACTCTAACAGCTTGACTGACAGTCTCCTCATCTATCTCGCCCGGATTCTCCACCCCGAGCTTGATATTGTTCTCTATAGAATCACGGAAAATAACACTTTCCTGCTGTACGACTGTAATCATACGGCGGAGCCATGTCTGAGAGAGAAACTCAATATTCATACCGTCGACGGATATGCTCCCAACTTTTGACTGATAGAGACCGATAATCAAGGCATGTATCGTAGACTTTCCCGAGCCAGAGCCACCAACGATAAAAGTCAATTGGCCTGCGGGAGTGTGGAAACTGTCATTTCTTAGAACCAATTGATCAGGTCGGGATGGATACGCGAAAGACACCTGATGAAAATGGTCAGCTGTTTTGCACTTAGCTCTCAAGGAGAAAACCACACACGCACCATTTTGAAATCAATCCTTCCCAAACATTCTGGGGCCACGATTCCCTGTAACAGTTTGCTGGTAGTGCCATTATCAGCACAGATATCCCAAATAGACTGAGCTGCTTGTTCAGCACCTTTAAGTAAGATGGCCTTCAAGCCCAGCGCGGAAATACTGTGAGCCAATATATTGCAGCACCAGAAAACGGTAAACACAGAGCCGGACTGGATCTGACCGATATGGCTGAGATGGGAGCCATACCAAAACGATGCAACAAAGAGTACGTAGACGAAAAGTTTGGAGAGCGCCTGCTGCACGGCATAAGATAGCGAGCTGCGCTCTGACAGTTTCTTGGACTGTGTTGCTTCTTTAGTGAACCTCGAGGATTCGAGAGACTGACCATTAAACAGTTTGACGGTCTGAATTGCAGAGATAGATCTATCGATGATGCTTGCTACATGTGCCAAAGAGCTCTTCTTAAGCAGTGAAAGACGAGTGAGAGATGTATCGGCGGCCATGTGGATCAGAGCAACGACCGGTAGACATGCGATGATGATAAGAGTAAGACGCCATGAGAAGTACATAGCTACACCCATTGCGATACATCCTTTGCTGATGTAAAACAGCAAGTAAGCAAAGTTGGAAGACATTCCGGACTCGAATTCGTCAAAAAACCTGATATAGCGAGTCAGAGGGAATGTAATGAGAATGAATATCGGAGATAATACATACGTTTCGCATCTTGTGATTAAAGCGCCGGGGCTTTCCAAACCATCGTACCAAGAGATGGGCTTTCGAACCAGAGAGTGGATAAATGACTTTCTTGCGGACTGAATTTGATTCTCTGCAAATAATTGACAAGAGACAAATATGATGGTCCATAGCGGTATACAGATGAGACTGGCGACTACTTGCCCGATGAGAAACGGCCTGACATGTGCTGCAAGATCGAAGGGCTGCTGGGATGCTTTCGCTGCCATGTAGAGAGAGAAACCATTTGTGATCTTGCCAACGAGAATGGCGTTGACACATGGGTATATACCAGTTATGGCAATAACGACAGAGACGAAGATGAGCAGAAGCGCATCTTTCCAACTACAGAAGCGGAAAAGAGAGGCCAGAGATGGTCGTACGTTCTGCAGTAGGACCTGTGCGGACTGGTATGCTGCCTGATCTTCGCTGACCTCATCGTCGATAGTTCCAGCTGTACTGGGTGGAGAGGCAGGATAGAGAGAATGTGGTATATCGACTGGACTAGAAAGCTGTCTGCTGTGCTCCATGGCTTGCGCTCAGTTGCCCAGGAAGTGAGATGTGTACGACCAGAGTGCATTTAAAGGAGACAACAGGAAGAGCCATTTGATCTCAAATCAGTTTCGTCATTCTCCGAGTTTACGATTGTCCGGATCGCGATAGTGGACGAGGTACGTCGAGGCCGAGTCGACAATAGTAGACGCCGCACTCGGCGACAATACTTACGCGACCCACACTCCCCACACGCCGACTTCTCGGGCGGAAAAGGAGCGGAGGTGTTCAAAACAAAAAGAGAGGTGCTGTTTCGCGTGTTTGGGTATCAAAGTGTCAGGCTGCGAGGTGCGCGAGGATTGAATCAAAACAAGTTGTAGTTACACAGAGCACGCTCTGGCACTGCTTTGATACTGCCAGATTAGGAAACTCAGAAACAACAGCAACAACAACAGCAGATACAACAGCAGCATCACCAAATTACTCTAATTATGAGCCGAGATTATGCAATACTCATTCATTCCTGATAAAACTCTGGATCCAAGTAACAAAAGCGCGTCAGTCGCGCTGTTCGCGCTGCGCACTAGCTGCAACTCCTGTTTATCTTCGCGGGAAAAAGCCCACGCCGCGTCGGCTCACTCAACCTTCGCAGATAGACTCAATATGGTAAGCATATTACATATACTACTATACAGCCTCAGTCTGCCTCTTCATCATATTGTTCGCTTTGCACAAACACACTCATCCAGATATCCCATTCAGCCCGCCTCACGAAATAGAAAGTCACCACAAAGGCCTTTGTACCTTTAAATATGGGGTAAGGGTTGAAAAATCAATTTGGATATGCAATTTTCTGGTCGACGTCTGCGCTCGGTGTTCTTTACCTACGATTCACGACTATTTCTCAGATTTGGATTATAAAAAGATTTTGATTCAAGATGTCGATTGCAGTCCCGTCTAACTTTGATGCTGAAAACGCTGACAACCTCGAGGATGTGGGTAGTCTGCGTCTGTCTGTTTCTTTTCATCGATATCCTGCTAACCAGTGTTTCTTGAAATTCTTCAGATCGAGAAGCAGTTTGCCGTGATGGCTGTCACCCAGGCCCGTATGGACTCTCTACTCTGATAGTTCTGTCTGAACGTGTATGCTAACATGTCTTGTCTATGCAGAGACTTACTGGAATCTGCTCTGCAGCCTCAAAGGCTCGACTCTCCGTCTGACCAAGTACGTACATCCAACTATCTCTCTTGAATCAGAAATAGACAGTATACCAACCACCTCCTTCCAGACTCGACGATGACATCTACAACCATCTTATCACCGACTTCCCCGAGTATTCGACCGCCGCGTCCGTCAAGAAGATCAACGAGAGCGACATGAAGAACCACAAGGGAAAAGAGCGGTGGCGGAAGTTCATGAACACTTACGAAAAGACCGTCAACGACTACAATTTTGGCTCTTTGCTGCGAACCGACTCCGATGCTGAGTACGAGCAGGACACCACAATTTTCGGTATGTACCGTATCTTCTCTTACTAGCTAGTCTTCTAGTGCTAACAGACGCTTCGTATTTAGTCCCCCGGATACAGTTCCTCGCGATTGAGATCGCCCGCAACAAGCACGGCCTCAACGATTGGGTCTACGAGAACGAGCAGCGACTAAATGCCGAGGCTGCCAAGAAGTAATAAGCACTCATTACTATCCGAATAAATCCATTGTTATTATAGAATACACGAAAACATCTGCCCAAATTATAACTAAATATATTACATGCATCTCTCTTTAGTCCCAGTAATGAATCTTCGAATCCAGACCCGCCGTAACCACCTTACTGGTTTCCTGAGGATGCGCAGCGATACATGTCAAAGCCTTCTCATGCGCTTTGAACTTGCTCTTCATCTTTGTGGTCTTCCAGTCCCAGAAGCACGCATAACCACCTGAGTCTCCAGACATCAAGTACTGACCGTCTGGCGAAAAGTCCATTTGAATAGCATATCCAGCGCAGTTGTTGCCCTTGAAAACCTTTTTCCTGTTCGCCTTGAACCGATCTGTAGCCGCAAACGTGAGAATCTGGTTATCGAGACTTTGTGCTGTCAGGTATTTGCCGGTAGGATGTAGAGCGAGAGTCGGCATCGAGTGTTGCATGGGATCCGCAATAAATTTAATAGGCACGTTGATCTGCCACTCCCACACTCGAAGACTCTTGTCGTCGGAAGATGACATAAACCGCCTGTTTTCATCCACAAACAGAATACTGTTGACCGGGCCCAGATGATGATCGTATTCCTGGACAACTTCGCCCGAATTCACATCAAACTGCACAATCTTGTTATTCGACGTTCCAATCACAAACTGGTCCTGTTTGTCATCATCTGGATTGAATTTGACACAGTTTGGAATCGCGCCCGTAGAAAATCGAGAAATGCACTGTCCGGTTTCCGTATCCCAAAGTTTAACAAAAGAGTCGTACGAAGCCGACAAAAATTTTGTTCCATCGTTCGAAAAGCAGATATCTTTGACTGTCCGAGAGTGGCCAGAATATGATCGCAATAGTTCTCTGTCGTGGTAGCAATCCCATATCTTCACTTTATTATCCATTCCAGAAGAAAGCAAAAGGTGACCATGTCGCGGGAAAAACCTCAGAGCAGTGACACCGTTCTTGTGACCTGCCCAAGTATGAACCCTTCTCTTCGGTATAAAACACTCCTGCTCCCCTGGATCCTTGTCGAGGCTGAAATCAAGATCGCGTGGCACATGCATGTATGTTCTACCCATGTAGTCATACAAACTCGAGCCATGGAATTGCGTCTTTTCCTTGAATCCCGGAGCATCAGAGGCTTTTGGTGTGACAGCCTCCTGGGGCTCTTCTTCACTCTCTTCAGACTCTTCAGACGAAGACTCTTCTGATGACGAAGCATTAGGATCCGTGTATGTCGCCCATGGGCCTTTGTACGCATTATCACCGTCCAACGTCCCAGAATCACCCTTCTTCTGTCTCTTCTTTTTTAACTCCTCAACCTCTGTCTTTGCCGTCTTGATCGCCAGTAAATCCCGTCCTTCGTTCTCAGTAGCGCGCACCTCGTCACCAGCGAATCCACTAGAGTTAGCGGGGTTAAGCGAGGGATCGCGCGCGTATCCCATAGCTTTGAATGTACGGTGCTGAACCCGGAACGCAGCGTCGTTGAACGCCTGCTCCTCTGCGTATCCGGTCAGCATGTTTTTCCGTTTAAGAGAGGCATCGCCTTTTGGATTTGCTGGACCGACGAATGGACGAGTCAGTTCGTCGTATGTAGGGTTGTATGCGACCACTTTGTCTGTCACGCGAGGCATCAGTGCTTGCGATTGCGAGTTGTCCTAAACAGATAATAAAATGTCGTCAGCAAGAGAGAACACGGCAAGCTGAATGAATATCGCGGATGCTGTAATGCTTACCTCGAGGGCAAATGTTGAGATGGGCGCCATCGCCATCTGAGGCAGCGGAGGCAGCGACTCGAGCGGCATCGGCGTCTGCTTCGGTGACCCTCCTCCATCTTCTTTGCTTTCGGAAGCCATCAATGACAAGCCCTGCACAGGTTGCTATAAGATCTCAACTCAAGATATCGGACGAGAGCTGCGAGATCAACCAGGTTCAGATGCAATATTGGGCCAAGGTTTTGTCAGCAAAAGCGGGTGTCGTACTACACCCAGCACTAAACTCTATTTGTTGCCCTAACAAATTTTCTTTGGCGGCCGTGCTCAAAATTTTTTTCCTCTCTTTAAATACCCAGCCTGCTCTCTCCCCAACCTCTCTTTCTTTGTTCCAGTCACACTCTGTCGACCCTCCAGGAGTTTCTTTACGCCGGGTTCAATCTCTGATTGAGAGTTGCTAGAGCAAGATCAGAACAATGGGTGTCGCTAAAAAGGAAAAGAGCCGCGTCCAGCGGCAAGGTAGCGATAAGCCCGGTAACTTGAAGCTCAAGGGCGAGAACTTTTACCGGGACACCGCCAAAGTGAAGCGTCTGAATATGTACAAGGAAGGACGTGCTCAGCGAAACGCGCAGGGTGAAATCACAAAGGCTGCGTCGTTTCAGTCCACAGAGGTTCCCACTGCTCGGGTAGAGCCTAACCGTCGCTGGTTTGGAAATACTCGAGTTATTGCTCAGCATACCCTGGAGCAATTCCGCGAGGCGCTCAGTGCTACCAGAAAGAACCCTTACCAGGTTCTTCTGCGGCAGAACAAGCTCCCCATGTCTTTGCTTGAAGAGCAGACGCATGTGGAAACCCCCAAGTCAACCGTTGTTGAAACCGAGCCGTTCAGCAAGACTTTCGGACCCAAAGCCCAGCGCAAGAGGCCTAAGGTCAACGTTGGATCTCTCGATGATCTGGCTGAGAAGACTGTTCAAGACTTTGAGTCATACGAGCAGAAACTCGAGAACCAGGCGATGATGTCGGTTGCCGCTCCGACTGACTGGATCCAGGAGGCTCGTGATGCAATTTTCTCCAAGGGTCAGTCCAAGCGAATCTGGAACGAGCTCTACAAGGTCATTGATTCTTCCGATATCGTTGTTCATGTCCTCGACGCTCGTGACCCTCTTGGAACTCGTTGCCAGTCTGTCGAGCAGTATATTAAGAAGGAAGCCCCCCACAAACATCTGATTTTCATCTTGAACAAGTGTGATCTGGTACCAACCTGGGTTGCTGTAAGTTTATCTTTCCCCATTTCTCTTCCGTCTGGTCATTTCGCATCTTTACACCTGTATTTTTCTTTTTTCTATATGCCTCTGCGCATTTCCACTGTTAAGTCAAGAATCCCTTGAAGCGCGTTTTACTACGTTTGCTCTTATCTCCATGAAGGGAAGTCTGTTACAACTTTGGAAGATCAAAACACCAAGATTAGTTTCGAGGGCAGGTTGTGCCTTGAGTTGAGCATTGGCTGGGCGAGAGGTTGCTTTTAGCGACTTACTTTGCGCCCCCAATACCGGCTGCTCTTAGTTAGCACATCCACATTTTTTCTTTTTGTTTCTTTTTCTATTTTTGCGAAATGACTCGACGTTTCTACTGAATACTCGAGCTCGTTGCTAACTTCTTCTTGTTAAGGCTACCTGGGTCAAGAGACTATCCAAAGACTACCCCACCCTGGCTTTCCACGCGTCCATCAAGCACTCTTTCGGAAAGGGCACTTTGATCCAGCTGCTGCGCCAGTTCTCTGTCCTCCACTCAGACCGCAAACAAATCTCTGTCGGATTCATCGGCTATCCCAATACTGGCAAATCCTCCATCATCAACACCATTCGCCAAAAGAAGGTCTGCACCGTCGCGCCAATTCCCGGCGAGACCAAGGTTTGGCAGTACATCACGCTGATGAAGCGTATCTACCTCATCGATTGCCCCGGTGTCGTGCCTCCTAGTACGAAAGACACCGAGACCGATATCCTGCTCCGTGGAGTCGTTCGAGTCGAGAACGTCTCCAACCCCGAGCAATACATCCCTGCTCTTCTCGAACGCTGCAAGCCGGCTTATCTCGAGAAAACCTACGAGATCTCGGGCTGGAACAACGCTCACGAGTTCTTGGAGTTGCTCGCGCGTAAGGGTGGTCGCTTGCTGAAAGGTGGCGAGGCGGACGAGACCGGAGTTGCAAAGATGGTGCTTAACGATTTCATGCGTGGCAAGATCCCGTGGTTCATTCCCCCTCCGTTCGACGAGTCCGAGGAGAAGGAATCTGCGGAAGCTGATGCTCCTGCGAAGGAGTCTTCCAACGTTGCAGAGTGATTTCGTACCGCTTTATGAGTTTTGGGGCAGAAAGAGCTTGGATTTCATGGTGTAGGAAACGGGTGGGGAGTGTATGTTTATTTTTACTGGGTATTACGGAATCGGTTTACTAAAAAGTGTTCATTTGGCGTCGGGTGCATATCTTTATATACGATTACGGTCATCTAATCATATTCATATTTTTCAATAATTCATTATAAAACTGAAACGCCATCCAAAAGTATGCAAGAAACACAACCACGCTCAACTATATCTTCAACGCATCGGCAGCGGCAAGCCTGCGGTTTCGCTTAATCAACTTTACAAGCTTCTTCTCGAGCACCTCAGTCTCCTTTCTCGTCGCATGCCACTCGCTCTCAACGTCCTCCAGAGACCTACCTTGGAGCACGTCTGTTCCCAGATACTCGGGAAACTTGCTGTAAGCCTCTTCCAGCTCTGGTTTCGTGAATGTCATCCGCGGCGCCGTCACGGATCCGGAAATCGGCTGCTTGAAAAACGAGAGATCGGAACTGCTTAATTCTTTGATCACCGTCTTCAGAAGCTCGAGGGGGTCGATATGCGTCTCGGGTTCAGCAGGAGTCTCAGCAGGACCAGGGTCAGAGCTGGGTGTGACTGCTTCCTCCTCTTTACTTTCTGCAACTGTCGTCGGGGTAAGCAGTCCCTTTCTCGCCGCTTTCTTGGCTTTCTTTCGCTCTTTCTTGCTGCTGCGGATATCCACCGGCGCTGGCGACGAAGAAGGCGAAGGAGAAGGAGGGTGCGAGTCAGACGGTGCCGTGGCCGAGAGCGAAGGAGCGGGACTCGACATCCGGCTCAGAGCCGGAGTACCAGTCGTAGTACTACTGCTCGCAGCCGCGATTCTCTCAGACTCGACCGATTCAGCTGCATCGGTCGTGGGTGTCGCACTTCTCGAGATCTTAGCATGGGAAGTGAGTCTTTCGTTCAGAAGCTTCGTCATGTTTTCCTGCACGGCTGTAGGATCCGGTGATCCTCTCGACACCGGCGTAAACGAGCTCTGCGACAATGGCGTCACTTTCCATTCCGATTCATCGGCATAACTATCCTGATTGACTGATGGCGCTGGCGCTTCTGCTTCTACCGCTGAGGGTAAATCCTCCACCACAGATCTGCTGGCGACAGAAGCAGCAGCATCCTCAGCCTTTGTGATCTTCTCCTCTGGTTGAGGGGTAGACGGCTGCGCGTTTACCGACAGTCCAGGAGGCGGCGGCGGAGTCCCAGTCGCGCTTGCTAGAGGCATATCGAATGCAGCATTGGGCAGCACGGGGAAATTATTAGTCGGAAAAGACGGAGGAGCACTAGAAAACCAATCGGCGGCCGTGCCTGTCGCTGGCCGTCCCCATTGTGAGAAATCCATCGAAGGGTCGGCGTGGTTGAATGGTTGCAGCAGTTTATCGATAGAACTGGTTCCGAGGGCAGCTTGAGCATTGATCGAGAAAGCGCTTGGTGGTTCTATACTGGAAACTAAGGGAGAAAAATAAGAAAGGTAAGTAACGAGAATCAAGTTGGGCGCAGCTGAAATGGTTGGACGAGTTGGAGATAGACAGTACGTTGGATTGATGCGATTGAAGGCTCCAACTTGACATACAACTAAGTACAGATAATTCCACTAAACAGATTGGTAGAAGGAAAATGTAATTATTGGACTAAGAGAACTGGCAAAGCAGCTACAGATCTTGATATGCATGCCGTTGAGACTAAAATACAATAATACAAGCCCAAATCACACCGATACTGTCTACCTCCGTTCACTCTTTGGCATTGGTATACGCACCTTGTGATTGAACTTGTAAACTTGATGATGGAGCCATATACGGGTTACCTAGAAGTGGGGGCTCTTTACTTGAAAGAGGCACTGCGCAATCAGCATCCAAACATCGGCCACAAGTGGTCAGAGATCACTAGTATATACCTTTCGAACGGCCACCAGAGACCATTGACAGAATCTCTTGTCCCTCACGCTGACCGTTACCAAAGAGTCCTGGTGGGGGAGGTGTCGCACCCGGACGCAAGCCGATGACCGAACCGCCTTTCATCATCTGCTGCTGCTCCAGCAGATGCTCAGTCATTTTTGGCTTGTCCAAGAAGTTGTAGCGAGAGCTTTGCCTTGAGCCGGTCTCTGTAGCTTTTGTGTCGGACGAGCCAGTCTGGTAGCTGCTCTGAACTTTGTCTGAAAAAGCAAACAACGGCGGCATAGACTGAGCTCCCATCATCTCTTCTTTAGCAAGAAGCTGCGAAGAAAACGAAAACTTGACAGACGATGTAGTGGAGAGCAGCTTCAAAGCACTCTCAAACAGCTGAACAGTGGCATTGCGGTCTTCGGGGACTTTGTCGGCGCTGAATGTGATGGGCGGCACCTGCTCCTGCTTTGCGGGTTGGGTTGGTGGATCGCTCTGCAAAGTTATTGTGGTGGTTTCCGAGGCAGTTGGAGCATTGTTGGTTACCTGTGAGATGGCGGGAGCCTTCACTGGCGAAGCAGTTTGCTGAGATGGCCGCGTAAGCTTGGAGTTTTGCATGGGAGGTGAGGCTTTCGCAGCCCAGGAAGCAGTCGGGGGCAGAGCAGAGGACTCAGTAGACTCGGCATGGTTGTCGTCTGCAGCCTTGGTGGAGGAGGAGGTGGTCTTTGCTGATGTTTGCCGTGTAAGCCCCGATTTGCTGTCGCCTTGTCTGGCGGCGTGTTGAATGGTAGAGAGGTCCTGTCGAGTGTACGAATCGGCCTCCTCACCAGGCTCGTGCAGGAACATGCAGTTCGGGTTGGGACATGGCTGGTTGCGCAGGTATGAGGAGCAGTATTTAGTGGTTCCGTAGGCAGCTCTGCGTATTTTGTTAGTGAATAAAGAACGGGATAGAATTTAAAAATACAAGGTGAAAACCAACCTCAAGATCTTTCCATCGTTGGTGGAGTTATCGACTGCGGCGATGCATTTGGCAGCATCCTCTTTTCTGTAATAGGTGACATAGACACCGATGCCACCATTTCCAGCACCGCCATTTCGGCGGTTGACAACGATTTTCTGAATTTTTCCGTACTGTCCAAAGAACTGATCGCCACGGAGGGTGTTGTGGAGTTCTTCGTGTGGTATATGCGGGTTGAGGCCGACGACATACACGAGATTTTTCTGGATGACACGCATACCAGAGAGATGCTTTCGGGAGGCCTGTTCGATTTCCTTGCGCTCTCTCTCTTTCTGCCTCTTTTCCTTCTCACGACGGGTCTGTTTTTGGTGGTCCTGTCGCCATCTACAAGGGTGTTAGTTAGATCGCGAGGGGCAAAAGCAAGATGATCTGGTGCTTACTCTTCGGCTGTGACGACCCTGTACTCAACAGACTCGTCGTCGTATGGCCTTCGACATCCAGGACAACGGCCGTTGAGCTGTGGATTCTGGCGGATGTTGTTGTAACAAAACTGGCAAACCTAAATGAAACAGAGGGATTGTGAGCAGCTATTCGCCACCGAGCGAGACGCAGAGCAGAGCGTACCTGGTATCCACACGGACACGGCTTGAAGCCCTTGTCGGAGATGTCGAACTCCTCGACGCAGAGAGGACTGGATTAGATGGGCTGTTAGCGGGCGAGATCAGGAAGGGAAAAAAGAAGGGGAGCAGCGCACCAGACTTCCTCCTCGTCGTCGGAGATGAATGAATCCTGCGCAAGCCGCGACATTGCAAGAAACAGAAACTAGACTGCAGTAAACGATGCTGAGCAAAGGCTGAACAAAACACTGCGCGCTGTGATGGCTGTGTGGGCGAACTGACTGATGGCTGGCTGGCTGGCCGTTTATTGTGGAATCGCGGGCTCCTCGCCAGCGGGCGCCGGTGACTTTAAGCGTTTACCCGGCCCGTGGCTGAGTCACGTGAGCGCAGGGCGAGGACGTGGAGCAAATCACCAGCGAGTTGATTGGCCCGCTGCCCGGAGCCTCAGATTTATCGCGCCGCGAGAGAAACAGTCGACAGCAACAGCAAAGCAACAGCAACAGTTCTTCGCGCTGCAGTTTTATTCGCAATGATTCGGTCCATCGGTCTTCGTTCGGCTGCTGCTCTCACCCGCTCAGTCAAGCCTGCTGTCGAGCAGCGGCGTTTCGCGGCTACTTTTGTCGACAACATCAAGGAAGCCCTCAAGGACGACGAGGGCCCTCTCTACCCCCAGAACCTGAAAGAGCTGCCCCGGACTGGTGCGTGCTCTTGTAGAGAGTATCGAGAGAGAGTTGTTGGTACTGACATATCCCGCAGATCCCGGCGCAGAGCTCCACAGACCCATCGTCAACCCCGCGGCAGACTACGCCGAGACGGTCGAGAACCTCCACGAGTACGGAAAATACATCATGGCCGCCATGCCGAAATATATACAGAAATTCTCAGTTTGGAAAGATGAACTCACCCTCATGATCGCTCCCACCGCCGTCATCCCCGTCATCACTTTCTTGAAGGATCACACCGCGGCCCAGTTCAAGGCCGTCATGGACATCACGGCCGCAGACTACCCGACCCGCTCCCACAGATTCGACGTCGTTTACAACCTTCTCTCGACCCGCTACAGCTCGCGTATCCGCGTCAAGACCTATGCTTCCGAGACCACTCCCGTGCCCAGTATCGCAAACTTGTACCAGGGTGCGAACTGGTACGAACGCGAGACCTACGATATGTTTGGAGTATGTGCCCAGTATTTTCAGTAGCTATCGTGCATGTTGTACCGGCTCCTAGATAAGATCATAGCTAACAGGACTTTTTAGGTGTTCTTTGTCGGCCATCCTGATCTGCGACGAATAATGACTGATTACGGATTCGAGGGCCATCCTCTACGAAAGGACTTCCCTCTTACCGGTTACACTGAGGTAAATCACAACCTCTCTTTTGCACAATAGTATATTGATCCTTACTGACTTTTTTAGATCCGATACGACGAGGAGAAGAAGCGTATTGTCTACGAGCCTCTGGAGGTAAGTGTTTTCTTGCTATCATCAATGAGGTACAATATTTAACCTGTCCGTGCAGATGACCCAAGCCTTCCGCAACTTCTCGGTCGGTTCCACCGTTTGGGAGCCTGTTGGACCTGGCAAGGACGAGCGACCCAAGAACGTAAGTGCTTATGTTGCTAGTATAGTAAGAAGCGTCTGCTAACATACTTTCAGTTCGTTCTTCCTGAGCCTGAGCCGGAGGAGGCGCCTGAGGAGAAGAAGTAAGGGGTGTGAAAGAGTCGACATTGGTATTTCTACCATTGCCAGAACGGGGAGCGATAGAGCGTTTGTTTGTATTCTCATTGCGCATTCTAATTGATCATTTGAACTATTGTGTTGTTAGACGTAGGAAGTAATACGTAGAACTCTGGTGTCCGGAGCAGAGAAAGATTGAGTCGGTCGCTCCAACACAAACAACCAACACCCGTCTGACTCCAATGAAAAGAACATAGTCTCAAAAACAATATAGACTCTTCTTCTCTTCTCTCGAGTTGCCTGCAATGGACATTGATGTTGAATGATGCCAAACACGTGAGGAACCTCAAACCTTGTAGTCCCAACGCAGAGTGAACTTAGGGCACCGGCGATATTTGTCTGCTCCACACTTTCGTGATCTCGACCTCGCCCTCAATCGCCAACAATTCCGCCCGGCTGCAAAAGACGTGGCATGGGACCCGGCCGTGATCTGCATACTCGCTATTGGTTCTGCTGACCGCTATGACGGATATAGTTCTCTCCTCCTGCTAGTACAATTTGCATATACTCACTCTCGAGGCTCCGCTGTTCATAGCAATCACAATGGCTCAGTCACCGGACAAAAATTTCACCAACGTGTTCAATGTGGTACGTGTTTGGTTGCTGATGATGATACTATGAAGCAGGGAAGGTAACGATCTGTGTAGGGAAATTTCGAGCAAATCCGATACTGTGTATATGTGGATCCGCTCTCGCGACCAGTAAATATCTTCCTGGCTGAATGGTCTCTACGGCAAAAACACAAAACATGCTTGGTCTCTTGCTACTCGAAAGAACTGTGGACTTTCTCCTTGAGTGAAGGAGTTAATCCGTCTGTCCCGGATTCAGTCTATGGCTTGAAAGGTTTGCATACTTTCCCCGCGTATCTGCCATTGACCAACCCGCTCACTCTCTTTTCATCATTGCAGAAATATCGACCGGATCATTCCTTCCCTCAACACTGACAATGTCCGAAACTACCTCGCCACAAGCTTTCCCCGCTCCTTATGTTCCCCTAATACTCGCAATCTCTGGACTCATCACACGCAATTTGACTGCCGATTACGACTATATCCCAATCGGGTCAATGTTCGTATCACCTTCACAAGTCCTTGCCCACTTCAATCTACGGTTAATGGCTTCTGGAACTCTGCTCATAACTCCTCACTACCAGCGCACTCAAATCATGCGCCTCTCGTCTGCTCCTGAACTCCCGATGATTGACACCAGATTGATAATTGCCCCAAGTGGCTCGCATGGCGCGTTTGTTTCGGTGACAGATGCGCCCCCACAAGACGCAGCCACGATAATATCAAACATCTACATGTCTTCTGGCTATCGCGTTTTGAATGACGAGAGCTGGTGTAATGTCATTGTCGACGGAAGTCCAGCGGCGTGCTCATGGCCGACTGAGCTGTGCTTCTTCTTCCCGCCTTGGAAGTCATCAGACGATCTACGAGATCTTGAATGGTACAAGGTTGGCGATGCACTAGATGATGTTGAGAAACTCATTATTGGGTTTTCTAGACCACCTGGTGATATGTCGCCGATCGCTATGCCGGCTTCTGCGTACCGACGGACACCGGGAAACGTTTACCCAACGCCGCCTGATCCACAAAATCAAAATAGGATGACCAACGAAAGCGCCGCAAACAACTGGAGTACGCCGTCTGGCGAGCGCAGTGATTATCCATTGGCCTCGCAGTGGGGCGGTGTCGATGACGAAGGGGATCCTGAGCCGAGAATAGGTGGCCCTGATGAAGACGTGCTGATGATTGGAGATACCGAAGAAGTCACGGAGGCGGACTTTAACTTCTTCGACGACGACGGTAACTCGCCCAACAGCAAGTTCTTCTCAGAAAACAATCAGATGGGCAACGAGTTTCTAGACCAGAATCTGCATTCCTTCGATATCGAAAACATGTCAGAGTTGACAAATATCAACGTCGAGGAAGGCCCGTATCGGTACAAAGTCGAAGATTCCGAGATGCAAAGGCAGCAAAGCAAAGAAAAACAGAATCCAGACAAAATCATAACACCCCCACTATCACCTCTCACTGTGCTGCCGAGCGAGGGAACAAAAGGCTCACTCACTCGCAAACGGAAAGGCGTCTTTACGCCGCTTACATTCTATCCAAATCTGGAGAGTGCGTTGGATAATAAATACAGTATGGGCGGGCGCTTTTATGTATCTCAAGATGAGAGCGACGACTCTGAGAGCGAGGACGAGAACTCAGTGAGTGATAACGAGCGCTCCGACTACCAAGATGGCAAGACCCCACGTTCAGAACGAGAGGAAGACAGACGGGAACAGAAGCGGGTAGGCGAGATGCTTTCTGATGATACCTCATCAGATGCGTACGTCTCCCGTCAGTTGTGGTGGGTATTGCTGGTAACCACACGACACACACGAGATGATCTTCTAATATCGTCGGTGCAACCATCCGCTTCTCGACTTACTCAGTCGTTTATCCGCAAATCTGCCGAATACACGTCGGCGGAGATGGACCAGCTTCTTCAGTCTTTATGCGAATCGGTTGTTTGGGATAGCTCGGTCCTGTTCTGCTTCCTTCCACCCCTGCCAGCCGTTGGAGTCTGCGGCCCAGACTTTGTCAATGTGCTCAAGGAGATTTTCGGATCGATACAGTCGCTTCATCTCAGTGACTTTGCCCCGCTCGCTGATTCGAATAATGCGCTCACCAGTTACCAAAACTTCCAGGACACCGTTACTGATCCGTCGGTACACAGTCAAAATGCCATGAATAATTTCATGTTCCAGGTCGATTTGTTCTGCATGGGTAACGCAGCACCCGATACTGCGTCGAGTAAACCTGATGGACCGATAATAAAGCAAAAGACAGCCAAGTCGATCTTCTACGCTCCGCCTCCTCTGTTCTCGTTCATCAGACTGAATACTGCGTTAGAGGCACTCCCTCCCGCTCTTCGGTTCTGGAACGTATTTGGATTCGAGCCACAGAGCGGGAAGAAAAATCTGCTGAGTTTTATTATGCATCCGGGTAGCCCTGGCATGGCGTCGGCTGCGTCGGCGTTTATGAACCGATTCAAGCCTGTATATGAAGGATGCAATTTAGGCAGTTTTTCCATGGGCGAGGTCGGAAATTATAAAAATGGTCTTGTGCCTTTGAATTACAGTGGGAAATCGGTCTCTGAAGCGCTAGATGAAATGCGAAAGACGTTTGTGCTTCTAGGTATGATCTATGACTTTGATTTGACGGTCGAGACTTGTTTTGCTGATCTTTTTCTTCTAGGCCGACTTTTATACAGATACGCCAATTCATCCACGAACGTTCTAATTCTCCTCGCTACGCCTTTCTCCGACCCATCGTCTCTGCTGTTCATCTGTCAGGGCTTCGACCAGCTAAAACAGGAGTTTGCAGCGCTTGTCGGCAGCCCTGTCGAATCATGCTGTGCGAATCTGGTTTTCCAGATCTTACCTGTGAACTTCTTTGCTTCCAAAGAATGCATAGTCGTTCCGTCGCAGTATAGCTTGGTCAAATTTGCTCTGACACTGTATGACAAGTGCCCGATCTCGGTCGACCCCTCGATCAACGGGAGTCATTTATCAGCATACACATTAGCGCGGAGCTACCCAAGCACGATCGAATACAAACTAACCGCGACGCCCTCGTCGTCGCTCTTTTCCGAGAATTCTTATGTACATATTGCGTATGCGCGGTCGCGCGACCGAAAGTTTGTCACGGCGGCATGGGCGGATCAGTACGGCGAGCTGGCGACGATTAAGGTGATGTCGCTGGCTAGAAATGATTGTGCGAGACCGAGGTCTGATGAGGAACTGTGCACTGAGATCTGGGAGCGGACACTTGCGCTTTTGCCGGAGATGAATATACACTGGCGCCTGGTGTTTACAAAAGTCGGGGTTATGGAAGCTGAGGAATTGAATGGTGAGTACCTTTATTTCTTTTTTTGTAAGAGGTTGCTGACAGTTTGAGTATAGTCTGGTTGAACCTGGCCTCGCACACCAAGGAGAATGTTTTGGCAATGTTCCTCTGCGTCGACACGAATCCCAACGTAACGGTTGGCGAGACCGCAGACACTTCATTCCTGAATCGCAACAGCAGTATATACTCTTCGCCCGAGTCTCTGCAACGCCATCCCGAGTCGCCTATGGACCTATACGGAGCCTCTTCAACTACGCCTGTGATGCCCGGAGACCACGAAACGCCTGCTTCTGGCGCTACACCGACTTCTACGCCCGGGCAGAGCATCCCGGTTCCTGTCGGCGGCGGCAGCGGTGCGGGCGTGAGTGGTAGCGGAGCGTCAGCGAACATCACTACCGCGCTGGACCAGAACGCGCTCCTTGTTGATTTGCAGGATGAGACGTTTGGCGTGGTAGTCAATCATAGACTGCAGCTCGATCAGTACGATGTCGCGGGTCTGCGATTCAGCTTAGCCAGTGGGTTTCTGTTAAAGCCAGGCACGAACGGGGTGCTCATGTCATGCTTGCAAGTGTCCTTGCTGAACGGACCCAAGCCGTGGGACGATGTGCTGGAAACAGTGCTACGGCAGTATAGAAACATGGCTTCGTACGGAGCTTGCACGGGGGTCTTGGATGGACGGAATAGCGTGCTGCCGTGGCATGTTGCTGCGGTGGAAAAAATGCAGCGGATTATTTCGTTTATTCTTTAGCGAGGGTGGTGTCGAGTTTTTGTTTTGGATGTATACGGGAGGAGTTACTGTTTATTGCTAATATATTAATATCATCATATGCTACTGTTATAGTTTAGAAGATCTAGTACATGCTGGTCTCGGATCTCGAAGCCGTTTTAGACTTGAAGAAAGACATGAATGAATGACGGTGCCGGTTGAGAAAAGGAGGATTCTGATGCTTTGTTGAGGCTTTCGATTTCCTCGACGCACTGCTGCGTTGGTGGACGGTTTCGTCGTCGTAGTGATGCATGAATGAGATGTTCCGCATCCAGCGGGAATGCTTGCGGCTAGCAGAATGAGGACACTGTGAGCAGTCGTCCGAAGGGGAGGCGGATGCTGCGCTTTTCGTGGTCGATGATAGCTCGGATACCGAAGTTGAATGTTGCATGGATGACGAGGATGTTAGGGATGGGGATGGGGATGATGATGATGGTGCGGTGGAAGAGGTGCCTGAGACCATACTAGTCCTTGGACTTGATGGGGATATGCTACGGCCGGGCATGTGCCGTAGAAGCTTTGTGTTATTTGCAAGATATCGATCCTCTATCAGTTCATCGATCGAGGGGCGTCGCTGAGGATCCCACTTTAGGCACATGGCGATCCAGTACGAGAGCGAGGAGTATTCTCCTTCGTCGCTCCCTGTGCATTGAGCAGCATTTTTGAGTAGCCGGTCCAGGAGATTAATCCCCTCATTGCGCTCTGGAAGCAAGAACCCAAGCTTGATGGTGTACATATCCGCGTCCTGCCAAGTGCCTCCGATCGACATGACCGAATCAGGCGATCCGACGACCTCGCATATCTTTGAGATTTGGTCCATCTCGCAGCTCCCCGCAAACAGCGGCGTGAGCGTCGCAATCTCAAACGCCATCGCGCCAAGCGCCCAGATGTCGACTTCGGGCCCGTAGTGGCCTACTTTGAGCAGCAGCTCAGGCGCGCGGTACCACCTCGTCGAGACGTAGGACGTGTAGGGAGATTTGCCCTTGACTTCGCGCACGTGTCCGAAATCCGAGAGCTTGACTGCCGGGGCGATGTCGTCGTGGCTTGCGCCGTGGGGCGGTAGGCAGACGAGCACGTTCTCGGGCTTGATGTCGCGGTGGAAGAAGCCGTGGGAGTGGATATGCTGGACGGCGCTGACGACCTGGAAGAGGATCGCGCGGGCAGTGGGAGTCGAGAAGCGGACGCCGGCGCGGGAGGTGAGGTACTGGTAGAGATTCATCTCGAGCTTTTCCATTATGATATGCAGCTGGTTTGTCGAGAGGTCGAGGAAGATTTCGTAGGCGCGGACGATGTTGTCGTGCGGAGGGATTATGCGGAGGAAGCTGACCTCGCGGATGCGGAGGTAGTCTGCTGGGTTTGGCAGGGGTTTTTTCATGCTCTTGATGGCGACGATGGAGTCAGGCCGGAGGTAGGGAACAGTGGACGCGTTTGCTCTGCGGACGCGGGCGCAGGAAACGGTGCCGAAGGAGCCATGGCCGAGAGGGGAGAGCAGCTCGAAGCGGTCGGAGAGGGTCAGAGGGATGTTCTCTGGGGAGGCCATGGCCGACATGGTGAGCAGCAGGACTGCTGAGGAGAGGAACAGGAGACATGAGAGGTGCAGAGATGGGGAGGGTATTGGTGTTTGTTTATATAAGAGCGAGGAAGAAGGAGGTGAGAGAGGTTCCGAGACACAGGCTACCGGAAATAGGGGCAGCTCTCGATCACCGGAATGGACCCAGTGCCGCTGTTGTAGTTGTGTGAATGTCTGAGAGATTAGTGGGATATACTGTATAATGTATTATTTATACTGTATATGTATATGTATATGTAGATATAAGAATAAAGGGATATCTGAATATGTGGATATCTGATCTCTGTATCTGATATCTCCCACGACTACCGCTCTCGTGATCCGCACTCTGCCTCTGCCTCTATCTCGACCTTGGCTCTCGGCATACTTCCACGCTAATTCCTGCAAGCTGCAAAGCAATTCCCATCTTTTGCTGCTATTTACTCGCTGCGGGTTTGATTGCCCAGCTATTGTTCACTAGCGCTCGCATTGTCGAAAAGGGGAAATCTTTGTTGACTGAATCTGCCTATCTGAGCCGAGCTTGCTGACTTTGGTCTAATTTTACCCTTTTCGCCTCTCTCCAGCATTAGCACCAACATTGGCACCAAGATCTAAGCTACAATATTTTCATACGTAATCAAATTCATATAGCTCTATTTATCAACATTAGATATCCCTATGCCTTCTTCTTGCTGTAGTATAGCTTCTTGATCAGCGGGTTCCGCGTCTTGTCCTTGTTCTTGCTCTTGTTATACTCCACATACGCCATATCATCACCGCCCGCCAAACTAGCAAGCGATCCAGCAGTCCTCTTTGCTTTCTTCGCCGCCGACGGCTTAACGTATCCGCTATCTCGTCCCACGAAATTGTCAGCGTCGTCTCCTCTCTCGATCCCGGCAGCGTCCTCGTTCTGCAAAAGCACGCTCTGCAAAAGCTCCCGCCGCTCCGCTACCGACGCATACGCCAGATCAGGCAGTTTCTCCATGCCTTGCAAGTGCGTAATCACCTTGAACGCATATCCCTGATCGACCAAGAACGCTTGTCTCTTGGTGGAGTAATACATCTCCTGCGTGTCTTTCGACACAAGACTGTAAAAGAACGCATTGAATCCTTCGTCGTTTCTTCGCTTCGCTCGCAGAATCCGACCTAGTCTCTGCGCCTCCTGTCGACGCGAACCATAGTGCGAAGAAATTTGGATCAAGCACGTCGCCTCTGGCAGATCAATAGAAGTGTCTCCGACTTTCGACAGGAATATGGTGTTGACATCCGGATTGAGCTGGAAGTTCTGCAGAATGTTCATTCTCTCCGCTTGCGGAGTACCTCCGTAAATGAAAAACTTCTTCAGCTTCGTCGCATACGCCTGCAGCGCGTAAACGTTATCCGAAAACACAATGATCTTATCGCCTCGCTTCTCGTGATAGTTGATCAGAAACTGACATGCCTGGAACTTCTTTGGGTTCATGATATAAAGCAGTCTGCGCTTTCTCGAGCTCTCCTTCAGGTACTCGCTGTAGAACTCGGTAGTCATCGGACACCATACCTCCGCGCATTGCACATTTGCAATATGTCCCTTGTTTGCCAGATCCATCCAGTTGGCTTCGTAAAGCTTGGGGCCGATCAGGAAATTCAAATCGTCAATCTTGTCATCTTCTCGCACAAGCGTCGCAGTCAGTCCAAGCTTGGTATGCGCAGCAATCGTCGTTACTACACGTCGGAACATAGCCGCCGGCACGACGTGCACCTCATCAAGAATAATAAATCCCCATTCTCGCGACGTCAAGAAATCCATCATCTTTTGCGAGTCGTACGATCGATTGCGCGTGTTTGCGACCATCGAGTACGTCGAGACGACCAATCCCGCATCTCCTCTGAATTTCTCCTTATTCTCCGACGTAAACACCGCAATGTTCTCCGGCTGGATCGTGCACCACTGCAAGAACTGCTGGCGCCACTGCATCACCGAAACCGAAGACGTGCACAAAACAATCACGCTCTTCTTGATTGTGCATGCAGCAGTGATACCGACTAACGTCTTTCCTGCTCCGCAAGGTAACACGATAATTCCCGACCGAGCACGTCCGTTTCCAAACATCTTGCTCAACGACTTTTCTTGATATGGTCTGATCTGCGTCGATGGCTTCAGATCGATATCCAGAGTCGCATTCCGAGCATCGTTCCGGAAATCGTACTCTTCAAGCACAGGATAATCAATCTCCTGACAGCGCTTCTTTACGGTCTCAATCGAGCTCGAATGCACCTCAAACGAATGAACTGCGTCCATATCATCATCTTCCTCTTCGTCGTTATTCAATCCCACGACCGAAGAGAATAGATCCTCAACAGTCTGCTGTTTGCCGTCACCCGCCGCATTTCCAGACGTACCGGCCGCAGCCGAATTCGCATTCGCCCCGTCTTTCCTGTTCGTTCCCGGAATCGTCAATTCTCCCATGCTCGGTGCTTTCTCTTTCACCAAACCCTCGACTATAGTAGTGCTGTTGTTATTGTAATCCTCGCCTTCGATTCTGAGAGGCCCAATCTCCGGATCTTTCAACAGCATCTGCAATGTATCTGCATGTGGACTCTCCACAAAATATCGATTGTGCTTCAGTACCAACTTCACCTTACCGTACGACACCGTACAGCTCTCGATAAACTCCACGATGTTCTGTGGAACGGCAACCTTAGATAAGCGATTCAGCACCGAAATGATATCCTTCGTCTCCAAACCGACCGATACAGCCGCGTATAGCGAATACGGGGTCAGCTTGTACTCGTGGATATAAGATGGGCGAGATATCGGCTCGGCGATCGTAACAAGGAAATCCTGAGCCTGCTCGGCCAGCGGCGAGTAACTCTCGAGAATGATGCGACCGTCGATCGGGTTGATCCATAGCGGGCGTGAGGCGTGATCAGGTTTTAGTGACAGGTATGAGAAATCCGCACGGCCAAAGACTCGCGATAATCCGTCAATGGATGATTCTGTGGTAGTAGAGGCTCTGTTCGTGACCACTGCTGTAGAGGTCTTTGCTTTTGGTGGCGGTTTCACACGCAGGCTGAGGGCAGGCACTAATTCACACAAAGTCAGGACTGATTCTTACCACAGATAGCAGAAGCATAAGTTTCCCAGATGTACCTTTCGTCCTTGTCGTATATTCCTCGTCCTCATCTTCATCACAGGTCGGGGCAGAGTCATTGCTGTAGTAATCGTCGGATAGATCAGCGACCTCGTCGTCCTCGTTTGGATCATATACTGCTCTCGTTCTCTTGGTAGCAGCGCGCACTTGAGTCACTGTTAGATACAGCACAGAACCAATCATCAACAAATCAATTCAAATACATACCAGGCCGTGATCCCGACTGAGACGACATGACTGTACAAGCAAAGGACTCTTGCTTGCAGAGTTGGGTGATTTCAGCAATTGGGATCCGCGATAGTTATTATAAAGCGACGATTTTAACTTTCGCTCCGGGTAAGCTTTCCGTACGTCATCGGTTTGGATGACAAACACATTACAAACATATCAGCAGCAGCACTACACTCTCCCCGTGCAATTAGCGGTATATTTTAGCAATGTTTATTGTGAATTTGACTCATGTTCTTATACGGTTGATTGATATAGAATAACCAACTGCACTGGACCCGAATCTCAAATACCCACCTCTCCACGAATACGTCCTTACATAAGCTAGTCTGCTCTCCCAAGTCTTCTCAGGCGTCCACTTCCCGTACCAAGAGCTGTGCGTCGATTCCCAATTCGATGCGAATAGAAGGAATGAGTATATCTCGGTGCCCTGAAATAATAAGTTCATAGTACTGTTCAGCTTCAGCGAGGCAATCTGTCTACAGTCCCAAGACCTGATTAGCCATGTCGCTCTTCACAATGGCTTTCGAGCCGCCGTCGCCGCCGTCGCGAGCAGGAGAAGTTGCTATTGATCCGCCGGACGGCAAGGCATTGTTGGGCGAGAGTGAGGTAAACCTAAGCTCTGAAGATGAAGACGACAAGAATGAGGATCTTAGTAAGATTCTAGATCGTCTCGATCTAGCGGGCAGAGTTGGTACATACTTCCAGACTACAGGTTGTTTTGAAATATCATCAAATGATCTCTAACATATTCGATTACATTGTTTTCAGACTTCACCCTACGACTCCCAGAAGAGGTTCTTCCAAAAATATTCGTCTATCTCGACGATCGATCCCTTTACAATTGCATGCTCGTCAACAAGGCATGGTACACCTCCGTCAACAGCAGCGTCGTATGGCGGAACATGTTTCGGCGCAATTGGCGATGGTGGGCAATCACGCGAGATATACCGTCGGATATAGATTGGAAAAGAGTCTATCTTAGTCGGCGGCAGCTGGAGCAGCGGTGGCGGCGGAAAAAGTACAAGCATACGCGTCTGGAGGGACACAATGATGTGGTGTATTGCGTACAGTTTGATGAGTGCGGTCCCCCTCCTTCTCTCTAATATGCCTGACTGCTAACTTCATATGACTGTGTATAGCGACAAGATAATCACTGGTTCGCGAGACCGGACGATCAATATATGGGATATGAAAACTTTACAGATCACTCGCACATTATCACGACGACCTCCACCTCCCGGCACCCCAGAGTCCGAGCTCGAGTCCTTTTACAATATCTCTGGCCACGAAGGCTCAGTTCTCTGCCTTCAGTACGACAAAAAACTTCTAATCTCGGGCTCCAAAGATCAAACCATAATCATCTGGTCAGTAGAGCACGACTACAAACCTCTCCGTCGACTCAAGCACCACGACTCGTCAGTTCTCGACATCAGTTTCGACGAGAAATACATCGCCACATGTTCAAAAGACGGAAACATTTGTATCCTCGACCGGACCAGCTCCGAGTTCCCGCTTCTACGCGTCATCGACGCCAGCCGCGGCACAATCAACTCTATCCACCTGAAACGCGGAATCGTCGCCAGCGCCGGCATCGATAGTGTTGTTCGCATATGGCACGTCGAAACTGGGAAGCGCGTGATGAGCTTGCATGGACACGAGCGGGGGCTGGCGTGCGTCAAGATCTCGTCGAATAAGCGGTATGCTGTCAGTGGAGGAAACGACACGACTATAAGGATATGGGATTTGAAGTCAAGGGCGCCGGTCGCCGTGTTGGAAGGTCATACGTCTCTGATACGGACACTTCACCTTCACGGGAGGAGAAGTAAGTATTATTCTATTATTCTCCATGCTCTTTTTCCAGACAGCAGACTAACGCCTTTTCAAACAGTCACGTCCGGAAGCTACGACAAAGAAGTCAAGGTATGGGATTTCGACCTCCCTGAACCTCTGTTCGTAGCCAAACTAGATCACTGGGTCCTGTCCGCAAAAGCAGACTGCAAACGGCTCCTGGTAACTTCGGGTTCATCGGACGTGGACATGTACGATTTCGCAGACGGGCTTGATGATCCGGCTTATCTGCGCTATTTCCGGGACCCCTGAGCTTGGCTTTGGTTTCCGGGGGGTTTCCACGCGAGTAATTATTCTATAGATTACGTAGATTTTTGGATGAGATGGCTTGAAGAAACTTAATCTTTTTACTCAACAACTCTACAATACAAGTCAAAAAAGCATATAAAGAAGAGAAGATAACAAAAGAGGCTACAGCTACCTATGTCATCCTGCAAACTAAGCAAACAACTAAAACTCTACGCAGAAAAATCAAACGAACAAACAAGCACGCAACAGAGATATGGAAACAAAATGACCTGACTGTTTGAACAACCTCACCTCTCATACACATGCCTCGACTCTCGGCCTACATCGATCGCGCTCCACCCACTCCGAATCTAGATACCGCCGTAGTGTAAACTCATCAAACTGCCAATGAAGGTCAAGATAAGTCTGCTTCTGACTTCGCAGATATCTTCCGGCACAAGCCAGATCAAAGCTCCGAGCTTTCTGGCGATCGAAATAGCGAGCTTGGCGTTCAGGTATTTCTCCTCATCGGTCCGGCCGGGTGTCACGAGATCATAGTCGACATAGCCAGGCTTCAGGCCGTGAAGAACATCGAGCAAGAAGATTCCAGACGCGATCGAAGGATCCTTAAGCGATCGGACGGTAGACGACTTGCCGCCCTTCTTGGCTGTGTCCTGGGCCCATCTGAGAATATCGGAATCAGTAAGGTCACGGCCTCCCTTCGATAGACTCTTGAGAGTGTCGACAATGTTACGACGCATGAGCTGCCAGACAAGTCCAAGAGTAAGCGTGCGCTGTCCGTCGGTGATATCAGCACCCTGGATTCCAACGAGCGAGAACTTGTTTTGCTTGCCAATATCGACCGCGTAGTTGGTGTTCTCGACAGCCTTGAAACGCATCAGCTCGGCGCCAGACGCGGGCCGCTTGTTGACGTGACGCATGTTGACGGATCCCGGAATGACCTTGTCGAAAGCTTGCAACAAAATATATCCGTCCTTGACATCCTCAAACAAGTTGACAACAGGGGGATCGACATCAAGCGAGTTGAGCCACAAGGTAAAGACGCGAGCTTCCCGCTCACCTTCAGCGTCAAAGTCCTCGATCTCTGGCTTCTCCTCCTCGGTAAACGGCTCAAGACCGGGGTGAGTGTTAAACAAATGCGCAACAAACGCAAGGTTGAGCTTGGGGTTACCAGCCACAAGAGATGTAGGAGTCAAGTACTTTCGGCACTCGATCTTCTCGGCATTAGAGAGAACCTGCTCGGCGCGCTGAAGAACGTCTCTGGTCTGCAGAGGAGCCAGAGAGCAGACGTCAGGCTTGAGCTGGTGAAGGAGAACTGTGTAGTTCTCACCATCCGACACGTCCTTGGAGAAGTTGTTTACTCGACGGTCCCAGTTAGCAGCCTTCAAGTGGTAGTTGAACCACCGCAGAAGGATCTGCTCCGGGGGCAGACGGAGGAACTGCTCGAGAGTCTCGTCCTCCTCGAGCAAGCGGTACAGCTCGGGGTGGAGTTTTATATCAATCTTTCCGAGCAAACCACGTCTGATGATCTGCCAGATAAGACCAAGAATAAGATGCTCGCGACCGTCGATGATATCTTCAGCGTGGACGTTGACAACGACACAGCCGATAGCCTTGGCGGAGTTGATGACGATGTTTGCGTTCTCAGTCATGGTGAAGTTGTTAAGTCGCTTGCCAGCCTTGGCCTTGTTCAACACACGCTCATCGATAGTGTCGGGAACGGAGTCGTTGATGAGCTTGGAGAGAACCAAACCATCCTTGCACTCGTCAAAGATCTGGAAAGTGTCGGTGGGGAACGGAAGACGGCTGCCGATATCTGGGTCGCCGGCGAGCACTGAGTTGATGTGTCTGGTGAACTCGGTTCTCTCTTCGTCGTTGATGGTATGGGTGACACCGGTTGTAGATCCTTGAACGACAATCTTGGATTTATTGTGGCCAATTGTCTTTGTCTCGCCCGATCTCAGCTTGGAGATAAGCTATGTGATTGAAGAGTTAGATTTGCAAGAAATATAATAGCTGTGTATAATGATGCAGATCTGAATCTTACCTCGACGTAGTCATCCAGCTCAACTCTTCCACTAGCGTCGACTCCGACGTCCTTGAGGGTCTCTCTGATCTGATCATAGCTGGCATTCTCTCCAGATTCCTGCACGGCTTTCACGATCGTCTGTTTGTCAACATATCCTCGGTCCTCGATATCGATTTTCCTGTATTAGACGAAAAGTTAGGAATCGATCCTCCACTATGAAGTTTAAATGCGGCCAACGAGTGTAATGCGCAGGAACGATCCGATCCACGGCACCATCACCATCAGCCGGGTAGTAAAAGCAAAGGTTCTGAGGAGAAGCATACTGGAAGTTGTTGATAAGCTGGAAGATGTCTTCCTGCTTGAGATCCGGGAATTTTCGCTATAAATAGGAAGGAAATGTCAGCTTCAAAGAATCAAAGAGATTATTGCATTGTACGCAAGCGCTCGGTATATCGCGAGTGATCCCCCGCAATCAGCGCAAGAGTAATGATCGAGCAGCAAACTTGACATCAAGCTATCTCCTCTGTCAATTTCTTGACTGATTTACAGATCGATGGCGAATGCCTGCACTGCCCGAGGCTTGCGACGGCAGCATATGGGTGGGCGGGCGCACGATATGCGGAAACGTACCTGGAGTTTGATTGCGTTCATCGTGGCTAACGGCCGTCGAGCAAATATACAATCGGCGTCGGTCGAGGAGGTTCTTCGGTGAAGAAACAGCAGGGCAGAAGCGGTTGCGTGGATGGCAATGGATGGATATCCGGTGGTAGCGGCAAGTCAGGCGTCAGAGCTGCCGTCGGTCGGTGGACGAGCGACCAGCCTCCAGGTGACGTACTAGGGTTAGGGCCCTGTCCCAGCCACGCTGCGGCAAAGCTGGTTCCGGATAGAGAAGACATCTGCTGAGCCCACGTCCAGTTTGGTGGACTATGATGGGATGGGATGGGATATAATACTACGGCTGGTGACAGACATATGCAGGGAACCGTCACTCATTGACTCTGTATTCAGCCCTCCCCCCCTCAAACACGGTAATTATGCATAATAACAAATGTTCCAGTACGCCTCGTAAGGTTGTCGTTCATAGCTGCTTCCTCCTCCGCCTTCTGCTTCCGTAGCCGCTCACTATAGCTATTCATTAGTGCAGGGCTGTACGGGAACGAGTAGCCGTCATTCGACGTCGTGTTCCACGGCAGAAACCATTCCCACACATAGCCACCCATCACCGCCTTCCAATTCCCCCACACACCTATGTTCCAGAACCGCTCGCCCATTTCCGTCTCGCACACTCCACGAATTTCAGACCGTTCGGAATCAATACCGCCAATGTTTATAAAATGTATCCGGTAATTTCTGCTCAGGTACTCAATCGTGGTCTGATTCCGGAGCAGGTAAAAGGAATGGACTCCGCAAAATACGACAAGGAGACCCGCAAATATACCGGAACTAAGTCAGATTAGTTAGTAAAAGCGTGCTCTTAACCACGAGTGTGTACGAGATTGAAAACTCACAGTACGGCGACTACCACGAACTGCGCAACCAAATGATCCTCTCGCGCGTAGATCACGGCGTACGCGGTGATCGTGACGAAAGAAAACATATTGAATATGAGGGAATTCATGATAAAAAGATAAAACGTTTTGTAATTCCTCAATCCGATGATCGAACCAAGCCATGGACAATAATGATCCATCTTCAAGACACATCTGTCGACCTCAGAAGAGTGATGGGCGCGATCAGGCCTCATCAGCTGGCACCGCGAGCACCAAAGCGGATAGCCATCAGGTTCACTTATGAATGCGTCCGGAAGACATGGTTTTGGTTTTCCGTCCTTCTGTCCTGGATTTTGCACTCCACGCGGCCCGTCATCCTCGATACCAAAGATGTTGGGGTGCATGGCCGGAGGAGCACTTTCATTGTTCAAGCTATGCTGAAATGCCTCGCCCCAGGATTTTTGCACGTATCCCGGACCGAGTACGTTGACTATTGAAGCATAGCAAAGAATGGTCGCAAGGTAGAACAGCGATATTGTCATGAAGGCGATGCCTTGCTTTCTGCGCTTCCCATGATCCCTCTGGATCAAATGCGTATATGCAAAAATATACGAATATACATAAATCCAATAGCCAAGCAGCGCAACTAATATGAAAGGAACGCACTTGTTGATCCGATACCGTTTCCGTCTTCGAGCGCGCCATTCGTCATCCGTGAGCTGACTGCTTGGTTTGGGGAAAAGTGATTTTCTGGAGAACCGTTTCCGCTTTGATTTCTCCGAAGCCTGATCTGCTGAAAAAGGGTTTTGCATGTCCATATGTGTTATGTCGCTTTCTGCGTAGGCCAGGCCGATGGGCTGCTCCTGTTGTTGCTGATTCTGGACGGCAGCTGAAGACCTCGTGCTGGCAGGCGGAGTCGAAGATACGTCTTGCGCCATTCTATCGGAGATCGATTTTCATATCCAGACTTTTGATCTATTCGGAAGGTTTGAGGTAGGAAGACGATATTGAGCAGCGGCGCTTTCGAATCTGATTTTGCTTTCCTCCTTGTTATCTGACCAAGCCGCAAACTAGGCTCCGTGAATGCAAGCAGTCGTGAATCACACAGTCAGATTAACTCTGTTGATGAAATGAGAGGATGCCCAATTTCTTCCGAACAGAGTCTGATGGTGATCCAAATGCCAAGTTCAACTCTGAAGAGGTTGTAGAGAAGAGCAAGGCGCAATAATCAGTTAGTTGACTGATGAGGAGCAAGTTGGAGAAAACAGAGTCACCCCAGCTGTAGCAGACTAAAACACTCGCGCTGATACAGCTATCTGTTCTAAACTCCTGTTATCTCAGAACAAGGACTACTCTGCCACGAATAACAAGATAGAGCAATCAGTTAGTTATCAGAAGCAATTCGTCATCTCATTACTAATCCCTGACCTAACGTGCGGCGGACGTGCGGCTGCGTTACTGTGGAAACAAGATGTTGACGAGTGGCTAAGTTCAGCCTAGCGAATATGCCAAACAGCCCGCCAGTGTGAGCGAAACCATCCTCCACGGCCGCTGTGGTGAAAATTAGAGGCCGCATAGACCAGTTCGTCTTCTCTGCGTTTCATCGGCTTCACAAGACACTTCTCAGTCCGCTTTCGTTGCTGCTCGTAGCTCATGCACCGCCTGTTTCTTCGCTGCTCCTACTTTTGTTGATCTTTCGTCGCTGCCATCTGTCCAGATGTCGTCCGCTCTCCAGCCCCGGGAGATCGGCACATTGATAGCCGTTCTGATCAAAGCGGTATGATTCTTCTGTGCTTTTTGTTTGCAGCCTTGAGACTAACCTGATCGTGAAATTCAGAAAAACCTGCCCAATCGTCGCACGTTGGGTAAACAGGATCCGTACTGCACAGTCAGAATCGGCCAGAATGCGCAGTCAACCAATGTAGACAAGCGCGGTGGTCAAAGGCCGATGTGGAACCACGAAGTCCGCTTTGTCGTCAGCGAGACAGACGAGACCATGAAGCTCACCGTCTTGGACGACAACGACTCGCGTCCCGAACTGATTGGCGACACTGTCGTGGATCTCAAACCAGTGCTCCATACCACGCATAAAAAGGAGCATGACAAGTGGCATGAGATCCAGCATAGATCAAAATATGCCGGTGAAATATACATAGAAATGACGTTCTATCCAAACGTACGTTGTCATACCCTGCACAGTGATCACAATTGTTTACTAACTATCCGCTACAGAAGGAGCACGTCCACACAATTCGCGCAAAGAGAGCTGAACATAAGCGTCTCTCGTCACCAAAGGTATCCATAGACAACTTTGGTGGAGTACGCCCTCTCCCCGCGACACCCGGTCGACTTGGCGAGGGTATTCCGTCGCTTGGCTCATCGCCACTACAGCCCGCGCAGGCAGCGTCAAGATCGTCTTCGACCTCATCATCTCCGGCGTCCACACCTCGCGGCTATTTCAACTCTCAGCAGCCCTTTGATCGTAGACACTCGACTTTGTCTGCATCTCAACAGCACTCGCTACCTCTTATGCCCGCCCGATCTAACTCGCAGGGTCAATTGTCGTCAACCGCATACTCAAAAACTCGAAGAGTATCTGGCGGCTCAGAGAATAATCGGCCTGCAAGCCGACCGGTTAGTGCATACTCGTATGACTCCACAGTTTTGTCGGGCGTCCCAGACGAATGGCGCTCGAATGTTGACCCTCCGATGAAGGCATATGAGAGGAGCTACGACGAAGAGACGTACTTTGGGGATCGCTACTCACGCGGAGATCGGGACTCTCCGAGCCAGTCTGACGCAGATTTTTTGGCCGAGCAGCTCGAGAAGCTGCGCTACAGTAGCCAGCCGATGTCTCCAAGACACCAGACGCCAGAGTATGAACACGATAGATACATCGAATCTCCGCAGAGTCCCGGTCGGCCACTGAGCCATCGCCGGACTACCGGTGGTCGGCGCCCGCTGCCGATGCCTCCTGGAGTCGGTTGAACGGGACCAAACGAGAGACTGTGAGCACCTCATCTTCTACATATAAAATACTTTTCTTTCGTTTACGGGTTCAGTGGATCGAGGCTTTAATGTGAATTCTTTGCTTTTAATTATGTTTGGGTATACTTTTGGAAACTATCATTGCTTGAATAGTAAATGTCGTGAGAGTTAGAATCTTCAGTCAATTTACAATTGCATATATATATATATATAATCTAGTGCATCTTTTGAATACGATGATTGCTACTAAATGTATTGAAAAACCACGTAAGACGAACGACCGATAAAGTCAGCTTCTACATTGACTAAATTATAAAACAGAAGACGAAAAGGATGAACCAAAAGCTTAGAGCTCCCGCGCGTCGCGCATTATTTTGTACAGTATAGACATTGACTCTACTCATTCCGCCGTCATAGCGCGTCATCACGATTATAGATCGAAAGAGAAGCAAAGCACATACAAACAAAGACAAGACAAGACAGAACAAAAAAAAGGAATGGAAAAAAAGCATTGAAACTCAACATCGGTAAATAGACAGCAACAATCAAACACAAAAAAGCGCAAGCGCTAAACTACCAAGCAATATAGTGCTGGAAAGAGCACATGGTGCAGATGTACGATAGGCTGCTCCTGTCATCCAATTCGATCCCCCGCGGTATTCTACTGTTTCGAGCCATCCGAGTGCGTTGATTTAGCAGCACTTTGAAGAGTCCTTCTTGCTCTCATCAGGTGGGCGGGCGAAATCGATGGGCTTGCCCTCGCCTGGTCGGGGAGCGGTTTCGTTGGCTTGATCTAGCTGTTTGGCAGAGACGATGCGGTAGATCTCGGTGAGAATGTTTTGGAAGGCAAGTTCGACGTTGGAGGCATCGAGGGCCGAAGTCTCGATGAAGGAAAGGTTGTTCTCGGCTGTGGATGAAGAAAGAAGGGATGGGTTAGTGGAGCTGTAGAGAGAGCTGTGATAGAGGATAGAGGGCCTACATACCAGCAAAGTTCTTTGCCTCCTCGGTGGGAACGGCGCGCAGGTGCCGCAGATCACTCTTGTTTCCGACGAGCATGATGACGATGTTGCTGTCTGCGTGATCGCGAAGCTCCTTGAGCCACCGGGAGGAGTTCTCGTAGGTGCTGTTTTTGGAAATATCATAGACAAGCAGGGCACCGACCGCGCCACGGTAGTACGCGTTGGTGATGGCACGGTAGCGCTCCTGGCCGGCGGTATCCCAGATCTGGGCCTTGATGGTCTTGCCGTCGACGGAGATGGAACGTGTGGCAAACTCGACGCCGATGGTGCTCTTGGACTCGAGGTTGAACTCGTCGCGGGTGAACCGCGAGAGGAGGTTAGACTTGCCGACGCCGGAGTCTCCGATGAGGACAACTGGAGCAAGGGAATCAGCACAAACGAAGGGCAATCACAGCGAAGAAGGGTCGTGAACAAGAAGAAGAAGCGGAAACACACCTTTGAAGAGGTAATCGTATTCGTCCTGGGCCATTGCTGATGTGAGGAGAGAAGAGAAGGGATTGGGTTGGGTTGGGTGGTGGTGCAGACAAGAAGCGCCTTTGAGCTGGGCGGTGAGACGACTGCGGCGAAGGGGGCCCTGCGGCTGTGGCATATCAGTCACGTGGGTTGGCGACTTGTGCTGCAGCTGCTGGCCGCCTGGTGCTGTCGCGGCCGAGAGCAGCGCCGGGCAGCGCCGGGGTTGAAGAAGAGCGAGCGGATGGGCTGTGTCTATGAACAGGGTGATTATTGTTTATTAGCAGCTGATTGAGGCGTGTTTGGAGCACCAGCAGGGCTTCTGGTGGTTGCCGGCTGCTCTTCCATATGCACAGACGCGTAATTATTTCATGTCTATGGCGCAACTGATATATTCTACTGCACTTACGGCACCAAACGCGCACTTAAACACCTGCACAGGAGCTCCTGCCCGACGCGGCAAACTGTACTCGTGTAAACTTCCTCCTTTGTCTTCCAACCTCCTCCGTAGCCATCGTCGAACAGCCATGTCAGAACGAAAGAAGCTGAGGCAGGAAACCAAGGTGGTATGTTTTAGTTTTTTGCTCTGACCATGTACTCTTTTCTCGATAAAATGATACTAATCTCACTGATTAATACCAGGTCAACGAGGCCGCTGAGCTCAAGCGACGCGAGCACCAGAAGAAACTTCATCTGAAGCTCTTGGAAGAAGGCCAGAAGCGCTTCGCGGGCGAGAGCAAGGCAGAAGATGACGAGAAGCGTGCGGTGTTTAGACGCTACGAGGCCTACAAGCGTGAATCGCAGTTCCCGGTTGGCGTCAAAGACCTCAAGATCGCGGTTGATCCCAAAAGTCAGGTTGTCGTGGTGCCGATCTGCGGCAGACCGGTGCCGTTGCACATCAACACTCTGAAGAACGCGAGCAAGAACGATGAAGGCGAGTATGTTTACATCCGTCTTAACCTCATGACTCCCGGCCAGGCTATCGGCAAAAAGGACGAGCTGCCGTACGAGGATCCGAATGCGCATTTCGTGCAGAGTTTGACGTTCCGCTCGCGCGACACCGAGCGCATGACCGATATCTTCCGCAGCATTCAGGAGATGAAGAAGAATGCGATGAAGAAAGAGATCGAGCGTAAGGAGCTCGAGGACGTCGTTACACAGTCTAATCTTGTCGAAGTCAAGAACCGACGCCCTTTACGACTCGATAACATTTTCGTGCGCCCGGCCATGGAGGGCAAGCGAATTGCCGGCAGTATCGAGATCCATCAGAACGGTTTACGATATCAGTCCCCGGTTCGCATGGATCAGAAGTTTGATCTTCTGTTCAACAACATCAAGCATCTTTTCTTCCAGCCCTGCGACCACGAGCTTGTCGTCATCATTCACGTCCATCTGAAGCAGCCGATCATGGTTGGCAAGCGCAAGACCAAAGACGTGCAGTTCTACCGGGAAGCGTCTGATATCCAGTTCGACGAGACCGGAAACCGGAAGCGCAAGTACCGCTACGGCGATGAAGATGAGCTCGAGGCCGAGCAGGAGGAACGAAAGCGACGGCACGCGCTCAATAAAGAGTTCCGAGCGTTCAGTGAGCGCATCTCCGAAGCCTCGAACGGTGCTTTTGATGTCGACATTCCGTTCCGCGAGCTGGGATTCTATGGTGTGCCCTTTAGAGCAAATGTTCTTTGCCAGCCGACGACGGACTGTCTCGTGCAGCTGATTGACCCGCCGTTTTTGGTTATTACATTGTCAGAAATTGAGATTGCGCATTTAGAGAGAGTACAGTTTGGGCTCAAGAACTTTGATTTGGTGTTTGTTTTCAAGGATTTCAGTCGGCCGGTGGCACACATCAACTCGATCCCGATGGACAGTCTCGAGAGTGTTAAAGATTGGCTCAACGAAGTCGAGATTGCGTACTCTGAAGGCCCGCTGAACCTCAACTGGGCGACCATTATGAAGACGGTGACCTCAGATCCTCACTCGTTCTTTGAGGAAGGAGGATGGTCGTTCTTGAACAATGATTCTGATGAGGACGTAAGTGATGAGTCTGAGCAGGAGTCTGAGTTTGAGGCGTCAGATCTTGATCCATCGGATGAGAGCGAGGCTGAGAGTGATTTTGATGATGATGGAAGTGCGTCGGGTGGAGACGACGATGAGGAAGATGATGATGATGAAGATGACGAGGAAGATGATGAGGATTAAGCTGATTTATGTCAATTTGCTCTGAGTTGATGTGTATTTTTATACTATTATAGTTGTTGACACCAGATACATCAAGATTTCCAATACATTTTTCTTCTTGTTTAGTTTATGATGGCCAGCCAGTCAGCAAGATCTACATCGCGTCGTCGTAATTTTTGAGTGGCAAGCGCCTCGGCGTGCAGTGCAATGTAGGCCGCGACGACGTGAGGACATTCGCCGAGAACGGTGAACATGTCTTGATCATTTGTGGCGGTGGTCGAAGTCTGATACAGAGGTTCTGCCACTGGTGCAATCAAGCACGCGCTCTCAAAGAAGGACGCGCACGAGCAAGTCCACAAGGGCAGCAAGACGCGAGCGGATCCCAGGCAGACAGCCGATCTGCCAGCAAAGTCGAGCTGTTCGACAGAGCAGGATTCGAGTATGTCTAGAGCAGGAAGGAGCGACGAAGGAAGAAGGTAGTGAAGCGTCGTGAGCTGCGTAGAGAAGGAGGATGCATTGAGCTGCCTGACGAGGGAGCGTATTAGCACACGCTTTGCAGCTGCCGGGTCCGCCGACATCACATCGGGAAGACAGAGCAGAGAAGAAGAAGCAGAGCAGACACTTGTGAGTAAGTATAAGCAATGTTTACTTGCTACTGCAAAGATGACCACGTGCGCAGGTCACGAGACCACATTAGTCATCCCTCACATAACCCAACCTCAGCCTGTGCGGCGGTGGAAAAAATTGAATCTTCATCGTCCACCCGTCGAACCTTTCCATCTGCGCCCAAATGTCGACGAGCTACACGCAGCCGGTCTACAGCCGGCAGATAGCTCCTGCTCCTCATCCGCAGATGCTGCCGCAGCAACCGTACATGGTCTCCCAGTTCCAGCCGGGTGCGCCGTCGTTCGTGCCCGGCATCAGATACTACGACGTCCAGCAGCATCCTCCGCAGTACTATCAAGAGTGGCGGCCGGCGGGCTTCCCACCTCCGCTCCTCGCCCCTCCGCTGCCGCCTCCTCCACACACTCTGGCGCCCGCGGTGCCTGCTGCGCCGATTCAGCATATGCCGCATCATCAGCATCATTCACATCCTCACTCGCACCTCCATTCGCCCTCGCATTCGCAGCAGCAAGTCCTCATTCCACAGCAGCCACCGGTCTTCTTCTCTCCACAGCAGCAGCAGCAGCAGCAACACCTCCACCAGCCTCCTCTTCCTCATCCCGCACCCAGCCAAGAGCCTACCCTTCCTCTGCTCTCGTCTCTGTCCTCATCCCCGTCCGTCCCGTCGCCATCATCACCTTCGCCTTCTTCGCTGCCTTCTTCCTCCGAGCCATTAGTTCGTAGAACTCCCTGGTTCTCCGACCCTGCATCTCCCTTCCCCTCCCGCCACGGCGCCAACCACCCTGTCTTGCTCCGCTCCCGAATACAGCAGCTGGCGAAGCGCTCGATCAGCGTAGACAACATCGTCAGTCATGCGGACGAGTTCCAAATCGACCGATCTTTCATTTCGCCGAGAGTCCGTGCATCTGTCGAGAAATCACTGCCCCCATCACCTTTGCACAAACAAATATCCTCAGACATCTCCTTTGGAACGACCGGAGAGCCCGCGACATATCTTCCGCCTATCGAAATCCCCACAGTCAAACCAAAGTCTCCAGCGGTCGAGCCAGCTGCCCGTCCTGGGACGCCGGTAAAGGAATCACAGCAGAGCATAAAGCCAGAGGGCACCCCTGCAAAGGCAGAAGCCGGGACACATTCTCGGACTGTCTCATCTCGATCATGGGCCGATATCGTCAAGCCCCCTCCCGTAAAAGTCTCGACTCCTCCAGCTACTCAGCCAGCGAGCAGCTCTACTCAATACACCACAGCCGCCGCGCCGTCTTCGAACTCTACAGAACCGGCCTCGCCTTCATCGGCTTCATCCGAGAGTTCAAGGTCGTCCGATGCTACTGAACTGGAGCTGTCGACAGCATCTCATTCATCTGCTTCGCAGTCGGCGGACCTGTTCACGGCACCTGCGCCTGCGCTTCTCCCCCGTGGCCTTGTCAACACCGGCAATATGTGCTTCATGAACTCGATTTTGCAAATTCTTCTCTACTGCGTTCCCTTTTACTCTTTCGTCGATACGATGGGCAAGAAGCTGACGCACAGATTTGATTCCGAGACCCCGATCTTGGATTCGCTGATTCTTTTCATCCAAGAGTTTGACCCGAAAACCGTCAACGGCTTCAACAAAGACAGCGCGCTCGCCGAGGCCCTTGCTGCGTCTCTCATCACCGCGAGCGAAGAGAACAGTGCGGCTACACCTCCACCCCAGTCTCAGATGCAGTTCGGGGAGCCGTTTATTCCCGAGTTTGTTTACGACGCGCTGCGGGCAAACACGCTGTTTGCAAACATGCGCCGCGGACATCAAGAAGATGCTGAGGAGTTTTTGGGATTCCTGCTCGATGGGTTGCATGAGGAGTTTATGGCGGTTGCGCAGCAGCTCCAGAAGAAGCAGATCATGAGCGGGATTACACCAACGAATTTTGTTGAGGCTGCCATCGCCGAGCTGAAACTTGAGGAGTCTAGTGCGGGCGACGGATGGCTAGAGGTCGGAAAGAAGCACAAGATTGCAGTGACTAGAACGGTTTGTGTCCCTTTGCAGTCTAGGAAAGTTATAGGTTTCGCTAACAAAATAATACTACAGACATCCGTGTCAAGCTCGCCGATAACAAAGCTATTTGGAGGCCAATTCCGATCGGTGATCCAGGCGGCACGCCAGAAGCCATCAGTGACTCTGGACCCGTATCAGCGCGTGCAGCTGGACATCTCGGACGCCGAGATCCATACGATCGAAGACGCGCTCGCGAATATTTCGCAAACCGAGGTGATCAGCCAGTACAAGAGTAAGCAGGGCGAGATAGTCGAAGCCAGCAAGCAGACGTTTTTTGAGAAGCTACCAAAGGTGCTTATCCTGCATCTCAAGAGATTTCACTTCAAGGTTGACGAAGCGTCAGGGTACGCCTATGTGCAGAAGATCAACAAGACTATCGGATACAAGTGCGAGCTGCAGATTCCACCAGAGTGCATATCGCTGCCACACCGAGACGAGGAGGCGAACTACAAGCTGTTTGGGGTAGTCTACCACCATGGCAAGTCGACCGAAGGCGGCCATTACACAGTTGATGTGCATTACAAGCCGCGGAACCAGTGGCTCAACTTTGACGACGTAAACATCAAGACCATACGGCCGGAAGGTGTTGAGACAGAGTATGAAGACGAGCAGACGATGCGGAGGCGGATTGTTGGAAGCGGGGATAACGGGGACGAACGGACGGCATATTTATTGTTCTACGAGCGTGTTTGAAAAGCGGTCAGGAGAAGCATTTGCAGATCCAGTGATTTGGCTGGGATTAATCAAAATATTGTCGCTTTTTTTTATTGTTGTTTTTTGTTTATCTGTGGTTAGCAGTACTGGCTTGAAAGGTTGCAATTTGTTCTAAGGTTGAGTGTGCATTTTCTATTTTATCTATTTTATATGTGCCTGCAGTCCACATCTATCATAATCATGCAGTAGTTAGTTTGTAATAGGCATTTGTTTAGTCAATTGGGGGTTGTAGGCCGATGAGACGTCTAATCTAGAATCCGCAGAGGAGGAGCGGCTTCTTCTTCAGGGTCTGGCGCACGGCCTCGTTGGGTGCGCAACAACTGGCCGGCGACCGCCTCTCTTTATATCCCGTCCTCTGCTCGCCCTCCGCCCTGCCTGTCTCCCTCTTCACCGCTTCTTCCTCCTTTACTATCTGACCTCTGCCTCCTACTCGCCTTCCAGACCGCTGCCTCCCCTGTCCTGCGGCTTTCTTCCCGTCTAGATCGCAATGGCGCCGGTTACGCGCGGTCCTGCCTCCCAATCGCAGTCCAACCAGCCCCGGGCCTCCTCCTCCGCCGTCCCGGCCCGCGAGTCGCCTTCTTCCCCGCCAGACGCAGACACAAAGTCCTCTAGTTCCGTACCCGATGAATCCGCTGACGCTGCCGCCCAGCCTTCGCTGCAGGTCTACTACAAGCTCGTCGAGGACTTCCTGGCCAACGCTACGACGAATCAGCTCCTCATCGGCGGTGCCATTGCCGTCCCTGCTCTCGCCTTCTTTTTCGGCGTTCCCTTGTTTTTCCTTCTTGCCGGCGTCGGTATCGGTATAGTTATCGCCTTCCAGTCGGTTAATCCGTGGCGAGACCTTGATCTCGAGCCACTGCCTTGGAAGAAGGACGGGGTCACACGTGCATCGATCTTCAACGAGGTATGCCCGCCTTTCGTCTAAACATGCAATCATCTGCATTCTCCTTTTGCTGATCCGCTTTTAATATCATAGGCCGAGTTTAAGCCCCTGATTCACAGCACGTACGAGCCTTCTGAGCCGGTCGAAGATGCGATCGAGCGCGCCGTTGACATCGTTGTCCGCGAATATGTTAATTCGTGGTTTGTCAACATCTCTACCGAGGATACCACTTTCGTCAAGTAAGCTCGTTTTTTGATTTTTTTTACTCTATATATACTAATACTAGTGTAGTGCAACACGGCAGATGCTGATCGACACCGCGAACGCATTCGCAGGCCAACAATCGCTCAAACGCCCGGCAGACCTATTCCTCGTCCTCGTATTCTCGACATGCAACACGATCGTCGTCTTCCTCCGCGAGCTACGCACAGTAAACGCTACATACACCTCGCGCGCGGGCGGGATCCACGATTACATTGTCGCGAACCCGGAATCTGCGCTCGCGCAGATGGTCGACCCCGAGATCCAGCGGCAGAAATTACGCAACGCGGCAAACAATCTCGTGCAGACCTTCATTCCTGCTCTCGACATCAAACGATCTCCGGTTGCACTACTTCTGCGAGAGATTGTGTCTCGCCAGATTCTTGAAGCGGTGGTTGACGCGTTTTCTGACCCCGATGCGGTCAACAAGTGGATTATTTACCTATTACAGAAAGAAGAGAATATCAAAGCTCTCGCGAACGAGATGACGGAAGCGACGAAGAACGGGCCTGCGGCGGTTGCTGCCGCTAAGGATTCGGTTCCCAACGCTCTCGATCTTGAGAATGCTGGGTTTTTACCACCCTCACCACCTGAAGAGTTTCAAGACGACTGTGACGGAGATAATGAGTCCAAAGCCTCTCAGCAGCAGCCGTCTAGTCGGGAGAACGACGCCGAGCACTCTAATGGTCAAACTCCCGGCAGCGGAGGTACGGTTAGACGAGTTCCAAGGAAGCCAGTGGGTGTGGCAAAGGCTACAAGCAACGATGATCCCGACTCATCGTTGTCTACGAACCCTGGCACGCCCGAGCGGCAGTCTATGTCAAGCGCGCGTCCACCGACTACGTTTGACGAGATGTTTTCGTCTCCCGATTTTGCCAGCAGCTCAACAGATTTATCTCGCACTCGGAGTACATCCTCGATCGGCTCAACGCATGCGGGCACTTCAGTATCATCGTCCATGACGCCGTCCTCGTTCAGCCGGAGGCCTGCGATAGATTCACCGCCTCTGACCTTATTCCAATCGAACATCATGGTGATTGATTCGTCGGCGGACAATAATCAGTCGACGAAACCGTTGACGTCAAGACCAATTGGGTTCTACACGCTTGTCATTGAACCAGCTAGCAGTACATCGCCTGGATGGATGGCGATGCGGAATATCAGCGATTTCGAAAAGCTGCATACAGTATTATCAAAGCTGGCGGTGCTGGCGGGCTTGAAGATGTTTCCCGAAGTGTTCCCCCCCTGGAACGGCGTGACGCGAGTAGATTACTGCCAGACGCTGCAGTCATACTTGCAGCTCGTTGTTAATACCCGGGAGCTGGCCGATTGCGAGGCAATGAAGAAGTTTGTGGATAAGAAGGAAACTACCTCGACAGCGGGCGAGAAACGCTGGCAGAAAAACCAGCTGTTCAAGCATGCAGGCGAGGGTGTTTTAGACGCGATCTCAAAGGCAACAAACGCGTCGTCTGCTAAAGAGTCACGGAAAGCGATTCTCGGCGTGCTGGCGGCGGCAAAGAAGCAGTCGGTTGAGTCGATAGGGCGAACGCGAGACAACGCGACAGCGGCATCAAGTCGGGCAAGGCAGTCGTTTTTGTCGGGCGGACCAGATTTCTCTGGGATTGCGGCTAGCATGCGACAGCTTACGAATGGAGCGCATATCACAGGAGTTACGCCGGGACCGCATCTGATAGCAGACAGCGCGCCGGCGCTGAATGGATATAGTCGCGAGGCGAGCGAGAGCTCGACGAGTCTTGCGAGCGCGGCGGATAGTATATCAGCGGAATACGCGCCGGTGTCGTCAGAGACTGATAGCTACGCGAGCAAGCGGAGGTCGGTCGTGAGTACTGCATCCGCATCTACGCCGGCGTTGGGAGTGGTAGATAGCGGAAACGCGCTACGAAGGACCGAGTCGCGCGCTTCTTCGGAAATGGACATGTCGGAGCCAGGCTCACCGCGGCCGTCGTTGTCTGCAGATGCGGTAGAGTCGCGCCCGAGGGCGGCAATTGACCACAGTGACGCACGGCGGTCGGCTATCTTGGCCTCACATCAGGAGCTTTCGCAGAGCGAGACGAACTCGCTGATCGATACGATCTTTCTCGCGATTTCCGAGCTGTATCTGCTGTCAAAGGCGTGGAACGTGCGGCGGTCGCTTTTGACGATGCTGCGCGGGCTGCTTTTGCGGAATGGATCGTCGTCGGTGGAGGGTATCCGGCTTGCGATCCAGAAGGATATAATCGGCAAGTACTCGTCAGAAGAGGAGCTAGCGCGGAAGTTGAACGATATGATCAACTCTGTGTGGCCGACGGAAGAAGAGCAAGCGCGACGAGAGAAGGAGAAAGCCGAGACAGACTCGGACGCGCTGCGAGCGGAAGCTAAGAAGATGTTTATGTCGCGAGCAGTGCCGGATGCGATTAAAAGTGTGATGGGAGCAGCTGCGTCGTCTCAGGCTCTCGAGTATGTGTTTGATGTGCTGCAGGACCGTAATATAGTACGGGGGATTGTGCTGGATCTGTTGATGGACATCATTACGACTGCGCTGATGTGAAGCGTCTGTTGATTGAGTCTTTTTCTTTTCTTTTCTCTTTTCATTTTGTACATTAATAGGGATTATAATAGCACCGTTTCAGCGAGGATAGCAGTAGAGCAAACAGAAAGATAATCAAGAACGGCAGTGCTCGGATTGGCCCGAGACCAGAAGCAGGAATTGAACCCGAATACGAGAACGACGCGGCGGGGAACTCGTTCTCGGCGGATTTGTTGTGGTCCACACAGAAACCTCGACCAGGCTGCCTGCCGCTTCTCCCGTCCACGCTCCGTGTTTATCGCGACCTGCTCCTCCACGTTTTTGTTCTTATAAACAATGGTCACCACCCGCTCCGCCACGGGAAAAACCCCCAAGAAGCCTGCCAACCCCAACTTTGTCGAGTCCGTCCAGAGAAGAAGGTCTCGTGTCGACAAAAACACGTCAACAACAACATCATCGAGCCTCGCCGACGAGATGCCTGCTATCAACGGCAAGAACAAAGACAATGAGCTGTCCCAGGCAGAGAAAGAGGACTCGCATGTCGAATACGACTTTGGCGGCCCCATTGGCGTCTCCTGCATGATGGTCGGCTTCCCGGCGCTCATGTACTATCTCTGGATCTCTGCCACTTTCTACGGCGGCATCCCCGCGACCATTGCTGAGGGTGAGACCGTCAAGGACTTTGCGCTGCGCATGTACGGCCACGTCCTCGCCAACGCGTTCCCTGATCTTCGCGCGTGGTGTCTTGTCTGGGGTTTCCTCTTCTTCGAGGCCGTCCTCTACGTCACGCTTCCCGGTGTCTCGACCCAGGGTCTTCCTCTGCCTTCTCTCAAGGGCAAGCGTCTGCCTTACTTTTGCAACGCCGTCTGGTCGTTCTACACGACAATTGCCGTTGCCGCTGTCTTGCACGTCACCGGTGTTTTCCCGCTCCCGACCATCATCGACCGGTTCGGAAATATCATGTCGGTCTGCATCATCTCCGGTCTCATCCTCCCGTTCGCTCTCTACTTTTGGGCCATCGCGACCGGAAACCAGCACCGTATGTCTGGCAACTTCATCTACGACGTCTTCATGGGTGCCGTTCTCAACCCGCGCATCGGAATCCTCGACTTCAAGATGTTTTACGAAGTCCGTCTGCCCTGGTTCATCCTCTTCTTTATCTCAGTCTCCACCGCCGTGCGTCAGTACGAGACCTACGGCTACATCTCGCCCCAGGTGTGTTTCGTCGTTCTCGCGCACTGGCTTTACGCGAACGCGTGCTGCAAGGGTGAAGAGCTCATCGTCACGACCTGGGATATGTTTTACGAAAAGTTTGGATTTATGCTTTTGTTCTGGAACATGGCCGGTGTCCCGTTCACCTACTGCCACTGCACTCTCTACCTGGCCAACCACCCGCCAACCGACTACCAGTGGTCGATCTACTACAACATTGCCATCTTCACCATGCTCCTTTGCTCGTACTACGTCTTTGACACCACCAACTCGCAAAAGAACCGTTTCCGTCAGCAGATGTACGGCACCTTGATTGTTCGCAAGACCTTCCCGCAGCTGCCGTGGCAGACAATCAAGAACCCTACCTACATCAAGTGCAAGAACGGCGGCACCCTGCTCACCTCTGGCTGGTACAAGTACGCGCGCAAGATCCACTACACCGTCGATTTCTGCCAGAGTTTATCGTGGGGTCTTATCACCGGCTTCGCTAGCCCCCTGCCTTACTTCTACCCCGTCTTCTTCTTTTGTGTGCTGAGCCATCGCGCGTTCAGAGATATTCAGAGATGCAAGGCCAAGTACGGCGACGACTGGAAAGAGTACGAGCGACAGTGCCCGTACTTGTTCATTCCCTATGTGTTCTAAGTGAGAACTGTAGACAACGAGAGAAAACGTGAGGATCTCTTCTAGTTTTCTCGTCTGCTGTACAACAGATGTAAAAGTTCCAAGTGTGTGTGGGAAGAGTGACGACGATCTTGGAAAGGCGATAATGTTCGATAGAGTCAGGTGTAGTTTTTGGATACGATATGTTACGAAGTGGTTTTATCTTTTCGCCGATATCAAAGTACATTGTCGTTGTATATCTGCGCAATCATATATCCTCCAAATTCATGTCCAGTCACTGCAGTCTTTGCCTCTCTGCTTCCTGAATGTAAACACAGCGTGAAGCTGGAAAAAGTAAACAAAAGCTGTACTACCCTAACCCGTGATGTCCCGTCGCGTTGCGTCGTATGCTACACGCGTAGGTTGATTGATACAGCCAAAACCTTTAAAACCACGAGGTAGACTGTTCACAGCCTTGAGAGATTGCGATGAACTGGATTGGAGGAAATAGATCAGTAGCTGCTGCCAACACGGGCTTATTCGGCCGCGCCAACTCGAGACGGTCGAACGAGTCTCTGAATGACCTGGGCAGCAGCACGACGTTTGGCGCGCGAGCACGCGAACGACGGCGACAGAAGAGTAATTTCCAGAAAGCTGCCAGGGCGAAGAGTAATCTGAGAGGATCAGAGAGCGCAGAGGATAGCTTTCAGGAGAGCCAGAGCAAGAGACGGAAGATCGAGTTTGAGATTAACCAGGGCATCAAGCCTACTGACTCAAAGAAGGGCGGTCAGACCGACGACGAGATGACAGAAACCGAGGTTACGACGCGATTACTTGAGAAGCTTGGGCGAGCACGAATCGAATTGTCCAACGCGGAGATCAGCGCCGAGATTGCGAACGAGTCTGCCGAGACGTCGCCGAATACTAGTTTTAGCTCGACGCGATCGGTCGAGGAGAGGAAGAAGATGTTGCTCGAGCTGGAGGATTGGGCTGCTATTTCAATGGTTTTTTACTGCGTTTTTGGGTTTGATGCGGAAGTGAGCGGGGCTAAAGTTGATATTATACAGGACCGGGATTATCGGGCGTACTTGCAGTCGATGCGGTTGAAATGTAAAGTTCATTGCTAATGAGTTTGGTTTCTATCTAGACCAAAGGTATCACGACCCAGAGTATCTACTTCTCCAGGTACTCCATGGAAGACGAGAAACACTGCCGAATTCAATAAACCCAAAGGTAGAAGCCCATTCGTGATGTCATACAAGCCAAGTCGCGCGCTGTCTTCTTCTCCTTCTCCCAACGATCCCGTCACTAGCAGACGCTCAATGTCAGCTCCGGCTGGCGATAGTCCAGGTGAACAAGATGAAAGTCACAGTTCTTCGAAATACAACGATCCGTCGTTTTTTGCAAACACTGAGAGAAGCGGTGAAGAGTATAGCGATACCCGTGCATCTCGCACGTGGAATTTCGATGCGGACGAGTCTGCACTTGGTGACCAGGAAGAAATATTATTCACACCAGCGAATTCACTCCCGGGGTCTCAGTCTGACGGGGTTGAGGTTCATCCGATGCCAGCTGCTAGAGCTGCAGAAAAGAGCGCTTGGACCGAGTCATTTGCTTCGGATTTACATATACAATCCGCCAATGCCTCTAGACCTGACACGACGCAAGTTCCAAAAGAAGCACAAGACGACTGGGATGAATACATGCACCAGGGTCGCTCACGCAACGAATCTCCAGTGGCTCGCGCTGAAGATGGACAAGCCTGTGTCACACCTGTTGCTCCCAGAGCTCCGGGAAGTTTGATGGAGTCACCTTACTGGGTTTCAATCCAAGCTGACAACCAGGATGAGTTTGGTCAGAAGTCTGGAGATGGCTCTGACGCTGACGACTATGAGTGGAAAGATTTTCTGAGTTGAAAAGGTAGAGATACGAGCTGGAAGATGGTTATGATTTCTTGCTATACGATACTGACTGCTGCCCTGTTTCTCTTTGCAAACTAGAGATCTTACAGAATCTTAAAATGTGCATGTAGGGCGAAAGTTCAGTCTTCTGCTCCGTAAAGCGACTGATGTATTCAAAGACTGTAGACATTCTAAATCTCTCTAGTTACAGACCATCCACCCCTCCACAATTACCTCTTCCCAAGCTTCATCCATGCCGGTGGTTTTGTAAGCTTCCCGCCGCTGCCACCACCAAGGGTCCTCCCGCCGCTACCAGTACCCGTAGGCGCCTTCGCCTTCCCTTTCTTCTTCGCCTCCTCCTCTTCCTTGTCCCTCTGCAACTGCTGCTCCATCTCAAACGTGCGTAACTTGGAAATATCTTGGGCGGCCTTCAACACCTCCGGCCGCAGGGGTTGCGCGGGGACCTGGTACCCTTCGCCCAGTTGCTCCGCTATCTTCTGCGTGTCCCATGAGAAGTAGAGGATCTCGCGCGCGGCGAACTTGAGGTCGTCCACGAGTTTCTTGGAAGGGTCGGAAAGCACGCGACGGGGAGGGGTGATGAAGAAGTAAAAGGGGATCATGGGATCGACGAGCGAGAAGCGGACAAAAGTCATGACGTCGTCTATTGTCTCGTTGGGTTTGAAGGTGCTCATGAGCTGTGTCTGGTCCGGGAATTTGATGCGAATCTCGATCTGCAAATCATTAGCATACCGCATCTCCAACATGAAATCGCAGATCTCTCAGTACCTTCTCAATCTTCTTAACCTTCTCCAGCTCTTGTTTCGTTCGCAGCTCTTTGGTCAGCAGCGGTCCTCCGTCTGTGAGCTTCCGGGACTTATTCGTCAGTAGGCTCTGATACGCCTTTGCGCGGTTCGCAGACATTTCGTACTCGGACTCGTCATAGTCTAAAGCAATTGAAGCGTCAGCAGTGCGCGTTTCGTTATATACCGCAAGAACGCTGTTGCCCGGTGGGTAGTAGAGTGGGTGAAAGGCGTACCTGCTAGCGGATCTGGGGTAGACTCGGACGGAGTGTACACCGCGACTTTCCGTTCGCCAGGACCGGTCGCTGAGCTGTCCTGAACCGCGCCTGGTGCCGTCTGTGTCGGCGTGGGACTGCTTGTCGATGTAGCGGTGGTAGTATCAGGGACCGTGGCGGGGTTACTGGTGGCCGACGACGTGTCTTGTGTCGGAGTTTCTGACATTCTGTAAAGTTCTACCAATGAATATATCCAGCAAAAAAAGGTGTGCTCTTCTAGTCAAGGAGATTATAACAGAAACACTGAAGAACGTGTGGGGGTTCTAATGGTTGGATAAAGGCCAGATCAAGATGATATTTCTGGAACATCTGAAGTCGCGCCGCTTTACTGGCATCTGCGCTTAAGGTTTTCAGTCGCTTAAGAATATGAATATCAGATGCGAGTTAGTCACTTTGGAAATACCTGTAAGCAACTACGTTCTATTTGACCAGACAGGTATATAGTTGATTAGCGATGAATTTAATTTCAGAACTTTTGTAAATAACAAAACACACAAGCCAGATAAATGCTTCACCAAACAAGGAAATCAATCAAAAGAAAACCGTCTATTTTCCAGTTCTCTGCTTTTGAATAATCTTCATCTTCGCCTTCATGACCTCCGGGTCCATGTGAATACATGCCTCCTTGAACGTAGCCTCCAGCGTATCCTTCGTACCAAAACTGTTCTCCAAGTTGAGCAAAGCAACCCAGATATTCAGCTTCTCCTTCTCATCGCGGAAATTAATCGTCTTGAGCGCGCGTCCCGCAATCTCTCTCGCCTTCTCAATCTCGCCCAACTGGATCTCGAACGCCATGTACCTGATCCACAGCGCAGAAGAATTCGGGCTTCCGATCAACATGCGCTCGAAATCAGCGACCGACTCGGGATCTTTGGTCGCCAGGTCGCCGGTGACGTCGATCTGCACCTTATTCTTGCGCTTGCGCTGACGCTTGGATTTGCCGTCGTCGGCGGCGTCAGAGTCGGAATCAGAGTCAGAGTTGGAGTCAGAGTCAGAGTTTGCGTCGTCGTCTGCGTCGAGAGACGAGGCGTTCCAGTCAAAGCCCTTGACCTTGAGAGGCTCCACGTGCTTGTCTTCTTCGTCTTCGTCGTTGTCTTCTTCATCATCATCGTCCTCGTCAGATCCGTTGAGAAGCAGCTCCTCGTCGGAATCCTCAGCCTGGGCGTCATTCTCCTCTTCGGCGTCGTTGTCATCGTCTCCCTCAGCAGATCCGGCGTCTTCCATAGCAACATCCGCGTCTTCAGACGCCTTTGACTTCTTCTTCTCCTCCTTAGCCTGCTTTTTCTTCTTGGCGTCTTCCTTGCGTTCTTTAGGACTCTTTTTCGGGTCCTTACAACTGACGCGAAGTTTTCTGTGCTCGGCATTTACCGAAACAACCCTAACGTTGACGGTCTGACCAACAGTGAACTTCTCTTTAGGATCGGTGATCTTGGCGTTACTCATCTCCGTCAGAGGCAGGAACGCAGACACGGTGCCGAAAAACTCGACAATCGCACCCTTCGAGACAAGATTGATGATCGTACCCACGAATCTCTGTCCGCGCGTGATTCCCTCGTACACGCTCGGGATCTCGACCTCGGCGCCGACGATAGACTTCTTGAGCGTAAGTCTGATCCGGTGGCTTTCAGGAGACACCGACATGACGCGACACTTGACTTTCATTCCGGGTCTGAACCTGCGCTCGGGCTGGGAGATCTTGACGTCAGACAAGTTGAGCTCGTTGACGTGGCCGACGATGCTGTCGGAGATCTGCACAAGCAAACCGCCAGACTCGACGATCTTGACGACTTCCGCGTCTTCAACCACGTCTCCGATCTTGATGTCCTCGAACCGCAGGTATCGCTGAGCAAGCACACTCGGCTGCAAGGAGGCTAGGTACAAGCCATCTGCGGCAGAGTAGCCGGTAATACGAGCTTCATGGACAGTCGAGGTTTTGTACTCGCCAAACAAGGGTGAGATTTCATCGACGCGCGAGTCGGCAAGACGAGAGATGTGGACAAACGCGAGCGCGTTCTCGACGCCGGTGTCGAAAAAGACACCGATACCGGGCTCGACGAACTGGACTTTGGCGGCAGGGATAACCTGGCCGACTTCGAGGGCGTTGAAAGGCGATGAAGACGCAGCTTCGGATGAGGAGGTGAAGCTTGCGAGCGAAAGGGAGAGCACGTGAGGCAGGAGCGAGAGACGCAACTTCTTTTCATCAGCGGATGGAAGGTACGCGATGACACGAGCCTTCACCTTTTGATTTTCTTTGTACTTTTCTGTGAGCGGTTTGACATCATACGCGCCAGCATGGAAAAGATCAGCGGTGGCATCGATGAGTCCGCCGACTTGTCCGGCAAGACCGCCGCTCAAGACTCGCGAGGGAGTAAACTCCACCAGGGTTCCGGGGAGCAACGAGTCAATGTTCTGAACCATATTGACGGCGGGAAGGTTCTTGTTGACGGCAGTAGCTGTCAGTGTGACGGTACGGCCGTTGGCGGATTTGTTGAGCACAGTGAGAAGCATTGTCTGTCCCTCGATAAGGTCGGCAACTAGAAAAAAGTCTGTTAGAATCCTCAACCTTCAATTCTTTATTTAGGATCGAATTTGCATACGTTTGTAGCCAGCGTATCCGAGTTCTTTGCTGGAAATAAATCCCGTAAGCTCAGGAAAGCCAATATCTAGGATTGCACCATGATCCTCAATGCTCTGAACCGAGGCCTGGACTGCCAGTCCCTTGACGGCAAGATCATCCTTCTCAATCACCGAGTTGACAGCCTCGGGCTTGATCGACAGCGAGATGTGCTTTTTTGATTTAGCCTTATCTGTGGCAGTAGCCTCGCGCTCGACGACGACAGCACGGAGCCACTGGCCGACTTTGAAGAGAGACTTGAGATCAGGAAGTTTATCTTCGTCGATATCCTTCTTCTCCTCGTCCTCGGCATCTTCATCCAGACCCATGTCGTCATCCTCATCGGCTTTGTTCTCGATATCGTCCAACTTCTTTGAGATCTGCTCTGAGATATTGGTGATGGGAATGAATCCCGTGAGGTTATTAGGCAGCGCCAGCGAGATATCGTACGCGTTGATGTTGCTGACCTGGCCGAGCACGACCATGCCGGGGACGACCTTCTTGAAGGTGAGACCTTCGATCTTCATTTTCGGGCCCTTGGCTTCGGCGTCTTCGGCTCCCTTTTGGCTGCGCTGCTGTTTCTTGACCTGACGTTGTCTGATCTTGGCTGCTTTGTCGGCTTTTTCATCGCCGGTTGTAGCGATAGTCTTTGTCTTCTTTGAGGGCTGCTCCGAGATCGGGGACTGCAGACGTAAATGTTAGAATAAAAGCGCATCTTACAAGAAGAGAAATGCAAAGCTCACCTCGAACAAATCCTTAACGGCCTCGTTCGTTGCCTCCTTATACTCCATAGGCGTCAACACCGACCCACCACCTCTAGGAAACGCAAAGTCCTCGTTCTTCTTAAGCGTGCTCTTCACAGTAGTCTCAGCAACAGCAGATCTATCCTCTGCCTGCGCCGCCGGCTTTCTGCTATCATTCTTGCTTCCGTGTCTGCTGAACGGCTTCGTACGTCCGTTCTCGTTATTCTTGCTGCTGGGAGGCTTATTCCATTGCTTCGCAAACGGCTTCTTGCTGAAGTTCGTGGAGGACGTGGATGCCTCGGAGTGCTTCCGTTTGACTGCTGCCATACTGCTCCTTTATTCTTATTTCCGCAAATAGTTCTGCTGATCAGGGAATATAAAGAAAGACAAGTCGAGCTGGACGAGGAATTAAAAAAAATTATTGCGCGGCGCGTTGGGAGCAAAAAATCTCTTTTTAAGTCTCTTAACTTTTCCTTTTTTTTATTTTTTTATTTATTTATTTTTTGAATTATTCAGAAACCTTAATTGAAGGATTCGGGTTAGGGCAGAGCTGCTACGTCTGCTGAAGAGAACAAGGCAATGAAGAAGAAAGGTCGATGGTACTGAATTTTGAATTGTGCTCAATAACGTACAAGAGAAAGACGGCGACTGAGTATCATATACATGAAGAAAACCGGGTCGACATCGACACAGCACTAATCCTCGGCGCTGAGAACCGCTTTCCCAGAAAGAGCCGGAATGGTTTCAAGGAACGTCGAGACCTGTTCATAAACCGCAAAAGTGACTGCCTGGCCAGGGGCGACTCGCATGACGCGGGGAGTGATACCCTTGTAGAACGCGAGGAATCCCTCTTTTTGTATGAGATTACGCGATATTCTGCCGACGCGGCCGAGCGCCGACTCGCCTCTGGTTGCTTTCTCGCGCTGCATTCGCGTCTTGATTGTGTCGATCGGGGCGTTGGAGAGAGGACCTAGGGCGCCGGAGATGAGGCCGAGGACCATGTGCTGGTAAGAAGGCAGCTCGGTGAGCTCGGGCTGCAGCTTTGCGCAGTAGGCTTTGAGCTCGGTGTAGGCGGTGAAGTTCACGGCTTGGTTGGTGGCCTGTCGCAGAGCGGTGAGGATGACGCCGCGGTAAAGCACACGAAGACCTTCTTCCCGGACAATCAAGTAAGCGCACTGGGCCGCGTTGCGGTACTTTGGAGCAGCGTCAAGCGGATCGGTCATGGAGTGGTGCTGAGCCTGGAGTCTGATCTTGACGACGTCGGTCGGGTTGACGACCAGCACGGCCTCGGTGGTACCAGCCGCGAGACCGGCGAAAAACACACCTGTAGGCGACGTCTTGCCGGTCTCTTTATTGGCGAGCGCGGTTTTGTAGTACTCAAAGGACGAGAAGCGGATGGCCATCTTGGGCACGATGCCGGTTATGACTGCGCCGAGGCCCTTGTAGAGCGCGAAGAAGCCCTCGTGCGAGACTATGTTTTTGGCGGTGCCGAAGAAACCGACGCGTTTCGCTCCGTCGGCGGCTCTTGTTGTGAGCTGCATCCGGACCTTGATGGTGTCTAGAGGGTGGCATGAGAGGGCTTCGCAGAGGCCTGCCGTGCCTCCGGAGAGGAGGTTGATCGCCGCTGTGGTTTTCTTTTTTCTCTGGGAGGCATTTTAGAAGCAGAAGTGGGGGAGAGAAGATAGAAAGGGGGAGGGTTGAGATATATAGAGAAGAAGAAGAGAAAGAAGTCACGGAGGAGGAGCGCTATCGGAGGTAGGCAGACGAACAGCAGCTGATCAGCGATAGTTTCCATTGTTCAGTCTGCTCACATCCTCGGCTTTGCGCGCTGAGCCGAGCAGAGCCAGCCGTCTTTCACCCGACCTTTTTATTCAAGGACATCACTATTACTTTTATTCTTCTATTTCACAAACAGACTAAAGACAGACTCAGCAGCAGTCTCGTGCCGGATGCAGCTCTCGCGTTGGCGGGGTGCTGGCGCAGTCTGTCAGGTAGTCTGCCTTGAAATCCGGGGAAGCGGGGGCTCAACTGCACTGCATCGCGACATTTACACCACAACTCTTGCACTCAGACTCACTTACGTCGAACAAAGAAACGGCCTCCCTCGGCGAGTACTCGGATCGCTGCTTCTTGTCTTCGGACGGGCGGCCGGCAGACTTGAAGCTTTAGCAGATCTGCTTCGGAACGGAGAGCAAAGCGGAGCCGGAATCGTCTCGAGGGCCAGACCACTTTAGTTCTTATAGTGTGTGTTTACGTGTGTTTATAGCCGGCCGAACGTGGTTCCGTCGGATGCTCTCCTAGTTACATGTGACAGCAGCTTCCTTGTAAACACATCTACACCTGAACCGTTAATTATCGCAGACTCCACAGTATTCTAATTTAAGCTCTTCTCTTCTCGCTCTATCGACCCTCTGCCACCATGTCAACCACAATATTAATCAGCGCAACCACAATCTCGACCGCAATAAGCACAATAACAATCAGCTCCAAGTACTCTTCATGCGCATGCACCAACTGCTCTTTCAGCATCTGCAGCAGGTCAGAAATAACCTCTAATCTCTGATTCAGCAGACTCACACGCTGTCCCACCTCAAGGTACCCGCGGATGATCTTGTACGCAGGCTCCAGCTCTGGTTCGGACCACATAATCTCTGGCGAGTCGATGATCGACCCGTGCAGGTTGATGTTGATCCGCAGAATAAACAGCTCGCCAATCGACATCATGATTTTCTTCCTCGACATGCTCACTTTTCCCGTCGCCGCAATCTGCATCGGCAGAGACTGCATCAGTCCGATCGTGTTGTCGACCAGATCTTCGAAAAGCGAGATCTTCACCGACTGCGACATCGCATGCGACATCGACAGCTTGTACTTTACATTCTTCTCTGCTTCTTCAGTCAACGCGATGACGTCGTTAAACACCCGTGGCTCGTGGTCCCACGTAATAAAAAAACGTAGCTCCTCGCCCTGCACGTCGGTGAACGCAAGCTTCTCGTTCTCGTACGGCGCGATCTCGCGCAGAAACCGGCGTTCTTCCTGATCGGTGAATCCCCAAAGTACACACACTCCATACTCAAATAGAAACACATCCTTGCGAGTCGCGAGCCCGATCCGCACTTCATGTCCGTCGCGATCGGTGCGAACAAGCGTATTACTGCTGTCGTGCTTGAAATGAGTCTCGCCGCCGCGACGGGACGTCTCTTGACGATCTATGCGCTGAGAGCCGTCTGCTGTATTCCGGTGCGCTGCCTGCCTGCGCGCAGTATTTGCCGGCTGCACGTCATCGCGGCTTCGGCCCGGTTTACCTGGCAGCTTGAAGCTGTACTGGATATGCAGGCACTCGTCAAACACCGTCGGCAGGGGGGTCTGCGCAGCATGTGCGCGACCGGTGAAATACCGCTGCATGTTGCGCATCTGGTACCGACTTGCTGTACAGTAGCTCGTAACTCGCGACAGCTTCAGAACGTCAGACTTGTTCACCAGCTCTGGATCGACGTAGAACTCGGCGCCGATGTTTCCGTTGTCGACGCTGCTCTCGCGGTCGCCGCGTTGAGAGGGACGGCGGTGGTTACTGCTGCTGCTGCTCCTGCGACGCGAGTTGCGCGACTGCGATCTTGACTGGCGGCGCTCGGGGGAGGGCATGTAGTTGGGCGTGGAAGCGCTTCCGTTCGAGGTCGGCTGTCCGCCTTCCAGTCTATTGAGCTCAGACGGCACAGCTGATGAAGACCCTTGTTCCATGATGTGTAATAGAGATATTCAGTGCTGTCTCTTGCGTAGTGTTGGGAATTATTTATCAACGGCCGGAAAAAACTGGGCCAGATCGGTGGCTCGTTATGATGATTTGACCGTACGGTGAATCGACGACGTCCTAAACTTGATCTCTTGTTCAAAGACTATGCACTCTCTGCAAACAAGGACTCTCTGCAAATCTCTTCCAAATCAAAACGAAATCTACCTGATTTCCAGACAACAGCCTACACTCCTCAGCCTGGTCTGGCAGCATTCTTCTTTTCACCCCAACTCGATCCACCGTGCGGCGAGACCACGTGATCCGCCACCGCTGTTTGGGCTTCGGCCACCGCTTCCCCGACCTCGCTTTGTTTCTCCTTCGACCTTCGACAACCTGATTCCCACCCTTCCCCGTCCTCTCCTCTCCGTCCTCTCTTCTGTCGCCAGAATGGAACACCAGACCTGCCCGGTGTCTGTCCAGCGCTCGCAGCAGCGTCCGCCGACAATGCTCCCCGCGGCTTCCGTCGCCTTGATGCCGTCATCCGCTTCCTCCTCCTCCTCTTCCGCCGCACTTATTTCTGCCTATGCCCCCGAACCTCCGACCCCCGCGCCCTCGCCTACTCCCTACGGCGGGTACTTCTTCCCCCGCGACGGCCACCTGTCGAACGAGTCTGAAGACATCGAGCTCCACGACGCGGACGACACCAGCGTCGAGCACAGCGACGTCGAAGAGCTTCCACCGCTCGAACGCCTTGCGCACGATTTCGCCGCTCTCGAACTCGACCAGCGCAAGGCCCTGCTGGCCGCTCTTTTCCGCGCTTCTGACACCGCTACGCTTTCGTTTGTGCTCGAGTTTGTCTCGCCTCTGCTTAAAGTCGACCCGTTTCGCGTGCTGCCGACCGAGCTCTGTCTCCGGGTTTTGTCGTACGTCGATGACCCAAAGACCCTTGCTCGCGCCGCGCAAGTCTCGAGACGATGGGCAATGCTGGTTTCGGACGATATAATCTGGAAAGGACTGTGTGGTGAGTTACTATTCCTCTTTTTCTCATCCTTATATGAATTATGAAACTAACAAGGATACAGACCGTCTCAACTACGACGATCATTTCACCCCCGCAATCGCGGCCCAGACTGCGTCGGCCCACCGTCGCTCGTTCGATAACCCTGCAGCAGCAGCAAACGATGCTGCGTTGGCTTTAGCCACCGCCACTGCTCCACAGACCCAGCCTCCGACTCGTCCGGTGTCGATGCTGGTGGCATCCCCTCCGACCGCCCCCACCCCGCTCACTACCCTCCCCGTTACAGTCACATCCTCGACCCTGGGCACGACCGAAGTCATTCGTGACTTGCCACTTATGAAGTCCACTTACACTCCCGTTCTCGCCCATGCTTATCGTCCGCGAACCTACCGCGCGTTCATCAAGCAGCGCTACATGATCGACTCGGCGTGGCTCTCAGCCGGCACCGTCGCCGCTCGCCACGTCACAACCGACCAAGGCGTAGTGACCTGCTTGCATCTGACCGACAAATACATCGCCGTCGCGCTCGATAACTCACGGATCCACGTCTTCACCGCCGACGGCCGTCTGCTCCACACGCTCTTGGGACATGTCATGGGTGTCTGGGCGATCATGCCGTGGGGCGACACGCTTGTCTCGGGTGGCTGCGATCGCGATCTGCGAGTGTGGGATCTTGTGACTGGCACTTGCAAGCGCGTCATGCGCGGCCATACTTCGACTGTTCGCTGCTTGAAGATGAGTGATTCGCGAACAGCAATCTCTGGCTCGCGCGACGCGAACTTGCGGGTGTGGGATATCGAGACTGGCGAGTGCTTGCATGTACTAACTGGCCACCAAGCCAGCGTCCGGTGTCTCGAGGTATACGGCGACATCTGCGTCTCTGGAAGTTACGACACGACCGCCAAAGTGTGGAGTATTTCCCGTGGAGTCCTGCTGCACACGTTGAACGGGCACTTTTCGCAAATCTACGCGCTCGCGTTCGACGGCGAAAAGATCGCGACCGGATCGCTTGATACCACCGTCCGCGTATGGTCGGCGGACTCGGGCCAGTGCTTGGCGGTCTTGCAAGGCCACACCTCGCTTGTCGGACAACTGCAGATGTCTGGCGACACCCTTGTCACCGGCTCGTCCGACGGCTCCACTCGAGTCTGGGATCTCAAGAAAATGGTCTGCGTGCACCGCCTCGCCGCGCACGACAACTCCGTGACCACGCTGCAATTCGACTCGCGCCGCATCGTCACCGGCGGCTCCGACGGCCGCGTCAAGATCTGGGATATCAAGACCGGGCACCACATCCGCGATCTCGCGTGCACTTTCGAAGCCGTCTGGCGCGTCGCGTTCGAGGATGATAAGGTCGTTGTGTTGGCGTCGAGGCAGAATCGGACGCATATGGAGGTTATTAGCTTTGCGCCGCCCGCGGACGAGATTTTGTGAGGGACGCAATATAAAAATCAAAATCTAGAGGTTAAATCTGCTTCTAAAGATTGTTACAACTCTTGTGTCTTCGTCGTTTTTTGGTGATTTGTTTTTTTTTTGACTATACTAGTTCGGAGGTGGTAGCATGGGGTGTATTTCGGCGTTTTTCCATATCATTTTGCTTGCTTTTTTCCCCTACAATCCTTCCTCTCTTTTTGTGTTTTCTCTACACCGCGCCTGATTTATATATATATATATATATACATACATATGACATCCTTATTCTCGTCTGGTTTCTTTTTGTGAGTTTGAATTACACATCTGTTTTTGGTTTCTTGGCTATGTTTATCGTGTGTGTGTTTTTGTTATGTGTGGTATGTTAAAGCTTGAACTCTCTCCATTTCTATGTATATCAACGGTGATTTGCCACGACTCAAATATTTTCTTGAACTACAATTGCTGTAAATGCGTAAAGCTCTCAATGATTTGGGTGTTGGATCCTCGTTGTAGCGAAGGCCAGCCACGCGAAAGCGTCATTCGAGGTTCATAAACTACGGGAGCCTACGACCATAATTCACCCAAAAAGCAAGATATATTCGTCACTATTAACAATTATTCAACACACGAAAATGACAAGAGAAGCGCAAGAGACTGTTGACACATGAGAGAAAGATCAATCCGACAATATGATGACACAAAAAAGACCAGATAATTAGTTATTCAAAATGATGATTTTTGTTAAAAGAGCGTGAAGGGGAGGAATGGTCTTCTTCCTGATTTTGAATGGTGAAGATTGTATAAAGGATAGATGATAGAGATGACAAGGTTACAAAAAATTCCCGTAGTGTAACTATTAGTCCAGCAAAATACACATTCGACGGCAAAACTGCACAGAATACAAAGTTAGTCTCGGAATATCTAAGCAAAGCGCAGCAGACAAGAACTCACATCAATCCCAAAGCTTTTATTCTCACGCAATCTCAGCAGCAACCGGCTCAGCATTCTGCGCGCCCCCGCTCTTTTTCTCCCACAACTTCCGCAACGACGCCTTCCGTGTCCGTATACGCGCCCACTCGGCCTCGTCGTCTCCACGACTCATGTCCAGTTCAGGCGCCGAGTTGTTGATCAGCGGCGACGGCTTGAGCACCTTGTCGCCCGCCAGACTGGCCGTCTCGGCGTGCTCGATCGAGGCCTGCGCGAGCTCGGAGGTAGGCGGGCCGACTTCGACCGGGGGGAGGAGCTGGCTTTGCTGCGGCGGCTGCGGCGGCTGCGGCGACTGCGGAAGAGGGTGCGGCACGGGCGGAACAGCAGTAGTAGGCTCGGCCAGACCGGAGAGGTTCGGACTGCTGAGCTGAGTGGAAAGAGTGCGGTATCTGGCCGGGTTCGCAGCAGGCTGTGCGAATTGTTGGTTGGAAGTGCGTAGACTGGCCGCGGGCGACGCTGGCCGTTGCTGTTGCTGTTGTAGGAACGGGGCCTGCGGTGGTGAGAATTCGTTGGTCGGAGCGACCGGCTGGAGAATGGGAGGAGGCTGGTAGGAAGGATTACTAGCCTGGATCATCTGTTGCATCATCTGCATCTGCATTTGCATCTGCATCTGTATAAGTTTCTGCATCTGGCTCTGCAGTTCTGGTCCAAGAGCCGCTGTTGGATCAGCAGGGTTTGGCTGTGGCTGGTTTGGATGAACAGAGAGCGGCGGACTTGGCTGTGGGTATCCAGGATATCCATACTGGGGCTGCTGGAATTGCTGTGGAGGTGGTTGCATGTACGCACTCGGTGTCTGTCTGTATGGGGAAATCGGCCGTTCCATCATCGGCTGAGCCTGCAGACCAAGGCCGTTCATCTGCATGTTGAGCATCGTCCGCCGCTGGATCTTGGCTTCTTGCTCGCGCTGGATCTCGTGGATCAAGCCCCGGGACTGGTTCGCACTGTGCATCATCGATGCGTCTTGCGCAGGATCGTAGAGTTGCTCGGGCAGCGTCATCCCGCGTGGGTATGAAGGAATCGCACCCGCCTGCATCATGTTCTGTCCAAATGGCGCGCCGTACTGACCCGAGCCAATTCTCGCAGCAGAGGCAGGACGCGAGAGCGGTTGACGACCGCGACCGGGGATGCCGTGAGCTTGTAGAATAGCAAGCGGAATTTCCTCGTCATCGTCATCATCACCCTCGTCGTCGTTCAGACCGCCGTCATCGTCGCCGCTAAAACTGCCAGTCCTGCTGCCAAAAGTGCCAAAGCCGTGCGAAAGCGAGCCGTCTATGCTCGACGATTTCAGGGGTAAGTTTGAAGACTGGCCGGTCACCTTGCGCATCTGCTGGCGATACACGGCCAGGTTTGCTTCCTGGCGCTGCTTGAGTCGCTGAGCCACCATTTTCTTTTCGTTTTCGGCGTCGGTCGGTAGATATCCTTCATGGTCCTCCTCTTCGTCGGCGTCCTCGTCAGAGTAGAAACTAGCGCCATCTTCTCTTTCGTCGTTGGTGTTGTTCATGGCAGCTTCTGCCTGGGCGCGCCGATAGTTTTCAAACTCCGACACTGTCATCAGACGATTCTCTTTTAGCGTTCGCTCAATGGTCGGTTCTTCAGTTTCGCGTCTGTGCTGACGCTTCATGAATTCGACTGCCTCGATAGGAACGTCAACTCCGGTTGACGCAGACGCGGCAGACGCAGCGGTAGGGGATTCGGCCATGGAAGACGCGGTTGCTGTGCGCAACATGATCTGCGGGTTCTTGCCGGGGGAGTAACTTGGGTGCATCGCCGTCAGCGTCTGCTCTGCGGATCTGTTGTTTTCAGTGAATGAGCTATCTGAGAGCGAGCCCTCGTCATCGTCGCCTTCGAGCTGAAACGAGCTTATGCCTCGAGTGAGGTCTGCAACGGAAGAGCTAGCCTCTTGCCGAGCCGCGGGGGGACTTTGCAGCCGCTTGTTGAGAATATCTGTGGAATTTGTTGCGGAGGCAAAGCCATTCTCAAAGGACGGCGAGTCGCCGCCAAAGTACGAGGGCTTGCGAGAACGGAAACCGTTAGACAGGAGCTCGTCGTCCGAGGCGGCGCCGTAGAGACCAGGACTGAAGCCGGGGCTCATGCCGGGGCTGGCGGCGGCGACGAGATCTCGCGAGTCGCGTTTGCGACTGGCGACGAAGGCTGCGGCTTCAGGAGGAGAGACGATTGGAATGTCGTCTTGCTGGGACAAGTATGACGGCTGGGGCGGCTCGAAGACGACGGAGTCGAAGAAGTGCTGGGAGTTGCGGTTTGAGTCTGCGGAGCGCATGTTGTCGGCTAGAGAAGGGTGACTGTAGACGTCGTCGGCACGCTGGGAGTGATGGAGAGGAGGAGTGAGAGGGCCGTTGGAGGAGGGGATAGTGGACGAGCTGGAGTCGCGCAGGGAAGGGGCGGAGGAGTGCAGTCTCGAGGAGGAGGCATAGTGATCCTGGAGGTTGTCGTCGGTTGGCGAGGCCTCGAAGGAGAAACCGCGATCAGAGGGCTCGAGAGGGACGGGGTCAGCAGGAGGGTGGTCGAAGTTGTCAGGGTGGTGAGCAGCGGACTTGTTTGCGGTCGCGAACTTGAGCTTGATCGGCATGGTGGACCTGCTCTAGGAGGAGGGGTTGCGAGCGAGGTGGAGGGATGAATCAGGACAATAAACAACAAAAGAAGATTGTTGATAGTAGGAGTCCAAGGAAGCAGTACGTAGGCCTGGCCGAGAGAGGGAAGCGGCAGAGAGAAAGCGTGCGGCGAGGTGAAAAGGCACGCTAACCGGAAGAAGCGGTGAATTGAGGAAAAATGTAAATATTGGACGCCGGGTGACCGAAATAGCCAGCGCGGTGGGATCGCAAGATAAAAGTGGAGTGTTTTTTGTGTAAAGTATTTAAGATGATAAGAAATAGAACAGCGAGTAAGCTGTTTACTTTGTATAAGCACGATGTTGTGTCGAAGGGGTGTGGTGGACTGCGAAGAGAATGGAAAGCGCCTGAAATAGAAATCCGTACGATGGCAACCAGAAGAGGGAGAGAGCGAAGAGAGAGCAGAGAGCAGAGACCGGGCAGATCTCAGGTCTACAGCAAATAACAAGAATACAAAAGCACCTCGCAGACATCAAACAGCAGCACTACCCCACGATCCCGGGCGTCGTGAGTCAACAGCCGGGCGTCGTGGAGACGAGAGCGAGAACGTGCGCGCGAATGCAGAAAGAAGTAAACAAAGCTGAATCCATCTGGGCTCGCACGCAGAAATAAGCTTTCGACAGTCGCACAAATTACATAATATATATCATAATCTAATTAGAGTTTGTCTCTGAGAGGGTAACCGCCAAGCGAGGAAATAAGTAAGTCTGAGCAGCGGCCGTTGTTACCTGTTTGCCTTCCTTATGCGAACAGTCGCGTACGTCGTCGCAAACCGTACAGAAGAGCTCTTCAATCACCAGGGATCTGGTTGCTTCTTATTGCTTCTTGTTGCTGCCGAGCAGATCTACACATCCCGCCAGCAGAGGACTTGCAGCCGTGCCGTCGTCCAGCCAGGCGTATTAAACAACCGACTCTTATCTGAATCTCTAGACTCGCTCGAGCACAGGCTCTCCACCGTCGCCACTTCTCGTACCCTCCCAGACAGAAGTAGCGCGACAGCAGCAGCGGCGGCATCCGTACGTTTGCAGTAGTAGACAGTCTCGCAGCGTAGCGTGTATCGTCGCAACTGCCCGATCAGGCTCATGCAGCGCCTGAGTTCATCTGTATCTCTCTAGTTACGAGCGCATTCTGTTGAGCTGTACTCTGCCTTCGACTCTAGATACTAAACACCTCCAGGCTCTTCGAACAAAGACGCAGACAGGCGTCATGTCAGCTGTCGTTCTGTCGTTGCCACTGATCCTCATCTCTGACAGTCCCCGGCCCGACCTGCGGTGCGTGGGCGGAGAGAGCAGAGAGGAGCTGGCACCGGGCCGGTTACCTGCGGTCTCGCCGCCCCTGACCCTGACCCTAGTCGACCCGCAAACATCCTCTCCCTGGGTCAGCCTTTCTCGAGAACTTCGAATTTTATTCTGCTGCTGCAGCCAGCGCTACCCACCCTCTCTTTTACCACTTCCTCTGCTCTTCTTCTCTTTTCCTCCTCCCTCTCTCCTCCTCCTCCTCACTATCCACCCTCTCCCGTCCCCAAATGCCCCCTCTTCGTCTGACGGTCCGCAACGTCGTCCGCGTCGCTGCGGTCTTCATCGTCCTCCTCATCCTCTTTGCTCCGCCAGCAAAGCGCGAAGACCGCGTCGCCCCGGCATACTCCTCCGCCTCCAGGCCTAGCTCACATGTCCCCCCGTCTTTCCTGACCGACAAAAACAAGCCGGCTGCGCCGGCCGGCTCGGCTACGGCCAAAACCCCTTTACAGAAGTCGCGCTTCGGCCAGCAGGTCGTCGACGGCGCCGCCAGCCCCCCTCTCGACAAGTCATCCAAGACCAGCGTTAGCATCACCACCACCGCTGCCACCCCGGCGGCGAAAATCGGAGAGGAGGTCTCGAATCTGGTCGTCCCGCCGCCTGCTTATCCTCCTCCTGCTCCGCCCGCCCCTGTCGCTCCTGCGTCTTACGAAAGTCTATCCGAGTCTCTGCCAAAACCAGCTGCTGATGCCGCTCCTCCTTCCGCGCCAGCTGTGAACAAAGAGGCGCTCGTTCCCCCTGAGAAGACTGAGAGCAAAGCGGTTGCAAACGAAGTCCCGGGGCTCGACGTTGCACAACCTCCGGCGCCGGTCAAGGAGACTACAAGCGCTGATTCAGTCACCCCGAAGGTCGAAGCGACTGCCCCTACCCCTGCGGCTGTTTTGGAGACCCCTAAAGCTGAGGAGGAATCTAAGCCTGCTGCTGCTAAGGAAGTATCTAAAGTCGATGCTCAAGTCGAGCCGGTTGCTGCTCCCGCTGCTCCCGCTGCTGCTCCTGCCGGATTTGCGGCTGAGGCTGAGCCGGCTAAGCTGCCCCAGGAGCCGGTGGTTGAAGAGCCAAAGGCTAAAGAGGTCCTAAACCCCGAGACGGAGATCGTTCCACCGGATATGAAGCTTGAGGACGCCCCGGCTGCCGCTGAAGAAAAGAAGGAAGAAGTGCCGGTTGTTGCTGCGGAGCCTGTTGCAAAACCTGTCACGGTACCAGTCGCGGCTGAGGTCAAGGCTCCCAAGAAGCCGGCTTCGATTTACTTGGTGAACAGTCCTCGGTACCATTTCGAGGTCATTCTTCCGTTCCTTTCGGTGATGTCTGATCTGCCGGATACGGAGGTGACTCTGTGGGCACTGGCGGAAGGATACAAGCGATTTGGAGTGCGGCCGATGCTTGACGAGGCGGCCCAGCCCAAGGGCTTGAATATGATTGACATCGAGCGGTTTGTGGAGGAGAAGAAGACGCCTGATTTCATTTTCCTGACGAGTTGTCCCGAGGACGTCAGCAAGACTTCGCCGAAGCTGGCCGAGTTCCTCGAGAAGGGTGCGTACGTGCAGTGCATTGTTCACGAGGCTAGCAAGTGGGATCCGCGCGAAGGCGGGGAGTCGCCGTACGTGGAGGCAATCAAGTTTATGATTCCGTGGGTGAAGAAGGGCCAGTGGGAGTTTGTGACGCTTGCTCCGCACGTGCAGCGCTACGTGCACGCGAACTTCCCGAAGTTTATGAACACGCCGGAGGTTGAGTATGACGCGCGAATCGTGCACCCAGTCTTCAAGGTCGCCAAGACGGACGGCGAGGTCGAGGTCCAGCAGCCGTTTGCGGCGATTCCGGGCAAGTTCGAGCCCTGGCGACGAAACTACGTGCGCATCTTTGAGCACTACGTGCGGACGCAGCCGCAGGCCGATTTGCATCTGGTGGGCTCGGGCAATCCGCTTGATGTGCCGCCGGAGATCAAGGACCGGATCAAGTACCGCCGCAACCTCGAGTTTCCCGAGTACTTTGCGCACCTGTCGCAGGCGATTAGCATCATCCCCGCGTTTGCGACGCCTGAGTACACGAAGAACCAGGCGTCGTCGTCTGTTGCGACGGCGATTATTTGCGGCGTGCCGCTGATTGGCGATAAAGAGATTGCGTCTGCGTACTCGCAGATTCCGGCGGACGCGATGTGGGTGCAGAAGGAAGGGCAGAGTGAGATCGAGCTGTTTGCGGAGATCAGTCGGATGGACAAGTCAGTGTGGATGGAGAAGAAGAAGCGGATCTTGCGGTTGCGCGACGAGATGGTGTTGGAGAACAAGGCGTTATTTTCAAAAGTGCTTGAGGATCTCGCGAAACGATAGAGAGGAGAAGTAGAAAGAGGTGGAGATGATGAAAGTGCATGCTACATTAGGGCAACTGGAAAGAGATAATGGGCAAACGAAGATGTTTGTCACAAGTGTATAATTAGCATAATGAGCTTGTCTTTTTTTATATTTCATTTTATATTTCATTTTTTGCTTACAGTTTATATTCATAATACTTTGCTTGAATTCATTATGTACTCAGTGTTTCGTTATAATCTTGGTTTATTTCATATTTCATATTTCGGTATATTTATTCATTCGCATGCATAGTCAATAGAGCTTACAGCACACTTACAAAAGCTCTCAACTACTTGTTACGAACAAGACAGGAAAGGGAAGGGCAGAGCAGAGTTGCTAAGCCGCGTGGGCCGGGGCTGGGAGTTGTCGCCGCAGTGGGTCGGTCTGATTGCGAGGGAGGAAGGGAAAGCTAAAGAAAAGGGGAGGAGGAGGGAGATTTACAGGACTAGTTGACGCGGCCGGCATGCCAAATGGAGGACAGGAGAAATGAGATGCGAGATCAGGACGTAAGGCTGCAGTAGCGTGAGCAGTGGACAGCGGCAGCGAGCAGCACGTCCTCCGGCAGATGGAGCTCAGAAAGTCACGAAGCGGGCGGTTTGAGTGCGCAGCGCAGTAGTAGTGGCAGCAGCAGCGGCAGCAGAGAAGCAGCAGGATGAGCTCCTAGGAATCGTTGCTGTCGTCATTTAAAGGGACGTACGGAAGCGAGCTCAATTCCGGCAGGTTGGAGCCTTGAGTGAGCCGTGAGGAGGAGGGTAGGGGTGGCTAATAACACCGCAGAGCAGCGCACCAGGCCGAGCAGCGAGCAGAGGAAGAGAGAGGAAGAAGGAGATGCAGTGAAGCTACTGCTATCAGAAAGAACAATAGGGAATAGGAGCAGGATACAGATTATGCACGAGGCAGAGAACAAGAATGGGCTGGCAGGAAGAGCAGCAGCAAGTCCGCGAGCCCTCCTGCCGAGCGCCTGCATCAAACTCACGCAGAACCTTTTTCCAAGCCCAGCGACTGCTGTCTGTCGGCTGGGTCTATATTTGACGCGTCCCTGAGCAGCAAAATGACCTCTCTCTTGCCCCCCCGAGGCCGCACATGATTCACTAGAAGACGCTGTGGAGTCACTGAATGAATGGGCAGAAAACACCAAGTCCGTTGCGAATGGAAATTTACAACGAAGTACGCGGCTGGATTTCTCACAAGGCTCTTAATCAGGTTAACCAGCTGAGACAAGAGGTCGAGCGCAAAATGAACGCAAGGCAAACCCCTTGGTCTTTGTTCTGGCACATTTTCAAGAACTCGTGGCCTACCTTGTGAACATGTTCTCGAAGAAAAGATCAAGAATCACCAATTACTTGTGCCTTCAGACTTTCACAGTCACTGGCGTCTGCTTCGAAATGGCCCGATGCCTATCGTTTTACGCGAGCCACGAACTCGATTTGATCGCTACTCAGCAACTTCTTCGATACTACGATCGAGCACAAGACGAGAGCCTAGTGCATTTGAATTAGTGGACAATACCGCCCGCCCGAGGGCACCGTACAGGTGTAGCCAATGCGGAGGTCTTGATGATGATGATGATGATGATAGATCTTTGTTTTAAGTCCGTTGCAACAACTAGGTTATGACAGACTAGTTGCGGAGGTCTTGGGCATAGAAGAAATTCACCGTTATGCACAGGAAACCCAGGAAACCGAATGAATATTGCAGAGTGAAAGGCAGATTATTTGAAAATTTGCCCAGCGTTATTTTATTTATCAGTGTTATATTATCTATCAGTGTTCTATCAGCGTTATCATGATTTAAAACCAATAAAACAGGAAAGTGAGCGAGGAGCTTGTGGCAGATTTTGACCCATGTACAAACCCAAACCCACAGAAAGACGGGTAGAAGACCCCGTCAGAATAGACCCAGCCCTGTCTGCTGCTGCTGCTAAAAGCTGCTCTGCGGTCCGTGTTTCGTACAAATCTCAGCGGCAGCAGTTCACCGCAAAGATAAAAGCGACTCGCGCGGCCCGGGTCAGACCGACCGTGAAACTCTGTTAAAAGACTTTTTTTCTTTTACCTTTTTACGCGGCCGAGGCGGCGGAGTCGAAGACCAGCGCTCAGCCTCAGCGTTGCCTGCCCGAGTACACCTCGTCCGCCGGTGCAGTTCCTCGCCATCGTCGTCGGTCGTTGTCGTTGGCCGTTGTCGTTTGGTCACAGTCTCTGCGGGCTGCTAGCCGGAATAAGCTCGTGCGTGTGTCCGCTGCTTGCCTGATCTCCGCCGTTTTCTATCATCGCATCGCTGCGCTACATAAATCTCTCATTTTTGATATCTCTTTTGCACCTGCCTCACGCATTAACACCACCGCTGCCCTGTTCTAGGTTTGCATCCTGTTCAGATACCGCTTCTACTAAATCAGTCTCAGATATAGGTAACAGCAAGTAATACATCCAAAGACTACCTCATTCTTCCTCATCCGCCCACTAAACATAACTCAACTCACCTCACTGACTTCATTCCTGTCGCTGCTCAAGGCCTCGCCGACGCGCTTGCTTCTCAGCCGCGACTTCCACTCTCCGTGATGTAATCACTTACTAATGCTACTAGTCACGTGAACTTCGTTAATGGCCTTATGTAATGAATCAATCAGCTATGCTCTACTGCAGGCAATCCGTGCTATCATCGTCACTCGCAAAATTGTATCCTTCCTCATCCATCTCCAATCACCCCCTCCGCAATCCCATCCCTTCTTCTCCTCTACATCTCCAATGGCTGAATACGACTTCAAAGGACCCGGCCACATCGCTGACACCTTCTCCGGTATCTCTCTCCCTCTCCCTCTCCCTTCCCTCTCCCATCTTCTTCCCTTCCCAAGCTAAACTCCCCCACTTTCTCTCCGCTCCAGGCGAGAACCTGCGCATCGGCATCGTCCACACCCGCTGGAACTCAAAAGTCATCCAGCCGCTCCTGAAAGGCACGACCGACAAACTCGCCGCCCTCGGCGTCAAGCCCGAAAACATCGTCATCGAGACCGTCCCGGGCTCCTACGAGCTGCCCTACGCCGTCTCGCGCATGTACGCGGCCTCGCAAATCCAGGCCTCGACATCCACCGCCGGCGCGTCCGCGAGCGTCGACCTTCTCTCCGGCGGCAGCACCACCCCGCCGCCGGCTGCTACCACCGCCACCAAACCGTTCGACGCCATCGTCGCCATCGGCTGTCTCATCAAGGGCGAGACCATGCACTTTGAGTATATCTGCGACTCGGTCTCGCACGCGCTCATGCGTCTGCAGATCGACCTCGGCGTGCCGGTCATCTTTGGCGTGCTCGCGTGCTTGACCGAGGAGCAGGCTATGGCCCGCGCGGGTCTGGTCGAGGGCAAGATGCACAACCATGGCGAGGACTGGGGTGAGGCCGCGGTCGAGATGGGCGCGAATGCGGCAAAGTGGAATAGTGGAAAGTTTTAAGCTGTATATAGATAAATTTTCTGTCTTTTGATCATTATATATTTACATGAAAAGTTCTTATTATCATCCTGCTCTCCCACCACAAGCTGGTGGAGTTATCCATGAAAAGTAGACACAACTGTGGTCTACACACTGACCCAACTATGTCATTCCCTAGTACTTGCACAGACTATGTAATCTCATCATCATCATCTAAATGCCAACATTTCGCACCCCCGGATTCGAATACGTCTCCAACTGATTCCGGCCCCGCCGTAAAAGATACTCGATCGTAGTAAAATCCGACTTTGGCACCGTCAAGTGTTGTCTAAATTGCAGTCTGCAGACACTCTTTATTAGTCGTCGTTCTCTGCAGTTTTAGATCATTGGATCGTGAGTTGGTGTATGAAGATGGCGTACCTGGTGAACTGGAGGAAGTTATGTCGCGATTCCTATACGATGAGTTGGTCAGTTGCCCACTCTGTTCTTGAGAAACGTATGAGAAAAGCTACATACTGCAGGCTTAACCCGTATGGCACGTAGACAAGATCGATACATGCTCAACACTACACTCAACCATCAGCATCATCATCCTATCCACACATACTTCCACCATTCCACCCACCCCCCCTCTCTCTCCAAAGACAGAATCAACCTACCATCCCTCTGAAGACCCGTTAACCGGCCTTTCTTCCGCGCGACCACCATTGTCAAGTATAAAGGCGATCAAAGCGTTCGCGTACAATTCATGTAATATCGACTCCAGAATCAAATAGCTCCAACTACTAATCCCGAACTTCCATCGGGAGACGTCACGGGTCACGTGGTCTCGCCGCACGGGGGGTCGAGGCAGATGCGAATCCAAGTGGTGCGCGAAACTATTGTGAATTGTCTTATGAGCGGTAGAATTGGAAGATTTAGACGATTTGGATAGGATATATAGTTAGAAAGAAAGATCTAAAAGTATTTGAAATTTGCAATGCAACAAACAACTCCGCAACCACGCGGGTGATCTCGAGCAGCTCTGTAGTTTGTGATCGCGAGCTGATTTACCAGTCTCGTCATTGTTCTCACTATTGCTTTCTCCATTATTTGTAAAAATGGACTAGCTACTATCCTCCTATGCGGCATTTGCTGCCTCCAACTCGCCACCGACTTTGAATTCGTCCTTAACCACCGACTAGTCCTTCGTGCTTCCAAAAAGGGAGAGAAATCTGGCGCTTCGCATGATGAAAGACCTGCCAAGGAGCTGGCTCGTAACACCAGACAAGGTGCTCACAGAGAAGAAACTGGCTGGTCCGAAAGTCATCGCAAGCGCAAAGCCATTTCTGTGTATCGGTGTGGTGTTGTGTAATAACACTGTCCGCGACAACGCGACCCTCTAGCGCCGACCATTCTTTCCTGAACTTTGCTCTCCAGCTTGGCTGCGCTCGACGATAGTCCATTTTCATCACAAAAGGCAGATCATTTTCTATCGTTCTTGTCATCTTAGCGAGAATGTAGGTAAGCATGTCAAGCCGCGGCGTGTGGTAGCAAGGCAGATAGTCTGTCTTGTACCGTCGCCAGCCGGCGGAGTCCGTCAGCGTTGTTGTTTGCAGCATCGGGATCGCGTCTGGGTTTCCGGATCGCGCCCAGATCCGCCACTCTTCGGGCTTGTACCAGTTGTTGTAGAGGTAACCCCAGAGGCGGAAAGCATTTCGTTCGCGGCACCAGTCGTACATCTCTGTAGCGCACTGTCGGTGAATCTCATCTGCTGTGGAAAATGCACCATTGCTGTCTGGGATAAGAGGGTGCAGATAGTAATGCCTGGTAAACATGCTGACAATCGCAGATTTCTCTTTCTTTGCCACAGTTTCAAGGCAGTCGTCCTTGCCTGCAATCTCTGCTTCCGTTTTAACAGAGCATATGCATATCCCGTCACGGTGGTCGCCCAATGGCCGCTGTGTCAAGACTGAACCCCAGCAAATGTCCAGATTAGGAACCAGCTGCCGCGCCTGCTTTGCATCGTAGTCCGCCTGCGAATATGTCCTCTTTCTATCATTCAGCCTCTCATTCAGCGCGCGTTTGGCAAACACAAAGCTGAAGTGAACCTTTGTATCCGGCAAAGCTTGCTCGATCGCAGCGCGCTCGCGTTGATTTTCGCTGCAGCCAAAGTATTCCGGCTCGATGCCAGTCTGTTTGAGATCCAGAAACAGGGTTTTGAAAATACTGGTGATAGCGTCTGGGTCTGCAGACCTCTCTCCATCTGGTCCCGGAAGCGTTTCCAGGAATGCGTAGCATACCGGTATTCCCGTACCGTCAACCTCCGCGAGAATGGAAAACAGCTCCACATCAGTTCTGTTGATTTTGTAGGTTGTCTCAATGGCAACCTCGTTCACAGTGGATTTAATCCGGCTGATGATGTCATTGCTAAAGATAGCGATGCAGTACATATTGTCGGCGGTGTATTGTTTTCCTGTGAATGCAGGGTACTCTTCAAGCAGCAAAAGTGTGGATTGGCGCGGGTCGGGGTGGAGCCGACAGTTTTCCTCGTTTGCTTTACGCCAGAGTTGCTGGATATGCATCTCATTGACAGACCATGCGCCGGGAATCGCACCATGGTTTCTCAGGCCATAGTTGACATCGTCTTGAGTGCTACTAAAGCCGGCGATCCTCCGATAAACAAAATCTTTCACCTCTGGCGTGGTGCTGAGATCTTCGTAGCCCACGTGGTGCTCGTGGCTTAACCTCAGGCGGACTGTCTGCTGCTGCAGATTGATCTCGAGCGAGAGACTGCTTTTGCAGTAGACTCTATCCAACCCTTCCTCGCTGCACTCTATCATGTCGTCGTCCCAACGCCACTCCTTGACAACCGTATTATTGTTTCTGGTCCTATCCTGACAGCAGTAGAACTCCAAGGTGGTAGTCTCCGGGCCTTTGACGGTTCGGTCATAGACAAACCGGTAGCCTCCTGCTTCCCAAAGAGCTTCCAGAAGCTCTTCGGCCGCCCAGCGAAATGCTTCGAGCTCCTGGTCGCCTCGGCCTGGAAGCGGATGTGGATTGTAAGTAAAACTAACTGGCAGGTAATCAAACAGAAAAGTTTTGTCGGCTGTGTGCGTCCGCAATTCCTGATTTTTTCGTTAGCGTAAAATCAAGCGAAATAGAAAAGAACTGGACCATACACTTCCGTATTCAAATTCGTACCAGTCGTGCGCTGATTTCACAAAAACTCTGACCAGATGTCATAAACATCCTGCAGATCTCGCTTCCGTGAAGACTTTCCACTGGTCTCACTATGCGCCCCGTTGCTCGATTCCGGACTGTGGGGTTCAGAGCTTTGAGAGCGGGAGTGAGTTTCTTCTTCCACTGTTCGTGGGGTAGACGCCGCGCGAGCGGTAAGATCTGGGGTCTGTTTAGCCTTCCCACAGGTCGTACTTCGCGCCCCGCTACTCGTCAACGGAAAGCATCTCAGACTGTGAAATTCAGAGCATTGAGAGCAAAAAAGTGTCGGCGGCACTTCTTCTATCTCCGTTGGTGTGGGAGACGCCGGGCGGCTTGCTGCTCTTGCTCCGGTGAATCATGTGTTTGCGGTACTTCTTCCACCGTTTACGTGGTAGGCGCCGCGGCAGCTTGCTGAACTCGCTCCGGTATATGCTGGATTCGTGGCACTTCTCTCACCGTTTGTGTGGTGGGCGGCGCGCCAGCAGGCAGAGCTCGCCTTGGTGGAGGCCTCCCGTGGGGCATACTACGCGTCTCGTTGAACATGGGTTGAAAGCGATTCTCGGTGTAGGGCTACTGGTATTGAGGGTAGAACTGGGGTTGTGGCATTACTGGCGGATACACCGGGCCAGCAGGCATTTTTTGAATCGGTATATACATCCCACAGGCCGAACTGCGCGCCCTGTTCATCATGATTGGAAAACGATCGAGTGTGTGGGGTGTCAAGCAGTGAGTGCAGAACTGGGTCCCTGGCACAGCTGGTCCCGTCATTTGTGCGGGATACATCACGCCGAATGCTGAAATAAAAGGTCAGTTAAGTCACTGACTCGGGATAGTGGTGTTGAACTCACGGCCAGTCATCGTTGTCTGCATGAAAGACAACTAAAACGCGTCAGGGATGTAGTAAAACACCACTGATATTAGATACAGAAGGCTAGATGTATAAACAAACGCGTTTTGTGTATTGAGACAGCGCGCAAAAGCTGAAATGATAAGCAACAACCAGTAGGAGAAGCAGGTCGGACGCGAAGCAGGTGGGGAAGGAGTCTCGTCGCGTGCGGGTGGTCTAAATTATTTGGAATGTTAGGTAGCGCGTACATGACTAAGCTAATCACGTGCAGTAATCTGCGGTAGTAGAGATTAGTCACGTGCTAGCTGCTGAATTAGTAATGATACAGTCATATATTTAGGCAACTGCAGATGCTGCTGTGTCTTGTGTCTTCACATCGTCGGATATATACAGATATTTCTACCTTGCTTTGGCTAATTGTCTGCTTCTTTTACAATACTCTGCATCCTCTTCACTACAAACCTGCCCACCTCCAAGACTAACAAACGTAGGCAGCGAGGACAAATCAGGGTTCGGGGTCCGCATTTGTCAACGACGCCGGGGCTCTGCTTCGTCCCTCGACTGCTTTCCTCCTCCCGAAGTTTTCATCTCTTTTTCGACCTTCCTCTCTTCTTCCCCATCCAACTCTCCATCCACCTCGCGGTTCTTCCATCTCCTCGCCCGGAACAAACTCTTCCTTTGCTCCTCTTTTCTCTCATTTTTTAATTTTACTTGCATCCAAATGGCTTCTATCTTCCGATCCTCCTCCGCCGCCGCCGCCGCCGTTCTTCGACGACAGCTCCCCGTCGCGCGACAGCTTCCGATTGGCGCCAACAGACTCGTCCTCGCCTCCCGCGCTCGCGTCCCCTGCGCCGCCGTCCGATCCTACTCCGCCCATGCCGACGAGTCCTACGATGAGTTCAACGCCAGGTCAGTGCTTTCGTATCTTGTTTTCCAACCGTCGATTTCTTGTTTCTTTGCCGCTCCGTGTGTCTCTGTGTTTGGGTCTGTCTGAGTTTGCTCCTCGACGAGCGTCAATGTCTCGCTATCCGTTTGAGGATGGGGGACATCGAGGATTTCATCAGTGATATGGAAAGAAAGAAGCGACGTTTATGTTGTATTCGAACGTCCTCCGCGTTATCTATCGCTCTCGCTGGCCAGATGCTTCCACTCGACTTGGCGTGCGAAAGATATGAGTCTATGCCTGCCCGCATTACTTGCATCTTCTTCACTATTTAATTTGCGTGGAAAGAGAATGATGTGAATTCGCACCTCCTTTGCCTGTGGTTGCTGGCTCTCCGTGCGAGCTTCTATCCTTGCATACCCGGGTCTGGAAGCAGGGAAGAGGTAACCATCACATCTCCGATTCACGTCTCAAAATCATCATACTCTACATCTGATTGGGTTTCCTTATTTTTGGAGAAATGGGATTCACAGGCTATCTCTTCCATGCAACGCTTAGAAGAGCTTATCGTGGTTTTGTTTTCCTCTTGCTTCGACTCGAAGTATCATGCCACTTCAGCAATCTACGCAACCACACCGCCTCTCTCCGAATTGCTACAGAATCTACAATCAGAACCCTTCTCCAAAGTCCAGAAGGTTTTATTTACTCTATCCCCGAGTCTTAAGCAAGATCTCCACCTGGACAAGATCAAACCCAAGGCAGAAAAACGTCATACGCACTTTTGTCTGCCTCGGAGGACGGCTGGGATTGAAGGATGCGCACTGCAATTTGGAGAGCTGTGGTTGGCTTGCTGTTTTGGTGTCATGATTGCGGAGACCTCGCGCGGCTTTTCTCCGCGATTTCGGCTCCGTGATTGTGCTTGCTGGGTGGAAGTCACGTGAATGGCTAGCCAGACTCTTGAAGCAGCACACACACAGGGAGAGGGCTAAGAGCATAGTTTCGACTAACAATTAGATTGTGGACTAAACTGACTTTATATAAACCCCTGCAGATTCGAGAAGGAGTTCGACGAAGCCTACGATTCCTTTGAGGTCCAGCGAGTTCTGACAAACTGCTTCTCCTACGACCACGTTCCCTCGCCTGCCGTGATCGTCAAGGCCCTCACTGCCGCCCGTCGCGTCAACGACTTTGCCACTGCCGTCCGCGTGTTTGAGGCCATAAAGCTGAAGGTCCCTGCCAAGCACCACTACGAGGCTTACCTCGAGGAGCTGGCTGGCATCCGCGAGAAGTTGGGCGTCCCACTCAAGGAGGAGCTTTTCCCCGAGTCAAAATAAACGAGCCTAGTCTTTGAGCAAGTGTGCTCGAGAAGGGAGGAAAGAAAAGAGAGAAATGCAAATGATGAGAAAAATATAGGAGAAGGGGGTTATTGAGTTTGATGCTCATAATATGGCTGGATATTTCCTATCTTTCATTATTTTATTTTGAAAAATAAAGATAATCATAAACACCTACAGAAGTTGTTGTCTTTCTTGGAGCGAGTTGGATGCGACTGGAGAGTTCGGAGAAGGACTAGAAGCAGGTAGTTGGTTCTTTTGTCAGTGTTGCTCTTGTACTATTTCATTTTCATTTTTCTCTTTTCTTATCATTCTTCTTCCGTCTATTTTGTCTCTTCATTCTGTTTTATTCACATTTCCTTTAATTTTATTACTTCCCCGGTTTGGGAATCACACATCACTTACAATTTTTATACTTATCATAATGACGTAAATTGCCCTGTTTGCTTCTCGTTGAAGCAGCTGCTGCAGTCCATATGTTCTTTTCTCATATTAGTTTTGGATCTTAGGTTGGTCGTTGCAACACATAATTTACATAGCTCTTTCTCATATGCACTCTGCGTAATCTTTAATGTGAGTAATGATGAAGTCTACAGATATGTTATAATACGATTCCTTTTCATTGTAATTTATTGGACTGCCGACATGCTACAACCCAGCCAGCAAACATCCGGGAACCAGCAGATCCCAAAAGATATACACATTCTCCGACATCTGCCTTCAGATCAGAGCAAATCTATACAGACCAAAACCGCTACTGCCGCCATTCACTGACGTGATGTAGACAGATCGCTTTTTAAAATACAACAAAAGAAGAAAAGAGACAGGTAGAGTAGACGTCGAAACGTTTACTCGTAAACCCACTTGAAGATGGTGGGGGTGTAGGAGACGATCTCCTCAGGCTTGAACCAGAGACCAATCTCCTTCTTGGCGTTCTCGACAGAGTCGGAACCGTGGCAGACGTTGCGGCCGACGTCCTGTGGAAAGGAGAGAGTTAGCGATTGGACTGATGTAGCACTGAGAGAAGATGAAGGAAAAGGAGGTCAGCTTACGATGGCGTAGTCACCACGGATGGTACCGGGGACGGCAGCAAGGGGGTTGGTGGCTCCGAGGAGAACTTGGGAGATGATTATTAGTATAATAGATCAAGAGAGATCGTTGTGGGATATGCAAAGGAAATAAGACATACCACGTCCGGTCTTGACGGCGTCCTTGCCCTCCCAGACCATAGCGCAGACGGGGCCGGAAAGCATGTACTTCAGGAGACTGAGGGAATAATGGTCGTTAGAGAAGCTGATAGATTGAGAATTCTCGAGGAATTCTAGCTTACCCAGGGAAGAAGCCCTTGGTGGTGAGGTCAGCGTAGTGCTCACGGAGAAGCGACTCGGAAGCGTTGGTGAGCTTGATTCCGACAAGCTTGTATCTGCAGAGATCGAAGAAGTTAGTAGCCAGTCCCAGGTCACGTTCATAGACGAGCTATAGACAAATAACAAGAATTGTCCACAGAAGAGAAACATACCCCTTCGACTCGAAACGGGAGATGATGGGGGAGATGAGTCCACGCTGGACACCATCAGGCTAAGCAACACATAGACAAGTCAGCGAACGAGCCCGAAATTCACAATTGAACAAACTCCAACACACCTTGATAGCAATGAAGGTCTGTTCGTCGGCCATTTTTCTTTTTTGTAGTCTGGTTCTTGGGATGCAGGCTGTAGGGAAACAGAAGAGGAGGGAAGAAAAAAAAAACTTGCTGCGCGAGCGCGCCCAGTCGCTGCTGCTGGTTGGGCGCGTGGATGCGGGCTGGCGTGCGTCTGGCCCCAGAATAGCGAGCACGTGGTCTGCCGGGTTTCCGGGCCCCAGAATAGGCTCTCAGGGCAAGGGCCGCCGCCCAGGGCCGCGAGTCGGTCGCGAATCGCGCACTCAAAGCAAGGGAGACCGCACCTTCGTCCTTGTCTGGACGGTTGACCACGCTCGGCTGCCTTCTCTCTCGTCCGGTTCAGTTTGGTGAACAGTGCTGCTACTGCTCTTTGGCCTGCTTCTTCTCTGTAGCTATTTATACCCTCTGGCTCAAGCATACCGACCGCCCGCGACGCAGTTTCCGCTTGCTTCGCGCGTCCCAGAATCACGTCGTCGTTGCTGTCGCAGTCCGCGTCGTCGCCGCGTCCGGGACCAGTGCCCTTGCTCGCGTCGGCCCTCTCCGCAGCCGTTCCGCTTCTTCCTGTCTTTGTACTCGTTAGTCTTGTGTTAGTCCCTGTCGCTGTCGCTGTCTCTCCCACGAAAAGGCGAGGGCTCAACAGTAACAACAGCCACAGCCACAACAACAACAGCAGCACAAAGCATCGGACCCCGCGTGCCAGCAGCAGCTCAAGAGGAAGCTCAACCCACCCGTCTCCGCGCAGACGTATCCGCTCCCCCGCAAAGACTCCGACCCGCCAACCCCACCGACGCAGAGTTGTCCACAGAGTCTCAAACCAAGCAGTATCAGAATCATCTTCATCCATGGACGGCGTCTCGTCTCCGGGGCTCGCCCGCGCCAGCTCTCTCCGCGCGACCACTGGCAAAAACATCTACAACTTTGAGCTCGTCAAAAAGGTCCGCTCCGATCTCAGCGCGCCCTCGTCCGCAGCCGCAGCCGTCACGCCAGGATCAAACTCCGGTCCGTCCGATGCTCTCAAAGAACGTCGTCGTCAGCGAGCGTTCCGGTTATCACTCTCTATCCCTCGCGCTCCTCCTCCGCCTCCTCCCGAGGTCACCACTCCTATCACTGAGGATGCTTCTTCCGTCGGTATGTTTCTTTGCATGTACTTGTTTTTATTTCAAAATACAGAAACTCTAACGAATCTCGCGTCCTCTTCACAGCTCCCGATCTCTTTGTCTCTCCCAAAATGCCGACCAAGCCTGCGCGCGACTCGGTCTTTTTCGACGAGGCCGCCGACAACTTTCTCACTCTGTTAGCTGCCAAGGAACGCCGTGTTCTCGAGCTCCGCTCTGAGCTCGCGAGCGCAGAAGCCGACCTCCAACAGCTCCAGCAGCAGTACTCGGCCCACGAAGAGCGTCCCCGACGCGCAGCGCCAGTGCCACTTCTTCAGCAGCCTTTTGCGAACGCGCTTCACGGCCACCATTCCAGTCAGCCTTACTCCGCCATGGCGGCCGCGACCACTGCCGCTTCACATGTTAACGCCCATGTCCGTGCGCGCTCGTCGCTCGACCGTCAGAGCATCACCTCTGCCTCGAGCTCAACAAGCAGCACCACAACCACAATCACCAACGACGGCAATCAAACCAAGGCCGCCGGCGCAGGCCGCATGCTCAACGGCTCGTTCCCGTTCCCGAGTCCGCCCAAGACGGCCCCGTCAGGTCGTCCGCTCGCGCCGCCGCGTACTTCGTCGCTCGCAGATAAGCCCGCCGGCGACCGGGCGCAGCCAAATCCGCTGTCGTCTAGTCCCGCGCCGATCGACGACCTGCCGTACCTGATGCACAACGACGAGTTTGAGTACGACGACGAGTCGCGGAATAATCCCAACGTGCCGATTCGCGCCGAGGAGGTGATTGTCATGGGCAAGAAGATTGCCGAGGGCATCAACTCGCACTTTTGGAACTTTTACAACGACATCAAGGCCGCTGCCGTTGGTGAAGAATTGCTCGGAGCGCCTTCTCGGCGCAGCGGCGCAAACGGATCACCTGTCCGGGATTATCAGCAGGCGGGAATGGGTTCATCTGCTGCCGCGAACGGGAAATCAAAGATGCTCGAGCGTGGATCAAGTGCGGCGCCAGCCAACCAAATCAATTGGCAGCACTCCCGCTCGTCGACCTACGACTCACACGATAGCGCGAACGATTACATCGACGAGGACGAGGGTCAATCCGATGATGACGACAACCACAGCACCCCGACACGGGTGTCGGATTCACCACCTATACGGCACATCTCGAGCTTTGTGAACTCCCCCGTGCTGTCAGAGCCGCTGGGAATTGACTCGGCTGAATTCCGAGGCTCGCCCCAGTCAAAGCATGGTCACAGCATGCGCAGCCACCCGCTTCGCCGCACTCTTACCGAACAGCAGCAGCAGCAGTTGCAACAACAACAACAACAACAACCACAGCAGCAGCAACTGTCAGCAGGGGAGTACAACGGCTACAGCGTGCTGCGCGAGACGCCAGCTGCTGTGTCGTCCACGTCGCTGATCGATCTTGAGTCCTCCGAAGACGAATCACATACGTCTGCGCCGCCGTCTCTCACCAACACCGTGCAGTCCCGGATCTCGACGACGGAACCTAGCAAGCGCTACAGCGTTTACAACATGGACTTTGATCTCGCGGCTGCCACGGCTGCCGCAGGTAACGGGACGGCGGCCAGCAGTCGGAGTAGTAGCAGAAGCCGAGGATCGTCACTCTTTCAGTGATCGAGCATCTAGAGTTGTACTCACATCATAAATCCTCCTTGCTTCCTTCCTTTTCCCAGCAGCTCTGATCTGTTTTTTTTTTCTTTCTTTTCTATATTTTTATTTTTTTACGGATGATGAACCTGCATAAATGTGGTCGACGGGCGAATGAGCTTTTTTTCTCTAACTTTTCTTTCCATTCCTTTTTTTCCCTTCCTTGTAAATCTATCAAGTGCTCTTCTTTTTTTTGTACATTATTTTCTGTTTACAGCTTGCATCATAAACTTTTCTATGTCGAGATTTCCTCTCTCTTTCTCTCTCTTTTTTCAACGATTATTAATGGGGTATCAATAACGTAGGTCTCCTACTTTACTATCGAGGTTGTTTTTCTTTTCCATTTATTTTTCTACTTCAGGCTGAGTTTATGACAGGGCGCGCGGAGGTGGTGGGTGGTCTTGTCTTTTCTTACTTCTTTCTTTTCGTCATGATTATATCTGTACTTCTTTTCATGTTTTTTTGGTTTCGTGAATTATGAGATTGAGTAAACATTATCGAGTTGGCGGAGGTTGATTTGCCGGGTGCGGATAGATCTGATAGGCACCGTGGGGCGGAGGCAGTCAGACAATTAGACAATTGAGCAATCGAACCTTCCAGACTAGGACTAGCAAATACGAAATACCGAGAGTGAATAACTATTTGCACAAATAATCACTATAGAAATAGATGTTCACTTGGACGTAGGAGACGAGAGAGCCGCGCTTGTAGCATTTGTATTGAGCTAAAATCCGGTTGGGAGTTTTCGATTTGCGTCCCGAAAAATTCGTCCAAAAGTTGAAAAACTACAGGCTATTTATTATCCACTCACATCATCGACAAGCAAGAGAAGGATTACTTCAATACGCTCAATCGAGAAGGAGAGGAATGAGCTTTACGAGGAATACTCTTGTTTTACAAAGGACAGGGGTCAAGAGCTGCCTGCGCAGCCATGCCTCTGGCTTCGTTCAACAACGACGAGGCATCTCCGTGCACGCCGACAACCTTGCGTCAATAATCGCTGCCGCGACAACAGACGCTACCCCCGACGTGATTGTCATCGGCGGCGGTCATGCGGGATGCGAAGCAGCGGCCGGAGCGGCGCGGACGGGCGCGCGAACGATGTTGCTCACGCAGTCTATCGCCGGGATCGGGACCGCGAGCTGTAACCCATCCATCGGCGGAGTCGGCAAGGGAAACATCGTGCGCGAGATCGACGCGCTCGGAGGCGTGATGGGTCGGGTTGCTGATTTGGGCGGGACGTATTTCTCGATTTTGAACGCCACCCGCGGACCTGCGGTGTGGGGACCGCGGTGCCTGATTGACCGGAAATTGTACAAGAAGCATATGCAGAACGAGATGTTGAACTATCCCGGATTGCAGGTCAAGGAAGGAAGCGTCCGGGATCTTATTATCGAGCACTACGCGCATGATTCGAGTACCCCCGGAAGCCGAAAGCACGGCGTCATTCGTGGCGTCATCTTGGACAATGGCGAGGTCATCCCCACAAAGAAAGTAATCATCACCACCGGCACCTTCCTACGCGGCGAGATCCACATCGGTCTACACTTCTACCCTGCCGGTCGCATCAACGAGCCCGCGTCGTTTGGAATTAGCGAAACGCTGGCCGAAGCGGGCTTTGAGCTTGGTCGCATGAAAACCGGTACGCCGCCGCGACTGGACGGCAGGACGATCAATAAACGCATTCTGCCGGTTGCGCCTGGAAGCAAGACTCCGCAGCCGTTCAGCTATATGCACGATCGCGTTGCTCTCGATTACCAGATTCCGGTGCATACGACCTGCACGAACGAGACATCGCACAACATCATTCGCGACAATCTACACACGACATTGCATATCCGCGAGACCGTGCGCGGCCCGCGGTACTGCCCTTCGATCGAGTCGAAGATTATCAGATTCGCAGACAAGAAGTCGCATCTGATCTGGCTCGAGCCGGAAGGGTTCGATACAGATATTGTCTATCCCGCGGGTTTTAGCGTGACACTGCCTGCGGATCTGCAGCTTAAAGTCCTGCGCACGATACTGGGACTCGAGGATGTCACGATGACGCAGCCGGGGTACGGAGTTGAGTACGATTTCGTTGATCCGCGGCAGCTGAAGCCGACGCTCGAGACAAAGCCTATCGACGGACTCTACCTGGCCGGACAGATCAACGGCACGACCGGATACGAAGAAGCAGCGGGCCAGGGTATAATGGCGGGCCTGAACGCCGGGTTTGCAAGCCAAGACCAGGACCCGCTTGTGCTGTCGCGCAGCGATGCATATATTGGCGTGATGATTGACGACCTGATCACAAAGGGCGTGGAGGAGCCGTATCGCATGTTTACTTCGCGCGCGGAGTTTAGGCTGAGCTTGCGCTCAGATAACGCAGACTCGCGCTTGACGCCTGTGGCATACGAGCGCGGGATAGTTTCAGAGGAAAGATATGCGCGGGCGAAAAAGTCTATGGAGCTGGTTGAGCAAGCGATTGAGTGCTTGAGGAACAACAAGATGTCGTTGAAGGCGTGGTCAAATATTGAGAATATCCCTCTATTCCGTGGTATTGGTGCACGGACAGGGTTTGAGATGGTCGAGCAGCACACTGAACTGTGCCGACCAATGCTGACCGGTCTCGGCTTTGAGAGACTGGATGAGCTCGATACAACGACCGTGAATAAGATTGCGTTCGAAGCACAGTACTACCACTTAATTCGGCGCGAGAATGCAAACATCAAAGCATTCAGGGAGAGCGAGGAGATCAAGCTGCCGTCGGGAATCGATTACTCGCAGTTTCCGATGTGGTTTTCAACAGAGGCAATCACGGCCCTGAATAAAGTCCAACCGACAACTCTGGGCCAGGCGAAACGGATCCAGGGAACCACGCCGGTTGAGATCATGCAGCTGATGCGACTGAGGTATAAGCTGGCGGCTATTGCTAAAGATCAAATGAGCGAGCAAAAGACTGCTGAGCCTGGAGTCTTCGTCGACGGACCTGCCCTAGGGGCGCAGTTATGAAAAGTCTTTATATAGAAGAGGAGTTTTGCTAGTCTAGCTTGGATAGATTCATTTGTTGGTTTGTAAGATAGGGCTATTTTTATATAATACAGTATATTCTAAACTATTTCCTGTCCACCAAACGTCTTCTAGACGGATGGATGAACTCCTCACTCGCCGCACTTTGCGAGACCTCGCTTCGATTTTTCTCCGACCGTTCATTGCGAGCAGGTTTTTCTCTGTCTTCAACCATATCTTGCTTTCTTACATCACGATCAGCACGGCGGTCACGAGCGTCTTCGTCATCGCGAGACCGGTGGCGATGCTCATGAGGTCGATGATGATGCCGATGGTGGTGGTGGTGATGTCGTCTATGACGCGATCTTTCATCAGCAGCGTCCTCTGAGCGGTCCCGCGCTCTGTGGTGACTTGAGCGGTGGCGTCCATGGTCTCTGCTATCAGACCGTCTGTGATGTCTTGGTTCGGATCTTCTCGATCTATCTGGACTCCTACTCCTACTTCTGCTCCGACTCCCGCTCTTCTCGCGTACTCTGTCATCCCCATCGCTATCATCATCACGAGGCTTGGGAACATACGGAATCCCCAAAGCCTCAGCCAGTGCCCGCTCTTCCGCCTCCTTAACCTCCCTCCTCTCCTTCGCTTTCCTCCGCCGTCTCTCCTCCTCCGTCTCCCTTCTCGCCCTCCTTCCCTCCTCGCTCCTCTCCTCATCCTTCTCCTCATCGCCCGCCTTCCCATCTCTAGCGTACCAGAGCGCGTCGCCGCGCTGCCCGAGCCGCTGCACGGGCGCCATGATCGAGTGGCCGAGGTAATGGTCGCGCTGCTTGTCCGTCTTCACTTCGTCCCATGAAAACGCAGCGCGTCCGCCTCGCACGCCTTCGCGCGTAGGCTTACCGATCATCAAGTCCATATTGTTATGAGTGCGCTACTGACGATTCCTAGACGATTACTTTGCAGACTGCTCTTTTCTTTCTTCGTTGTTCACACGCACAAAAGAAGCGTCGCCATCCTCGCTCTCTGTCTGTCGTCGAGCCGCACAGCTCGCTTTGCCTTGACAAAACCCGCTGCCGCGCATCGTCTTACAGAAACTTAATGACGTCACCAGGTAATATCCGTCTTAAATAGCAGCGGGGGCAGCGAATATCACGCGAGGATGCTACATGCGAGGGAGAAAGAAAGAGTTGGCGATGGATACAGAGAAAGAGAGAAAGAGAGAGAGGAGAGTGCGGTAGTTGGACGGGGTACCGCTAGACGAGCTGAACAGCGCTGGCTTTGCTCGCTACTCGCTACCTTCTATCAGTGCATCTGAGTGCTATTATCTAATCAGCTGTTCAGTTCAGATAACAGCGACAAAAGTTCAAGTAGACGTAAACGTAAACTTGAAGCGAACGGAAATCGGCTCGTAGAGGGCTCTGGCATCGTCACCTGGCGCGGTCTGTACTTGATGAACATCATGCAACACCGCCGATCACCTTCCTTCTTTCGTTCCCCCCCCAAACTTGCCCCTCGCTGACGCCATTGATCGCCGCTTCCTTGGCTCACCGATGTGAGGAATCAAGACTGGCTGAGGAACATCTGAACAGACTGATAGATTAAGGGAAAAAATTAAGGCTCTTTTTTGAACAAGGCGACTAATCAAAACAACACACTAGTCAAAGTAATAGGATAACAAATAGACATTTTGAACTCAGGTTAGAAACATAACGCGCAAAACAATATAGAAAAATAGACATATAATAGGAAACACGACAACCACATAAAACTACTCACTATTTCTCTACTCATCCCTCCTCGATCTCGGCTAGACTTCTCAGTATGAGTAGACAGCCGAAAAGCAGCAGGAAAAGACAATTAGAGAAACAAGGAGGAAAATATATAAGAAAGAGTATCTCCATCGCCACTGTCGACAGCAATAAAAGATACAAAAGGGAAGACGGAAGACGTATGGAGCGTAAATAATAAAGATCTGAAACAAAATAACGCGAGCAAACCCGATTCCAAAGAAGCAACAACAGGCAATAAGAAGCAAACGGACAAGACAAACAACAAAGGAAAAAAGAAAAGAACAAACCGGACGATTAGAAAAAAACCCAGTTTTTTTATGCAACGAAATCAGACAGACTTTACCAATACGCAATAATGTTATAACCTCCAGCATGTATATATACACACCACATTAAGATCCGAGAGCTTTTCTGATACTATGGGAATCGCAAAACTAGACGAGACAAAAGCAAAGCACAGTATGTACTGCTTTTCTCATCCTTTATTTTCTCTTGTTTTCATCTCAGCTTTCTCCTTCACTCAAGAGTGACTTTCATCTGATCTGGCATCAGTGGAGTAAAGTTATTGAGATCGATTCCTCTTTCTAGTAAAGCAGCCCGTGCATGTGGTGGAACCAGCTTCTCATTCAACTCTGGCGCGATCGACAGCTCGTGCAGCGAGAAATCAAAGAGCGGAGGCAATTGACGAGGCGGATTGCTAGGATGTCTAGAGTCCGGCAACAGTGTGAAGGGGTCGCGGAGTTCATCGAAAAATGGGTGGCACATAGCCTCGATTGCCGACAGACGCTGGTTGGGATTGTATTCAAGCAATCGCGAAATGAGATCAATCGCATCAGGGGGTCCTCGTCGGAACACTTTCGAGAAGGGGTGAGGCCGAATTTGAGGGAATTTGTGCTCCATGTAGTTGGGGTTCATGGTCTTGATCTGCTCGCGCGTCGGGGTACCAAGGACCTTGATGATCTCAACAAGCTGATCGATTCCAGACTCACCGGGGAAGAGGGGTTTTCCGAGCATCAGCTCGGCCATGACACAACCAGTCGACCAGACGTCGATCTTGGTCGTGTAGTTTGCAGCACCAAAGATCAGCTCAGGCGCACGGTAGTAGCGCGAGCAAATGTAAGACACGTTGGGTTCTCCAGCCACGAGGATCTTTGCCGATCCAAAATCACACAGCTTGAGAATCCCTGTCTTGGGATCGGTGAGAAGGTTCTGGGGCTTGATGTCACGATGGCAGATGCCCTGCGAGTGGATGTACGCGAGTGAGCGGAAGAGTTGGTAGATGTAGAGCTTGATCTCGAGCATAGGCATCGTTTGCTCGAGTTTTAAAAAGTGACGGGAGGCCCGGTAGACGGTCTCGGGTATGAATTCGAGGATGAGATTGAGGTAGACCTCCTCTTTGGGCGGGGGTATGAACGAATCGTCCTTGCGATCATAGGCAGTTGAAGAACGACCAGACTCGGTTGAATAGAAGAAAGCGATGAGATCGACAACGTTGGGGTGCTTGACCAGACGCATGATTTGCAGTTCACGATTCTAAAAAAGTCAAACAAGACAACACAGTAAGTACGTAATATATTAAAAGGCATGAATCGTAGCAAGCAGCAGAGCAAAATCGTTCTCGAAAAAAAGGGGAGGTGGAAGCCGAATCAAAGAGAAAGGACAAGCAATATGGAAGTAAAAAATACAAGGCAAAGTAGAGCGAGAACGATAGAGCAGCGCGCGGGGAAGAGAGGCTTCTCACCTTGAAACGCTTGTCCTGGAGCACGCGCTTTATGGCCACTTCCTGGCCCGATGGCTGGAGGTTGGTATGAAACACGACACCGAACGATCCATTTCCGACGACCTTGCATTCGGTGTAGCAGAGTTCCTTGATCTCACCGGTGCGGCCGTCGTGGACCTTTTCGCGGACGACGTCTGGCGAGGGGGTGTTAGAGCTAAAGAAGGAAGGAGTCAAGATGGCTGGGCCCACCGCGGGCAGCCGCGGGCGGAGAGCGACGAAGAGCAGAGAAAAGAGGAGCAACATACCACCGAGACGCGTATTCTCGAGACTGCTGTGGGACATTGAGCTGCGAGGACGGGTGAGGGAGTGGAAGAAGGTGGGCGATTGTTGACCTTTGGGAGCAGGACACGAGAGAGGAAGCTGAGCCTTGAGACTTGGTGAGGGGACTCAGCGTGGCCCCGGGGGGGCGTCACCCTACATCGCGGGTCATGTGGCGCACTGACTCATGGATTATGTCATCTAAATGACGTCACTGACAGAAGGGGTAGTCCTGCCGCGTCCAAGCTCATTTACTTCATTTCTTCTGGCACGAGACCCGGGCCAGTGCTCTGCTATTTACCAACTGTTGTTTATGTTCAGACGCGTCTTTTATTCTACTCTACTCAGCTCTACTTACCGCCCAACTCAGCCGGCATGCTCATAATCATCGTCGTCAGCGACGTCCATCCCGTAAAATGCTTCACGCCCTTGGCCTTTCCCTCGCTCTGCTCGTACTGCTCCCACGCAAACCCAGTCTCCTCCCACTGCTTGTACACTGTCTGCACAATGTTCGTTCGCAGTTGACTGTATATTTCCTTCAGCTTCTCTCGATCACCTGCGCTTGTCTGCGCGTCCTTGTAGTAGTCTTGGGCCGAGCGCAGAACGAGGTAGTTCATGTTCACCCAGATAGCTCCGCGCCAGTAATCTTCGTCCTTGCCGAACGCGGGCTCGCGCTTCGACAGACTTCGGATTCCGAACGCGGACCACACTCCCTCAGGGTCCAAAATCCTGTCAAGAACGCGTCCGATCTTGTCTGCTGGTACTAGTCCAAGCATAAAAGGCACCAGCGTGACGTAGCCCTCGTGGCACTCTGGAACACGTCTGTCCTCCTCCATATCCCACGTCAGATCGCAGTACATGCCGTCCTCTTCACTCCAGTGGAGGTCTTCAAGATTAGCCTCAATTCCCTCAAGAACCTTCTCATAGAGCTTGATATCGGCCTCGGGCGCGCCGACAAATCGCGATATCTTGATCATTGCCTTCGTCATCGAGCCCATCCACGCCATCAAGTCTACATGCATCTCTGCAGGGTGAGGCATCGCTGCGCGCGGATAGTCGTCAAGACCCGACGTTAAGCAATGGTTCGGGGTTCGTCCTCGCCATCTGTAGCCCTCAGTCCACGACTTTGGGCGCGCGTCATCTGGATTGTGCCAGGACCGAATATCAGCAGCCTGCGTGCGTCGAAACCAGTTATAGTGCCTCTTGAGTGTTGGATAGAGTCGCTTTAGCGCTGCGCGAGCCATAGCGGGCGAATGCAAATACGCCAAACGGGGCGAAGAGTCAGGAAAGTTGATCAACTGCTGCTGCTCGTTGTCGCCAACGGGGACTCCCCTACGTTCGGCGTAGGCAAACTTTTCGACATCATCAATAAACTCGACAAGCGTCAGCATCATCGTCGGCGGATTCGCGTACGACGGGAACTGAGTCTGGAACTCCTTTGGAACTTTACTCCGCGCTTCCTCGCCCAGAATTTGCTCACGCGCGATCCAGCCGTCTTCGTCCGTGAGACTGAACCAGCTCTTGATGACCTCCAGCGCGAGATCCGGGTCCCACTTCAGAACGGGCAAAAGATGGAATCCTTCGTCCCAGTAGAATCCTCTGGGGAAAAAGGGTCGCGACGGAACCGTACAAAAGAGCTCTGTCGCGGGAACCTCTGTTACGTCGGATTGTCCTTTGTAATTCCAAAACTCCTCCTCTTCTTCGTCGTCATAAGCCCCGTCCGACTTGTCTACCAACGATGTACCCTGGAAGTATCCGATACCTCCCATCAAGTTAGAAACAAGTGCTTTTCCCATTGAAACGTGCTCGGCATCGGTGAACGGCTCAGCTGCTGGGAAAGTTTTGCTGTAGCGCTCGTCAAAATCATCAATGCTCTGTTCAAGCACAGAAGTCAATTTCTCAGCTACAAGAAATGCCTCGTTAGCAAAAATCAATCATACCCCGCAGTCTGTAGCCACCAAATTCAATCTCGAACTTACACGTCATCTCGCCCTCACCGTCCTGCTCAAACAAGATATCAAACTCGAATCCACCCTTGAAGCTTCTCTGGAGGAAATGCAGATTTCCGTCCCTCTCCGGGGTATCGTACAGCGTGAAGATTGGTACCGGTCCCGGCATAGTCTCACGGGGGTATGCAGTCTGGACTTCTTTGATCTGTTCCTGCATCAATGCCATATAGTAATCCATCGAGCGCCAGATCGTATCACCATTGACAGCCAGCGTGCGAGCATGCCACGCGTCGGCGGGGTGCATGTAGCTAAGCGGGTGCGTGTTTTCGGCAGCATCGTTCGTCTCCGGACCGTACGTTACTGCGATTCTGAATCGGCCGAGAGAAGAGATCTCGCCCTCGTACTCGACATCGCCTTTATAGCCGGTATGACTGTATTGACTGGTTCGTCGACTGGTCGACAAGCCCTGGGTACCAAAATAGAAGATTATAGAGGTAGATCCCTCAGCCTCTTTTGGTACACCACGAACTCTCAGAGCCCAGTTCGAGCCATCCTTGACAAATTCGGTGTAGATATCGACCGCATTCTCGACATCGTGCAGAACCTGCCTGCCTCCAGAACGGGCGTCGTACGCCTCCCATCCGTAGCCCTTGAAGTCGTGGCCAGTCTCGCACGAGTGCCGAGTGAATCGCAGACCGGTATACGTGTCTGTATTGTGCCACATCAGTCCAGCGAGGAACGACTCCGGCAGTCCGCGAGGACGGATGCCGAGGTAGAGGTTAGGCCGGTATGGGCCCCACTGCAACGTCGCGTTTGATTCACGCGCGTGCTCGGCCAAAAGCACACGCATGTTCAGATCTTCCACATCAGTCAGATCCAACTCGTCGAGTTCATCCTCATCGTCAAACTCGTCCAGCCTGCACAATGCCAGAGCGAAGAATGAGACAATAAGAATCCCGAGCAGGAAGAAGCATCGCGGTCGGAGATTCATTCTCGATCCCGAATTATAGAGCGTCCACGTCTCTCAATCGGCACAATTGACGGATGTGAAGCGTTTCTCGCCAGTTATATCGTATTTTCTTGAGCTCCGAGCGCAGAGTGATGGAGATCTAACAATTGCTGGCTGCGAGCGTGGAGCGAAAATCAGGGGTGATTGGCCTTTGGTTCCTTTACGCTGAAGCTCAACGTGTTCAGTTGGGAGAATAAGATTTACGTGTTGAAGCCCCATAATAATGAAGTAGCTGTTATATATCAGAGAGGTATTGTTTTGGTATGTTTAGCACTTACCATCAAACTTTAAGGCAATTTTTTGAAGTTTTCGAGATCCCACAGTAAATCTCAACAGACATCTCTTTACTTGTCTTGCCCTTGACAACCCGTCGCCAGAAGCTAGGTTACACAGTCCAGAACTATACTATACCACCAGAAACTCCGGCTGGATATACAATAAGCAGTTATGGCGCCGATTCGCACACAGGTGAAGAAGAAGACAGGGAAAGCGCACAGCACATCCAAGGTGACGAAGCGCCCAGCTGAGCTTGAAATGAAAGTGCGACGAGTCGACGAAGTTCTAGCTTCTTCCAAGAAATCATCATCATCAAAATCAGCGACGAAATCAAAGACAAAGTCGTTTGGGTCGATGCTTTCAGAGCTCAAGATGAGGGAGCAGGAAGATGAAGAGAAAGTTGGGAAGAATACGTTCATCTCCAGAGGGTTGATGGGTGAGGGTGAGATTACGTTTACGGTCGAGAGTAAAAAGAAAAAGAAGCGGAGTGAGGAAGATGAGGAAGACGAGGAAGAGGATGGCGAAGAGGGGAAGAAGAGGAAAGAGAGGGACACAGGCCGGAAATCTCAGCGCTGGGCTGGTAGACGGAGTGGTAAGTCTACGATACCTGATTTACTTTTTATGAACAGAATGCTGACTATATATCTAGCGAGTAATAACGTTCTACGCAAGCTTATGTGAATCGTGGGATCTTCTCACTACAAAAATTTGTCTGCATACGGTTGTTTTCGAGGCGTTTTGTTTAGGGTTAATGATCTGGTCACAACAGTTATAGTCCAATACTTGGTCTAGTCAGTAATAGATTTGTATAATAGAAAAGTGATAATCCAGAGAATTCGATTTGAGATATAACTTGTACAGGTTACATCCACTGATATATACAGTTCTAAAACGTGCCCGACTCTAAATGATCTGATGTGTCCTTATACTCGCAACAATAAAGAACCAAGTGATTGACAAGATGCTCGAAAGAGCCAAAAACAATCATATATGAAAATGAAAAACAAATGAGCAAAAATGCATACAGGTGATCCCAGAAACGCCCCCAAATATTCATAAATAGATTGATTGCAATAAGAAATGCTTCCCAAAACAAGTAAAACCAAGCAAACTGTTATACTTGTAGCTTATCAACGGATAACGCCAGCGCAAACAACTTTGCAGAGAATTGCCGAGTAGCAGTCTACTCTTCAGCAACATTTGCCTGCTCTCGCCCACTTTGCCTTCTCTGTCTCAGCACGACCCGTCGGTCTTGGACTCTGACATCGCCCGAGTCGGTGCCGACGGGGTTCCGAGTAGCAGGGCAAGGGAGAAAATGCGGTGCCGCGACGGTAAGGACTGCGATGCAGAAAGTGGTGGAGAAAAGCGATGTCGTTAGACGCGTCCGGGTGGCATTATTGAGACGCATTTTTTGGTGGATAGGGCGCGGGACGGAGGAGATATGATGGCAATGGTGATTGGAATCTCGGTCGATCGGATTCAATTAGGAGACTCCCGTTGATTCCTCTGCTTTCCTTTTGATGGTTGTGTCGAATTGTCGGTGGACGAGATGATGCTGATTCCTGGTGCTCACTCGAAATACTGTCTTGTCCAAGCACTGTCTGAGTTCCTTTCCCAGACCTTTTCTCACGGTAAAAGTATATCCAAACGGCAGATTATCGCCAATGACCTTCTCCTCGATCGCCTAAGCTCGCGTTCCCGGGTTCAGATTCAGCAAAACGCTTTGCTCGTCGAGGAGGAGTTTTTTTGGTAGCAGCCCTCGGTCGCATACATCTGAGCATAACTCTAGTTTCGGCGGCGCTCATTGGCCCCAGCGCCCGGCTGCCGCGCCACGAAACCCGCTTCTGCTCACAATCTAGAATTGTGCGTATTGGAAGGGGTTTGTGGCCTCGAGGGAGGCTCATTCGATTTATTTACAATTGTGCTTGACTGAGTCCGTCAAGAGAGGCATACGAATCCGCCATGTCTGATCTATCTGATAACGACAACTTGAGCGAAGGATCGCGGCGCCAGGCCAGCAGCAGTAGTCGGCAACGCAAGCGCGAGCAGGAGGATCTTAGCGGCCTCTTTGACGAGGACGATAACTCCCCTGCTGGATCACCTGCAAATCAGGATGAGGACGAAGTGAACTCGGCCGATGGCGGTGCTGGTGGCGGCGGTAGTGACGTTGAGATGGAGGATGTTGCCCGGGGTGGGTCGCCTCGTGCTAGTGGAGATGAGGAGGAAGAGGACGATATCTTTGGAGATGCGGCATCTGATGAGGATGACAACGGGTGCGTTCACTGCTCTTCACTTTATTCTCTACACTTGACGAAATTGGCAACCGAGAAGCTAACCAGAGACTATTACTTTCTACAGAGACTACAACCGGTATGGATCACAAACCCAGCAAGAAGAGGAGGAAGAAGAGATGGAAGAAGTCGAGATGCAAGAGATGGAGATCACGATGCCGCGCTATCTGTCGTCGCACAAAGTCCCCAAGGAGACCGCAATTGCGCGCATGCCCAACTTCTTAAACATCGACCCGGTTGCATTCGATGCAGACACATATCTCGAGACTGCCGAGAACATCGAGAAAGCAAAGGGCGAAGGCACCGACGAGTCGCGGCGTCAGTTGCGGGAAGAGGTGCAGAATATGATTCGATGGAGATATGTCAAGGATGAGCAGGGAAACAATGTGGGTTCTTTCTCATGTTTTATTAATTTCTCATCTTGTGGAAAGTGGCAGGATGACTAACGCTCTAATCAGAAAATCCAATCAAACGCACGAATAATTCGCTGGTCCAACGGAAGCTACTCGCTCAAACTCGGCGGCGAAATCTTTGATATCCAGGAGACTCCAGTGAACGACACCTACCTCGCCGTCTCCCACAACGAGCAAGAGATCGTGCAGTTCCACAATAAGATCTCCAAGATCCTCAACATGACGCCGTCCTCGACAACCTCACAGACCCATCTCCGGATGTCGAACGCGCTTGCTCGCGGTCAGGTCAAGACGCGGTATATCAACGATATCGTGACGATCGAGGATCCCGAGAAAGTCAAGCGCGAGGCAGAGAAGGCGGAGGAGAATAAGATCCGCGCGCGCAAGAAATTGGAAAACAAGCGGGCCGCGCTCGAGTCGCGGTCAAACTACGATCGCGAGCTGGGTGCCGGCGTCGGCCGCGGGGCCGGGGGCGGCGCGGGTGGAAGAGGTAGTAGATATGATGCGGACGACGACGGCATGGGATACGGAAACTCGGCGGATTATGAGAAGGATGACTTTGTCGTTTCGGACGATGACGAAGATGAGGAAGAGGAAAGAGCTGAGAGACTTCGGAAACTTAAAAAGGCTGGTGCCGACAAGTACAAGAAACGACGGAAGGGGTCAGACGATGACGATGAAGACGAGGAGGAAGAAGAGGAAGAAGAGGACGAGGACGATCTGTTGGATGACGATGACGACGATTTGGAGATTCCGAGTCAACGCAGAGATCTGAAGCGTAGACGAGATTACAGCGACGATGACGACGAGGAGTAGTCTTGTTTACACTTGCTGTGTCTACTTGTGATCAATGAAAGGATAGACCAGAAGAGAGCTTTTATATTGTACAATAGTAAAACGTTACAAGTGTCGTTATGTCTAGAAATCACTATTTTACACTGACCTAATATTACAGTTTTTTGACAAAAATTTCCTGCCTTACTTGCCCGAGAACTGAGACTGCTCACGCTTGTCATTCGAGCTGATCAATTTCGCGAGGTTTGTGTCTGCGAAATTGAACGTCGGATCCGGCACGCAAAACCTCGTGTCGAGCAATACCTGCGCGGTTGGACGTTTCTCAGGATCGGTAATGAAGCACAGATCCAGGAATTCCTTGCCGTCTTCTTGCACGTACTCGATCGTGTCTTCTGGGATCGGCGGGGCTAGTTTGGCGTTTCCTAGCTTGTACATCGCGCCGATCGCTTCATCGTTCGACCATGGCCGACGACCGGCAAACATCTCGAGCACGACGCAGCCTAGGGACCAGATATCTACTTTGGCGCTGTAGCCTTGCTTCTTGTAGCCCTCGTTCTCGTGGTGCACGTAGCTGTGGATGACCTCGGGCGCCATCCAGAAGATCGTGCCTTGCATCGACATTTCGGCGTCGTTCGAGTAGATATTTTGACTCCGTTTCGAGATGCCGAAATCCGAGATCTTGACCACGCCGTCGAGATCAAGCAGAAGGTTGTCGGACTTTAGATCGCGGTGAAGAATTCCCTTGGAGTGAAGATACGCAAGACCGTCCACGACCTGTCGTGTAAGCGAATGCACAACAGGGACTTCGAATCGACCGTGCTTGCGCAGACACGTTCCGATCGAGCCACCGGGAACGTATTCCAAAAACAGGCTGCACACTTCCGGCAGTGCCTCGTAGCCCAGGTATTGCACAATGTTGAGATGGTCGAGATCTTTCATGGTCTCGATCTCGGCATTCAGCGCAGTCACCACTTCCTGCTGCTTCGAGCTGCTCTTGTCGCTTGCCGTCAGGGGAACAATCACTTGCTTGACGGCAATCATCTCTCCCGTTGTCGCGTTGAGCGCAAGGTAAACTGACCCGAACGTTCCTTTGCCGATAAGCTCACCCTTCACCCAATTGAATTGCTCTACATTTTCGCCACTGTTAGTTCAACTATAAAAAACTTCTGAAAAATCAAGGGATACGTACGATTCCGACCACGGCCTCTGATAGAAAGATGCCCCTTCTTAATCTGCCCAGGCGTCACCTCAACAACCTTCTGTCCCCACATCTTTGTACTCTTCCGCCTCAGAAGCTTGGGATCTCCGGCCTGCGTCCCCGCGTCGCCGCCAAACTTGGCCTGAATCCGCCGCGCGTCGTTAGCTTCTTTAGCGACGATCCTGATGGACTTCATCCGCGTGCCGCGCCCGATCGGTCGCGACGGCTTCGTCGAGTTTGCGGATTGCGTGTACGGCGCCTTCGGTAGGCTTGCGGCGGCGGAGCCGGCGACGTCGAGTTTCTCGACAGCCTCGCCGTCGCGGGTCGATGACTTGAAGGAGAAGGTACGGTCCATGTTTGTGCCGCGGTTGAGCACCTGGTCGTCTTCGAGCGTGACGCCTTGTCCCACCGGTGCTGGATCTGCTGATTCTGAAGCTGCTTCATCAGACGGTGCAGCCTTGACGCTTTCTTGAACTTCGGTGGTGTTTTCGGGAGCAGAGGCAGGAGCAGTAGTAGTAGTAGTAGCAGCGGCGGGGGTGGTAGCGGTAGTAGTTGTAGCCGCAGAAGCAAAGTATGGCGACGCGGTAGGTAACGGAGGACGCGAATTTCCATGAGACTGTCCCGCGGCGGCGGCAGCAGCAACAGCGGCAGCCGCAGACTCAAGCAACGGCGAGTTCGGCGAATAGAACGGCGTGTCGTCGATAATCGGCTTATCGAGATCTGTGTTTGGGAAATACCGCTCGAGGTTGTTGTACACTACCTCTGCCGGAGGACGAACGGCCCAGCCGTCGCTGGAGACATCGTTGGACGCGAGACTTGTGTAGAAGTCTAGCGCACTGCTTGGCTTCTTTGGCTGTTGTTGCTGCTGCTTGCGATTAAGACCGCGGGTGTTGAGATCACTGGCGGTGGGCAGTTCTCCGAGAGCAGAAGTAGGAGTCGAGGCACTAGTCGCGTCCTTTGCCGACAGATTATCATCAGTAGTCGCAAACGACTCGGTGCGTTCGGTGATGGCGGACATCACCTCGGCCTGGCGGCGCGGGTCGTCGTTCGCACTCTGACCTACTGGGTTTCCGATCTGAACATGCAGGACGGGGCGGTTTGTCTTGCTGGCGGCTGTCGATGGATCGGACTTTGAGAGGATATGCGGTGGGATAAGTGCGGCGGCCGAGTCATGGTCTGCACCTTCGGCCGGGGATGGTGACGTCGTTGATAGAGGATTGGATGGAGAAATGTTTGTAGTAGCGGTAGTCAAAGGCGCAGACTCAGCCGTCGTGGCAGACACAGGAGTTTTCACAGGCGTAGCTGCAGGCGACGGGGGTTTCATGGCCCACAGCCCGTCGTCGTCATCGCTACTATCGCCATCATCGTCAAAAGATGGGAACTGCGGCGCGTCGTCAAACGAGATGTTGTTTTCGACAAAGGACTCCTTGCGATTGATCGTCGACCCATATTTCGCAAGCGGGTCTTCATCCTCCGGCCGCCGCTTCGCAGCCGCAAAGTCCTTCTCGACCGTCGACGGAGGCAGCGCGACAGACGCTCTCGAATCGGCTCGGGTTCGCGGATCGTCCTCCGGTCCGCTAACGCTGCGCTGGCGCTGTTCGCTGTTTAGCCTGGCCGCGAGCTCACCCGAGCCCGGCAGCGACTTTCGCGGAACGTTGTACGTCTTTGGCACCTGCGGGTATTCATATCCCGGCTTCCACAGCGATGGCCCGGTTTCGAGCAACGAACCTGGGACGGTTGTGTGCGGCGAGATGGCGGACGAGTTTCCCGCCCGCTTTAGATCCGACGTGCGCGTGCCGTTGGCGTACTCTGAAGGGGCGATACTAGGTCTCCTTGCCGCGGCCTGCGGCAGGCTATCCTTGCGGTCGGGCTGGATGAACGCCGACGGCCGTCGCGAGATCGAAGACTGTCGTCGTCCTTCGGGCGGCGGCGGTGCGGTTCGCAAGGGGTTCAGCTCGGGCTTATCAGCGGACTCGAACGGCGAGCTGCGAGGCTTGTTGAAGTCCACATGCGGCTGTGGTTTCTGGAGAACTTTGAAGCCTTGCTGGTCGGTCTCGATCGCTGACGAGGCTGAATTCGTAGACGACGACCGGCGACGCTCTTCCTCTTCTCGCTGCGTGAGCTCGTTTAGCTTGTGACCGCCGGCAAAGCCGGTGTTGATTCGCAGCGGTACAGTCCTCGGCTGTTGCTGTTGCTGCTGCTGCTGTCTCCATGTAGAGGAAGCGGTCGAGGAGGTGAATGGGGCGTAGATCGACTTGCCGTTGCTGCTCGCGGGTGATGTCTCACTCGTGGCTGCAGATGATGAGGATACAGTATCTGTGGGGGATTTCTGATAAGTAGAAGGACGGACGAAGAGAATCGTAGGGCCTTTGGCGTCGCCTTTCCGACAATTTTCCAGGATGTCGTCGTCAGCCAACGGATCGCCTGTACCATATTTCTGTCAGTAACCGAAGCAATTGAAGAAAACAGCATGTGTACACACCTTTCTCAGGCTCGCCGAGCTCAGTTCTATAAAACTGCACGCTAGGATCATCAATCTTCAGCTTGTCGCTAACAGTCCTGCGGATCGCGTCCGCGTTCTCGCACGCCGTGACGTTGACGAGTTTGAAAGTCTCGTGATCGAGCGTACAGAGAATGAGGACCTTTCGGCCGCCGTCGAGGGACCTGCGCGAGGGCTCGAGGTGTTGCTGGGATTGCGATTGTTGTGGTTGCTGTGATGATTGTGCGGGTACGGTTAATAGCGGAGAGGGTGGTGGCTGCTGCTGTGGTTGTGGTTGGGGGTCCTGCTGTTGCTGCTTTGGGGATGGGGTGAGTTTTGGACCGAACGGGTGGATCGGGGACGTGTCTTTAGGTGGCACAGATGGGAGGGCGGTGAGAGAGGAGGCTGCCGCCGCTGAAGACGAGGAGGAGGTGGTGGTAGTCGCATGGAGCGGACCGGAGCGGACTTGTCGCTCCTGGAATTGAGCATGAGGCACCTGTTTTGGTGATTGATGAACCTGCGACTGAGCGGCCACCGCAGCACTAGAGGACTTTAACGCGACCGAGGGCGTAGAGGTAGACGATGAAGGCGAGTGATCGCTTCCTCGGTGTCCGCTGCTGCTGGGACTTCCGGCGGCGGAAGTAGGCAGCGGTGGCGGGTCGTGCGAGTGGCTGATGCGGGAGTTGAGCAGGTGCGTGTCGCTGTAGTTTGAGCTCGAGTAGATATTACTCCCCGCGGAGGAGGACGAGGACGCGCTGCCGCGGGTGGATGCGGACGACGTCGTTTTGAGAGGCGAGATGCTGCCGTCGTCGCGCTTGGCTTTGCGGCCGATGTGGAAGAGACCGCCCATGAAGGATCCGCCGGAGGACTTGCGCGAGGAGGACGATTGCTCGGAGGAATCATAGTCGCGAGCCGAGGCGGCAGGCGACTTTGTGGTCGCGGTGGCGGAGGAGGACATGCGGGAGATGGAGTTGAGATCGACAGAGGAGCGCGAGCCGGCGGAGGTGTAGTGGAAGCCAGCGAGGGAGGGCGAGGAGGAGATCGAGGCGGAGGAGGAGTTGGAAGCCGGCTGGCGGGCGGCAGCGACCGCGCCCGAGGAGATGGGCACGGAATGCGGCGAGAGAGTGTGATCAGATGAAGAGACGGAGACGGAGATTGGGCGGCGGCCGGGCTGGTGCTGGAGACCCTGCTGATGACGGCTTGCGGAGACGCGGTGGAGCGACGAGCTCGAGGAGGCCGAGAGGGTCTGTTGCTGGCTTGGGTTGCGACGGTGGGGTTGCTCCTCTAGCGAGCGGCGGGGAGGAGGGGTCATTGGAGGGGGGGGGGGAGGGGAGGAGGGCCGCCGGTGCGTTGGAATGGAGGGGGCGGAGTGCGGGGATTGGAGGTGATCAGGCTGTGATGATGATCCACGGAGGACAGAAGACCTGCTGGGCACTAGAGGAAGAGATAGAGAAAGAAGAAGAGGAAGAAGGCAGGAGCCCGCGGAAGCAGCTCGAGCGAGCAGGGAATATCCGAATCAGATGGGAATTTCTCGAGATTTCAGGTGACGAGCGGTTTCTCGGTTGTGGTCGCGAGCAATCAACTATTTTTTAATCCCGCGCGGCTCAACTTCAGTAGTCAAATTAGGTGAGCGATGAGGATGCGTATTTGTGAGCACGCTGGTACGTGGATCTGAGAACGGGTTTGGAGCCCCTGCCGTTGCGCGCAGGTGGTTCCAGAATAATTTTTCATCGCGACGCGTCGGATTTGTGTTGAAATTACAAGTTGGTTTTCTATCTTTCTGCGGTTGCTTGCTCACTTTTAGTTTTCTTCTATTCGTGTGGTTTATCAGCAAAGGATTTCGTATTTTATTGATTGTTGATTGTTGATTGTTGATTGTTCACGATGTCGCTTGATATGTCGAATGCGATCGTCGCCCAGGACGAGATGGGCAGACCGTTCATTATTGTCAGAGAGTGAGTGATTGCAGTGTAGTGCTGATTCGATCGAGATTGATGCTAACATGGTCTTTTAATGTGAATAGTCAGGGCAAGAAGAAGAGGTAATTACACTTGTGTTTGATGTTTAGAAAAGCAGGCGAGAAAAGGAGAGCGATGATGCAATGTGGCCGGACCCACGCGATGAGAGCATGAATCCTTCTTTTGATGTGCATATGCTAACGAATTGGTTAAAATGAAACAGAGCTCATGGAATTGATGCCGTCAAGGTATGTATTCTGATGTTGATTTGATTCGATGGAGTAATTCTCACACCTCTTCTTTATAGTCACATATATTAGCTGCTCGAACAGTTGCGGATATCATCAAGACTTCGCTTGGTCCCAGAGGTCAGTAGTTGGATTGTTAACAGTATTCTGGAGCAGTGTGTTGATTTGATGATAGGTCTGGACAAGATTCTCATTTCGCCGGATGGAGATATCACAATCACCAACGATGGAGCGACGATTCTCGGACAGATGCAGGTCGACAATCAGATTGCGAAGCTTCTTGTGCAATTGTGCGTATTGTTCTTTGTTGTGTGATGAGAGAGAGAGCTAATGTTCTATAGATCAAAATCGCAGGATGATGAGATTGGCGATGGAACGACGGGTGTTGTTGTGCTCGCGGGTGCGATGCTCGAGCAGGCTGCCGAGCTTATCGACAAGGGTGAGCATGCTTACTATTGAACGGAAGAAAAAAGGGATTGGATGCTAACAAAGATGTAGGAATCCACCCTATCCGGATTGCGGATGGGTTCGACAAGGCGTGCAAGATTGCGGTTGCGCATCTCGATGAGATTGCGGATACGGTTGAGTTCAGTCTTGAGGATCGGACTAATCTGTTCAAGGCTGCGAAGACCTCGCTTGGCAGCAAGATGTGAGTGTTCTAGTATGATATAGGAGTGAAGAGGATGCTAATGGGTATATATAGTGTGTCGAAGGCGCATGACAAGTTTGCGAATATTGCGGTTGACGCGATTATAAGTGTTGCGGATCTTGAGCGCAAGGACGTTGATTTTGAGTTGATCAAGGTCGACGGCAAGGTTGGTGGGTCGCTTGCGGACACGGCTCTGGTGAAGGGAGTTGTGATTGACAAGGACATGTCGCACCCGCAGATGCCGCGGACGGTTAAGGACGCGAAGATTGCGATTCTGACGTGTCCGTTTGAACCCCCGAAACCCAAGACGAAGCACAAGCTCGACATCACGACGGTGGAGGAGTTTCGCAAGCTGCAGAGTTATGAGCGCGAGAAGTTTATGGAGATGATCAAGCAGGTGAAGGACACGG